ATGTTTTTTACAGAAAAATGATGTCTGTACCAAAAAAATTTGGAAACAGAAAATTTTTAGGAACACCCCCGGTTTAGTCATTTTTTCAAGGTTGAGAAGCGGATTAGTGATAATACATAATGTATTTTAAGGGTAAACGGATTATAAATCTGACAAATATTTTCTGCTTTTTGTGCTCAAGATCTGTTCCAATTTAGGAAAGAAGAACTTTTCTGAGAAAGTTGTATTGAAAATCTATGTCTGAAACTGCGAGGTCAGAGTACAGGGCTTCAAAAGGGGATGCGATTTTTTGTTTTAAAAACATCACCGTATTTTATTGGTGTTTTTGGAATCAATGTTGTTCTAACCTAGGATCACAGCTTTTCCTCTGGGAATATAATCATCCCACTGCGTGGTATAATTATTTTTAAACTCAAAATCAATAGGCAGGTGAAACAACAGTAGAAATTCAAATTTACGTGCGAATTTGAGCTTTGCTGAAATTAAAAATAACAGAAATCAGAAAAAAAGTTCCCCCATATGAAATATAATTAGAAAAAAAAACAAAACAACAAAAAAAGTGAAATAAAATCCGACGGAATTCGATTTTCAGCGAACGAAAAAACAGCAAGTATAGCCGAAAAATAAACAAAGAAGACAGATTTATTATCATTTTAAAGGTTGAAAAAACAACAATGAAATGTGAGAATTGTCACAGATGCTCTAGAAAAATAACTCGATTATTCGTTATAATTTGCAATGTAGTATTTTTGAGCCAAACGAATGATAATATAGGCCAAGATGACTGTTATAAAAGCGATGAGAAGAACAATATAGGCGTTTAGCATGTTTTTGAAAAATTGTAAATAGATTGAATCGAATTCACTGAAAATCTGGAAATATTTATTCGAAAACGAAAAATATTGAAAATATAAATGGAATCAAATTCGTATTCAGTGAATTTCTCTATCATGAAATATTACAATTATGTTATCATTAAATTCAGAGAATTTGAATTCCCTTTGGAATTAAGTATATCGAAAAATATTTATTAACATCGCTCAAACTCGAAAATAATTTTTTCATCATTGTTTTTGGGGTTCACTGATGTTTTGATATATCCGAAAGTTATTTTTGAATCTCCGCTTTTAAGCCACACTCGTTTTTCGAATTCAACAGTGAATCCAGAATCTGTCAGATTTTCCAATTTTGAAGAAAATGAATATTTCACCGATGAAATAGTTTTTAAAATTGGGTGGAGATCCATCAAAAAGTCTTTCAAATCTCCTGATTTTCCACATTTTTCATAGATAAAATCGTCATGATAAATTCTTGCAATATAATCGAGATCTTTGTTATCATATCCAAAATCCAGAAATTTTTGAATGTTTTCGATTCGATTTCCAGATGAAAATAGAAATAAAGGAAGAGAAATCAAGAATACAACAATTTTCATGTTGAAACAAAATTGATTTTGTTGATGTTCGCCGACGTTTATAACAAATCATTTTGTTTGGAAACGTGAAATTCTGTAAATAGAAAAGTGACGCACACAAGATTCAACACCTTCCGAATCGCTATGTTTTTATTGGTGGTTGAAAAATTAAAAGACAATGTTAGAAATCTAATTTCTCCGAAGGCATGATAACATAATTAAAAAACCAACTTGAAATTTAGAAATGTTTATTATCTCATTTACAATCATAGTGACCATAGTAATTTATGATAATAAAGTGGGATAATATTTCATTTGTTCTTCTTTTCCAAATCTCTTGATTCTGGGCGAAAGATGAAAAAGCCCAAAACCAAATCTTCGGAAACATTGAGCATTGCCGCTGAATTGTCTTGTTGGCCGCAATAGTTTGGGGCCGAGAAAATTGTGACCAATCTTCTCTCATCAAAGAATTCGTAACCATCATCGACAACTTGATGGCCACGAATAATCAGTTGAAGTCCCAAACGACTTTGGAAAGTTCTCAAGGCTTTTGAGCCGAAAACATAAGAGGCTCCACGTGGACTTGGCTCGTATTCGGCGACAACTGGATCCGGATCAGCCCATGTTAAGTCAGCCAAAACTCCGACATCTGGGATTTCAAGTGGACGTTTGAAAGCAGAGAATTGGTCGAAATGTTCCAAAAGACTGCTTATTCCACCATGCATACACATAATTGTGTCATTTACAATGGCAGTGAATGGAAAGCAGTTGAACATATTCTGAAAAACAATTTATCGTAATTTTTAAAATTATCGTAATTTTTTTTTGATTAACTCACTTGGAAATATTCATACAGTTCGACCGAATATCGCTGTTTCAATTCACGATAAAATCCATAATGGGAGTTGACAGCTCTTGATTCGTGGTTTCCTCGCAACAAATAAATTCTGTCCGGGAATTTGATCTTCAACGCAATAAGAAGAATTACAACTTCCATGGAATAGGGGCCACGATCAACATAATCTCCCAAAAATAGATAATTTCGTGGAGGTTTTTGGGGCTTCATACTTTTTGATTTGCTCTTTTTCGATTGATTTTTCTTTTGAGCATCTTTCATCTCCTTGATTTCTAAATCAGTGATCGGCCATCCATTTGAATCCAACATTGCTAGCAAATCTTCAAATTGTCCATGAATATCACCAACAACTGTGATCGGCGCTTTGATTTTCAGACAAATTGGCTCATTCCACATCATTTCACGAGCTCTCAAACATAGTTCGGCTAATTCATTAGCTGTGAATAATGTCATTGATTTTGCTGGTTGCCAGCGTGTCATCAACTTCAGCAAAATTCGATCGACAAAGCGAATAACCTTTTCTTTTTCAATGACCATTTTTGATATTTCGTATAATAAATAGATAGAAAAATGCGTGGACACATGATTTGAGAGTGCTATTTATAGGCATTTTTGTAGGTCACGTTGAAAGATAATGATCTTTCGGATTTTCTACGTGAAAAAATATATATTTTTTGGAACCATTTTAACAACCGATTTCAATAAAACTACTGTGAACTGGAAATTGTTAGGATAAATTTAAAAATATTCGATATATGTATAATTTCGAAAAGTACAGTAAACATAAGTTAGTTTGTGATCAGATAATGGAAATTGTTTAAATTTCAGAGTGCCGATCCTCGTCTTTGAGCCGGAAAGAAAATAACAAGCCATTATGGAACAAGAGAAACTCGTCGGATTCAAGATTTTCATCGTCATCCTCTTCTAAATCCTAGAGACGAGAAATTGCTGATGAAAAGCAAAAAGAAGAAACCATGTGGAAAAAGTTGGTTCAAAAAACTTATACCCTGTAAAAATTAGTTTTAACTGTTCATTTTTCAGAAGAAAAAAACGAACGTCGAACAAATATTCAATTGAGTGGAGAATTAGAAGTATGGGTTAGATCTACATCACAACGGGAAATCGAGGAAACGTATCGAATGTGAGTTTTTTTTTATTGGCGAAAACTGTTTTATCAGTATATTTGATTCTGTTAATGACCAGTAGAAGCGAAAAATTTGGAAAATATTATGGGAATCAGATTTATGCCTGAAATTTTCCGGTTTTCCGAAAAATTCTCACGATAAATCTTCAAAATAGTCAAATTTTCGAAAAGTTTTCTTTAATAATCAGGATTTTGGAAAAAAAACCTGATTTTTTTCTGAATTGGTAAACAGAAAACATAGAATATTTACTGGCAAAAATTCCCCACCCATGTGCCTATTTTTTAAAAAAAATCTGGCCGATTCTGAGATCATGACTTTTTCTTTGTTACTCTGTTACAAAGTTTACATTTTTACAAAAAGTGTTTTTTTAATTTTGGACTTATAATTGATCAAAAACATCGGTTAAAAAAACACTATAACTAAATTATCAATTTGCAAAATTATAGTTAATCTTTTACCGAATCATACATTTTTGTACTCAAACTAGACACAAAATATTTTAATTGGTTGTTGTCTATGAAAAATATAGGCAGCTAATCAGTTGGAAATTAGTTTTCAAGTGATTTAACAGTTATTTATATTTTCTTTTGAATTTTTATTGTTAGCCACGTTTAAATAGAAAAACTAGTAGAAAAAATAAAATTAATTCAAAGTGTTCGAAAACCACTGGGGAAACACATACACGATACGCACCAATGTAAAATATCTTGAATTTCTCCCAAAAAATGCGCATGGAGAAACAACTACATTATAGTTGTTTTGTATGTCATTGTCATCAGTTGATCAAAATACACTTTGAAAACTAATTGAAAATTATAAGGTGTGGACTAGTAGCTCACGATTAATTTCAAAATTTTCATTTCATTTTCTATTTTTTTACTACGTTATTTTATATACTATTATCTCGCATTTACTTATAACGTACCAATTTTCGAAAACCTATGATTTGTTTTGAGTAGTATCTATGATTTTTTAGTTCACAACATCTTTGAGATTTGAATTTCTGAGTTTTTACAGAGAATTCTTACAATGAGTAATTCAAGCGATAGTGATGAGGTTTTCAATTATACGAATCCAGTTAATTTATCGGCAGCTCTGTTCATGTTTTTGGTAAGTACTGAAAACAATTTTTGAATTTTTATTTGATTTTAGATAGGAAGTTTCGGAAGTGTTTGTAATTTTTTAATGATCTATGTTTTCTTTCGAGAAAAATCTGAGAGAACCTCTTTCAATCTCATTTGTTTTTTCCGTGCTTCTTCAAATTTTTATATTCTTGTCACTACATTTTTTGGCGATTTCATACCGACAACATTATTGTAAGTTCGCAATATTCCCACTTCTTTTTAGCAAATTCCAGAGGATATTCTTTGTATGAGCCAACTATTGAATCATGGATGATTGGAATAACAAATAGTTTATATGTTGTTAATGAATATATCACAATTATTGTTGCTGTCAATCGATTTTGTGCACTATTTTTTCCTATTTTTTATACGAAAATTTTCGGGTTCAAAATGACTTTGGTTAGTTTCTGACGAAATTCCTAATTATTTTTTGAAAATGGTTTTAGTTTTATCTTACTTCAATGGTTGTTTTCCGTGGTTCTATTTTAGTTCAAGAAACATTGGAAACACGTGAGTTTGAATAATCCGATATATTGAATCGAATAATCAAACTATTTTCAGCTGAGGGATGTTATTTTCTCTATTTTGTTGAAATTCTTGCTTGGAGCACAACTCCTGATAAAAAGTGTGAAACTTCACAGAGTTTTCTACTCACCTTCACAGTTTTTACTCTTATTGGTATTTCTGTATTGAACTTTTTGACATTCATGAAAATTATATTATTTTATAAAGTAAGAACGAGATGATATTTTTAAACGGCATTCATTGAACAATTTTTTAGACCAACTCAGGAAACCAGGATAAAGTATCTCGTCGAAAAATTCGTGGCAATATCAAGTTATTTTTCCAAACTCTTCTTCAAGATTCGTTATTTCTAATTGATCTAACATCAACTTTCAAATTAATTGGACTTTATTCGAATAGAATTTGGACTTTTATATGTGGTTCTCTTATTTGGCAATGTCTTCATTCTTTTGATGGTTTTATTATGATTCTCTTCAATGGAAGACTTTCATTCATCAAAAAGCATTTATGGTCAAGCCCTTCAGTTACAAAAATGACAACTGTTACTAGAACTGGATTACAGATGACTGTCGTTCAATAAACTGAATTAACATTGTTGGAAGAAAAGAGTTCACATAGGAACAATAAACATTTTTATCAAGATGTCTTTTTTTGAACTTTTGACTTTTAGATAGTTCGGCCAACAGGTTTTCAAAGCGTCATTAACAAACAATATTTATCACATCGAACAATCTAACATAGTTTTAAATTGTTCCATTTCCCACGTACAGCCAAACTTCTTCTGATATACTTATGATTAATGCTAATTTTCATTTTATCAAAGAACTCTTCATTTTGAAAAATAACAAATGTCAATCGAACTGGATTACCGATGACTATGGTTCAATAACACACTTTTTTGTTTAACATGAACATTTTTATCCGATTAAATCATGATTTGAAATAAATAATAATCCAACCTATCGAAATCCAGTGGATAGTTATTTTTGAGTTGTTAAACAAATGATGACGTTGAAGTTCTCATTTTTATTGCTTGTCTTTTCAACAAGTCTTGCTTCTGCATTGACTTCTTATTCGTCATCATCTTCTTCCGAATCAGATTCGTATGAGGACTATGTTCAAAAACCTTTGGTCAGACATCAAAAACGTATCGATCCTCCTAAACCAAAAGTTCGTTTTTCCTGATCTTTCTTCCAATTTTTACTCGTAATTTTCGTATGTTCTGAAAATAGTTTTGATTGTTTAGGTGACAAATGAGAAGACTCAAATCAACAGTTTCTTCGATCGACCAACTCAAGAAGAATTGAACACTTATGACAGTCAAGTCAAAAATGATAAATTGAAACAAGTTGAACTCTTTGATCGTCCAGAATCTGATGAAATTAATGCATATGACAAAATCGTGAAATCATCTCAAATTGCACCAGCCGAAGAAAAACAAGAAAACATCGATGACGCAGATGAGAAATTGATGTTGGAAACACTTGGAAGATTATATTTAGCTGAAGGAAGTCGTGGATCAGCAAGTTATGAAGATGAGGATAATTCACTTTATTTGGTTCCATTGTCCGATTATCAAGAAACACCAAAAGTTCAAAGTAACAATAACAATAACAAAAATGTTCTTGTTAAAGTTAATAATTTCAATGTAAGTTTTTTTTCTATAATGGATCAATTCATCTGAAGAAAAAATGAATTTCGCGACATTTTTTGTCGCGAAATTGCAATTCGCGAAACGACACGAAATTAATAAAATAAAAGAGGAAATTCTTTTTTCGTGTGTTGGGTCTCGCAGCGATTACGTGTCCCTTTAATGTTTCTCCTTTATTTTTGTGTTTATTTCGTGTCGTTTCACGAATTGCAATTTCGCGACAAAAAATGTCGCGAAATTCATTTTTTCGTCAAATGAATTGATCCATAAGAGGATTGAAACAAAAAATGTTATAGGTCAAAACTAACGTTGTTGGAGATATCAAGGTGAGTGAATTAATGTTTTTTTTTTATATTAAACTGTTTTTTTCAGAAACCAGAAGATAAACCAAAAGATCAACCATTGCCACCACCAGTTCCTCATTCAGATTCTCGTTTCGTATATCTTCATCTCAATCTCATCGATTTTTTGACTGTTTCATTTATTCTTGCATTCTTGTTCACAATTATTAGAAAATCATACAAGAAATGTTTCGCCGCCCAAGTTCCACCTCCACTTCCAACAACAGCAATCCCACCACCACATTATCTTCCAAATTCAGTTGTTGTTGAAACAACTAAAAAAGTTCCAGTTTAACTAAAACATATATTAACTAAATTTTATTCATCATAAATCATAAACTCTTTTTATTTTGATTTTCCATGCATGCTGGCATAACTTCTTGATGTCCAAGAAGTCGAATAACTGGATCAGTGAACCAAGTTGGTAAAAGTGATAGAGGAACATAACCAAAGATTGCATCCCATCCACAATAATATCTATGACGTGGATATTTTGCAGTTAGAGCATGATAATAATTGTCAACTACGTAGTGAATTTTGTCGGTACTCAATTTATGGAATGTCTCATTCCATCGATTTGCAACTGAAAAATGTTACCAACATATAAATAACTTTCACAAAAGTTGATTTTCTTATCAGTTGAATTGAACTTACAATAGTTTTTGAATTTTTCACCATATTCCACTTTTGTTTCTGAATCAACATTTGACCAAACATGATCAACTCGTTTCAACATAGCAGTTTTATCCAATAATGGAGTTCTGAATATTCCTGGTTCAACAATTGAAACTTTGACATTGAAGTTATATAATTCTTGTCTAATACAATCCATATATGCAGAAGCTGCAAATTTAGAAACAACATAAGGACCAGCTGCTGGAGTTGATAATCTTCCATTCACTGATGTTACTGTCACAATACGACCCGATGATTGTTTTATCAATTTTTTAAAAGCCTAGAAAGTAATAATATTTATGAGTTCTGTCGAGAAATTTATAACTCACATGTGTAACTCTGATAACACCAAGTGTATTGATATCTAAAGCATTTTCATAATCAGCTAATTTACACCAATCATCTGGTCCATAACATGAAAAAATTCCAGCGTTGTTTACAACTCCCCATAATTTTATTGATCCTAAATTTGATTTTACATATTCGGCAGCTTTTTGAACTGATTCATCTTTGCTGACATCCAATGAAACAATATGTATTTTTTCTTTATTTTCAACTTCATTTTTCAATGTTTCACCAGCTTTTGGGGTTAAACAACCGGCAAAAACAAGAAATCCATTTTTGACACATTTTTTGGCAAGTTCTCTTCCAAATCCCGTATCACATCCAGTTATGAATACTGCTTTATCTGTCAATTTTCCTGAAGCCGGTAATAGTTCCAAAATGTATCTAGAATAAGTTAACACTTTTTTGAATAGAAAATCAAATGACAAATTACCTGACAATATTCCAAATGACTACGAATCCAACAAAATGCAGGAAAAAGGCAATAATCCCAGAAATCATGCTTGCTTCTGTCAAAATACTTAACTTTTTTCAAAAATAACGCAACAAAATAGAAAAAAACGAAAGTGAAAGTATCAATAATTAGACAAACAGCGACCTTGGAACTTTAAATATACTTTTTTTATTTGTACAAAAAATAAAAACAGGACATTATTCTCAATAATTGTTTTCGATCGAAGTTGTATTATCATTCGTAGTTTGGTATCTGCAAAACAATCAAATGTTATGCAAGTGTTATCAGATAATATTGGAATAGGGGCACTTAAATAGAGAATGAGGCGAAAAGAATCAAGTATAGGCTAGAAAATAGGTTAACCTTGTTGATCAAAAAACACTTACTCTGTTCCCGAGCCATCATCTGATTGAATGTAGTCAATCACTATTCTGAAAATTAGAAATTTTGGAAACAAATGAATTGAACATGAAAAAAGAGTTTTGAATCGGGTTCTATGAAATTTTGAATAAAATTTTTTTGACATCCTAATGCTGATTCGGGAGTCAGATTCAAAAGTTCCCAACAACTTACTCGGCTGAAATTCCTGATCCTTCTGCTGATGTTGAATTTCCAGAACCATCATAGTCTTGTTCAGCTACAACATAAATGACTGGAATTACGTTCTGACTTGGATCTTGATACTGATTCTGGTACATATTCTGTGGTTGTTGTTGTTGTTGTTGATTATAGCTGAAAATCTGATAATTTTTTGCAAACCCAAATTAAATTTTATATACCCTAATTGTGGCCACGACCATACAGGTTGATTCCAAGTGAAAAATGGAAAAGCATATGCGACCGAAATAGAACACAACACAAGAACTTTGAACATTTTCTGCCAATTGTAATTTTAAAAATGAAATTGGTTGGGTTTAAGTAGTGTGCTAACTGTTTGTTTTTTTTTTGTTTGAGCACAATTTTGACAGAAAAAGTAGACCGATGAGTAAGTTGTTTCTGATGTGTAAACTTGGTTCATTGGTGTTGAGTTAAACTCAACAAGCACCGCAAATAAAATGTGGATTGTTCCATTTCTGAAAATTGCTTTCAAATAAATAGATCTTCTGAAAAGGATTAGGTAGAGTTGTCAGAATTTTCGATTTCGAACCGGTGCGGGAGAAAAACCGAAGAATCACGTTGTAATTGTTGATTTCAAAAATAGAAAATAATTTATAAATTGCCACGTCTATAGTTCACGGTCTAATTTTCAGTATTTTATCAAATAAATATTTTTGAGCAGTTTCATCCATTCAAAATCTTTTTAACATGTTTTTCTTACGGTAATTGAAAAGCTGCAAATTAGCGAAAATCAAAAAATGAAAACACATCAACTAAAATATTCTTGAGCACAAACAACTAAATCAAATTACCAAACTAATGTATTTTCGTGTATTCGCAACTAAAAATAGGTGAAAAACGTCATTTCGAGTTCTTTGTTTTCCTTAAAACTTTTTTGGTTTCTTCTACCAAAAAGCATGCATGACCTGCTCCAGTTTTTTCTTTTCTTCCTATTTTTTTCCATGTTTATCTCACCCTCTCAATTCTTCAATCTCCCAAAAAGTTCAAAAACCCTCCTCTTCTATCTCTTTTTGGAGCACACTAAAAAAACGAAAAAATAGACAACAAATAGACTCATCAACTACAACTTCTCCAACCAAAAAAAAAATCGGGGCTTGTTTGAATTTTCGCAAGTTTTTGAGTGAATACATTTTTCTGATTATATGTTGTTGTTGTTTTTTTTTGGAAAAAATATTTATGTTTGTGAGTTTTGTAGGATTCAGTACTTTATTGTTTGAAGCATAGAATTACTAAAAGAGATTCGATGAGGTGGAAAGAGTGGAACTTTTTTGAGAAACCTGATTTTTGAGTACTGGAATTTTTCAAGATAATATTTTTTAGTTCCGGAATTTTTTTTTTGATTTCAAGAAAATTTAGTGTCTGATTTTTTTTTACATGAATTTGATACCTGTTTTTCAAATGGAAAATAGTGCCAAGCTGACCATATTTTTTCCAAAGCGGGTCACTTTTCTAGAAATAGTTTAGTGTAAACGAAAATGAACATTTTCACATATTTTTCTGAAGAAAAAGTTTATATCGCGAGACTTCTAGGGTTTTTATAGTTTCCAACAAAAGAAGTTTGCGATTAAACTAACAAACTTCTCTTCCAAAATATATAATCCGAGTATCAAAAATCCTTCAAAACATACATTTTGTGTTTGAGATGTTCAAAATAGGTCCCAAAGGGCCCATAGAGATGAAAAATTTCGAGAAAGGAAAAAGAAGAGGCGCGTCAGCAGCCAAACAAAAGTATACTCATAATGTATCATTTTTTGTTTCGTTTTCGATATTTCAGAGGTGCACTTTTCCATTCATTTATTGGAAGGAGATGTAATTTAATTTTTTTGGAGAACGCTTTTTGGAAACAATTTGATTTCTTTGTGTTCTGCTGTTGGTTGGTTGTTTTATCTTTAAAAAACACATTTTTTCAAGATTTTGTTAATCTTGGGAATTTCTAATAATCCTCCAATATCTTCATTCCTAATTCTTTTTGTTCATCAAAAATCCACCCATATAATAATAATAATAATTCCATATGTCCTAACCCGTACATTGTACTTACAAATAAATATCTCCAAAAGAAAAAACAATATATAATCTGAATCTTTATTCAATTTCTGTCTGAATGGAAATTATTTCCTGTCTCGAGGTTTTTTTTCATTCATTCAGACACCTTTATTGTTTTTCTGTTTTCCATAAAACCCATTCACCTGCCATTTTTGTTTTTCAAGTTTTTTGGACCACATCATTTTGTCGTAAAATATATGTAAGAAGATCAAAAATTAATACCGAATCTGCAGCATTTTATTTCCTTTTTCATCATTCTTTTTTCCTCCACAATGAAACCTCATTTCATTCCAAACCACCCTTGAAAACCCATAAAACTGAAATGTTTCTTTACTTCGGTGTTTTTTGTGGTCTTCTTTCTTTTTATGCTCTTTTTCTCCACGAACTGACTCGGAAACAGAAACATCTCCAACTTTTTGATACTTACAATTAGCAAAAAGATTTTTTGTTGTAAAATGAGAGATTATAAGGATCCTATTACTCTTTTTTTCAACAGAATATGAGTTAATCACATCGCACGTAATGAGCAAAAAAAGCAGGAAAAAAAGAAGAAAACTCATGAATATTTCATTTTTTCGTCTCATCTTGTTTATCATATATTCATTAAATATCATTTTTCTTGCTTTTTTCAGCGTTCCTTGGAGTTTTTTCATTCTGATTTTCTGTCCGATCTCTAGTTTCCGGTAAGAACTAAAGAATGTTTGTTGGCTGAAATAAAGGTTTGAGCTAATATAACGAGGGGACAATATTTCTTGAGAGTTGAGATTTTGTGAAAAACAGTTGAAGAATGGCCCTATCACCCTACCACTACAAAATCTTAATATTATCATTTTTCATTCAGGAAATTTCCCCCACCCAAATTATTCTCAACTTTCCAAAACTTTTTTCTCTTTTTTTTAGTTAAGAAAATTACCCCTTTTCCATATAACCCTTTGCCTAAAATTTTCTGAGCTATAATTATTTTCATATATACTTACATATTTCGCAATTTTCTAGACGCTGAACTTTTCATACCCATTTAATTTTTATGAGTCTAACTCGCAAAAAAATGAATTTTTGAGTTCCTTTTTTGTTCCTGTTCCGTTTCATTTATATATTTTCATAATGCGAATGAGCTTCGAATTTCCAAAATTAATACTAATAATAGATGGTGATAAATAATTCGAAGATCATGAGTATGTATTAAATAATATCACATCATATATTTTACCTGCCCCCACATGTCATTTTATTATCCTCAAATTCCCTTTTGTTTTTGTCTAGAAAAATTTAAACCACACAGTTTTTTCGTCTTTTCCTTTTTTTCTTGTCCAAAAACAAAGTACATAATTATTCTGTTGTTTTTTCCCGAGGTGTTTTTCTCATTCTCTGTTTTTCTGTTTTTCAGAGTTGAGTGAAATGCATTCAGCAAGAATTCAGCAATTTGTTCGAAGACTCCATAGACCATCGATTTCAGCAGATCATGTTTATATTTCGAGTAAATATACTGGAAGACTATTTATTTGTGAGCAAGATGATGTCAACAAAATGATAGACACATATCAAAAAATTGATGACAAATATGCGATTTATGAACAAATGTTTTTGACTATTTTCTTGGTTTGTTATAAAATCTTCCTATTTTTGATATAAACAATTTATTTTTCTAGGGACAAGAAGTCGAAATGGCACTCAGTTTTGGATTGGAAAATCTCGATGAACAACAATTAAAAAATGAACAAAGATTCCGAACTCATGTCACAAAATTTCAAAGATTCATAACTGGAATAATTGATATGTTATCAAAAGGTGTACAAAGTTCCGAACAAATTGTTGAGATTTTGAGAATTGTTGGAAGACAACATGGAAATGTTCGAACTATGAGTTTTACTGCAGAGAAATGGCTCATTTTCAAAAATGTTCTTTTGGAACTTCTTTGTAAGGATGTTAACGTGAGTTGAACATACTTAAATTGAGTTTCATTTCAGTTCCAACCAACAAAAAAAAACAAGACAATTACTTTATAGGAAAGGGTAGCTGCTGCTTGGAACAAATTGATCAGTTTTATGATTTCGGAAGTAAAAGACAGTTATTTGGAACACGTTCGACATGCCAGAAGTTCTTCATGTCCACAAATCAATTCGTATCGATTTATCTCATCTCGATCAAAACGTATAAAATCAAGAAAACATTCAGAATCAGTAAACAAATTGGGAAAAATCAATGATTAGTTGTACACATTTACTGTAATATTGTATGTATATTTTGCTCAAGTTTGTGTGAAAATAATAATTCATTTTTATCTATAAAAACTGAAATAAATAAATACATATTTTTGATAAAAACGTGAACGTGAAACAAAAAAAACGTGTTACAAAAATATTTTATTTGTCATTTTTTATTCGAAAAATAATTGAAAAATGACGAGTCAACAAAGACAATTAAGATATGGTGAACAAGAGGAACATCAACCGGGATGTTTTGAAATATTTTGTGGTGTACTTCGTGCTTGTGGTCTTATTTGTTATGTTGCATGTCCACCAATTCCATCAAAAATTACAAATAAGCTTGCTTTTCATCCACCGCGGAAGGTAATTTTGATTTTTTCCCGAAGAAAAATATTTGTGATTTCCAGGGTCTTACCTATCGAATTGTTTCGAAAAATGAACCACAACGAAAAATCGAAAATATTTCTGAAGTAAAAGATAATGATTATCAATTGATAATTCATAATTTGGCAAATCGAACTGATTTTATTTATATGGAAAGAGAAGTCGAAGTTTTTACTGCCGAGACTGTTTTCAAAAATCATCTGGTGTGTGTAAAATGTAAATTACTTGATCCACCATTGGAAGAATCTCTACAAGATCAAGTCATTCTGTTTTGTCAACCAAATTCATCTGATTTGGGTGGATTTTTACAACCATCAATGATGAACTTGGTTAGTTATGCTAATCATTTTCAAGTTGATATGTTCGCTTTTGATTATTCTGGGTAAAAAAGACACATTTGCTAAATATATTATTCACAAGAATTTTTATTCAGATATGGTTATTCTTCTGGTTATCAATGCGAGAAAAATGTATACGCTGATATTAGGGCAGTTTATCAAAAAATCAGAGAAACACATCCAAATAAAAATATTGTATTGATGGGATACAGTATTGGTACAACAGCTGTGATTGATTTGGCCGCTGAAAATCCTGAAGGTCTTGTTGGTGTTATTTTGGTGGCACCATTAACTAGTGGATTACGATTGGTTTCTGCAAAACCGGCTGATCCAAAAACGTGTTGGGCAGATTCATTCAAAAGGTATTGATTTGATTTTCGATTATTTATTTTGTATGGTTTTTTTAGCTATGATAAGATTGGAAATATTGAGACACGTGTTTTGATTTGTCATGGAAATGTTGATGAAGTTATTCCACTTTCACATGGAATGGCATTATATGACAAATTGAAGAATCCAGTTCCACCTTCTGTAATTCACGGAGCTGATCATCAAACAATTTTGAATGGAAGACATTATCAAACATTTGATCGGATTTCGTATTTTTTGAAAAATGAAACAACAATTTCAAATAGATCTACAGAAGTTATGACAAGTCAAAGAATTGGTTTTGACTGATTTATTTATTTGGAATAAAAATTTGACTAAAGTGTTTCAAATTACATAGAGTGTGCGCTATTTCTTCACCCAAAAAGTCCAATCAGATCTTCCAAATGTTTCAAGTCAAATGTTTGTATGATAGGTTTGCTTCATTTGACTAGAAAAAGAAATATTATCTCAGAGAACGAAGTCTGATAGCCTACGAGAAAATGGAAAATTAAGAGAGTTTGATATCTTCTACTTTATAACCATCAAATGCCAAATCCATAAACTTTATTTTTTTTAAACTTTCATGTCTCGAATTTTTTTTATTTATCTTTTTAATAAAATCCCGACTGGATGGTGTCTCGGTCATCGATCGAGTCGATGGAAGCTGGATTTTTCAATGGGCCCCTGTTCTCATTTTTTGTATGTCGAAACTTTGGACATTTTTGATTTTTGCCCCTTTTTTCCGAAAATCATAAATACCTTCAAGAACGTTCAAAAGGATTCGATCCTGGACGTTGTGAACAAAAAACACGTGATCTAACCACTTGACTATTTCTGACACAAAAAAATGAATGCTCGAAGAAAATATTGACGTGAGAAAAAATATTTCTTTTAAAAAAGGACATAGATTATAAAAGAAAAAAACAAATTCAAAACAAACTCGAAATCGCGTGCATAAAACTATGAAAAAATTAATCTACCTATGAAATATTTCATAGTTTGTTTTTCAATAAAATCTGGAAGCTAATCTTATACCATCAAGTGTAATTCAAAGCTTCATCAAATCATTTAAATATAGTAATTTATAAACAACTCTCCTTTAACATCAATAGTAATTATGAATTAAAAACTTTACCCAATATTTTTCAATGAAGCTCAAATCTCACCTGTTAGTTTTGTTCCTCCCTCCCCCCCAAACCTCAAAATAAACTAACTTGACTTGCCCGTTCCGTGAAAAGTTGTTGATATCTTCGAATGTCCTGTCCAAACGAAACATCTTCTTGTTCGGAAGCCTGAAACTTTTACATTCTTTTTCTCAAAATCTTCGCCTATTCTTAAACTTACATCAGAAAATGGCAATTGTGGATTTGATGAAACCACTGCATTGTGTGACGGTTGTCTCTGAAAAATAAGAAAATTAAAAAATGTACCAAATCACCCGATTAATAACACTTTCTGCGCAGAAAAAAACCAGAAAAATGATTCATTCGAAAAAAAAACGTTCATGCAATAATTTCTTTTCAAATAAAAAACATATCTCTCTCTCTCTCTAACCCTCTCTCCATTTCCCACACTCTCTCATCTACCCTGCAAAAAACAAACAAAATAAACACGCTGAACAACGCGCACGCGGAGTATCGTTGTTTTTCTTTTATTTTTTTCACGACATTTTTATTTTTTGGTTTTTTTCTGGTTTTTTGAGTGGTTTTTTTCAGCGCAGAAAGTATTATCTATGGGGTGGTTTGGTACATTTTTTTAATTTTCTTATTTTTTCAGAGACAACCGTCACAGAATGCAGCGGTCCCATAAAATCCACAAATGTCATTTTCTAATGTAAGTTTAACAATAAGCGAAGATTTTGAGAAAAAGAATGTAGATGTTTCAGGCTTTCGAAAAAAAAAAGATGTTTCGTTTGGACAGGACATTCAAAGAGATCAACAACTTCTCATGGAACGGGCCAGTCAAGTTAGTTTATTTTGAGGTTTGGGGGGGGGGAGGGAGGAACAAAACTAACAGGTGAGATTTGAGCTTCATTGAAAAATATTGGGTAAAGTTTTTAATTCATAATTACTATTGATGTTAAAGGAAAGTTGTTCATAAATTACTATGTTTAAATCATTAGATGAAGCTTTGAATTACACTTGATGCTATAGGATTAGCTTCCAGATTTTATTGAAAAACAAACTATGAAATATTTCATAAGTTTAACTTTTTCATATTTTTATGCACGCGAATTCCATTTTTGTTTTGAATTTATTCATTTTTTTGTTTTAAATTTCTTTATTTTTCTTTCATAGTCTATGTCTCATTAAACTTCACAATTTGTATTCCCAGGCGTAACTTTTTTAAAAGAAATCTTTTTTTCTTACGTCAGCTTAGCTGTGAAAAATAGGTTTTTCTTCAAAATTTAAATTTAGAATTTTTGTGGATTTTCTGACTGTTTCGCCTAGGGGCACCGCCCCTAGTCTGGAAAAAAATAATAATTCACTTTTACTTGCTTGTTCCCTATGTTTTCCAAAATGTGTTTTGCTATGTATGTATAACATAAAATGGCAATCATGCTTTTTTTGTTCTCGAAGTAAGTATCTATATCCTTTTTGATGTTGATATATATTTTCACATGGCTAAAAAAAACTTGTGCTCCGCCTTTTTCAATTATGCTCCGAGTGTTTTTTCCCAGCTGCTTTTGTTATCAGAGCAGTAGGTTTTTTTCATTAGAATTGTTTTAGAGGTATACGGTAGATAAAGTCTATGGATCAAAGAACAAAACATTGAAAAAAAATCTGGAATTTTTCGAGTTCGCACCAGCTCAGACTGAATGTACTTATCTAAAGTTCATAACCAAATTCCCTATTCATTATCATCATTTTATGTAACTTGACTAGAACTTATCAAAAGTTCACACTAGACCTCAGTTTTTTTCATCATTGCGCTTAACTTTCAGAAGATTCAGAGAAAATATGAACACATGGAAATGATTGGAAATCGACATTCCTGAAACTTCCTACCAGACCTTCATATCAACTCACAATCAAATCACAAGGCTCATTGCACTTTTTTAAAGTTCTTCATTTTATAATCATTTTGAATAACTCGAATGATCACAGATCTATGAATCATTTTCATTTTCAGTTTCCCCAAAACTTTGCTCTCCTCTTTCTCTATAATCATCAATTTCCGCAGTTGTTTGTCAGGTTTGGTCTTCTGAAAATTCACACGCGTCTCCTTTCAGAGCGTCAATATTGCCTAGCAACACAATCAGATTCAGATATATTATTTCTCATTTGATAACTAACTGCGAGCTCCCTTTCCCTTTTTTTTTCCATTTCGTTTTCGTTTTCTGAAATTTCTGGCTTCTTGCATTCTTGATGAACATCTGTTTCCAACATTTATATTAATGCATTTTCAGCTTCTAAGAACTCATAAAACAACAATCGAACATGAAAATGTTTATTTTCTTGATGGTTTTGGCTATCAGCTTTATGTCAACTGATAGTTTGACATGTCATCAAGTTGGAGCTGGAAATTTGTCAATTGCTGATAGTTCGACATCGACTGATTGTGGAGTTGGAAGTTTGACATGTGTCAAAGTTGTTGATCTGACTCGTGGAACTTATACAAAACAATGTCAATCGCTTAATTGCACGGTGAGTTGTTTTTTTTTATAAATAAATTCTCCCATAGTTACCATAACGACAGCAATGATTTGATTAAAACTTGAGAAAAATAAATGTTTTCAGCTCAATGGAGTGTCAAATGCGGTTGCTAATTGTGCGAATACATCAACTGTTACTGGAAATATGTTGACTTGTTGTTGTTACGGCGATGGGTAATTAATTAATTTTTGAAAATTGAAAGACTAAATTGATTCAAATTTTAGATGCAATTCTGCTCCACATTCTGCCAGTTATTTGGCAATTCTGCTCACAGCACTTTCCGCAATCGGTTTCATTGTTTAGTCAAACAAGTAATTAATTACTAATTAATTATTATTTTTGTATTTTAACCTCTTTTTTTAACTACAGAATGTGTTTTCCATTCTGGCCCTTTTTTGTATATCATTTAATGAATAAATTTATTGGACACAAACACAACGGGAGGTTAACGGATGTTCGAAAACAACTTGGATATTTGAAATTCAAATTTAACTTGAGAAACAGTAGATATATAAATTTATTTCAAAAAAAAAGCTAAAGAGATCTCTGTTTACACTTGTTATAATAATGAGGACATTAAAGTCTAGATCCATTTATCATTCATTCATAAAAACCTTCTAAAGCTATCTAAATAAACTCGATAGATTACGCAATCATAAATACGATTAAGGTAGTGAAAGTGTGTTGGCAAAAAATAATGGATATGGCAAACTTTCTATCGGACTTCAGTTTTTTCCTCAATTTTTGTTAAAACAATTTATCCGATTCGAATTCATAAATAGGTTTTGTTTCGAATTTCAAACCTATTCTTTCGACAATCAATCAAAAAGATAGATCAATCTCAAATCAAATCAGGTTATATAATTATTAATTTAATTCCAATCCATTCCCAGGGTCAATGATGATAATAATAACAATAAATCCGCCCTTTCAATTTCACTTTTTTATCCGTTTCTTAGCCCCGCTCGACAGCTTCTCGAACTATTCTTTCCTTTATTTTCACTTTTATTTTGTTGTTCTGTTTTTGTGGAAAATTGTGTTGTTCAATTGAAAGTGCGCCAACAATTATTTTGTACTTTTTTGCTCTGATTAGGGAAAATATTAGAAAATTCTGATTAGTTCAGGGGTATGAATTGAAATTTCAAAAACTTTGGTTTGAATAAATTGTCCGATTTTAGGGTCCAAATTAAAATATTTCAAAACATCAAAATACGTTGAGCTTTGGCTGAAATTGTAGCTACCTTGCTCGTATTCTGAAAATCTAACCTGCCCTGATTCACAACATCCAAAGTTTTTGAATTTGTCCGTTTTACGAAAGTTATTATTAAAATATTACTGTAGTATGATATCAATTGTTCTAGTTCTGAACAAAGCACAAGTTTCATCAGGATGAATCGAACAAATCATATTTTTTCCAGTCGCTAATAACATACTAGTTTTTCTTCGTTCCTCTCTTTTATTTTTGCCTCATTAGCTAACTGATCAAATGATAACCTTTTTCTTTTTCTCTTCACCATTCTCTATTTTTATCACAAAGCAAAGCATTTTTTGGAGTGGAACTATAAGTTACAGTTTCGAAAAAAAATCAGATAAATGTTTTATACGTCACAAAAATAGCGATAACTTTTACTTTAATACGATGTTTTCATTTTCTTTTAAATGTTTCCAAATCCATCCTTAACCTATGCACTCGAAATGAAACCGGAAAATGAATGAGGAAGAGAGATTTGAGAAGGAAAGGCGATTATTTTGCGGCCATTTTTTTCGCAACATTTTTTCATAGACTTTAATTTTGAATGTCAGATTACGCAAAGAAAATGAGATGATTGTAAGAAATATTTTCTGGATTGTTGTGTAGTTGTAATTTTTCCTTTGATCTGATATATTTATAGAATGTTTGCAAGCTTTTTTCAGTTCAGTTTATACCATCTTCATCTTTTTAATGTTCAATTTAACTGTTAATGTTTTTTGGTGTTTTTACACTAAATATTTTAATTAAAATTTTGATCTCATAATGTTCATAAATTGGGATTCTGAATTAATCTGGAAAAAATCATTCACAAAATGTCAATCACCAGAAAGTCACATTTGTTTTTAGGTGCCCAATCCCGATAAAAATATTAACTACCTGAAAAGAGTAATTTGGGCCATTTTCAAATACCCCGGCCTCACTTTAAAATTCTCTATATGTCCGAGAACAGACTTTCTATAGTGAAATCATTTTTTCGTAATAATCAAGATCAAGTTGTCTCATCTCACTTCATCTCGTCCAAATTCAAATCCACTTGCCATTTTGTTTCATTTTCTATTCTCTCAAATTATTTTCCTACTTCTTCTTCTCTTTTTTTTCTATTTTTCTTTTCTTTTTTTGCCACCCTGTATTCCTCCTGTATATATCCGCCCTAAAATGTTCTTTCTTCTTGTTTCTTCATCTCCAGCTTCTTCTTCTTTTCCTTTTTTTTCTTCTGCGCAATTTGTTGTATTTATGTATAGTATCTCCTTTTTGTGATCCTGTTCGCGTAAATGAATGAAGAACTTTTATGCATACAAATTTGGATATTTGCCAAAAAACATTCTTGTATTTGGTTTCAACTGGTTTCTTGAACCCTTTTCATAGTTTTTTGATGCTTGTTTGTGTTTCGGCCATTTGCTTTATTGGTTTTTCTATGCGATTTTTCTTGATCCCCTTCTGAATGTTCACTTGGTTTTCTACACAACTTCAAGAAACTGAGAATCTTCTGATTTTTTGAAGAAACTCGGTGAGACCAATAATAAGCTTCAACTTCAAATGTTTGAAAAATTTAAGTTCACAAATAATTTTTTTTCGAAAATTTAAAGTTTTTGGCAATATCACTTTCTAACAACTTTTTTCTATGAATTTATTTATTAAAAAATTAGTCTTCGGTTTCTATTTTCCAATAAGCTCTTAAATTCAATCCAGATTGGATCAATTTTCAGTTTACTCCCTTTTACTCAAGTCAAAATTCTAAACTCGATTTCGAAACTTTATATATTTTTCTTGTATCCTCTTCCTATCCAATCAAAAAAAAAGCATGACTAATAAAAAATCGTTTTACATAATAACAAAAAACCACCAAAAAATCTGGTTATTTACGTAATATATTTCATCCTTTTCTTTATTTGGTCAAATATTCTGACAGCCTTAGATTGATTGATATTAAAAATAAAATCTATACTTTTCCAGATCCGAAATTAAAAGAAGAATAAGAAGGGGGTAATGCTAATTCGGTTACTTTTTCTTGTTGTTGTGGCGATCACAACAATTTCGGTAAGTCAATCAACAACTTTATTTATTTATTTATTATTGTGTGAATATGTCTACGAAATGAATGAGAATAATTAGGCACTTGTCATTGCGCCAAAAACAATATTATAATTGTGATGAGAACTTATTCCTCTCCTTCTCATCGTGGGTTTTTTCCAGACTTCATCCGAAGGGGATGCGCCATATTCACATCGAAGATTATATGGAATTCGCAGGTTGAGGGTTCGTTTTTTTCTGTTTGAATCTGAACGACCCTGAGATTTGAAAAAAAATAATGTGGAAAAAATCTGGATAGATGTTATCCTAGTTGAAAGAATGTGTGAAAATGAATGAAGGCAGATTTCGGAAAGATATGTTTCTAAATATCCTCGGAACTTTTTGAATGGAGAGGGTGAAATGAGAAAAACCTATTTTAAGCTAGAACATTTTTATGAAAGGAATTTTTCTTAAAATGCTCGAATTTACAAACTTTAACTTTAGACCTTGATTTTTCGTCTCAAAATATTTTCCCTAATTTTTTGAACCATTCCAAATGAACGTCTCGAGGTTGTTAAAAATTTTAACCAATACCAAAACTGTTCATTTCTTTTCTAGTTCCCTGCTTTCCAATAAAAACTTATATTTAGCTAATCATACTCTAACTTTTTGTCAGATGCTTCGCCCAATTCCAGTAACAGCTCAACATTCACCAACTCACAAAATCGTCGATCGTCGTCGTCAACCTGCCAAACTATCAGAAAACAGCGAAAGTGAAGAACAGGTCAGTAAAATGACTCATTTTTTCTATGTTGTACAGCAACACAAAAAACTAATACGTACAAAAGTGAAAAGTGGCTAAAGGAACGAATGAAACTGGCTAATTAAATGGCAAATGAGTGTGTTTGGATATGTACTTTCTTTTTTCACTTTTTCATTCATTCAACCTGGAAAAAAATCCAAGCGAAAACATTTTTGGATTGGATTAAATTGGCAAGTGAGGCATTAGGCAGTCAAAAAGCCAATCTCGTTTCGAAGAGAAAAGAAAGTGTGTCGAAGTTCGGGAAAATAAGTGAAAGTTCTCAAAGCTTATCTCGGCTGACTGTTTTCATTTTGATTTCAATTTCGTTTTTACAATGTCTGTTGAAACATAGAGGGGTGAAACATAGAGATAGACAACAGAATTTTTCCGAATGAAATGAAAATTAAAATGAAACGTAAAACAATTTAATTTTAGGAATCATTTGTGCCACGTGCTCAAGTTCCTCCAAGTTATCATCAACCATCTCAATCTTCCGATCCTTCTTCATCGGAAGAACTCCCAGCAACTTATATTGTCCAAACTGCAAATAAGTTTGGCAATTCTTTAGATGATGCAAGAAGAAAAAGAATTGAAGCAAGATGGAAAAGATTAGGAATCAATTTCAAAACTGTCAATTATCCACATCATAATCAAGAATCATCTGAAAATGTTCACAAATATCAAATTCGTCAATTGAATGCTCCAAAGAAATCCGAAAAAATTGTTGAAATTGAAAGACCTGTTACTCAACAACCAATTCTTCATGTTATAAATCCAATTGATCAAGGTAAGTATTTTTTAAGTTTGTATTTTTGTTATGTGATTGATGTGGGAAGCATGTCTATTTATGAATATATATTTCTATTTCTATCCTAACACACAGGTTTCCAACCATCTTCTGAAATTATTCAACCACTTCCAACTCCAGCTGAACTTCCAAATAATGGAGATTATCATTCGAGAACAAAACCAGTGCATCGAGGATTGAAGTTTGTTCAAGAGAAATTGTCTGTCCGTCCACGTTTAAGGATTCGTCGACCGGGTTGGTGTCAGAGGGGGGCTTCTTGATATGAAAGGGGGATAAAGCTGGTGAAATGTGAATAAATGTGCTTTTGGTGGGAATGAAAAATAGTGCTTGTTGTCGGAATTGCGAATTGAAAATTTTTTAAAGAGGCCTAAATATATTAGGAGTTTGATTTGAAGTTTCACATGGTTCTGGAATAAATTTTGAACTGAATCTTTAAAATCTAAATATTTGATTTTTCTTTTTGGTGAAAACGTAGTGAGATTGGCAAAAATGTTACAAGTTTATTTTTGTTAAAATTTCAAATGAGAAAATTGAAATGCATTGACAGTAGAATGAATACATAAATTGTTTGTTAATATTCGAAAATTGTTCCAAAATTTAATAAAATATTTTAGGAGAGAAAGTTGAAGAGCCAATGCCAGAAGATCCAAACTTGACGCCTTTTATGAACAATGCTCGTGCTAAGTTTGGTTACGGTACAACAGTTGCACCAATCGCCACCACAACAGTTTATGTCCCGCCGACAACTCCTTCAAGAAGACCAACAACAACCACAACTACAACTGAAACACCAATTGATTTTGGTGATTCTGGTGACGTTGGTGGAGAATCTGGAGCTGGTTTTGGATTTGGACCAGCTGAATTACCACCAGAGTTCCAAAATGTTGGATTTGGTGTTGGAGGAGGAGATAATGGGTTCAATTTCAATGTTCCAACTGAAAAAGAAGAAAAAGAAGAACCAAAACCAACAACTACTACTACTACTACCAAAGCACCAATACGAAGAGTTGTTCAAAGGTTTGAGTGTTTTATTTTTGCAGAAAAATATTGATTATCAATTTTTGTTTCAGAAAACAACCAAACGCTGATTTTGACAAAGATGCCCCTGCTGTAATTCCACAAAATTCTGGTCTTCGAGCTGTTGAACCACCAAAAGAATTTGGAGGTTCCGGAGGATTCGGAAGCTTTGGAAATGGAGCTATTGGTGGAGGATTTGGAGGCGGAGGAAGTGGTGCAGGCTTTGGTGCCCCACCAGGTCCAGATCCAGATTTCATGCCAGCTGGACCACCTGCTGCGGCTGCAGTCGAAGGACCAACAGAAACTGATTTCTTCACAGGAGATTCTGCATTGACACCATCAAAGGGACCAACTGGGGATGGTTATGGTCCAGCAGTTTTTCCAGGCGGAGCCGCTCCACCACCAGTTCCATCTGTTGGATTAGGAGGAGCTGCTGCTGGAAAATCACCATATTTGGGAGCTGAAGAATTGGGTGTAACTGAAAATCCAGCAACAACTGTGAAACCATCAGCATTGTTGAGTGTTTTGAACAAAGCTGATATGGGATTCAATCAAGCAATTGAACATTTTGAACATGGAACTCCTGTTGAAACCGCTGCAATTGATATTCTTGAAGTTGCACTTGGATCACAAAAATTAGATTCACAAGCAAAATTATTGGGACACGTTGATAGAACATTCGGATTAGATAATTTGCAAAGACTTCAAAGATGGGCAAATACAGCTGGAGCAATGGAAGTTTTCAAAGATCAATTTTTGAAATTTGCCAAGAACTTCCAACCAGCTGCCGATTTATTGCCAACAGTTCCACCACAACTCGAATATCTTTTCAAGACGTCAGGAAAAAAATAGATGATTTTTGATTTTCACTTATGTTCTCATCATTATCTTTGCACTTCACACACAAAACAAAACGGGATAATTTATTATTTTTTCGAATTTTGTTTCATTTGCGCTCAGTTTCTTGCCATGTATTTACTAATTTATTTTAATTGTTTCATCAACGAATAAAAACATTTGAAAAACGAAGAAAAAAAGCACCAAAAATAAGTACGAAAAAATTAACAAAACCGTAAAAGGAATGTGGTATGGCTTATGAGATAAACAAAATATGATTTATTCACTACTATCTTCATCAAGAAGTCCAGCTCGAGTTTGTTCAGCATTTTCAATTTGAGATTGAAGATTTTGAAGGCGGCGTTTGATTCGTTTTTGATCATCAGCAGCACATTGAATGATCTAGAAACAATTATATTGAAAATATGAATAGTTTTTCAAAAAAAAATAACTTACAATTTTCAAGAAATTAGCGCAAACAGCTCCATTTGTTTCCTCGCTTGCACATGCATTCATATAAGTTTGAAGATAGATTTTCGATTTTTCAACATCGGTTTTAATCAAATTTTCAACTTCATCAATCATTGTTGAAACTTGTTCCAATGCTTTTTTCTGTTCTTCATTTCTTGGTGTTTCAACACTTACTTGAACTGTTTGAGTTCTTTTCAAAAGTCGACTTGTTACAGCCTCAATTTCTTCTCGATCACATTCTTCTAGTCTCAACATATTACTATGCATACTTATTTCACCAAGTTTCTTTAATATTTGTTCTTTTTCAATTTCCATTTCAGCTGCTCGTTTTCGAAGTTTTTCAACATCTTGTTCAATTTGATCAAGGGTCACAACAGTTTTTGCATTGAAATCTACGACTGATTGTTTTCGTTGAAGTTTTTTGCCGCGTTTCATTTTTCCTTCGATTGGTGAAGTAAGTGGAGATGGATCACCATCTGTTTCTTGAGAAATTGGACATTTTGCACATTCTGTTTTTCCAATGCTTATTTTTGCGATATTTTCTTCTGGAGGAGTGGATGGTGTTGATCGAGCAACTTTTTCATAAGGAAGTGGAATGACAGCTGGACGTTCTGGTGTCTGAAATATGTACATATTTTTGGATTGAAAACGTTTTTCCGATTTTGGTTTTTTTTTCTCATTTTCAAAAAAATCTATCTGAAATGCTCACCTCAGTTTCCTTATTTTCTCTTCCTTGTCTCGATTGTGCTCTTGATTGTGGTCTACTTTGTGGCCGACTTTCAGGTCTCAAAGAACTTTCCGGTCTAGTTTGTTGCACATTTGGAGTCTGTTGTTGATTCGCTGAATTTCTTCTCAATGTAGAAGTTGGCGATGCTGGAGTTGGTGATCGTCTAGCGAAGTTCGACATTTGTGGATTTGGTGAAAGTCCTCCTTCTCGTCCAAAATTATGAAAATTTGAGAATCCTGGGTGGTTTCCGAATTCCGATGGAAAACGAGGGAAATTTGGCCAATCTGGATCATTATCAAATGCTGATGAAGGAAAGTTTGATGGAAAATCAGGGATTGGAGAACGTGATGGGAAAAATCCAGAATTGTTATGCATATTTTGTTGTTGTTGTTGTTGTTGTTGTGGCTGATTAGGCTGTTGTTGTGATTGAAGATTTGGTTGATATTGAGGCTGAGGCTGAGGTTGAATTCGATCAGTATCAACAGAAGACGATGAATTACTTCGACTATGAGTTGTATGCGGTTGACCGAGGATTTTAATCGGAATGTTCTGAAAATCAAGACTTTATTTATTTGTTTGTGACAATTTTGAAAAAAAAAAATAATTTGATGAACAGAAATATTTTTCGCAACCCTGGTATAAATAGGTCAATCGGAACGTTTATGTATGTGTGAGAAGATTAAAAAGGGTGAAAAGATATGGAAATTTGGGCAAAACTATTTGCATTTTTCGAGAAATAATGTTTCACCGTGAGGAAGAATCGTATTGATTACACTATATTAAAAAACAACTCACCACAATAGGCATTTTTCTAATAGCTTAGCTTAGAGGGCGCTAAAATAGAACAAATATAGGCACTAATTCGATAATAATAATAAATATCACAGACAGACACACTCGAATTGAAACGTATTATTTCTCTTTTCTTGTTTTTGTTTTTTTTTGCTATTTCTCGACGCAATTTGACAGCAGTCGCTTACAAAAAAAATGAACGAAATCGGGAGAAAAAGAGAAATAAAGTTTTGTGTGTGTGTGTGTTTTTACGAAGGAAAAAAAAGAAGACAAATCAATTCATAGTGTCCCCGGTCGGGAACGAAAATTCGGGAGACACGCCCTGTGTGGAGACGCAGACAATTATTATACAAGAAATAGTATGGAGAGATGAAGAGGTTTAGATGAAATGGAAAAAAGATGGTGCGCGATGCTTCTGGAAAATTATATGCTATGGTAAAAGTGATGAAATAATTATGAGGTTCTCGAATTTTCTAGAAAATTCCATGGGTTGGGAAAAAATGGGTTTGGAACGTTTTCGATAAATCAGAAGAATCGAGCAACTTGAAAAGGCGCCTAGAAAACCACTTTCGACTTCTGAGTTCTGATAATTAAAATTCGATTTTTTTGAAATTGTTTTTGGCTCACAACTGGTTGACCAAGATGTGAAAAAAATCTGATTTTCGGCAATGTTTCAGATGTTATTCTAGAAATAAACTTCATAATGGAAATCAAAAGAACAATTATAACATCAATTTAATGAATCGTTATCAAATATTTGCATCTTTAAGGAATTCAAATTTCAAATTCCTTCGCAAACAAAAGAAAATCAAAAACCCCAAAAATATTTCGAAACATACAAAACAACATTTTTCAAATGCCATTTTTGTCATGGCACATAAACACAATTTTTTGAAAAAGGAAATGTTTCTCGAATGAAATGAAAACCTGACCAAAATGAATGGCTAACTGATCATAAGTCAAATCAAATCACTAAAATAAGGGTGTGGTCGGTGGATTGCGAAAAAACAAGAAGAAGATGAAAAAGACGAAAATGAAAATGGAAAAAAAAGTTTTTTTTCGAAAAATGTGAAATACGTGTTTGTTTTACAAGGTAAATATAGTTTTTGAAAAGTTGAAGCTTACCTGCATTTTGGCGTTTTTCCAGAAACTTCTTTGAACACAATAATTATGAAATGATTGTTGGAGAAAAGAAATGAAAAGCAAAGAAGCAAATCAATATGAAACTGAAAAAAAGAGAGAAAAGAGAGGGTGGTTCTTATCTTTTAAAAAATGTATGTTGACCTTTTGAAATGAGAAAAAATAACATGTTCGAAAATGATCATTTATATTATAAGTTGATTAATTACGATTAAAAATTGAAAAAAAACACCAGGGGAGGATTTTAGATATCTATTCGAATATAAATTCGTTTTGATTTTCAAAAAACTATATAGTGGGTCTAATCAACCTTTGAACTATGATGAGTCATTCTCAAAATCCATATATTTCCACCCACGTCTTTTTTTTCGAAAAAAATCCGAAAAAAACCAAAACAAACAACAAAACCATTCAAGTGATTGTCAAACAAATTTATTCAGTTTTTTGCAACCAATTTTGTTGATCAAATATAACAGTTTCGATGTCGCCAATTGTAAAATTGAACAGTTATCAGATCCCTGGATATTTTTTGAGATGAGACTAATTTCACTCTGAAAAATTAGCGTTGAAATTGATAGATTGAGTAAGTTCACTTACCTCAAATCAATCAGAAAAATTGCAACAAAATTCCAAAAATCTGTAAGATCATTGCGAGTTTTTGGATGAGGAAGGGTTACGGTGATTTGACAAACTGGAAAATGTTCCGAAAAATCTATTCCTCTGAAATATTTCCAGAAATCAATGTAAGCAATAGATTCATCAATGTGAAGAGCTTCTGAAAAATATTCAAACAAAAAACATTTCAATTTCAATTTCAGACAAACCGATATAATTTCTTTTCAATATAATACTAGTCAATGTTTGGATATCAATTGAACCGTGATCTGAAAAACCCGAAAAAAAAATTCAATAAAAAATAAAAAATATTACCGAGCTCATTTTCAGCTTCGAGTACCAAATTTAAAGGAATTATTTCAATTAGTTTCGAATTTCCAACATTTATCGGATTGATTTTCACAACGTGGCAATTATCAATTTTTTCCTGAAAAAATTGTCATTTTTCTTTTTTTACATACGTTTTTTGAAATAAATTGAATTATTCCTTTTATCGAAAAATTGTTGATCAAAATACAAAAATCTCAGTTTTTTTAAATGTTGGACTGACCAAAATTATAACATTTCTGATTCAAAATATTTCATACCTTTACATTTTCCTCTAAACTTGAATCACTTGAATTTCTACTTGCGAAAACTATATTACATTCTGATTTTCCACGATTCCAAAAATCAAAATGTTTTCCAAAATCATCAGAAATTCTCTCGAAATTCGGTCGAATATCTAGATAAGCACATTGATTCACGAAAATTGGTAATTTTTCGAATAATTGTTCTGCAGAATCTCTATCATACCACATTAAAAATCGAGTCATACATTCATTTTGTCCTTGTTTTTTCCTAGGAGTTTTCGAAATTTCTAATAAAATCAATAGACATAATAAAAAAATTTGGAGACCAGTCATAATAAAGCGAGACTTTGATGGAAACTTCCGATAACTTATTTTGAGAAAAAAGAGGAAAAATTATCTGCAGGAAGTGGGATTCGAACCCACGCACCCATGCGAGTACCAGAACACCCAGTGTACCTCGAACTCACGAGGCAAGCGAATTGCACGCTTGAGTCTGGCGCCTTAGACCGCTCGGCCATCCCTGCACATTTCTTTTTCGCCGAATTGTTGATGATAGAATTTGCCCTGTTGATATATTTTGGACGTTTTGAAAAGTCGTAAAATTGTTTTGATTTGATTAATAATGATAATAGTGTTATTTTCAATCTATTTTTTATTATGTATACTTTGAGTTTTTTTCGTCTATAAAAAAGAGATACACATCCAATTATACCGCATCAACATTTTTTTCAAAAAAAAAAATTGACATAAAAACTAGAATGGTTGGGTTACAAAAATAATCGTTATTTTATTTCAATCCGAGGTTAATCTTTGGACTACACAGATAAATTTCATGTTCATTTTTTTTTATTAATGAAAAAAATTATATACTTTTTACTTTTCTGTTTTTTTTTTGAAAAAAAAAGAGATATTATCTCGCCAGATTAGAAAAATAAAAAAAACTTGTATTTTTTCAAAATAGTAAACATAAAGTTCATCTTTTAAATGTGAAAATATGGAAAAAACTTGCATGTTAATTGAGACCAATTGTTATTTTCCAGAACTTTTGTGTCTACGAAAACCGAACACTAAAAACTTATCTGTGAAGAAATCAATTAATCGAATTATCCGATTCATTAATTCTAGTCATTGTTTCAAAATTATTGTTTCTTGATTTTTTTGTTTCAAATTTTAGAAGTTTCAAAATTGCCCGTCAAAATATCTGTGAAAAAAACCTTTTTCAAAAAAATTTCAAATAGAAAAACGTTTCTATTCCATTTGAAATCATCTCAGAATTTCAAGAAACAAACCTAAAAAGTATAATTGAATTATCCTTGTTAATTTTATTTCATTTCAAAACCAGTTTGAAATTCAACGGCACATGTTCCATTACATCTTGCCTAAAAATCAGGCAAAAAATAATAACAGTGTGTAACAACTTTGCTGACCCCGCCTTTTGAGGGTTACTATTGTCTCGCAAAAAAGGTAAAGGACAACAAGAAAACTTGTTCAAGTTTCCAATTTTTCTTTTTTTTTTTTCTCATGTTTCATAAATATTCCCGATGCCTAATTTGTGTCATTTGACAAATATTCAGGGTGCGTTTTTCATGGAATAAAAGTTCCAGATTTTTTTCAGAAAAAATATTTCAATATTTACTTTAAACCAGTTGTAAAATCATAATAAAATATCAATTTCTTTTCAAAAATCAAATAAGAAATTTCTGTTCGATTATTGTTCACAGTTGAAAAATGACAAAAACACATCATAAATATTTACCCATTTTCTCATAAATTTACATTTCGTATTTTTTTGCCTACTGTCAAATAACACAGTAATCCGATTGTTAACCGTTTTATTATTATTATTTGGCCAAAGAAAAAACGAGGTGGTAATTTGTCAAATACAAAAATATGAAGACTTTTTGATTTTTCTTCGGAGAGTTAATTTTTATTCTAAAGTTTTTTGTTTTTTTTTTGTTGGACTTCGTGGTAATTTAGAAACGATCCACCAACGATGAAACCTTTCTTGAAAAAAGAATGTATACTTTACAGTATGAAAATTAGCCTGCCTAGTTCAGCCCGTTTCATTTTCCCGCTATAAAAATATTTTAAAACTTTATTTAATCTTGAAGTTTCAACAGTGAACTCATTTTTCCATTTATTTTCGTTGCTACTTTAAAAATGATATAGCAAACAAAGTTCAAGTTTACATTGATACCATTGATTTCTTTGAACTCGAAACTCTATTCAGAAGTATAACATCCAGATTTTCTAATTCTAAGAAAAAATAATATTTTGATAATACTCCCACAATTCTGATAAATAGTTCAATCCACTCATTTTTTCTATTTACTTCTTCTTTTCAAATATTTTTTAATCCTCTCAGCCGATTTGTTTCATTTTTTCACGAACAAACTGAATCAGATCAACATCATACATAGTCTGAACAATTATTACTTTTGTTGTTCCGATGATAGTGAATTGTTTTCAAATATTCATTGACCCATTTCAGATTTTAGTGTGCAAAAGTTCAATCTTTGAAATAAATAATCGGAAACCAGTTAGTTGATGTAAAAATGTACACAATTAGAGTTGCGCTAAATATATTTAGATTGATATTTGCTGAAAAGTTCAATAAGTAACCTCCCGCCCGCTCGCCTACAAACATTCTTTTGAACTTCTTTAAATTCTCAAATTTTCTTGTTTGAACTGGCCAAACATCGAAAAATCTTTACAGCTATGATAACTCGTGTTGGCGACGTTGCTGATAATTCGCCAAGGCGTGGAAGTCCTTCGGAAGTTTTCTCATCTGATATCAATAATATTCACAGATCTCGAAATGATGCCAAAAAACAAAAGTGAGTCGAGAAAAAAAAATCTATGTTGAAATGTTTCTCGGTTTTGCAAAACGCTTTGTTCCAAGCCATGCTGTAGAAAAAATAGCCGATTTTATCTTCGAAACACAATAGACGCAGACAGTTTTCATTTTCCTGTCCAGCCCAAATATTTGCTTATCTTTCCATTTTTTTCCTCTTCATGCGAATATCTATAGATCCCATTTATAGTACTATAATTAATCATGATATTGATGCTGGAAATTTTTTACGCTCTAAAATTTATCGATTTATCAGATCGCGCAGGTTAGTGAGTTTGAATATGTATGTTAGAGAAGAAGAAGAAGCTAGTTAGTCATCATCCGGATAATCTAGGATTTTTTGCTGTGTCTCAGTTTTTTTATCATCTAGTTTTATTTTTTTTATATTACTACTTTTTCTGTCCTTGTTGCTCTACTAAAATGGGTCATGGCGAAGAAGGAGGGTTAGTTTAAGCAGGACCAAAAATTGGGCAAATTTGCTTTGGCCCGATTTTGTAGAGATCTGAATTTAATCATCAGATTCGGACCAGTATTCTGAACAAGTTAGAAATAGTCAGACATTTTAAAAATTTGGTCGAACCTCCTGAAGTTGATGAATGCCAAGCGAAGACCAAAAGTTCATTTATTTGCAGATGTTCGAAATGGGTTGCCATTGTGTTCGGAATCTTAGCTGTTCTATTTTGTTTGTCAACAATTGCCTTGGCTATTGTAGTTGGTATCAAATATAACGAAGACGACAAAAGTAGCGAGGTAAGTTTAGAAATGAAAAGTCAACAAACAAACAAACATAAAAAACTCAGATTAATAAGACCATAGTTGAAATTGATGTTGAACAAACTACAATGGTAAAATATTTTATTTTCGTATTGTGAATTTGTGAAGTTGAAATAGAAAAACTAACACTTTCCAATGTACACGGAATTTTGAAAGTTAATCAATTATTATTTCAGCCTGTTATCCAAAGAGATGATTCTGGAAACGTTTTATTTGATTGGCCACAACCATCTGGTTCATTATTTGCTCATTACAAGAAAGCATCAGTGGCTTCAGATCATGGTCTTTGTTCTGAAATTGGAAGAGATGTTCTAATTGATGGTGGAAATGCTGTTGATTCAATGATTGCGACACTTCTTTGTATTGGAACTGTCAATCCACAAAGTTCTGGAATTGGTGGTGGATTTGTTATGACTCTTTATAATGCATCAACTGGTCTTTGTCAATCTGTAAATGCAAGAGAAACAGCACCAGCTGCAGCTACAGAAGATATGTTTGTTGAAACACCAACTGATTCAGTTTATGGTTATCGATCGATTGCAACACCTTCAGAACTTCATGGATTCTGGACTGTTTTCAATCGATTTGGATCAGGAAAAGTTACTTGGGCGAGATTGTTTGAGCCATCAATCAAATTGGCTCATGAAGGATTCCCAGTTTCATCAAATTTGGCTATGGTTCTTTCTGATAAAGAAAAATTAATTCGAGAAGAACCAACAATGAGAGAAATATTTGTTAATTCAAAAACAAACCGAGTTTATGAAGAAGGAGATGTTTTGAGAAGAGAAAGATTAGCAAAGACTTATGAGCTCTTGGCAAATGCAAGTGATCCAGTTGAATTATTCTATAAAGGAGGAATGGCACAAACAATTGCTGGAGAAATAACTGACAAAGGTGGATTGGTTAATGAAACCGATTTGGCTGATTATGAAACTGTTATCAATGAAACACCTCTTGTTAGTACTCATCTTCCCGGAGATTATGAAATGTGTGGACCACCACCTCCATCATCTTTTGTTATTACTCAAAATATTATTCAAGTTATGGCACAATTTTATCAAGATGGAAAAGTTGATCTTAATGACCCACTTGTTTATCACAGATTAATTGAAACTGAAAAATTTGCCTATGGACAGCGTACCAAACTTGGTGATGTTGCCTTTGTTGAAAGTGCGAAAACGCTTGTCGATGAAATGATGACTGAGTGAGTAAAACATGTACCTGATTGAGAAATCCATTGCTCATATCTATATTCCAGAGAGTACACTAAAAAGATTGCGGGTCTCATCAAGGATACAGCTCAACCTCTTGATTATTATGGTGGAGACAAAAAAGACATGGTATGTTTTGCAAAAACAAAAACCAAAATTATGTAGTTTGAAAATACTAACATTTTTCCCACTAACAATGTTTTTCAGGGTGATTCAGAAAATGTTCGAAAGGTATGGCATGTTGTTTAGTTTGTAATGTTGTTATGTGTTATTTTGTCAGAATATCTTATAGCTCTTCTAAGTACAGTAACAGATTTATGAATTTTACAGGCTCCAGATCACGGAACATCACATGTTTCAATTATTGATTCACAAGGTAACGCAATTTCATGTACTTCGACAGTTAATCAAATGTGAGTTATATCTAAATATTTTTTGATTTTCTAATCCTTTTTGTTATAGTCTTGGTTCAATGCGTGCTTCTGGAACACTTGGAATTATCTGGAATGATCAAATGGATGATTTCTCGACTCCTGGACAGAAAAACTCTTTCGGTTATGCTCCTTCTGAAACAAACTTTATCAAGCCTGGAAAACGTCCAATGAGTTCGATGAGTCCAACAATTATCTATAACAAAAACGAAAACCGTGTTGAAATGGTTGCTGGAGCATCTGGTGGATCATATATTATTTCATCTACTGCACAAACTGTTATTCGAACATTATTATTCAATCAAACAGTCAAAGCAGCTGTTGATGCACCTCGATTCCATAATCAGTATCTTCCAGAAACAACAGAAACTGAAGAAGCAATGCCACAACATTTAAGAGATGTTTTGACTGAAAAATATGGTCAAAACTTTACAGTTGTTCCTCGTCAAAAATCAGTTGTTCAAGCACTTCAAGTCGTTGAAGGTAATTATTTTTTAATCTCAAATTCAACATCATTTATAAGAATTTTCAGGTTTCATCGAAGGTAACAGTGATTTCCGACGAAAAACAGCAACTTATCCGGCTGGTTATTGATCTCTTTCTGTTTGTACTTCCTTTTTTGTGAATTTTGTTTGCGACAATTCGATAGTCCAATATTAGCTTTATATATTTTGTGCTCCCCGGGTACATTTCCAGAGCATTCCGATATGATTTTTCTTTTATAAAGATTTTTTAATTTAATAAATTGCACGTTGATAGATGATAAAATCAAAAAGTCAACAATAACACACAAAATGTTATCACAAAACTGTCAATAACATTGTCCTTCTTATTTCTTCATTATTTTTCGATTACTTATTTATTTATCACTTTTTCTCCGATCAATTTGATATTTTTTCAGAAATGAAGGTTTTCCTTCTTTTCTTGGTTGTTTTAGTAGCCTTGGTTTATACACAAATTGTTGGAAAGAAAGCTGTTGGAGTTAAGGGAACTCTGGTTTGTGGAAAGAAACCAGCAGAAAATGTTCGTGTTCGACTTTTCCGAGTGAAACCTGGTAAAAAAGATGGTGAGTTTTTCAATACTTTTCCGGAGGCAAAGTTCAGTTAAGCTAATTAATTATGCGACAAATATAAATTTTTAAAAGTTTCCAGGAACAATTTTTCCCTCAAATTTGTTCCAGTTGATTGACCCAGACATTTAAAACATAATAAGTAACAATTTCTAGATCTTGGTCAAATTATCGATGAAAAAATTACTGGCCCAGGAGGAATGTTTCACGTTGAAGGAAATACAAATGGTTTCCCCCTCAACGAAACAGATATTCAACCTGTTCTTTCATTTTATCATCATTGTGATGATGATCCGAAAAAATTGGAAAAAACTGCTTTCCGTAGATTCAACTATAATGTTCCAACAACATTCGTCAATCAAGGTGAAAAGGCAAAAAAATCATACGATATGGGAACTTTGAACATTCAAATCGAATTTCCTGGAGAAAAACGAGAAAAAACAATCGTCGAAAATAAGCCAAAGTAAATTATTTCATATTGTGAATAAATAAATATTTTTTTGTATTACCTTTTTTCGGAAAACGGGAAAAAACGTGACCTACATCACAGAACATTTAAAAATAATTTTCAACAAAAATGTTCATCCGTGAAATTGTTGGAAATGTTTTTAAAAGTGACATTTTTTGCAACCGTTTGTTGAAATGTCATTTCGAATATTTCAAGATGCTTATGTTATGTAGAGAAATGGATATGAGGAGAGCCTGAATAGAAATGCCAAGTTTAAAACTGGACAGATCAGATCCGGTTTTCAAAAAAAGTGGTCCGAATATGGGCTAAAACTATTCTGTCATTATTTTCCGATCCAGACAGCATCCCAAATTCTTTTCCAAAACTTGCAAAGTGTTCGTTGGTCGCGAAATCGTTTATTTTTCAAGTTTTTCAAAGCAGCCATCATTAAACAACCAAAAAGTCATCAAGAGAAAAGTAACAAAAACCAAAAAAAGTTGCTCTTTATACTAGACCCCTAAAAATTGCTTCCTTCCTTCCTCTTTTCATTCAAACTCTCGTTTCTCCGTGTTTTTTCATCTTGTTCTATCAAAATCCGTGGCTCTTCTTCTTATTCTTCTGGTATTTCCTTCTCCCTTTCTTTGTCTTCTCATTCCATCTGAAAAAGGTCTCCAGGCTAAAAATGAGCACATTTGATATATATGCAAACATTTTCTCCGCTCTTTTTTTCACTGATTTATTATTCCGCTTGATCCTATTTGGATGTTTGTTTGTTTTTTTCTAGTGAGATTTTCCTGTACTTTTTTTTGTTTTCCGAAAAAACTTACATCGAAAGATCATAAATATGAATCAATCTTCTAATGGACACAACAAAAAAAGAGCAAAAAATGTATGTTAAAGCACTCATCCATTATTTTCATTTCATTATTCTTCGCTTCGTGTTTTTTTCGTATTTCTCTCAGTCTTTCATCTTTCAACATTATTTGTCAATTGTCATGTGAAACATGATTTATCATTTCTTCTCCAGAATTTTTTTGAAACATCAAACGTTTTTGAAAATTAGAACTTTTCACTTCAGAAAAAATTCTTCAAATATATTCCTAGAAAAAAGAACATAGAAACCGTCAAACATTCTCCATATTTCAAAAAAGAACCTCATTTTTCAACATGATAACTTGAGTGATTTATGAGTTTTTGAGTGGCTTTTTGGACCTGCTGCCAACGAGACGAATTCTATTTCAACTAATGTAAAAATCATGGGGTTTTCACATTTTTTGTTGGTTGGTTTCAACAAGAACATTATGATGACTTCATAATGAATAATTCGAGCATTACATAAGATTTTTGGATTTTTCGAAAAAGCGCGGGCGTCAGACTTTGATGATGTTATTTGAATGCTTGAATGCGTTTGACACGTGGATTTCAAAGCGCGAGGAAAAACGAATTTAGTTAGATTCTTGATTTTTGAAATCCTCGGAAATATTCAGAATTTTCATAGGTATGTATTTGGATTTAGTATTCTCGTCACTTCTATTTTGAACATCTAACTTTTGACTTTCGTGTGCTATTTTGTTTTTTCATCTATTTTTGCAACTTTTTTGTCACTTCATGTCCATTTCGAATTGTCAACCCATCAAGTGCATCATTCGAGTTTGTCGTATTTTTTTTTCATTTTTTATTCTGCCTCTCTTATATGCTAATGAATTCATTCGATTGTGCAAAGAAGAAGAAAAATACTCATTTCTTTGTTTTTTTTTTGCTTCCCGATTATTTTTGTTTGAATTCTTCTTGAAATTCATGTTTTATTTGTTACTCTTCTTGGTCTTTGAGTTTGGGGAAAAAAACAATTCGCGAACAATTCCAATCAAGAGGCAGGCAAACTCAAAACACATCTAGCTAAAAACCTGTGTGCTTTTTACTCTCTAATTATAGAGTGCTTTGAAAGAAATCATGCGTAAAATACATACCTCGAGTTCTTTAAAGAATCTTGATTCTGGTATTTTTGTTTTTTTATTCAAAATTGTATTCCAGTCAGTCAGGTTTTTCGACGTGTTAAAGTGCTACATCTTTTTAAATTGTTGTTTTCCGTTTTGCGCATGTTTTTCCTTGTTTGTCTCAAAGAAAAACTCAGTAATTGAATGTTTATCGGAAGGTGCAAGTTTGAAATTCTCTCACCTAATCATACTTATTTCTCACTACCAATTTTTATAAGTTTTTCTTCAATTATCCATGTGCAAAGCTCGATCATCGCACAAAAAATAATAATAATTCCCATGTGTTCTTTTTTCCTCTGCCTATTTTCTCACATTTTGCTTGCCAAATTCATCTGCCCCCAGGCAAAACCATCAGTTTTCTATGTGTTCACGGAGGTCAGAACCATGTTTTTTCAGCAGTCTTTCTTTTTTTTCCCACAATGTGTCACAATTCTCTAAATTGTCAGGTTTCAACGATCAATCAAAACTCTTTTTTTTTTCTTCTTTGAAATATACAGAAAAAGAAGACCCGCTCGGGTTTCCAAAGAGATTATTTTTGAAACCGGCTTATTCATCAAAATTTTGTCAATTCCAAAAAAAAAAAATAAGACACTCTTTTTTCGGTCAATATTTTTTGTGGCCAAATTCAATTTCATTGCATATCATCTTCGCACTTTTTTTGTCGTTTTGCATATTCGGCAAAGTTTTTTTTGTCGGTTGGTTTTTCTGGATTGCTTTTTCTAACCTTTCGATCTTGAAAATGTCAAAAAAAACCACGTGTTTTTAATTGCTAGTTTTTGAAAATGTTTAGTTTGATAGATTTGGATAGACTTTTTTTGTTTTATATTAGATACCTTAAGTTTTATTTAGGTTTTTAATGAAATTATTCACGTCTTTTTGATTTGCACTTTATTCAACTACATTTCTAATAATAGCATTTCATTTCCATCTTTCTAGAATTCAATTTTGGTTCAATTTTCGCTCATATTATTTTTTTTCATCATAGGCTCCCCGAAACCCTTTTTCGAAAAAGTCTCATTTATTTTGATGGGAGTTTTTTCACCAACTTTTTTTCTCGAAAAGCTGGAAAAAATCTTGTTCAATTCGCACATTTCCGGCTCATTTTGAAAAGCAAAAAAATGTTCCATTCTAATGTTTTTTGTGTTGGGGTGGTCTCGAAAGCAATTCAAACTGATGACGAGATTTTTATTTGATGGAGAATGAGAAACATAAATAAATTAGGCCCAAGGGATCGAGAGTACTGTAGATTCAGCTCAAACTTTGAGAACCGAATTTGCTCAAATAACATCTCTAAAATCTCGAAGATACCCAACAAAAAACAGACATATGTTTTTTCTCTTGTTTTTCTTTTTCAGAATCTATTTCAAGTAGGCACCCTCCAAAAAACCTTTTTTGATTAATTTTCAGACTTTTTTCTTTGCTTGTTTATTTTTCTTTTTTTTCCTCTTGTCCAATTGCAATTCGATTCTATGTGTAAGAGTAGTGTTCGAGACAAAAAAAAAAAGAATTGTTTTGATTTCCCTATTTTTCTTGTTGTTTTTTTTGTTTTGTGGTATGAAAAATCATTTGTGGGAAAATGATTGGATTGTTGTTTTTGGAGTTGTCAAAAAATTATTTGTGATATCTGATTTTTTGAAATATTTGAAGTGTCTCTTCGAAAATCTTGATGTTTGCTGTCAGAAACATACGTCTGCAAAAGTGTATCCTCTCTTCTTCTTTTCCGTGTTAATTGAATCAAATTATCTAGCGCCAAAATCTTCTCGCTCTTCTCAAACATATGTATTTGGCTCAGCCACTTCTTTTCTTTCTGAATATTATGAAACAATCAATCAGCATCAAAACTGTGCAAAATTTGATTTTTCTAAGTTCAAAAAGAAAATCCTCAACGATATTTCAAAAATGAATAATTGGTTAAGTTTTTGTTCCGTTTTTCTGTTCTGTAGAGGTGGCCATTTTTTCGCTTTTGTTTTTTTTCTAATCTTCGTTCCGGTGTGCTTATGTAAGACTTTTTCTCAATTCCTCAAAACTTCGGGTTTTCCTGAACTTTGGAACTGGGTCTCCAGAGAGTTACTTTTTTACGTTGTTGCAAATTTATTCTATTTTCTCACAAATTTACAACTTTTGTTGAAAAATTTTCTATTCGCCTGCAGTTCACAAAGTTCTTGAAATTTACAGAGAAAATTCATTGAACCATAGAAAACAATAAAAACGTGACAATAAATAGTTATTTACTTGTGAATAGGTTTAAATATTTCGAAAACAGGAAATTGTGTTTTTTTTGCTGTTTGTAAGCGTCAAGCCGTCATAGTCTCAACGAACTCACAAAAAATGGGCGTGGCTTTTCGATCGAAAAAAATCTGAAATGTCTTCTCATTCTCAACATGTGTATTGAACAAAGCCAACAACTTTTTAATTTCCCGTATGATAGATTTTTTTGTGTTTTAAAGTTGTAAACTTGCGGCCATCTGGCTGGAAATTTTTACTTCCAGATAAAATTCCAAAATGAAAAAAGAAAAAAAACGTCAATCATACTCGTCATTTTTTTGCATTTCGTCATTTTATTCAATTTTTGTGGAACTTTAATCCAAAATGTTTCAGTTCGCACAACAAATAAATGTTCAAATGAGGAAGCTTCAAAATCTATTTTTATTGTTTCTAATTTTTGCGCATCCAAGCCAGGTAATTTGCAGATTCTCGCAAAATTGAACCAATTATTATCATTATTTTTATTCATTCAGATTTTGGCGAAAGGAAAACGTCGAAAATGTAGTAACGACTCACTATCCGAGGGAGCTATTATGGCAAAATTGATGAATAATTATACAAAAATGTTGCCAGATGCTGAAGATAGTGTTATGGTTAATGTTGAAATTCATGTTCAGGTTAGCAAACAAGGGTCAATCTTTTTTGATTGTTCTTTCAATTCATTTCCCACAGTTAATCCATAATCCATAATCTCTTTTTGCAAAAACACAAAAAAACTCAAGATTATTTTTCAGGACATGGGAAGTTTGAATGAGATTTCATCTGACTTCGAAATTGATATTCTTTTCACTCAACTTTGGCATGACCCAGCATTATCATTTGCTGCATATCCAGCTTGTAAAAGAAATATCACAATGGAACCTCGTCTTTTGCCACAAATCTGGAGTCCAAACACTTGTATGATAAACTCTAAAAAGACACACGTACATGCTTCTCCTTCGGAAAATGTAATGGTCATTTTATATGAGGTTAGTTTATGAATTATTCTACTTGTCGTTTCCTCTCACATCAACATAATTAGTTCTAGTAATTTGTTAAACTCGTTTTTTGTACTTTTGCTCAATCTTGATTTTTCAACAGAATGGCACAGTTTGGGTGAATCATCGATTAGCAGTAAAAGCTCCTTGTAATCTCGATCTTCGACAATTCCCATTTGATGTTCAAACTTGTATTCTGATTTTCGAATCCTACAGTCATAATTCAGAAGAAGTTGAACTACATTGGATGGAAGAAGCAGTCACTTTAATGAATCAGATACAACTTCCTGATTTTGATATGGTTGGATTCAATACATCAAAAGCTAATTTATTATATCCAAATGGTTTCTGGGATCAATTAACAGTGACATTTACTTTTAAACGTCGCTATGGATTTTATATAATTCAAGCTTATGTTCCAACATATTTAACAATTATAGTATCTTGGGTTTCATTTTGTATGGAACCAAAAGCATTACCAGCTCGAACAACTGTTGGAATATCATCACTTCTTGCATTAACTTTCCAATTTGGAAATATTCTTAAAAATCTACCAAGAGTTTCATATGTGAAAGCAATGGATGTTTGGATGCTTGGATGTATTAGTTTTGTATTTGCAACAATGATTGAATTAGCTTTTGTCTGTTATATTTCAAGATGTCAAAATAGTGTAAGAAATGCTGAAAGAAGACGAGAAAGAATGAGAAATTCACAAGTGTGGGCAAATGGTTCTTGTAGAACAACAAGGACTAATGGATATGCTAATGGATCTGTTATTTCACATTACAATCCAATAAACAATGGAAATGGGAATTTAAACGGGAATGGCCAATTACGTAATGAAACACCAGTTGTCACACATCGAAACAATTCATTTTCTCGACACAATGGTCCACCAAGTCCACTCAATCTTCAAATGACAACATTTGATTCGGAAATTCCATTAACATTTGATCAGGTAAATGATTTATGATTCTTTATTTCAAAAAAAAAGATCTCAGTTGTGCTTGTGTTTCTAATATTTCTAACTTCTACAGCTACAAACATCGGTCGAATCAGATAGACCACTAATTGATGAGGTAACAGTGTGTATTTATTATCTCACCTTTTGTGTGCCATTTTACCCACTCCCACGATACACTTTTAGTTGACTGTAGAATAAAACACAGGAGCACTTTCAATTATCTTTTCAGCTTCGTCCCGAAACACCAGAACCAAGATCTGGATGTATGGCGAGATTCCATCCAGAAGCTATCGATAAATTTTCAATTGTAGCATTTCCGTTGGCTTTTACAATTTTTAATGTGAGTTTTCTATATGAGTTAAGTTGTTGTGTTTCAAACTTTGATCAAGTTCTAAAGTGTCTGGGGATTTCATTGTTCATTCAACAATGCAAACTATTTTCCAAAAAAAAAAGGATGTCAAAAGTACTCGACAACTGACAAATCAAATGTTTAGCTCTCAAAAATATCAACCATATTTTTGCAGCTTATTTACTGGAACTACTACTTGTCACAAACGTTCGATCAAACATTCGAGCAAGTTTTCAAAAAATAATCAAATTAGCTGTTTTCATTTCTTTTTGTTGCACTGGTATAATGATTCGACAATTTTCGTCACACAGGGTTTAATTCCAAGTATCTCTTTTTTATTTAATTTTTCATTCTCTCAAAAAATATAATTTTGGGAATAAATAATTATTAAACTTTCAAACTTTTTGTTGTTGCATTCGATTGTCGATGAACATTATTCGAAGTTGAATTTAGTTCTTCGATGCTTCTGAAATGAGAAAAAAATTACACATAATTGCTTCTCGAGAAACTGACCGGCATGTGAAAATTGCACAAATAATTTGACGATATTTAATTGAAAAAATTAAGTATATGAAAAAAGTTGCAGTTGTATAAGCGACCAGGAGAATATTTGAAACATGGTGAAGATATAACATAACATGAGAGCCATGTTGGCCATATCTTTGAAAAATTATGTTTGCAAGTTTGATTATGGTATTTAACAAATGAGTTGCCCCATATAACAATATCATAACTAACAACATTAATGTAGTTTTTGCTTCTTTTTGTTCCTATAAAGCAGGTTCGATGTTTTTATGTTGGTTTCAATAATGTACCTGAGTTGTCATTGTTTTTCGTTGCTCACTAGATTTTTTCAATTGTCGAATAACCATGAAATTTGTAACTGTCAAAGCAATGAATGGTAAAACAGTGTCAAAAACGACTGATTTGAATCCGTAGAAAATAATGAAATACTTTCTGAAAATGTTGAAGTATATTCCAAAAAAGTTAATTCCAACTAACTTGCTCAATTGTGAATGACCTAATCGAGCATTGACGACGCCTTTGTCAAGATCAGCACTATATTCGAAAAATCGAGGAAAATTGAAGCACATTGAAATCAAAATAGTAATTATCAACTGTTTCAATGCGATTTCAATTGTACACCAAATATGAACTTGTAAAGGTCTACAAACTGCAAACCATCTTTCAATTGAAACTATAATTATTATATATTGACTGATCATTTTTGCACAAGAACCGATTGGATAAATATAGACAACTGAAAATGCACAAATTCGACTGTGCCATGAACCAGCTACATTTTTTCCAGGTCTATAAAAATTGAAACCATATAATTTTCGAATAAATATGAGTCATCTACAAACAACAATTATGAATGATGTCATGCAATTATTTTCAAATTCAATACTGGTCAAAAATGAAATGTATTGAGATTAATGTCTATTATGATGTGTGAACTCTGTATGTTCAACCAGTTTTTATTCGGCGAAAATATTCAATTGTTGTTCTTTTGCAGATGATATTTATAACAACAAAAAAGTTTGTCAAAGAAAATTGAACTTACATGTATGGAAATTTATAATAGGAGAATAATGGAACACTTGTTACCAACACAATGAAATCAGTTATTGATAAACACAATAAGAGAAAACCGACTGCATTTCTTCGCATAAATTTTCTGCTATAAACAAATATTGAAAACGAATTACCAACGATGCCAACAATTAATAATGGTAGCATAATAACAGCTGAATATTCTCGAACTCCGAGAATTTCTGTTTTAGGAGGTTCGGTCATTTTGTTGCAAAAAAAAGTCCAGAGAGAAGAAAACAGAGGAAGTTTGTATTTAAATTGAATTGTTCTTCTTTTTGTTTCGTCTCGCTTAGTTAATTATAGTTAAATAAGACCCAATTTTCAATTTATAAACGAAAAAGTTTATTCATTTTTTTATACTTTTATAGCTTTTTGATGAGTACACGTGATGAATTAAATACAGACACAAACAGAATATGAGAAAAATATGATCTAAAGTGCTGTCCACTTTATAATTTGCATAATTGCAGCAGATATAAGACCAGCAACTGGAACTGTTACCAACCATGATATAACAATATTTCGGAAAATTCCCCATTTTACACCTTCTCCTGATCGAATACAACCAACTGCAACAACACTTCCAACCAAACAATGCGTTGTACTAATTGGTAGACCAACTTTACTTGCTATTAAGGCTGTCATTGCTGCACCAAATTCAATACAAAATCCACTTGCTGGATTAATTTCAGACATTTTTTGACCAACAGTTTTGATGACATAATGTCCCAAAGACCATAAACCAACACAAATTGCCAAAACTCCGTAGAGAAGAACATAAATAGGAACCTTCAAAAATAAATAATTCTTTCTGATTCGCTTATCTAACTTACGGCTTCATTTTGTTCCGCTGATTGAGTTTTATAAATTGATATAAGTGCTGCTAATGGTGCAACCGCATTACTGACATCTTGTGCACCGTGTGCAAATCCAGCAAAACATGCTGTGAAAACTTGAATAGTTGCAAAAAGTTGAGTTGTAGATCTGTCATCAACTCTTTGACGATTTGGAAGAAGCCAATTGAAAAATCCCCCGGCATTTTCATCTTCTTCGATTTTTAGTGATTTATTGGAAATTGTCGAAGCACTTCTTTGTGTTTCAATATCCGAAAATCCCCGAGGACTAGATTCTTCCTGAATATCTTGAATTTTCGAGCGAATTCTTGGTTTCATAATAAATTGAGCAAATAAAGCAGCAATGAAACCAACGCCTAATGCAATAATAACAATTGCCCACCAAGGAAGTTCATTAAAATGAAGAAGTTGAGAACCATCCCAAAAAATCATAACTGCATTAAAAGCAAGGCATATAAAATAAATGAAAGGGAGCACAAAAAGTCCGCGCTTCACTGGATTCTTATTTCTCAAAACAATATGATCGACAAGCAGATAAATAACAGATGAGATTGTTCCGGATAATACAGGAGAAACAAACCAGGAAGCAACAATTTTTGCAATTGCCCACCATCGAATGCCTTCGAATCCACGAAGAACAACAGAAAAACCAATTGTTGCACCCACAAGAGAATGTGTTGTACTAACTGGCATATGAAGTGCTGTCGCAATCATTAACCAAGATGCACAACCTCCCAAAATTGCAACTTGTCCCAATAATAATTCCTTTGGACTATCTTTATAATTGTCTATATCCACCACTCCTTTTCTCATTGTATCCGTAACACTCCAACCAACTAAAACAGAGCCAAGAGTTTCAAAAATTGATGCCAAAATGTATGCCTGGATAATAGTAACAACTCCACTTCCAACCGATGTTCCAAATGCATTTGAAACATCGTTTGCACCCATTCCAGCTCCAAGAATAAATGCCAAAATTATTCCAACGATCAGAGCCCATAGAACAGTTGACTGAAACAATAACATATTTATCGGATTAAAAAACCACATAGAGAAATAGTTTTGATCAGTATGTTTTGTATTAATTATTGAAACTTAAAAACTTACTCTATCAAATGAACTAGCCAAATCTAGTAAAGTAGTTGTGTCCATCGTATATCTGTAAATAATTTTTATAATGATTTTTTCGGAAAACGAAAAATTAACATATCAAAAATAAATATGACACACAAATTTTTTTCTATTTATGAAAGAAAACAGGAAATATATATTCAACAAGTGTTCTTCGTCTTCTCTTCACTGAATGAATAAAAGTTACTGGACACATTTATATATGAGAAAAAAACATATATAAATATTAGTTTTATAACAATGGTCGCGAAATGATCAAATACAGTAGGGTAATCCGATTTTTTTCTGTTTCTCTAAAATGTCACTCCCACTTTTTTGACTCATCATAGGGCATGTATATTTTTTTGATTTTAATAAACACAAATATTAAAAGTTCAAGCAGTGTTCAGGAAAATGAAAAACAACCAAAAATGATGTATGTAAACATAAATTATTTGCTCATCGTGCTGATCTTATAAGGATATCAAGCCGAGACAAAAGAAAACAAAAAATCATCTGCGGGAAGTATTCGTATTCGAACCCACGTACCCATACGAGTACCAGAAAACCCAGTGTACCTCGAATTCACGAGGCAAGCGATTTGTACACTTCAAGTGTACAGAAGCTTGAGTTTGGCGCCTTAGACCGCTCGGCCCTCCCTGCATGTTTCAAGCTTATGATTCTCTCATTGATAAACTTGATTCGTCTAATTTTTGAACAACAATTTTGAACATAATTCTGTTTATTTTTTAAAATGTTTCTTCTTGGTTACGTGATGATCTCTGATTAAAATAGTTTTTTGATCATTTCAAATCAAGATCAATCTACGATTATATAAACATTTGAAACATTTGAGTAAAAAATTGAGGCACATAAGAAGAATCAAAAAATTACTTCTACCAGAACAAAAATAAACTAGAAAATAAAGTTCACCTCGAAAAACGGATAAATCAGTGTGTATGATCAGCATAAATTTAGTAAATTTAGCGAGTTTGGCTAGAAATTTGAAGAAGAAGAAAAAACAATTTGAAAATTTGCCAAAACGGCGTTCTCGGAATAACACGTTCACGTTTAAAAATGAAAATGTTTTTTTTTCATTGCATTAATTCTGTCGAAATTGACAGCCCTGACTTCTACTTATGTAATTTTTAAGTATTTAAAATTTACTTTTTATCCCAAAAATTATGTAAGCCCCAAAACTCACAGTCTTCGCTCTCCTATAGCCATCAAATATTCCATTTTTGCCATCCATTCCTTAAAAGCAAGCTCCAATTACAAATACTTCGCCTATTCGACCAATTCCAAATGATTCGCCACCACAGACACCTGATTTTTTGCCAGCGCGCAATTCAAAATCGCCGACACCTTTCACGCCACACTCTTCAACTCGCCGAACAACATCAAATTCTTTGAGAACTTCAACATTGTCTGAAACACCATCATCACCAATAGCTTATCATAATCAGACCAATTCGACCCCAACGATTTCTATCAAATCGAATCAAGATGGCACACATATTCCGAGCAGTGATTCGATTGGTTTTGGAATACAGTGAGCAGCCGACAGCTGACAACTTGCGCAGATCCTTTCCAAAAACGGAAAATTGAGCGAAGATTTGGAGAGATTTTCTCAATAATTTGGTGAGTTTTTCCGTCGAATCTGCAAATAAAAACTGTTATTTTTTCAGATTTCTGTGAATATTTTTAAAAAGTTTTTCCCTCGATTTTTCGCATTTGGCTCTACTCCCATCTCTCACCTGCCTTATCGACTTTTAATAACTGACCATTGTTGTTTCATCGATATGAAACTTTGACTTCTCAACCAACTTCTTAGCACCAATTCACGATTTCAACATCAATGCTCCATTTTGGCGTATTTTTCGACGTGAGTTGTTTTTTTTTTTTGAAAAAAAAAACTGCAAATTAAAAAAAAGTGTGCCAACACGTCGACGCGCAAATGCACACATTTTTTGAGAAGGTTTTTTGAATTTTTCAGGGTTCCACCAAAAAATCTCCTTTTGCTGTCGAATGCTGTCAATTATTTTTTTGATTATCAACCAACTTACTATCTAATTGTTTCTACACGTGAGTGAAAAAACATGAATTTTAAGCTAAAAAATTCACAGATCGGCAAATTTCAAAAAAAGATTTATTTTAAAAAGTTACGCATGGGAATACAAATTGTGAAGTTTAATGAGACATAGACTATGAAAGAAAAATAAATAAATTTAAAACAAAAAAATGAATAAATTCAAAACAAAAATGGAATTCGCGTGCATAAAACTATGAAAAAAATTAATCTACCTATGAAATGTTTCATAGTTTGTTTTTCAATAAAATCTGAACGCTGATCCTATAGCTTCAAGTGTAATTCAAAGCTTCACCTAATCATTTTAACATAGTAATTACCCAATATTTTTCAATAAAGCTCAAATCTCATCTGTTAATTTTGCTACACCCCCCCCCCGCCCAAACCTCAAAATAAACTAACTTGACCGGCCCGTTCCGTGAAAAGTTGTTGATCTTTTTGAACATCCCGTCCAAAGAAACATCTTTTTCGAAAGCCTGAAAATTCTACTATCTTTTTTTCAATATCTTCGCCTATTCTTAAACTTACATCAGAAAATGGCAATTGTGGATTTTATGGAACCCCTGCATTCTGTGACTGTTGTCTCTGAAAAAAAAATAAGAAAATTAAAAATGTACCAAACCACCCCATTATGAAACTTTTAGACACACAAAAAATAAAAATTTCGTGCAAAAAAAAAATAAAAGAAAAACAACGATACTCCGCGTGCGCGTTGTTTAGCGTGTTTATTTTGTTGTTTTATTGCAGGGTAGATGAGAGAGGGTGGGAGATAGAGAGAGGGTTAGAGAGTGAGAGAGATGTATGTAATTATTGATTGAACGTTTTTTTTCGAACTGAATCATTTTCTGGTTTTTTTCAGCGCAGAAAGTGTTATTAATGGGGTGATTTGACATTTTTTAATTTTCTTATTTTTTAGAGACAACAGTCACATAAAGCAGGGATCCCATAAAATCCACAATTGCTATTTTCTGATGTAAGTTTAAGAATAGGCGAAGATTTTGAAAAAAAGAAAGTATAATTTTCAGGCTTTCGAAAAAAAAGATGTTTCGTTTGGACAGGACATTCAAAGATATCAACTTCTCACGGAACGAGCCAGTCAAGTTAGTTTATTTTGAGGTTTGGGGGGGGGGAACAAAACTAACAGGTGAGATTTGAGCTTTATTGAAAAATATTGGGTAAAGTTTTTATACATAATTGCTATTGATGTTAAAGGAGATTTGTTTATAAATTACTATGTTTAAATCATTAGATGAAGCTTTGAATTACACTTGAAGCTATAGGATCAGCATTAATTTTTTCATTGTTTTATGCACGCGATTTCCAGTTTGTTTTGAATTAATTTTTTTTTCTTTTATAATCTATATCTCATTAAAAAATGAATCGTGGTTTCGGAGTCACTGCGAATTCCCGATTTTCAAATCCAGCTCATTTTTATCGATAAAAATGATGAATCTCTATATACCCCAAATAATAATTTAGAAACTACTTTTTGTATGATAATTTACATACCATGTGAATAATGCAAGGATTCAAACGCAACCCAAATATACAACAAAAAGAAAAAAATACAATTTTGTTCCAATAAACAATTTATTGATAAGCTCTTGTCTCTATGGATTGTATTCAATTGGCAAGTTCTTTCTGCGAACCATACCGTCTCCTTGGAACCATTCACGACGGAATTGTTTGGCAGCACCATCTGGAGTATTGGTCCATTCAACGGTAATACGGTCGTTGTTGGTATCTTCTTGTCCATAAGCGAAAGCATCGCATGAAACAGCAAGAAGAACAGCTTCCTTTGGGTCCAAAACTCCACATGGTGGATCAACACCAAGTCTCTTCATGTTGGTGGTCTTGATACCGTATCCAATACGACGAGCAGACGAGTTGATTACCTTGATGTGGTAAGTGTGTTTGTCATCGTATGGAGCATTGAAGACAATCTTGGCATTTGGTTGAGTTTGGATATCTCCTGGTGGAACTGATTGAGCCATTTTTGAGGATGGGTTGATGAACAAGGCTTTGGGAGGGGTTTATATAGCGAGAAGATAAGATCTTTTGACGTGGAATTCAAACGTGGCAAGATACGTATCAATGTCACGTTTTTAATTTTTCAGAAAAAAAAGCATTTCCAAATTTTCTGTACATTTGTTCGCGTGGGCTGATTTTGAGTCTCATAATAATCGCATGATCCTTGTTGTTCAAAAATCCAGGAAGTAGAAATAGATAGACATTGTAAAAACTAAAGGTCAAATGTAAAGTGTTCAGGAGTATAAAAAAAGAGAACTGACAAGATAAAGAACTTTTTCTTGTTCAAAAAATGTTTCTGCCAATTATTTTATTATTCTCAATTTTATCTCAAGTTCAATCAGGACCAGTTGGAGGAACTTGTGCAGATACAATTGAATCTGCTTTGTGTCTTGTTGAATTGAAAGAAGTTGTGGATACAGTTGGAGCTTTTCACAAATCAAGTTTCAAAACTGGATTGAATGAACTAAAAAATTCTTGTAAACGATTCATTGTTAGTTTTTTTCTCTTTTCAAAGTTCCAACAAAATATTCAAAAATATTCCAGCCATGTCAATCGCCCATGAAATGTACTGGTGAGAAAAAACAACTTGTTGACACATTTGTTGATTATTGCAATTTTATCGCATACTTTCATGTCGATTTTGTTGATTGTATGGGAAAACTCAAGAAAAAGTCATCGACATGTTTTAAAAACTGGAAACCATTCCATAAAAAACCAGAGAAACCAAGAAGCAAATCTGAAATTGAAACATTGTGCAAAGATATTTTGGGAAAAGATGGATGCATCAAAAATGAAGTGACGGAATTGTGTGGAGCTTCGACACTTGAAGAATTGAAAAAACATATTGTTTTAGGTGATAAAGATTTTAAAACTTGTAAAGTTTAATCTAATAAATTCTTCATTTCTGAGTAATCGTTTCTGAAACAAAAACTGGAAACTATTTGTGAAAAGAAAAATCTGAAATCAAAGATCAAATCTGCAACTCTCTGTAACTGAAACTTCCGCAAAAAGTGTTGATAAATCACTCAGCACAGCTCTATCTCATTCGTTTTTTTTTCGTGAAAAATCAAAAAGTGTAAAATGTACGGAAAACTGAATACACGAGAAAATGTTCCCGGTGAACTTCGGCGCGGATACAAGAAGGGTACCAAGCAAGGGCTAATTATACATCGAAAATGCAACAGATCTGCCAACAGATTTTTTTTGTAATTTTCAGGAAAAAAAACAGAACATCAGACAATGATATTTATTAACTTGTACACGTGAATTTTGTGAAACATATCAATCTTATTGGAACAAACATCAAGTTGCAGTCTGAATTCTGTATCCCGGAAGAACTTTTCTCAAAAAAATCAGCTAATCCATCAATTAAAAGTGTAAAAAGCCATGGAAAAATTCTATATAAACTGAAGCACATGTCGATAATGTGTCACATTCGAAAAATGTTTGCTCCACTTTTACTTCTCGCTCTTGCTCTTTCAGTCAATTCGGCTGCTGTCACAAAAGAATGTCAACTTTCGGCTGGAGATATTCAATGTCTTGTCAAATTGCAAAAAGCTGGTGAGCAACTCGATGAACTTGATGTTGATAATACTGAGGATCTTAAACCATTCCAAGAATCATGCAAAGCTATGATGGTCAGTTTTTGAACAGTTTTAACGGAATATAATTCGATTTCAGCCATGCATCAATGTTTTGAAATGTGCTGGTGAAGACAGCAAAGAATCTATTGATTTAATCACAGGACTTTGTAAATTTATTGATTTCATAATTGGCCCATTCAGTGCATGTGGAGAAAAATTGGAAAAAGCTAACTCGAAATGTTATGAAGATTGGGATCCAATTATCAACGATGACGAAAACAAAAAACCAACACAAGCCGAAGTCTGTAAAAGTTTTGTTGGAGAAAAAGAATGCGTTAAGAAGGGAATTATTGCAACTTGTGGACAAAAAGAATGGGATGTTATGAAGGCTAATCTTGTTAATCTGAACAAAGATGTTACCAAATGCAATTTATAAATTTCATTCAAATAAATACTTCGATTCAGATTATTTGATCACATTGTACATTGCAAAAGCTACAAATTATTCAAAATAGTTACAGAAATCAATTTTTCAAATACTTTATTGATAAAAATATAAAAAGAGTTGAAAAATTAAATTCATTTCTGAATCAATGATGTGTTTCTATAAGGAAAAATCTGTGTTGAAAAATGAAAAGACCAGACAAAATACAATGAACAAACTAAGTTTAACAAAAAAAAAGAAAATAACATTTAAATACTGTTGAATGGTTGTATTTGGCGTGGTTTACGACGAAATGAATGCAGAGTTTCTGTAATTTATTGCTTTGTTTTTTTCTTTAAAAAAAAAACAAACATACCAGCAAAAAAAGATTCGAAAATCTTTAATAACAAGAATCATTACAATTTGGTCTAAGCTCGTAAAAATAGTTGCCAATCCAATCGCATAATTTGAATAAAATCCAGTTTTTATACCAAACATTGGAAGGAAAAACAATGATTCAAGTGGGAAATACATTAAAATAGTTGGAACAGCAGCTTGAGCTATTAATGCAGTATACATTTCTTTTTGAATATTCAAAGTATCGCTACTAAATTTGTAACCAGGTGTTTGAAGTTCCTTGTGACATTTATAACCACAATAAACCATTATAGATCCACTTATTAATATGAAAAATGAAATGATCAACATTGTGGCATAAGATGAATATTGGAATTTATCCAAATAATATAATGGTCCGTTATATGCAATTTGTTCCATTTTTAAATTGTAATTAATCGAGATTTCGTTGCGTAAAAGTTGTGTTTTTTCATAGAATTCCCCCATGAAAAAATATTTGAGAGAAGTTATCAAAACAGCTAATGAAAACATGAAAGAAACCCAATGCATTAAACTAACACCTTCGAAATAATATAGTTTTGATCTGTGACAAACAGCGAAATATCGATAAAGAAAATGAACAGCAAGAATTCCGATCATAAAAGCATACAACAAAACACATTGCACTAAAATATTATTTGGATTAAGGAAAAACAATTAGATGGAAAATGGGATTGGACCAAATTTTTCTTTTCATGAATCTGAACCGTGTTAAAATGACTATTTTTCGATTTTGACCCGAAATGTGAAATCAGGTGCGGGATTCTTCACAATCAAGTTTGATTCAAAATGTGACTTACTAATATAAAATTGCCCCAATTTTTTCTGATCAGCACCAATTTGAACAAAAAGGATAAAACAGTCCGGAATTGAATGAGCAGCAATTTTTGATATCATAACAACAAATGCGACCATCAATTCAATAAGTGCATAGAAAATAATCAAATATTTATATGAACCTAATCGTTTCTTTGATCGAAAAATCAACAAATAAATCAGAAGACTTGATGTAATTGTTGTGATGATAAAATTGACATTTGCAGCTGTTTGAACAACATCGAGTAACAACATGTTTCTGAAAATTTAGAAAAAGTAATAATTCTCGAAAAGTAAATTCAAATTAAATTAAGAGCAGCAAATGTTGGCTGACATAGTCCGTATCCAAGACAACAATTCCTTTGGGATGAAACACGTAAGCAGGATAATGAGTAACTTTTTGGATTCTTGTTATTATTAATAATTTTGGGCTCCAACTGCTAGAAATTGGTTTGTGGAAAGAACAAAAAATGGATTTTCAAAAAGAAAAAGTTGATGATAAGATCAGAGAAGATCAAATAATGAGATCAGTTAAAAATTGAAGAGACCTTCAAAATTAGGAAAATTCCCGAATAATTTTTCACAGAACATGTCATGTACGTTTCCTTCAACTTTTTTTCTTACCATATCATCTCTGAAGTTACTCATAATGTTGAACTTATGCATATTTTGGCTCAAAATCTTTATTCACAAAGGATTCAAATTCTACGGCTATTTTTGTCGTTACAGTAATACAAAAACAAAAAGTACACACCACACAGTTTTTGAAAATATTACATCACGTATTCATCAGGGTATCCAAATTAGTTTAAAAGAGCCACGCAATGCAAATATATTCTATATTGAAAACATGTACAGTAAAGAGACTGGAATTCTAAAAATCATTTCAATAGTGAAAAGTGTTGGATTGATTTGTTCGCTAACATCAAACTCAATCATTCTTTTTATACTATTTTTCCGTCAACGAACAAAGTTTGGAACATATCGATATTTAATGATTAGTTATACAGTAATCGAGATGATCTATTCATTTTCATTGAGTTTTTCTGATATGGCCGCACACAGTACTGATTCAACTTATGTTTTATTTCGACAGATTGATGATTTGAATAAAACTACGGCTCAAATTGTTCTCCGTATGATAATGTTTTTACTTTCTTTCAATTAATTAATTTACATATTTTCCAGTTCAATTTTGTGTGATGTACACTGCATTAATAACAATTCTTGCTGTTCATTTCATATATCGTTATGTTGCTCTTTGTGCAAGTCATCTTATGAGCATATTTTTTTCAAAAACCAAACTAATGTTTTGGGTTTTTTCATGCATGCTTTCTGGTGTATTTATCGGTTTCTGGAAATATTATCTTTTCCGAGAAAGTGAATATTCCAACAATTTACTTGAACCTGATTTTTTGTTGTATTACAATTTATCGATGGATTCAATTGCGTATAATGGTCCAATTTATGAAATATGTGAAAACGGAACATGTTATGTACCAAATTCAGCCATTGTTGGAATGTCTGTTATTCTTATCATGCTTGTAAGTGAACCACAAAAATGTCTAGAAATAACCTTGAGTTTTTAGTTTTCCTGTTTTTTTATAATGAGCTACTTTGGTTTCAAATGTTATACAAAACTTCAACTCCCAAGTAACATGAGTAATTCAACAAAATCATTACAAAAACAGCTTTTCGTCGCTCTTCTGATTCAATCCATAAATCCAATCATTTTCATGTACATTCCACTATCAATGTTATTTTTATCACCAATTTTCGGAATTGGATTTGGATCCTATGCAAATATTTTAATGATTTGTCTCTCAATCTATCCACCACTCGATCAATTTGCAATTATTTATATAATTCGAGACTTTAGAATTGCTATTAATGGTAAAATCAGATATTGTTTATTTCAAATAATTGTTGGTATTTCAGATTTCTTTATGGGAAAAACACAAAACGACATGTTGTTCAGAGTCAGTAAACGTAACAGCGTTGGAAGCAACACCAATACTTGATTAGACAATTTTATATGTATTCTTTGTACATGTTTTTTTTTAGTTTGAAGCAATAAAAGTTGTGCCAATGAGAATTTTTTGAACAGTCCCGAAATATGTATTGTATGCTGAATTTTTATATGAGAACTTTTCTAAATGAATTTATACCACTTTACATTTTAGAATACCAAAATTAAGTTAGAATTTTCAGGGATTACCGGATCTTAGGATCAATGCCATTTTAATGTTAGAGACGGAAATGAAAGATAATCATGTCTAGTCACTCCTGCAAGTCGATTCTTGGTCAAAAACTCCGTCTTTTCAAGAATAACTTTTCAGTGAAAATTCGATGAGTTCGAGTGAATTAACATGAAACACTAGTTTTGCATATCTTTTTGGCGAGTAATATAGTTGTGATGTTCTCCTCGGAGAATATTTTTCTACAGATTGATGTTTATATGAAGTCAATAAATCTAAAAACAAAACTAATCTACCTGGAATTACAGTATTCTAGACAGTTCTAAAACTAGACAACGCCCATTCTTACACTTTTTAATCAAAACAATTAGTGCAAATTCTATTAACAAAACTATTTCAGGTCCGTTTTTGATTGAAAAAATGTCGGAAATATTAAACTACGTTGAAAATTTTCAACTGTTTGGAGCATGTTTATCATTGACATCAAATCCAATAATTATATTTTTATTGGTTTTCCAAGCTCCGTCAAGTTTTGGAAGTTATAGATATCTTATGATAAGCTACACAATTATCGAAATAATTTATTCGTTTTCTTTTTATTTTTCGGATATGTCAGCTCACAGTACAAATACTTCTTATGTTTTATTCCGAAAGAATAGTGGATTGAACAGAACAATTGAAGAAGTTTTCCTACGTGGGTTTAGTTTCACTTTGATTTAAAATCAAATATTATTTTTAGTCCAATTTTGTGTGATGTACATCACATTAATCGGTCTTCTTTGTGTTCATTATGTCTATCGATATATTGTTATCTGCCAAAGTTCACTACTTCCCAAAATATTTTCCAAATTCAAGACTTTCACCTGGGTGTTTGGTTGTCAAATAATTGGAATTGTTTTTGGAATTTGGAAATATATTCTATTCAAAGAAACTGATTACACAACAAACATACTTCGTCATGATATCCAAAAATATTATAACCTTTCGATGGAACAAATAATCTATAATGGACCAGTTTACAGAGTTTTTGAAAATCCAAATTCAGTCAAAACTCCAAATTCATCTATTCTAGGAATGTCAATTATTATTGCATTGATGGTAGGAATTTATAACATTGAAATAATATTATCTAAATTTTTTCAGTTTACATCTTTTACGACAATGATTGTCTGCGGATACAAATGTTGTTCTAAAATCGAAACGAATATTTTCCTGAGTTCTCGTGCAAAATCTGTCCAAAAACAACTTTTTGTTGCTCTTCTTGTACAATCTTTGATTCCAATTATTTTCATGTATATTCCAGTTACTCTTCTTTTTCTCTCTCCAGCTTTCGGGATTGGTTTTGGTATTTATGCAAACATAATAATGATTTGCCTTTCAATTTATCCACCGATTGATCAATTTGTTATTATTTTTGTTATTCAAGATTTTCGGCAAACAATTAGAAGTTTGTGATTTTTAGATTAGCTGCCTTAACATATATCTTAATTTTTTCAGAACGGATCTGCTGTGGATACAGTATCACAATCAAAAAGAAATATTCTGATTCGCCATAAATCAAAAATCTCCGATAAATTCTTAACAAAAACTCTTCTTCTAAATATAATTATAATAATTTTCTTAAAACTCGTTATTAATTCTAAAAAAATGTGATTCCAAAATACATTTTTTCCTTTTTTTCTAGAAAAAACCAATTCTGATTTTGTTTTTGTTTATATTTTTTGTATCACTTTCATTCTGTAGAATAAAAAATACGAATGAATTCAATTTGTTATTTTTTCTCATGGAAAAAAATTGCTGGTTTTTTCTTGGTTTTTTTTTATTTTTGTTGAAAAGTTCTCATTTCATTTCTGTTTTTTGTACTTCTTTCAATTTCCGGACAGAATACTATCGTATAAAACCGACAAATATTTCAATAACAAATCAGTTATGCCCTACGATATTCTCCATTTTGGTTCATGTGTCAAATTATTTGGAGTTATCTTGGCAACATTTTCAAATTCACTCATTCTGATTTTGCTGCAAAGGAAAGCAAGTGGAAAATTAGGAACTTATCGATATCTTATGATGAGTTATACAATTATTGAGTTGGTATATTCAATATCTTATTATTTATCTGATATGGCAGCTCATAGCACAAATACGTCTTATGTTTTGTTTCGCAAATATCGCGGAGAAAATAGACTCATTGGTTCAATCATTTTGAGTAATTAACGTTTTTTAATGAATAGTTTTAAAAATAATGTTTTCAGTGCAATTCTGTGTGATGTATATCGTTGTTCTCACAATTCTCGCTGTTCATTTTATTTATAGATTCTTTGCTCTTTGTGCAAAATCAAAACTTCCTTTATTATTCACCCCTCGAAAACTTTTCATATGGATTTTGTTCTGTTTGATATTCGGAATTATTGTTGGAGGCTTCAAATGTTATATGTTTTACGAAACACCTTTTAGAACAAGGAAACTTCAAGCGGAATTTGAAAAATATTATAATCTTTCTATGAATGAAATTGTTTATAATGGACCTGTTTATAAATTATGTGATAGTGAAACACATTGTTATAATCCAAAAGCATAAATGTTGGGAATGACAGCAATTATTGTGTTTTTGGTTAGTTTTTTTCAGTTCCCAAGTAATTTGGAAAATCTGAAATTGCTTGCAAAAACTCTCATAAAATATTCATAAATCAGAACAATTTCCAGTTATTGTGTCTTATAATTATGTCAAGTTTTGGATACAAATGTTATTCAAAACTTCGTTTACTCCAAAAATGTATGAGTAAACCTTCAAAATCTCTTCATTCTCAATTATTTTATGCTCTCATCATTCAATCTTTGATTCCAATTATTTTTATGTATATTCCAGTTACTCTTCTTTTTCTATCCCCCGCTTTTGGAATTTCATTTGGAATTTATGGAAATATTCCAATGTTTTGTTTAGCAATTTATCCACCAATTGATCAATTTGTTATACTTTATGTTATTAAAGACTTTAGAAAAACAATTATTAGTAAGAATATTCTAGGAAATCAAAAATTTATGTAAACTGAAGTTTTAGATATCATCATGTGCCCTTTCCAATCTATGATCTCCAAAATTGAATCGCTGACAAAACCAAGTTCTGATAATTGAATTTTTGATTGTGCGCAAATCTCAAAAGCAATCAAAAATGTTTTATTCCAAATTTTAGAGCTATAAGAATCAATTGTGAATAAATATTATTTTTTTGCTTTTTTTATTTTTCTGATCTTTTCCTCATTTTTTCTTTTGATATCATTGAAAAAATAAATCGGAAATCATAAACAAAAAAAGGAGCTTTAACTCCGAATGACAAAAATAGCCTCTCATTATTCTTGAAAATTTTTGCACATGTCGTTAACAACAAAAAACTTACTCAGAATGGAGCCAAGCAACTTGTTAACCTACGTGACAATTTTCGATACAATCGGTTTGATTTTGTCGCTTTCGGCAAATTCTATACTTTTGATATTAATCAAATATCGTTCGAGAGCAAGTTTTGGAGCTTACAAATATTTGATGATGAGTTATGCATTCGTTGAAGTTCTTTACTCATTGTCTGCATTTTCATCTAAAACCGTGAGTTTATTTCTGGGTTCAAATATGATGTGATTTGCTTGGTGACTCAACAAAACCTCGTGAAATTTTGAAATAATTAATAATAATTAATTAAATTTTAGTCCGCGCACAGCACAAATACATCATACGTATTATTCCGAATTTATAATGGACCAAATCGAACAATCGGACCAGCATTTCAACGTGAGTGGGTTACTGTAGCATAGAAAACGTAGGAATGAAATTCAATTTTTCTGAAAAATAGTTCACGCTCGGGAAAAAAATGAAATTGTTGCAGTTCAATTTTGTACAATGTATACGGTACTCATTGTTATTCTCGTTGTTCATTTTATCTATCGATATATTGCAATCTGTCGCACACAAAGTCTCAAACTTTTCCAAGGGCATAAACTTTATTTATGGGTTGCTGCATGTTTTGGAGTTGGATTATTTGTTGGAGTTATGAAATATTTTCTGTTAGGAGAATCAGAAGAAGCGACTGAATTATTACGTCCTGAATTTTTGAAATGGTATAATTTGACAATGGATCAAGTTTGTTATAATGGACCAATTTATTATGTTTGTGATAAGAATAATGAGAATTGTTATACTCCTTTGAAAACTGCGGTTGCTATGAGTTTCATTAATTCTGCACTCGTTTTCTTTTTTATTGTTATGACATATTTTGGCTGGAAATCTTATAGTCAATTAAAAGTCCCTGATGTCACTTTGAGTCAACGAACTCGTCAATTACAACAACAGCTTTTGACAGCCTTGATTATTCAATCAGCAATTCCAAGTTTATTCATGTATTTTCCTGTTGGTTTATTATTTATGTCTCCAATTTTTGGTGTTGGTTTTGGAGCATATGCAAATCTATCAATTCTGAGTTTAGCTATTTATCCACCTTTGGATCAAATTGCAATTGTTTATGTTATCAAAGATTTTCGAGTTGCAATTAAAGGTAGTTTTGATTATCAGAAAATTTATGTACATCTAATAAATGCGGAATAATTACAGATTTTATGAGTGGAAAACGATCTGGGCGTGTGGCAATCTATGATACAAGTCGAAAAAGTTCGACGAAAATTAATTCTTGAATTTGTGAATATTTAAATGTGTCGTTTTTCTATCGTTGATATCCAAAAAACATTTCTGGGTGTGAAAAATCAATTACAAAAATATCAAATATTCTAGCGAGTTGTGCTCGTTCCATTCGTTCATAGAGATCATGCTGAAAACATTAATGTCTGATCTATGAATGAAAATTTGATATAATCAAATATCTAAAAGTAATCAAAAACAGGTGTCTAATAGGTTTGGTGTCTCATCAAAAATTGGTTCGATTTCAAAAATTGTTCTTGAACATTGGTTTCTTCTTCAATTTACCTCTACAGTTTTGACAATCTTCAGCATTTTTGTCATTCTTCCTGCATAATTCACTATTTTCATATCAAGAATATAGTGATTATGTAGATCGTTTGATAAATTATCAATGATTTTCTCTGCCACGTTAACAATTTCTCCTCCCATTTGTTTTCCTCCAAATCGAAATGATAAAATACATAGCATATAAGTTAGTTCTTGAACACTCGGATCCAATTCAAGCAAAGGTTCAACAACATTTTCAATAAACATACATTCCATTGGATCAAGAAAACTATAAAAAACTTGGATTTTTCTTTGAAAAACATTGTAATGAACTTACTATGATAGTTGTTCTTTTTTATAATTTGTAAACCAAGTGATATCAAGTTCAATATCTTTATAATCAACCGAGATCTCATTTGTAACCATACATTTTGTACTTTCTCCTGATTTCTTTCGAATATCTGCAGTTTGCGCGATTTTCTCTAGTCTTATCCAAGTATACCAAACTGATTTCAAAAATTGAATTTTGAGATTCTTTGGAAGTTGTTGAAACTCATCACAGTAGACTAAAAATTTAGCGCAGTTGATAAATTCGTGTTCCCAAAATAGTAAACATTCGGCTTTTCCAATTTTTGTGCAAAGTTTTATTTCATCATTTGGTAGTCTTGATTGTTCTAATCCATATGATAATTTATGCAAACCACTCATTGATTTTAAAGAATCAGGCATTTTCACTACTGTATTCTCTAATAAATCTGATGCGTGATCAATTAGAAATTTGACATCAATATAAGTTCGATCCGATGTTGCTAAATCAGGTTCGCATGCAAGAATAAAAACAGGGCGACCAAGAAAACTTTGAAGTGATTGTGGAATAATTGAGGATAACATTTTCCGTTTTCTTGCTAACACAAAGCTTTGAGTGGAAGAAATTAGATCTCGATCGTGTTGAACTTCTAAAAAAAATTTGACATATTTTGAAAAAATGTGGGGCAAAATTTTCCATTTTTTTTAATAAAATAAATGAAACACAAAACTAGAACATACTGTCAGCAGTCATTCCAACTTCAAAGCATCGATCCAATCTGCATTTTTTGCATACAAATCTTCCATCCATTCTTGCATGACATTTTCCATCACCTTGTCTACATTTGATATCTTTATAACTTCCAACAACAGCTCGACGAAAAAATGCAGCACACGCTCGACAGGAATAAACACCAAAATGATTGCCGTGAGAAGATTGAAAACAAATTTGACAATTAACCAAATCATCGGAAGATGTTGAACATATTGATGGAGAATACATTGCTGCCTGAATATTATCAATATTCGTATTTTAAAAAAATCAATGATTGATTGACTAAATTGATAAAAGAATTGACAAAGTGTTTTGTGGCCAAGTTAAATAGAAATAAAACGAGAGAGAAAGAACGAGGGAAAAAAAGGTCGATAGTTCGAAAATTGTAGCAAACATTTTGCTTTTTATAATGATCGCCGCAGAAAAGAATTTCGCAATATGAAAATACATGATGCAAATTCAGACTGAACGACGACGTGGTAGTTTAAACTACAGAGAATAATATCAAACTAGTTGCACTACAAAAGGATATAAAGGCACAAAAGAAAGACCAGGATAATAACAACCAAATGTTGTTTATTAAGTAATCCATATCTGATATATGATTATTTTTTTTCGATTGAATACAAGGGGATTCCACAATTATATGAAAACTTTTGGTCAATCTTTCGTTAAAAAAAAGTAAGCCGTGGTCCATAGAAGGTGAGCTGGGCATATCCATTTTCTAGAAAAATGTATCAAATTTCTGTATTCATCAAAAATTCAAATGACTAAAAATGTTTATGAAAGAACGATTAAATAGAAAAGGTTATAAATACATTTTACAAAAATAGTTTTGTACATGATTATTATTTTAAAATCCAATAAACATTTCCGGATGTGAGAATTCGATTGTGAAAACATCGAAAAGCCTGGCAATTTCAGCACGTTGTTTTCGATCTTGGATGTCACGCTGAAATTTGGAACTTTTTCTAATGTCTTCATGTTTTTTGTACTACCTCGACAAATTGAACAATTCTCATCATTTTCGCCATTCTGGATGCATAATTTCTCAAATTCATTTCATTGAAATAATAATTGTGCAGATCATTGGCAAGTTTTTCAATTAACTTTTCCGAAATATCAGCAATATCTCCACCGTGTTGTTTAGCAGCATAACGAAATGAGACAACACAGACCATATAAGTGACTTCTTGAATTGTGGGACGAAGTTCCATTAATGGTTCAACAATATTATTTTGATATGATCTACTCGGTTTTTCGATGAAGCTGAAATGATCCACTTTTTTTTAGAATATTTCATTGCTCTTTAACTTACTATGCCAATTGTTCTTTTTTATAATTTGACATCCAAGATGTATCCAATTCAACCTTGTCAATATCAATATAAACATTTTTTGTTACGTGGCATAAACTTTCATCTTCTTTTTCTTTTTGTTTCATTCGACGTTCGGCAGCTCCAGCAATTTTATCCATTTTCATCCAAACAAACCAAATTGACTTTACAAACTCAACTTTCATTTTTTGTGGAAGTTGTTGAAATTCATCACTATAAGTCAGCCAATTTGCAGCATTCAAAAATTTATACTCCCAAAACAATAAAGTTTCATCTTTTCCAATTTTATTAACAATAACTGGATCTTCATTCGTTGGTTCATGAGACAAATCTAGAGCATATGATAATCTATCCAAAGTGCTCATTCCAGTTAAAATTTCAGATTGTCTTGAAGAATTATTTGAAATAAATAAATTCGAAGCTTTCTCAATAAGTAATTGAACATCAATCAAAGTTCTACTTGAAGTTGCAATATCAGGTTCGCAAGCAAAAATAAAACTTGGACGACCAAGAAAACATTCGGGTGAATGGGGAATTGTTGAAAATAATATTTTTCGTTTTCTAACAAATTGTTCAGTTGATGAAACAAGATCACGATCAAATTGAAGTTCTAAGAAATTAAAATATGATTGGCAACTATTTGGATTTTTTGGAACTTACTTTCTTCTCTCATCCCAGCTGAGAAACATTTTTCCAATCGACATTTTTTACAACTGAATCTTCCATCTAATCTTGCTTCACATTTTCCATCTCCCTGTCTGCATTTTATTTTCTCATAATTTCCAATCACAGCTCTTCGGAAAAATGCAGAACATGCTCTACAGGAATATGCGCCAAAATGCTTTCCATGAGCTGCTTGGAAACAAATTTGACAATTTTGATGAATTGGGGAAAGTGAAGTTGATGAAACACAAGATGAAGAAGAAGACGGTGAATCCATTCTGACAAAAATAGTATAGAAAACTAAAAAGTATGAAAGTCCAAAAAATTGATTCGGAAAAGCGTCAAATGGTTGCTCAGGACAACTAGAAGTGCGAAAAAGGAGAACAATTTTTTTTTCAAACATCAAATTATTTTCAACTGAAAAATTTGTTTGAGAAAAAAAAATCAAATTCAAAAATTTTGAAATGTCATCATTTCGGAAAGAGGAGGAGCCAAATTGCAACTTTACGGCATGGTCTTCTTCTTTTTTTTTTCTCTAATCTTACAAAAAATGATCAGTGAAACAGAAACAGAACAAAAATTTTCAAAAATCAATACTAAAGTCTCGTTTTTCTCCCAGACAACGAGAAAACCTTCAGCGGGTTACATTTATTTGTTTTAGAGAGAAAGAGACAAACTTATTGCGAAACACTACATTTGATGCGGTTTTTGATTTTGGAAAATATTACGAGAGAAAATAGAAGAGATTTAGAGGGAAAAGAAAGTGGGGAAGTACAAATTCGCCTTTTTCACCTTTTTTGTATTTATTTATGAATTTTTGGGGGAAAATGAAAAAGTGATGGGTGGCCATCGAAAAAAAAACCGGATTCAATTAATTTAAAAATTGATTCTTTTTTTTGGGAAAAACAGACTCATTGCAAAGAATGACCATGAAATTAATTAGACTGTGATCAGAAAATAACATCGAGATCGGATGATAAGAGTTACGTCATCGAAAATATATCAGGTTCATTTTCAAATTAATACACGCAATTGCTTGGACAAAAATTGTGTTAACTCAAATGTGCCAAAATACTATCGTTGTAAGAATTTTTGGAAACTAGCTCATGTTTTACGGGTAGAAACTGAAAATATGAATTTTCAAAATTATTGTGTCTAAAGCCCTCAGATCCCAGTACTAATTTTTCCCTGTTTTTCGAAATGAATAAAAGAATAATCACGTTTTCATTAAAAATAATTACCAGTTCACGTTTCTTAACTGATCAATTTTTTCTCCTTCAAAGAAATGCAGAATTTTTTGCTCATTTCTAAGTTCTAGTTTATTCCAGAGTCGCCATTCGCTAAAAGTATTCAACAAGTGAGTAGAATTACTGTAGAAGTATTCGTAATTTTTCGAAATTTGGATTGATTGTTTCAATCAAAAACTACTTTTGATAAAAAGTTTTGAGTTTTCAACATTCCATGAATCTGCATACTTTAATTATAATTCTTCTTTCTGAAAATTTTAGAAAACCCCAAAATTTGAAGAGAGAAATGAAGCTACAGTAATCTTGCTCAACAAATGACTTGAATACTTCGGTATTCTTCTGGTTCTTCCAAAATTGCAAGAAATTATTTGTGAGTTTTTTCATTTTTATGGGAGGTACGGTGGTTTAGGATTTCGTAGAAGGGATTATCAAACACTTGGAAAATCCCACGTTTTTAGCTAAAGAGCCTCTTATCATAATGTCATAAAGTTTTTGGTGGCATTCCATCGAAATCCGGGATGTGGGTGGTTATTAGTAGTAAAATAGCGTCCTCTGAAAAATGGTGCACGAATTCTAGAAATTCCTCGAGCATTTCATTGGATACGGGCATTGGAAATTTTGAATTCTGAAGCGGCAAGTTTTATTCTAAATTCGTTCCAATAAACATCAATAATAATAATAAAAAAGAACAAATATATAAAAAAAAATTGGGACGATTTGTGAATTTAAAAACAAGAAAAAAACCTTTAATTTACCACTCATCGTCTTCTTCCTCAACAGTTTCCTTCTTCTCCTCATTTTCAGCTTTGGCTTCAGAGTTTTCTGAAATAACAAAAATATACAATTGCAAATTCTAGAAAAAAAATTATACCTTCTTCCTTTTTCGGCATCGGATTATTACCAAATCCACTAGCTCCAAATGAGCTTGAAGGTGGAGCAGTGAAGCTAGACGGCTGGAATCCTGAACTACCACCAGTTGGATTTGATGAAGATGAATAGCCACCATAACCTCCGAAACCTCCCGGATTGAAGGATCCTGAAATAATTATATTTCATTTTTATTCATGTTTTTATAAAAAGTGTAATACCTGAAGATACACCTCCTCCATATCCTCCTCCGCCACAACCACTACGATAATTTTTCATCCAATCTGGTATTTGTTGCTCTCTTCCCATATTTGTCATCAATTCGATAAACGAAGGAATCAAAGCAGTATCATTTTGTTCACTTAAATTGACAAATGTATAAGCATGTCCTTCCTTTAATCGACCAGTTCGACCGACTCGATGAATAAATGTATCGGTGGCTGATTCAACCGATGCTTTTGGAACATCGAAATTGATGACACGATCAAGATCAGCAATATCAAGACCGCGAGAACAAACATCTGTTCCAACAAGAACATCGATAACTCCACGTTTGAAATCATTCAAAGTGCTTTCGCGAATGTTTTGTGGACGGTCACTGAAATTATATGAAACAATATTAAAATTTCAATAATTCTTTCAAACCAACCCGTTGATACTTTGTGCTTTAACACCAGATTTCGACAATTCGATTGCAACATAATCTGTTCGCTTTTTCTGTTCAACAAAAATCAAAGTTCGTGGAACTCTTCCATTTGGGCCAACTTGTTTTAATAATTTATCAAGTTCATCATTTTTTTCAGCAACATTGTTGGCTCTCAAAAAATGCAATTGAACTCGTTTATTTATTCTTCCTTGTGTAATTACAATTCGAACAACGCTGAAAAAAAACAAGAAATTTTTTATCAAAGAATAGATGAAAACCAACTCATCAAATCCTGGTAATCGTTTCATAAAATCTCTGGCAGCCATTTCAACTTGACGATTGAAAGTAGCTGAGAACAACAAAGTTTGTCGCTGTTCATGACTTCCCATAAAATGTTGATCATTCATGATTGTTGATAAATGAGTTCCACTTCCTTTTTGTAAATCATCCAATAATCGATCAGCTTCGTCAAGAATAAAGAATCGCAAATTCTTACAAGTAACTTCTCCTCTTTGAATATAATCCATAACTCTTCCACAAGTTCCAACCAAAATATGACAACCTTCTTGAATTTTTCTCAAGCATTCCCATCTATTCATTTCACCATAAACAAGTCGAATTTGAACATCTGTTCCATTTGAAAACATAATCAAATTATCATAAATTTGTTTCGCCAATTCTCTTGTTGGTGCCAAAATAATCGAGTATGGTGCCGAACTTCTACCAACAGAATCTCTTTCAGCTTGTGGATATTCTAAAATCTTATGAATAACTGGCAAACCAAATGCAGCAGTTTTTCCACCACTTGTTTCAGCTTGTCCACAAACATCATAACCTCGCATAATTTGTGGAATAACCGCCGCTTGAATTGGTCGAAGATGCGTATAATTAAGTCGTTTAACATTGGAAAGAATTAATGGATTCAATCCCGAATTTTCCCACGAAGTTAATTGTTGATCAAAATCAGAGTTTTTGATTTCAAGTTTTCGATCTTCTTGGATATCCAAATTTTGTACCATCTCTTGAGTTCTTCGGAACAAATCATCAGTTTCATCATGTTGTGGCATCCAATCACGCGGTGCTCTATCTCTTTGCTCTTCGCCGCCTCGGAATCCTCCGCCACTTCCAGGATAACCACCAGAGCCACCGCCGTTGTTGTAGCTGCCTCTATTTCCACTATCAGCTGGAAATAATAACTTTTATTTCTCGAAATTTTTAGGAAGGTGTTTTTGTTTTCCTCTATTTAGTGTGAGGTGATAATTTAGAAAACAACTGAGCCTTTTTTTCAAAAATATTTATTCTAGAAATTGTGAACTTACTAAATCCTCCACTATTATTGAATCCACCACTTTGTCCCCCAAATCCACGGAAACCATCATTTGATCTATTGTTATATCGATCATTTCCACTATTTCCGAATCCTTCATTATTCCGACCATTTTGATAACCTTGATCATTTCTGCGATATCCTCCGTTGTCATTATTTCTTTGAAATCCCCCATCTCGATTATCGAATCCGCCAGATTGACTATTATTGTATCCAGAACCACTTCGATTATCATTTCTTCGATTATCTTGATATCCATTTCCTCTATTATCATACCTTCCATTATCTTGATGTCCATTTCCTCTGTCATAATTTCTTCGATTGTCTGGATATTCATTCCGATCATTATTTCTCCCATCGTTTCTTCGATTATCTTGATTTCCAAATCGATCATCGTTTCGATTTCCACCTTGATATCCATTTCGATTTCCAAACTCTTCATGATTTCCTCCTCTTTGATTATATCCATTTCCACCTTGATAACCTCCACGATTATCTTGTTGTTGTCTATCTCGATTTCCACTATCCGAATTTCTTCCTTGATATCCTCCATTATTTCTTCCATTATCTTGATCCGAATATCTTCGATATCCGTCTTCTCGATCTCCAAAGTTCCTTTGCGATTGACGTGATTCATCATATCTTTGATTCGATTTTTGTTGATTATCACGGCCATCGTCTCGCGGATTATTATGGCGAGTATTTTCCGGGCTGTAATTTTTGAGAATAATTATAATTCTGAAGAAAACAAAAACTCACAATCCAGTTGGTTGTCTGAATCCAGTACCTCTGCTATTATCTTCGCGATTATAATTTCCCTTTTGATAATCTGAAAAATAAATAAATATTTATATAAGTACTTACACAGAAAGTTTTTACAGAAATTTAACTAACCATCTTGTCCATTATCTCTGCCTGAAAATTCTCGATGTTCTCTGCGGTCTACATAATTACGATCTCTTCCCTCTTCGTAATTTCTTGATCTTCGTTGATCATCCGATTGATTTCGATAACCTCGATCATCATCGTTTTGACGAGAGCTGTTGAAAGAACCTGTAAGAACCATATTTTTCAGAAAAATTGTTGTACTTCTAAACTTGAAGAATAAAATGTCTTCGCATCCAATTAAACTCACGTTCTTGTCGTTCTCCACCTTCCTCATTTCGTCTATTGTTATAAGATCCACCGCGATCATCATTTCGCCGTTGCGAATTTCGACCAAAGTCGTTGTTTTCCCCAAAAGCCATCTGTAACAACTCAAATATGAAATGAAAAAAAAAATTCGAGCGAATCCTAAAAAAAAACGCCAGGCGTCTATTGCTCATCCTAAAGCGAGAGAAAAAGAGTCAACAAATGTCTGCGTCTTTTCACTCAAAAAACAACAAAACAAAAAAGAAAAGGAGGTGGGAGAGATAGAGGAGTGAAAAAATCTATCAATAAAAAAGTATGGTAGAAAACAAAACAGCACATGAGAAAAAAATAATTGTGACACTACAGGGTAGCCCATAAGTATACGACGGTTTTTCCACGACTACCCAGAAAGTCCCCGAGAGTATTTTTTATTGTGTAAAGCGTTCATTTGATAGTTCAAATAGTCTAGAAAGCCAATGCAAGATCATTTATTGAAAAGTTGTGTTCTGGTCCTTTTTCTAGAGACTTTAGGAAAATTTTAACTCAAAAAATCAATTTTTCATTGATTTAGGTCCACTTTACGCCATTGTAGCTTGGAGTAATTTGAGAAAATGTTCTGTATGGGTTCATACATGCTTACTATACATCCTCTTTTCTTATTTTGAACGAAAATATTCCTCATTAAAAGTTGATTTAGTTCCAAAGTACATGTTCAAAAAATCAAAAAGTGGGCGCGCCGCGAAACTGTTGTTTTTATAGGTTGACACTTTGGCGTGTTAGGATATTAGCTAGGGATTGAAATGGGGTCACAAACTTCTAACTTTGATTCAATATGAAGTTCTAAACCAATTCCAGCTATATCTTTGCATTTCAGAATTTATAGCCCATACGAAAATCGATTTTGGCTGGATGTCTGTGTTTTTTGGAAAAATCAACTTTTTTTCGAAAATTTTGACTTAGCATCTGAAATATTCAGTTAACTTTTCTCAACGGTCCACTTTTGGTCTATTTATCAAGAAAAAATTTAAAAAATCCAGAAAACATCAAGAAATTTGAAAAAAATTAATTTTTTCAAAAAATTGGTGAAAAAGCTATTTTTTCACTTTTGAATTCAAAGGCTTGCCAAAAATTCAAAATGATAAATTTTTATAAATTGTGCTGTAGAATATTGAAATAGACTATTTGGCATTTCTAAACAAAAATATTGATAGTGATTGGCACATTTTGAGCCCTTTTATAATACACAGAACCTCTCTGACTCGTGCGGCGCGGCGCCTCAATTTTTGTTTCTCAAATCGGAACCACATTCTGGAACCAAGTGAAACATCAATTGAATTTATATTAAAATATGCTTATTAGGTGTCTAATAATTGAAGAAAAAACATCTTGACGGAAATATTACACCCAATAGTCAGTAACATCTCAAAACACGGCGTCGTATACTTATGGGCCACCCTGTATATTGGCTCTAATTATCTTGATAGCCAATTCAAAGTACAATTAATAAGAGTGATGGAGACACGTATTTAGAAACTCTGTAATTCGAAAATAATACGACTGCCACGTAGTTCACGTTTTCAATGTTTGTTCACGTGAAGTTAGCTGACAAGTTTCTATCTTTTCAAAAAAGCTGAAACATCTGTATGACACCCTGATCAAATAATAAACAAAGTTTCATGAAAAAATGATTTTTTGAAAAAGGAAAGTAAATAATTTGTTTAATCTTTTTCGGATTAACATCTCAATAAACAAAATAAATGTAGATAGACACTGAACTGAGAGGATTATTGAAAACTCCCAGAAAGCTGGCATGTGAAAAAACTGAATGCAGATTTTAGAGAAAAAAAGTAAAAAGTAAACTTATAAACAAAACATGAAGGTATGAGCATAATCACGATGTTTCTTTCAACTTCTTGAAAATTTTAAAAATAGGCTTGGACAGATTTAGCTTATTTGAAAATCTTAGGAATTTTCGATATACCTGTTGTTTTTCAGTAAACCTAATATTGAAAAAAAATATATCAAATACAAAACTTGGATGAATTCTCAATCCAAATATCAAAATCCAAAAATTCAACAAATAAAAATCCATTTTCTTCATAAAAAAGGAGAAGACTAAAAAACGACTATTTTAATAAATGTTTGCGACACAAAATCGAGAGAGGCGAGAAAATATACAGAAGTAAAGATTACACCTAAACGGCTTCAAAAAAATTCCTGACAAAAAACGTTTCTAAAAAACAGAAAAAATATAATTAACATTAACATAGGGCACCGGTATTTGCAAATAGTTATTCGGAAGAAAAAAGATCAGTTCGATTTTTACATAGGAGGATCCGATTTTCGTTGTTGTTCTTGTCGTGAAAGTGTTGAAGTGATCTGAAATTCCAAAAATCTTTTATTAGAAGAAACTCTGGAATTTTTGCGAAATATAATTTGGTTCGATATTCTACCTTTGAATCAACATCAGGAATTTCAACAACAACATCACCATTTTGTACCTTTTTCACTTCTTTTTCGATATCTTCGGCAACAATTTCACGGTCTGATTGTTGATTGAATGCTGCCGCAGAAGATGGCCCCTCAAATTTTTTCAATAAAAAAATTTCATCTTGAGAAAAAAAAACTAACTGTTGGTAAAACAGGCATTTCATACAATCCAGCTTGAACTTTTTCAATATCTCCAGTCAATGTCGCAACCTCGTCCTCCTTTTTCAATGTTCCAATCAAAGATGCGACTTGTGATGCCGATAGATTTACTTCGCTGTGTTTTTCGAGAAGTTCGATAACTTCTAAAACCAAATTCTTATCAACAATTCCATCCTCATCTTCGTCGATTGTTTTCAAAAGAACTTCAATTCTCTCTTTTTGTTTTGCATATTCTTCAGCTGCTCCATCTTTTTGATTCGCACTTGCATCATTTTCCTTCAATTTTGAAAGAGAATCAATAACATCCTGAATTCTGACTTCCCGTTTCCTAAAAAAAACTGTATTACAATTCCAAAAAATAAGAATGCCTACTTTTTGAGATCGGCATCTCCTTCAATTGCTGGATCACTCAATTGTTCCTGAATATTTCGTTTTTCGTCTTCGAGTTTTTGAACCATCGAATCAACATTTTCAATCATTGAATCAAGTTTGTGACGAAGTCTTTTAGCAATCTTCGTTTCAGCAAATGCTCCATCCAATGCATGAATTTCAATAAGATCTTCTCTGTGTTCAATAACTTTTTCTTTCAATCCCAAAATATCATTTTTAGCTTCTGGAATTGATCCACCAACAATAATAGTTTCAATTGATTCCAAATCTTTTTTGTCCAATTTGATATCTTTCGCTGTTTCTTTTGCTGTGGATGTAGCTGTTGCAATAACATTTGCAGTTTTGGCTGCAACAGTTTCAGCAGCGGATACAATTGGTTTGGCAAGTTCTTCAACAGTTTGCTTAATTTCATCAACAATTGCTTCAGCCGATGCCAATTTTTGTTCCTTGAGTTTTTCAGCTGCAGCTTTTTCTTGTTCAGCGCGTTTCTTTTGGACTTGTTTTTCATCGGAAATTGCTTGTTCGATTGATTTAATCAAAGCAATACGTGCTTTATGATCAATTGTTCCTCCTTCGATTTCAGTCAGTTTTTGTCTAGTAGTTTCAGCAATGCCTGAAAATAAGCAGGGAAATTAAAATTTTATTTAATTTATAATGAGAATCATTATTTTCAACGTGAACTAGACGCAACTTATGTTTTCTCATTTCAGAATACTAGATTTTTTTTAATCACTTACCATCAGGCAAATTTTGTACAATAGCTTTCAATCGATCAGTAAATGAAACATCTTCTGGTAAATACAATGTTCTTGACAATAATAACAATGATGGTGGAACTTTGTCATTGAGAGATAATTCGAGCCATTGAACTAATTGTTCTTTCAATCTTTCTTCGCTAACTCCAATCGCTCTCATTCCTCTCGCTCTACAAGCTTGTTGCAAATCCAATGAGCTCAATGCATCAATTCCTCCTTCAGCCGCAATTTGTTTATCATCCGCTTTCAATTCTCGAATTTTCATGTTCAATTGAAAACGAAGAATTTCAGGACTTCCCAATGAATTCAAACCCATCAAACGGCAAAGTGATCGAAGTTGTCCCATACTCAGATTATCCAATGTTAATTCATCTTCGAAAAGTTTTGAGAATTTGAGTAATTCTTCATTTGAAACATATCCTCCTTCATTTCGAACTTTTTTTATAAAATGAGCAAATTCGAGAGATTTCGATGCATCTTTGTTATGATTTTTTCTTTCTAATCCAATTTCTTCGATCGTATCTTGAAGGAATTTTGCCATTTCTACTCGTAATTTCACTTGTTTTCTAAGCTTCTCCTCCTGAAAAACAGAATATCATTTTTGAAACAAAACTATTTCGAAATAAAAACTCACTTCTTTACTCGTTTCTTGGAATGTGCTTGGCAGCATATTAGGGAACAATTTAATGAAAATCGGCAAAGCCAATTCCATAAAAGGTACAATAATGAAAAATGAAAAAGGAACAAGTCGGAAAAGATCAGATACAGTTCGAACCAATTGTTGTCGTTCTCGTCGTGTCAAAGTTGCACCGCGCAAAACTCTCCACATATATTTCGAACTGACACGTGTTTCCAATGCCAACAACCGAAATCCGTGATAATAATGTTTGAGTTCATGAATAATTCTGTCTTTCAGTGGTGGTTTCACAACAGCGACTGCTTTGTCTGATTTCATTAGTTTTAACTGCCTTTCTTCATCTTGTTTTTGCATATCTTCTCTTAACATTTTCAATGTGTTTTCAATTTTACTTTTGTCAGCGGCTGCATACCTGAAAAACTAGAATAAAATTAACATTTCACTCTTTAATAAAAAACGGACCGCAAGCTTGTGGTGCAAAAATGAGACGATGAAGTTGCCAAATATGGATTGAATCTAAATGTTTTAAATTATATAATAAGTAAACAAAAGCAATCATACCTAGAAGATGCCATAAGATGTCGATATGCATGTCTTCCGATTTGATAACTTTTCGATATATGTCGAAGACTCATTTTTTTCTGATGTGCTGTTTCTAAAAAATGATGCAAACATTAATAGGTCAACTTATATATAAAACGAAAAGAAACGATTTCGCAATACTCTCAATTTTCGAATTTACATGATTTTTAAAATAAATATTTTTCTGCATCGATCTTTCAATAAAAAAAACAAAACAAAACAAAAACACTATTACTTCTTTAGAGAGAAAAGGAAGATAAAACAGGTTGAAAAATGAAAAAGAGAGGGTTGCAATAGAGCGCTCTTTCCATTCTTGCCTCAAAGGCCCACAAGATCTTTGATATTTATCGGAAAAAAGGAAAATAACCGTATTTGTTTTGGGCGAGGAAAGACGACAGTTTTCATGATAAAATTATTATTATCATGATGTCAGAGAGAGAGGAATATTTACTCGAACGGGAAAAATGAGCACAAAAGCGCATGATCAGATAAATATGGTCTTTTATCGAGGATAAACTAATAACCGGTTACAGTTGTGAGAAAATAACGAAAAAGGATTAGGAAAGAATATAGTTAGCTTTGAAAAGATAACAAATTAACAGAGGTTTTCATTTGGAACACGGCGAAAAAGCTACAAAAGAAAGATATTGGTCGAAATATGGTTAGAAAGACAGTAAAAGACAACTAAAGAGAGCGAAAAACTCGCATGATTGATAGTCTTCATTCAGTTGCATATGACAATATGAAGACACCAAAAATCCATATTCTATGAGATTGAACTGAAAATCGAAAGAGCGAAAACATTGTTTTAAATCGGAAAAACTTTACAAAAAAATTAGCGAATCAGGATTTTTGTCAGAATTTTTATAAAAATGATATTTTGATTTTAATCGAAACCACGTGACACATGGGTTCGTTTTTTCAAAAGAAGCGTATTCTTTATTTTTAGAAATAACATTTTACTGAACGCCAACAAAACTGATGATTATTCTCAAGAACTAGATCGAGTAAGTCTACAATTGATGTTGGCAAAGGTTCAGAAAAGCATCTAATATAAATAAAGAACAATTTGAAAGTACAGAAACCGTAAAAATGTTATATAACCCACTTTAAAAGTCGGTTTTTTTGCAACTTTTCTGAAAAGTAATCGGAAAAAAATTGACTAAAGGGACAAACACTTTTGAAAATGTGTGGGTCTTATCGCGGCAAAACATTTTGTGTGATGTTCCTTTGATAATATCTACAGTACTAATTTATCGATTGAGCGCACTTTCATTTCGAAATTTTCTTTTTTTCGCCTACTCCGCACACCCGTTCAAGCCACGCAATGAGTGTTTTCTACTGTAAAACGAAAAATCTGCGATTGAAAAAAACTGTGCAAACACTTTTGCCTAATTCTCTCTGTTCGCCGTTATATTTCGCACTACAGTATTAAAGGAACATGATAAATTTCATGCGTTGGGTCTTGTCGCGATTGCTAACTTTCTTCGCAGGACCTCAAAAAATAAGAAAAGTAGCAAGTCAGGTAGAACTCGATGCGCTGATTATCATGCTATATTTAGTTTTTCATGAAGCTTATCTAGGTTTTGAGCTACTGGGTGCACCGTTTTTACAGCGTTTTGCTGATTTTTGTGTTGCTTGAGCGGGTGTGGAGCGGGTGTGTCCGGTAAAGGTTCAAACATCTGATATTCTGCTGTTCAGTGAGTTTTTTCTTTTTACATAGTTTTCTGTGCATTTCGTGCGAATGGGAAATGCAAAGTTGTTGTAACAATGCGAGATTTTCCCAATTTATCAGTGAAGTTTGATTGTTGAACAGAAAAAATTAAATTTCTGAAAATTGGTGAAATATAAAAGTCCTAGTCCTTCTATAAACTGAGTCAAATATTTTTTTAAAGTTTTTCCGACTTTCAGAATCATCATTCGGGTTAACCAGTTTTTCCCCGATTGTTTTTCGTTTGAGTGTGGTTTCCCATGTCAGCTTTCACAAAATCTTTGGTTAGCGAACACTCTGGTTTCGAATTTCATTTTTCTTTAATTCGAATATTAGTTAATTGTTAAAGCATTTTTTTGTTCCAACAACTAAGGTAAAAATTTCAGCTTTTTTGCAAACAAATATTTCCCAGCGGTATTTTTTCACAAATGTTTTTAGTTAATCGAATCATCCCCGTCGATAGTTTCTGTCATCGAATCGTTCAATTTCACACATCTTTTGATGTTCTTCTTTATTATTTATCAGACCATTCCATAAACTTCCTATTTCATCGCAGAAATTTGTGCTAAACTATCACGCGATAGTAAACAAATAGAACGTTATCATCTCGAAAAAAACTTTCGATTTTTTTCGAAACTTTTAAATAGTACACAGAATAGTTCAAACCGACCATTGAACCACGTGGTTGAAAACTGATTGATAAGAAATTGAATATAAGTCAACTTGTTCTCCCTCTTCATTTTTTGTATAATAGAAATTAGCTAATTCTAATTTCCAACGAAGTTAACATTTTATGTAATAACATTAGTTAAAACACAGATAAAATCAGTTTTTATTCAATTTACTTTTCTGTTTCCATGCCAATCGTTTTGTTTTCTTCGATATTATCTATCTTTTCAAGTACATCCATACGAAAACACAAAATAATTGAAATCAAAAATCTCTGTCCTTTTTTTCAACTTCTCTCGCCATCTTTTTTCTGTAAATAAATAATCGTCTGTCATGCCCGACGAAACATTTCATTCCGAGTCACATGGTTTCATTTTAGCACGTGGGCCAAAAGTATTTCACTATGGTTAGAGAGAAGAGATGCAGGGAGGACAAGAAGATAGCGTGATTTTTTAATACATTTCGCGTTCAAACAATCAACGTTTTCAGTTGAGACCCAGAGAAAAAATACATTGTATAGCAAAATGAGGAAAATGTCTATTAAACTTTAATTGTTTTGCATTGTGATGATTTTAGATGGGCGCGAAAGAGAAATATATAATTTCCACATAAAAATCTGACCATTTTTGTTTATCTCCGCAAAAACATTATGTGACGGACATGCAAAAAATATGATCATCATTTGAACTGTTTTGCCTTGATCAAAGTATGATACTTTGTTGGCTAACGTTTGTATTCTCAAAGAACTTAAAACACTGATGTTCCGAGTGTTTGATCTTCCGAACTTCAACTGATTCACTTTCACTTGACAAATTAAATATACACATATTTGACCTGACCAAAAAATATCCAGTTGTACTCACTGCCTAAGTCTCAATGTATTTATTTATTTATTCTTCTTCTTCTTCTCTTTTTCCCCCATTCAAAACACGCCAACACCCTCTATTGACTGACGCCCTCACAGCTTGCGCAAAATATTTTCCCTCATTTTCCAATAAACATTCTGTTTTCGCGCATTTCCAGACAACTTTTTTCTCATTTTTTGGTTGGTCACATGTTGTTTTTGTTATTTTCTGGAATCACATTGTTCGAAATGTGTCTAGTTGTTGTACTATAGTAAACATTGACAAAGTATGAAAAAGTAGAGTACATTTTCTCCGTTCTGTTTAAAAAAAGAAGAAGAGATGTATGTTTTCGAACTAAAAATGGGCGGAGTTTTTGAAGCACGTGGTGTCTTTTTCGCCACTTCGAAACACATATTTATTTATTCAAAGAGTTCGATAAGATTACATTAGTTGTAGGCTTTTAATTTTTTTCTACCTGTGAGATTTATTTAGTATGAGATCATTTGTTTGTATTGCTCGCACACCAGATACATTTTCCTCTCTGGTCATTCGTTTTTCTCATCCGATTCTTTTTGTTAGTATACCGAAAGTTTTCATTACTTTTCTCAATCCGATTGACGTTTCCCTACATTTTTGAAATTATTTTGTATTGAAGTATAAAAAACTTTGTTATTGAAAATATCGGAGAAAAACGTCATTTTCAATCAGAATGAATTTTTGCATAAAAGTCATTCCATAGAAATATTTTGGTGAAATTTCTATAACGATGAGTCGGAGCAGTTTCCGTAATTGTTTCTTGTTCTTTGCAAAATATTTACTTTGCATCATGATAACCCGTTTGTTCAAGAAATATGTTTAAATTGTGAACATTGACCACACCACCTCTATATTCTTTCTCTTTCTCTCTTGTTTTCGCGTACTTTGTTCCTCTATCGAGGGTCGAACTGGGCTACAAACTGTTGTTGTTTTTCATTTCTATCTTTTCTCCACAGATGGCACCTTTTTCGTTGAAATTCTTTATTTTACCTTGCCCACTTGGTTTGTTTTGTCAATGATGACCATAAATAAAAATATTGATAAAAGGTTATTGTTGGCAATTGTTATTTGTTACAGTTCCATCGTTCGTGTTTTGTTTCACCTGCAAAAGTGTAATGAACTTTTGCTCTTTGAAACAAAAAACACTGACCACCTCATTTAGCAGCTGTTATCGGATGATTTTAGTTTTTTTCAATAGTGCGTTGTAGTCGGCCTTTTTTTGTGACTAATAAGATCAGAATAAACTGGTCGTGTTATATAATAGATAGAATTAAAAATCGAATGATTTTTTTCCATTTGATGCAAACATATGTTCTGGCGTTTGATCGAACCTAATTGGCTACGATGAATTGAAAATAAAAAACATTTTGCAATCATTTTTCTCGATGTATTTTGCAACATGTTGTATTCCTTGAGATAAGGCGTAACTATCTAACATGCCATTCACTTTTAATAATTTTCCTGATAAAAATCTGAGAATGTTTGTTTTTTTTTTCGTTTTTGGCGCCATATTTAGAGGTCGAAACATACTCTCGAAGTTGTTTTATGTCTATTTTTTTAGCGATCGAAATATTTCACAATCATTTCAGTTTGCAATAAAAACAAAAACAAAAACATGTTCTTCCGAACTAGAAAACCTCATAATATCGGATTAATATTTATAGATTTCAAAATTTATTGTTTTTTTTACTGAAATTTCTTTGTCCTATTTCGCAATATGTACTTTGTTCACCCATTTACTACATTCGAAAGAAGAAAAAAGTCGACTTTTCTGACTCATTTTTTATCACTTTTTCGCCGACCCAATTTTTTTGCGGATTTTTTGGTTTGAAAAATTAATGGGTTCTTCGTATTTCACACATGTTTTGCTATTATCATTCTTGTTTTTCTTTGAAATGTTGTTGTTTTGATTGTTCTTTTCTGTCTGAATCCTCCTCACCTCTTTTTCCCTAACTTTCGCAAAAAGACAATACGGTTTTGCAGAGAATATAAAGAAGAAAATAAGAAGAAGAAGAGAACAACTGACAATATAGTATATAGGGTTTTCTGGTTGTCTTTTGGTCAATAATAACAATAATAAGAAGCAGAAGAAGTAAATATAATAAGCAACCTTATTATTGAATCGAAACTATGGATTATGCATATAGAGTTTTTCGAAATGTCAAATATTTTTATAATTCAATAAATCCGGCGACACTTTCGGGAGCAATTGATGTTGTGGTTGTTGAACAGCCAAATGGAGAATATAAATCAACACCATTTCATGTCAGATTCGGAAAATATGGAGTTTTCAATTATTCCGATAAGGTTAGCTTTTTGAAATTTTCACTGAAAAAAAAATTGAAATACAACTTCACGCTGTGAATGTTGAGATTCTAGAAATATCAACTAAAACATCGAATTTTTCTAGTATGTCGACATCGCAGTAAACGGAGAAGAAATCGATTTGAAAATGAAACTAGCAGATTCGGGTGTCGCATTTTTTGTCGAAGAAGCTGATGAACAAGTTCCAGATTATCTTCTGACTTCTCCTTTACCCGAACCTGATATTCCATTAGCAAGTGGTTCCGCAGATGTTACCGATAAAGTTCTAGCTGAAAGTGCACGAAAACTTACAGAAGGTGACACGATTTGTGATGATTTGGCGAAAAGTAGATCATCAAGTCCAGATGGTGGAAAAACAACAGCAAGAGAACCAAAACATGAGTGAGTTGTTTTTAATTAAAATATCTGATATTCAATTCAATCTTGCAGACAATCGTTGAGTCAAGTTCAAAGAAAACAGAATCTACCGTTTTCTTCATCTGTATTCAGTGATCGAAAATATCGAAGTTTGCCAGATTTGACAGTTTTAGCAGATGAAGCATTATCAGAAAATGAAGAAGAAGTAAAAACAAAGAAAAGATCAAAAGATAATGAAGATTCTTCAACAAAAAGACATCGACAATTTGTGCATTCACATTCACAAGCATCGCCAATGGATCGAGATCGAAGAAAACAATGGCATAAATCAAACGATGAAATATTGAGAGCACTTTCGAAAGAAACTGAAAAGAAAAGAGCTCCACTTCGAAAGAAGAGTCGAGTGACATTTGAATCACCAATTGTTTCACCATCAAAACCAATTGATATTCGAACATACAATGATTCAGATTCAGAACTTGATTCATCATCAGATTCACCATCTCCATCACTTCCTGATAATGTTGATCATATTGCTGATGGAGCTTTGTCTGATTCAGAAGTTGATCGACAAAGACATACACCAGAACCACATGATGTGACAGATTGGAAATGGGGAGAATTACCAGAAACTCGAGAATTGAACAAACGAAAAATGGAACAAAGTGAAAAAGAAAATAAGAACAAGAAACAGGCATCAAGTTGGGGATGGTGGTGGGGATCATCAAATACAACAACACCTAAAAAAGGGCAAAACGAAGAAGGTATAAGTCTTGATGATTTATTAAACAAAGCTTCGAGTGATCCGGTTAATATTGTAAAGTATCTTGGAAAACCACCCAGTGTGTAAGTTTTTTTTTTAATTTTTACAAAAAATAAAATAAAAGTTTTCAATATTTTCAGAACATCGGTTGATAGTGGTCATGTTTCACGTGGTCCTTCACAACCATCTTCTCCAGTTTTACCAGTTGGCGAAGAATATGATGAGAAAACTCCAACCAGAGAATCACTTCCATCAAATCTTTTCAATGAACGAAATCAAGCTGGTGGAGCATCGACAAGTCGAATTTCCAGTGAAGATATTTTCCCATTGAGTGATGATGAAATGGATACTCCATCAAGTTCTCAAGCACAAATTCAACAACAACAACAATATATGCAATCACTTCGATTGTCATCAGAAAAGTTGAAATCACTTGGATTGGTTCATGGTGCAAACGAATTGCGTTTCTCAATCACAACCAAATTTCAAGGAACCACTTGGTGCAGTTGTAATATTTATTTATATAAATGGTATGAACAATTGGTTATTAGTGATATTGATGGAACAATTACAAAAAGTGATGTTTTGGGACACGTTATACCAGCAATTGGTGGAACATGGGCTCATGCTGGAGTTGCTGAATTGTATACTCGTATCAAAAATAATGGATATAAAATGGTATATTTATCATCAAGAGCAATTGGACAAAGTCATACAACAAAACAATATTTGAAAAGTGTTGCTCAAGATTCGAAACAATTGCCTGATGGACCTGTTTTATTATCACCAACAAGTATTATTACTGCTTTCAGAAAGTAAGTTTGATCGGAAATTTCATGAAAAAAAGAACTATAAAAATGTTTCTTCAGGGAAGTTATCGAACGCCGACCGGAAGAGTTCAAAATTGCTGCTCTAACAGATCTCAAACAACTTTTCCCAACTTCTAATCCATACTATGCTGGATTCGGAAACCGTGAAACAGATGTGATTTCTTATCGTGCTGTTAGTGTTCCAGCAGCCAGAATTCTTATTATCGATCCATCTGGAAGAGTTAGAAGATCCGATTCTGTTGGTTTAGTCAGCAGTTATACAACAATGGCAAATGATACAGCTGATTATTTATTCCCACCTCTATCTATTCAGTAAGTTTTTAGTTTTTTATTCAGAGTACGATGGTTTTTTTTTCGAAATTCCTAACATTTTCGTATTTTCTTTCAGCGTCAAAGATGATCATCGAAGAACTGAAAGACTTTCATCGGCTTGGAGTAAACCACTTGAACACAGGTTTGTTCTTTGTTCTTTTTTCGATAGGAAATTTGAGAGTCTAACAGTTGTTATTTTGTTTTGTCTGAAACAAAATTATAGCTTCTTGGAGAAGTTTTGAACAGGGGCCTTCTTTGTTTTTCTAAATATCTCTTTCACATTATTTTAGCGATTTCACTCATTGGTCTGGAAATCATCAAAACAGTCCATTTGATGTTGATGATGATGAATTGAAAGCCTACGAAGAGCAGAGAAAACTTTCGATTCAAAAATCCAAAAAATAATCACATTTCTTTCCTCATCCATTCCCAAATTTTATACTGGATCTCTTTTCGTTTTTATTGTTTTTTTTCGTCGATTTCTAGTCCATATTCGTTTTTTTTCTGTTGAGTTATTTTATTTATATTTTCCGCCTTTTTACGTGTCAGAAGTGAAAAATGACATTCATTTTTATAGTGCTCACTTTTTCTCAAAGTTTTTACTCGATTTTTGCGAGATTTCTGCTGCTCTTTTTTGTATTGCATTTATTATTCTTTTTTCGGTGACCTGATATTTATAGGATAATTTTTTGAGTGTAATATATGTATTTGTACATATTTAACCACTTTTCTCTTTTATTTTTTCTGGTTTTCTTGTTGAATGAAGTTCTACGATCTGAAAAATTTTAGTCGAGTTATTTTAACGCGGTAATTACTCTCATTACAAAAAATATTTAAAATTTCAGATTAAAAATGTCTAAAACTACAGTAACCTGTAGAACGTATTATTTTCGTTTTTCAAATTAAATTCTACCGATCTCCCAGGATTACTGTAGTGAAAACTTTTCGGAATTCCACCAAAAATTCCGTTTAATAACAAAAGAATGGCGAGAATGTTTATGGATAAATAATACAATTGTACTTGGTTGTTTTCATTGTCGATTTATTGTACAACATGAGCTGATGGTCCTCCATTTTCCCAATCATAAGGAGAGTGTTCTTGAGTTCCAGTCGATCCGAAAGCACGACGCATCAAACCATAAATTGCTTGATAATTTGGCGCGTCATAATATTTGAGAGCATCAACTTGGCGCATGATATCTTGGAATTCGTTTGGACATGGATGTGGGAAAAGACTCGCCAAATTTTGACGAATTTGTTGTTTTTGTTGTCCAACCGCATTCATATCATTGACGTGATGCCATGGAAGTTGACCATAGGATAATTCGACCTGCATATACATCCAGGTTTCCAAATCATCTTTACTGAAATCATATTATTATTTTTTTTATTAGAAAGGCACAATTTCGAGCCACGTGGCACCCTAATATTTCCAAAACATACCGACACAATTCACGTTGTAAATGGCAACTAATTGGAGCATATCTAACAGTTCCACGGAAACCAGCAGCTTGTCTTGGTTTACGAATTGTTCCGTCGTTTCCAGTGAATTTTCTGCACATACCAAAATCAAGAATGTAAACTTTACGCAATTCACCCAAATCAATACGTCCAACTGTATAATTACCAGGTTTAACGTCACGATGAAGATATCCGATAACATGCAAATCTTCCAATGCTTCCAATGCTTGAATTCCAATAGCAATTGAACAACCAATTGTCATATGTCCACCAGGTCCAGCTTTATTCAAATCTTGCAATGATTTTCCGACAAATGTCATCACAACATAATTGAAATTTCCGTATCTTCCTTTGTCTTCAATCTTACAAAAATGACGATTTCCACGTTTTGACAATTCGTTGAGAACAGATACTTCCAATTTCAACACTTGAATTTGTTCATTTGCTCCTTCGACTTTCATCGCATATTTTCCAGTTGCATCAAATACACGATAAACTGCACCGAAACCTCCTTCTCCTAATTTTTTCTCAATAGTCCATCTCTCGACCTAAAAAAACTTACTAGAAAACATCTCAATTATATTTCGACAGTACCTGTTGTCCTGGATTTAACTGAACAAGCTCCGCAGCCATGTCAAATGAAAGTTGAAGTTTTGCTTGTTTCTAAGGGAACCCACAATCTGAATGAGCGATTTCTTCAATTTTCAGCCCCACGTTGACATTTTGATAAGATCAATGATGTGGATTTTTTTTAAAGTGTCACGTTGAAATTTTTTATTTCGGAAAAAAAATGCATTTTTTATTGGTGCAACAAAATTATGAAAGCAAAAACATGAAAAAATCAGATATGTCAGATTTAAGAAAAACAAGAGAATTTAACATGAGAATAAAAATAAGCTAAGTACTGCTCAATTCTGGAATACAATAGAACAATTTCTGTACGAAATGAGTGAAAGCGATCCAGATTTTTTGAAAGAATGCAGGGCGCCATTGATTAGAAACAAAAAGAAGATAAATTGGAATACCAGAAAGAACCAGAAGAACACCATAAACCAATTCATATGGCTCATTATGGAAAAATGGAAGAATTAGAAGGAAGAGGCACATAATAAAGAATACAACTGGGAAGATTATATTGATTTTAATTGGGCGAGTTTCAAGTTGTTCTTTTGGAAGAGAATATCGAAGTTTGAGAAGACCAGCAACTGAAGCAAAAACAACAAGTGATTCAGCAAATGATAAATAATTGATAAGTTCGAAAACGTTTCCAATGAACAACATAATAATTGATGTTCCACCGAGGAAAATCAATGATGGAATAGGAGTTACTTGACGAATTGATATCATTGCGAACAACTCGGGAAGTTGACCATTTCTTGCACCAGAGAAAAACATTCTTGAACAAGTGATCAAAATACCATTGAGTGAACCAACACAAGAAAATGAGACAAATATTGGCATAAGAACTTTGGAACCAATCGATCCCATCATTTTATCTGCGAATGTGATTGCAACAGCGTCAGATTCAAGAATCTAAAAATAAAATTTGTTTTTAAATTATTTCAATTTCAGCTTCTTCTTCTTACCTCATCAACTGTCAGAACTGAAAAATAAGCGATATTTACCAACATATAGATGATTGTAACCATCGGAATTGAAATATAAATAGCTCTTGGCAAATTCTTGAATGGATTCTTCAATTCTTCTGTTACAAAATTCAAATACGAAAATCCGGAAAACGAGAAAACTCCTGAATAAAATGCCATTGCAACTGCGGATGGTTTTGTTTGTGTTCCTTCTCCAATATCCGGCATTGTCAAATTCTCAATATTTCCAAGAACAAGCCAAACTACACCACATGAAATAATTGTGATAAGTGCAAGAAGTTTTGTGATTGTGAAAAAATCATTGGTTCTGGTGGCAGCGCGAACATCCCAACAATTAATAAATGTTAGAAGAGCTGGAATTATCTGAATTATTCGATTTCAAACATAAGAAACAAATACCGATGATTGCAGCTGCAAAAATATTGATAACAACATCTGGAATTGGACACGAGTAAAATGGTTGAAGAGCATAAGTGGCACACGTAATTCCAATGATTGCCAAAGATGTTGGATTAATAATAACCAATGCGACCCATAAAAATAAAAATGCTGGCAATGGGCCAAAAGCTTCATAAATATATGCATAATCTCCTCCAGATTTTGGAATTAGTGTTCCTAATTCACTATAACAAATTGCACCAATCATAGCAAAAACACCACTCATAAACCAAACTAAAAGAGCCATTCCACTACTACCAGCTTCGAGAAGAACACCTTTTGGTGAAACAAAGATTCCTGATCCAACAATTACACCAATTATAATTGCACATCCCGAAAATAAAGTAATTCTTGGTTTGAGTTTGATGGCATTCAGCGATTCGTGTTCTTCCTCTTTTTCCTTCGCCATTTTGTTCTCTGAAAATGAATTTTATGAAAAAATTGAAGATGAAATGAGATTTGAAAAAATTGAAAGAAGGCATCTCAATATATAAACATAGACAAAATGAACATTTGAAATCTTTGAAGTTGCCGAGACAAAAAAACTGGCCTGACCAAACTTTGCACTTTTGTTTAAAAAAAAGGGGATGGCAATATGATTTTTATTTTTCTAAAATAATCATTCAAAATTTGTAAATCCGAAAGGGATATCAGAAAAATATTAGAAATGAGAATTGAAATTAAATAGTTCAGCTCACGTGGTAATATGAAACATCCCAACCTTCAAAGAAAAAAATATGCCATGAAAAAATCCGCAAACACGCTGAAAAAAACTAAATGCACTAAACAGCAAACACTACGCTCAAAACCTACAGTACTTCCCGGGAAAAGTGTAGCGGGAACCGCCCGGATTTTTTGAAGAGAACCCAGAGGTTTTTCCTATGAATTAGTATCCCGAGAATCTCACAAGCTTCACTTTTCGGGCGGAGTTGACAAAAAATAGAAAATCAATTGAATTTATTTATTGACTTTTACAACGACACTCCGCTTACCCGCTCTTTAGCGCAACACGAGAATATTTTCATTTTTTGTTTTTTTTTCGCTGGGTTTTCAGGTTTCCGGGGAAAATCGGTTGATTTAAGTCAAAAATTGAATTTTTCAGATGTTCTATAGGGCTGGAATTGAAAAACCGACGGAAAATCCGAGAATTGTCGAAGAAAGGTGGGTTTTTTCTAGAGAAACACTGTTTCGATTGAAATTTTTGAGTTTTCAGCTCGAAATATTGATGGGCAATTGGATTTCACTATCAATAACGTAAAAAACTTGGAGAATTTCGGATTTCGATGATTTTTGTGAGATTTGAAAGATAGAAGCGATTGGTGAGTTTTTTTGGGAGGGATTGCGGAAAAATTGAAAAAATTCTATGAAACACGCTATTTTAATTTAATTTATTTACGACATTGGAAGAACACCGTCAGAAAGAAGAGGACAAATTACAAATGTAATTTCAAAAACGTAGATAATTATATGACACAGTTTGTTGCTGACTATAAATGTTAGCTTGAGCAAAAATTAAAAATAGAAGAAAAAAAAGTGAGATCATGCGAAAAGGTAGTAGAGATTTTAAAATAAAAAAAGGAAGGGGGGGTGTGAGGAGTATAAATAGAAACAAAAATTTTAAAAAAGAAGAGCGTCCGAATCGAGAGAAATGACAGAGACGCGAAAACTCCCTTTAAGTACAGTAGTTTTATGGTATTTTTGTTTGTTCGTTTCGAGAAACGCGTGAAAAAGACACGCGATGCAATAGATACAGTAGTATTACCAAAATATTTTTGTTCGTGTCGAGAAACGAGCGTCTTTTTCTCTGCGCCACTCTCTCGATTTGGACAGCCAAAAATAGCGTGGAAATTTAAAAAATATATATGTAAATCATGAAAAAAAAAAGAGAATCTCACAAGCTTCACTTTAGCTGAAACCTGATTTTTTATTTAAATTCATAAATCCTACAAGTTCATAAATCCTAGACCCGCAAAAAATATAGTGTAGATCACGCGGGATTTCAACAATTTTTCGTTGTTCTTCTATATCGATTGGCAAAAAAACATTTTTGAAATGCATTTTTTATTTTGTTGGAAAAAGTTCACGTTATTATTTTAAGAATATTCGAAAAATTACGCTAGATCTCTTTTTTTCAGGTTGGACGCTCATTCTTAAAATATTTTCTTTGGTATTCGTCCTGTCTTCAATGAGAGCTCTCAATTAAACGTAAGTGGGAGTTTATTTTTCTTTCTATCGCCCAGAGAAATTCCAGATTGCTTGAGAATTTGGAATTGAGTGAGCCGATGTTGGTTTCCCACAAACAAAATGAATTTGAGGAAATTGAGATCTTATACAACTGCAACTCATGTCAGGTCAGTTTAATTGGGTTTTGGGGTTTGGTTTTGGGGTTTGGGAGAGAAAACACAGTGATTTGTGTTAAATTATATCACAGGTAAGTTTGGGGTATATTTGTATAATGTATAATTTGAGACGAGATCTGCAGACTCAGTTGCTCACAAGCTTGTGGAAAAAGAGGAAAATACCTCAAAATTCCTCGTTTTTTTCTTTCATTTTTTTTTAAAATTATTTTTTTCATTGTTTTCAACAAATTAAAACGTTTGTATTTTTTCTAGTTTTAAAAAACGGATTCCGATTTTCAAAAAAAAAATGAAATTTCATTTCATATCGACAAGAGGAAAAATGAGAAATGTTGGAGAAAAATTGATAAATAAATCTGAATCATAAAACATTAGAAAATGGGCGGATCGCAATTTTTGGAAACGAAATAAAACGATGAATCATCTGAGCAATTTTACAAAATCTAAAATGTCAGCACAAAGCACATTATGAGGTATATGCTGGAATTATCTCGAAATCATAACTCTTTCCAAATATGTTTTTGGGCATTATTCTAGGTATATTTTCCGTTTCTGGAATTATTATAGATGTTATTGCATTGATTCCAGTTTTTAATCTAGGTTTTATGAAAAAATCGAGCCCTGTTTATCTCATAGCATTTTTCAATATATCCGTGGATCTGATAAGTTTATTAACAACAACTTTTGGACTAGTTCCTGATGTTATAATAGGATCTAATAAAAGTCTAGGAATCGAGCATACCGCACTAGTTTTTTTCATTTCCTGGAATCTTAGTTCGTTGATTCAGATATCTATGTCAGTAAATAGATTGATAGTAATTCGATTTCCTAAATACTCGGTTCTGATCACAAACATGTCAACATATTTTTCATTTATTTTTATCATAATTATCACAATCTTCCTTACTTATTTAACTCAATATTGGTTTGATTGCTGTGAAATAGCCTATGATTATCATGTTTATTCTATAATTTATATTACAAAAACCAACGAGTTCAACAAATCATTATATTATATTGATACGCCTATTTGTATCATAACAACTATTCTAACATCTTTTTTCTATACTTGGATTTATATCGAAATTCGTAAACAACGTAAAGACATCTCGACAAATTCAAAAATTAAAGAATGGAAGTAAGTTGATAGCTTAAACCCACCGAAAAATAGAATAACATTTAATAAGAATAACATTTAAATGAAAAATTTTCAGCTATTCTCTTCATTTTTTTATGACTTCTTTATCCTACATAATATCCTGGATTCTTTTCCGAGTTTTTCCATTATTTTTTACGGAATTTTATTGGTTCGCAATTCCAATGTTATTTGAGATTCTATATTGCTGCTCGAATTCTTTGGTTTTTCTGATTTTAAATCGAGAAGTTCGAAAATTTTATTTTTCAAGAAAACCAAAAACTACTAAAGTTATAGCCTTTACAAAATCGAATGATTAGAACGTTTTGTTGAAAACATTCATAATGTAATAAAATGTGAGAAAAATTATATCGATTAGATTGTCTTAGAGTCGTACAAAATACATTTTGAGATACAAACGAGTAGACAGACATAAATCTTTTTTATATTGCCTAATTTAACGATTTCCGAACAAAAATCAAATAATTACAACAGTTCTCACAAATATACGATTGGAAGCAAGAATATAATACTGTCCGAATTTTTAAAAATAAACAAAATTCGTAGAAACAAGGAAAAAATGAAAAATTTGAAAAAATCAGTGAAAAACGAGAAGAAAACTACAAAGGATTTGAATAAAAATCAACAAAAAGGACAACACATTTCAAAGTCCAAAAAAGCAAGAAAAAACAAGAAAAAATATTCGCAGCTGCCTGGCTCAATGCCAACCACGGAGAAAACGAGCAAGAGTGTAACAACGGAGAAGATATTGTGAAACATCAAGAGACGCAGAGTGAGAGAGAGGGTCAGATTCGTTTTTGGAGGCTATTCAAAAAATAATAAGATGATTCGTTTTTTGTTAGGTTTTTTGCAAAAAAAAAACGGGAAGGTGTGCAAATATCACAGTTTGCACTTTTTATTATACTTCTTTATAAAAACCTATGATTTCAACTTCGAAAAAAAAAAACGCAACAATTTATTTTTTATTTGTACAGAGTTTTTTGTGAGATTTTTTGAGGGGTAAGAAAAATAGAATTGAGAAAGAAAAAAACAAAAATAAGAGGCAAGTGTAAACAAGTTTGATCAAATAGATTGATTTTTGAAAAAAAAAATGTCTGGGTGAGACGTTCAGAAAAATTTGAAAATATATTATTAATAATTGTAAATTTTAACCAATCTTCAAAAAAATTCAGAAGATAAGAAAGCTAACAATGTAAATAGAAATTCGAGGAGAATATCCATATTTTTCATTCAAAAAGTAGACAAAGGAATACTTCCCAACTCAAAAACTCGAAAAAAAGGAAAAACCGGACTTTTTTCGAAAAAAAGAAAAATAATAAATTGCCGTGTACTGTAGGCCTGCCCGTGTGCAATTTTCGTGTCATTCTGCAAACACCACACACATGAATTGCCGACATATTTTTAAAGATTTTTTTTAGATTTTTACATGGAAAAAAAAACTGAAAATAAAAAAGAAGCGCTAAATAATTTATTTTCACGTGTTCGGTATTGAATCATTTCTAAATTGAGACAAAATAAAAACCGACGCCTTATTTTTATTCCAAATATATGAGATGAAAATGATTTTTAGTCATAGAAAGACATCAAATCTGAAAATTCAGATAACTGTGTCAGTTTTCGTTGCCGCTGTTGTTGTTGGGCTGACGGTTTTATGGAAGCATACTTTTTCTACAAAAACAAACTGTATTTTATAATTTATTTTGAAACCTACTCAAAATATATTTGCGATAATCACGAATAAAAAACATGACAACCAAAGGATCAAGTGCTGGATATAATGCAAGACCAATTGATGTTATATTAGCCATACTTCCCAATTCAATTCCGAAAACTGGCGCCACAAAAAGTATTGTAGTTGGGTTATACATGAAAATAATTGGAACAATTGTTTGAACCATAAGTGAGTAGAAAAGTTGACGTTGAAGTTCACGAGTTTTCTCAGCGACCATATCTTTTACACTTTGCATTTTCTTGTAGATTTTTACACCAAGAGTTATTATAATAATGAGAGTTGTTCCAGAGATTATTCCAACATTCAACATTCCAATACAACTTTCCCAAACAATTTTCATTTCTCCATTCGGACCAGTAACCTTGAAAAATTGAACGTGAGTTTCAGCGTTTAAACTAAAAAATTTTCAAAACGCAAACTTACAAAGTAAAGTGGTCCAATGTAGGAAAGTTCTTCAATATCATCTTGATAATTCAAAGCAATAGTTTCTCTCATATAATCATTCAAAGTATCATTAATACTCAAAAGAAAATAAACATTACACCACCAAAATATTGCAACTCCTGAGAAAATAGCTGGCCAAATTAAAGCCAAAGGCCATTGGAAAAAACGAATTTCACTTGGTCTACTCATCGCTATAAATCGATAGACAAAATGAATTGCGAGAAGAACTACTGTCAGACCAAATGAGGTACAATAAGTTGCTTGAATCAGATGTTTGAGAATGGAAAACATTTGTCTTTTACTTACTGATAATGATCGGTCCAACCACTCTATTGTATTTGAACCAACTCGCGCAAATCACAATATAACTATTTTTATAAGAATGCATTGCTGGTTGAGTCAAAATATCAATGAATGAATACCAAAGAGAGAATCCAGCGAACCATAACATCAGGTATTTGTATGATCCAAAGTTTGATTTAGTTTGGGTCAGAATTAGGAAAATTAAGCAGATATTTGCGAAAAAGGCCACGAAAAATCCGACATATTCCGCAGCTACTGTAGTTATTGGAACTTGCATTTCTTGAAGCTCAAGGAATCTGAAATATTTTTGCTCCTTTTTATAGAAAAATTTTATGAATATCACTAATTTTTGGCAATTTCTTGAGAAATAAGATTTGTTTTCTCGATCTATGTAGAGCATAGAATGAAAACATGAATATCAAATAATTGACGATATAGTTCAAAGACAAAAAATACCGGTAGAATACAAAAAACAGATACAAAAAATAGAAAGGTTATTCTTATAATCATTCCATAGTTACTGAAAGACTATAAAGACAAGAATCTCTAAAATTAGATATGCAATATGAACAAATCAAAAAAAAAGTGAAGTTTGAAAAAGAGAAGTATGAAAAAAGGTTGCAAAGAAAGGAACATACGCCCACCCTTCTCATTTTGAGTCCCCAAATTCCAATTCAGCTTCAGAACCCAACAGCTGGGAGCCTTCACTCACAATAAGATTATTTTCGATTCCCTCTTTTGAGAAGGGCCTGTTCTACATTTCGGCGAAAACAGGAAATAAGTTGTTTTATAAAACACAAAAATGTGAAAAACAAAAACTCCGAGTACTTCCTTACATTTCTGAAATAGGACAGGTTTTGAAATTTTAATGAGCTTGTAATCTTTTCATAGAATGCTTATAAATAAAAATTAAAAAAAAAACTTTTTCTCTAAAATTAGAACTACATCTTACATTTGGAAAAATCCAAACTTGTCACATTTTTCATGCAAAATGACTCCAAATTCTCGAACATATAATCAACCTAAATGCTATGATATTTTATTACTGAACAGCTGAAATAGAAAATATCAAGTTTAAAAATTTCATTTTTATGCAAAACGGAAGAATTTAGATAACTACATCGGTTTTCGTTGAAATTGACACAATTCGAGTTGATGAAACATTGTTGGAAAGTTTGATACGTTCTGAAAATTATCACTTGAAATTAGAATTTTTAGAGATACACAAACTCAAGATGTATTTTCGATAATCACGAATAAAATACATGACAACGAGAGGATCTAAAGCTGGATATAGTGCGAGGCAGATCGATGTCATATTAGCCATACTTCCCAATTCAACACCAAAAATTGGTGCAATAAATAGAATAGTTGTAGGGCTGTACATGAAAATAATTGGGACAATTGTTTGAACTGTCAAAGCATGGAAAAGTTGTTTTTGAAGTTCTCTGGTTTTTGGAGCAATCAAAGATTGCACACTTTGCATTTTCTTGTAAATCGCCAAACCCAAAGATGTTATCAGTACAAAAGTAGTTATTGCAATTGTATAAACATTTGCCATTCCAACACAACTTTTCCATTGCAATTCAAGTTTTCCTTCAGGAGTAATAATCTGCAAAAATACTCGCTGATTTTTTTGAATGTTTGATAAATCATCTTAAACTTACATAATAAAGAGGACCAATATATGATAATTGTTTGATATCATCCTCATAGTATTCTTTGATACTTTCTTGCACATATTCATCAATAACTTCATTACTTCCCAAAAGGAAATAAACATTACACCACCAAAATACTGCAATAATTATGAAAATGGTAGGCCAAATAAAGGCGAGTGGATATTTGAATTAACGAATTTCATTCGGACGACTCATTGCAATATAACGGTAAATGAAATGAATTGCAAGAAGAACCAACGTGAGACCGTATGAAGTACAGTATGATGCTAAAACCTGTTTTTTTTTCAAAAGCATGTTCCGTTTTCTATCACTTACAAATAATGATAGGTGCCAAAGTTTGATGATATTTAAACCAACTTGCGCAGAAAACTATGTAACTGTTTTTATATGAATGCATACCGGGTTGAGTTAAAATATCAATGAAAGAATACCAAAGCGAAAACGCGGCAAACCATAACATCAAGTTCTTATAAGCCCCGAAGTTTTGGCGTGTTTGAGTGACAATTAGGAATATCAAGATAATGTTTGCGAAAAACGCAACGATGAATCCGATATATTCAGCTGTTACAGTAGCCAAGGGTATTTTCATGTTTTCGAAAACTGAAAAATATTATTTACAAGAGAAAGTCAGAAGAAAGACAGATGAAAAATATAAAAACTAGCAAAGATCCATAATTGTCCAATTGTTGTATAATTCACTATTTTGAGAAAACTGAAAATTTCAAAGCTTTTATAGTAATTCGATAAATGAAAGAGTAAAGATGAACGATTATTTTTTGTATTTTTCTGAAAGTACGACAACAAAAAATAAAGGTTATTTGCTTGTGATCTTGTGATAGAATGATCTTTCAAAAACCTTATTTTTTTCAAAAATCCCTTTTTAATAAGAAATTCGTACCAAACATGAATTACCATGTAAACATAACAATAACATTACAATAAAAGGTTGTTTGATAACACGCCCTTTTTTGTCATTCAAAATATTCTTCTAAACTCAACAAATATTCGAATTCACAAATGATGTTTGTGAAATATTCAAGAATAGTCATCGGTCATCCTTTACCAACTATTTGCATTACTTTAACTATTTCAGTAATTCTTACAATTATCGGACTATACTATGGTTATGAAACTATAGATTTTGATCCAACGAAAGGTTTTGAAACTAGAGGAACTGAATTAGCTGATGGAAGAATTTTTATGGAAAATTTGAAGGGCCAACAGGCTAGTAATTCTAGAATTATTAAATGGTTTTATGAGTGAGTAAGATATTTAGCAAATTGCATGATTTTTCAGAGATCAAATCAGAGAAGCATTGTGTTTTTTCAGACAAAATCAAAAAACTACAAATACAAAGAATAAACGAGAAGTGAATAATAACGAAGAAGATGTAGATAATAGCCCAAATATCACAGTCAATTATGATGATTACGGTGTTGATTATAACCCAAATTTTGAAGATCTCAATGATTCTTGTGAATTTTTCGGAAGTTTCGGAATTGCATTACCGTATGATGCAATTGAATATATGTCAAAAATCATGATTAGATTTGATTCTTGGGATAAGGTTGGTGTTCTTGCTCTTTATATACTTTTTTTAAACTCTTGTTTTTGTCTAAAGATAGACACATACTGTAGAAGTGAATAGGATTAGGCGGGAAACACGTCACTATGATTTGAACTTGTTTTTTATGACTCAGAAGAAGATTAAGGATGTTAATGTTTATGGTTAGGTAATGTCGATTGTACTTTTTGTCGCTACATTTTATATCGCTTTCTTTAGAAAATCTTGAAGATTAATCTTTTGATTGAAAGGAGAAGAAAAAACACACGAGTGTTACAGAAATACCTTTGGAAAAAAATATTTTCAAATAAATTTCAAACTATTTCTGAACATTTTTGATCGTTTATTTGCATTTTCGTAATTATTCAAATAATTCAGAATCTGTAGAAAACATTCTGCTTTGATATCTGCTTTCTAGAATTTATTTTGGTTTTCACAAATTCAATCCAATTCATCCCAGAAGATTGGTGCTTCAAAAATGTAAATTTGAATCGCTTTTCAATAAAAAATCTTGTTTTTGTGATTGGCCGTTATACTCTTTCGGGACACTCAAAAATAGGCACTGTGCACTATTCTATTTCATAGCAAAATATATAAATATAAAAAAAGTTTTACAAGTGAAAAGTACTAGCAATTCAAATCGGAAAAGCATTGATTCCAGTGCAAATAATTGGTGAATTCCTTTTTGATTGTAGTTTATCTACAATTAATTGATTGAATCGATGATTCATTCCAAAACTCACTAATTATATATTCTCGATAATCTTGAATTATGAACATGACAACTAATGGATCAATAACTGGATACAATGCTAAACATATTGATGTTATATTAGCCATACTTCCCAATTCAACACCAAAAATTGGTGCAATGAATAATATTGTTGTAGGGCTGTACATAAAACAAATGGGAACAATTGTTTGTAGTCTCAAAGCTTTGTCAAGTTGTTTCCGAACTTTTAGCGATGCTGTGGAGTTATTCAGATTTTTCTTAGTGTTCCGAATCACTGTTCCTAGAACAATGATAATTGTTAGTGTAACAATTGATATTATGGCTACACATAGCATTCCAAGACAACTTTTCCATTGAATAAGTTTTTTACCATTTGTATCATAGGTAAAATAAAGAGGTCCAATATATGACAACTTTTCAATATCGTCTTCATAGTGAAGTTTGATTGTTTTTCGCATATATTCATCAATCAATACATTACTCGAAAGAAAGAAATACACATCTAACCACCAAATCACGGCTATTATTAAAAATATTGATGGCCAAATAAGTAAATAGGGAAACTGAAAGTGTTTAACAATTTTGAAACTTTTGATAGCAAAATATCGATAGACAAAATGAATTGCTAGAAGAACAAGTGTGAGACCGTATGAGGTACAGTAGGTAGCTGGAAATTAAGTATTTATTGAGAAGTTACAGAAAACAGTTTACATATTATTATGGGTCCTAAAAATTTATCATATCTGAACCAACTTGCACATAAAACAATATAACTATTTTTATAAGAATGCATTGCGGGTTGAGTTATAAAATCAATGAATGCATACCATATTGAAAATAATGCAAAACAAAACATCAAATATTTGTAAGATCCAAATTTATTTTTGGATTTCGTTTTGATTAGAAACATTAGAAAAATGTTTGCAGTGAAGGAAACAAAAAATCCGATATATTCCGCCAAAATTGTTATTTTTGGTACTCTCATTTCTATAAGAAATATTCAATTCCAAAAATGGAATTGCTTTCTTTGTCTACGATTTTCTCTTGAGATTTGTTTGATGTAAGATGAAATCAGAAATGTACTTTTTTTGAAAAAAGAAATGAGAACGCAATTGTTAGCATGCATTTTTTTCACGCTTTTCAGAAACAATCATCGAATTTTTGTGGATAACTTTTATAAAATAGAAAAAAAAAGATTTATCAAATTTCATTTATATGATTATATTCATTGATCCTGCAACATGAACGACGACATCTGAAGATGGATTCATAGACAATGATAATTTTCCTAAACAAAAATGTAGTTGCTAAAAATGATTTGGACAGACTTACTTAAAATATATTTACGATAATCGTTGATGAAAAACATAACCACCAATGGATCCAAAGCTGGATATAGCGCAAGACAAATTGATGTTATGTTAGCCATACTTCCCAAGTCAATTCCAAAAATTGGTGCGACAAAAAGTACTGTAGTCGGAGTGTACATAAAAATAATTGGAACAATTGTTTGAACCGAAAGGGAATAGAATAGTTGGCGTTGAAGTCTTTTAGTTTTTTCGGCAATAATATTTTCAACACTGTGCATTTTCTTGTAAATCAAAACACCGAGAGTTATTATAACAATAAAAGTAGTTACTGATACAGCCAATACATTTATCATTCCGAAACAATTTTGCCATTGAATTTCATATTTTCCATTTTTGTCGATAAACTGTGTGAAATTACTTCATTTCAGTAAACGAGACAAAACAGACTTACGTAGTATACTGGACCAATGTATGAAAGTTTTTCGATATCATCATGATAATTATTCAAAATTGTTTCTTTTACATACGCATCAGTTCTAGAGTTAGGATAAAGTAAAAAATAACAATTGATCCACCAAAAAATACCAACTCCAAAAAAAAGTGATGGCCAAATTATGGCAAGAGGATAATTAAAATATCTGATATCAAAGGGTCGACTAATTGCGATATATCGATAAATAAAGTGAATTGCTAGAAGAATTACTGTAAGAGCATAAGATGCACAATATGATGCTAAAAATATGTATTAATTTAAAAACAAGATCTGAAGAAATCACTTACGAACTATGAAAGATCCCAGTAATTTATCATACTTGAACCAACTGGTACAAATTACAAGAAAACAATTTTTGTAAGAATGAATTGCTGGTTGGGTTATAATATCAATGAAAGAATACCAAAGTGAAAAAACAGCAAACCATAACATCAAATTCTTGTACAATCCAATATTATGATGAGTTTGGGTTATTATCAGATAGATCAGAAATATATTTGCTGCAAATGCAACCATAAAACCAATATATTCAGCAGCAACTGTTCCAATCGGAACCTGCATTCCGCAAATATTTTTTGCTGATAAAATAGATACAGTAGTCCTGTCCTATGAGTAAACTAAAAGATTAGCAAAGTACTCATTAATTGAAATAAACTTTAGTGAATAAGTTTTTATATTGAAAAATATTCTGAGTAAGGATTAATTTTTGAACATTTAGCTGTTTGACACCAAAACTTTGAAACATCTTTGCTACATTGATGGGTTGATTGATGATCATATATTTGAATCGAACTACACTGATCCATCGATAAAATTATTCAAACATTCTTTGAATCTTCCATTGTATACAACTTGTCCAAATATGACCACATTGAATTCTTGTGAAAGTTTGAATGAACACGAGTAAGAAAATAACACGTTTTACTTCTCCGAACATTGTTTTTTCAGCATAAATGAGTTTCGAAATTTAATTGATAAATGTCAAATTGACCCGAGTTTAGTTGCATGCCAAGCTTATTCGATTAACCAAGTCATCAATTGGATTCTTCCTATTGATAGAAATGAAACAATTATTTCAATAGTGCTCAAAGTTTCAATGTATAAAGGAGAACATTTGGAATTTTATCAACGTTTGATTGGAAAAATCAATGTGTTCTTACGTGAAATCGAAGGTGTTGAATTGGTTGGTGTAAACTTCAATATGAAGAATGAAGAATTCGGCAAAATAATATGTCAAGATACATTTATTGGATTGTTAAGTGCTATCCTGGTAGTTTCATGTTTCTTGTTATATTCGAGAAGTCTGATTTTCACATTGGTAATAATTTCAACTGTTAGTTTATCAGCTGGTATTGCATTTTTCATTTATACAGTAAGTGGTAGAATTAATAAATCATTTCATGTTTCTTTTTTCAGACAGTTTTTAATATTGAATTTTTTCCATTCATCAATCTTCTGGTAATTGTTATTTTGGTATCAATTGGAGCTGATGACGCATTTCTTCTTCTTGCTTATTATAGAAGAGAAATTGAGAAAACTTCAAAAATTGAATATAGAATTGGTGATATTTATATGCCAATATATTATGAACATGATCTTTTATCCCAAAGTCTGCGGATTTCTCTTCATCATTCACTTGTATCAATGTTTATCACATCATTCACAACAGCTATAACATTTCTCACAAATCTATCAAGTCATGTTATTGTTTTGAAATGTTTTGGAATCTACGCATTTCTTACAATTATAACAAACTATATTTTAGTTTCATTGATTTTACCAAGTACAATAATTTTACTCAAAAGGCCAAGGGCTCCAACAAATATCAAACCTCAAGTGCTCGCTTTTACAAAATTCACGGATAAATTCAAATATCCAATTTTTGCAATATCAGTTTTGTTATCCACAGCTTGTGCTATTTTTATTTTCAAAAATCTGGAAGTTCCAAAAACAAATCCAACAAAAGTTTTGATCTCTTCAAATATTCATGAATTCTTTGATGACAATATTCATAAATTCAATTTTCAATGGAAAAGATCAGCAAGAATTATGAAGAATTTTTGGTTTGGTGTATCACATGATTCTGAATTTGTGTTGTTTCCGAGTTTTCAAAAACGTCGCTGGAAAATTCGAAATAATTTCAATATTACTGTAGATGATTTGATGTATTACAAAAATATTGCCATCTTGGAATCATCCAGATATCATTTTCTGAATTTCACATATATTCCTTGGTCCGACAAAGTATTACGATTGAATGAAACATGCCTTGACGATCATTTTATAACTTCTGAATGTATTTTACAAACATCAGTCAAATATTCAAATTATCTGAATCAATTTCCGAATGATTTTTCTGTAACTCCAGGAGATGGTCCATATATCAATGAAGATTTCAAAATATCTGGGTGAGGTTGAAATTTTATGAAGTTCTATTAATTTTTCACAGATATTTCATTTCTATTCCTACAAATGAAAAACTCCGTGTTGATGCTGACGCAATTTCTCGAATATTTGAAGAAATTGAAGGAACATGTGATTTTCTTCGTTTAAATCATACAAATGTTTTATGTACATCTTCTCCAGAAGTTACTCGATTTTATGATATAATTTATCAATTGAAAACTTCAACATATACTTCTGTTGGATTTTCAATTATAATTTGCTTATTTGTTATAATTATATGTACACGACAATTTTATCTTTCGATTATATGCTCCTTTGTAATTCTATCAATCATTCTATGGACTGTAGCTGTTTTGATTTTACTTGGTTTGTTTTATCAGCTTCTAGTTTTTCTGAAAATTCAATTTTTGAAGGTTGGAATCTATCTGTTGTTGAATCAACAATTTTGATAATCATAATTGGCTTGAGTTTTGATTATACACTTCATTATGCGGTTGCAATTCAAGATTCTAAATTGAATTCAGATATTCAAACAAAAATTATGTTTGTTTTTTTTTTAAATTTTCTGATGTATTCAATTTTTTTAAAGATCAGCACACACAACTGCTGGAATTGCTTGTGTATTTGGTGCAGTGACTCTTTGCCTCGCAGGATTCCCACTATTTTTCAGTGGAACTGCCTCATTTTTTCAAATCGGACAAATGTTAGTTGTTCTTGGTGGAATTTCATTGATTGGATCTTCAATTGTTTTTCCCGCTGTTTATATGTGTTCTTACAAATCGAAAAATGTAACTAAATTATGAATTGTGAAAAATACAATAAAAGATTCTCAAACTATAAATAAATATAGAAATGAAAATGCGAATTTCAAACTGCCACATCAAAGTTCACGTCACGTTTCGCAGAAATTGGTTTTTTTTGTGAAAAAATTCAACTTGTATTGACAAATGATCGTAATCACATTTTTATGATCATTAACGTCATAATTCTGATATGTTGTTATCAATTTTTGTCGATGTGCCATGATCATAAAATGATTTATTTTCGAAAATACAATTTAATTTTCATTGATTTCTTTATTAGAAACAATTTTCGATGAATCAACAGAAAAATAAGAGTTGAATTATGTATGTATATTATGTACAAATTATCAAGATTTACTGAATTGTGAGAAGTGGAGTAATAAATCTGGAATATTTTCAATTTTATAATTTATAATTGAAACATGGTTCAACTTACAGTGCAGATATGATTGCAAGCGAAAAGATAGAGATTATGGTTGGAACATGTTTATACTTTTGAACCAAACGATCGGCGTTTTTTGAAAGAGCTTCAGCAGTCCACAAAGGCTTCATTCTGAAAAATAGGAAAACTAGAAGTTAATTAGAAAAAAAGGTGAAAAAAAAGAGCACGAGAGAGAAAATGAAATAAACAAAAATCGAAAGAAAGTAACCAAGGGCAACATGAACTTTTCTGTTTACTTTTCGCTCGAAATAAGAGGCGGTACCGAACTGTACATAAAACCAAACTAGACTAAAACTGTCAGGAAAATGAACGAATTAGGAACAACAATAAAAATAATATGAAATCGATTGTAAGCGAAAGTAGAGCACATGTAAATACGCACACCAATTATTTACCCTATACAAATACATAAATACAAGCGCCTATGGTTTTTTAGTGGGAGAAAAAGAGATATAGAGAAAATGACCTTTTTGGATTGGAAAAAAACATCACAGCTGGATGTTTTTAGCACCTAATTTTAACAACTTAAAATTAAAATAATTTATTGAAAAATACAAAAATTATACAGAACAATTATTTAGAATTGACAAAAGTAATAGGAATTTGTGTTGTCTTTGGCAATTGTTCATATTTAATTGATAAAACTCCATCGGAATTCAATTCACTTTTGACATTTTCAGCTCGAATTCCTTGTGGAAGTGTATATTTTCGAATAAAATGTCGTTGAATAAGGCCGTGCTCGTCTGATTTTTCTTCATGTTTTCCTTCGATAATCAATTGATTTCCATCAATATTCAATTTGATTTCATCTGGTTTGAACTGAGCAACATTGACTGATATTTGATTATCCGAAGTATTTTCTCTAATAACATCACCCAATTGATTTCCAGTTTGATTCACCCAATATGGTTTGAGAAATTCGCAATCATCCAAAAATGGATCATTTCTCAAAAGACGAAGTGTTGAAAGTGGCAAAAGCATTTTTTAGAAATATGAAATGTTTTTGATTTCATTCTCAAAAATTTTCCTGCTTTTATAGTAAAATCATAGAATATTCCTTTCTTTCTAGAATGTTCGCGAAAAAAGGGAAAAGAAACACTCTCCTCTTTTTACACGCTCTCTCATGTTGTGTGAGAGATTATTTGTGTGTGTTGTGTTTTTTGTGCCAACAATTTTCGAATTTCTGGAAGCTTCTAGAATCTAAGGTTGGGTTGGTATAAATATGAGCCAGTTTGTAACGAAAGTATCAGTTTGCGAATATCTACTCTCTAAACTAAAATGGCTTTGCGCTTCCCAGTTCGACCATTCTTTGTTCGACCATTTTTCGATGAATTTGCCGACATCGAAAGACACTTTTTGAAACCATATTGGAATGATCAAACCATGCTTGATGGACATCGAATTGGAGATGCTATTGAGGTAAGACAAATCAAAAATTATCAACAACAACCAAACAAACATTTGTTTTTTTTTCAGAATGTCAAGTCCGAAACAGGTGATGGTCAAATATCAGTCAATGTGGCTCAATTCAAACCCGAAGAAATCAAAGTTAACATCAATGAAAATCAATTGATTATCGAGGGAAAACATGAAGAAAAAACAGATGAACATGGCCTAATTCAACGACATTTTATTCGAAAATATACACTTCCACAAGGAATTCGAGCTGAAAATGTTAAAAGTGAATTGAATTCCGATGGAGTTTTGTCAATCAAATATGAAAAAGTTCCTGAAGAACAAAAACAAACTTCAATTCCTATCACTTTTGTTCCAAACAAATAATTCCCTTTTTAATTGTAATCATACTTAATTGTAATATTTGAAATAAATTATTTTTATGATAATTAAAATGTGTTAGTTTTTTTGAAATTTTGCAAAGTGTATCGAAATAAAATTAGAAAAATCTTTAACAAGGAAACCTTTTTTACTCAACACTTCAAATCATGATGAAATTTGGTCCATGGACAGCTTTTGGGACCATAAGAACACCCTAAAAATTTAAGTCTCCCAATGGACCTCTGAGCCAAGTTCTGGGCTCTCAAAAGTTCGAAAATTGCCAAAATTGGCTCATAAAACACGTCATAACTCAATTCTCGATCAATTTTATGAAAAACTGAGTAGCAGATGATGATCAGCGTGGTCGATTTACCCAAAAACCATAAATAAATCAAATTTTCAGAAAAATTTTTGATTTTGGAAAAAAGAATGAGCAGGGGCACATATGAATTTTCATGAATTTTCAGCCCAAAAATAAAAAACTTCAAAATTTTTCGAAATAAAGTTTTTTATTAATGTACTTTTAGGTAATCGACTATGCTGATCAATATCTGAAACTTTATTTTTCCCAAAAAAATTTTTGAAATGGAGCTATGATGACTTTTATGACCATTTTTAGGCCTTTTTTGAGTTTTTGAGAGCCCAGAACTTGGCTTAGAGGTCCATTGGGAGACTAAAATTTTTAGGGTGTTCTTATGACCCCAAAAGCTGTCTCTGGACAAAATTTCATCGAGGTTTGAAGTGTTGAGTAAAAAAGGTTCCCTTGTAAGAAAAAGTATTAGTTTTTTTTGGATTTTCAAAGAGCCACACAACATTTGAAAACGACACGAGTCACGTTTTTTGTATTTATTTTTTAATGTCTGCAACTCTTCACGTGACACACTCTCTTGTCGCTTTTTCTGTCTGCGTCTATATTAACTGTCTCACTCTCACCTATGTCGAAAAACACAAACTCAACAAGTTCATCATGTTTTCAGAAAAGTTCAAAAATGTAAAAATGTTAGACAGTTTTTTTGGTCCAAGAAAACAAATACTATGTTTTTTCGGGAAATGTTGACACATATTTATACGGTGTCAAAATCCGCATTGAAATAGTTTGTTTTCTTTTTCAGTTTTTGATATTTTCAAAGCCGTACTGTTATTGATTTTCTGGCTTCATTCGAAAGAATTACTGTGCGTATGTTTTATTTTTTTTTTAACTAACACATTTTAATTATCATAAAAATAATTTATTTCAAATATTACAATTAAGTATGATTACAATTAAAAAGGGAATTATTTGTTTGGAACAAAAGTGATAGGAATTGAAGTTTGTTTTTGTTCTTCAGGAACTTTTTCATATTTGATTGACAAAACTCCATCGGAATTCAATTCACTTTTAACATTTTCAGCTCGAATTCCTTGTGGAAGTGTATATTTTCGAATAAAATGTCGTTGAATTAGGCCATGTTCATCTGTTTTTTCTTCATGTTTTCCCTCGATAATCAATTGATTTTCATTGATGTTAACTTTGATTTCTTCGGGTTTGAATTGAGCCACATTGACTGATATTTGACCATCACCTGTTTCGGACTTGACATTCTGAAAAAAAAACAAATGTTTGTTTGGTTGTTGTTGATAATTTTTGATTTGTCTTACCTCAATAGCATCTCCAATTCGATGTCCATCAAGCATGGTTTGATCATTCCAATATGGTTTCAAAAAGTGTCTTTCGATGTCGGCAAATTCATCGAAAAATGGTCGAACAAAGAATGGTCGAACTGGGAAGCGCAAAGCCATTTTAGTTTAGAGAGTAGATATTCGCAAACTGATACTTTCGTTACAAACTGGCTCATATTTATACCAACCCAACCTTAGATTCTAGAAGCTTCCAGAAATTCGAAAATTGTTGGCACAAAAAACACAACACACACAAATAATCTCTCACACAACATGAGAGAGCGTGTAAAAAGAGGAGAGTGTTTCTTTTCCCTTTTTTCGCGAACATTCTAGAAAGAAAGGAATATTCTATGATTTTACTATAAAAGCAGGAGAATTTTTGAGAATGAAATCAAAACATTTCATATTTCTAAAAAATGCTTTTGCCACTTTCAACACTTCGTCTTTTGAGAAATGATCCATTTTTGGATGATTGCGAATTTCTCAAACCATACTGGGTGAATCAAACTGGAAATCAATTGGGTGATGTTATTAGAGAAAATACTTCGGATAATCAAATATCAGTCAATGTTGCTCAGTTCAAACCAGATGAAATCAAATTGAATATTGATGGAAATCAATTGATTATCGAAGGAAAACATGAAGAAAAATCAGACGAGCACGGCCTTATTCAACGACATTTTATTCGAAAATATACACTTCCACAAGGAATTCAAGCTGAAAATGTCAAAAGTGAATTGAATTCGGATGGAGTTTTATCAATCAAATATGAACAATTGCCAAAGACAACACAAATTCCTATTACTTTTGTTACTTCCAAATGATCCCAAACTTTATTTTAATTAATAATTTATATTTTATTACGGTTATTAATAAAGTATTATTAAATTGAAAAATTGTACTTTTGTTATTCTTCCAAACACAAAACCTCATTCTGAAGTTTTCTCCTTGATTCTGGTATCAGATTCGGTGTGAATATCTGAAGAGTTTTCATAAAATCACGGAAATCTCGTTGATAATGTTCTAAAACATCAATGTAGTTCAGAATTTTTGAGTATCTTGCTCCGCCTTCTTTTTTTCCGTATTGGAGAAAACAATATTCGAGAAGTGCTTTTCCAAATTTATTCTTTTCGTTTTCGACAATTCGTTGACCATGTTTTGAAAGAGTTGAAGCTAAAAAATGATTTTAAAAAATAAACTTCTGAAGAGTTGCATACCAGAATTACACACTACAATCGCTTTCAATAACAAATATTCTGGAATTGTAAATTTATCTCGTATAAGCGGTTCCATTATTCTCAAACTCATTACTCTTTCAAAATGTCTAACAGCTTGTTCATTTCTTGTTGGTCCCGAAATACATGCTCCATCAGGTGTTTGTATAATCCCCATTTTTGCTTTATATGAATTGAAAGCTGTTGTTAATGCTAGACTCATAAATGTAGACTTTTTCATGAGTGCTAACTTATCCGAAAATTCTAACCTATCAAAAAATGTAAAAGTTTTTGCAAATTCAACAGCCATCATCATATCAAACGGTAACCATTCTTTACTGAAATTATTCAAATTTTGAAAATTTATCAAAGTTTTAGTACCCACGTTTTAATATCAAATTGTTCTAACTTGGTTTCAGCCGGTAATTGGGAACCTTCAATTCTGATTTTAATTTCAATGAGTCTTCTTTGTTGTTGAATAAATTCTTCTTGCGATAAAGGCCAACCAGGCATTTTCTAAAAAATATGTTTTTTTTTGTTTCAAAGCTTCACTCTTACTTCAAAATGCGTTGCCTGGTGCAATTGATTCGGGGATTTAATCAATGTCTCAAGATCTGGATGTTTAATTGGATTGAATTTGGAAACTCGATATTCTGATATTTTTACATCAAGATCAGAAAGATCGGAAATTAAATCATCAATGATTGTGATATCGTCTCTGATCTAAAATCATTAATTAAGTATTTATATTAAACACGACGTTTTGATTATACTTACTCCAAATCGGCTCACTGATTCAATTAATTTCATGCCGTTTTCAGATTTTCTACGATCATATAAAAAATATGCAACCATCCCAACATCATAACATTTTTGATATCGACAAAATCTACATTTTTGTGGTCGATTTGTAATTGAAATATTCTGATAACATTGTGCTTCGTATTTACAAGGAGGATAAATAATATTTCGAAGAATTGCACGACGAAAAAATGATTTACATCCATGACAAGCGGGAACCTATACATAAATTTTGAAATGAACTTTGATTTCGGGTCATTTTTTGTACCAAAAATTGAAAAAATATGAATTCTCTTATCAGGTGGAGTCAAAGTTCAAGTTCAATAATTTATAAGTGCGTTGCGAACTGTTCAATTAACATTTTCAGTTTGTTGTTAAATACATCTCAGCTCACCTTGTAATGTTTTCCAACCGCTGGCTTCAAACAAACCAGACACAATTGAGTCTCGTCGTTTTCATTTTTCATAAAATCAAAACCTTCTGTTGTAGATGAACATGGTTCTTCATCTTCTGATGACATTTTCTGATAAAATTATTTTTTTATTTGAAAGAAAAACTACAAACTATTAGCGGCGGAATAATCTTATCAGAAAAAATACGTACTTTTGGAACTAAAATTGAGAAAAGGAAAATAAAATATCATAAATATCGGAAAATTCAATAAAATTAAACAAAAACTTGTCTGCCTTTTTCAAGCGATGAAAATAGAATAGGCTAATTTTCTCGAGGTAAAAACAAAGATTATTTTCATTAGAGATTAGAGAGAAAAACTGAGTGGGAGGAGATTCAAAAGTTAATCAAAAATGGTGATTTTTGGAAAATATCCTCTCATAAGTTATAAATAACCAACAAAGCAAATAAGCGGGGATTTGAAAAATATATGTATGAAGTTTTTTTTTTCAAATTACGAATTATGTGAACACAAATCATATTTGATAGCACATTGAAAAAAAGAATAATACCATTCAAATTTCCCGAAGACAATTAGTTTCATTTTCGTTAAATTTAAAGTTTAAAGATTTCTGAATTAATGGTTTTGAAAAACAAATTTGATCAGCAACGAGACAGAACAACTGATTTTTTAATATAACAAATTTGATTTTTAAAAAACACCAAAAATGTACAAAAAAATATTCTTCTTATCTGTTTCAAAGAAAAAATAGAATGAACATTTCTTATTTTGTCTAGAGAAAACATTTTCCACGCGATTAATTGTAACAAACCGAATTAACAATCAACAATCAGAATTATGTCATTTCATATTAGAAAATGTTCAATTCAATTTGTTTTCGGAAATTATTAGACCACAGTAACAATCCAAATATTTTCATAGAAAAAACTACTCCTCATGAATGCACTTTATTAATCTGATAGATATAATACTGATTCAGTTATGAGAAAACAATGATCAGCCTGGATATATGAGATTTATTTTTTAACACCTGAAAAAAGAAAAAAAAACATTCAGCTGATTGTACAAATAAAAAAAGAAAAGAACTGATAACGAAAATAGCCAGTATTAAAAAAATGATGCCGAGAAAACTGGTACTTTTGAAGTTCAAAGAACAGATTTTTTTTATATTAAACATGAATGAGCGCATAGAAAATAATCCCAATTGATTCATCAACACATTTTTTGCCGTTGACAAAAAATTGTTTTTTGCCGCTTTGACCACAAAAATATCTGGTATTTGCGGTTGTTTCTCTGTAAATCTTATATCAGACACTCGTTTTAAAAAATATGAGCTGTACGAAAAAAAATTTCAATAATTTGTATAGCTCACAGACATCATCAAAATCTGTGATCACAAAAAACTGCTTATTGAAAGTTAAACTTTGTATTTTTCAGAAAATTGGTTACGCAATATATCAATTGATTTGATAAGGTAGTTTTGTTATTTTTCATTTTCATTGCTAGTTGAATTTTGCCCTGTTCTGATTTTAATCAATTTAATTAGCGATAAAAGGCGGAGCTTCTGGTTGCCTTGGAGAAAACCCATTTTGTTGACTCAGGCTAACTCCATAGATTTTTATTCAGTATTAATTCCGCATGAATTCGCAAACATCCGTGGTTCATTGCTCGGATAATCCATCTACGTCATACTTTGAGAATATTTTGCCAAGTTTTCTGAGTGATAATGATAAATTCGAAGAAAATTGTTTGGTTTGTCTTAGACCGGCTAATGGAAAACATTATAATGTAAGTTCAATAATTTATTTCAATTATTAAAATACCAATGATGAAGAAACTGATTTTAGGTTCCTTGTTGTCACGGTTGCAAATCATTTTTTCGTCGTGCTATTACATTTGATTTAATTTTCAAACCTTGCTTTAACGATAAAAAATGTTACACAGGTGCAAAAAATTTGGAAGAAATCAAAAAATGTCGTTGGTGTCGATATCAAAAATGTTTCGATGTTGGAATGATTCCACAATTTAGTACGAAACGAAAATGTTTGGATTCGGTTGAAAAAGTTACAGAAAATACATTAACGTTAATTAAGCCAATTGAGGTATTGTTATGATGAAAAAATAAATAACTTTGTTTTCCTAATTTCAGATCAAAGACCCCTTTCTCATTATAAAAATGATGTTTGAAAATCTCTCAAATATCGACTCAAAAATCGAAAAACTTCAAATTTCAACATACAATCCAATAATAATTCCTCAACTAGATGATCTGGTCAAAGATCCATGCAAACTTGATCTTGCAACAAAAATGAAGGTACGTAAAAAATTTCGAGAAAGAATTCATATTCATTTTCAGCCCATGTCTGGTTGGCCGCTAACACAATTAGAATATCTTGAAAAACATAAAATGTTGAGAGCCAAACAACTTTTGATTGAATCTGGAGATTTATCACCTACGGACAATTTGACGGACATCAATGTGTGAGTTGAAAAAAATCCTTACTAAAAATATGCGTATTTTTAGAAAAGATTGGTTACCATTTGATATTATGATGGCTATTGAAAATATAAAAACATTTGATTTCTTTAATGATCTTACAATCGAAGATCGAATAATTCTCATCCGTGCAACTGCGGTTATGTCAATGACAATATCAATCGTGTATTTTTCATTCAAATCAAAAAAAGAATGTTACATAAAACCAGATGGTTGTTACGTTGGTGGAGCATCAAAAAACTTAGTACTCAATACCATTTTATCGTCTTCAATGTGAGTTATTTTCTTTCAATAAAACCATTTTTCATGGTTTTACAGCAATAAAAACGATATACAGAAGAAGTGGAAAAATGGTGCAACAATAATATCATATTTCCAACGGGATCAACTAACTTTCACCGAGTTTTTATTTATAAGAGCCTTGATAATTTGCAATCCTGTTCTGGAATTATCACAAAATGCGCGAAATATTCTAGAAAAGGAACGAGATAAATATTCAAAGGCATTATTCAATCATTGTCTTTTTGAGCATGGTAAAAATGGACCACTTCGATTTTCAAATTTTTTACACTATAATGGAATATTCGAGAATCATAAGAGCGATTTACAAGATTTTATGAGAATGAATCAAATATTATATCCAATCCCAGTTCCAAAATCTCGAAAAACATTTGTCAATCAAGTGTTATGTCTAGATCTAAGATAACTCTCATTGTTAATAAAACTTTTTTTTTGGAAATACGGCACATTTTTTAATAAATTATATATGAAATTCCAAATTGTAGTTCACTTCATTAATTTATTGTCAGAAGAATCGAAATTTTTATAAAAGCATTATTAAATTTTTCATATTTTTACGTGTCCCGTGAATGTTGTCTCTGATTTCTTCTTCATTTCTGATTACTATAATCCTAACAATAAAACGATACAAAAATGTCTACAAGTGATTTGATTTTGGATGGTAAGTTCATTTTCCGACATGAAATTTTCTTCAAAAAATTTATTTTCAGTTGAAACACAAAGAAGACTTGAATATACTCGTCAAAAATTGTTGCGTATCGAACAATTGAATGAGCAATTGAAAAAAGTTCGAAAACTGAACACAGCGAATGAAGAAAAATTGGAGAGACTTGAGATTAGACGAGTTTCTTTGGAAAAAGATGCAAGTCGATTAGCAAGTGTTTCACTTCAAAACGAAGCTCTTCTTGATTGTGAATTATTAAAATCAATGGATGACAATCCAAGAGATATGGAAATGATTTGTGCTGAACAATTCAAAGTCAAAATGAGCCAATTGAAATCATTGCTGAATGAAATAATTGTAAGAACTTGTTTCAATGAAAAAGCAATGTGCACTGAAATTGGACATCAAGAATCTGAATTTGAATTACGTTTGAATGAAGCAATTCAACAACGAAAAATTGAGATGAAAAAATCAGAAACATTTCAAGAAAAAGCAAGAATTCTTTTGATCGAACAAGCAAATCTGTACGAAAATGTTAAAACTTTGGAGGGAAATCAAGAAAAATTTGAAGCATCGAAATGGTTATTGAATGTTGAAAAACGAAGATTATCCGATATTTTGGATAGAACAAAAAGAGAACCGAAACTTGGAAAAACCAAAAAATTGCTACCTGATAAAGTTGGAGAATTGACTGCAGATAAAATGTTATCAACTTTGGCAAGTTTATCTCATTCACATCTAGAAAATAGTTATGAAAATGAGGAAGAAGATCATAGAAAAATAACATCAACATATCATTCTTGGTCATCGGTTGATTTTGCTGAAAATGCTTCAGATATTGAAAATCTTTGTGATAATAATATCGATTTTAAACCAGCAAGATTTGTTGATAGAAGTGTTTCACAAGAAGGTATGTTCAAAAATATTTAGCTTGTAAATTAAAAAAAAATAAAAATTATCTTCCAGCTTGTCGCACACATCGTTCTTCAAAAAAAGAAATCGGTAAAAGTTCGGGAGAAGAAGATCTTGATTCAATTCGAATTCTACATGAAGAAATTGATGAAATTCCGGATGAAAAGGGGCATCGTAATAATATAAAACCACCTGTTGCACCAAAAGGAAAACATTGTCCAGTTCATGGAAATATGAAAAAAGTTGAGAAAGAAGTTCCAAAAATGAATGGAATCGATTTGATGAAACTTATTTCGCAAGTTATTGAAAAAGAGTATGGAACTTCTTGATTGATTTAAAAATAAAGTTTTTGAATATATTTTTTTATATTAATTCATAACATTGGACATTAATTTTTTTCTCGCTCTTTCAAAAAAAAATCACTTTTTTATTTCCGTAACCTAGTTTTTCTTTATAAATACTCAAAACAATACAACGAGTGGTATTTAGTATTTTATATTTTGACACAAAAGGTGAGCTAGAATTCTAGAAATTTAGCGGGTGAAGAAAAAATTTGCAGATACGAGATGTGTTTCTCCAAATTAAACAAGAAGCAAAAGAATAATGAAATCGCCTATCAAACTCCAGCTGCTCAATCACATCTAGATGTTGAAAAAGCAGGTGCGGGAGTTGGACAATCAAAAGAACATGTTGTGGAAAATGGAGGAAGTGGAGGAGGAAATATAGCTGGAGGTGGAACATTATCCAAAGAAAATATGAAAGATCAAAAAAATAATGAAGCTCCTGAAAATGAGAAAGAAAAAGAGAAGGAAAAAGAAAAGGAGAAGGAAAATTCTGTGAAAGAATCGTCGAAAAAATCGGAGAAGAAACCAAAAGTTTTGTCTCCTCCAAAAGTTTTGTTAGCAAAAACTTCGATCAAGCGGCAAATTGATTCGAAAGATCCAGCATATGCGACGCTTGATGGAGATTATCCAGTTTTTGAAGATGCTAATTTATCAGTTATTCAAAAATCAAGTATGTTGGATAAGACGCAATGCTATACTGAGAAATCGCAAAAATCAGGAAAGTCACAAAAATAAAGTTTTTTGCTCGTTTTCGTCTATATTTCTCCCTCATAAAAAAAACGAAAAAGTAGAAGTATTCGTGTGTTTTATTGGTGTGTTGTATTTATCTCTCTTATAAAAATAATTTTTTAAAAAGCGAAATCACTGAAAACTTGGCGTCACATCAAGTGTTTCGATGTGTGCAAACACCGCTTCGATTTTTTCAAAAAATCAAGAGAAAGGATAACATAAAAAGTATAACAGTTGGAAAGATTAATCGATTCTCTATTGGCACCAAAATAGAAAATTAATTAAATTTTACAACGACACTCCGGTTTGCCCGCTGTTTAGCGCAACGCGAGAATATTTTCATTTTTCGGTTTTTTTCGCTGGGTTTTCAGGTTTCCGGGGAAAATCAGTGGATTTCAGTCATAAATTGAATTTTTAGATGTTCTACAAGGCTCGAATTATCTATTCCAACGGAAAATCCGAGGATTATCGAAGAAATGTGGGTTTTTTCTGGAGAAACACTGTTTCGATTGAAATTTTTGAGTTTTCAGAGTCAAAAATGATTTAAATGTGATGAAAAATTCAAATTTTCTGATTTTCAACTAGAAATATTGATGGACAATTGGATTTGTCAATAAGAATGTCAATAAGATGGAAAACATGGAGGATCTCGAGTTTTCGTGTGATTTGAGAAATAGAAGCGATTGGTGAGTTTTTTTTTTGGGGGGAGGGGGGAATTTCGAAAAAAATAGAAAGAAGTTAGGCTAACTCATCAGAATCTGGGCCCAAAAAATCTAGTTGAAGAAAAAAACAAAAACTGAATTTTGAAAATTAGAAAATGCGCTGACAGCTAGCACGCGAGCCGGCAGACGGCCGTCGAATTCTGATACTAATTTGCCAGTTTGCTAGCTCGCAGACAGCGCCTGCTAGGTTCTGCCAGATGGCCGCGAGGTTGCTAGCTGGCAGAACCTAGCAGGCGCTGTCTGCGAGCTAGCAAACTGGCAAATTAGTATCAGAATTCGACGGCCGTCTGCCGGCTCGCGTGCTAGCTGTCAGCGCATTTTCTGAGAAATTAAAAAAACGTTGTGCGAACAGTTCGATAGAGCGCACTTTCTTTCTTTTTTTTTCTCTGCGCTCTCCAAAAAGAAAAACTCTCACTTGTTTCATTTTTGTACAGAATTTAAAGGTTGTCTTTGATTTTTAGCTAATTAGGAATGAGTTTTATTTTTGTCCACAATGAAATTTCCAAAATTCCTGAAAAATCAAGCTGAAACCTGATTTTTAAGTTGAATTCATAAATCCTAGACCCGCAAAAAAATATATAGTCTAGATCACGCGGGATTTCAACAATTTTTCGTGGTTCTTCTTTATCGATTGGCACCCCACATTTCGAGAAAAACATTTTTGAAATGAATTTTTTATTTTGTTCACGTTATTATTTTAAGAATATTCGAAAAATTCTCTTTTTTTTCAGGTTGGACTCTCATTTCTTGAAATATTTTCTTTGGTATTCGTCCTGTCTTCAGTGAGAGCTCGCAATTCACGGTAAGAGGGAATTTATTTTTCTTTCTATAACCCAGAGAAATTCCAGATTGCTTGAGAATTCGGAATTGACAATGAGTGAGCCGATGGTGAAAACAAAATGAAGAATTTGAGGATTTGATTTGAGGATACAACTGCAACTCATGTCAGGTCAGTTTAATTGGGTTTTGGGTTTGGTTTTGGGGGTTGGGTGAAAGAACACAGTGATTTGTGTTAAATTATAACAGGTAAGTTTGGGGTATAGTTGTATAATGTATAATTTGAGACGAGATATGCACTCTCAGTTGCTCACAAGCCAGGACTTGTGGAAAAAGAGGGAAATCCCTTAAAATATATTTTTTTTTCATTTTTTTCTATTATTTTTATATTTTTTTTTTAATATTCCACATTCGGATTTGTTTTCAACTAGCTCTTTATTCTATTAATTATCATCATTATTTTGATAATCAGATATATCCGATTCAATTTTCAAATTTTAATAATGGCTGTACTATTTTATTTTTCCAAACTTCGATTTAAGTAATAACCAGATTTTTCATCGTTTTCTGAATTATTTCTTCCTCGCTATCTTCATTACAAGTCTTCAACAATTTTTGAAAACCCTAAACGAAATGAATTATTTAATAAATAGAAATTTATTTTTTGGTAAACCTACATTTCCAAGAACATGTTCAGCGATCAAACTATAAACAAAAGAATATTGTGTTATATTTTGACAAGAATGTAAACGACCAGTTCGAACTTTCTCCAAACATTTCATCATTTCAAAATTTGCTTTTTCATTATGCAAAGATGAATGTGAATTTTCAAAAAGTGCATAAGTTCCAGCTCTTCCACAACCAGAAAGTGAAACATAAACTGTTGTTCCATGATATTTTCTGAATACTGATTGTATTTGCCAAATTGTTGTCGGATTTTGTGGAATTCCATTATGAGGCCAAAGTTTGAAGTGATGAACATGAAGAAATCTAGGAAAAACAAGACTCATAAACATTTAAAAAAAATATATCAACTCACGATTTATAAATTCCATTAGTCACACTCAAAACTTTCATTTCCCATCCTTTTTTAATTTCAACACTTTTATATTCTCCGACTCGAATATTTCTTTCTTCAAAATGAAGAAAATCCTGATTTTTTGGAAAAACAAATTCTCCTCCAAGTTCATCATATTCACTTTCAGTTAAAAGTAAAAGCATGCCTTTAACTGATTGATCAATAATCTAAAAAAATTGATTAGTTGTGGGATTCGAGGAATATTCGCCCTTACCATTTGCCAAAAATCACAAGCTGTGTGTGGAAGAGGTAATTGTGTCAATATTGCAGATTTCTTCTCGTTAATTTCGACCCAATTTGCATGAATATAAGTGTCATCGCTTAATTGAACACGTGAATGATCCAAACAAACAACATCTAAAGAAAAACGTGTGTTAGAGCTTTTTTTAGCGAGTTGAAAGAATTTTTACCAGAAAATCGATTTTTCTCCATATTTGTGACAAAGTAATTTTTCGAAACGAAAGGTGGAATATAGCCAGACACCAAATCGTATTCTTTCTGTAAATTATCTAAATTTTTTGTGTATGAGGTAAATATATAAAATCTTTAGGGTACCCCCAAAGTATGTTAGAAGAATTCTTTTCGAATCAATCTTTGCCGAAATTAACTGACCATTGGAACTTGTGCATCAAAATCATTGATCTGTTTTGCCAATGCCATCCATTTACTTTTTCCTTTCAAACTTCCTTTTTTATCTTCTTCTCTTGCAGTTTGAGTTTCATCTCTTTCTTTTTCTTTTTCTTTTCCTTTTTCATTTTCTTTTTCTTTCTTTCCTTCTTTTTCCTTTTCTTGTTTCTCTTTTTCTGTTCCACTCACAACCAGTTTTTCTTTGCTCAGTGATTCTTTTGCATTTTCTTGACCTTGTTTCGGGTTTGCCATTTTCTCTTCTTTTTTCTTTTGTTGACCACTTCCATTTCCACTTCCAGATTCTTGTTTTCCAATTTCTTGTTGTTCTGGTAGTTTTGGCTTGTTTTCATCAATTTTAGCTGGATCTTGAGTGACAACTGGAACATTTGCAGCTGGTTCTGTAACTGCTGGTGGAGCTGTTGTTGGAGCACCAGCTGCAGCTTTTGCTTTCGCATTCTTCACTAATACAATTTCACCAAGTTCTTCATTTGGTGGCGGATTCATCGGTTTTGGTTGTCGTGACACATTTTTCGACTTTTTCGATTTCTTTCCCTTCTTTTTCTTCTTTTTTCCACCACAACATGCAAATGGTCCTTTTCCACTGTTTTTACTTTTCGAGTTTTTCTTATTCCCTTTTTTCTTGTGATGATTGTTTTTATGTTTTCCACCTTTTTGATTTTTCTTCGATTTTGTTGCTGGATTTCTCGCTTTTTTATTTGGCTTTGCGGCTCCATTTGCTTTTTTCACCGCTGCTCCTTCCATTTATCACAGCCTGAAAATATTTGTAAAAACAAATCGAGATTACTGTATCCTACCTATCGTAACAATTTTCCTTTCTGACAATTATTCAAACTGATCATTTCTGGATTATTTTTGACATCGTACGTTTTTGGGTCACGTAATTTATTTTTTTTTCGTGCTTGGGAAAATATTCCTCGGCGCTAATTTGTGACACGATTTTTCGTTGGGGCAGAACGTGCCTTCTTATTTGGTCAGCAGCTGAAAGTTGAAGTTTTCGGAAAAAAAAAGTTTGAAGTGATCATTACAATTTGTAATGGAAACTAGATATGAACATATCTATATTCTTGATAATATTGAAATTGATTATCTTTTCGAAACTTCAATTTTCACAGTATTCATATCATTCGTGGTGAATATTTTTGGATTGAATATGCTAATTAATCACTCAAAAAGAGATAATACATCATATCGATATTGTTTAATTGTATCACAAATAACTGCTTTCATACCACAATGTTATTGGGGAATATGTCAATGCACAATTGCTCTTTTTCCATTTCCTGGTTTTATATCTCAAGGAATTCTAGCTAGTTATGTTTCAACAATGATTTTATTCTTCACATGGTTTGGTCTCTTTACCATTCATGCTTTATCATTTATTTATGTATTGATTATCCGATTGAAAATTGTCGAAGCATTTATCACAAAAAAATCATCAAATTATACTTTATACATCACTCTGGTTTCCATTTTATTAGGTTTTTGTTGGATATTCATCATATATTTTATTTTTAACAATGTCGCATCTGTAGAATACATATCATCTCATTTTCCAAATTATATTCATCTTTTGCAAGTAAAAGGTATTTTCATAGTCACTGATGAGATTCTCTTACGATATTCCATTTGTATTGTTGTCTTCACTATTTTTAGTACAATATGTGTGAGTCAATTAGTAGTTTATCATGATAATTCCAGAAGGATTTTTCAGTTCTACATTTATCTGTGTTATAAAATAATTGGAAATGTCAAATCGCAACAGAACAAAATGAGTCGAAGTCAGAAAAACCACCAGAAAAAGGTTCTATATGAATCTATAATTCAATCCTGTATAAAATGTGTTACTTGTGGAAGTTGTGGAACATGGTGGGTATTGTTATTTATATTTGCCCCTATCGGAAATGTGAACAGTTAGTTTGGGAATTAGTGCGAGAATATCATAAAATTCAACAATATTTCAGTGTTCACTTTGATTGTTCATTGTATATTTGTTGGAGCTCCAATTCCTGGAACTATTGTTATGTTATATCAACATCCAACTTATTTCAAGAAAGATCTGAAAAAAGTTTCAGTTCCAATTATTCAACAATCTTCTATTCAGAATTATTTGCGAACTTGAAAAATAAATGTTTATTCATGTTATTCTTTCAATTATTAACAAACAAAAAATAATTGCTAAAGAAGAGAAATTGATGCATAATTAGGTACAGCAAAGAAAAACTAGTATTAAAGGAATGTAAAAGAAAACCCGTATTCAGACCATTTTCGGAGAATTCCCGTAATTAATTATAAGTTTGTGTATATCACAATGAAAAGAATTGTCGAATCCGTATTAACACATACATATATAAATATCGAATTTGTTACTAATTGTGAATCTATTCAACCGTTGAGATTTTCAACGAATCGTCCAATTTTGAATTATCAATTAGTTCTTCTCTCGCAACTTCTGATTGTCCTCTTGATGAACAATCCCAATCTTGTTGATTTGCTGAAATAAATGGATATTAGAATATTGTTCGATAACTTTATTTCTCACCTGTTCCACAACATTGGAAAAATATTCCAGTTACAAAACAAAATGACTGCGATTGCAAGAAAAACCATTGTCCATTCATCAGCTGATCCAGTTTTTGTAAATGCACCAATATGATATGGTGCAAGACTTGAAGCGCCTTGTGCCCATAATCTTGAGAATGCTGCAATTGCTGCAGTTTGAGATGGGGCTATTGTGACAACACTGGTATTGTATCCTGGAATGTAGCCAGAAACAAATGCCATTGCTAATGTTATCAAAAATATGGCAAAAACTCTTTGAGAACAATCACAAAAACATAACATTCCGAAACATAATGCGATTCCAAATGATGCTGAAAAAATCGAAATATAGTAATCATATATATTTTTCTGTAAATAGTTCTTACCACTACTATTTGATATCTTTGTTACAGTATCATGGCTAACCCATTTTCTTGCTTTTGCTTTGTCTGCTAATCCGGCATAGAACACTTTTGACACAAATTGACCAATGAAAGGCAAAGCTGACAAAATTCCATTCGATGTCAAACTCATATTCAAAACTGTTTTATAATAAAGAGGAAGATATGTGACAGTTCCAACAGTTACATAATTGTGTGCAAATGAACTGGCAGCAATAGCCCAAACACTTGTTGAAGTCAGAATTGCTTTCCAATTGGCTTTCTAGAAAAAAATATTATTGAAATGAATTTCTGGTTATTCACGTCATTTTTTGTTTTTGTTTTGTAATGTCAGGTCGACTTATTTTTTTATCAACTTTCAGTTGAAAACACCCCCGTAAACTTTTACAAAACTAACATGTGGTTTTTGCCTTTTTGCACACGATGTTATATGTTGCATTTCTTCTTTTGAAATACAATGTTCAGCATCTTGAGGAGTGTCATAAACCATAAAATACCAAGCAATACACATAAAAATACCAAATACGGCGTAAACATGGAATGCCATTGGCCAACCATAAGGAAGTTGACATAACTCAGCAGTAGCAAACATTGCAATTACAACTGATAATTGATTACCAGTTGTAGCAATTGCCAAAGCAGTTGATTTTTCATTTGAAGGAAACCATTGTGCAATAAGAACTGACATACACGGCCATAAAACACTTTGTCCAAATCCCATTATAAATCGAACAATTATAATGGGAAGTGTTCCAAAATCAGTCCATACAGCAACTGTTGGTGTTAAAAATGTACCAATAACATTTGCAATACCACCATATAACACAGTTTTTGATGCTCCGACATATCGATTGAGATGTTCAGAGAATATTGTAGCAAAGAAACCGCCAACATAAAAAGATGTGAATATTACTGCACGTTCTTGAGATGTCCAAAATATTGTGCCTTTCTAAAAATTAAATATACATATTTTGCTTGATTATTATGAGTTATCAAAACTCACATATTCTTTAGTTGTTGAATTTCCAAGTTCTCCAAAAGTTAACAAAGGACAAGAAGGTGATGTCAAATTATTGCTGTATACTTGCTTTCCTTCACTTAATGCCGTACTATTTAACATACAAACGATTGCCTGAAAAATAAAATAGGAATCCCTATTTGAAATGAGGAGGGAGAATCAAAAGATCATACTACATACACGCATAAATATATGTATCATGTGAGCATGAATAATTTATTATTTGGTTTGAAATTGAGGGAAGCGACTAACAAACTTTTCCGGATCAGAGAAATACAATTTTTGGTTTTTGTTTAAACAAAAATTGAGATACTGTAACTACGTAGCAAATACAAAAATTGTATTTTCTGACTAACAATGTCTCAAAAATTGGCTTCTCAATTTGAAAAAAATAAGAAAAAAAACTAACCATATTCAAATTGGATCTCATTAATCCTTCGATAGTTAAAGCAAGAGCAATTGCTACCGCAACACGCAGCCGCATGCTGCGCAACGTCCATAATTTACACGTGCTCATACAAAATGATGATGTCTGAAAAAGAAAAAATGAACAAATAAATACAAACTATGGGAAAAAATAATAGGTTTGTTATTCGAATAAGTTCTGATACGTGACGAAATAGCAAAAATTGTTATTGCAAAATCAGCAAATGGCGGAAAAGTTCAACATATAATATTAAAAATGGATTATATGTAAATTTTTTCCCGATTTATTTAAATCTGGTGTTTGGTGAGAGGAGGGGCGGGCAGAAATCTACAGTAGTTTGGGAGGAAAACGAAGAAACCCCTTATTATGTATTGAGATAATTACAAGTTGGAAATGGAGCTCTTTAATCTACTGAAGAGGAAAATATGACAATGATTCATAGAACAAGCGTCATTTGACTATTATTCTAAAATGACTGAAAAATCAGTTCGTTGAACAGAAAATCATTAGACATACGCGACATTAATGAGAAGGAATGTACCCAAATTCTCTAGACAGCTAAAAAGCAACAAAAAATTGGCAACACTACTGTGAAGCAGAGGAAGAAAAAACTTAAAGTAAATATTGACTATCAAATGATAGTCGAAGTCAACGATCAAACACCATAAATCCAAGAGAAAAAGAAAAAAGAAGGGTCCCAAAATATTTTCATTTGGGCTTCGATATACTCGAATGGAAGAGATCAATGAGCGACGACATCAATGTTCAGAAGCAGCTTATTTGTGTATTTGGAAAAAAAACGAGAGAAAAAAGAAAAGAAGAAGACATGTGCATATATCAAGAAGCTGGCTGAAAATAGGAAGAAGGGAGTGAGTGAGTGATTAAAACACAATATTTTAATGTGTGATCTTTTTTTTAGCGAATCGGATTATGTTTGTATGAACAGAATATCAAATTAACCTCATGAGAATTCATGATTTATGAAAATAATCGGGATTATTTCTGTCGTGAAGAGAATATTTGATCTCAGTTCATAAAAACAGAGATTGGTTTTGAAGTTTTGATATCAACAACTGATCATTAAAATTGTTTGGTTATGATATCAGAATTTTTTCTCCAACGTCATAGACAAAACAATTGTATTTTGAGAAAGAATTAAACTAAGAATAGAAAATTATTTCGCGGAAATATGCATTCATTAAATATTCGAAAATGAACTCAAAAATATCGCGAGTCTGGCACACTTACACCAGAGAACTCAATTTTCAAAAAGTGTGCGAAACATGCATCAAAAATTCCACGAAACACAACAAAAAACAAGTTAGATAGTTAGATTTTTGAGCTCTAATCTGTGATCGTCAAACGAAAATATATACTCTTTTTGTTGTAAGTAAGTATTTCAGCATCCAGAAAAGAGAAAAATAGGATCTAAACTAGAGAAAAGAGACAGAGAAAGCAACATATTGAAAGAGGAAAAAAAGAGTATTTTTTGGGTTCCGATGTCCGATCATTAAAAGTTCATGTTATTTTTGTCTGAAAAGTAGCAAATTGAGGGATATGTTTGATTTCCGATTTCTTAATAAAGTTTATAAGATTTCATATGCCACAGTTATTAAAAAAATGTCTGAGATCTGATCTCAGTTTCATCTGCCTTTTTTGGTATTCTAGAAATTCTCAGCTAAAATGTTAATTAAATTTCATCGCCAAAAGCAAAACTCAGACAAAACAAAAATCAAAAGTACGAAAAGATTCGAAGCATTTCAAATAGAGAGATTAAAAGTTTTCGAGATTAGAAAATGGCACAAACAAATAATACTATGTAACAAGGAACTTCTAAGAAATCAAACCGAAGAAAAAATGAAACAGCTGATAATTTTTTATAGAAACAACTCAAAGACCGCCGGAAGTTTTAGTTGCGACAAAAATCAATTTTCTAAAAGCGGAAGGCGGAAAAGAGAAAGAAATTCCGAGAAAAAGTTTAGCTGTTTCATGATCATTTAGAAAGTTCGAGCAGAAAAAAACACACAAATACTCTTTTTGTTTTTTATTTCGACACAAAAATAATAACAATTTTGAATTTGAACATTGAACACCTAATTTTTGTTGTGATGTATGAAATTTTCAACAAAAAAGGTTTTTTTCAGGATGATATTTTCCAGTATCCAAAAATGGCAAATACGTGGGTGAAACAGGAAAAAAATGTTTAGTGGAGCGAGAAATTATGAAAATGAGTGAAGGAAAAAAAGACAAAAATGTGGGCGGATTTTTCTTCCAGAATCATTTTTGGTTGGAAAAAAGAAACACTTTATGATCATTGAGATTTAATGGAAGATAGATAAGATATCTGAAAATGAACCAGAACATTGATTTCATTTTTTTCAAATATCAAATTCAAACAATCACATTAATGGCTTCGAAAACAACAAAACTTTTATTTTCAGCAGAAAAAAATCATCTGACTTTTAAACAAAAAAAAATAAATCATCAAAAATCATGAGAGAGAGAGAAAATTAATTAAAAATGTTTGTTAATGAAAAAAATTTCAATAAGTTTCGTCAGGAAAATATTCGAGAGATCAGCCAGAGAAACTTTTCACGAAGAGGAGAAGGAAATAAGAAGAAGAAAAAGAAAATGAAATCGATTTCAAACTACACCGAAAATGGGATCAAAACACAATAAGAAATTCAAAGATAACCAAAAAAGTCCGCAAAAAAATGCGTGCGGTTTTATTCTCCAAATAACAAAACAACAACAACGTGTAAAAGATTCAACGACATACACCAACGTTGTCTGCGTCTCTTACTCTCTATCTCTTTTCTTTTTTCTTTCGTTTTTTCTTTGCTCTCTCTGAGTCTCACTCATTTCCATCTCAAAAAATCGAGAGAAAAAGAAAAGGAAACAACATATAAAAATAGGAGACGCAGGTAAAACATCATAGAACACTAGATTTGTGATCGTTTCAGTGTGTTGGTGTTGAAGAAGAAGAAGACGGAAAAACTAGGAGCAAAAGAAAAGATGCGAAAAGAGGGTCCCGCAAAAAATATTCGGAGAAGAAAAGGGAAATCGAAGAAATAAAAGGACACATGATTTTTGAGCTCAAACTTTTGAGCCTGATCTTTTTTTGTGGAAAATCCAAGTAATTATTTTTTACGCGTGGATGCGGTAAATTGTTTGGAGATAACCTTTACATGTTCTTTGATGAAGATTAAGATAACAAAAGGAGAAAAAGATGAAAAGTGCCTAATTTGATAGATCATGTCCAGATTGTTATCTCAAAAAACGAGCAAACTAAACTTATCTTGATTTACCTATTCCTCATTATTAAACGGGAGATGAGGTATGAGATTCAAACATATCTCAAAATTTATGTATGGCAAATTTGGAATATTTTTTAAAAACACTGGAAAACCTTATCAAAAAGCTTAAATCACTCAATTTTTTAGACAAAAATTTTTGATTTCAAGAAAATAGTGCCTTTAACTATTTATTACAAAAGATCTCTGTTTTTTTAAGAGATAAACTTCATTTAAATAAGAAAAAATATTTTCAAAAGATCAAGCTTGATAATTGCAGACCTCGTGAGAAAAACTAGTTCATATGCACTCAAATAACATTAACAGTTTTTTCTTTGTGAATGGGAAATTGTGAGAAAATGGGACCTGCTAAGAGATCAAGAGTTATTGTTTTTATTACTATTATAATAAAATAGAAAATGTATGTAAATAAAGGAATACATCAGGAACATTTATTTTATTATTATTATAGATTTATTACTACTATTACTGTATGAGAGTTTTTTGTGGTCTTTGTTATTCGAGTACAAATGCACTCAAAGAATCACAAATGATGTTTGTGAATAAATGAAAAGAAAACAAAAGAGGCGTTTTGAATTTCTATGAGAGATTGTATTTTTATGAGAGACAATTATGAGAAAAAAATTATAACGTTTTTCTGAAATCGGGGGAAAAAAAAAGGAAAAATTGACCATGTGAACTATTTTTATTATCTATGATTCATGGTTTTCATATCTCATATAATATTTTTTACACAAAGAAAGACGTCTGTACAAATATAAAATATAATACATATATCTGATCAAAAACCTAAAGTTCAATCAACAAATTTTTATTCAAAAAATTACGAGAAAAAAGAAAACTTTTAAAAACCAATGGCTGTCAAGAAATATTATTCTTTGACCTTAAAAAGTACACATTTCTCTCATTTTTTTTGCAATTTTTCGGTCAAATAATACTAAACCAAACCTTCTACGTGCGTTTAGTTATTTGAACAACAAATATCTAAATTTATGAGGAAAAAAGATGTTGATGTTTTTGAAGACTCTCAAATTTCACACTTTGAAATTAAAACATCAAATATTATTTTATGGAATTGATGAAAGAAACAGTGACATCCACAAAAAGTAAGATATATATTAGAAAAAAGAATCACCGGTTAAAATATTCACGAATCAATAAATATGTAATAACATAAATATCACAGATTACTATACGAAAAAAATAGTACAATTATATTTATCACTACAATTTTGTTGTTTTTCTTATTTTCGTAACGTTTTTGCACTTTCAAGTTCTCTTGTCAGCCGATTTTTTGATTCGTTATCATTTTGATTATTTAGAAGATTCGCGAGAAAGTCGATATAAGCTGTTGCAACTTTCAGAGTGGAAAGTTTCGAAATTTTGAGTTCTTCTTGAATTGGAAGACATTCTCGAAGATTGTCGAACATTTTTGATAATTGTTGAACACGATTTCGTTCTCGAGCATTTGCTTCAGATCTGAAAAAAATGAATATTTTTGAAATAAGGTCATTTTTTAAAAATCGTGAGCTAATATTTTAAAAATCAACTCGTGAAAAAAACTGAATTTCACGTTTTCATTTCTCAAAAAAGAAATTAAATCATTTCTTATTTTTTATTCAAAATTTTGATTTGAAATAACTTTGAAATTGCCACGGTCACGTTTTCGATTTTTACATTGAACTACATTTTTTTGTTCAAAACACTTTTCCTAATCTAAAAACTGCTGAAAAAAATAATTTTCCTTTTGTTCCTATAGGAATATAAGCATTCCTGTTCATATGTTTAGATCTTGATGTTCATCATAACAATTCCTTATACATAGGATTTCCTTACAGGTCTTCTTCTTTTCTTCTAAATAGGCCACCCACCTTCTTTCATAAAACCGATCTTTTTTCTTTGAAACTTCCACATGTTTTTTCTCCTTTTTCTTCTTCGATGTTTTCATTTGATTTTCATCTTGATCTTGATCATCGACAACAATTAGAGATTCCTCAACATTCTTCTCCTCATCATCTTTTTTCAAACCTTCTAATATTGCTACAAATTGTTCATTCATATATTGAGTATACATTTCAAGTAATGCCATTTGAATTTGTTCTTCAGTCAGTGTTGAATTCGATTCTTTTGCAGTTGTTGATAAATCCAATGGTTCATCTTGGATTGACATTTTTCAAAAAAAAAACCTCGCTGGTTAATGAAATAATGAAAATGAAAAATAATAATATGGCGTCTGTCTGAGTTTGACAGGTGCTTCTTTGGGATTGATTAAAAGCCAGAAGCCTTGAGGATTAGTAGTAGTTGAACAGAAAAAGTAGAGTAGCAGCTGGAAACACGCGCGCGAGAATATATATGAGAAAAAATGGAAAAAAAGAGCATCACATACCGATTAGACACAGATGTGCTCAGTTTTTGAACAGATGAGCAAGAACAAATTGCTTCATTTCATAGATAAATAAACACTGCTTGTTTTTTGTTGAAATTATTTTTTATTCTATCAATGGCGAGTAGATAAATAGAAATATATAATATATGCGACACATATTGTACAGACATATCCCAAGGGACAAGAATTAGGCAAAAAAACACAAAACGTCAAGGAAAATTGAAAAATAATAGGCACACAATTGAGCAAATCAGGATAGAATTATTATATGTTATTAAACATATTTAATAAAGATAATTGGTCGGTCGATCGTCAAGAGTATAAGCTGCTGGAAGATCGAGGTTCACTGGTGGAACTGTTGAATAAGGCCGATCAAGAACAGAAACTGGAGCATTGTAGACTGATGCTGCAAACAAACATATTGATGATTAATCTTTCTTTTGAAACTTTTTTGTCTTTTTAGAACTTACTAGCTGATGTTTGAATATAATGTTCTTCAGCAGCAATATCGGCATCCTTTTGTTTTTTGCGTTGATGACTCATTCCATATCTAATCATTGCCAAAAGACAAATTGAGATTAACAAAATTGTCATAATAATTGCCAAAATGATCCATCCAACCATTGATAAAGCGCGACCAACAAGTGGTTGAGCTTCTTCATTGTTTTGACAGAAGTCAACAGATCTGAAAACAAAAGCATATTGATGAAAATGTGAAACTTCGAGCAGGACTAAAATGAAATTGGAGTTTAGAAACAAACGTTTTCAGATCTTGAATTAATAGTCAAAAACCAAACAAACATACCTCAATGGTGTTCCTTCAACTGGACATCCATTTGGCGAAGAAACACAAACAGCAAGACATCCTGGTTTTTCAATATCAATATCAAGATTATCACGGAAGAGTTGTCTCATCCATTCAAGTTCGTTATTACAATACCATGGATTACCGCATACATAAATATTACGACGATCATTTGGAAGTGGGAGGAAACTGTTCACAAATACATCACTTGGCATGGTTTGGAGAAGATTGTAACTGAAATAAAGCGATTTTTCGAATGTGAAATGACCAGGCCGACCAATTGCCATAGATACTTTTCATATAAAATTTTAAAAATTTTTGTTCATTTGGTGCCAATTTTCGAAAACCTCTAATCTAATCAAAACAAATGAGTCATGCATAAAGTACAAAAGGGTGTGACCATTTTTCACCAAACAAATATTCTTCTTCTTCTTCTAATATTTACCTGATATCCAAATGACTAATCGATGGAAGATTGGCGAAACCAAGAGATTGTACATTATCGATTCGATTTCCTTGTAAATCAATTGAATATAAGTCGTTGAGACCTTCGAAGAAATCGGCGCGAACTCTGCAAAAATTCAAGTATTTTTTGGCAACACCTTCAAATGTATTATAAAACAACAAACTGTGAAAGTCGATTTTTGTTGAGAACAATCGCTTGAATTTGTGGTGTTCTCTGGAATGCACCTCTTTCGATGGTATCAACAGCGGCTTCAGACATTTCGAGTCGAATTAAATGTGGAATGTGCTGGAAAAAAATATAATATTCAAAATTAGTTTTTTTTCAAGATGAGCTGGAGTTGAAACTAGATTCTATTCATTGTGTAAATATTTACTAACTACATAGAAACTTTGTCAATAAATGTGTGAGTAATTTGAGAAAGTTGACTAATTATGTTTGAAAAAAAACTCACCATAAACGCGTTATTTGGAATAACAGATATTGGTGTTTCTCCAATTCCCAAAGTTTTCAATTGTGTAATATAGCGGAACATTTCAGGTGCCCAAGATGGGAACTTATTTCCAGTCATGTACAAAAATTCCAAATTTGGAACTCCTTGGAATGCTTGTGGTGGAATAACAGTAATTCCATTGAATTCGAGAGAAAGTGAGGATAAAACTGGAAAATCCAAAGCACCAACTGGAACATCATTGATACTATTAAGACCAAGATTGAGATTTGTGAGAGTGTTGCGTTGATTTACAAGCGCTGCAGATGGAATTGATGTCAGAGAATTGGTTTCGAGCGAAAGTTGCTAAAAAATATATATAATTCATAACTTCGAATACAGAAAAAATACCTGTAAAAGTGTGAGTGGTCTGAAAACGGTAGCATCTCCAAGTGTCGAATCAGTTAGTCGATTTCCAGCCAATTCCAATTTTAAAAGCAAATCTTTTGACTCAAAAGTTGTGAAAGCATTTGGTGACAATTGATTAATTCGATTTCTATTCAAATAAAGTTTGCGTAAATTTCGAAGTCTTGGAAGTCCAGTTTGTGGAATTTGTCCCAAATTATTATCATTCAAATCGAGTTCAATCAATGAATCCAAAAGTGGTCCATTGAATGCGCGATCATCAATATTTTGAAGGGTATTTCGATTCAGAACAAGTCTAAGAATTGTAAAATCTTGAAATGCATTTGCTGGAACTGTTGGAATTGCGGTATCGAGGATTGTCAATGAATCAATCTGCAAGAAAATAAGTATTTGAAGTGAAAAAAAATGAGATGAATGTTCGGAACAACTTATTAGAATAAGGAAAATTCTGACGCACGAGATGCTTCTTGGAATTTTGATTTGATTCACTTCTATGATAAAGGCTAATGTTTTGTGTGAAGCTCAAATTATAAATTTGGTTTCAAAAACCTTGAAAATCGGAATTTTCGTGTCCAACTCAAAAATGTTCAAAACTAACCGGTGTATCTTTAGCGGATTGAATTGCTTGAAGAGCATTTGACAGACTTCCAGCATTTTGACAAATAATTGCGACTGGCTCATAAACTGAAGGAGCACATCGACATGGTCCAGTGACTGTTGGACATTGGGCGATTACTTGGCTTATGGTGACTACCAAGGCCAATAATATGGCCGATTGGAAACCCATTCGATCTGAAACAAAATGAAAAAAAATTAGGAAAAAAGGTTCAGGAGATAGGAATATTAAAGAACTTCGTAATGGATTCAGAAAAAAATGACAAAAAATGAAGAAGTGTTTCAGATGCGTTCTCTGAGATAATATAGATCAGCAAAATTGTGACGCAACCTTGGTTAACCCCGAGAAACGCGGAAATAGAAGTGATAAGCTAACAAAAAGAATTGTACATGCACAAAAATGCCTTCTTCTTTTTCCTGGGCACACCTTGCGGCAGAGAGGAAATCAGGCAACGCTCAACTCAAGAGCAAAGGCGGAGCTCCCACGCGCTCTAATTTCTCCGCATTCCGCATACTATCTACAGGGCGTCAATGTGTGCTAAAGGATTAGTGTGCCGCGCGGCGAGCGGTAACCGGAAAGATCTCCAGACATAGCGAAAAAAATCAGGGAAATATGAGAAAAATATAATAGGAAGAAAGAAAATGACAACGATAAATGAGGTGATAAGAAAGAAACATGCGGTAACTAATAATCATTGTAAGATGTGGGCGCATGTTTGAACCTGTCCTATTATATTTTGCTCTTTGTTTAGAATTAACTAGTTTTATGTTGTGTAAACACGTGTTTACTCTACCTTCAATATGCAAACAGTCAAACTCATTGTTCCAAAAAGTTACTTGTAGTTTTTTAAGACAACGAACTATTTATATTTGTTCTCAAGAAATAAATTCTGGTTATACAAAAATCATTGAGAACAAGAAAAAAACATTGATTTCGAAATTCATCCTGATGTATATTTATGAAAAATGTTGCGCAACAATATTTTTGTTTGCAAACACGTTATAAACTTTGTCAAGGAGCCCAAATCTTATTGTTTGACAATAATCATCAAAGGAAAATTGCTTGCGAAATGATTGTCAACGTCACAACTGAACTTTTTCGGGATGAACTTCAGACATGGCATTTTTTTTAGAAATCAATTGCAACAATATATTCATAAAATTTGGATTAGTGATATCATTCTTTGATAAAAGTCAAAATTTCCCAAAACATTCTAGTTCTCCCAACTCACAACTTTTACATTTTCAGAATATTCCAAATAACCGTTTCCACAAATCTTTCCACAACTCTTGAAATTATGAAAATGAATATTTTTAAATAATAATGAATAATTTAGAACAGGTTACGTCTAATTTTTTAAAATTTTATTTATTCACGCGATCATTATTTTCAAAAGTATGAATTTTGACATGTTTTCATAAGAATCCACTACATTGGATTACGAAGTTTAACCAAAAAATGCGAATTTTTCATCAAAATCTGGCAGGAATTTATTTCAGAGCTTGCGAAATAATAATAGAAAAAAGATCAAAGGCAAGTTCATAGCATACAAGGAAAAACAATAGAAAAGATCACTGAAGAGCAAAACGAGAACAAGAACAAAAATCGAAAAATATGAATAACAATGCAAATATCTTCGAACACTTGACTATCTAATACAACTTCTTGTTTAATTTTCTCGTGATTTCCAAAAGCAGAAAAAACACGATAAATGTACTGATTAGGTGTCACCTTTTGTGTGTGAAAGATAATCTGGGTAAATAGTCGGAATTAATCGGGTCGAGTAAATATTTGAGACCATAAAGGAAAACGATACATGACAAGTTGAGGAAGTAAAATAAAATATATCTTTTGAGCGAGTTCTCGCAAATCGTACTATCCAAATTTAATTTTGATTGAAAATAAATGAACGAGATTCCAAAAAAATTTCGAAAAACAAAAAAAGATTGTTGATTCAGCGGTTTCGGGTGTGGTTTATTTGTGTCGGAAAAAGTGTTGTTTTGAGATGAAAGCAGAAAAAAGTTCTAATCTTTTTTACTGACACTTCACCGGTTTTGGAATATGAGAATGTGTGCCAGAAGATCAAAAGACTCATTCAAACCGGTTTAGTAAGATCAAAAATATCAAGATTCAAAAATAACTTGAACCTCGAACTCGAATTCGAAAAATTTGCATAGTTCAATTATAATAACTTTACTACGAGGGAATATGGGTATGCGGCTTTCAGGTCAGGCATTTTCCAAAGTTTTTCACGTGCGTAATTTCATTTCTGCACTTATATCTGCAAAATTTCTATTAATGTTTTGTTTCGGTTTAAAAAATTGTTCTTGACAGTTCAATCAATCACTCATATCATAAGCAGTTGCTGTTTTTTTCACAGCTTCATTTTTCAGTCATATCTATTTTCATTTTCAAAAAACATGAACTTATTCTATATTATCTTTCTGATTGGAATATCTCATTGTGAATATGATCGATTTTATAATCCTCCTCCGTGTAGTCTCAATGATTTTCTAACAATTCTTCTTTGCAATTCAAAACTTCAAATGATTCAAGAGAAATTGACTGAAATTTATTCCAAAAATAAAGAATATGGAAATAATTGGGAAGAATTGAATACAATGTGTGAAAGCTGGAAAAATTGCACTCAACATGTTTGTGGAGCAGTTAAAGATAAAGTTCAATTTGTTGGAGAAACTTGCGATTTCATGAAATTTTTTGTTAGTCCAGAATTCACAAAATGTATTGGAGAGGTAAGGTTTTGAAAAAGTCTATGAATCAAATGTAATACTTTATAGCTCAACAAAAATTCAAGTTCATGTTTTATAAACTACATAAATGCTCCACAAACCCGAAACAAGGAGAAAAAATGCGAAATCTTCAAAAACAAATGTATGGAAGAAGAAGTGGCTCAAAAATGCTCGAAACGACTTGCGGAGCGCTTTGAAAAATCTCAAAACCTTCGTATTAGTTTAGAAAAATGTTGAATAAAACCGGCCAAGCGCGAGAGCGGCAAGATAAGTTTGTTTAGCTTGTCTCTGTGTGGATGAGGAAAAATCGGTCGCGCAACAAACCGCCACTTCAAATTAGTGCATGCAAAATGTGTACAGTATAGTAGTTATTGGAAAAAAAATTTAGTTTATTATCAATAATTTGGGCAGAAAAAAATATAGTAGAAAGACAAGTTTTTGAAATATTTGTTCGATATATTTTTGAAAAAAATCACAGAATTTTAAAAGATAATAATTATTTTTATCAAGAGTTCCTAAACACTTCCCGAAGAACTTGAAGTTGATGAATACGAAGATGAAGCTGATGATGAAGATTTTGAAGATCCAGAAATTGAAGAAAGATCCATTTTTGGAGTCTCGATCTTTTTATGATGAAGTTTTTTTGTATCACTAATATCAAGATTTGCCATCAATTCTGAAGCGGCATGTTCAAGATCATTCTGAAAAAAACGTTATGAATTGTTTTGAAAGAAATTTAAAAATCTATGAATAAAAACATACCCATGGAACAATTCCAGCTAAATTTTCCATATTTCTTCGTATTGTATCTAATATAAATCGATCACTATAATCATCTTGTGAAATTACTTCGGATAATACTGTATCTTTGAAATCGTTAATTTTTTGAAATCGAATTGTATTTTTCATATCATTTATTGGTTGTTTCACAGTTGTATTCTGCTGCTGAACTCGTTTTCTCGGTGGCTGATAATTCGGATTCTCGAGAAGTTTCGGTTTTGTCAAATCAGTCAAACTTGATCTTTTTGTTAACATCGGAAGTGGGTTTTTATTCCTCTGTCGACCATTCACAAAATCATTGAGTTCTCTTTGTGGTCGAGTTAAAGTTCTTCGTTTATTTGGATCAGCTGAAGATGGTCGAGTTTTCGGATGATAATGAATACTAATTGGACTATTATACATTGAATGAGGTGGTCGAATATCTATTACAGATGGAACACCTTTTGCAAGTCGAAAATGATGAGACATTATTGTTTCTGGAGAAACTGACCATGCCGATTTTGAGGTTGATGCTCGACCATTCATTAACCTTTAAATATAATTTTTGGGATTTCAAGATGAAGTCTCATAAAAAAGTGAAAACATATTTAGACTTTGAGAATATATGTATTTGACAAAAAAAGGAACACAGATTATAATTATTTAAAAAATTCTAGGGTACAAAAAGAGCCTAAATTTTAGTCTGTTTTTTCAGGAAAATTGGCACGTTGCCAAATCATAGCGTTCTTTGGGCGGGTTAAATTCAAAAAAATTTTAGAATACAGTTTTCTTGGGGTCTTCTTTTACAAACTTAATTACAGAATATTTAATATTCAGAATAATTTCTAATTTTAAGGCTTATCAAAAAGTATAACATTGAAAGACGGTGAAGAAAATAAAAAAAATAATAATCCGTTTCTCGGTGTCGTAAAAATTAGTTGAAACACTGCCAAAAGTGGATTATGAGAGTGTGCATGTGCATATTCCATCTTCTTCTTCTTCTTTTTCTCTTCATTCCTTCTTCTACCTCCACGCGTGTCTCTTTTTTTGCAGTTTAGTTTCCATAGTAACCGTTGTCTATAGCTTCACTTTCTCCTTTTCTCTTTTCTCATTTATTTTTTGATGCGATTATAGTTAGTTGCCTGCCTAATCTACACGTCCTCATATTCGTACAACTGTGGATGTGTGGATTTTTTGCTGCCTGGCTTCTGGAAATCAATTCGTTTGTACAGAGTGGAAAAAATGAGAAGAGGGGAAGAAAATGCAAGGAAATATTTATTGAAGAGTACAAAAGTGTGGGAATAAAAATTGAGTATTAGTGAGAACAGGAAAATATTGGGAATTTGTATTTACAGATTCGGTTTCAGATCAAAATAATGCAAATTATGATATCTCGAGAAATCGATCTGTTTTTAGGAAGCTTTGTCAACGTGATTATTGGAACATTTAGAAAAAACGAAATTATCAACAAAAAACATTTGCACGCAACCATAAACTCTAGTATGTATTTCATTTCGAAACGGACCAAAATAATTAACTTCAAGCTTATTTTCAGATCATAGAAATCAACTGTTATCGAAATATTTGCGGAAAATTCTGAAACTTGGGAGGACACGTCTCTTATTATTGTGCTAATAAAGGTTAACAGATCATAACAAATTTCAATTCACACTGGCCTCTCAAATTTCATTTTCAGAAAAAATTTCAATCAACATTTGATCTTCCAGTTTGAAATGTAATTTTTCTGGATCTTCAGTTTCTCCACACTTTTCTTCACACCACTAAAATCTCAGCAGCTCAATAAAACCCCAATATTTCTCTCAACATTTTGCTCTCTTTCAATTATTTTTATAATGATGATGATGATGATAGTAGTAATAATCAAAGTCTTTTCATTTTGTCTGTTTCCCCTTCTCCTCCCACAACAATTTTTCTTTTCATCTTTTTTTCTTGTTGCTCCCGTTCGTTTTTCGCTCACCGGCAAAATTTATTTGAACGATCATCATCATTTTGTTGTTTTTCTTGTGTTGTACACTCTTTTTCTTAAAAACCACGAACATTCCCCCCACATGCTTTCAATTTTCGAAAATAGATATTTTTGAAAAAATTTCAACGTGAAAGAGATGGGTTATCAATCATAATATGAGCAATTTATTGATTTTCAAAGTATTTTTTCAACAAAAAAAACAATTTTTTTAACACCTGTTAAAAGTTTTGTTAACTTTCTTAAAAGAAAAAACTCCCTCGACTTTATTTCCCATAACTATTTTTTCTTCTTTTCTGACAAAAAAAAAATCACAAGGTACTGTCAATCAAAACATTCTCCAACCACTTTACGCTTTTCTTCATCTTTTTTTTGTCCCCCGAAAAGTGCACGTCGATCACCGTAACATAATAATTATTATTATGATGTGCTCTTTTTTTTCTTCTTGCGCACCGCGCACACATCGACTTAACATTGTTTTGTACACGGATTATCAAGTGGTTTGTCGATCGAATTTTGTGTAGAGATAGAGAAAATGGAAATGAAGAGAAAAAAACAGTTTTCTGGAAGAATTATCATTTTTTGAACTATTGCTCTTGCTCACAACATGTTTCTTTATTATCTATAAATTTTTTAGATTCCTTTCTTGAGTCATTATTTTCTCTTAAATATCTTTTCATTTATATTAAACAATTTGTTCTTGCAGAGGTATCTCTTCCTTTCTTCCACCACCAACGAACCTGTGTTTTCCACGAAAAAAACAAGTGTGACGAAACAGTGCACACGAACAGACATTATTTTTTTTGGAACAGAAAACAATATCGATTAACAAATATTTTTTGGCCACTGATTCATCATTTATTCTGTCGATTTTAGTGCAGAAGAAAAAGAAAAACAGTGGAGTTTTTTGAGAATTTTGGATTTCTGTTGTCTGTTTTCGCGAATTAATTTACGAAACGAACTTTTATCATCATCATGGAAACCAGTGTTCAGGTAAGTATCATTAAAATCTTGAATGTTAGCTGGGAATTTATAACTATTGATGACTCGGACCCGATTTTTTCGATTTCTGAATTGACTCGTTTGTTAAAATTGATTCGGTTAAGAAATAAAAATACTATTTCTAAAAAACTTTCAAAAAATTGTCTGACCCTGACTTTTTTCTTTCAAAAATTCAAAGATTCTATGGTTTTCATATTAGTTTAACTAATATATTTCGAAAAGTTGGTACTGATCGGAAATCCTTAAAAAATATTTGTATAAAACATAACGAAGAAGCATTTTTATTTCTTAAATTAACAAATTTTATAGTTTTTTTGTTTTGCAACTCTACTTGATAGTTTTGATTTTCCCTGATTTTTCTCAATACTTCCTTGACACTTCCTTCCTGATTTTTCTCAATACTACGCTGATCCTTCAATTTCTGTCAGAAAAAGTTGTCTACACCTATGTATTTACTCGTAGAACTTGTTAAACCTGATCAACGATCAACTTAACTCTTGACCTTATTTCCCGCCTTTTTTCATCATTTTTTTACTGCCAACACCAAAACCACAAGAAATCGAATTCGGTTTCTCTCTTCATTTTATCCGCCCATAATCAATACACAAATCAAGGATATATCTAGACCCCATCAAAACGTATCTATGTGTATGTGTGCAAAAATCGAGAAGAGAGAACTCTCTTTTCATCTTTCTCTATCTTTTTTGTTCTTGTTCTCTCTTCAAAAACAAAAAAAAATATATAATTTCTCTCGTTTTCGAGACGCAACTTGTTCCCTCCAATATATTTCCATAAATCATACATTCAATTTCATTTTGTCATTCAGAATATTCAAAAGTTGGAAGGAGAAGATCAAAAGAGTGGCTGTGTTGGAAACAAAAAACCCGCTAATCGACCAGCAATGCAGATTTATCGACCACCAGGTAAGTGTTTCACATCGGGAAGTTAAATTCAAAAATAATATGTGTATGTTCAGGATTGAGATCAGATGGATCAACATCTTCATCTTCATCGATAACATCATCAACAACCGCAGTAGCAACCTCTACGAAACCGAAGACGGCAGCCGGTCAAAAGCTGTCCGCCAGCGAAAATAACGATAACTCGCAAATTATCGGTAAGGATGTTATATCCATGAGTTCGGGATTTTCCAAGTTGAAAAAAATCATGAATAGACTTCAAATGAATTCAGAACTCTTGCTAAATCAAAACTTTTGCATAACTAAGAATCCTATTCAAAATATTATGTCAAAGATTTCTTTTGCAGAGAACAATAATAAATGCGGTGAATCGACGAGTTCTCGAGCTAGTTCCCGAGCATCCAATCAAATATCATCTTCAAATGGCGATGATCAACGATCGAGTTTGAAAAGAACAGAAAGCTCATTGAGTTCCGAATCAACGCCTTCTTCCCAGGTGTGTTCTATTGTTGTTCAATGTGTTCAACAATGTGTTTTGTTGTTTTCCAGAAATCATTTGGTTCCAATTCCAATAAGCTAAATGGTCAACAAATCAATTCTTCGTCTGCCAACAATCACAATCAATATAACAAACGTCTTAACAATAATTTGGCGAGAAAAGAGCAACAGCAAAAGGTTAGTTCCCCTTTTATTTCCAAACCGTTTCAATTATTCTTTTTCAGAAAAAGGTAATGTCGGAACATGAAATTGAAAAGGCTATTACTGAACTTCGAGCATTGCAACTATTTTCACATTCTACACAAATTGAACAATGGATTGGTGGAGCATTTTGCGATGAAGATTTAGCTGAATGTATTGGATCTGCTTTATGTAGACATGCTATTGAAGGCGGAGGTGGAAGTGGAGTTGCAAAATTATGCGCCAATTTCAAAAATTCCCCATCCATTCATTCTTTCGTCAAAGGTTTGACTATTGCATTGGCTCAATATTTGGAAGTTCGTCAAAAAATTCGAGATGATCATTTCCGAATGTGGATCTCATTCATTCAATTTCTCACCGAACTTTATGCCAATCTTGGAAGCGATTCGAAAGGTAAAGAATATTTATTCATTTTTTATTATCATTTGGTTCATTTTCCATTAGCGATTTTCCCGGTGGCGAAATATTGACGTGTTCTTTTTCGGATTCCCTAGGCGCCTAGAAAAACAATCGTCATAATTTTTTGTACTTCTATTTATAGAAAACCTACAGGATTTCTAGCTTTCAAAACTTGACGTCGTACAATACACATTAGAACATTTTTTAGAAATAACATATTTTCAAAATTTCAAATTATTAAAGGGTCACGTTTCAGGTGAACTTGCAACAATTGTATTTGATGTTTTCAATTATTTACTTCGTCCACCAATTTTGGAAAATGTCAAGATTCAAGAACTTGAATGTCTCATTTCAATTTTGATCAAAGGAGGATATGATCTTGAAAGAGAATGTCCTGATAGATTGGCTTTATTGAAAGATCTTATAAGGTAAAACGGATCTAATTTTTGAAATAAACATAATCAAAATTTCAGAGATGCATTTATCGATGTTCCTGAACCATGGGCTCGTAAAATGATATTGCTTCTTTTGGAACTCGGAGCATCTGGCTGGAAATTGCCGACTGACGCTAATGAATACTATTTCAATGAAACAACTAACTAATTTTTAACCGTATCCTTGTATGTATATAAATCAGATTCCCTAGAATTACTATAACTTTATCTTTTTTTTCGCAAACTTCACTTTTTTCTACCTATTTATTGAATGTTTTTTTTTTGTAATAATATTTCTAAACGTCTTTTTGGAATGAATTTGTTCGTTTATTTTGAATTCTGAAAACTATCAATAATTTTGGGTGGTAACCAAGTAGTTCTAAAGAATTCTATTGGGAATTCGCAGAGTTTGAATATCTGTTTTTGTTATTTTCAAATCATTCTCGAATGATGCCATCGTATCTTTCAGTTGCTGAAAATATATCAGCCATTGGATTTTTATTATCAACTTCCTTCTGCTTGTTTGTCATATTCGTGACACTTTGCTTGATTGGAGAATCAATGGGAACATATCGATATTTGATAGTTTTGTTTCAAATCAGTGGAATTATATTCTCGGCATTTGATGCGGCACTTCATCCAACAATTCATAATTATAATGATGGTTTTATTGTTTTCACAACTTCGAAAGATTTTAAAAAAGAAACTGTTGATATTCTTTTGGGTGAGAGTTCCGAATTTCATGTATAAAACGATGAGCTTATTTTCAGCAATTTTATCAGGAATGTATTACGCGAATCTATGTATCATTGCAATACAATTCGTTTATCGATATTGGGGTGTTTTTCAGTGAGTTATATTATATCCCAATATTTTTAAAAAAATCAAAGCTTTCAGTGTTTCGAAACTTCGTTATTTCAAAAGTTGGCGAATTTTGTTATGGATTGGATATATTTTTGTAACTTTTACTGCCAATTTTTTCTCGATTTTTTATTTTGCCAAAATTGATAAATATTCGGAAAATTATTTCAAAGATGTTCTAAGCGCAAATTACAATCTAACTATTTCGGAAATATCTGGTTATACACTTATTATTTATGTTAGTTTAACCAAATACAACATTATGGAATTTTAAATATTATTTCAGGATAAATATGGAAATGTTCGCTGGTTCAATTTATGTTATTTCATAAATTCTGCAATGATTATGGTAATTCAATATTGTATCATCATTTATACCGCATATTCATTGAGAAAAAATATGAAAATTGTAATGCGAAATGGTTCTAACTCACTTCAAAAAATGAATCGACAAGTTTTGAAAGCTTTAATAATTCAAACTTTAACACCAACTATTCTTTTCTTGGCTCCAATTATAATTTCTTTTCTGATAACATTTTTCCATTTGGATATTAATGTACCAAGTGGGATTTTTGCGTGTGCTCTTTCATTTTATCCGGCAATTGATGCACTGATTCTTATGTTTATAGTTTCTGTATATCGAAATGTTTTTAGAAGTGAGTTTGTTGGTCAAACAGGCAAAAATAAATAATTTTAAAATTTCAGGAATTGCTACATGGAATTGATATTTCTCATTCGAGTTTCTCAACAATTCTGAAATTGTAGTTATTCAAACGAAAATATTTAAAAAAAAACGATTCACGTGATCTTAAAAATTTAGCACATTTATTTATTTTGGAAACAAAAATCTCGAATAAATGGTGCGAATTTTCACAATTTTTCAGAATCATATAGTTTTATTATTAGGCAGCTCCACCTTCCATAACAGCTCCATCTGCTCCACTAGCAATTGTACCTGTTCAACAAATACCAAACAGTCCAGAAGAGGATCAAGCTCTTTGTGCAACACTTGCCAAAAAAATCAAAAACCATTATGGAGCAATTGAAGATCTTCGACAGGAAGATCGTAATAGATGGAGAGAAATTAATAAAAAATTGGAAAAATTAGAGCATGTGGTTGGTTTTTATTTATTTTTTTCAAGAGAAGTATATTTTTTGCAGAAATCGAAAAAGGATCATCTGAAAAAAGGTTCTGGGCGGAAAAAAGCACCGAAAGTTGAAAGAAAAACTTCGTCTGATGTGAGAAGCGAAAATAAAAACGAGATAGCTCCAAAAAAACAGGATAATAAAAAAGAAGATAGTGTTAATGAAAAAGAAGGTAAAATCAAATAAATAGACGTAAAAATTACTTTAGAAATGTATTTTCTATATTTCAGATGAAGAAGATTTGAAGAAAAAGAAAGACGAATGAATTGTTTCGAGACAATGTATTGTTTTTGTTCATTTTATTATTATTATGTATTCATTTACCGATCAATAAATTCTATAAAAATATTTTACTGAAAATTACGTGACGTGTTTTTTTTTGTTACGCTGTTGTGTTTATTCATTTCTGAAACATGATTTTTCTCCAAATATGGATCTTATGCCTTTCCTGTCATAATATTTTCAAAAAATCAATCTTCGAATACTTTAATTTTTGTACAAACTGTGGGTTGACTTTTGAGCACTAACATATCCTTATTATTTCATTCTATAGATTTGGCGTCATGGAGATCGAAGTCCAACTGCTTATCTCAGAAATTTATCGGTTTCTAAGAATTCTTGGGTATTCGGAGGTGGTGGTTATGGGGAACTGACTACGGTAGTTTAGCTTTAACAGTCAATCATTACATTTTTTGTTTTTCAACAAAAATTGCAGATTGGAATGAATGAACAATTTGAACTTGGCAAAAAGATGAAACAACGTTATATCGATCATAATTATTTGAGCAAATATTATGATTCGAAAGAAGTTTTTATTAGATCAACAGACAAGAATCGAACATTGATTTCGGCGATGTCAAATATGTTGGGAATGTTTTCCAGTACAGGAAGAACCGGTATCTATAGCTAATTGTAGATATTACCAAAATTTCATATTATTTTAGGAATTGATATTCCTGATAATCCAAATTGGCCAAAAGGTTATATGCCAGTTCCAATTCATGCACCTTCAGAATATAGTGATGATTGTTTATTGAATAGTATGTGTAAATGTAAGAGAACCAACGAATTATTAGAACTTGCAAGAAATGGGAAACAATTCAAAACATACATCAATAGACCAGAGGTACTATTTTTCCAATACTCCAAATTTTCAGTCAGAAATCTAATTGTTCAGCACATCCAGAGTTCCGAATTTATCGAGCTTTGAAACCCATAGAAACTGAAACCTTTGTAGGTTTCGGTTTCATACGGTTTCGGTTTCGTTTGCAAGGGTTTCGAAACCCTTGGCAAAGGGTTTCGGTTTCATACCTCTAGGCTCGAAACCCTTGAACGAAACCTTTCGAAACCTTTTGAAACCTTATGAAACCCATTTTTGAAATTGAATCAGTGAAGCTGAACTTGATGTAAATTGTCTGAAAATCGGTTTTTGAGTAGGGTAAAGCTTGAATTTCAGCGTCTGCTAACATTTTAAGCTTAAGCTTCATCCCAGAAGCTGTTATCAGTGATTATCAGTGAAATTTCAAAATTATCAGATTCAGCTGGGATTTGGAGGAAATGATGTTTGGTGATAGTAGATGACATTTTTGATAAGTTTAGAGCTCCAGCTTCATCTCAGAAGCTCTTATCACTCCTTATCACTAAATTATCAATATGCTCAGATTGAGCTCAAACTTGCAGAAAATGATGTCTGGAGTTAGTAGAGAATATTTTTGATAAGTTTATACATCAAGCTTCATCTCAAAAGCTCTTATCACCTGTTATCACTAAATTATCAATATCATCTGATAAGGCCGAAAATCGGCATTTTTGGGTTTTCGAGTATGGGGAATCGTGTGCTGATAATCATTTTGTCTGAAAACCACTTTTAAAGGACCCCATCACTCAAAAAAAAAATTTTTTGGAAAAATTATGTTTTGGGGTTTTTCGGTACGGGGAGTCATGTGGGGTTGATCAATCGACTCAAAACTCGTTTTTAAAGGCAGTAATCATGAAAAAATTATTTTTTTTGAAATTTGAAGATTAGTGGTTTTTCGATACGAGGAACATCGTGGTGAGACCCGTTTGGCCTAAAAATGACTTTTAAAGGCACATTCTGACCAAAAAATATTTTTTTATGGAAACTAGGTTTTTTGATATGCTGGACATTGTGCCGACATTGATTTAGCTCAAAAACGATTTTTAAAGGCATATATCAGGTTATAATTTTTTTTTGAGTTTTTCACTAAAGAAGTTGAAATAAAAACAAACGGTTTCGAAATTATCAGACAATATTGAAAAATAATTGATTTGTGACCGTTTATAAGAAAAAACTCAAAAAAAAAATTATAACCTGATATATGCCTTTAAAAATCGTTTTTGAGCTAAATCAATGTCGGCACAATGTCCAGCATATCAAAAAACCTAGTTTCCATAAAAAAATATTTTTTGGTCAGAATGTGCCTTTAAAAGTCATTTTTAGGCCAAACGGGTCTCACCACGATGTTCCTCGTATCGAAAAACCACTAATCTTCAAATTTCAAAAAAAATAATTTTTTCATGATTACTGCCTTTAAAAACGAGTTTTGAGTCGATTGATCAACCCCACATGACTCCCCGTACCGAAAAACCCCAAAACATAATTTTTCCAAAAAATTTTTTTTTTGAGTGATGGGGTCCTTTAAAAGTGGTTTTCAGACAAAATGATTATCAGCACACGATTCCCCATACTCGAAAACCCAAAAATGCCGATTTTCGGCCTTATCAGATGATATTGATAATTTAGTGATAACAGGTGATAAGAGCTTTTGAGATGAAGCTTGATGTATAAACTTATCAAAAATATTCTCTACTAACTCCAGACATCATTTTCTGCAAGTTTGAGCTCAATCTGAGCATATTGATAATTTAGTGATAAGGAGTGATAAGAGCTTCTGAGATGAAGCTGGAGCTCTAAACTTATCAAAAATGTCATCTACTATCACCAAACATCATTTCCTCCAAATCCCAGCTGAATCTGATAATTTTGAAATTTCACTGATAATCACTGATAACAGCTTCTGGGATGAAGCTTAAGCTTAAAATGTTAGCAGACGCTGAAATTCAAGCTTTACCCTACTCAAAAACCGATTTTCAGACAATTTACATCAAGTTCAGCTTCACTGATTCAATTTCAAAAATGGGTTTCATAAGGTTTCAAAAGGTTTCGAAAGGTTTCGTTCAAGGGTTTCGAGCCTAGAGGTATGAAACCGAAACCCTTTGCCAAGGGTTTCGAAACCCTTGCAAACGAAACCGAAACCGTATGAAACCCAAAGTTTCGCGAAACATTGTTTCGGTTTCTATAGGTTTCGAAACCTGGGTTTCGAAACTCGGAACTCTGAGCACATCGAAGTTTGCGAGAAGTTATCAAAATTGACCGGTGTTAAAATAAGTTGGAAAAACTTGATTATTCAGCTGATTTGACATTCGAATTATATCTTGATCCCAACTCGAAACCAGTTTTCAAAATATTTTACTTGAAAAATCCAATCGATAATGAATTTGAAGATGTCACAAATCAAATAAAGCAATGCAAAAAAGTAGAATATTGTGATTTGCAAGTTTTGTTGGAAATTGCAAATGAATATCAACCCGGAGAAAATGGATGTGAAAATGAGGGAAGAGGAAAAACACGAAGACATTTATTTTCCGGAGTTGGAAGAATCAATGGATTTTTATGGATATTAGTAGTTTTGTATGGCTTTTATATGTTTATTTGATTTATCCCACATTTGAGAATATTCGTTGTTTCGGCTTTTTTCCAAACTCTGAATGTGAGAAATAAAAAGTTGAACTTTTGTTATTTCTCTCTTCAAACTCACTTTTAAAAACATTCTTGTATTCTGAAACAAAAAGGAACAGAAAAAGAGAATCGATAGCTGGATAAATTCCAAGTGAACATGTAAATATTCCACTTGGAATATCAATTTTCAATCTAAAAAACGGTACCAAATAAGTTATGAACACTGGCACAAATAATAGGATTGTTGGAAAAACCATCTGAACAACTAATGTTTTGAAAATTTGCCGATTAACTCGTTGAAGTTGTGGAGAAAAAACATGAATAACATTATCCATTTTTTTGTTCATCACAGTTCCAGTATAAATCATAATACAATATTGAGAGAATGTGGAAAGTGATGCATTTATCACATAAAATACATTTTTCCATCTAAAATTCCCGTTCACATCCTACAAAATTGTAATATTCAAGAGATTTCATGAGAGTTTAAAACTAACATATACAACAACCGCAATTCCTGACAAATCTAAAATATTTTTGTTGTAAAAATCCATTATAGTGTTTGACATATAACTTATAGAATAATTATCAAATTTTGCAAAATAAGTCATAGCAAATGTATGCTCCATACTTATTATAACAACATAAACTAACCAAAAAACTAATCTCCAATTTTTGAAATATCGAAGACGATGAACACTAAAAAATATTAGAACTCTTTTTTTCTATGAAAACTCACTGAAAAATTGCCCAATATCGATAAATATACTGTATTGTCAACATTGAAACAGTTGACGAATAAAATGCTGGATACAAGGCTGAGAATATAAAATTGAATTTTTTTCGAAATCTTCAAACTTTTTACCTATCAAAATATCTCTCACATTTCTATTGAAATTATTTTCTGAACTGAAAAATATAAAACCATCATTGTGACTATGAAGAATTGGATGAAGGTAATAATCAATTGCAGAAAAACACATTCCGAGTAAGGCAAAAGTAATTATAAGATATTTGTAATAGCCAAGAGTTCGTTTTATAAATAAAGTCAAAACGATTAGAACTGTATCAAAAATAACTGTTGAAACGAATCCAGCAAATGCTACAAGTTGAGCTGTTACCAACCAATCAAACATACTTGGAAAATAATAAAATGGTGATAGATAATTTCGTGAAGTATAATTTTATTTACTGATTCTGAATCTGAAAATAACAGAAAATAGTACGCACTTTTCAGAAAATAGTTTTCCTAGAATCATTCTGAAAATAAAATACGATCGTTCGGAAATTGGATTATCAATGAACAAAAGTTCAAAGATATTTATGAATATTTTTTGATAGAGAACTAAAAACAATCTGCTTGTGAAAAATGAAACGAAACTATGATTAATTCAAATAACTGCAGGGGTTCTATAATTATCCACACACATCGACCAAAGATTTTGAAACTTATAATCAACATTCATAAAATTATTAATGTTCAATCAAAATATTTGTATTTGAGAAAAAAATGAGACAAACTATTCTGAAAACCATTCAAACCCGGCTTTCCAGATTTTGAACCCACACTATTTTCTGTGCCGCAAACTATGCGGAAGTTCAGAGTGTCAAAACAATTGACCGAAATTGGAAAACTTCTCTTACGACCCACGTGTAACTTGATTTTCGAAATAAAAAATTGCAATACCATTTGCAAAAAATTCCAACTTCAATTCTGACCGCCTCAAAATAACTTCTGTTTTTTTTCGAATTCCAGTTCAAAAGATATCAGTTGTCAATCAGTATCAATATCAAAAAATTGTAACTTCCCATCAACGAAGAAGGCAAAAAAATCTTTGCTGCCAAAAATTTCACAACAAAACCCCATAATTCTCTCTTCTTCTCACTTCTTCTCGATTTCTCGCAAAAAAATGAGGGCGGAGTTTATAGTTTTTGGGGTGAAAAAAAAGTCTTGTGTTTGTATATGTGTTTTGTAAGTTTGGCTGACAGTCAGGTCATTCTCGTTTTTTTTGAAATGCAAAATTTTTTGAGTTTTATAGGTTCTTTATAGCTTTTGTACACACTTCCAGCGTTTGTTTCAAATGTACTTATTTTTTTAGAAAATGGGAACAACAATATTTTGGCTAGTTGTATGGATATTCTTGCAGTATTTTGGAGAAAATGTGAGTGACCTGATTTTGAACAATACCATTGAATTCATTTTTCTCGTGTTTGATTATATGTTTGACCCCCAAAAGTACATCAAAGTTAGGCGAATTATGAAGAATAAATCATTAGGGACATACATATATGTTTTGTGAAATCAAATCTCTTTCAATATTTTTTCTCGAATCTAAAAAAATTGACCACAACCGATCAAACTTTATAAGTAGTAATGAATCACTGACCTCACCAAAAAATTACACTTTTGTGTGTTGTTTCTGTTGGTTCAAATGGAAAGAGAAATGTTTCTAGAGAATTTAGTTTTTTCTCTCACCTTTTTCAACCAACCAAAAACAGGATAATTTGTTTTTAAGCGAAAAAACAGACATTTTCAAATGATGAAGTGATTGATTCAACTGTTTTCTCTTTCGGTTTCGGAAAAACACAGAAGTTTTTCAGGATTATTAAAGGGTAATTATATATGAAGCATTATAAGTTTTGAGTAGAAGACTAGTAGTCGTTTTCAAAACGAGAGTCAAGGACAATGGGATCAGCTGAGAAAATATGTATGAAAAAAAGAGAAAATGGCAGAGATCGTAAATTTTATGAGTAGACATTTTTTGAAAAGCTATGTAAATTTATGATTTCGGATTTCAAACATGGAACATTTCGAATAGAATCCAAAGAATCGGGTCAACAGAATAGGACACAGTCCAATTTTTTTAAATAATCCTAAACCATAATATATGAAAATCAGATTTTTCAAAGTAGTCCAAAACATATATTTGAAACTTCAGATTCTCAAAAAAGGCCTGATTCAGAATTTTTCAATTAAATTTATTCCTATCCTTTTCTGCTTCTCCGATTCTGATTACAATCTGATGCAGACGTAAAAATACCGTCCAACATTCGAACCTCAAAAATCACTTCAAAAAACACTTCGTAGCCTACATATTCTTTTCAAATAACAAAAAACCACCAAACACAAAGTGTAATCTAATCATTTGGTCAGCCATTAGTTACCTAAACTATACATTTCTCATGAAAAAATGTTCTTGAAATCGAAATCGACCTTGGCAAAAACCAACAGGAACAAAAACAAAATACTTATTTATGCTCTTATTTTTTCCTAGAGTGAACAAACAAATTTCAGAACATTTTGAAATGACCCTGGGGTTTTTCTTTCAAATCGGATTACCTTCACAAGATACTTTACTTTTTTGAAAGTATTCAAAAAAATAAAAAGGAATGCTGTTTGATCATTCAAAATCAATAAAATCTGATGTGTTTTTTCTAGATTTATTGTCAAACACTTCGACCAGCAATTCGAGTTCGTCTAAATCGTCCAGTATTTGATCAAGCTTCTTCAATTGTTCGTAAGTTGCAAATTAGTGTCAAACAATTAACTAATTGATTTGAAACAAAACAAATCGCATCAAAACAAAAAAAAACTTTCAGAGGGATTAATAGAATACGAAGTTCCGCGTGTTCAAATTCCTCCAACTCGACAATGTTTTGCCGAAGGATGTGTAGATGCACACTCATTTCGTATGGCATCATTCAGACAACCTAGTTTTGTATCATTTGATCCACAATTCCCTAATAAATTCCGAATTCGGGTGACGGATTTCGATTTTGTGTGAGTTGATTTTACTCTCAGCAAAACCATATTTTATACATATTATTTTTCAACACAATTTTTTTAGAGTTCACGGTCAATTATCTGGATCAATTACTGTTATTTTGAATATTCCAATCACTGGAACAGTTATTGTTACTGGAAGAAGTATTGGTGTCACAGCTGTATTAGATCTGCAGAAAACTGTAAATGATCAACCATATTTGCGATTTAATGAATGTCGAATCGAAAATGGAATCGTGAATGCAAGAGTAGCAAATATGGGGTTGTTAACAGATACTGTGAATCAGAAAATGGGAAATATTCTCAGCGGACAATCTCGAATTCAATTAGAAGAAGCTATTTGTGAAAATATGAATCGGTTAACTCAACAACATTTTTCAACACGACTTTCAAGAATTCCAAGATCTATTAGTGCAAAAGATCTACTCGAAATTATAATTTCAAATCATGTAAATCATCGAGAAAAACGTGCAACATCAGATGATTATTATGATGATATTGAAAGAGTTGAAGGAACTCCACCAGCAAAAGGATTCGTGCCACAAGTTAATTATCGAAAAATTCAAATTTCTCGAGAAGATGTTATCAACTTTTTCAATATTGAAAGATTAACTCATATTTTAGTTGATTTAACATTACTTGATGCCGCATCAACTTCATCTGATTTTTCATTAGGAATATCAGGAAACGCATTCAGTTCCAGATCTCGTGAGTTTTTTTCATCAAACTTTTATTTTTCTAAATTTGATTATCAGTTTCAGATGGCACATCTCCATTTGTTATTCCTTTCCCATTCCGAATTCCTCAAAACAATAATCGTCGAATGGTTGAAGTTGTGGTCTCTGATTATTCGATCAACTCTCTTCTTTATCATGCTCATCGAACTAATTCTCTCATTTTCCACGTGGATTCGAAAACTCCCGGAATCGGAAATCTTCTCAAAACATCGTGTACAAATGATGAGGTTTGTATTGGAGATGAAGTGACACGTGTCAAACAAGCATATCCAAATCGAAAATTGGAATTAATTATTCGAAGTGCTCAACCACCAACAATTCAATTAAATGGAAGTAAGTAGAGTTTGTGACTACGATAACTACAAGTGAACTAAATTTATGATTACAGATACATTGAATGTTGAAATGAATGGGCGTTGTATATTTTTCATCGAAGGAACACGGCAGAAAATCGGAGTAATTCCATTTACAACAACAGTTTTGGTCAATATGAAAACTGTGGGAAACCGATTACAAGGAACAGTCACAATCAAACGATTAGATTTTTCCGGTCATTTGGATTTTCTTGGAATGACAGCATCCGATCTGGATGGATTGAGAAGAACAACAAAAACAGCTCTACAAAACTTTGTCAATTCCGCAACTGCACAAGGTTTCCCATTAAGCACCGCAACAATAAGCAGTCCATTGAGACTTTCGAATCCAGAAATCTCATTTGTTCCTGGTTCAGTTGTTCTTCAAGCAGATGTAGATCTCTATCGAACACTTTACAATACAAACTAAATTAGTCCATACAATAATTATTCGTGTAGTTTGGTTTTTCGACGGGTATTTTCTCATCATTTGACTGTTGTAATTAATAACTTTGTTGTTTTCAAATACTGGTCATACATTCATTTATCATAATAAACTGTTAATTTTATGAGTGGAAATAATCGTTGAAGATCGAAGTTTAGAAGACAAAAGTTCTATTTGTAGTTCTTTTTTGTTTACGTAATAATTACTCAGGAGAACGACCGCGAGATCTGCGCGAAACGCGAACCCCAGAAGTCCGCTAAATCGCCGCGCATCCGCCGCGGTTTAGCGGTGTTGTTACAGCGTTTCGCGTAAATTTCGCGGTTTCATTATCGCGTTTCGCGTAAATTTCGCGGTGTCCTCTCAATTTCAAAACAAAATGTCATCATGATCGATCCTCACATTCAGGTGATCATCATTTGTATTTATCACACTCACCCAACCTCGAACCCACAACCTCTCACCTCGAATACATTTGTTTTACCCACTTGACCATGCGCGCACGTGACGCGAATAGCGAAATAGTTTTTTATATATCATGCTACTGCGCGAAAATGTCGCGAAACGCTCCAATTCGGCGGAGGAAGCCCGCGAAATTTCCGCGAAACGCGAAGTTCCCCGCAATTCGCGCAAATTTCGCGACGTCCAGTCGACCGAGTCCCGAATTGCGCGAGGTTTGTGCGAAACGCGTGATTCTCCCGCGAAGGTTGAGCGAATCGCAGAGACCCCGCTTTTCGCGCAGATTTCGCGGTCGTTCTCCTGAGTACATATAATATTCGTATCTACCTGTGGTTTTCAACATATACATATCCGATGTAAAACAAACGTGTTCCGAGAACTGGTCTAATTTCCTCTTTCTCTTCTCTAATCCTCCTTTTATCGTTATTCGCCTTCATCTTCATCATCTTATTCGTCACCGATTATATTGATTTTCAATTTTGAACTTTTTTTTTATTTCTACAGTAATTTTGAAAAAAAACGCTAATTCGTCAGATGCCAACAAAAAATGGGAAAATTCGATGATAAAATTCATGAATTATTTTTCGAAATAGGACTTCGAATTCACAAGGTAACAAAAAATATCTCAAATTATCTACAGTAAACTACAGTAACCAAAATTTACAGTATCGTTTGTTTTTTCTTCTTCTAACTTTGCTTATTGTTATTTTTTCATCATTCGGTTTTATTTGGTTCGAAAAACAGGCAAGTAACAAACAAACATTCCTCCCTTTTCCCCATTTTCTCCTTTTTTTCTTCGTCACCGCAGAAAAAAACAAACATGTGTTGGTCATTTATTATTGCCTAGCCGTCTGCCTCTATAGCTCAGTGGCAGAGCGTCTGTCTCGTAAACAGAAGGTCGGCGGTTCAATCCCGCCTGGAGGCAATTTTGGCATTTTTTGCAACTTTTACTTTTTTTATCTAATTTTTCGGAATTTTCTAGACGACAAATGATCCACAATATGTATTCTCACCTGCAAATGCACCGTGGAGACACGAACGTGATGTTTTGACACAATTTTGGCCGTTGGATGAGGATAAATTTTGGCCCGGTAAAAGTTATGATTTGCATGGTTACGTGGACGTCATAGCTGCTGGTAAAGTTCATCCAGATTACGGTAGACCAAATATTTTGAATATTCGATATTTGGATGAGGTGGCAAGAATTAATGATTATATTATTAATAATCTAACTATTCCAATAGAATTAGAAGGAAAACAATTTGAGGTAAGTAAGATAAAATAAGACTAAATTTATAACTGTTGACGTTTGAGTTATAACAATTATCCTGCCATTTATTCAGACTAAAAATAAACTTTAAGGAAAAAAATAATTACAGATTGCATATACTGATTTATGTATGAGATATGATTGGGCATGTTATCTTAATGATCATATCACAATGTTAATGCCCAAAACAAGATGGGGTAACTTCAGTGGACCATTTGCTGAATTTGCAAGTGATATTATAAATACACAAGTTAATATAACTTATCCAATTGGATGGAGAGGAACTGAACCAATTTATTTTGGTGCATTAGTTGGTGCTCCAAATATTGTTGATGAAGAAGGACATTTTGATTATGCATCTGCTATTAGATTGACATATAATACAAGAGAAGGAAAAGTTGACGAATATGGTATTCAATGGAGATTAAAATTGGCTCAATGGCTAACAAATAAAGATAAACCAGTATCTGAAATTCTCGAATTTGGGATTAATCACAATATGACACTTCCACAAGGCCTTCAAGATGTTGCTGATACTTTAGCACCGAAATTCGTCGGAACTTGTGTGATTCTATTCACATTCTCATTTTTGGTATCTGTTGTTCTGAAGCGACATAGCAATATGCAAGTAACAATTGATTGGGTTAGATCAAAACCGTTAGTCGCAGCTGCTGGACTTATGACTCCAATTCTAGCTACAGTAACCTCGTTTGGTTTGATATTATGGTGTGGACAATTATATAATGCAATTGTTAACGTTTCACCATTCCTAATTTTGTGTAAGATATTGATTTTTATTTTGCCACAAAACAATATTTTTGACAGGTATTGGAATTGATGATTTATTTATTATGTCAGCTGAATGGCATAGAACAGATCCAAAACAATCAGCAGATCGAAGGATTGCAAAAACATTATCTGAAGCTGCAGTTGCCATATCAATTACATCAGTAACTGATATCACAACATTTGCAGTTGGTTGTTATACAACTCTTCCTGGTGTTCAAATGTTTTGTATGTACACAGCAGTTCAATGTTTTTTCTGTTATTTTTATCAAATAATATTTCTTGGACCAGTTCTTGCATATGCGGCTGAATTGGAACAAAATGAAAAACATGTTCTACTATTCAAAAAAGCTGAAGATCCTGAGAAAGTTCTTGATAAAAAATGGAGATTATGGTTACTTTCTGGAAGTGTTGATCGATTGAAAGAAAGGAAACCTTCAAAGAGATGTAAAATAGCAGAAGAATCAGTTGGAGGAAAAGAAGAGAAATTAGGATGGAGTGAGAAGGTCCATAAACATGATGATGAACATAGTTCCGAAGAAACTCTTGTCAATAAAATATTCCGTGAAATAATCGGACCATTTATTCTTCAAAGAAGCACTCAAATATGTGCTTTACTTCTTTATATTGTTTATATTTCTTTGGCAATTGGTGGATGTTTGAATTTGAAAGAAGGATTGGATCCTAAATTATTAGTGCGACCAAGTTTTTATCTATCCAAATTTTATGAAATTATCGATGAAACATTTTGGAGAGAAGGATTACAAATGCAAGTTGTCGTTTCAAATCCACCAGATTTATTTAATTTTGAATCGAGAAGAAATTTCGATAAAATGATGGCTGAATTTGAAAATACTCATTATACAATGAAACCAAATGCAACAATGTTTTGGTTAAGAGCATTTGATAGACATTTGGAAACTGAACTAGATGAATTGAATATAGTTAAACCAAATAGTTCAATTGAATGGTATCATCGATGTCGAGATTGGCTTTTAGTTGCCGGAGGTCGAAGACTTTGGCAAATGGATATGGTTTGGTCAGATGATATCAATCAAAATAAACTAGAAGCATTCCGTTTTCAACTTGGTCTTCGAAATTACCGTAGTCCTACAGATCATACAGCAAGTTGCAAATTAATGAGAGAAATTGCTTCAAAATATCCACAATATAATGTGACAACATTCCATGAATATTATCCATTTGCTGATCAATATTTGGAATTGACACCTTCATTATTTCAAAATATGGCTATGGATTTATTAACAATTTTGATTGTTTCATTGATTATGATTCCTGAATGGAAATGTGCTATTTCAATTGTTTTGTCAATTGCAAGTATAAATGTTGGTAAGTAAGACCCTAAAGTTTTAGCAAATTCTCTAAAAATATATTTTGCAGGTGTTCTTGGATTCATGTCATTTTGGGGTGTCAACCTTGACAGTGTTTCAATAATCACTGTAATTATGTGCATTGGTTTTGCTGTTGATTTATCTGCTCATATTGCTTATGCATTTTCTCAAAGTTCTGGTAACTCACATAAAAGAGCTGTTGCCGCATTAGAAACTTTGGGTTGGCCAGTATTTCTTGGCGCATCTTCAACTGTTCTTGGAATTTTGTTATTGACTTTGGTGGATGCTTATATCGTCCAGATATTTTTCAAAACTGTATTTTTGGTTATCAATTTTTCAATGTTGCATGGTTTGATATTTTTGCCAATTTTGCTAATGTTAATTGTTCGCGATCCAAAAGAAGAGACTCCAAAAACAAATTCGGAATCGAAAAATGACCTCGAAATGAAGATTGCTGCCTAATTTTTTTGCTGTTGACATTTTTGCGGGTAGACATAAATGTTTCAAATTCAAACACAATCAAGAAAAAATTCAGAAAATTGTACAAAGGAGGCAGAAAAATACCGGTCATCAAATATTATAAATCTCTATCATGAACATCCGAAATTTTTGGCGAAATCTTGTAATTTCGTCATAACCGTATCTGAAGTCGATGGTCGAATTACACGTAAACTTTCGATAAAGTCGGAGCATCTCAAAGATCTCAATTTACTTGTGTCTGTTGTGGCAAGTCGAGATTTATCAATACTACGAATTGGAACCATTGCCGCTTCTTTGCAGAGCGCCACTAAATCCGAATTTGAGAAACCAGAAGTACGGTAGGCAATATCTCTGCAAATCGAGCTCAGTTTTGCAAAGTTATCTTCGAGAAGGAGATTGATTTTCAAAATGAGTTTCTTTCGGAAAAATCTACGGAATGTCACGTTTTCAAAAAAAAAGAAAAACGATTTTTGGAAGGTTTTCAGTAGTATTTCCACGTATCCCATTTCAGGAAATTTCAAACAGAAGAAAACAATATTTTAAAAAACTGCTGAAAACAAGAACTAACCTGATTTCTCTGCTACTGATTCCTGAATCCATTTTATGTTTTCTCAATGTTCTCTCGATTAAATCACATCTCGCTGATTCATCAGGTAATCCCAGCATAATTCGTTTTGGAAATCTTCGCAAAACTGCATCATCTAATTCAAAAGGTCGATTAGTTGCACCAATTACAAGAATTCTATCATCTGGTGAAGAAGTTGCACCATCGAATTGAATTAAAAATTCAGTTTTCATTCGACGTGATACTTCAGCATCTTTTTCACTTCTTTGACAGAGAATCGAATCGATTTCATCTAAATTTATAACATTTTTCAACTTTACTCAACATCCTAATGTTCAAGAAACCAACCAATGAAAATAATAGAAGGTTGAGCATTTCGAGCAATTTGAAAAAGTCCTCTTATTGTTTTTTCGGAATCTCCAACCCATTTTGATGTCAAACTTGAAGCACTAATGTTAAAGAACATTTGTTTTGCCTCTCCAGCAACGGCTTTTGCAAGTAGTGTTTTACCATTACCAGGAGGACCGAATAATAAAATGCCTTTTACTGGTTGACGCAATCCACTGAATAATCCAGGATTCAAAGATGGAAGAATCACAGCTTCTTCTAGCGATCTTTTTGCTAATTCACAACCAGCAACATCTTCCAAACGAACGCCGGTATTATCCAATATTTCATCAAGAAGTCGTTCTCCTACTGCTTTATCAACTCCTTTCAAAAGTGATGCTCGAGATATTCCTTGAGATGTGATTTGCTGGCTTGTTGAAGCAACATTTCGTGTTACCTGAAATGTGATATCGAATTATTTCTTGAACTTTATTTTATGCACATTAAAAGGACCCATGCGGACAAGTGAAGCAACCTTTTTATTTTCAATTCTCGTGTTCATTGTTGGTTTCCGTCGAGCTAACTTTGGCGGGCGATTTTCGTCGTTTACAGCAGGGGTGACACGTTTTTTAGGCATCTAGTATAGTTTTATACAGTTTAGGTTTTAAGAAAAATATATTTTGAAGGAATAAAAGCATACATTTGAAAAAAAAAACTAACCGGAGCTGTTCTGGGAGACGCTGGACGCACATTTGATCCTGAAAGCGTTCTTTGTTTCCTAACATTCGGTTGAATTTCATCACATATCGCGCAAATTCTCTCTTGTGCACTTTTATCTAATCGATCCATTTTCTCACGATTTTCTCGAACTTCCGCACGCCGATTTTCGGGAAAATCCATAATCCCGTGATTTTTGGCTTCTTTGAACAATGCGCGACCTTCTTTATACAACTCAGCAGTTTTCAATTTTTGATTCAAATTGTTACCTTAACAAAATTGAAAAATTATATGAATATTTTGTAAACAACAAACCTCGTTTTGAGATCTCATCCGCTTCTATTGCTTCTCGCATTTTACTCCAACCCTCATGGAAATTTCGCGAAAATTTGTCGTATATCTCATTGGCGCCTCGATCCGTACGAGATGACGTCGGCCACATCTTAAGAGATTTCATTACTGAAAATTCGTTACGAAATCACAAAACAACGAAAAATATCTCAGAGAAAGCCGGCGACTAATCGGCGACCAACAAGTTCGTCGGCGAAAATAGTGTGTGTTTCCCGGAGACGCAGACGAAAAAGTTTCAGGCGACTAATCGGCGACTAATCGGCGACTAACTTATGATTGGTCGCCGATTAGTCGCCTGAAACTTTTTCGTCTGCGTCTTCGGGAAACACACACTATTTTCGCCGACGAACATGCGACGAACTTACGATTGGCAGACGATTAGTCGCCTGATCTCGATTCGTCGTAAGTTCGTCGCCGATTAGTCGCTGGCTTTCTCTGAGAAGAAAAAAACCAGAAAAAAAACAAAAAAATAAAAAACATGTGCCATCAAAAAATAAAATGCGTCAGTGACGCGTGATTCTCCATAGAGCACACTTTCTCTTTTCAATAGTAAATTCACACAGTGATTTGGGGAAAGTTTTTGTTGTGTTCACGGGTAATTATAATTATCGCGACATCTGCAATATTTTTGGTTTTAATATCTAAATTAGAAGCATAAATAATTTCTGAGAGGTTTTATCAATTAAAGCTTTGAAAAAATTGGGTTTCAAAAAACATTCGGAGTTCCAAAAATCTACAAAACTATTTCAAAAATTATGCAAATATGAACATTTATTCAATATATACAGATACTTATATGATACATTAGCAATTACTTTCGTTTACGGCAACATTGATTATTTCCACATGGCGTGTAATTTTGTTGACAATTGCAGCTTGATTGATTATTTGAAGCTGTTGGTGCACAGGATACTGTAGATGGTTGACATTGAGAAATACAACTTGTTTGACAGGCTTGTGCACATTGTAAAGCAGTTTGTTGTTGAGCTTGACATTGTGATTGACAAGCATTTTCACATTGTGGTTCACATTGAGATCCGCTTGAAAGAACACTGGATTGGAGAACGATCTACAAATAATTTAGTTAGATCAAGCTGGTGAATGTTTTTCGTTGGAATACCTGAATAATAGGGGCTGAAGTAGTTGTGCTAGTCGTGCTATAACCATTACAACTATTTTGGCATTGCTGATTGCATTGTTGATTTCCATAATTGCTTGCTGACGAACATTGAGAAGCACATTGAGAAGCACAGCTATTATAACTACTGGCAGAGCTTGCGCAAGCATTCGAACATTGTGAACTACACTCCGAAGCACATTGTGCACTTGGTTGATTTTGTGAAGCACATGCTTGATTACACTGTGTATCACATTGTGGTTTACAACCAGCAGAAATATCAAGTCGAACTAAAACTGGAGATGGTGTTGTAGTTGTCGTAGCTGAACATTGTGCAGCGCATTTTTCCTGACATTGAGTTATACAATTGGCGATAGCATTTGTTGCAATCGCTTGATAGGCTTGAAGTTGTTGGCATTGATCTGTACAAGATTGTTGACAAGCTGGGGCGCATTGTGCAGTATTCACTTTGATTGTAACTGGAGATGATAATGAACTGCTGCCACTGGACCCACAATTACAATTAGAAGACGATTGCGACGCCGAATATTGCGGAGTTTGTTGACATGAACATGATTGAGTTTGGCTGACCGATGAACAAGAACAGGATGGAGTGGACACTTGTTGTTGTTGATTTCCAGTGTTTCCACAATTGCACTGTCTACGAATCCTTGCTTCTCCAGATTGAAATAAAATAAAACATAATAAAATTGTCGAGACTAGAAATAATTTCATTTTTTGTTCGTTTTTTTTGTAATAATAATTAATTGCATCGGCTCTCGATTTTATACTACATTTTTTCAGACTCGACTAGTTTATTTGTTTTGTATGTTTATTTACACGCATTGGACGTGTACTAACTAGTTGCCGGACAATGGTGTTAGTCCAAATTATATTTTCAATGAAAAAATATATAATTTGTGCCAACTTGTAGAACTGGAAAGTTTTTCAATGACACATTATATTTTTTTATCAAAAAGGAAGGAAAGAAAAGAATGTTCTCATTTGAAATCATGTTTTTTTTAAAATTCCTTTTTATCAATGTTTCTATTGATTCATTTTTTATTTTCCTATGTATCGAAAAAGTTTTAATCCTATTTGGTTTTAAAACTATGACATTTTTGTCACATTTTTCATTCCAGAATGGGAAACAATCCAACTGCTATGATTTCTGAATATGAAATTAAAGAACTTATAGAGGAAACTGAATGTGAGTGTGATTATACTTGAAATATTAATTTTTCAAACATTTTTCAAGTCAATCGTCTACAAATAATTCGATTATATAATCGTTTCGATGCATTGGATACTTGTGGAAGAGGATTTTTATTGCGAGAAGATTTTAAAAATGTTCCCGAACTTGCTGTAAATCCGTTAGGAGATCGTATTATTGATGCTTTCCTCACTTTGTCGTGAGTTTTTTCGAACCAAATTGATAATGTTTTATAGTATTTTTTTCAGAAAAGACGATGGGAGTGATCAACTCACGTTCAAACAATTTGTAAAAATAATGGCACATTTTCAACCGATCTCGAAATCGAAAAAGAATGTTTTGAATTCTAGAAAAGATAAACTGATGTGTAAGTTGGAATACAAAATTAACAGTATCTGTTTTTTTTCAGTTGCATTCAAAATGTATGATTTGAACAAAAACAATTATATAACTCGTGAAGAATTTAAAGTTATTCTGAATGGAATGGTTGGTGATAATATATCATCTGAACAAATTGATCGAATTGCTGATCGAACTTTGCAAGAAGCTGATGGCGATAAAGATGGAAAAATATCATTTGAAGAATTCTGTAAAGCAATGGATAAAACTGATATTGAAGACAAAATGTCGATTCGTTTCTTAGCTTAAGAATGTATTCATAACTATTTTTTTTTCAAACCATGAAGAAATTTTTGATGTTTTATGTCATATTCAACAAAAAAAAGAATAATCCTTTTTTCGGAACAACAATGTACTTTCAAAACGAGACGAAACGAAATGAATAAAAAATTGCGACGGCCGCGAGATATTTTGTTATTATCTGTCGAAAACTCAATTGAGCTCAAGCTCACTGAAAAAACGTATTTCCATGCTTCGTTGACTTGTCAAAATAAAATAATTCTAATTATTTTTGGAACTTTTATAAATGAAGGGTGTATTCTGAAGTGCAAATTTGCATAATAAAACCATGAAGAAAAAGAAAAAGAGCGACTTCCTTCCTTTATAAATATTTTCTATTTTCTTACTTTTTCTCGCTTTTCGTGTGGGGAGATATATTTTTTGTTTTCGCTGTTTTTTCTCTCACTCCACTTTTTCCTGTTTTGACTTTTTTCCGAAAAAATTCAGGACCATGTTCTGCTCCACTGATTCATATTTGTTTCTCTTTTCTTTTTCTTTCTTTTTTTCAAGAAAAAAACGAGAAATATTTTTTCAAAAAGAATTTTATGACCCTTGTACTTTTTCGACTTGCACTTTTGTAATCGCATCTAACGGAAGTTTTCAGTGTTTTTTCCGATTTGGCAAGACAACTTTTATGTGTCGTATATTTTCGATATTTTCATTTTTAACATTTGTTGGATTCTCATTAGCGGCTGTGAGGTGTTATAAAGGTAAGATTCAATTTCAGAAAAATATGTAATTTCGAAATTTCAGGATTTTCTGGAGATGGAAGAGCATTTAAAGATCGACTCTGTACGACGGATTTTTGTTTGAAGTGAGTTGTATTTTTGAATAGTGCATTCAAAAATAATTCTGAAAAAAAAGAAGACCGCCAAAATTTTGTGAAACATTCAAATAATTGATTTTCAGAACAACAGAACGAGACGGCGGAGCCTATTATGGTTGCGATGATTTCACACCATTTTGTACTGTCAGTAAAGCTTTATAGTCTGCTTTAATTAAAAAATTTTCAGCGTGATGAATGTGTTACAACTTCGAGAAACGCTGAAGTTTGTTGTTGTAGCACAGCTCTTTGCAATGCATCTATCAAATTCTGGAATCCAACAACTATTTCTTTAATTTTGTCTCTGTTGATCTCTTATTTTTTCTGGAATTAAAATTAGGATCATTTCAGAATTTGCACATTTATCACTTGTTCACACGGGTCTGAAAAAATCAAACTAATAAAGTTTTGAATTTTGATTGTCTAGACATTTTTCCGCTGTTTAAAGAGCGAAGAGGCCTTTCAAAAAATCAAATCATACTAAAAATCATGAAAATTATCTCATTGATATTTCTTCTGAGTCAATTCACTTCAGGATTCACGAAACCAGCAGAATTGATAACTGATCCTCCAACTGTCATAGCAGATATTAGGTCAATCGCCAACAAAGTCTAAATTCTGAAATATTCTTCACTCTGAAAATAAACAATTTCATCCAGAATTTTTATATGACTCACAAAGTTTGTCGAACACAGATCGAGAAAAAAAACACCAAAATAAATAACTTTTTCCACTCTCAATTTCACTTTTTATTACTTCGTTCATCTAACTTTGATTACTTCCTTCTAATCGATTTTCTTTTTTTCTTTTTTTTTGTGTTACTTTTTGATACCATCGATAGGAAGTTATTTTTCAGAAAGTTTTTCTTGGGTTGTAAAATCAGAACAACTAGTTGTTAGTCGTTTTTTTTAATTGTATTTGTTCAGTGTGTGCTTTTTTATTTGTGAAAGGTAAAATTTTGATTTTTTATTTTGTTCGTGTATATTTACAGAAAACAAAAATGCACAAGTTGGTGATTTTTCTATTTCTGTGGCAGTTCAGAGAATCGATCGGGTTGTTTGGAGATTCCGGACACGGAAAGTTGTGAGTCACTTTTTTTTCAAATGCATTCACAAAACGGCATGAAAAACTTATTGGTCTTAAACCCAAAGGCGGGATTTTGATAACCTTTTCCAAAATAACTGGTCATTCAGAAAACGACAACCACCAACTGGTCCTTGCACTTTGAATAATGATGGTTCAGAGTGCGATGAAAATGGTGAGTATTTAGAAAAAAATCAAGAATCTGACAATATATCTGACAATATTATTTGATATCAGGCTACTACAAGATTGTTCAATGTAATGATGAATCTTGTTATTGTGTTACTCCTCATAACGCACTTATTTCTTATGATACAAGAACATCAAGCAAAAAGATTGCACCAAAATGTGGAACCTGTTTAACTTATCTTCAGAAATTATTTTCAAACGGTGATCCTCCACAAAACTCATTTATTCCAAAATGTGATGTTGGAAATGGTGATTTTGATCCAATGCAATGTAACTCAATTGAAAATATATGTTATTGTGTTGATACAAAAACTGGAAAAGAGATTCCATCGACAAGAACAACATTGAACAATACCAAAAGTGTGAATTGTATGAAAATTGGTGAGATGAAACATCGTGATTAGAAATAAGTCAATACACATGTTTCAGATTTTTCAATTGATTATGTACCAACACAAAACTTCGACAAATCCAGTCTCAAACCTACTGTCGAAGTTGTTAGTCATTCAGCATGTACCTTAAATCGTGATCCAGGTCATACCTGTTCTCAGAACAAAACATCAATCAAATGGTGGTTTGATACTTATACTTTCACATGTCTTCAATTTGAACACAAAGGATGTGGTGGAAATGATAATGTGTTCAATACAAAAGGTTCATGCTATTCTTCGTGCGTTTTTGGTATGTGAAAAATAAAGGGAGAATTGAAGAGAATTTTTGAATTAGCCCCGATTCTCCAAAAAGTTCATTTTATTTTTTGGTGGCATGATTTAGAAAATTAGAGTATTTTCTATCGATAGTAAATTTCAAACACATTTATAAAGAAACATTTGTTTTTTTTAATTTATTCATTACAAAGTTCAATGTTCATGCGCTACTTTTTTGCAAAAACATTTATTATCAATTTTGATATTTGGGCTTATCAGTCGCCGGTTAGGTATATTTCAGGCTTGTTAGTATAACCAGCTAATTCAATTTCTAAGGAATGAATGAAGGAAAAAAAGTTTGCAGAAGTTTTGCTAAAAAAAACTGTTAACTGAATAAGATTGAATGCCACAGCAAAACACACTCAAACTACCATAACACAATCTAGTCCAGCCCACTGCCTCCCCAAATCTACGTGTGTGTGGAAAAACGAAAAATGTCTGGCACGCTCTCGCAAACACACACTCTCGCACACAACTTTTTACTTTTATTTCGCGAAAACAGTGCATATTAGGAGCTGATTTTTATGTGTTTTTCATCGGAACCACAATATGTGTTATACATAGTTCGAAAGAGAATTTCTTCAGCTACAAACACATATGAAATGTTATAAATGAAACCAAGATAAAAAAATAAAAATTTCATGCAAACAAGACATGGTTTTTTTGAATTGTGTGAAAAACGCATGTGTTTTTTGATGACCTGGCTTATTTTTGAATATCGAATATATGTATAATCAAGTCGTAGTTTTGTTCAGAATCTCAAGGGCTTTCAGATGATGTAAATCAATATTTATGAAATTGTGAAATCATGGAGGAGTAGGGATTTTTCAGTAGTCAATTTTTAAAACGAAATTTTCATTTTCATTTGAAAGGAACTCGAATGAAGTTTACATACGTTTTGTAGAGAATTTCTCGGGCTTCAAAATCATATATATTTCTATACACAAAAATGGAAATTGGATGCACCGCTTTCGATTGAAAACTCACCGCTGTTTTTCGCAACGCTACTGAACGTGGTTTGTTTGTTTGGTGCAAACCCAACAAGTTTTCAACCGAAAGCGGTGCATCCAATTTTCATTTTTGAGTATAGAAATATATATGATTTTGAAGCCCGAGAAATTCTCTACAAAACGTATGTAAACTTCATTTGAGTTCTTTTCAAATGAAAATGAAAATTTCGTTTTAAAAATTGACAAACGAAAAATCCCTACTCCTCCATGATTTCACAATTTCATAAATATTGATTTACATCATCTGAAAGCCCTTGAGATTCTGAACAAAACTACGACTCGATTATACATATATTCGATATTCAAAAATAAGCCAGGTCATCAAAAAACACATGCGTTTTTCACACAATTCAAAAAACCATGTCTTGTTTGCATGAAATTTTTATTTTTTTATCTTGGTTTCATTTATAACATTTCATATGTGTTTGTAGCTGAAGAAATTCTCTTTCGAACTATGTATAACACATATTGTGGTTCCGATGAAAAACACATAAAAATCAGCTCCTAATATGCACTGTTTTCGCGAAATAAAAGTAAAAAGTTGTGTGCGAGAGAGTGTGTGTTTGCGAGAGCGTGCCAGACATTTTTCGTTTTTCCACACACACGTAGACTTGGGGAGGCAGTGCAGCCTTGATCATAATTACAATCAAAATGCATTTTCTTCGACCACAACACATCTAGAATCCAGTTTCATTTTGATTCCCAAAAATGTATCCCGGGTACAAACAATAAGAACTACAAATAAAAAATTTTATCACAAAATTTCGATAAAACAAAAATTGTGTTTGTATGTAGCTTGAACCAAACTGATATGAACTCAAGTCTCAATCAAATTTTCAGCCGATTATTCTGCATGTGCATTAACATCCCAACCAGCTCGGCATTCCACTGGTCAATATTATATATGCGGACAGATTGAACCAATGTTGCCACCAGGTGCACCGTCAACTCCAAAACCACCAAAACCACCAGGTCCTGAATTGAATGATCAAGGGTGTCCAAAAGGTTATACTTGTCAATACGGTGCATTTTTCGGAATTTGTTGTGATGAGAAAATTACAAGTAAGTTTTTCATTTAAAATATTATTAAATTTTTCTGAATTTTTTTTCCAGAACGTTTTTCGGATGCATACCATCCAGTTTGCTCAAACAAAAAGACACCACACTCTACACGCGACGACGGTTATCAGGCGATGACATTTGGAAAAACATGCTCTGATAATTTCTGTCCCAAAAACCACACATGTGAAACAAATAGTGTTTTTGCATTTTGTTGTCCAATTTGATTAATAAAAAGTGTTCAAATTGATGATCACGAAAACAAACAGGTTATTTTGTATGTAGTTTGAAAACGTCAAGTGATTCGACTACTTCTTATCACAAGAATTGTGTATGTTTATAGGAATTAATTCTTATTGACCAATGAAACACATCCGAAACAATGCAAGATGATTATGAAGACTTTTTATTGGTTTTGGGCATGAGAAATTTGAAATTATTCTACAAAATCTAGTCACAACCGCAATGAGAAAATCAACGTTTATCAGATTTCCATAAAAAACTGCATTGTTGGTGTGATTGCTTTCAAAGTTAGGCTGTTCTCATCCGGATAAAACTTGGGATAGCCATTTGTAGTAACCAAGTTCCCCTCACGACACATCCGAGTTAGATTTTACAAACATCGGACAACGAAAATTCGACAAACAACAAAGCTGTATCTAATTGTGATGTCCTAGAACAAAGATGTTACAAAATCTCATCATAATTCATTAATATGATGATATCTAGAAAACATCAAATCGTGGTTTCTTCTCTTTTTTCTCTGAACCCCGAAAAAATAATTCGTATCATTGAAATCACTCGTTTCAATCTATACACCGAAGAACCTATTTTTGTAGTTAGTTTGATGTTTATCATTTTGCTGATTACACGAATAGTTAGTTTATCGCTTTTCCTGATTCGATAATTTTTGTTCTCATAACGTAATACAGTAATTATTATTTATTTGTATCCGGGTTTTTGTAAACAACCCGAAAAATACACATTTCTTCAAATACTTCCTAATGGAACTTGAACAGATAAAAGTCACGTCAGCGAAACAACATTATTATTTCGTAGTTTTTCTTGAGACTAATAGTATCTGATCGACAGAAATCACAAGTGAATGATATCACTATTTTTCGACAAACAAAAAAGATAGATTCCAAAGTATGTATGTAGCATGAAAGACTACAGTAACCAATCTAATTAATCATTTAATGTTGTCTGCAACCAGACATGTATGTTTTTATCTTTCAATCGAACGATTTTTTATGGAGAAAAAGCGTGTTGATAATATATTATGATTGGCTATGATTGGAATTGGGTTACTGTATATTCATTGAACATTCCAGCAACTTCCAAGAAACATTTTTTGGTTGGTTGAGAAGGTAATTGTAGTTGTAGCTAGAAAGAAAAAGGTAGAGAAGATAATAAAAAATCGATGAAATTTGAAACAATCAATATAACAAAGTATTGAATATACAAGAAAAATAGAAATTATGAAGAGAAAAATTATTTAGGTGAAGTCTAGCGCACCAAATATTTCAAAACGGCTGAAGTCACAATTGAGATAAATGTTTATAATTATGTATTCCGTTCTTGGGACAAATGAGATGGATTACTACCAAATAAAACGATACGTTGAAGAACTCTCGAACAGCTTCTGGCTGTATTACACTATTTTGCTGAAAACATTTCAACAGTCGGATGACTTCGAAAAAATCCACCAATTCTTCTTGGTTTGCAACGGATTTTGCAGACCTAAAACTTTTCGTTTGGGTACTAAACTTTTTTCTTACGGATTATATGAAAACAAATTGGTTTGGATTAAAATATTCAGACAATTAACTCATATACAATTTGTGCACATAAAAATAAGTGACCCTATTTGAGTTTCGATGCTGATTAAATTTTTTATTCTCCTTCAACAACACTAAAATTTAGAATTGATCTGGTACTGTTCAACTTCTCATCAATTCAATAGAAGGTTTAAAAGTAATATTCCGCCAAATAGAAACACATCTAATTGTTAAAAATCAAGATATCATACGTCCACAATTCACAGTTAAAAACTCAAGATAAGTTATACTATACAAGTTTGTAAATCAATACCATGAATGAAGTTCAATTTTGCTTTTCAACTTGCACAACATTGTGATAATTGAAAAAACGTAATATATGTAAGCTTAGAAAAAGAAAATGAAAAATGTATAAATATAATTATATTACGATTTTTGCAAAATAAAGAGGAAACGAAGGTCATGTAGCAAATGTAAACTAAACTCTTGTTTTTGAATAATCACGTTTTCTAATGTTGAACTTTTAATTATTCCTTACGTTAATATTTCTATGATTGGTTCAACTACAGTAAGAATCATAAAAATACTGAGAAAAAACTGGTTTCATATATCTAACTGGGTAATTTTATTTAGGTCAGCAAAAGCTTGGATCGTGATTAAGAACAATAATGAGACAACAACAGAATAAACATCATACATATTTCTACCGAATTTTGAAATTTGTTCCGAAATTATTCACACATAACTTTTAAAATAGAAATTAAACGTAAACAGTAACAAAACAGGTTAGGTGACCAAATTTATTCAATTAAAATATAATCAACTTCAGTTAGATGTTAAAGTTTGCTCTAGAGGTTATTTGAGAAATGGAACAATTCAGGAACATCTTTTCCTTTCGATATAACACAAGTCCTCTTAAAAACTTACAGCCCTTTTTAATTACTTGAGCTAGATACAATTTTTATAGAAACTCTAGCCACTGGCTCGTTGGAATGTTACATAACAGATTCAGAATCTTAAATTAAACAAGTTATTAGTGCTGTCATTTAGTGCGCTATTAGTGCTGTCAGTAAATTTTTTCACGATGCAGAAAATCAACAAATTACCGCTCAGTCTGCCACGTCACAAAATTGAAGGGCGCGAAAAGTAAAACGTTTTACTCTCATCACTTTTTAGTAAAAAAAATTCTGAAAATCAGTTCTAGTTGAAATTAACAAACTGGAAACCATTAAAACTTCTATAGTGAGAATTTCTGTGGATTCAATCGCCGATCTTATCAAAAATCAATGTTACAATTGACTTCAATAATTTCTTCTTTTAGTCAGAAGTATTCCATTGTTATTTTTAGTAGTACGGAGAACATCACAAATAATTTTAAAGCCAAATATGATTTTGATGAGATCTGTTCATGTTCAATTTGTTTTGAAAATGTGTTGTCATCAAGAGTGAATGTTGACGTCACTAACAGATCAGTTCCATTCAACACATCAACCACAATTCAGAACGAGTTATATGAATCTAACGTCATCCTTTGTAACATCAACAACATCGAAAGTTCGATTATCCACAGTATCTATCGATTCAGTTCCATTTTTTCCACATTAATGAAGGCGGGATTGTTCAAACTAGAGACATGTAAAGAGGCGTGATTCAAACCTGCGTCTCCGTTATTTTCCATAATGTCTATTAAGTTTTCCAAAAAATGATAGTGAAAATTCAACTGATAATCAGCACTATAAAAATGACATGCGAAACAATAGAAATGAACATTCAGTTAAACAATTATCCATATTTGGAAAAATGTCTGATTTTTTGAAAAGTATGAGCGGTTTTCGCGAATCACTTGCTGAACAACTTCGATCTATTGATCCATTTGTTCTAACTGCAGCTGTTGCTATTTCAACATTTTCAGCTACTAATTTATGGCATATGCATCAAGATGAATTTGGTAAGAATATCATGTTTTGTGAAGAAAATAAAAATCAAAAGACTAAAGACTAGTTTGCGAATTATTTCAAACTAGAGAAAAGTTTGATAAGACTTCAGCATCAATATTTCTTTGATTACAGGGATCAGAAGAAGATTGCGAACAACTTTCTTCGATTTGGTGAAATCAATTCCGGGAATTAGAAAGCAAATAGATGTGAGTGCAAAAACAGAAAAAGGGTTTCTGATTTGTTCTTTGATATAAAGTGCATACACAAAATAATCAGTGACTTAAATAATGATAATTATTTTAGGAACAGCTCGAAGAAGTTAATACAGAACTAGCAAATAGCCTTGTATATCAAGGCGATGATGGAAAATTCATTGCAAAATTACCAAATAACGGAATGAAAACTGATCAATTAATTCAATTAGCCACTATTTATGATAACATGGGTAAGCAAGCTGATTTAAAGTGATATCATCAACGGGTTTTTATATCCTTTTTCAGAAGGTCCAAGATATTTGGAAGGTCGTGTATCTGGCGCTGTTTTTAGTGATGAATCTGATAAAGACGAATTGCGCGCTTATGCCGAAGTTTTCAAAATGTTTGCTTGGAGTAATCCACTTTGGCCAAAACTATTCCCTGGAGTTCGAAAAATGGAATCAGAAGTTGTTCGAATGTGTTGTGATATGATGAATGGAGATTCAGATACTTGTGGAACAATGTCAACTGGTGGAAGTATTTCAATTTTATTAGCGTGTTTAGCACACCGTAATCGTCTTCTCAAAAGAGGAGAAAAATATACAGAAATGTAAGAAAATATCAAAACAATTTTAAAATTATATTTCGAAATATTCAGGATTGTGCCTTCTTCAGCACATGCCGCATTTTTCAAAGCAGCTGAAGTTTTTCGAATCAAAGTGAGAAAAATTGAAGTCGACCCGCAGACATTCAAGGTAGGCAATGATTTCACGATTGATAAGATGGAATGATCACGATCGCGTTTAAGAGAGAAATAATGTGTAGAATGAAGAGAGTTTGTATGAGACACCTGTCTGCAAAATTAAGTTTGTTTACAATGACGATCAAAACATTTTTTTCAGGTTGATGTGCGAAAAATGCGTGCTGCGATTAATAGAAGAACGTGCATGTTAGTCGGAAGTACCCCTAATTTCCCATTTGGAACAATTGATCCCATTGCTGAAATCGCTGAACTTGGATTAGAATTCGATATTCCAGTTCATGTTGATGCTTGTCTTGGTGGATTTATTCTTCCATTTATCGATAATAATATCAAATATGACTTCAGTGTACCAGGAGTTTCTTCAATTTCAGCTGATACTCATAAATATGGATTAGCTCCAAAAGGATCTTCAGTTATTATGTATCGTAATAAGGAACTTCTTCATAATCAATATTTCTGTGAATCCGATTGGCAAGGAGGAATTTATGCATCTGCAACACTTGAAGGAAGTCGATCTGGAATGAATATTGCATTGTGTTGGGCTGCAATGCTGTATCACGGAAAAGATGAATATACTGTGAATGCGCAAAAAATAGTTGAAACAACTAGAAAAATTCGAAATGGTTTGGCTGGAATTGAAGGAATCAAACTACAAGGAGAATCAGACATTTGTATTGTCAGTTGGACAACTGAAAAAGGAATTGATGTTTATCGATTCCATAATCAAATGAAGGAAAGAAATTGGCAATTAAGTGGATTACAATTTCCAGCCGGTGTTCATATTATGGTTACAATGAATCATACTGGCGAAGGTCTTGCTGAAAAATTGATTGAAGATTGTCGCGAGGCTATTCGATTTGTCAAAGAGAATCCACCTGCACCTTCAGAAAAATCATGTGAAGCAGCAATTTATGGAATGGCTCAAGGAATACCCGATAGATCATTAGTCTCAGAATTCGCTTATACTTATTTGGATACTTGTTATCAAAACACACGTTAACTTAATTCATGTTTTGCAATTTTGTTTTCTTCACGGGTAATTTCATAAATACTTGTTTATCTATTCTTCTCTCATTTATTATTCAATATCAAACTACACGCATTTATTAGACTACACTATATTTCTAATTAGTTCAATTGTCATTGTAATTCAAAGAATCAGGTGGCAGGAAGTTTATTATTTATCATTAACACGTAAGGAATGTTCTTTGAATTCCTGATTTCGGTCGAAATTTTTATCTGTATAATATCGTTCCCAATAAACATTCTATTCCTAATAATTATCAAAGTTTCAAAAGATATACAATTCAAATGGCGAGTTGTTTTATTCCTGATATTTATTTCATCCACAATAATGTCAATTACACATGCTATTCGAATTATTATCATTTTTGAAAAGGCTGGTTTAAGTTATCATGAAATACATATTAGTGGAACTGCAATGCCATTTGTTACTTTTGTTCACGAAGGTGCATTGTTCGCACAAAGTTTTTCTCTTTTATTTTTTGCTATTATCCAAAATTTGACAATTTATCTTTCTAATCCAATAATTGATTCGTCTATATTTTCTTTTATTTTCTACATATTTTGTGTCATTATTTCGAGCGCAGCAACTTATATATCATATATTTTGTATTATACAGGTATACAGCTTGATTTTGATTCGAATATTTTGAGAAACAATTTTAGATACATATTGGTTTAAAATGAAAGATGGTGCGAGTTTGTTAATATTGACTGATGTCTGCAATCTTTTGGTCCTCCTTTCAAGTTTTTTGGTTTCCAAAAGAAAGTATCAACAAAAAATTGGAGTTGTTTCGTTGGAAAAGAAATTTCAAATTTCACAAGTTCACATTTGGGCAAAAAGTATAATTCCAAGTATTTTGGTCGCAAAGCTGTTCCGATTCGTTTCTTTATTTTTTATAACTTTGAGTCTACACTACGATGTAACCAAAGAAACAACTGCGGTTTGTTATGCAACTTTTGACACATTGCTCGACTTTTTTATAATCGTTCTTGTTTTGGGAATTATTATTCGACATCGTAAATTGAGAAGAAGTCTATTTTTCAACAAAGTTGATGATTGTCCTCATACATTCGATGGAAGAAAAATTGATATGAATCCGACACATAATGATTATGAAAACTATTTGAGAAATCAGTGGAAATAAATATTCAAATACTATTGTAAACTTTTGTTATTTTTATTTGAAGAAAAAAATCAAGTTCATTTCAGCAAAAAACGTTTTCTATGCAATTCGCGCAAAATCACTTAATTCTGATAATCTAATGTCTGCTTTGGTTTGAACATGTTTGTTCCTCGCTTTCAATCTAGTTTATTTTCTTGTTTGTTTTTATCATCAAACCACAAACATTTATTCATTATTGGACTAGAATTTTATCATTATCAATAATGAAACATAAAGTTAGCGATTGGTGAAATTTCTTCATTCAAAACGGGGATGAATTGATCATTTCAAATTTTTCTACGCTTCCATTTTTAAACTATGTAAAACGTAACCTATACAGGAAATAATGTTAACAAAAATCTGGATTATTTGATTATTTGATTGAACATCCACAGTAAATCCTAGTTAGGTGTGATCTCGAGTAATCCCAGTTAGAAATTCTTATTTTTCGAAAATTTTCATATCCCAGTGCTTCATTCAAATCAGAAAAGTGACAAATCAATCAAACCTAGGCGATAAAGAAGTTCAATATTTCCCTCAATTTGGAAAAAAACGTGTTTGTTTTTTCAACCTCGCCCTTTAATCTAGTTTATCAATGTTTTTATTATGATCTACAAAACATTAACACTTCTCGTATTTATATATTTGTTCTGATCTTCTTATTATCATTATTGTTATGTCATACATATTTTTAGTGACTTTGATTGGTATTCAAAAGTTATCCGAGAGTTGTATTCCGACACAACAAATCGATGTAACTAGTGAGTTTATCTTTTCCCGTCAGCTGACATATTTTTTCAGAAATTTCTGTGAGCTTTTGAATTTCGAAATTTTGCCATTCTTGAAAATTTCCGCAACGAATGAATCTACTTGAATGTTTTAAACATTTTTTTCAAATGTTCAGCCACTACTCCGACCACTACAACAACAACAACACCACTCTATGAATGTGTTGATTCGACATGGACAAAATTCGATAGAGGCACATATTTTTGGTGTATGAAAATTTTCATTGAAGGAATATTGGCTCAAGAAGCTGTTATGTATTGTGCAATGTTGAATAGTGCAGCAGTTCCAAGTGGTAAATTATAAACCGAAGACTAAATTCACCAATTCTTGTATTTATAGGATTTCAAAATTCTGGTGAAGTAACAACAATGATGAATGTAGCAAGAGGAACTACTGGTGGAACAAATGCTCGTTTAACAATTGGAGCATATCGAAGAGCAGCCTGTGAAGGTGTAATTGGAGTTGATGCAAGTTGCACACAACTCAACTCTTTTTATTGGACAGATGGCTATACGAGTGGAACTACACAACATGTCAAACAGCAATCGGTGAGAGTGAAAGAGACGAAAAGATATTGAAATCGCGCGTGATCTACAGCGATTTACATTTGCGGGTCTAGGATTTGTGAAATTTAGAAATAGGCTTCAGCTTGACTTTTGAGAATTCATTCTTGAACTTTCACTGTACAAAGCGACTAAAAGTCATCCTCAATTTTTTTCGAAACAAAAAATGTTTAGCAACCGCAATTTCAAAAATTATGGATTTTCAGACCCACAAATTTTTAATGTACCTTTGATCTATTTTTCTCTAAGTCTTCTTCACTCTCACCGATTGCCAATTTTCATTGGGCTGACATGATGTGACTAATGGATTTGTTTGGAGAAGTGGATCACCAGATAATTCTGGAGGAGCTTCGATTCCACAAATGTATATGATTGTTGATTCAACTGATGATAAAATGGATGATGCTTATGGTGGTGATTATTATGAAGGAGCTGTTTGTGGAATGTTAGCTATGGCTGTTTAAATTATTGTTTGTTGATTTTTAAATAAATTAAATCAAACTTTAGATAAGATTGTTAGAAAATTGTTCTGATTCGTTTTTATGTAGAATTATTACTTGTTTATGCGCGCATTTAAAAAAAAACAATATTTTTAACACCCTCCCCCCTCCCTCATAACACTTTTCCCGGCTGTGTACACTTTTTCCTCATTTCTCCCCTAAACGTAACCCCACCCTCGATTGAAACACGATTAGATTTTCTAACACTTACAACGTGAAACCCCTGTGTTGAAAACTCACGTAACAGTCAATACATATGATTCAAAACCGCCTTCTTCGCTTGATTCATTCATTGATTTCCTTCATTCTTCTTCATTCATTCATTCATGCTTGATTCATTGATTTCCTGAAAATAAACAACAATTTAAATACACGGTAGTTCAACTCACCTTTCGTACATTTATTTATTTTTCTCATTCACTTATCAACCGATTAGGACTGAGGAAGCATCTAGAAATGAACATAGTTTTGCCAACTGTAAAGAGAAAAAATACATCAGATAAGAAACGTGTAATTTCATTTAAAAAATTGTAACGTGATAGTTCTTTTTACAAGAATGAAAGCTTTCCTTTGGGGCTATTCATGTATTTTCTCAGCATGTTGAGAAAACAGGAGAAATGCGGAGAAAATACATTTTCTCCGCTTTTTTCGTATTTTCTCAGCCTACCTGAATAGGTTTTCTCCGCTTTTCTCCCGTTTTCTCAGCGTTGAAAAATAACATGAATAGCCCCATAAAGGATTGTTAAAAAATAAAATTCCGACAAAAAACACAATTTCAAACCTGTTCCATTTGTACACTAGAGCGCACTTCACACACCAAGTTGGTCGATAACACAAAAACTTGCATCTTTCATTTTTTTTTCGAAAAAAGACGCTCCATAAATAAGTTTTTAAAATTTTAAAATGAGCGAAAAAGAAGGTAAAATATAGTGTTTTTGAATATTTTAAATGGTTTCTTTCGCCGCGTAATATTCTTACATTTCAGAATTATGCAGCAATCGCCAGTTTGGAAAAACAGCTAGCGGAACAATCAGCGAATTTCGAGAAATGGAAAATTGAGAACAGGTAGGTACTTTTGTGGATATTTATTTAGATTCGTGATTGTCATGAAACTTTCAAAATTGAATATGATTTCAGCCGTCAACGTGGCACACCATCTTACAATGATTATATTGTGAAATTTGGTGATTGGGAAAGAGAAATCCGCGCCAAAATCGCGGAACATCAAGGACATCTTCCAGAAAGTGGTCCGAAAAATGTTGATTCGATTCTTGACGATCTTTTAGACAATGTTGGAATATACGAATTTATGTTTGCATTGGCAAACATACACATGAATGACAAAACATTCATCCCAAGTTTTGTACAAGAATTCCAGAAAAATAAACGAATTGCAGCTGGAACTGAACCATCTCTTGTTGTTCCAGCAGCACAATTTTATCCTACACACAGTAAGATTATTCAAGTTGCGAAACTTCAAATTATTGATTTGATTTCAGGTGCTACTCCATACAGCTATACTGCTCCACCTCAACAATCAGCCACAACAATGCATTCATGGAGTCGACCAGCACAAATGCCAATACAACGTAGTACTGTTTCACCAATTCGCGATTTCCAGAAGAAAAATACTGGTGGTGCACCATTCCGTGACTTTAGTGTTTGAAAAAATTATGTTTGTTATGATATTTTGTTATTTTTGTGAATAAAGTTCTTCTGAAAACAAAGTTTAGTTTTATATGATTACACTATTGTTATATAGACACTGGTTTTAATATTTCTAGAGTTTTTTTTTAAAGACAATTATCTAGATAGCATCGAATAAAAAATTCGCTGAAACCAAAACCATGCCGCATGTTTGCAAACAAACATGTGTTGCAAAGCCGAACCGCACTACACTGGCTCCGCCCATTATTTTTATTTTTCCGATTTTTTTCTTGGAAAACTGAAATTCATGCGATTTCTTCTTTCAGGGTAAAATGCTTGGTAGACGCGCAGTTTCAGTACATCGGTACTTGTCCAGAGCTGCTAGACAGGTGATTTTTGTTGTTAATTTCTCGAAAAAATCGAATTGTTCAGAGTATTGCTGCTAGTCAATCAACTGTTGCTCAAAACAAAACTCAACTTTTGGAACCACTTGTGAAAAATGTTCAGCTTACCAGCAATGCTAAATTCCACATCAGCGCAATTAGAAGTATGGTTTTTTAATTCGTTAATTTTGAAGAAGTTGAACGCACAAATATAACTATTTCTATTTCAGTGAGCGATGTTATCACCGTGGAAGGACCAGCTTTTGCCGAATCTATCTCCGAAGGAAGATATCAGATGGTTGAAACGTGAGTTGCTTTTTTACGAAACTAAACTTTTTATTTGATCGTGGAACTTAAAAATGCACCATGTTTTGAAATGATAGAAAACGTGGGTGAATCGTAGAACAGGCCCCCACCAATGTCATTTTAAGCCCCCACTAGTCAGACATATTATAGGTCCCCACCTTATTATGATCAGAAATCTTGTTGGTGGGGACCTAAAATTAAGTTGACACGTGGGGGCTCAAAATGATAGTGGTGGGGACCTTTTTTCCGAAATACCCTATGATCGAAATAAAAGCCCCCAACTCTATTAAAATTATGTGAAAATAGGCCCCCACATACAAATATAAGTCCCACCCCATTACAGGCCCCCATCCAAAAATAAGTCCCCACATAGTCATTTTAGGTCCCCATTTCCATTGAGTGGGGACTCGGTGGGGACTTTTACTTGTTGGTGGGGGCTTACTTTGAGGTGGGGGCCTATTCTGCGATTCACCCGAAAACGTAATAAAACATCATTTTTAGATTTTTTGAATACTTTTTTTAAAATCACAAAATAATTTCAGAAAAAGGAGATCATGTCAACGAAGATGAATTGGTTGCCGAAATCGAAACCGACAAAACATCCGTCGAAGTTCCAGCTCCACAATCAGGAACTATTGTCGAATTATTGGTTGAAGATGGTTCAAAAGTTACTGCCAAGCAAAAATTATACAAACTTCAACCAGGAGCCGGAGGTGGATCAGCCCCAGCAGCTCCAAAAGTTGAAGCCGCTGCAACACCTGCCTCACCAACCCCAGCTCCAGCAGCTGCTGCCCCAGCCCCAACTCCAGTAGCTCCTCCTAAAGCTGCCGCTGGAGAGATTCCAAAAGCCGCTCCACCAGTTGCTCGTCCACCATCAACACCATCTTCCTCAACCCCAGTCTCAGGTGTTGGTATTCAACGTGTTGTAATTCCAAAAGGAGTTGATGCCAACTTGGCAATCACTGGAGCTCGTGATGAAGTTCGAGTCAAGGCTAATCGCATGCGTATGAGAATTGCTCAACGTTTAAAGGATGCTCAAAACACATATGCTATGCTTACAACTTTCAATGAAATCGACATGAGGTGAGATTTTTGCAAGAAAAATTATTTCCAAAGCGAACATCTAAACTCATACATCATACATTCAAAAAATCTATGACAAATACGTATGTCACGTGACATCTGATAAGATAACATGATCAAATTTTCGAAGACAAATCTGAGAAAAAAATGCAATGGGAAAAAAGATGGAATAAAAATCTCGGAAATAAAACATTTAAAAATTATTCCAGCGGAGTCATCGAAATGCGCCAAAAATATCAAAAAGCTTTCGTCGCGAAGCACGGTCTCAAACTCGGTTTGATGTCTCCATTTGTCCGCGCTGCCGCTTATGCTCTTCAAGAATCACCAATTGTCAACGCAGTTTTGGATGAAAATGAGATTGTCTACCGTCATTTCGTTGACATCTCTGTTGCTGTTGCCACTCCAAAAGGATTAGTTGTTCCAGTTTTGAGAAATGTTGAAAGTATGAATTATGCTCAAATTGAGCAAGAAATTGCCAATCTTGGAGTAAAGGTCAGTTTTTACTAGATTTAAAATTTCTCAACAAACTTTATAGGCTCGCGATGGAAAATTGGCGGTTGAAGATATGGAAGGAGGAACTTTCACTATCTCAAATGGTGGAGTTTTCGGATCAGTTTTTGGTACACCAATTATTAATCCACCACAAAGTGCTATTTTGGGTATGCACGGTGTTCATGATCGTGTTGTTCCAATTAATGGAAAAGTAAGATTATTGATTTTTAATATTTATCGATTTACTATTCATAAATATCTTTCAGCCAGAAATTCGTCCAATCATGCAAATCGCTTTAACCTACGATCATAGACTTATTGATGGAAGAGAGGCTGTAACATTCTTGAAGAAAATCAAGGATGCAGTTGAAGATCCACGAACAATTTTGATGAACCTTTAAATTTCCAATTAATTGTGTTTTTTTTGGTTTGTTTAATCCGCATCGGCGATAATTTTTTTATAATCTCCTTTTTTTCGTTAGGTACTCAGTTTAGTAACAAGTCGATTATTGATTACTTTTTCGAACCATTTTTCCCTCCAATTTTTCCTGTGCTCTTCTTGATTTTTGTTATGCTTTTGAGTTTTAATGAATGAAAAGATTTTTAGTATTTGTTTTTTTTCAGAAACTTTTTGGTTGTTCCCTGAATTTCATTATTTTTTATTTGAATTGTCAGTTAAATTTATTTGTAGAACAGTTTCAGATTTTCTGCTTATAAATAAATATCTACAAATTTCGGATAATGGTGAGATTTTTTCAATAAAGTTGAATAAGATTTTTTGATATTTTCAGAAACGAGTTGCCAACGAGACCCCTACAAAACTGTTAAATTGGAACAATGACGGGGAATCAACACCAACTAAAAAATCAGCTGTTATTCCACCTTGTGTTACTAGATCGAGTCCAACAAAATCAATTAAAAAACGAAGGTTTGAAAAATTATTATCTAACATAAAACATTGCAAATCTAAAATTTCAGCCCACTGATTCCGAAAGTCAATACTTTTGTGTTTTTCGATCTCGAAACAACGGACAAAATTACTGGTAAGAAATTTTTCATAACCGATTCAATTTTTTTACAATTTTAATCGCCGATCAAGATGATTGTTATTCAAAATCTATTTTTGTTTCAGATACACCTCTAACATCAGGATGGGAATCTGTAATGGTAAAAGGACCTGATAAATTCACAGATACACTTGATAAATTATGTCTACAAAGTTAGTTTATTTCAAGTGGAATTGTAACAGAACTAGTTAATACGGAAACTTATTTTAGCCACTGCTGATCAACTTCCACGAATCACCGAAATGAGTTTTGTTGCGATTCCAAGAGATAGTTTTTTGGAATATCAAGAAGCCTTCAAAAATGATGAGAAAAACGGGGTTAGTTTAACAATAAGTAAATATTTAGAATATAATTTTTAAAAAAATGCATTAATATATTTATTTTTTGAGTTCAGCGTGAACTTTATATTTTACAACGTAGAATTATTTTTCTGATTAGTTTATTTTTATTTTAGAAATTAGCAGAATCTGTACGTTTTTGAAGTTGTTGAAAAGTATATATATTCAATATATTCAGTGATCATCATCATTATTTAATTTTTATCTAGGCAACAAAACTTGGTCGATATATTCCAACAAATACTCATACACGACAAATCAATCCAAATCTAACATCTGCTGAATGGATACAATATGAAACAAGAAGACAAAGAGCTCCAATTGTTCATAAACAAAAATCGATAACATGCAAAAATCAGTTTGATCGAGAATGGCCAGCTGTTATTGATTTTTTAAATTCATTGGAGAAACCAGTGGCAATTGGTGAGTAAGGCAAACTTTTTGAGAAAAAATAAATTAAATATTTTCAGTTGCTCATAATGGTATAAAATTTGATTTTCGAGTGATTTATGGAGAAATGGCACGATATAAACTTCTGGAAAATCATCCAATTCCAAAAGAGATTCTATTCGTTGATAGTATTGCAATGATAAAACAAGTTGAACTAAAATATGGAGAAGATATGCAATTACATTGTAAAGATATTGATTGGATGAAAATTGCTGAACTTGAAGCAAAAAGCAATTCAATTGAAGATGAAGCATTTTTTGCGGAAGAATCAAAACATGTTGTATCTGATATTCATCCATATGATTTTTTGAATATCAAAAATTGGAGTATTGCTAAGAAAAAACGAATTTCGAAAAGTTTTTTCAAAAAAATAAACAATTCCTGGGTTTATTCAATGAATGATGCAAAATATCAAAAACTTGGACTTGGTTATTTATTTGAGCAATTGGTTGGTGGTCAATTTGTGGCACATTATGCACAACAGGATTGTGAAGCATTGATGCAAGTTTGCATAACTTATGCCGAAGATTTTTGCAACTTTGTTGATCAAAATGCAGCCGAATTTCCGTTTTGAATGTGGGTTTTTTTGGGTTGTTGTAATATTATAAGTATTTATTTAAAATCCTATGATCTGACTTCATTTCACTTATCTTGCCTTTAATAATCCTCACTCTTAATTACTGTTTACTTCATTTTACATGAAACTTGCACATATTTGCATAGTTATATGCGTGGAAAGAAGTTACAGGCAAAATTACAGGGGTTTTCTGAATAAAAAACGTGAGGGCAAGTGTTACAAGAAACTTGGGGACGGTTCTTGACATACATGCACACTCGGAACCCCAGGTCAGTGATTTTATGAAATATGGGTAGGTGGTAGAAATTTTGAGGCAAGATTCGAATGATAATTTATCGAAAACTGGGGTTAACTAGGGTTTTGGTGTAAATAATTTCATGTTTTATTGAATATGAAACATAGAAATCCCTCAAAAAATCACAAACTACAATTCCACATCAACTAGTTTTTTTTTTGCATTGTTATCTCTAAAAAATACCTCGAAGGATCGTAGGGATTAGTCACATTTTTGTCTCTCTACGCGTGACAGATCTTATCAAAAGAAGGCAAAAGTTGTAAGCTTTGAAGGAACACGAATTGTTGGAATGCAAGTGTTGTAATATATGAAAATGACGTCCTAATTTGATCAGATATCACCAAAAGGAATGTGTTATGTAAAATGAGGAAAGTATGTGATTTTTGCTGTTTTATTTCTACTTGTAAGGTATATTTGATGTGAAAGGTAAAAATTTGAGGAGTGTAATATTTATATTCGGTATCGTAATTTAATAGTTGACACAACTCTAAAAAGTTAGATTTATGATCTATGTTCTCGCCGTTTTTTTCCTTGCATTTTCATTTTTCATTTCAAATCCTGCAAATGATTGTGTTTATTTAATTAAATGAGAAAAAGAAGACCAAATTTCGTTTGAATTGACCACTCAACAATGTTTATGACACTTTTTGTTGTTATTCTGGGAAATTGAAAAAGTGACGTTTTTGGGATATTTTTAAATATGTAGGTTCTAAAAGTTTTTGAATTGACGATAGAAGCAACATTTTCCCGAAACAACCCCATTTTTTTTTACAAAGTGTTCATTCGATCTGTCGATTTTTCTTCTTCTTCATTTTTTCTACCTACATTAATCAATTGACTACATACTTATTTGTCGGGTAGGAAAAATAAGAAGGAGAAAAAGAAATGATGATCAGAAATCGAATTTTCTGTACCTAATTCATTTGAAGAATGTTCCTCTAATTTTTCTGTTCCCTCTCTTGATCATAACACACAAGGCAAGAGAAGAAATTCTAAAATTCCATAAAAAACCAACTGTGAGTCAGAGAATGTGTTTTATTTGTTTTCCGGCCTAAAAACGGTGTCACTAACTATCATTTGGAAAAAAAATGATTAAAACAACACCCACTGTTTGAACATTTGTTCTCTTTTTGAACTTTTCCGCTGATTTCTGATCGTCTAAAGGAAAAACATAACATTGTAAACAATTTTATGTATCTCATTATCATTTCTTTCCAACAAAACATGAAAGAATAATCCATTTTGAACCAGCCACACCCGCTTTGATAATAAACAATCTATCACATGGATAAAAATGTATGACTCGATAAACTGAACGGTTTTTTCATTGAGATGAAGAAAAAGAAAAGATCAATCAAATTCTATTTTGGTCGTGACTTTTTCGACGAAAAATTAATGAAAAGATTAATTAGTCAAATTACTAATGTTCTTTGAAAATTTGAGTGCACTTCCCGCGGAAACTTGTTTCTTTTGAATAGGAGGCGATTTTTGATAGTCTTTGATCTGCGGGAATAATCGGAATTTGTAAGCAAAACAATATAAAAGTTTTTGAATCAAATTAGATGACCGAATTCTGTCCCTTTCGGGAGATTAAATTGTTTTTCAAGCACAAATCTAGCCCTATTCCACGCATATTTTTCAATCATCCAATGAACCCCTCACTTCCGAAATGAATTTTTGATAGATCACCTATCAAATCATCACTGCAACTTTTCAAAATCAAATTTGTTCGTCAAATGACTACATAATTTTATCACTCTTTATCACCATTGTCACAAATCCTACGAATATATTTTGTATCTTCCCTTTTTTCCCAAAAAAGGCTGTATTTTTTTCTCATCAGAAACCACATTTTATGTATCACAAAAACAACCAAATAAATGGAAAACTTTGATCGATTTTGAAAAAAATGTGTGAGTAAAGTTGTAAAGAAATCGAATGTTCAAACAACACTGATGAAAGATTACTGTAGAATGTTGCTGGATACTCTAAAGTTCGATCAGAATTGATTTATCAAGTTTTGATTGATTGCATATTTAATCTGAATTTGACTGCAAAAAACTCCTTTTAATTTCCCTCATACAAAATTTACTCTAGACATGTTTTCCTTCTATGTGAAAAAACCGTTCATATCACGATTGATTTCTGATTTGAACCGACAACTTATCAAATCTCCCCATATTTCCTTGTCTATCTTTTATATTTTTTCTCTCATATTCCGTTTTTCCCGATGTACTTCGTGTTTTTGTGGCCGGGGCGGTAAATTTGATAAAAGGTACCTGTAATGTACCCAGATTTTGTTACTCTTCAAAATCCAGTTCGCCGACAAAAAATATTTATGCAAAAAGGGCAAATGCGTGTGAAAAAAACATGTGGTTATTCTCACTGATAAAATACATTTTTCGGAACGATTAAAGACATTTTCTGAAATTTTTAACATAATGAATGGGATGTTTGGTATTGTTATGTATAGGATCCGACTGATGTATTCCAAAGCATCACCACCAAGTTTAATAGATTTTGTTCATTTTTGTGGTCCCATTCAGCATCTGCTTGAAAACTGCTGAATATTTATCCCTATTTTAAAATATTCCAACCCCCCCCCCATTGTGAAATAAGATTCGTGAAACTTCGTTTTTTGAATAACTTAAAGTATTTCGAAATTCGATCACTATGGTGACTCAGGATGTTTTTCTTTATTCTGCAAGAAATGCATTATTTTTTCGGTGTTTTTGTGGTTGGACAGGTTATGATGAAATGTATGTGTGTGTGTGTAAAAAATTCAATTTCCGGTAAAAAAGTAATAATTTATTTATCAGCGTGGGAGTTTTGAGAATAATAAAAAATTGAGAGATTTTGGAACTTTAGTCGTTTAGGTTACTGTACCTAATTCGAATGTTTCACATTTTCCGCCAATTTTTTTTCCAGAAAAAGTTTTTGAATCATTGATCTTTTTTTTCATTGAAATTCCTTTGGCTAGACCACTTTGAAATTACCATAAAATGGTCAAATTCCGGCTGGTCACTCAACTTTGACGAAACTAGATTGTAGTCCTTTTACAAAAGATGTTTTCTCATTTTTAACTTAAATGAAAAATAAGACATTCTTCCTCATACTATTTCTTATCATTGACCAAATGAAAAAAACTGTGTAGATTAAATATCTTTCGAGTTTTTTTTCTTATTTTCGATTGAAGATCAAACTCATATCTCTTACAAAAATCTGAAATTTGAAAATCTAAATTCGCAAAGCAAAAAACATGTTTTCTAGTGGACTGTACTGAAAAAAGAAAAACACAGGCTGTAATTATATATGTATGAAAACCCGGTTTTTCGTAGTAGTATTTTCATCTTCTTCTCGTCGTTTTGCAGAATTCAATGTGTGTAAGAAAAAGACGATGAAAAAAGGTTTTCTCTTCATTTTCACGATAAATTTTCATGAAATTACCTTTGTTATTTTTGTTTTTGATGTGAGGTTCAAATATTGTTTGGGACAAAAAATATGCCTTTTTTCTTTCTCTTCATGGAAATAATTAGGCGAAGTTAGTCATGATTTATTAGGTCTGAAATTAATGATTATGACCGGATGTTTGAAAAGTACAAGGATTGGAAGGTTTCAGATAGAGACCACGATTAAATTCAGTATATAAAGAAGTTACTGTAGTTATAGGGCATGTTGAGAAAAATTGAGTTACCAAAACTTGATTTTTTTTTAGCTTTTCAAAATTTTGATATGAATAAGGTATGCCAGCATACATGCTTACAACTAGTTTTAGGCCGTATTATTTTTCACACCTCTTAAAATTCTTATCTGATCAAGAACAAATATTTTTTTACTTTAGTTTTTTTTTATAACCTCAACTTTGTTTTTTTTGAAACTACGAAGCGCCATAAACAGCTTGATTTTACTGAAACAAAACATATTTGAAATAAGTAGTCTCATGACAAATTTTGTCTAAGAGTTTTAAGCTAACACAGGCAGAATCTTGACAGATTTGATGATTTTTTTGATCGGTCGCCAAATTGTCTAGCTAGCTTTTATTTTCTTTTCAAAGAAGCTAGAAGGTCACCTTTATCATTTCCGGACACAACCATTGTTATTTTTTAGATTGTTGTTGACAAATTCGTTCAGTTTGAAAATGAAAAATGGCCAAAAAATGACAACAAAATTGGTTGAAATAATTGGGTGATGTCCTTTTTTACACTATCCCATTTTCTTCTTCTTCATCATCATTCCTTCCTTTTAGTTGGTATTGTTCTCATTCTTCTTCTCTCCGTTTTTTTTTCTTTTTTGTCTTGTTTTCTACCGACAATGATTGACCATTTGGCTTTTTGTTTTCAATGATTTTTGGTGATTAGAGATATTCATTTATTTTTTTATTGCCAATCCGAAAGTTTTTAGGGCCGTGGAAGAACAGACTAAATATACGCTGGACTATGTCGGCAGTTTTGATTTCTAGAATCGAATGGGAGCGGTTTTCTAGGCTATAACAATTTTCAGGCAAAACATAAACCAGGATATCTTCAGTTGAGACCTGTAATATGTTTAGAACCTGGGGCTAATCTTTTATTAAATCTTTAGTTTTATATTAGTCACGGGAATAGATTTTCCAAATGATGACTCAAATTTATCTGTTTCAATCCGAATTATTTTTCTCCCTTTGACTTAATCTACTTTTTCTCCCTTCGAAGAAATGCTATTTCCTTAAATTCAAATTATGTGCTCATTTTTTGAATTTTTCGAGGAACCAAAAAATGCTCATATTTTTTTCCTCTTTTTTTTGCTCAATTCAAAATTAAAAATATATCTATTTATAGAGTGAGGTCGAAAAGAGCCAGCAAAAAAAAAACCAATTTCAAATTTTGGGTGTCTGTGTGCATTTTTCTTGACAAACATGAAAAATCGCCTCATTATTCATTTATTTGAATTGAGCCAAAAAACAACAAAAACATATCAAAAAAGTTGTTTTGTACGTTTTTGAGTGACAGGAAATGATGATGTTCTTGCACTTTTTTTTTTTCAAAAATTGTTTGTTATCAACGAAAAGCTAATTATAGAGTCTACAATCAAAATGACGTGCTCAATTTTTTTCAATTTTAAGTTGAATAAAAATCAAAAACTAATTTAAACAGACCAGCTGATATCTCATTTTCCGGCGCCAAAAAGGTCAACTCTTATCTCGTTGGAGTTTGTTTGCTTGTTTCATTTTTGATTTTCCTGTCATTCATTTATTAGTGATCACATTTTGTTATGGTGTGGTAAAATGGTGAAGAGAGAAAAAGAACAATGACTAATGACGTTTGAAATAAAAGGTGATAAGGTGGCACAAGAAAATTAGTATAGTTTAGATAGAACAAAGGAATATTTATTTAGGAAAAGTTATACATTTTTGTTATTATAAATTTCACATTTCCAAGAATACTGGAAGTTTTTCAGAAAACTCTTACCTTGCAAAAGCGACCATAATTAAAAGAATGAGCCAAAATGTGATGAGACTCTGAGAGAGGCATGAAGATTTATGGTATAGAATGAGATGTATCTGAAACTCAAAACAGTTTCAAGATTTCTACTGTCAAACTGACCCCCTTACTTTTCTATTGTTCCTTGTTGCCAATTGTTTGAATAGTTAAATTTCAACTCCTTATCAAAACCAAACAAACAAAAATTACCAAAACCCTCTCAATTTCTAATACTCTCTCACATTTGTCAATGAATTCCAATCATGTCACGTGGCTCCAAATTTCTCCCTTTTCTATTCTGACAGTGAAACTGTTTTATTATTTGTATGATTATCAGTGGCTCACTCACTCACTTGCTCCCTTTTTGTGTAAACAGATGTTTTTGAACTTTTCGCAAAAAAGAGCACGTAGTCCTAGGACTGTTACTGTTTTTCAACATTTCAGAGATCAATAAGTTTGTCAGGTGATTTAACAAATAATAAACATTGAAAGAACCACGTTTTCTGAATTGAACAATAAGTGGCAAATAAATAGGAAATAATAAAATGAATAGATTAGAGTTCAATGGGAAATATCACAAGTCATTTGACATTTCTCATGATACATGTAAACATTTTTGCTCGTTTCCCGAAAACAAATACAACATTTTTCAACTATTTGCACCGAGGCTCTTGTCTTTTGCGTCAAACAAATACATTTTGCGTGCAAAACACTCTTTTTGGATTGTTGCAGATTTTCGGATATAAAAATTGTAGAAGAAGCCGTATTTCTTTAAATGACGAGGAAGTAGTCTAAATGAACTTAGAATCACGTTTTTCAATTTTGAAGTTATGAATCTATAATTTAAGGACTGAAAGTGTTTAAACTTTCTGAATCGGATCAGAAGAAAGAAATCGTAATGGTCCAGTCCAGATACCCCAAAAGATTTTATCGTTCTGAAAAACAGAACTGATTTATAACTTACCTATAAAAAATGCTATTGTGGTCTGGTTCAGACAAAGTAATATGCGGACCTACGTGTAGTTTTTTGGGCCGATCAAAAATTATTTGAAAAATTGTTAATATTATCTGCTCTTTTGAACTTTTTATTCCGTATTATACATTTTGATTAAAAAATCACAATTGTTGATTTTTTGAAAAATATATTTTTGTTCAAATTTAGACGAATTTTTGAACATTGGATTTTCGAACATTATAGACCAAAAAAGTATTACTTATAGTCTAAAGTAAACATTTCCTTTCCAATTTCCCATCAACCAAAAACTATTCGACTTTCTCACATCATTCTTCCTCCCAAAAAAATAAAATAAAAATATTCATGAAGACCCCATTTTTCTGCTTTTTTGGTCACTAATCCCTTTTTTTCTGAGATAAATGGATTAATTTTCTCGCACCGCAATTGCTTAATCGAGATTATTTTAAAAGGGGCAAATTTTTGAAAGTTTCTTGGAAAAATTAAAGTTTTTCGGAAGGATCTGTGATTCTTCTTTGCGTACAATTAGCGGTCAAAATTAGATACCAAAAATAACCGGAGATGATATCATTTATTTATTTTAATTTAAATTTAGACGCGTCTTACGAAAAGTGCACTGTATTTTGTGCAGAATTCATTATTTTTTGAATCTGATGAAATATTATAATAATTACTGATAAAAGCAAAATGTTTTGTTATTGTCAATGTGAAATGACAGTTTTCGACTGATAACTGATAATTTTTCGTGGAAAATCGCACATCGCATGATTTATTAATATTTTTCTCATAATTTGAACGTTGCTCGAAAAAAGCTCAAACCGGAACCAAATAAATGTGAGAATGCCTATTATAAAATGTAAATTTTCCTTCTTTCAATAGGTTGCGTTTTCAGAATTTTATAGTACCATTCATCCATCCAATTACTTTCATTTTTCTCGCAACTCGCCATTTCGTGTCAGACAGAAATAAAAACGAAAAAAAAACAAATTATATAGACGAGTTGTTTTTATTATTGTACTTTTGGAAAGTAAAGACTAATTAGTCTTTTGAGAATTTATATTCAGATTTGAAAAATATATTTCTATTTTTGCTAACAAGGAAATTTCCCACACTCTGAACTTTTCATCAAGATAATAAATTTAACCAGAATTTTCCACATATACAGATGGCAAACATCGATTAGAAATAGTTTATAGTTACCCGCCAAAACCAAAAAACACTCAATTTCTGTCACCATGACATCATAACTGTACACACCAATAAAAAGAAAAATGATGAAATATTTGATGATAGGGTGTAAATACACCCTTGATCAGAATGATGCAATTATTCCCAAATTTGTTACAAATCCCGATGTTTAAATCAGAAAACAATAGTTTCAAAATGTTGTTTTTCTTTTGAAATCGAAATTTACATTTCAAAAATCACTCCAGTTAGCCACGTGGTCTGTCTTTTTTGTTTTTCTCTTACTCGTGTGTATATATTTGAAATGAGTTATCGAAAAAGAAAAAGGAAACTCGGCGTCCGGATTAGTGAGAAAATGTATTGTCTTTTTAAGTTAAAGTGAAAAACAATCTCTTTTTATATTTTTATATTTTTCTCGAAAAAAGTGCTTCGTGGAAAAATATTTTTTATATTAAGAAGAATAAAGAATAATAAATACAAAAATGAGCTCTATTTTTGTTGGAAAATACGGATAGGATTGGAATTAGGGGGAAAATAGACGGATAATATTGGATTTTGTTTTGACATTGAAGTTATTCAAGAATTGGCGATTCGTGGGATTTGAGTGTGTTTTTTTGAATGTTCATTGATGAAATTCCCCATTAAATCAGATTTTGTTAATCATAACAAAGAAAGATTAAATGGGAAATCTTGTCTATCTCGAAGATTGAACCATTTTCTCGAAATGTTTTCCAGTTTTGAAAAAATTCCTCCATTGAAAATTCTTTAACTTGGCAGCTCGTGATTTTCGAAGAGCAAACTAACTAATTTGTATCAGAATATGTGCATCCGGCTTTTCTTGCATATTTACCAGTTTAATGATAGAGCTATTTTTCTTTTTCTACCTAATAAGTGATTCTCAAAATGTTGCAATTCTACCCGATCGTTTTCTTTTCGCTAAACGGTTATTTTTGACCGGAAAACATGACTCGCTGTTCAAATAACCTAACACATCTCGAAATTCAATAATAATAATAATGACTCATACAGTTCCTCGAAATGAGAAGAAAACAAGTCATATTGTTCTTTTTTGTGTTATTTTGGCCGCTGGCCAAAAAAAGAACATGAGAAGAAATAGGCGGAGCCAAGTCTTCGCCTAAACTCCGCCCATTTTTTGTCGCTCTCATCTGTTGTCCTCCTCTATTTTATCTCTATATATGTGTGTGATCAGTGTGCCGTGTTCAGAGATTTTACATTTATTTATTTATTTTTTGGTTTATTTTTTTTTCAACTTGTTTATTTCGCACTTTTCTTTTTTTTTTTCTTTTATCAAATTCATATTGTTTCAGTGTCCTCAAATCTTTCAAAACAAAAAAAGCAAAATGATTGTTGCCAAGAAGCGCAGTTTTTTAATGAAATTGTTGAAATTCGTCGGACGTGGAAGTGAGTTTATTCAATTTAAAATGCAATTTCATTTAAATGTTTCTCTTTTTGCAGATCAAGTTCAATCTTCCAAATATTGTTTGGCTCAAATTTACGAGCAACGAAAAAAGCAAAGACAACGGTAAGTTAATTTTTTTCCAAAATTATTGTCATTTCCAAGTTTCTATATTTTTCAGAAGCTCAATCAATTCACAATTCTCAATTGAACCAATGCCAACAATTCTTGAAGAAGATGAATATTCGTGCACCGCATGAACAAATAATCTAAAACAAAATAGATGAAAAGTAGCCGATTCCAACCAACGCAGTTTGAATCCGATTTTCTCTGAAATATTTTATATCTGAAAGCGGGCCGAAATCGAATCTCATTCTTCCACAATTTCTATCTAGTCATGTTCCTTTAAATGACATTGTTTTTGCACGGGTCAATATTATGTGTAATTTGACGTGTTTTTGAATAACTTTATATTATTTTGAACCGTAAATAAAACAGTTTTGATTTATTTTTGTTGGGTTTTTATGGAAGAAAGAGGTTTTTTTACAGAGAAATTTTTATTCAAGTTGGTATACTTTCATTCTTACTTTTTTCGTGAGAAAAATCTTCTTTCTATACTAAAATTCTTTTATTCTAAAGGCTGACTTTACATATAAATCTGTCACAAACCGAACGCACAAACAAAAACACAATTATTTTCTCCAACTATTTTTTTTGCATCTCAAGAGTTTTCGGAAATGAATACTTGACAGAAGAAAATGTTCGGAAGTCCTTGAATTTGAATTCAATTTTTGTTTTGTTGTTTTTTCATATTTTTTTGAAAAATATCTTGAAAAAGATTAGTTTTTGAATGTTTTCTAGATTTGTTTGTTTTCCAAAAAACAAATCAGAAAATTCGAAGATCTTTTTCCGCCGCATGCTTTGCTTTTTGAACCATTTTATAATGAAACCAAGTTTGAAAAAAATAACCTTTGACTCTATGAGCTCTGACATCACTATTCTCATTATTTTCCTTGTTGAATGGGAAAAATAATAAAAAATAATTATGGAAACTTTTTTTGGATGACTGGAGTAATTGTATTGTTTTATATTGGAATCAGCTTTTTTATATGTGTTCTATGAATTGAGAAAAAAAGGTTCAGAGGTAAAGAAATTTATTGGATATAGGGGAAAATTGGTGTCTGAACTCATGAAACATATTTGTCTCCTGGGAAAACGCGATATTGTCGCAGATTTGTCGAATATTTGTTGTTGAAAAGGAAAATTTTAGGACTTTTGAATCCGGTCAATTTTTTAAAAATGTTTTCCAATTCCGAAAATTTGGTTGTACTAATTTTCGAGATGATGTTTTTCCAAAACACATTATAGTTTATATTTATCTTGCAAAAGATCTCACATCATAACATCCTAATATAAACATTTCACTTAAAATTTGTTGATAAAAGCCACGTTCTTTCGGATTTCAAATTTCCTGCAATTTCCTATTTTTAACAATTTTTCCAACTTCCGAGGAAATCCGGAATGTGGAACAACAAATTTTTAATGCAATTTCTGAAACACAAAATTCAAAAAAAAAACTTGATTTTTGATACTGATCAAATACACACAGTACACAATTTCTTTTCGTTTTGATTCGACGAATGAACATTTTTCATGATTTTGAAAAATAATACAATTTTCGAGAAAGAAGATTCATTCGAATATTCTTGTAAACTCTAAAAATACACTTTTAAAAAATCCCAACATCACCACCAAAAACCAAACCACGCGTAGAAAAAAATCGAGGAAGATCTTGAATTACATTGGTTTTTAGGATTCTAAAATAAACATGTTAATGGATTAATTGTTTCTGACTTGTTATCGGGTTCTCAAAAAAAGATAGAATTGAGAAAATCGAAATTACGTGAACTTTCTAGAATTTTAATTTTTCATTTTTAACATTGTTTACCTTCGTGTTTTGAATTTATTTGCGAAAAAATATGACTTCGCATTAGAAAGACAGTTTCTTCTAATTCATACTTCAACTTTGACTTTTTTAGAAAGACTTTAATTTAGAATTTTCACAGCCATTCGAAGTTTTTCTTGGAAAAAAATCAAATTTTCTATATTTTTGGATCTCCCACGATCTGTTTTACTTCTGAAATCTACCAACAGTAATCCTACAGATTTCTTCTAGGAAATTGAAAATAGAAAAGAATCAAACATCAATTTTTGTATGTGAGTCGATCTGGAATTTTTCTACTCTACAAAAAATGTATTTTCGTTCAGCTCAAAATAATCTCAACAAAATCACGTCATTATTGTATTCGCTCACCCACAATCTCTCTCTCATAATAGTTCTACTCTTCAAACAAATCAGTAAATCTAGTTCAGCAATCTTGCTCATTACAGCAATAAAATAACAAAGTATTTAAAAATAACACGAGAGTTGGTAAATATTTGATTTGTTTTCTGTAAATATCAAGAAAAAAACTGTTTTTCACAATTTCTGGGGAATACAAAAAGAGTGCATTCAAATAATGATTTCTGATGTTTCTATTCTCCAAAACACAGAAGCGGAAGAAAACAAGATTCAGAGCTCACCTGATGCGTAACAAAAAGTTTCGAATTTCATTTGAGTTGGATTTTTGGAATGAATGAAATATTAGAAGGTACTTTTTGAAAATGAGAGTTGACCACTATTGGACCAAGTTAAATACATAGAACCTAACTTTTTTAACTTCACATAGCAACGGTTCTATATGAGAATATTAAAACCATTCAAAATTCAATGAATGTGTATTTTTCTCCAAAAACGTTCGTTGATCTTATAACACAATTTGTTTGGTGTTTTTAGTACAAATATTCCGGTTGGTTGAAATCAATCGTGTTTATTGAAAATATCATTAGCAAAATTGGCAAAGTACGGTTCAAATAATTTGAGTCCCGGTTTTGTTAAATGAATTGAATTGTCAATGTAGGATAGCATTGTTTTTCTGTCAAATAATAAATATTTTTCATCGGTTGCAATCATTGGTGACAAATCGATTATCTGAAGAAAATTCTGTTTTCATTCAGAACATTTTTATAACTGAAATTGATTACCTGACAAGATTTGCATTTAATATTGCTCAATCGTTTTCTGATATATTTCATTTCAATATCTGCATCATATCTTTTCAAATTAAAACTTTCCAAATGTTCTGGTTTATAAATCAAATTCTGAATGAATGCATTCATTGAATATGGAGCATACAAAGGAAATGCTCCTAATATAAAAATATGTTTTGTGTATTTCTCGTAAATTTCAATATTCTTATTGAATTCTTGAATCCATTTGTCATTTTCTGAATAATAAAATGGTGTTTTAACAGATTCAGAATATCTGCTTATAATCATCAAAATATCGAGTTTTTCTTTAGAAATTAATTTGTGAGTAATTGATAAAGATAAATTTGAAAGTGGATTATCACTATATATTCCATAACTTGCTGAAAAACAAAAGAATTGTGATCATTTTTCGAATATTCAAAACTTACAAGGAAATGATGCATATTGAAAAACAGAATATGTTCCAACTTCATCAATTGCGTCTTTGATTGTATTCACAAAATTCGCAGTATAACTATTTCCAACAACCATTATATTTTTTGTTCCATTTCCAAAATATTTACAATATCCAATAGTATGATCTCCGAGTTTATAAGAATCTTCAAAATCCGAAACATCACATTTTTGTAATGGTTTCCATCTTGAAATAAGATTATCGAGATTCGTGCTTATAACTTCTTGTAATTCTTCTGGATATTCATGTTTCCAGAATTCATGAGTTTTGACACTTTTGTAAAGATATCCATTCGACATAATTAATAAACCAAGAAAACCAAGGAAAATAAGCTTTGATTTGATTTTGGTCATATAAGTTTTCTCGAAGCCATAATGTAAAAATGAGGAAATAATTATAACTAGAACTATCGTAGAAATAAAATATTTTGTGGTAGAAGATCCAATTATAATAATTAATGGCCAATGAATAAGATAGATTATATAGGATAAATCACCAATGTGGGATAATATTCGATTATTCAGAATCTGAAAGTTATATGAATAACCTTTTTTCACACGAACTTTTAAAAAACCCACAATGTTATCATTTTGATTGTCGAATGTTAATAATATACCAGTGCAAAGAGTTAATAGAATTCGCAAAGTTGGGACATTCATTTTAATTGGTAGAAACATCAAAAATAAACAAGTCAATATTATATTTTTGAAACTCCTGGAATCGATTGGAATATTGAATTTCGATTGTTGCAGAGTGTTTTTAGACATATCAATAAAATTAACTCGAATATAGAAATATGCAACAAATCCTGTTGAAAATTGCCATAATCGAAGTGGCATAAAATTGAAAGCAAATTGTGGATTGATAAAATGAAAAAGGATCATACAAATGCAAGTCATGATAATAGATGCAATGAATTTCAAAAAAATCAGATTTAAGATGCGCGAATCCCATGAAAATAAAAGGAACAATAAGATAGAATTGCATTTCAACACCCAAACTCCAACAATGAATAAATGCATTCAAAGAAGATCCATCAGCTTGAAATTCAAGAAAATAATCACCACTATCATGAATAATTAATTGATTTGTGACTAGGAGCAACGATGATAGGTAATATCGATGATTATTATTCCACCAAACTTCAATTAAAAATTTTTGAACAGCTACAGTTGTTAGAAATAAAATGAGGTAATACAGTGGTAAAATTCTTCGAGCTCTTCGATAATAGAAATCGAGAATATTGATTGGTTTTGAACTTGACATCAAAAATCCAGACAAAACAAAGAATCTGAAATTATTAGAGAATTATAACTGGTTTAGAATGATAATAATAATTATCTGAAACTTACACATCAACACCTAAAAATCCATTTTCAAAAATTGTTGGAAATAAATGATAAAATAAAACAGCTAAAATAGCCAAAGCTCTAATACATTGAATATCTATTCGCCTACTCATTTCTTCTTTTTTTAGAAGTCTAGATTTCTTTTACCTTTTATAGTTTCGCTAAGAAGGTCACCGCACCCAATTAAATATGCTAATATGAGAAGAATAAGGGTTCCGGAGGCAGAATGAAAGTGTTTCTCATTGTTTTTTTTTTCTATCTGGGTCACTTTTTTTTACTATTGTTCGTGTGTAGTTTGATGATTCCCCACTGATTTGAACTTTTGAAACTAATTGTTTGAATCATAAATCAACAAATAAAAAATAATTTATGCAACGTGATCGGTTCCTACATTTGAAAAAACCCAAAGTTCAAAAATTATTCTCGATATGAGCGACAGAACATTTTTTCTGATTGTGAGCATTTTCAGAATTATCATTATTGTTATTTCCACCAGAATAGGAGGCTTGCATTGATTTCGATGAAATTTTAGTGACATTCGGGAATAGTAAACCACAAGTTAGATAATGAAGTTGTTCGCGGAAAATGTGACGAAGACGCGGAGAGCGGAAATATGCAACAAAATAAACTTGACAATAATTTGGTAGAACTATCACTGCCTGAAAAGGTTGGATTTTGTTCATTTTTTGTTAAGCTTTTTACTTACAATCCAACATAAATAATTGACAGAAGTCTTTTCATCAGTGAATGTTATCAAAAGTTTGAACATAATTGTTGCCAACATCCATGAAGTTATATATATAGCAATCATAAAAAATGTGGATCTGAATATCTTGTGTTTTTCCTCTCTGAAACTATGATTTCGTTGAGCGATTGAATGTCGATTTGCTCGCATAATTCGAGCTAAAATTTGATAAACAGTTTGGGAATTTAGAAAAAATATGTAACTGACTTTTTTTCAATGCGATTCCAACTGAAACAACGACAATAATAAGAGTAATTACATTAAATGTAACATTGATTGTTGAAATTATTTTGTAAACCAACGGGTCCGCGGCTAAAAAAATTGGAGATTGGGTGGTCTCCACTCGCTTCCACTTACTCAAAGTAAAAATACACCAAGGAGCAACATCATCTGTCATTTTGTACAAGCTCAATAAAATACAAAACAGAGCAAACGATGTCGGAAACATTGCCATACAAAACACATATTTTGTCTTTTTCCAAAGAAGATGGCTGAAAATCAAATATATTTTATTATTGTATTCATAAATGAGGATTCAGCAGACTCACTTACTTGAGAGGAAAAACAATACTGAAACAAAAATCGAGTGCAATTGTAAGAAATAGAGAAGATTGGAAATAGAAAGCAAATGTATAAAGAATGTTATATTCGAAGCAAGTTCTTTTGGACATTGGAGTAAAACTGAATATTGTAAAAAAAAATAAACTTGGAATAATACTTACCCAAATCTGAATATCAATCCAATTAATTCATGAATATTACAAGATAAATGTGCAATCGATAATAGTAATACAAACATTCCACTTTTAGTTCGAAGGCCTTTTCTTCGACCAATTGCAAAAATAACATTCAAATTTCCAAAAACTCCAGCAGTCATAAAAATTGCAATGAGACTTTGAATAACTTTGTTGCTCATTTTCCAACGAATTTAACTTTAATAATCAGAGTTAAATTGAGAAAAATCGAGAAACTAAACTTATCAGATTTTCTTTTCAAGTACACAACAATGGAATGAAAAGAAAAAAACAGGATTTCAGATTGATTTTTTCACAATTTAGAAAACAACAAAAAGGGCAAACAAACTTTATTTATACATAAACATAATAAAATCACAAGGGTAAAAAATCACCAGTCAAAAAATTCGATCGAGATCTACGCATTTTCGTATCACAGTTTTTCTGCTACGAAACCCGAAATCAAACAGAAACCCGAGAAAAAAGGACACCACATGTTAGAAAATTCAAATGTTTTTGAAAAATCTGTCGAAGCTTCGGAGATCTCAAATATCCAACAAAATAAATTTGGCAATAATTTGGGAGCGCAATCAAAAGAAGATATGGAAGTAATTTCTCACTCAAAGCAGTATCTTCAAAACTTATCAATATTTTGAACAAACAAGTTGCCAATAACCAAGATCCAATATATATCATTATCATATAAAATGTTGAACGATAAACATCTTTTGAAGTTGCTGGTCGATTTTGAGAATGTCTACTTCCATTCATTGATTTCGCTGAAAAATTCAACATTTCTCATGGATCAAAGTGACAACTTCATATCAGGTCATCGAAAACAAGCAGAAGGAAATTGAATTTCCAATCAAAGAAAACTCACATTTTTTCATTGCAAATTTTACTGTTCCAAGAATAATAACCAGTCCCAAAATATTCGAGAATATTATAAAACTGCTCACATTTTGATATATAAAAGGATCAGTTGCTAAGATATGATGACAATTTGGAGCAATTTCATCTGAAACGTTGTATCCACTTAAAACAACTGATATCAGTGATATTGAAGTTGGAAAAAGTAACATCAGAAAAGTGTAACGATATTTGTTCCATAATCGATGTCTGAAAACAATTCTGACTTTTGTTGGAATAATTTTTTATATGAGAAGAAACTTACTTGAAAGGTGTGACAATACTGAAAAACATATTGATAGCCATCATAAAATACAAAAAAGATTGAAAAATCATGAAAAATAAGAGAACAATATTGTATTGAAAACATTTCCGACGCGACATTGATGTGAATCTGAAAAATGAAATTGTATTTCATTTCTGGTCTAGAATTGTTTCCAAAACATACCGAAATCTAAAAGCCAATCCTATCAATTCGCTTATATTACAAAATAAATGAGAAATTGCCAAGAAAAAAACAAGAAGAGTTCTTTTGGTACGCAACGTTTTTTCGGATAAAATAGCGAAAATATAACTAGAATTACCGAAAACTCCAACAATCATAAAAATTGCGATGAATATTTCGAGGAATATTTCTTGCATTGCCTGAAAATAATACTTTGATCAAAGTTACAAAAACTATGTAGCATCGATTTTTGGTTTTTTCTTTCTCAATGGAAAAACAAAGAGCGTGTAATAATTGAATTTGACACAGGTGAACGAAAAATGTCTTATCGATGAAATAAAATAAGTTATTTACTTATTTACTTACTTCCTATATAAGATTTTGTTGGCAGAAATCGAACATTATAATTATTTTGGCATTTTTGTGTTTTCCGAAAATTTAACAGAGGATTGTCGTTCTGGCAAACTTCTTGAATGTTGATTTTGATTTTGATTGTTGTTCAGAGCTTGAATGGAGCGATTTTTTGTTTTGTCGAAAACTTTTGAAAACATAATCCCACAAGTCATCCAATTTAATTGTTCTTGAAATGCTTTTCGAAATCTTGGAGATCTCAAATAAGCCACAAAATATGTTTGACAATAATTTGGCAGAACTACAACGACCTGCAATTTTTTAGTTGATAACATGTTTATAGTTTTAATTTTTAATCCTTACCACGTAGGATAATAACTCAACAGCTGCTTGTTCATCTTTAATACTAATCAAAACTTTAAACATACAAGTTGCCAACATCCACGATCCCATATAAATAACACACATGAAAAATGTAGAGCGGAACACTTTATTTTTTTCCTCTTTCAAACTTCCGGTTTTTGAGGAATTTGAATGTCTAGATCCTCTCATGTTTTTTGCTGAAAATATTTATTTTGAATTGTATGTGTCTAGCTTGAACCATACATTTTTTCAATGCCACAAATATTGAGCCAATAATAATAATCAATGTTGAAACATTACAAAAAACATTCAAACTTGAGATACTTCGATAAACCAAAGGATCTGGCGCTGAAAAAGTATGTAATATTGAATTGAATTCTTTGTTCGTTAAAAAACCTCTCAAACCCAAAATTATATTACAAACCTAACATGAAAATACAGTATGGCGCAATTTCATCGGATAAATTGACCATACTCAATAGAATACAAAAAATTGAAAATGCCACTGGAAATATCAACATCACCAGAACATATCTCGATTTTTTCCAAAGCATGTGCCTAAATAAAAAAACAGATTGTTCATTTTTCCCAGCAATTTTCCCCCGCAAGTTTTTGCACTATTTTTCTGTTAGAAAATGCATCTTGATCATTAAAAAAATTGCACTTTTTGCTTTTCAGTAAATTGTTATTTTTCTATCTAGGATGTGTTTGAAATTATTCTTCTCACGAACTTACTTGAGTGGCAAAACAATACTGAAACATAAATCGAAAGCCATCATAAGAAAAAGCGAAGATTGAAATAGAACAAAAAATGTGTAGAGAATATTATATTGGAAACATTTTCGACGTGACATTGGAGTGAAGCTAGAAAAAAAATTATTATTATTATTATTATTGTCTTTTTTAGGAGGTCGTGATTGTAATTTTCAATCTTGCAATATTTTGGACCGATTCAAAAACTTCGAACTTCTTTAAACAAAAATCATAAAACATGTATTTTTTGTAGTCTAATTATGAACAGAGATGTTATTCTTCAAGTACATATGTATTTTGTGTTGAAAACTATATTTCGAATAATTTTCAAATTCCAAAAAAAAAACACCTTCTTGAAAACTTACCGATAATGCAAAACCAATCCAATTAATTCACTAATATTACAAAATAAATGTGCAATCGCCAAAAATAAAACAAACATTGCTCCTTTTGTTCGAAGTATCTTTTTCCGTCCAATCGCAATTATAACATTTAAATTTCCAAAAACCCCAATCGACATAAAAATAGCTATCAAACTTTCAATCAACTCTTTTTGAACCATTTTTCTGGAATTGGATGGAATAATGAAAAAATGAACAATTGGAAAATATATCTTTCTTTGTGAGAAAAAAAGCTCATAATTTATTCGCTTCGATGAATATGGAACAAATTAGAGTTTGTGTGTGGTTTTATTCAAAAAAGAACAAATGATATCTTATTCAATTGACATGAAAAAAATGATTTGATGTTAGTAAAAGTGACATTTAAAAATGTGAAAATGAATTGTTTTATCAGATTATAGTAAAGTGGAAAAGGAAATAAGGTCAGAACAGGAATTACTGAAATTGATTTTCTTCTTTTTCTTCAATTTTTGGGGGCCGAGGGGTAAACAAATAGAAAAAAATAGGCGGATATTTGAAGATGGATTAAAAAAACCTCCTCACATCACATCTGGATGAAATTTGAATTTTATTACTAAATTGCAACTTTTCTCAAGTTTTTGGTGAAAAGTGAAAAAAAAACATTTTATTGTAATGAAGAAAAAATGGCGAGGGTTTTGAGAGGGTCTGAAAATGAATATGGATATATTCATATGATTTTCCGGAAAATTAGAAATCCGATACTTTGACAACAAAACTTTCTGGAACTTTTCTTTTATAGAAATGTTATATCTTGAAATCCAGTTAAAATGTATTTTCAGAGAAAATAAAAATAAATAAACAGTGAAACAAAAAACAGCGAGAAAAATTAGTTTACACATACATAAATAAATATTTTGAGAGCTTTTTGCTTTTTCTCTAATTTCTCATTTTTCCAAGAAAACGTATGTATCTAGAAAGCTTTTCTGCTTTCTTTTTTAATCTAAAAAAACCTAATTCAATAAATCTGCACATTTTTGTTTTTCAAATGAATTTTTGAGAAGTTTCGAAGAAAAACAAGAAAACTTGAATGGTTCAAAAAGAAAGTTTGTGGTTTGTGACATAAAAACATGAAAAAAGAAAAAAGAGGATTAGTTTTTGGCAATAAAAATAAAATAGAATTTATCTACAGTAAAAATATTTTGAAGAATTATGTAAATATTTTTCTCGAAAATTAATAATAGGATTTTTGAAAGTGTAAAAGATTTGCTCATTTTTCAGAGACTGAAGTGCATGTTTTCATCGAAAAAAAACTTTGAATAGATCAAATCAGAAAAAAAAAACAAATTCTGAGTTTATAATTATTCATGAGTAATAAGATCTCTACCAAAAATCTACGGCTATAATTAAATTCAATTATTTTTCGCCCGTTTATAATGAAATGAATTGAAATGAGCAAGCAAATCAGATTGAATAGGAATACTTTATTATTATTTTTCATATACAATTTTAAGATATCAAATTTAAATAGTTAGCATACAAAGTGGTTGTTTTGCACATTCCCCATTTGTTGATTTTGTAAGACAAAGTGTCGTATTCACCATTCGGCATTCATTTTGACCATAACAAGTTACACTTTCACATCCGAGTTCAGTTTCGCCGTTTGAAAAAACCAAAGAATTGTATGAAGTATCTCTTTGAATTATTCCTGAAATACAGTTTCTTGATTTTTCAGATATGAAAGGTTAAATCAGACATTCTTTGAGTTAACTGTGCAAGCAAACTTCTGAACTAGATTTCCGAAGAATTAAACTATTTTTCGAAATGTATCGATTCCGACACCACGAGAAAATTGAGATTAGGAACTTATAGAATTCAAATAAATTACGTAGTTTGGACCAAAAATTTAGCGTTCTAACATTACATCGTTTGGTGATTAACCTAATTCTAGGGTTTTCTTCGCTATACCTCGACAAAACTATTTGTGTCTTCCATCTCTCGAAATTCAACCTACTCACCCGAATCGACTTCAATCAGAAAATTCAAAAATGCCAAAAAATATATTGATTTCATTAATACCGGATATTTGGATAACAAAATGAACCGATGTTTTATTTATGTATTTGTAATCTCCTTTTTTGTTGTAGACCAATTTATTATCGATTTTCACAATTGGAAACCTATAATTTCCACCTAACTAAAAAAATGTATTATTAACAGGAAATTGTTTTTCACAGCGTAAAGTCTTCATATTTTCCACGTGGCCATTCTAAATTTATTTCCAAAAAAAATCAGCGGTTCGAAATCGTCATGTTTTTCAATTTGATGATCTATTCAAAACTTTATTATGAATAGGGAAAATTATAAACGTTTCTAAATTGTTGTTAGAATATTCAATTTGTTAGCAAATGAAGATACTTTATTCAAACATCAAACTCACGTAAATATATACAAGATCTAGGCAATTAACAAAAAAATAAGGTTGAAAAATATACGAAAAAAAGAGACCGGTATGGAATGTTTCTTTTTTTATAGATAAAATGTTGGAATGTGTTTCAAAATCTTAAAGCTTTCTACTGTTTTGTTTTTCCAGCCGGAAGAGGAATGTCGAAAATTATTGGATCATAAGCACTTCGAAGTTTATGATCACAAAGGGCAGCATTTATGAATGTTGTATCGCCATTTGAAGTGACACCGTGTTTCTGAACAAAAATCAACAGTACAATTTTTACTATTTAAAAAAATTTACCTGATGAACGTGTCCGAAAATATGATATTTGGGTTTTACACGTTGCTCAACAGTATTCAAAAGTTCAGCACATCCCGCAAGAATTCCATCCATTTTATCCCAAGCATTAAAATCACCATGTCCCAAAGGTGGTGTATGTGTTATCAAAACATCAATTTTCGCCGGAATTTGATTCCATTTATGCAATATTTTTTGGCCACGTTGACGATAAAATGAATATCCGGGCATTGAATGCCATGGTGCTCCGTAGAATTTGATACCATATGCTTCATATGATTTGTCACAAAGATATGTACAATTTGACAGAAGTTCATAAGCTTTGTTGATTCCAAGCATTGATAATCCAGCTAATTGTCTCTCGTTCATTTCTTCTCCATCTTCGAATCCAAGTTCATGATTTCCAGCGATAACTAATTTGTGTTTATGTGGAAGTTGACCTACAAAATTGGGAAATAGTTTTATGAATTTTTTTTCGGTAGCAGAACTTTTAAAATTTGGTTAATATTTTTTCAAAAATAAATAATTTTTTCAATTTCTGCTCTCTGCTTCTTTGTCGTCCTCAGACTGGTAACATCCAATTTCAAAAGATGGCATAACACTCTTTTCTGTTTTCTTTCCAAAAAAAGGTAAATTGATTTTTGTGATTTGTGTCTACTGCTTTTCTAATTCGCCGAACCCATTCTCCCAATTTATATGGTTTTTTTCCAAATTCTCTGTTTTTTATCATCAAAAAGTCACACTTTCGATCATCCCATATAAATATATAGTTATAATATAATATCTATCTCAATCAATTTGGTATACTATCCAAACAACCAGTTATTATCATTTCATTTTCCGTTTTCTTCGCTTTATATTGTTTTTTAATCCAAACACGCAGCCGAACAACGAAAATTGGTTTTTAAAAAGAGAAAAGAAAACATACCAATCTCAGCATTGAATTTGATAACTTCACTAATATCTCCACAATTTGTGAAATCGCCAGAATGGATCAGAATATCACCATCGGGAATATAAGGAAGGACTTCGTGCATTTTTTCGTGGGTGTCAGAAATACAGACAACACGGATTTTGTTATCGTATATTGGGGTGTCGAGTCTGAAAATTAATAATGAATGAATGAAAGTAATGATCAAAAATTATATAAGGGTGATTCGGGTTGAGTCAACAGCCATTGGGCCATTTTTTAGCCCATACCTCGTAAAAATAAAGTTCCAGGCTTAATTATCCTCAAAACCTAGTTCCATTTGGCCTCTCGGTCTTCTCTAATCCCTAAAACAAACCTCATTGGCTTCATTGGCTCACAAATTCGTCCTTGTTTCACATATTTTTTCCAACATTCAATTGGCTTCGAAGAAAGCGGATCGACTAGGACATAGTTGTCCGCCATCTTCTGCAAATTTTGCAAATGAAAATATTATTCTACCAATTACATAAGTAAGGTGAACTATATTACAACGGTTCTTGAGATTTTAGTGAAACATGTTTACACAAATCTGAAGAACTGCAAAAAATAATACATTTAAAATAAAATAAATAAAAATGAAATAATAATAATAAGAAGAAGAAGAATTCTGAAGGGTCTCAGCAGGGTCACGGGAAAAACATGTGATGGAGAATGACAAATTTCAGAAAAAAAAACGGTAGAAACTATTTACGCTCCAATGTTAATTTTGTAGGCGCAAAGATTTTTGAATTTGATAAATAAAATTCGTTTTCATGTGATGCTTCATCTTGATAGAAATTCACGTGAAAATTGTTTCGAAATATTTGTACGCAATGAAAAACTTTTGTTAGAAAATTTGTTTGGTCTGATGAACTTAAAAGAACTTCCTTAATAAAAATATCTCTAGACATCAAAAATCTAGCAATGTTTTTTTTGCAAAGAAAATCGATAAAAATGATTGTGTTTTTTTTCTGATATCTCTAAACATTTTCATCTAACTTGTACATATTTATATCTATATTTACTATACGTTATAACAATAATAATTGATGCAATTGGGCGGAATCATTATTATTATTATATTTATGATGACTAGTAGTACTTCAATGGTTTTTTAAGGGGCTGACTAGAATTAACAAAAATGAAGTCAAGTAGAGGCGTTTTTTCTTGTGGTATGAAGGGTTACACTAACTACTAACTGACATTATTTATATATTCATCTGAAACCATAAATCTTTCAAAACAACAAAAAAGGTTCAGAATGGAAATGTTTTGTATAAAAATACATTTTACCACAAAACTGAACCGGTTTATTTTTGGAGTGAAATCGAAACATTTTAACACAAGTTAAGTTAAAAATATAATTTTGAAAACCCGAAAAACTTTTTTATCAGATTGAAAAAACCTGATTATGAATCATAAATGAAACTTGTTGAAATTTATGGAATAGGTTACAGTCTTTGAACAAAGAGAAAATGAGAAAAAAGAAAGATTAGATCGGCTCTTTGAATGAAGAAAATATGAGGAAAGACGAGGAAAAAGAAGACGGTGAAAAAGAGGAAAAAGATGGATATCTTTCTAGGTTAATACAAAATTTTCGCAGGATTTCTGAGAATAGGTGAGGAGAGAACAAGGGAACAAACAAATTGTCGGGTAAAACACAGAATATGTTATCTTCAAGGGAACTCCAAATATTCGTATTTTGGCAAATTTCTGCCCTGCGAAATACCAGTTCTCGTTTTTTTCCAAAAAAAAAACAGAATTACCATTTACCTTTTCTCCTACAAAATAAAAAACCTTCAAAACAACAAAACAACTGATGGTTTTATGTTGTTTTTTGTTGTGCCATCAACAGAAAATCGAGGAATAGATACATAAAATAGGCAAATTATATACATGAATGAAAAATAAGTCGAAGATGGAATAAAATAAGATGGAAATATAAAAATAAAAAAAAGTAGAAGAAGAAGAAGAAATGGAAGAAGGAATGACCATGAATTATATGTATGTTCTATGTTTTTTTGTTAGATTTTTGGGGTTGAAAGAATGTGGTTGGATAGTGTTATTATTATATTATTATACGTCTAATAATTGTCAATACAAATACTTCAAAAATTATGAAAAATATTTTGTAATTTGTTTTTTTTTGTTGGAAATTTGATAAGGTCCAAATTTCTAGATTGATCATTTGGAACTATAAAAAAATCAGGGATTTCACGAAACATTTTGAATAATGTTCCCAAAAAATGGTGAGATTCTGAATTTTCTCTCATAAATGAAAATGGTCTGATTTTTTCTTGTAAAATGAATCAGATGACAAACATTTTCCTAAAAAATCAAAAAGTACTGTAATTTTCAAAACCCATAAAATGTCTGAAGACTTGGAATAATTTTTTTAAATTTAAAAATTCGGAATGAAAAAATCAGCTACAGAATATTTGTTATTACCAAACTCAAATCAATATTCAAAATCTATGACTTCTTAATAATAAAACATGTGAGAAATACGTTTCACTGGTCTTCTCTCAACAATTTCTCATCAAAAAACCTTGACTATTTTTCGGAAATTGTCATCTTATACTATAACCCTGGAATTATTTCATCTCACCTTCTAATTCTTATTTCAAAATAGCAATTTTTATTGAAAACCGGTTCGAAAAATTCGTCAGATGATTTTATATACCACAAAATATTTATTATTGGCTGAAATTACTGAATGCACTTAAGTTTTTTGCGGGAAAAAAGTTGCGAGAAATGATTGATGTTCGGGTTACTGTAGAAAAAAGTGACAATAATAAAAGTGCACTGACGAATTGCGGGCAATTGTTGACACTTTTTTATTTTAGAAAGTTCAAGTTGTTATTTTTCTGACTTTTTGACAATAACTTTTGAGGAAATGAAGAAGAATTTGAAAAAAAGAAAGAAAAAGGCACTCCTCAAGTTTCCAAAAAAATGTTGATAAAATCTAATCTACAAAAGTAAAAGTTTCGATTTCGTTTCATTTCATTTCATTTGATTTTTGAGTTCGACAGAAATAAGAAATATTTCGACAGAGAAAAAACCAAGTAAAATATGGAAATATGGAAGAAGAAGGGCGGCAAGAAAAAAGACTGATGTTAGCCGAAAAAAAGAAGAAATCAAAACAGGTTTCGGCTTCTTTTTCCTTGTTGTCCGGAGAAGAAACGATGGATTATAATCATTAAATAGTATTATTTTATGACTGAAAACGATGCAAAAAAAAAATAGAAAAACTAGAAGAAATTGGATGGCAGAATTTATGGGAAATAAAACAATCTAATTTGAGTGATGCCTTTTTTCATAACTATAGTTTGATCTTGAAAAAGTGAAAACCTTTCTTCGAATCTTGATTGATGTTTTTCCTTGAATTTTTCTGACAATGAGAAAAAACACTCGAAATCTACTAATTACCTACTCATTGTCAAATAATTATGCAAAAGTCAGTCAAGGATTCTTACAATTAGTAAACAAACCAATTTTTTTGGTAACTGGCAAAACTTTTTTCCGATATAATTATTCAAAAAATGTATTTGTTCAGATGGATTAATCAAAAATGCAAATCAATAAACTTTGCTATAAAAATGTAGACTCAAGTGAAATCCTCACTTTTTCTCGCCACCCGCCGAAGTGAGTTGAACATCTGAAATTGAAAAAATGCAGATTCTGCCTATAATTTCAGAGATGAGATCTATAATTTGTCTTTTACTTCTTGTTGCAATTTCATGGACTCTTTTGGATACTGTAGATTCAGCCGGAGTTCCAGCAAAACGTGTTAAAAGACAATATTATGGTGGATACGGTTATGGTGGTTATGGATGTAATTGTGGAACATATGCACCGTGTACTGCTCATGGATATTATGGCGGATATGGATATGGGGGTGGATACGGAGGATATGGGGGAGGATACGGTGGATATGGTGGATATGGATACAAAAAGTAGAGCTCTGCTCCTTTTTTCCCACAATTTCTCTGATTTAATAAACTAGTTTTCATATTTTCTTGTTAAAAGTTTGTTCAGAAAAAAAGTAATTTCAGACTAGAATTCCTAGAAAACTAACGTCATCATTCAAAAATTTCAATTGAAAAATATTCCCCATGCGGTCTAAATTTTTAGAACAGCATCATTATTCTCACAAAAATGCTCCGTCTGGTTCTGACAGGTTTTCTATTTTTATTAACAATATTTGGAATATCAACTAATATAATAGTTCTTTCACCTGTTTTCAAACTTGCATTTATTGTTTCAAAAAGTCCAATATATGTGATATCTTTCATCAATATAATAATTGATTTGATAAATTTGTTCACAACAATAATATATTTTATTCCATCAATTGTTTTTCAAACTTATATTCTGAGTGAAAATGAACGAAATAGTTTCATTCAAAAACTGTTGGGTTCTCAATTTTTATTTTGTTGGTATCTCGGATCTTTGACTCAAATAATAATGGCAATAAATCGTCTTATTGTTATGTGTTTCCGATCTTATTCATATATTTTTAGAAAATCAAAAATATTAATTATTTTCGGACTTCTCATACCATTTGTTATAACTTGCTGTTATATATCTCAATTCATAATTCCATGTTGTTCTTTAGTTTATGATTTTAAAATAATGTCAATTGGCTATACTGGAACATCTCAAGAATTCAATTATACTAATTGGATTTTTGATGTTCCATTAAATTTCACAACGACTGTCATAATCACAATTTGTTATGGATGGGTTTGTTAATATTAAAACAATATTCAAAACAACTTTTAAGTTTTTTAGATAACAATAAGTGTTTCAAAATCTTATATTTCATCACTTGCGACAATTCAACAATTTAATTTTTCAAGAAAAGAAACAACATATGCAATATATTTTGCTATAATTTCAATGTTTTACACATTTTCCTGGATGATTTTCAGAATTGTTCCACTTTTAACAAATGACGAAACATCACTTTTATATATCTCAACTATTTTCATGGTTAATATTCATAATTCCGTGAATTCTATAATTTTCATATTTTTCAACCAGGAAGTTAGAAATTATTTGAAGAAATCATCTATTGGAATAATCACATAAATTATTAAAAGTTCAAAAAATCAAACTGAATTTTTTTTTACGAAAATTGAATTAAATTTTTAAAAACTATGATTAATAACAAATAAATGATTTATTGAAATGTTTCCAAAAAAAAACTTCTATGATAAAAAATATAGTCTTGCAGAGGTTGGAATTTTCTTATGATCCCAAAAATATAAGAGCTGAAAAAATCATTGTTATAATTAACATTTTTAATGATTCATACCATTTTTCGCAAAATTGCCTCTAGCAACAACACAAACATTGAAACCACAACCAGTGTAACAACATTTCTGAATTCCACTGAATAAACAATCCGAATCATTTTGACATTTCTTCGACGATTTTTTCGCACAAAAATAATTCATTTGATTTATAGTCGGGCATGTTTTTGTGCTGAAAATTTGAGAGTTTTTGAAAGGTCCGAGGGATCAAATCAATAATCGTTCACCTTTCTGAATTTTGAAATACATTTTCTTCCATACAACATCTCGATTGTTTTGTATTTTCACAACTGAAACCCGAAAAACACGACGAATCAGCTCGACAATCTTTGAAACCGTCCTTGTATTTTTCCGTGCATTGCTTGGCTTTCCTGTATTTTTCATTTCGTTTTTCGATGTTTGCAATAATTCGGGCCAATGGAGACATCGAAGAAGATTCTGAAAATTTGAAATTAGAAAATAAAATTTAGAACGTGACCTCCATTCAAATAGTATTTTCAATTACCTTTTTCCTCCGTAATTTCGATCAAATTTCCAGAACATTCAACAGTTGTTCTTTTAATTGCTTTCAAATATAGACATAGTTTTCTAGTCCGAGGGGAAGAATTCGAAAAAATATCACAAATTTGCAAGAATAACAATAAAAAGAATAAATCTAATTTCATTTCAACAATTTGATGTTTGTGTTTTCTTTTTCAATTATTTTTATTTTCACATTTTTCTTATTATTATTATTATTAAACGGCTCGAGCAAATAACACGATTTTTCTATTATTCTTTTCTTTTTTCGAAAAAATGTGAGAAAATAGCTTTTCATGAATAAAAAAATATTCAGACTTTTAGCAAATCAAAAAGTTTCTATTTGTTCAGATGGATTTTAATAATATTTCCGGTATAAAATGAGAATTCAAGTGATATCTTCACTTTTTCTCGCCACCCTCCAAAGTAAGTTATCTCAACTCACCTAAAAAAAGGTTTGATATTAAACAAAAAAATTGATTTAGTTTCAGAGATGAGATCAATAATTTGTCTTTTACTTCTTGTTGCAATTTCATGGACTCTTTTGGATACTGTAGATTCAGCCGGAGTTCCAGCAAAACGTGTTAAAAGACAATATTATGGTGGATACGGTTATGGTGGTTATGGATGTAATTGTGGAACATATGCACCGTGTACTGCACATGGATATTATGGCGGATATGGATATGGGGGTGGATACGGAGGATATGGGGGAGGATACGGTGGATATGGTGGATATGGATACAAAAAGTAGAGATCTGCTCCTTTTTTTCCACAATTTCTCTGATTTAATAAACTAGTTTTCATATTTTCTTGTTAAAAGTTTGTTCAGAAAAAAAATGTTTTAGACTAGAATTCCTAGAAAAAATTCATTATTCGAGAAACATCTTAAAACTGAAAAACATTTCCTACAGGAGTCATCCCCTGGTTATTATTTTTTATGTGCCGGTGAATTTATAACATTCTAAATAAAAATTAAAAAAATTCAATTACAAAAATATTTTCATTCGAATATTGAATAAGATGTAACAAAGTTCACGCCTAAATATACTTTTACAATTATTACCATTTTTCTTTTTTTTAATTTTTATTAAATTTCTAAAATGCCACGTAAAAGTTCACCTCTCTAATTTTTCAAAGTTTTTTTTAAATTTTACTGTTTCATATTCCACAAAAACAATTTATTCTTCCATATTTTTCTCCGATGAATCATAAGACTCTCACAAAACAAATAATAAAAAACCAACGACTTTCTGATCACATTCCGATAATTTATGATAATTTATCATTATTACAATTATTGCCTCCCGTGTGACGATTTTGCTCTATTTAAAACAACTGCTGTTCCCACCCACTGGTTGGTTGAAAAAACTCTATAAATTCTCTGTCTGAAATTTCACAATTTTCAGTCTAAGTATAACAAATGTGGGCTAAACTTTCGATTCTCCTCATTCTTTCATTGGTTTTCTGTAAGTTTAAATATTTTCGGTTAACTCGAAAATTGTTTTTTTTCAGCTGCATCCACATTGCCAGAATGTGGTGAAAATGAAGAATTAAAATATTGTGGAACACCTTGCGAACCATCCTGTGCTGAACCACATCCAGATGAGTGTTTCCATCAATGTTTGCGTAATCGTTGTCAATGCAAAGACGATTATCTTCGAGATGGAATCACTAAAAAATGTGTGAAATCAGAAAATTGTACCAAGAAAAATTGACTTGTTCAAAACTGACAAAGAACATTTTTAATAAATATTTTTCTATGATCTTATATTTTTTTCTGGTTATGTAAGTCTGGTCAAAATCAAAATTATTTATTCATTGCTATGCAATTAAACCAAACAAAACAAAATATTATGACATACAGTTATTAAAGACACAAAATGAAATATGTATATTAAAAAAAAACATATTATTGTTGTGTAGATTTATGATCAAGAATCGGAGGTTCGATTAGATTTCCAATGAAATCATCATTATGTATTTTTTTCATTGCTGTGACACATTTAATAATTTGTTGAATTCTTGAACCATAATTTGTGATTCCAATACTCGTATAATAATCATGAAGATTATTTGAAATATCATTTTGAAAAGCATCCGCAACTGGTACAACACTGTTTTCAAAATAATGTTGTTCGTTATATTGACAAACCATACATAACATAAAAGCAACTTCAATTGTTGATAATTTTAGTTTACATAACGGTTTTGCAACTTCAGTTATCAAACGATCCGCATACTTTTTATATTCATTTAGAGTGAATCTTCTCTTCTCTTTAGATACTCCTTCAATATCCAAAAATAAAGCATCAAGTTGAATTGCTCTTTTAGAATCAATTATCAGTTTCTGTAAATCAACAAGATAATTCTCTAACTCTTTTTTGGAAAAAACTTACTCTTTCATCGACACATTTTTCACCGAAAACCTGAACAGTCATTTGCAATCTTTCAAGACGATAAAGTGTTTTCCAAACATATTTGAAAACTTTCAATTGTTCAGTCGAATTAATATTTCGAAAAAGCCATGAATGCATCACAAGTTCAGCGATTTGTTTTGAAACATTCGTCCAATGTGGTACCAAAGTATCATAACTTAATCGATTATCAAATTTAATATCTTCTAAATCTTGACCAGCTCGCAGTTTTTCAAGACCAAATGCAACCTTTTGCAAATTGTTTAAATTTCCGAAATCTTCATTAATATTTGGATAATTACTTCGAAATATTCTTTCACATTCACTTCTGATACTTATATTTTTACATTCTTCAAAAATACTGGAACGATATAATTTTTCTTGTAGAGCAATCACACTTGTCGAAGGATAAATTGCATTTTCCTCAATTTTTGATGGTGATTTCATTTTATTATTTTTTGATCGACGACGTTCACTTCCATGTGAATAAACATCTCGATTAAATTGGACATCTGAAAAAATAATAGTTTGTAAAGGGAACACATCAATTTAACTTACTGTCAGTAGTCATTCCAGCTTTCAAACATTTTTGGAATCGACAATGTCTACACGAACTTCTTCTTGTGTTATCCACAATACATTTTCTTGGATCATTCAAACATTCATATTCTAAATTCAATACAATAAATCGTCGATAAAAAGCAGCACATGCTCGACAAGCCATCACACCAAAATGTACACCGTGTGCTTTATCACCACAAACTTGACATAAGCAAGTTTCGGCTTCAATTGTGGTCGGATTTGAAATAATATGAGAAGTTGGAAATTGTGCAACTTTCATTTAAAATCTGAAAATCAAGAGGATTGGAAAAAATAGGTATGAATAGTCAAAAAAGAAATTAGCAAAAAAACGTCGAAACATTTGTTAAAAATAAAAAAAAAGTATTTTGATAAATGGAAAAATGAAGCTTTTGACTTGAATAAATTGTCATTTTAAAAGTACCGTCAACTCTTAGGCTCCGCCCATTTACGCGAGAAATTAGGTCGGATTCAGATGTTATCGTGTATTTTCATGAAGAAACTCGACGGAGGGTTGTAAATGTTGAAAATACGATAGAGATTTTGGACAAATTTATTGTTATTTATTGAGACACGCGTTTTGAATAAACAAATAATCGCAACAATTTGGAATAATAGAAATTATGAAAGATTAATCGCATTGTGAAAGATCAATGGCTGATATTGAAAAGGATTCTTTTTGAAACCCTACTGTTCCCGCGCTTTTCAAACTTTCTGAGTTTATTCTTTGTTTTAGCAATTTTTTCGAACTACAGTTTGCTAAAAACAGATGATGGTAGCGTAAACCAAGAACTAAACAATTATCAATCTACCTCAGGACCGGTGGGAATTGAAAAAAACAAAAATGTATTACCAACTGACTTGTGAGCGTGTGTTTCTAAAAATCCACTGTTTCAAAACTCCTCAATTTCTCCAAAACTGGCTATGATGGATCTCCAGAACGTTTCCCAAGTTCGCTTTGAGATACACTAATGGATCAGATAAAATTTAGAGATTTAATTGAGGAACATGTCCATAGAAGGTTTTTTGTCTCACTCAAGATCAGCAACACAAAAAAAGGGTTTATCTGATTTTAATGAAAAAATTAAAACAATGGATGAAATCGAGCTACCGATTTCAATGTTTCAAATATTTAACTAATTCATGTTACATTTTGTTACTTGATATACATTACTGATATCTGAAAAAATATCTCAACATTCTGAAAACACACTTCTGTGTGTTTTCAGAATGTCTTACGAATTGGGGTTCTGAACTGTGAATAATTTGGAAACAAAACGTAAAACACGACTTTTGTTTTTTCATTGTCATACATATTAAAAATGGCAACGAATTAAAACTTTTTAAAACTTAACAAGGTGAAGTGTCAAGACTTCCAAAATTCTTTTGAAACTGGATATAATAGATCTCAAAAACGTTTCCCTAGTTCGTTCCAAGATAAAGTAGAGGATGAGATATAGTTCGGACACTTTTTCCAATAACGTGTTCGAAAGACGGTGCGGTGAGTTTTTTTTCGATTCGGTCAAGATCGGTGTATGAAAGCAAGTTGTTATCTGATTTCAATGAAGAAAGCTTGAACTACTCCGGAATTTGCACACTCAGATGAATTTCGAGATAATTTCATAGAAAACGGTCTCTCAAAATACTGAAACTCATGAAACTTAAATATCTTTTTATTTCCGTCCAGAAGGAATCACAATTAGGTTTTACTATAAATGTATAGATATTCCAAACAAAAAATGATCAGACCTGTGAATATGCAATTAATCAAATCAATAAATTTTAAACTGTTTGAATTATCTTAAAATAATATGGAAATAGCAATTGAATTTGCAATTAGCGCTCTCATTCTTCACGAAATACTAGAACTTGGCAAATGACATTACCGTTCATTTTTTCAAAGATAGAAATCAAAAATGACGTGAGTAGCAAAAAAACCGAAATTGTGTATTCACCTAGACACTTACAATCTATGTGAAGATCAGTGGCGAGTGTCTAACGGTGTCGGGTAATACCATAATCCTATTTCCTATTTCTAAATGCACTTTGAAAGTTTTCAATCTGAAGTTTTTAATATGGGGTCTTAGGTGGATTTCTCAATTTATTTCAATTTATATTTTTTTGAGAACATTTTGAGCAGACAGAAAAATAACGATTTAAAAGAACTTTCGAAATCGAATTGTGTTTAAAAAAAGAGGGGGAGGGGGTGTAAGATCACAAAATCTCAAACGTCACAGTTGTTTTCCAATATTAAAATCCCTGATTTTACATAGCTTTTTCCTCGACTAGTTATAAATATTAAAAACAAATCCATGAACTTTACATTCAAGCTAATGCCTATGGAACTTTCAATCTATACGCCGATATTAATTTATGGAAAGTTGTTTTTAGGATTTTGAGAGTTCATTGATGGTTTCACTATTTTGTAGGAAGATTAGTTTTTACTATTCAAATGACAAGAGATTCTAAAACTATGAATTGAATTCAAACTCAAAAATGTATAAATGAAAACTTAATTCTATCAGATAACAATGAAAATGATAATAAAAAAAATAAGAATTAAATAATTAAAATTCTCATACACTAATAATAACCAACAAAAAAGAAATGACCGTCCATTTTGGGGGATACGTTTATCTTCCCAAAAATCTACAAAATTTGAAAAGGACAAGAACAACTTCAGGATCTCTCATCTAAAGAAATCTTGATGTTCCGCCAACACCTAAACATGTATCAAATTGAAAGATCTTTGCGATACTCGAAAACGGTAGGAACGTGGTTGTTTTGATGAGAATCCAGGATAATTTTCAATTTCATGTTGAAATAAGAGGATTTCGGAACATTTTTATATTTATTTAAAAAAAACGTTTTTTTTTCAAAAAAAAGGAACAACTCATTTCTATGTTCCAAATCTGAAAAATTAATTTTCCAAATATAGAAAGATAAATCTTTAAATTCTGAACAAAATAATAAAAGTGAAAACTGTACAGTCTTCTGTATTATCTCTTCCTGGTTTCTATTATTTTATATTCAATTTTTAATGCAAGAAAAAAGATAAGAAAAACTACCGTAATCCAAAAGCAGAACAAGTTCAAGATATGAGAAAAAGAAATCACAAAACGAGAGAAAAATGTTATGAGGAATGGGCATTTAAGAGACATTCTGGTTCATTTTAATCAGTCAGAATATAGTGAGAACGAAAGAGAAGAGACGAGAGACAAACAGACAGAAAGTGATCTTACAAAGCATTTTCTAGTGGCATTCTGATTTGTTATGTAGAAAGAAAATATGGATAAATAGTCGAGGGAATCGGAAAACAAGGAAGTGGAGAGAAAATGAAGATTTGGGGTGGTATTTTGTTATTCAAACTTTTTCTGCAGGTCCCAATTTTTCATTCGTTTCAAAATACTGGTTGAAAATATGATTTGTTCCATTGTTGTATAGACTATTTCCGTTGAAAAATGATAAGAACAATTTGACTAGAAAACAGAAAACGAAAACTTGTATGCTAACTTATGAAAATCCAGAAACCATGTTGATTGAAAACTTGTTTTTCTTTCTTTTTATAACAAATAAAGGGATTTTCGAAAATCAAGAGATATGAAACTGGTCCAAACGAAACATCAATGACAATCCCCATTTTATCATTTTTATAATGTAGTATGCTTCTAGATGTAAAAAATAAACCTTATTTGCATACCATCAAAAATTTGGATAGAAGGACTAATAAAAGTAGCAAATCACAACATGTTACAAAGACCACCGAAATCAAATTAGAGAGATAATGTTGAAAGGAGAGTACAGAGAAATATACATTCTATAAAAAGTGGCAACAAAGTTCACTTTGATTCAAAATTTTTTTCATTTGTTCACACGGCATAAATTGGAAGAAAAAGTGGATGACAAAAAATAAAAACAGAAATGCATAGCATCGTGAAAGTTCCAGAAATATCAAACTAGAAAAACGTTTATCACGGTGAAAGTGCTTTATAACATCACATATCATTCAAATCATTTAGGCTGGCGAAAAATGCAATAATACAGAATTTTTAGGAATGTTAAAAATGGCCATACAGCTCACGTTTTTTTAATGGAACCAGAATGCAATGATTTTTTAATTAGAAATGCTAACTTTTTAGCCAAAATTTCGAAGATTTTGTGTATAGAAAAAAATAACATTAAAAGTGTTTAGAAAAACAAGTTGAAAATTATAAAAATCAAGGGCAATCAAGGCGAAAGACATATAATCATAGTTTTTGGTGTTTGGTGAAACGTTTTCGAGGTTTTTCTTTTTGCCATCTCTTTTCTCGAGAATTTTCTATTATTTTGTTCTAAAACAAAGAGCTTGAAATTTGGTTAAGTATGAAAAATTTAAGCATTTTTTGTTTAAAAAAAAACGAAAAATGTTTTTGACGTTGCACAAAACCACAAACCATTTTGAACTTTGACTGTGCCTGGAGCGCATTCACTTTTTTCTCCTAGGTTTCAACTCGTCTGTGTTTTCGAGAAAAAACATGGGCTGAGTTGCTACTAGAATTTTTTCTAAAACTGGAACCGTTCAGGAGCACCTTATTGCTATCAATACCAAGCAAGATTCCCTGATGGAGCACCAACCCTTTAATGAGAGATAGATTATAAAAGAAAACAAATAAAAAAATTCAAAAACAAACTGGAAATCGCGTGCATAAAACTATCTAATGCTTTAAACATAGTAATTTATGAACAACTTTCTTTTAACATCAATAGTAAATATGAATTAAAAACTTTACCCAATATTTTTCAATGAAGCTCAAATCTCACCTGTTAATTTTTCTCCCCCCCCTCCCAAACCTCAAAATAAACTAACTTGACTTGCTCGTTCCGTGAAAAGTTGTTGATATCTTTGAATGTCCTGTCCAAACGAAACATCTTTATGTTCGGAAGCCTGAAACTTCTACATTCTTTTTCTCAAAATTTTCGCCTATTCTTAAACTTACATTAGAAAATGAGAATTGTGGAATTTATGGGATCCCTGCATTCTGTGACGGTTGTCTCTGAAACAATAAGAAAATTAAAAAATGTACCAAATCACCCCATTAACTTTTTCTGGGCTCAAAAAAAACCACTCAAAAACCAGAATAAAAACAACAAATAAAAAAGTCGTGCAAAAAAAAAAGAAAAGCGAAACAACGATACTCCGCGTGCGCGTTGTTTAGCGTGTTTATTTTGTTGTTTTATTGCAGGGTAGACGAGAGAGTGTGGGAAATAGAGAGAGGGTTAGAGAGAGAGAGATATATATATACATGTTTTTTATTTGAAAAGACATTATTGATTGAACGTTTTTTTCGAACTTAATCATTTTTCTGGTTTTTTCAATGGGGTGATTTGGTACATTTTTTAATTTTCTTATTTTTTTTAGAGACCACCGTCACAGAATGCAGGGGTTTCATCAAATCCACATTTGTCATTTTCTGATGTAAGTTTAAGAATAGTCGAAAATTTTGAGAAAAATAATGTAAAAGTTTCAGGCTTCCGAACAAGAAGATGTTTCGTTTGGATAGGACATTCGAAGATATCAAAAACTTCTCACGGAACGAGCAAGTCAAGTTAGTTTATTTTGAGGTTTGGGGGGGGAGGGGGAGGAACAAAACTAACAGGTGAGATTTGAGCTTCATTGAAAAATATTGGGTAAAGTTTTTCATTCATAATTACTATTGGTGTTTAAGGGAAGTTGTTTATGAATTACTATGTTTAAATGATTAGATAGTTTTATGCACGCGATTTCCAGTTTGTTTTGAATTGTTTTATTTGTTTTCTTTTATAATCTATGTCTCATTAAAGGGTTGGTGCTCCGTCATAGAATCTTGCTTGGTATTGATAGCAATAAGGTGCTCCTGAAAGGTTCCAGTTTTAGAAAAAAAGGATTATGTTAGTCAGAAACATTTATCTGCTCAATCTGACCTATCAAAAAAAATCAGAAGCATAAATAGTTGATTTATATTTCGCATGACCTTGTGTTGAAATGAAGTGTATATTTTGTAGCCACATCAAATCTGATTTTGATGATCAGCAACACTTTGTTCTATATAATTATGTGAATTTAGAAATCTTGTTAAAACTTTTTATTTTGAAAAAAAAACGATCCCTACAAATTTATTCGCGGAAAAAGTTCATTTTTTTATTTAATAAACACCCGTTACAAAAATATTCCAAGTGAATTTGAAAAAAATCACAATTTCAAGACCAATACCAAAATAATACAAAAATTAGATATTTACATATGCGGAGTGATTCGCTTCAAATTGATGAACCATATGAAAGTGAGTGAGAAGAATACCATTGCTTTGGCAATCCATAATGGTCCAATACCAAAATACGTGAAGAATTCGCTAGAAAAGTATCATTAGGCTACTTAATTTAGACACTAAATACTCACGTTGCAAAAACAGGAGTAACCATAAAAACAATATCATCAATAACAGTCATTGCTCCTTGTGCAATACTTTGATCAACATTTCCCAAAATTTTCGAGTAAATTGTATCAAGAGATGTATGCATCAGTGGAATTGATGGAGCTGATAAAACTACAACAACAACTAAGAAAAGCCATGGACTTGCAGCCACTGCACCATCACACCAACTATAATCTAGAATATTACATCCAGACCGAGTAGTTTCTGAAAATATTATAATTTTAATACTGATCTCTCTTGATTGTTGTATATTTTTTACCATTCCACGGAGCAACTGGACTACTTGTAAAACTAAATGGATAAGTGATAACATAAACTGAACCCGAAGCCAATGTTGCAATCAAATAAACATATTGTTGTGGAATTAGTGTTCCAAGATTTCCAAAAATATAAAATAGAAGAACACCTAATGACATAACACCAAAACTGATCATAATAACTGCACCAGCTTGAACAGTTTCTTCGCGAGTCCATCCATATTGAACCATCAACAAGATTGACATGAGACTGAAAATAAAATTATTCTTCAATTTTTGGAATTCCAGTTCTAATATGTTCTATTCCTGATTTTCCAAATTGTTGTGAAATCTTACGTTTGCATGGTTGCGTGAGAAAAGACTCCTCCAACTTTACACGCCAAACAAACAAAGATCAATGTCCAATCCATACTTGATTTTCTTAATTTCATCCAAGTCATTTTAATTTTTTCCCATGAGAAAACTGAAGGTTGATCCAAATCGCTTCCAACTGCAAAAAAAACATAATAGAAACATCTCGATGAAGATAAGCATCAAAACCTACCCGATTCATCATCTTTCGAACGATCCTTGTCGACATCGTGTAAAAAAAATAACACACAAAAATTGAGATGATTGAAATGAGAAATGAAAACCATACTGGTGCCGAATAAATATGGAACTTTATGCCGGGAAGAATTTCGAAACCAGGATATGGAATTGCGGAGAAAATTAGTTGGAGTACTGAAAATAATTAATTAAATTATCAAGAATGGACATAACCTTCAAAGTTTTTTATCTTGATTATGTTTTGTGAGCTTTGCTCTCCCCTTATTAAAAAAATGTCAAACATTTTTGACCTTGATGATTCATGAAGATTATAAATACCCTCTCAATTATTGCATAAATCAATCATCCATAAAAATACCACCCAACAAAACACTTACACGGTCCAACAATGATCGACACCACAACACTTAAACCAATTGTTGCAAAAGCACGTGGACGATCACGACCTGTTGAAAACATTGCAATATATGCTCGAAGTACTGTACAAGCACTATTAGCTATTCCCAATATAACATATACAGACATCATAACATAACGACGACCGGATGGAAAATATTCAACTGATAAATAAAGACAACAAGCAGCAAGTGAGATAAAACGACTTGTGAGCAATGGAATTCGAACTGATTGAGATTTATAACTCCAGAATGAAAATACCATTGCGAATATTGCATGGGCACATTTTGAAACTGAAGTTGCATAACCAAAAAATGTTGCTGTTGCTGAACGATCTATCTGAAAATGTTACAATTTTTACTAAGATCTTTAATTTTCCAATTTGTGTTATTTTCTGATTTTTCTTCCTTTCATAGTTTGTTTCATTTATGAAACACAAAAGTACACCACAATAAACATCAATTTTAATTGTTATGTATTTTGGATTACTTTTTGTCGCCTGGTTTTCGGCAAAAAACTGGTTACGGTGATAGTTTGAAAAAATGTAATTTGGCCGATTTTGAAAATGAGTTTTTTTGAGATTTACACTTCCTTGTATGATATTGTTGGGATTTGTTGTATTGGGAATTAATATCTCTTTTTAAATATAAAAACAGGAAGTCATAGATTATTTCTAAAGAACTGGGCTAGATCCTATTTTTATCTAGGATTTTCTAAAAATCAGACAAACTTAGATTTTTTCAGACATGTGAACTTGATAAAAGTTGTTCAACTAGTCAAATTTTTCTGCTCTGAAATGAAAATTCAGATCGATCCCGATTCAGACAAAGAACTGACGACCAGTCTTGCCTTTCACTAGATTCTCACACCCCCCAACTCACTTCACTCATATATGGCCATTCTCCAATTCCAATCACCGAATTTTCCACGGCATTCAATGCTGAAATAACTCCAGCAACAATGATCGCATTCCAATTTGTCGATTCCAATTCCGTGATTCGACTATCTTTTCGTATTGATGGTCTCTTTTCCATCATTTCAATATCTCGTTTCATTTTATCCTTCAATTTCATTTTATTTTCAGAATATTGTATAGAAAGTAATGAAACAAATGCAAATTCAAATATTTTTTATACGGGAAGAGTTAATCTGGGAAGTGGGGGCGGGAATAAACCATGAGTCACAACAAAATAGAAATAAAAATAAAAAGAAGGTGGAGAACGAACGGATAACTAGTTTTTCAACAACAAAAAATTTGGAGAAAACATAAGTAGAACGGAGTTTCATTTTCAAATTATAATAATAATGAATTTACGCTTCGAGTTGTCATGGCAAAATATTTGTTTTTGCACTTTTGTATTTAGCGAGGAAAAAAAGAAAAAAAAAGAAGTGCGCAATGTCTGAAAATTTGTCGAATGATGCACTTTTAGTAAAATGCACTAGCTACTGTAGGACTTTATTTATAGGAGAGAAAAGATTTACAAAATTTGATTGTGGTTTATTTGGAAAACAGGATTTGTGTTATTTTGAGAAAATTGCAATCACTTGAGTGTTGATCCGAAAAACCGTGATTTGTGACAAAATTCACATGAGATTAAAAGTTCAATCGAGAAATAAATTTTTATTTTCAAAAATTCAACAGTAGAAAAATAAAATGAAATTATTCTCCTCATTAATTTTTGAATTTAGTTTTTTTCGCAAAAATTATTTTAATATAATTTTTTTTTCAGAAAAATATTTTCAAACTGAAAACTGATTTTTCTGACGACTGACTTTAACATAAATAATAACACTTAAATAACAACAAACATGAATCACCAAAAGAAGAATAAATATCTGCATCAAAAACCTTGAAAACATCCAAAAAAAATGATCACAAACCACAAAAACTCTCACTTTGTGGGGATTCGTTAAATTGGGTTGAAAAAGTGTATGTTTTTTTGGCATTCGTTTCAAGTTCGAAATTTGAATTGATGTTTTAAAATGTTTGTTCTTAAAAGAAAATGCTGTAACTATTTAACAAAAGGTCTCAGTTTTTCTTTTAGAAAAATAAAGAAAAAATTATTGATCAATCAACCAATCTTTTTCCACAAGCAAGAACAGGATCAATTTGTATTTTGTAGTTGAAAAAAAAACAATTCAAAAAAGGTCAGAAGACAGAGAAAAAATATAAACATTATTTTTCCCTTCGAATCATATCAGGTTACATGCCACCAACGTTTTCTTCGCCAAATTTTCCCTAGACCAGAAATCATTTTTTTCAAAAAAAAAACATAAAAATAAAATAATAACAGAAAAGTTTTTGTTTGTTTTCAAACGATAAAAACAAAGGAAAATAATGAGGAAGTAATACGAAATTAAATTTTTCTGGACAAAATTTCAGATTCTACACAAAACACAAAACACGGAACATTTAGGTGAAAACTCTTGAAAGGCTGAAAATAAAAACCAATTCGGAAAAAAAATTGAGTTTTGTTAGAAACTTCTAACTAACAATTAACTCCAAATAAAAAGAAACTTGGTGATCAAATTTGAGCACATGTTTTATGTTTTCGTTGGGAAATAAAAAATGATACAAAATTTCCGAAAACATCCTCTGACAATGAGTTTTTTCCAACTAATTTTTTTGTATTTGTTTTTTCTTCATGAATAGTAAACGACGAGTTTATTTGAACAGCTCAGCTCATCCAAAAATTGTATTTACAAGAATTTTTAAGAAAAGCTAATGTAAGCCTTAATTGTTGTGGCAACAATCAAACCGTATTTTCCTCAGAGTTTTCCTCATTCAATTTTCCCTTGTAATTTATTCATATTTTCTGAATTTTCAATGAAAAACGTAATTTTCATTAGAAGATCATAGTCTAGTCACAAAATAATTAAATTCAAGTGAGCATCTTGGAATATTTTTAAAAGTACAAATTCTGGATTCACAGACGCGTGTCTTTATTATGTAAGTAAAGTGCTACCATATTTTTGATGTACAATTTTTGAGACTCTAAAATGGCATTTATTTGAAAAACAACTCAAGTCATAGATTTTGTTTTCTGAAAAATAATCTGACCGAGCATCTGAATTCACAGGCTACTTTTATACTCGTACGGAAATTTTGAAAATGTGATTTTTCAAAATTTTTTCTGGCTTTGCTTTTCTGATCAGGAATCACAAAAATTTCACATTTCCAATTATGATGGAACAAATATCTGAGATCTGAGATCTGGAACAGAATACATTTGGTTTTGTATTTTGATCCGTATCTGATAGAAATAACTCTGAACTTTCAACGTTTATCTCATTTGTCTTGATAAATTCTCGGTATGTCCTTTCTTTCTATCTCCGGTTGTCCAGCCTCGACGTCTTTACCATAACAGGAACAGTTATCAATTAAAAAAAAGTACAATTTTTATTGAGATTTTTGTCTTGTATACTGTATAATATACTTTGAACCACTACGTAAAGCATACCGTAGTTTTTGTGCTTCTTAGATTCTCCGCCCAAAACTTAAGGTATAAATGCGTCTAAAAACAACAGATTTATTATCATTCAGAACTTTGAGAAATTCTCTCTCTGACTTGTTCAAAATAACAAAATCACTGAACCGTATTTGATAAGTTCGAGTTCTAAGTTTTGCATGACGCATTTCTCCTCTTAAAATCTTTATAAATCAAAAGCAGTGTCAAATTTCATCTGGCTGGAATTGCAGATCAAAAAATGTTGTTTTTGAAATTCGACCCATTTTAGTCATTTTCTCTTTATCTCCCATTTTTAGAATAATTGTATTATGTGGCGGTTCAAAAGAAGTATTGCCAGAATTTCAATTTTTGCCAACTTCATTATACGAGTTCAAAAATTTCTCATTTCAAGAAATGTTTTCTATTTGATACATAGAAGTGACGATTTCTGAAGTTTGGTTTAAATCTTTCAAAGTCTGAGAATTAATTAACGGAAATCGAAAATTATGAGCCATTAATTAAATTTCTTCTAGAAAATCCTATATCTGGAAGATCTTTGGCAAGAAAAAACAACGTGACACGATTTCTAAACGAACTAACTAATCCAAGTTTTTCTAAGAATCCAAACTTCGGCCTCATTCAATTCCATTGTCTAGCTGGAAAAGGATTAACATTCAAACTTAAGTTCTTAAGATTTAGAGCATGTTTTTGATCAACGTCACATTATATTCTTATTTAAAGAGTTCATTCGGGTCTATTAAATATTAATTTCCTAGAAATCTGAAAATGAAGAAAAATACATCATTATTTTCATTTCTTGGTCCATATGGATGGGGTTGCTGTCTATATTTACTCGGACTTGTTACTTATTCATTTTTTTTAGGAGTGGGCGGGCGGTTCTCTTTCAGACTAACTCAAATTATTTCATTTGGAAATATTGTGCAGAATGAGCTTTTTTTTGATCACTGTACCTGTTATTTTTTTGCAAAAAATACTTTTGTTCACTCGGGTGCTTCTATTGTTCAGAGTTCTTCAAATTTATTCCAACCTTTTTTCTCAGAAATTCTTTCAGATTAAAATACACATGTTATTTTTTTTTTTGAAATCGGGGATCAGAGACCTATTGGAAAAAAAAAATATAATTCTTGAAATTTTTTCATTGAATGGTCGAAGATTTCCAAAAAAGAATTAAAAAATTCCAAAATATTTCAACGTCATGTTTATTCTTCCTCCTCACACTCCTCCTTTTTTGTTTTCGAAATTCCAAAAATAATCAACAATCCTAATCCTCTCACAATCATATAAAACTGACCAAAATTTCAAAAATGATTATAGTTACAGAAATCATGATTTCTCTTACACTCAAAACATATCTTGGCATGTTTTTATTCCTTCTCTCATTAACTGGTTTGGTTGTGAATATTGTGGTTTTGGTACCTGTCTTCAAATTGGCTTTTGTCTTCAAAAAATCACCGATCTATGTGATCTCAATGGTGAATATTTCAATCGATGTTATCAATTTGATAATGGCAACTTTTTATATGGCACCATCGATTATTTTTGAGGTTTGTTAGTGAAGTTCTTGAATTGGGCCAAAAAAGAATGAGCAGAACACGGTGATACTTTGTTTTATATGGCACCATACCCCAAGTTCACTGAAGCTCTGTAAAGTCCTCTGAGCCAAGCAGTCATCCTCAAAAACCAGGTCCAGTTCGAAATTTGCCAGTTCTTTTTTTCAAAAAAATGTTCGTGCGAATTTTCAAACTACGAAGTTCTCTAATCCCAATTAAACAACACACATTTTTTCATTTAAAACTAGAAATTTCTTGGAAATATTATTTATAATGAAACTTGCAGCAAATATTAATAAACGCTCCTTTTTTGGAGGATTTCTAAAAAATTTAAATTAGAAAACACAAAAGACACGTACACCGCCTTCAAATCTCTATATTTTTAGACATACATTTTTGGTCCGGAGAAAAATGCGACAATTCCAAAACTTCTTGGTTCGCTTTTCATGTTTTGCTGGTATTTGGGATCAATTGCACAAATGATAATGGCAATAAATCGTCTTGTTGTTATTTATTATCGTCGAAATGATCTTTTTACTCGACACAATCTTTTGATTCTTTTCGCAATGATAACTCCAATTTGTATTTTTATGACTTATATGGCTCAATATGGTTTTCCTTGTTGTGCATTTGTTTTTGATCAACAAGTTTTATCCTATTCATACTTTCAAATTGATGATCTTCCAAATTATCCAAATCAAATAATTGATCTACCATTGAATATGTCAAGTACAACAATTGCATTTATCAGTTATTCTTTGATTGTTTGGACTGTTCGCAAATCATCAAAAGGAGTTGAGTCGTCTTTGAGTAATATGCAAAATCGAAGATCGAGAAGAAATCGAGAATTGGCGTAAGTTGAATTGTATAACGATTGTTTACCTCAACAAAATAACGGTTTTCAGATATGCGATGCAATTTTGTTTCATCTCAATGTTCTATACTTTTTCATGGGTTTGCTTCCGTTTATTCCCAGTTTTGATTGGTAATAATGGTCTTGAATGGTTTGTAAGTATCTCAACTGCTGTTACTATAAATAGTAGTGCAAATGCGATTGTATATTTGATAAGTAATCAAGAAGTTCGAAAACATGTTGTATTCACACGGAAGGAATTATTCAAACGTGTTGTTGAAACATCAAGTAATGCACATCATTCAACTGATGTTCCAAGAAGTACGGCACTTTCTAGTTAGTTTTTCTCAATTATTTTTTCTTAACTTTTCAAATAAAACATATTTCATGTTCTACAGCCGTTCAAGCCAAATACTAATTACAAATATTTATTTCAAACTACACTTTATTCAAACATATCTTTTCACAATAATTATTCAAAGGATTATCAAAATGCGAATATTTACAAAATAAATTTCTAATCAGATTTAATTTGAATAAACATGTGTAATCAAAATGTGTTTTTGTTCAATTTTCAGAATCGCGACATTTAATGCCCTAAAAACATCATGGTAAACGAATCGAAAACAATACGGGTTTCGTTTTAATTATGTAGAAATTGAATAAATGTTTTGTTTTTAAAAATAACTAATGTACTTTCAGGGAAGTAAAAAGTATTTTATCATATTCTTGTTGAACTAGAATTTGGATGAACCATACGGAATAATTGAGACGAGGAAATATTTTTGAAATAATTCCGAACATCTTGATTCCATAAAATGAAAATTGAAGCATTTGTTGAACAATATAATATATCGAGTAAAACCGGAATTATAGAAAGAAGTTCAATTTCAGCAAATATTGGAACCAAACGAAATGAAAGCCATACACAAGTATATGTTAGAGTTATCATGGAATAATGTAATGAAAACCTGTTTTAAAATTAACGTCAAGTTTAAGTTAGTTAGAAAAAATCTTACAGTAAATCTTTTTTCTTGGATGCATTCATTATTCCAGATTGATCACCAACTTTATTTTTTGTTTTCATGAATTTGATCAAAATCATTAAATAACAAAATGTCGTGATAGTTGTTGATGTAAAATTCAAAGGAATATCAATAAACTTATTAGATTTATTGATAACATTTGGATTTATGTTTGGATAAGCAATTGATGATATATTTGGATCATAAATAACAGGACAACATTCAAAATAAAACTGTGATATATAAGTTAGAATAATAGATATGAGCATTATCAATAGCATTGTTATGATCGTTGACTTTCTGGTTATCAAATAACTTAATTTTGGGTAACAAACAAAGATAAAACGGTTGAAAGACAGTGCTATTTGGGTTAATGAACCTTGATACCAAGTGAATAGAAACACTGTGGCAGAAAACTGGATTATTTTCGAAGATTCTGATATTTGCTGAAAAGATTTTTTCTGATTCTGAGCATTTATGATCGTTTTTATGTACATCTTTCATAACTCCAAGTGTCAGGAAAACAAGAACTAATAAATGATCTATAAAATCAGTGAATATATTAACAAAAGCAATTATATAAACTGGGCTTTTTGTTTGCATAAATACTAATTTGAAAACTGGAAAAATGACAATAACATTTAATAGAAATCCAGAAACACAACAGGACCCCACGAATACGCCTAGAATTTGTTTGATCATTTTTGTTTTGTCCGATTTTTTTTTTTAAATATTCTAATTTAAACCAAATCCATTCCCTGTAGAGTTTTGTTTTTCATTTTTTCTGAACTTTTTCGATTACTGTAGCTGAACATCATTTTTTTCCCAAACTACGGGTTTCCAACTTTAGAAAGTTTGCTCGAAAAAATGTTTTTCGAAAATGCTGCAAAGTTTCCGAAAGTAAGTTATTTAATGTAAAATATAATAACAAAAACAAGAGAAAATCAGGAATCAATTTTTTTTCTTTATTATTGTTTATTAAAAAGGTAGATTTTTAGGATTATTATTTTCAGTCATATTCTCGTTGAGATCGATCTAGGTTGAACTATATAAAATAACGGAGAAGTGGGTATAGTCTTGAAATAATTTCGAACATCTTGATTCCATAAAAGGAAAATTGAAGCATTTGTTGAACAATATAAAATATCAATAAACATAGGGAATATAAAAATAATATCATTTTCCGCAAAAAGAGGTATCAGACGAATAGTTGTCCAAACACATGTATATGTCAGTGTAATCAATGAAAAGTGAAGAGCAAATCTATTTTGAATATTTTTTTAAAAGCTCCAGAAAATACCACAAAACCCTTACAGTATATCTTTGTTTTTCGATGTTGTTAAATGTCCAACACTCCCACTGACTCTATGTTTTGTTATCATTGAATTAATCAAAATCATTGAATAACAGAATGTTGTTAGAGTTGTTGTGGAAAAATTGAGAGGAATATCAATGTACCAATTAGATTTGTTAACTAAGCTTTGTGTGTGGTTTGGATAAGCAATTGTTAATATCTTTGGGTCATAAATAAGAGGACAACATTCGAAGTAAAATTGGGATAAAAAAATGAAAGCAAGCGAGATGAATAAAATAAAAAACATGGTTTCCACAGTTGATTTTCTGGTTATTAAATAACTCAATTTTGGAGAACAAACAAAAATAAAACGATTCAGAGACAGTACAATTTGAGTGAGTGAACCAAGATACCATGCAAACAGGAATAATGTGGCACAAAATTGTATATATTTCGAAATGTCTGCCAATTTCTGAATTCAATCATTGAGCTTTTCATTATTTCTATTACTGTTTTACATCATTCAAAAGTCCGAGAATCAAAGAAATTGCGATTAATAAAATATTGAAATTATCGGTGATGATATTAACAGATGCAATTATGTAGACAGGGCTTTTGGTTGACGTAATTGCCAATTTTATCACTGGTAAAACCACAATCAAATTTATGATAAATCCAAACACGCAACAAGATCCTAAAAATATTACGAGCATTTTCATCATTTTTGGTTGACTGGAAGTGCTTTCGCATAGACAGGCCTAATCTAAACTTATTCCCTGTAGATTCGTTTTGTTTTCCAATTTTTCGAACTCGGAAGTACAGTAGCTAACGTCATGATGTATGTATGTTACAAATGAAAAATACTGTTCATTTTTGGGTTTGATCATGGAATCTCGGGATCTCAATTTTCTGAGTTTTTTAATTTCCGAAAAATCTATGTTTTTTTGAATTGTTTTCAATTTCCATTCAAATACAGAATCTTGTTATTTGCATTGCCCTTTCAATTCACCGAGGAAAGTGAATGGAATGAAAAACAATAATTTATTCATAACAAAAATGGAAATGCAAAAAACTGTTATGGAGATATTTTTATCTTCGTTTTCTCTAATCGGTATTAGTTCAAATATATGTATTACTAAATCAATGTACAGTTTGGCTTTTAGTTCGACAAAAAATCCAACATATGTCATTCTATTTTCGAATATTTTTTTCGATACTCTGAACCTTTTTGTTATTCTTGTTAACTTCATATTGTTTAACATTTTGAAAGTGAGTTCAGAATATGAAGCAAAGCAGTGCAGAATATAATTTAGATCAATGTTATCAATCAATTACTATCAGATTTTCTGAGTTATTCATTCGTTTTCAGTTTATATTCACGAGCATTGAGACATATATTAATGTCGATAACTCGTGTAATTATGGTATGTTGTAAAGAAAAATCAAAACTCCTAACAAACGATATAATATTTGTGATGTTTTCTTTTCTATTACCACTTTCGATATTTCTAACAATAATTACGCAAAACACAATCCAATGCTGTCAAATAAATTACAATTCTAAATCGTTATCCTTTAATTATTTACAATCAAAAAATAATCTAAACTATTCAAATCTATTTATAAATATCCCTTTGAATTCTATTACTATATTAGTTTGCCTCATTTCTTATTTCCAAATATTTCTGTCAATAAACAGAACTCGCTTTTGTGTTCCTCGAGATTTTCAAATTCCTGCGAAATTACATAATGAAATATCATTATCGTTGTATTGTTTTGTAAACTCAATGATGTATATAATAACTTGGTTTACATTTCAAACTGTTCCAGAAATATCAAAATTTTCTAACTGGAACTTCATAATTATGATTTTTGAAATAATGTATTGTTCTGTGAATTCAGTAACCTTTTTATTTTTTCACAAAGAAGTTAGACTAAGAAAATCTTCTCAGCCAACGATGTAATAAAGCTTTTGTACTAAAAAAATTTATGTATGAAAATTGTGAAATTATTTTTTTGGGCAATCGCTCAATTTAATACATCCATGTAAGTGACGAACAAATCCATCATCACATTGGCATTTATTCATAACACACGCCAAAACACAAGCTTTTGGATGTGGTTCTTCACAAGTTGGTTCACATCGAGTTCCACATGCGCGGAAAACTTCATCCTTTGGACATTTCGATGTTGCTTCAGTGCATTGAAGTGGTTCGACACATTCACCATTGGTGTTTCTGACAAATCCTTTCTTACAATCACAAGTGTTTGCAATACAGTTCATTGTGCAAGGGAACTGAATTATATGATTGATTGATAAACTTAAGTTAATAAGTTTTTGAATTGGAGCCAAATTATCAATTACGACAAGTTCGAAAATAATGTGTTTATATCCGACGTTTCGGTACTTATACCATCATCAGGGACTCAAACTTGGGTAATTAAACCTTATTTTCGAACTTGTCGTAATTGATAATTTGGCTCCAATTCAAAAACTTATTAACTTAACATCTACAATGCGACTAATCAACACGTTCCCCTTGCAATTGATTGATAAACGTTATTTGATATCTAGGTCTAAACTTACTGGTGTGAATCCACATTGTGGTTCACACGTATCGTGACATTCCACAAGTTGTTCATTCTTTTTACATTTTGGTGCAGCTCCAGCTTTCAATGCTCTCTTCAATTTTGTTTTTGCTGTAATTTTATGAAGTGTTTCTGAATTGGGCCACTTTGATTCAGAAAACTCACGACAATCGGAAGGTTTGATGCATTTCTTTGAGTTTTTATCGCGCAAGAATCCAGCTTTACATTGACAAACATTTACCAAACATTGTTCAGTACAGAATGGATATTCAGGAACATCACAAGATGGTTCACAGGCAGTTCCGCATTCTTCAAGTTGCTCATTTTCTCCACACTTTGGTGGTTTTGGAGCTGAAAGTTTTTGCAAAACAATTTTTAATCTCCATAAAAACTATTTACAAGAACCCATTCACAAAACTCACTGGTAAATAATTGTGCCGAAACGGCTGCAATAAAAACAAAGAGAATAATAAAAGACTTCATCTCAACTTGAAGAACTGAGGGAAATGCACAATTTAATCGGGGTTTATATACTCGCTATTTTCAGTGTCAAAAAACATTGAACACATGCTATCAGAAAAAAAAAGAAAAGGAAAAAGAAGAAAAATAAAATGTATTGGTTTCTTCTTCAAACTTTACTTTTTTCATTTTCAAACATCATCAACACAAACATCAATCTCTTGACAAGGTTCATCTTCGGATTCATTATAACACGGTGAATCAACAATTTCACATCGTTTTCCTTCGCCACATTTTATTGAGCAAATCATACGTGGACGTTCGTAAATTGGTTGAATTAGAAGTTTTGGATTGAATTGTGGAATTGGAGTAATTGATTCAACCGAAAATGATCCTTTACCTTTTGATGAGACTGAAACGTGACAACGTTGAGATATTTGAAAGAAACAACAATTGTTGTTCTATGGTTTTTTCTCTTGAGACTTTTAAGATTTATTATTTTTGAGATCGAAAATATCAAAAAAACTATAAAGAAACGAAAAACAAACCTTTGACACAAACAGCTTTATGAATCGGGTTGTCTTTTTCGTCAAAATCTGTTTGAATATAACAATTAGAAGTATCACTACACTTTTCAATACATAGTTTTTCACGCTCTTCTTCGCTTATATTTTCTTGAGTTATATTTTGATCTGCAAAGTTATCTACAACAATTTGGTGAATTTTTGATCGGATTTTGGAAAACTGATCCCGGTAGGGTTCAGATATTTTTCCGAAAATCAAACGTGGTTCAAAAATCTACATACAACAAACAATTACAAAAAAGTACAACACTGATTCATTCAGTCTTACTATTGCATTTATCAACACATTTTCCACTGCTTTTATCTCGATAAAATCCATTTTTACACTGACAAACATCAATCAAACATTGTTCAGTACAAATAATTGTTATTGGAATATCACAAGATGGTTCACATGGAGTTCCACATTTTTTCAATTCTTCATTTTCACCACATTGAACTGAAATATTTTTGAAACTTATATCAGGAAATTTCTAAAGTTTTAAACCTTGATGTGAAACACATTTTGCGATGAGACTACAATTTTCAGCACAATCTTCAGAAGATTCCAATTCGCATCTTTGACCCAATGGGCAATCTATTGATCCACAATCAGATGATATATTATCACTGTTTTCTGGAAATTTTCAGTTTTTTGATAAAATTGCAAAAAATTCCAACCTCTAATAACATTTCCATCAACAAAAATCAATATAGAAAAAATTAGAAAAGTTGAGAAAAACATTTTCTTTTTCTATAAAAAAAGAAAAAACAACAGAAAAACAGAAAAAGAGGAAAGCAAAAAAGAAACATCGCTTATCTTTTGGGACACGAAAAAAGCGAAAAAGGAAAAAAACATAACAAAAACAAGACAAAAAATAAGAGGTGTCTGGAAAACTTGAGAGAACATCAAACATCTTTCTGAAAATGGATGAAGCTGGCACTTGAGTGAAGTCGAGGGAAAATTCAAAGAAAATCATTGTTTGGTTTTGTTTTCTGAAACTTTCTGAAGTTTTTTTTCTCGAATTCTATATTTTTCGAAGAAAACCCTTCAATAGTTCAACGTACCAAAGCTGTTCTAAATTTTAAGAACCCCGCATCTCAGTTTTTGAGTAAAATTGTGATTTCAATATTCACACGGTTTTATTTTTCAGGTTTTCAAAAAACAATGGGAAATTGATGGTTCACATATTTCTTTTGTTTTTTTTTTCTGAAAAAAATGAACCAAATAATTATGAAACTGGCACATTTTCAATTAGAAAAAAAATATCAGAAAAAAATCAAAGTATTCGGAATTTTCAGAATCTTTTGAAAACAATATAATTTTAGCGGGTTTTTATGATTCGACTTGCATCGAAAAACTATCATCCTGGTCCAATCGTAAGAATCTTCGCGGCTTTTAAGATTTCAATCATTTTATATTCAGAATCCCACAATAAACTTGTAAAGAGTTCCTCAAAATGAAAAATTAATAAAATAAAAAAAGTTAAATTAATTTTTATTCTTTTTTTCTTCATCTTCATCATTTTTCTTCTCCATTTTTTCTCGCCAATATACACACATGTCTAGTGAGGTGTAATATGCTTTTTTCTTCATCTCCATCTTATTTTTTCCCTTGGAACAAAAAAAAGATGAGATGGACAAAAACTTATTTTTCTTTCTTGTTTTTGTTGCACATTTTATGCCATCCAAACTCGAGTCTTTAAAAATCACTGTTTTCGTTTTGTTTGTTTCTCTTCAGATCTCGTGGGAGAATTTTTGTTTGATTTTGATTTGAGCACTTATCTAATATTTTTTCGATGATGATCTTTTTTATGTTTTTTTGTTTGATAGAAAGTTCTCTAGTCTTTTTGCTCGCAACAATTGTTTCTAAAAAAAGTTTCAAGTTTCATGAAGGTCAACAGTTATTTTTTTCATTTTTCAAGATCTGAATGAATAATCTACAACGAGTTCGAAGATCTTCTTCGATTGGTGGATCGACAAGTTCACTTGCTCGAAGAAGTAGTATTTCACCGAAAGATATCATTGCGTTGCAAGAAGCTTTACAGGTAAAAAACCGATAGATCAATGTAGAAGAGGGTTGACTAGTAGTCACCCTAATTCAGCATTCCACCAATAAGATCTAAGGCTCACCCCTCCAATTCAAATGTTTGCAGAAACAACAAAAAATCTCAAATCAAGTTGTTTGGATATTATTTTTCATCTTACCGCCATTCACATTTTTCCTATTTTATTCCATTTCAATTCATCGAGGATGTTTCATAGAGGTAATATTTTCACCGTTTGAAAGAAAAATCAAGTCACAAAAAATCACAGAACAAAAACAAACTTCAAAAAAAAAAAAATAAAAAACATAATTTCAGCTTTATTGTTACTGCGACTTTTTGATGAAATAACTTTTTTTTATTTTTAAATAATTTTTTCACCAAGATACTTGTCCATATTCACAAAACACCCAATATATTCCCCTTCTTGTCTCAAAGTTCTAACAACCTTTAGAAACAACACATGCCTAATTCATATTTCAAAAAAGAAAAGAAATATTATTTCTCCCGACCTCAAAGTTTTTAGAATATTCTAAAACTTCCTTTCAAAAGCAAATCAGTCTAAACAATTTCGAACTCTACTCTCTCCGACTAAAACTTCACTACTCAATCGAACCCCAAAAAAAGAACTAACCTTTGAAATTCGTTCTTCGATCATCTCATCGCTCAAGATTGATGTATCGCTTCATGTTTTCTATCAAAAATCATCTCGAATATTTCAATTCACGGCCAATCTGAAAAACATTTTTTAATTTAATGAAAGTTTTGGTTGTTTTTTATTGATTCAAAACTCTATCCCAAAAAATGGGCGACCATACGAGAGAGAGAGAGAGAGAGAGAGAGAGAGAGAGAGAGAGAAGAGACAAAAAGGTAGTGAAATCGCGGGTGATCTACAGTGATTTAAAAACTTGCGGGACTAGGTTAGGAATTTTTTTTAATTTAACAAAAAAAATAATTTCGCGGTGTAATCATCTCACTACAATCTTAGGTCTAATACCTTCAGTGCTTTCCAATATTCATGCCTTTTCTTTAAGTAAACTCACGATACATTTCAAAAAATTAAGGCGGCAATCCAAGCGTTTTGAAAAATCAGAGAAGATTATAAATTTTTAAAAATAATATTTACGTGAACGCCCTTAAATTCTTATAAATTCATTCTTATAAAATTTGTCGACACGAAGTACGATAAGTTTCATACTCTGGTTGTTTTGAGGTTACGGTGGTTTCTGAAATATTTTTCTCCAAAAAACTTATTTCTTTCAGACATTTCAATCTCTATTCACCCGTTCTCCATTTATTTTCCAAACAATTCCTCCACTTTTCAATACAATTGCATGGAAATTCACAACAGTTTACTGTGCAATTCAATTGATTTTTTATTGGATTTTACCACATGATCAAGCACTTGTTATGAGTTCAGCCGGAGATGAAATTCGAAATATCAACAGTTTTTTCTCGTGTCTTATAACTTGTCTACTGTATGTTTTGGGTGCATCAACTGGAATTTATGGGTAAGATTTTTCTCTTCAAAGATTTGTTTCAAACGAAAAAGTTTTCAGTGGTGACTTGGTTTATATTCATTTCAATTCAATTATTTTGATATTTTCAATTCTTTCGATTATAACCCTTGTATATTTGGTTACTTCATATCGTTTTGGATGTGATAATGATAGTGAGTTCAAATATTCTCAACACAAAATTCTAATTATTTTATCCATTTCCATTTCCAGTAACAACAATAACAGAACTATATTTTGGAATTGAAGCACATCCAAAAATTCTTGACATTGATCTCAAATCGTTTATCAGAACAAGATTTACTTTTATTATTTGGCCATTATATATTATTTCTTCGATTTATCACCACAAATTGATATATGGAAAAGTTTCGAGTTAGTTCTATTTTTTCGAAATTTTTGAACATTTCCATTTTTTCAGATAGTTTATATTGTCTTTCGGTTTCTCAGTTATTTTACATTGCAAAGTTTCATTGGAATGAAGATTTGTATTTGAATTCTTTGGATTCCAAAAGATGTAATTGTGGATTTTATCGACTTTGGACCGATTTTGTATTGAATCCTGTTGTTTATACAGCTCCAATTACAGTACTTGCACAGTCAAATCGATCTCTTGGATCTATTTCAAATTTTATTTTTTCAATTTTGGCCATTTTCACAATTGTCGCTTCTTCATTAATTGATAGGCAAAAATACGAATTCCGGTTGGTTTTCAAAATATTGTTGAAATAACTCACTTTTTTTTAGTAAATCCAAAGGAGAGCTGAAAGTGAATGGTGTTGATGCATTTTTCATCAGCGCCAAATATAGAACGGAAAGTGGAGATTCGAATGTAAACCTCCTTCTTGGAAGTGGATACTGGGCTTATTGTCGACATCCGAATTATTTGCTAGAAGCAGTCACATTCCTAACTTTCAGTGCTTTCCAAGGATTTCCGTCAACAATAGCGCATTTTCCGATGCTGTTTGTAATAGGATTTCTGGTGGCAAGGGCGTTCACCGATGAAAATCGATGTTTAATAAAATATGGTCAATACTGGGTTCAGTATTGTTCTAAAGTGAAGTACAGGTTTTTACCAGGCGTGTATTAGACTAATTGTATGATTATTGTTATAAAAATTTGAACAGTTTTAATAACAAAAATGTATTTTGTTGTACAACAAATAACAATACAATTAGACAGCCTCTTCCTTTGTGAACTTGATTGGCTTTCCTCCGCGAATTCTTCCGGTACGACGGGCAGCGATAAGACCGACCTAAAGATTTAAAATTACAATTATGTATTTGAACTAAAATTGTAATAACTCACCTTCTTACCAGCACTGGCGTCTCTTCTGACTGTTGATGGATGTCCAATATGTTGATGGTTACCTCCTCCGTGTGGATGTTCAACTGGATTCATGGCAACTCCTCTCACTCGTGGCCAGCTGTTTCTCTTGGCCTTGTATTTGTGGTAGGCTCTTCCGGCCTTGAGAAGTGGCTTGTCAGTACGTCCTCCTCCGGCAACAAGTCCTAAAAATTGTGAGTTCAGATAGAATAATTTGGATTCAATAACGTACCGATCATGGCTCTGTTGGCGGATTGAACGACCTTCTTGGCTCCAGATGGAAGACGGATACGGGTCTTCTTGGTGTCTGGGTTGTGGGCGATGACGGTGGCGTAGTTTCCTGAAGAATGATCATAAGAACAAATTCAATTTATAAAATTTACCAGAAGCGCGGGCAATGACTCCACGATCTCCAGATTTGTTTTCAACGTTGCAGATGGTGGTTCCTTCTGGAAGTTGTCCGACTGGAACGATGTTTCCGATTTGAACTTGAGCTGAAAAAAACAAAATTGAATTTTAAAAATAAAATTTAACAAAATATTAAAATGGATAGATAGAATGTTACTACACTTCATGGCCGATTCTGATATATACCAAACCGGAGGTAAGAGGTAATATTTGATATTGTCTTCTTGGGGGGCTCGAATCGAATTCGACTCAAACCACATAAGAAGACTTCGAAAACGAGAACATGTTCAAATAAAACAATAACTTTGTCAAAGAAAATTTGGGTTTGAAATAAAAATTCGAATACACCTACCTTTAAGTCCACAGTGGATGAATTGACCGGTGTGCATTCCTTCGGCAGCAACAACTGTAGTCTTGACAGTCTTGTACTTGTATGGGTCACGGAAAGCAACAACAGCGAGTGGTGCTCCTCTTCCTGGGTCGTGGATGATGTCCTTTACGAGTCCCTTGATGTATCCGTGACGTTCAGCATAGTCAAGTGGTCGCAATTTGGAGGCTCCTTTGCGGTGCTTGTTGTGACTCTTGAAGATACCTCCCGCTCCTTTACGCTGGATGCGGATACGACGTCCCATGTTACCCTGAAAAAAATGGATTGAAAACGATGATTTCGATAGAAATAAGCGGAATAAAATCAATTACGAAAAGGGAAGTTCACTTAAAACAAGAAATTGATTAAAATTTGAAAATTAATAATAGACACTGTAAAAAATTCCTGTTATGAAATTTGACCTTTAATTTGGCCTAAACTCAATATCAGCGCCTATTCTTGATAAGAGGCTTCTCTAGTTGTAATTATCTATTCATCTGAAAATTCAAAAAGTAAAACTTTCACTCAAAACACACATAAACCAACGAAAAAAGCACAAAAAGTTTAGGCCAGCCAAAAAGAAAAGAAAAATAAATTCAGAGGCAGAGAAAAAGGGGGAGGTCTTGTGACGATGCGCCGCACATGTCTGTGTTCCTTTAAACTTCTCGTAAATCGCACGAATATATTTTTATTTTTCTGTTTCTACAGTTCTTTCTTGTTTTGTCGGACAGAGAAGCATGAATTCGTTTAGAGCGATGATTAAAGAATTTTTCGAAAAGTCACTGGACAATTGATAGTGAGTTATTTGGCGTATTTTCCTAAAGAATGTGGTTTTTCAGAAAAATCGATAAAAGCTTGTCTGCGCCAGAGAAGACAGAAAAGAGCCGACTACATCTGCCACCAATAATTTTTCACGAGTTGTCTTTCCTGGAGAAAATTATCGATGTCGTCTCAAGAATTCTTCGTACCATCAACCGATGTTATGACATCGATTGTACTTCCAACTATTATTTTTTGTATAGGAATGGTTGCCGCAATGCTGGTGAGCAAGTTCTTATATCAATTTTCTGTGTAATTTTTTTTTCATTTTCAGTTAGGAATAAATAAATGCAAACAATGGGAGTTGGACAAAGTTGTCGAAATGCGACGAACAAGAAGAGTTTTGCAAAGGGTAACAAATCGATTGAGAGAGAAAAACTTCAAAACGATACAAAGTGAGTTTCATTTAATTGTTGTGTTAAATATATATTGATGAATTTTCAGAAGCCAGAACAATTCGAAAACGCGCAGCATCTAGTAAATCAAATAATTCAACGACCAAAGAGTTTTCACCACCGGCATATGCGCAAACAACTCCAGATGCACCATGTGGATATTCTCCTCCTCCTTCTTACGAAGATACTCTTCTCGAAGAATATTATAAAGAATGTCATCCAAGTCGTCGTTCAAATCCAGTTCCAGATTCTCCAAGACGTTATGCTACAAGAACTCGAGCAAATGCAATTCGTCGAACCAGTCGTCCAAGTAGCACACGGAAAGGATCTCTTCAAATTGTATAATCAGAAAGGTTTATGAAATTATTTAATATTTATTTAAATCACATGTTCAAGTTTTTCTGATGAACCGAATCAATTTGACGAGTAGAAGAGACCAAGTTAGTTGTTTTTGAATCAATAAAATCAATGTCATTGCCATCAAGAGAAATTGGAGATCTGAAATTTTTGATTGAGAATCTTAATTTTTTTTGAATCTCAGAAACTCGTAAAACAAAAAACTAACTTATCACTGCTGTGTTGTGTTATCAAAACATGCGGAATCTGACTTGTCCTTCTTGGATTTCTTCTTGAAGACGATTTTTTACATAAATTAACCCGGCAAATTAGAAAAACCATTGCAATCAACGCCAAAATAAATACACCTAATGTCAAAATAATAAAAACAGCGTTCAAATCATTGACATCTAATGAATAATTCCGATCCATCTGAAAAAACCAAATATTCAGTTTGAAAGTTGATAAATTGTTTTTTTTTTGCACAGAAAAATCTATGAACTAACCGTTGAGGTTAAGTTGAATCTAAAAGTTTAATAGGAGAAAAACCCGGGGACAAACAAACAAACAGAGAGAAAAAAACGAAAAATAGTGAGAAAAGTTGGGAGAAGGCAAAAGCTCGAGTAACAACAGTTGGTGGGAAAAAACCTGCGGGAATTGAAAAAAAGAAGATGAAAATGAAAAGAAAAGAGAGGGAAAAGTTAATATTGAGATTGAATATCGCTCTAATGATAAATTGGCTAAGTCGAACGAGGATTCAAAAAAATGTGGAGGTCTATAAAAATTCAGTAAAGTCATAAACTTCTCTTTCCTCATAAATAATTGAATCGGAAAAACAGAAAAAAAATCTCTGGATGGATGGAGAATTGGAAAAATTGAACCTTTTTTGGAATAACTATAAAATTGATGAAATTAGGGGGCGGAGAAAAACGTGTTCCTATTTTTTATCCACAATCACTGAATATTTATTGGAAATTGTCTATTTATTTCTACAAAATACAAAGATGGCAAACAAATCTGAAATGTCTGAAATTGGAAGTTATCGGTGTCCATCAAATCGTGATCACACTCATTCATCATCCGAAAAATCATCGACAAAAAAGACAAACTATATTTCAGCAGATATTTTAATGGTTATGAGACACTCTGAAAGACTCAATGATTGTTGTCCAGGTTATATTGAAAAATTTGAGCGAAAAAAATATGAGCCATATGATTTGAATATGCCATCAAAATTGCCAATTGAAAGACCAATCATAAATTATTCACATGACACGTGTTTAACAAGAAGTGGTATTGTTTTATCACAAATGGTTGGAAGAAGTATGAATGTTGTTGGACAAATTCCTGATATTATTTATTGTTCTCCATCTTTGAGATGTATTCAAACAGCAACTTGGGTTCGAGAAATGAGTGGAACTAAAACATTAATTCGTGTTGAACCTGGTTTATTTGAAGATTTCATTTATCCATCAGGTGTTCCAGCTTTTATAACATCAGATCAAAGATCAGCAACATTTCCAGTTGATAATTCATATAAACCTATTAAACCATTAGATACAGTAAGCAATTTTTATTTTATTAGCTTTCAAAATATCTCAAATATTTTCTTATAGATCATCAATCATCAAGAAACAAATGATGAATACAATGATCGAGTTCGTACAACTCTTCAAGAAATAGTTAACACATTTGAAGTTGTTGAAAATGGTCGAGAACTTCGTGTTCTTTGTGTTGCACATGCTTCTACAGTTGATATGGCTGTTGGTTTAATGAGAGAAAGACCAAGAAAAACAAATGCAAATGAATTGGAATCAATTGCGATTACTGTACCTTATTGCTCAGTTTCGTATTTGAAAAAGGTAGGAGAAACAGGAAAAATTTAGAACTTTTATGGGTTACTGTAGATTTTCGGGATTGCCGAGATTTGTTGGGATTTTTCTGAATTACTGTACCTTTTTGTATATATAACTTTTTATTTACACTGTTTTTTTCAAAAAAATTATCCTAAATTTTTTCTTGGAAACTGGGAAAAGCTTGGGATTTAAAAGAATCACAAGGAAGACTACATTCCAAAAATATTTCAAACTCCCATTTTTTCCAGAAAAAATCCTACTGGGTTCCACATCCTCATATAATTCCAACAGTCACTTATGAGAATCTCAACAATCGATATAATCCATATTATGTTCATCGTACTTGAAAAATTCAATAAATATTTTACTGAAATGACGAATAAATAACTAAAAAAATTCAGACCGGGAGCAGAATAGAAAGAATAGAAGAAACCTGTGCTTAAGTATCGTCAAAAAAAAGAAAAAACTGGCACGAATTATTGAAATTTTGGTTTAGGTTGAAGTGACGAGTGTGTAGATCATACTGAAAATTGGAACATTTTAATTGATAAAACTAGACAATTAAATAAAGGTAAACTTACGCGTAGAGATAATAGAAGAAGGAAATGAGATAGAAAGCAAGTTTGATCCATGAAACGCGGAGAGTTGATGAAAGTGTTGAACGATTCAAAATTGTTGTTGGATCATAGATTCCAGGTCCCGACATGACTGGTCGATTGATGTAGCTGAAAATCATCCGTTTTTCTTCAGATTTTTTTAAAATTGAAAAAAAAACTAACGTATAAATGTGATAAAATACGAGTGGAAGATTTGCAAGAATCGAGATTAATTGCCAACTGAGAATGAACAAGAATGTGTAAACACCGTGAACAATGTATTCTGGCAAGATCAATTGATTCAAGTTTCGACATTGTTCGATCGGATTTTTGTAGTCAGTTTTGAGCTCGTCAATGCAGATTACCTGAAAAAATTGAAAATTTATAGATTTCGTAGTACATAAACTCTTTTTTTAATGAAATATCGATTGGTAAATATATTTTTCAATATTTCAAAAAAAACTTCAGGTGAATTTTCTAAATAAAACTTACAGTATAAATTGCGAAAAAGATACAAAATCCAACCGCAATCAATGCCAATAAATAACAGAGTGCTGCAAATGTGAACGCCATTTTTCTGAAACCTAAATAAAACTTTGTTTTTGGAAACAATTGAGGTTACCATGGAAATATCAAAGTGTTCAATAACACAAAATAAAAAATTGAAAATAAAAAAAAAACAAAAATTGAATTTTATGCGAGGAAAAAAATATAGTGACAACATGAGACAAAAATTAGGGCGGGGAAGGGTGGAAAGGGCAGAGATTTTTTGATTAACACGTATTTAAACTCAAAAAAAAAGAGAAGAGACAAATCTATGATTTTGTTCCTAATGAAAAACACTATTTCAAAAAAAAAAAGTTGAGATTTACAATGGTTTTTGTTCTTGTTCTTGTTCTTCTTCATGATGATCTTGATGTTGATCAGAAATAGCTGTTATTTGTGGAGGATCTGGTGAAACAGTTACATTAATTTCTTCATCTTCAACTTCTCCTTCTTCCATTTCAAGTTGATGCATTTCATCATATATTACACCATCTTCTTCAACATCTTCAACTTCTTCATTATATTCTAACAAATGATGATTTTGTTCACCTTCTTCTTCTTCATCTTCTTTTTCTCCAATTTCATGATGTTGAAGTTCTTCTTCTTCTTCTTCGTGATTAACTTCTAAAAGTCCGTGAATTTTCTTTCGAGGAATCATATTATCAGTTCGCATTTGATGCATTTCAGATTCGATCTGAAAATTTATTTTTGACAAAAAAATGGACTCCCTGATGGAAATGTACTTTCGAAATCCAAAAAACAAAACACTTACTTGAATTAATCTTGTAAATCCAAGCATATCAACAACTTGATCATAATCAATTGGTCCAATTCCATTCGAATCAATCGATTCCAATGCCAATGGATGATATTCATGTGAACTTTTTGTCAAATCCCAAACAGTCTGTCTTTCTTCTTCATTTGTACAACTCAGAAGTGGAGAACATCCCGGTTTTCTATACAATCCAAGTCCAGTTTGATATCGAAGAGAATTTTTGGAGAAATGCGATGAGCACAAATAATGTCGTCCATCTTTTGCCAATCTTTTTGTCAAATATCGATAAACCCATGGTTCTCGACACATTGAATTAATCCATTTTGTTCGTAATTTTTCTTCTTCTTCTGATGGAAATGGTATCATTGCAGTACATTCATCTGTATGAGAACATAAAACACATTCAGCTTGAACATTATATAAAAGACGACGTTCGGCAAGAATCGAAAATGGATCTTGTTGATCAGGAAAATGTGTAGAACAAATAAGGGCTGATTTTCCAGAACGACTAAGCGAATGAATTGTTTTTCGAACAAGCTGAAAAATAACTGTGTAATTTTACAACAAAAAAAAACGAAATGGCTAGGAAAGAGAAAAACTAACCCCCTTATCAGCGTGTAACAGAACATCACATAAGAATACTTTTTCCGATTCCATTGAAGGATTTCTCAAAATAACCATTTCTGTTTGTTTTTTCCAATCATCGCACAAAACACATTTACAGACTGAATTTGGTCCCCGTGGAATCACATCATAATCATCAGATTCCTAAAAACAATAATAATTATTAATATCAAAAATTCTGAAAAATAGCCAAAAACATACCATTGACAGTGGCAAAGAATCGGTATTTATAACAATTTCGCCATTTTGAGTTGTTTCTTCAAACGAATCTCGACTAAAATGATAAACACAAATTCTATATCTCGTTGCTTTTTGTCTCAATAATCGATTTCTCAACCAAGTCACTTTTTTCATTTGAAATTTTGCCGATGAATTTGTGGGGAAAAGTGCGTCGACCCATTTTTGTCGAGTTTCCAAATCAGGTGGAAGTGGAATGACAAGAGATTCCGAACTCATACAAGAATCACATAAAACACAGAAGGTTCGAAGCCAATTGTCCATTTTATCCGGAAGCTTCTGAAAAATTAGAAATTGAAAAAAGGTTTCATTTTTTATTATTTTTCGATTTTTTTTTAATTTAAAAAAATTATGCGATTTTTCGTCACGAAAAAATTTATTTCAACGTGATCCACTTTGCGTGAATTATTTGATGAGTACCTTTTTCTAAAAATGCTCATTTTCTTTTTTTATGAATTCTCCAATCAACTAGTATAATGGAAAGCAACAAAATTGACGAATCTTCAAATGCAAAATCATGTTCAAAATTTGATATTTCTTTAAATAATCATCAAAATGTAGAAAAAATAGACAAACGCGGAAAAGGAAAAACAAAAGGAGGAGTTGGAAGTGATTCACCGGGTAAATCAATAGCAACATCGAGAAATTCGCTGACTCCAAGAATTCGACGAACCGATCGAGATTATACAACAATGTTACCAATTGATGAAGTATTTCGAAAAAGATGGCATGTTGAAGGAATTATTGGAAAAGGTGGATATGGTGAAATATATTTGGCAATTGATATGAAAAGAACTGAAGAAGTTGCAATTAAAGTTGAACCAAAAAATAAGACGAGGAAAATTAGCAAAACGAATGATTTTGGAACAAAAGGTTCTAGTGAAAATGCAAGGAAAACCACATGTTCCATTGGTTTTTGCATCAGGACACACTGATAAAATCAATTTCTTCGGTAAGTTACTCAATGATTAGAAGTCTCTAACTTGACAATTTTCCAGTTATGCAGTTATTGAGTATAAATCTTGGTGAACTTCGAAGATCAAGTCCAGTGCGAAAATTGAGCAAATCAACAACAGGAAGAATATTAATTCAAGCAATTGCAGCACTTCGTGATTTACACGATGTTGGTTATATTCATCGAGATGTAAAAGCAGCAAACATGTGTTTTGGAATAACTCCAAAAAATCGGCATGTTTTGATGTTAGTCGATTTCGGTCTCATTCGTCGTTATAAATGTGAAAATGGCGAATGGCGAGAACAAAGATCACATGCCGGATTTCGTGGAACTCATCGATATGTTTCTGTTCGTGTTCATTCAAGAATGGAACAAACACCAAGTGATGATATTGTTTCATTACTTTATACAGGTTATGAGCTCATGATTGGTGATTTACCTTGGAAAAATATGGAGAAAAGTGAGGATATTAGAAAGTTAAAAGAAGCCATGGTAATTAATTCGAAAAGGGGATTTTTTGTTTTCAAACATTTTAAATTTCAGCAACATCGAAACACAAATTATTTCGCGACAAGTGAACTTTCCGAATTTGCCAAAGCTGTTTTCAGTCTCGATTTTACAGTGGATCCGCCTTACAAACAATTACAAAATAGTTTAAAATCATTGATTGGCTCGAAAAAACTGAACGACCTTTACGATTGGGAAGAAGAATATAAAGAGGCTATTGAAGAATCTCATGAATCAGATCATGATAGTGGAAAATAATATATTTAATTGAAATGAACTGTTTTGAATTCCAGTGTGGTTTTGTTTAAAAAAAAGAAAACACAAAAACTCACCCGATAATCCAAATGGTTTTGACAAACATTAATCGGACAAAAATGATAATCTCCACTCAAATTTCCTTCAGTTTTCCGTTTTCTCCACAATGTTTTCATTGAATCTTCGAATTCTTGCGGCCAATCCATAATTTCTAACCATTTTTTATGACGATATTCATCAAATGGCCATGTTCTCAAATCTGATTTCACTGGGAATTCATTTCCAATTGGTTCAATTCTACCGCAAACTTGACATAATCTTTCTGTATATGGAATTTCTCCGTTTTTCAGAATCATATCATTTTCCTCGTCTGAATCATCCGAATATTCGATTTCATATGTTTGATTATCATCTTTTTGTGAAGATGTCGATGGTTCGTCTTTTATCACAATTCTTTTGACACGTTCCTAAAAAATATGAAAATGATTATTGAAAAATAATAATAGGTCACGTTTTTTTCACGTTCACTCATTTTTCCATTTTTTTAAAATTCGAACTTACTCCTCGAATATTTGCTAATTCATTTTCTAGTTTACTTCCTCCTTCGTGATGCATTGATTTTGACACTGAAAAAATATTATTGATTCAGAAAACAGAACTAGGAAAATTCTAGAAAACCCTACTAATGATATGTTTTTGCTCTAATCCATTATCCAAATTCGAACTTAAAAATTGTTCCAATTCTGCTGAATTTGTGATATTCAAAATATGTTCATCGACTTCTTCTCCCATTTCAACAACTTCATGCTCTTCAATTCCTCTTCCAAGTCGAGTTAATCGATCAACTCCTCGCCACAAATGTCGATCCCAAAATAAATTATCACGACATTTATCCACAAGGTAAATACGATTTCCACGTTTATCAGATTCGGTAAGCTATAGAATTGTTGTATTATTACTTGATACTATAAATTTGAACTCTAAACTAACATTCGGATCAGGTAACGCATTTCTCAACATTCTCCATTCACCAAATCCATTGATTTCGAACGAACTATCCGCAATATGCCAATCACAAAGAAATTGTGTTACACCTCCTTTCAAAGCTCCTTGAAGTCTTCGTTTGAAATTGACATCACCATCTGATAATGTATCAATCCATCTTGCACGTTTTGCACGATTCTAAAATTAACAAAACAAAACTATTTTGAAAATACATATAAGCGGATTATATCTTACTCTGATAAATGGCAACATTGAATTCAAATTTCCCTCTCTTCCACAAAAAACACATTGTAAAACTATAGAATCAAACTCGAAAAGTATATCTTCCATAACAGAATGTCTTCCTTCGGGAGGTCGAATATCGATTGGAAATAATTGATTACCTTTGAGATGTGTTGAACCGGGTGGAAAATGAATTTCGCAAAACTCGCCACCATGTGAACCTTCACATGCTAATTCACGTAACCATAATTCGGCTGATCTTTCTTCATCTAAATTTGATCGAAGAATCCAAACTTTTCGCATTCTCAAATCTCCTGGTAAAACTCTTAATTTTCCAACAGTTTTCTTTCGACAAACATGACAATATTTCATATAATCATTTCTTCTAGTATATTCTTGTTGCTTATATCGATCATAATACCGAGTTTGTGTATAATCAATAAACCCTGCTGACAATGGACGAGCTCTTTTTCGATTATTCGCAAGAATGTCTCTCATAGACATGTTAGGGTCGATATTTTGAAGTAGATCACTAGTTACTCCAAGAAATGGTGGTTCACTCGACGACTGTAAAATGGCAAATATCAGAGGAACATATCTAAAATTACTTACCGCTTGTGGTTCTTCTTCTTCTTCTTGCCCAACATCGACTTCTTTTTCATAATCATTATTAAATTGCACATGTTGAATGTTTACTTTTTCTTCCGGTTGTTGTAATTCTATTCGTTTCTCAGAATTGTCTTCCCCATCGTCTTCATCATCGAAATGCGGTCTTTTTGACATAGGTGAATATTGTTGCTTTCGGACGAAAAAAAAAAGAATAAAATTTAGACCACGCCCACTGCCAGCTGCGGCATGTTTGTTTGCAAGCGCCGCACACTCTTATTTTATTTCATTTTTCAACTGCTCACATGTGTACAGAGGCAGGTCGCTGACTCACCGAATAATTTTTTTCTTTAACTTTGGCAGCTCCTTAAGGGATGAACACTCCAAAAATCCTAGGGTGCAACACTCGCCCAAACCATAGATATGACGTGGCAAAGTTGCCACCACCGTCGAAAACCAGACGGGTACTGTAATTCATTTCAGAGAAAATATTTTCAAATTCTGTTATTTTTAGGAAAAAAATTCAATTTTCCGAATAGATCACTTGGAACTGAAGTAATCGAGCCTGCTGAACAACGCTGTCAATGAATGAATAATTTTAGAAATGAACTTCTGGTTGTCATATAATAATTGTTCACGTTTCATAAAATTGCAATTTCGAGACTTTTATTTTAAATGAATTGTTTTATTTACACATGATACACGTAAAAAATGAGATATACACAGTAATCAAAAGAGCTGAAAATCTATAATTTAGTAGTAAACAACTGGATGTTCATGAGGAACAAGTGCTCCCAAACAAGTTGCAACATAATCAGGAACCATATCATCACGATCATTCATTTGATTTTCGACAATATCTTCAATTTGATGACAACCAGATAAAACAAGCATTGTTTTTAAACCGTGATCTCTTCCAAATTTAACATCAGTATTTGTTCTGTAAAAATATAAATAATAAAAAGATTTAAAAAATGAAAAAAGTGAAAAACTAACCGATCACCAATCATCATAGTTCTTGATGGATTAATATTCCATTTTCTTTGAATATATTTAAATGCAGGAGTACATGGTTTACCAACAGTAATTGGTTCTCTTCCAGAAACACATTTAATTGATGCAACAATTGGACCAGCATCTGGTATTATAACATGAGCAATTGGTCCAGGATATGTTTCATCTTCATTTGTTGCAATAAATAATACACTATCATCTTTCAAATAATTTGCAGCTTTCATCATTTTCAAATAATTGAAATGTTTTTCATATCCAACAACAACACAACCAACATTATTTTCCAATTTGATATCATAAATAAATGCTCCATTATCTTCAGTAATTTCTTTTTTGTTTTCTTCATTTCCATGTCCAAAATATTCGATTCCCAATTCATCCATTTCATCTCTCAAACCTTGTTCTCCAATTAAATATACTTTTTTATCTTTCAAATTCATTCCACTTCTTTTAATTGTATCTGCTACAACTGCTGCTGGATTTACCAAATTATCCTTGTTCATTACTTTTGAATTATATCCCAATTTTGCCAATTTTTTTGCATAAACTTCTCGTGATTTTGTTGCATTATTTGTCAAAACAATTATTTGTTTATCATTTTTGATCAAATAATCAATGAGTTTTGGAGATCCTGGCATTACTGATTCACCAAGCCATAAAACACCTGAAATTCAATTATAAGTTTCAAAATCTATGGAAATCTTTGAATAAACTAACCATCAGCATCAAAAATGAATGTATCGATATCTTTCATAACTTTAGCAAATGTTTTCGAGCTAACAGGTACTGTAGTTCTCGATAGTTTTCTCTCAACTTTTTGATGTTCCAAATCTGGTTTGACCAAATCTTCAGGAACTGGAGAAGAAGTGAGAATTTTCATGATTAGTTAGTTTTGTAATCTGAGTATTATTCCTATTTATATACCAAAGAGGCGGAGAATATTGTTTTGATATTTTTATTTTTACATTCGTATGATAACAGAGAATCTGAACTTTTGTGTCCAGTTAAATATAACAGGGCAAAGAACAGGTGACGAACGCCTGTTTTATTTGATCAAACATCAGTGAAATACGTAATATTGAGAAAAACACGGCTGAAAAATAAAGCTGGATATGTACTCTAATGACTCATAAAGCAAGTGTCAAAGTTTAAAACTAGTGTGTAGAATAAGAAAAAGCTTTTCGAAACATTTTTTGATAAATATTCTCGCTTCAAGTGCTCATGAAAATTGATGAGAAAAATCTATTTCATAATTTTCATTAAAATTCGTGTTTTCTATATTGTTTATGTGGTCCCTTTCTTCGAGCCTGAAGTTCCATAGTTCCATTCAGAATATGATGGGATTGATTCAAAACACTAAAAGCTCTACATTTTTTAAAGATCCCTGATTCTATTGCTTCCCTGAATAAAATCGAAGAACATGACTTTACTTGTTTATACCAAACTGTACTATGATTTTTTTCTTATCAATGGAAAAAAATAACTTTCAAAATATGTTCGGCCAAAAATAACATTTTCTAAAATCGTCATTTTTTGTACTTTACAAAAAAAGTGACGATACAACTTTTTGGTTTTGTAAATTTTCACGTGAATGAGACACTGTTTCAATGATCTGATTTTTCATCAAAAGAAATACTGTTTGATGAGTTTTCTCAAAAATCAGACAACTGTTCTCAAACAATCGTGACAATTGTTGATCAGTTTTTTTTGAAAAATATCAAAAGTTCAGGGAAATCAATAACAGTCTACTTTGAACTTTGTCCCCAAAAAATGGTCGCAAAAATCCAGTTCCAAAGATCTTTCTTATCATTTTTCTACTCATTTATTTCAGCGTAATTTCAATCGATTTTTATTTTCATATAAAATAATATTGTTTTTTTCCAGATGACTCGCTTAATTTCACTCACAAGAAGTTTAACAGCAGTTGTCAAAGATATTTCGGTTAGTGTTCAAAAAACGGGTTTGTCGTTTATAAGTTACTACTGTAGTATTGTGATAATAATGGGAAAAGTTTTTAAATATTTTGTGAATTTTTCTTTGAGATTTTTGTCTTTGAAAAGAGGCAAAGTTCGTCTGCAAATGAAACATGTTCATTATCATTTAACCGCGTGACACCGATAAGAATCTCAATAGCTTAAAATTTCAATTGAAAAAAAACTTTAGGAATTTTTATTGGAAAAAAAAGTTGGAACCGGATAAAAAGTCTTAATTTTACGAAACGATAAAGGAATATGAGAGAGAGCTTGTTAGATATGAAGTATTTTTTAAGCGTTTTTCCTCAAGATTTTTTTCAGGAATTCAAAAACTCGATTTCCAAATTGTAAAGCTATAGAATATGGGTCCTGGTTCAAATTTTTTCCCGATGATTGACAGTCCTGTTAGCTGTAGTAGTAGGGTTACATCAGATCAATTAAGACACTACAGTAACGAGTTTTATAGACATTTATTCAGCCAGTCTTCACTCTAATTCTTGAGATTTTTGAAGGTTCTACAATTTTCTCTGTTCTTTTTGCTAAACAAAACGTAGTAGTCATCTCATCGATCAGCAAATAAATTTAGAATCTGCAAAAAACATGTTGGCTGTTCTCTGATCATCACGTGAATAACATGCACAAATAACACAAGTCGGGATCATCAAAAGGGTGATCCACAAAAAAAGACGCAGAGAAACAAGAAAATGATCTTTAAAGGTGTTCGATGACGTAGTTGGTCTCTTAGGTGGAGAAATTGGTGATCCACCAATAAGATATGTAGATAATAGAGTTTGTGATCTTTGAATATATATGAACTGTATAGAACAGTTAAATTTTTCTCAATTGATATTTGTTCAACTAACATCAATGAACACTTTGTTTAAAAATGTTCACATGATTTTCACAATCACGATTTTTAAAGATGCAAACCAATTTTTTTCTCTGTAACCGAATCTTATCATTCGTTTTTTTTCAAAGAAGAACCCCAACTTCTGTTATCAATGTGTCTTTAAAGATTATATGGCCGTTTTTTGAAAGACGCAAATCTGGTTTTACGAGCGTATTTTTAGAATTGTGAACATTGATAGAAAGATAACTGCATGATTTTTTGGTCTCACTTAGATAGATTTGATAGACAATATAGATTCTTTCGTTGACAGATTGAATCAAGTCTGAACAATTGTTATGGTAAAATATCAAACAAGGATACTGTAAAAAGGAAGTGAATAGGTTCCAGATACACCGAGTATTTTTTTAGCGTAATTTTTGAAGATGCCACAATTTATAACCAAGTAGACAAACCCCGAAAAGTTTGGTGACTATCGAGTTGACAAGTTAGGTAGTAAATAAATCACACACTGTGCTGAACACCAAGACACCAAACATCAATTTTGTAATTCAGCACCAAAGTGTATAGTTTTGTTGACATGTTGATAACTCTTTAAAAAACAACACATTTTTTCGATTTTTTAAAGATTGGGGTTTCCCATTCACTATACTTTTTGATTATCAGTAAAAACTTTGTACAGTAGGCTTGTTTTTTAATATAAAGAATGCTACAAACTATTCAGTATAAGTAGATTTGTTATCATGAAACGATAAATTAGGACACGGTAATAATATTAGCATAACCTTTTTATGTGCAAAAACATATTATGAACTAAAAGTGGAAATTATGAAATCATAATATTTTGAGACAAACTGCTTAATTTCACGTGAACAAATTGAACATTTTTCGGAACTTCGCAAACTTCACGATGTTCTAGAACATACCAGAATACACTTTAATAATATTATCCTTGTATGTTCTAAAATTTCAAAAACATTGCCTGTGACGAAAATTTTCCAGAGTTACTGGGTTTCACAGAAAACCCAATTTTATTAACCCGGAATTTTCATTCGATAATGTCGTGTGAATAATTTTCAATAGCAATTACAATGACATTTTCATCACACTTTTCCACCGGAAAACGACATTTATTTTAATTTTAATCAAAGCACAACATTTTGTGACCTCTTTAAAATTAATCTGTTCATTCACTTCTCACGTGATCTCAAAATATCAAATTTTTCTGTTATTTTGCTTATCCAAAATCACCCACACGCCAACAAACCAACTTCTCAAACTCCGCCCCTTTTTTGTATGTTTTTCATGTGAACATCTTCAAAGATCTAGGCTCCGCCCATTTGACCACTCAATATAAAAGAGATGTGCAAACAGCTCATAATCATTAGCAATATCATTTGCAGACTAAAATGAAATTCCCAACTATTGCCCAACATCAACCAATTCCTTCAATCAAGGATATCAAGGTTTCTGAATCGATCAAACATGAAATGAAAACGATCAGAACTACAGTACCCCTTTGTCCAAGTACTTTCGAGAAAGTTATCAAGGATATCGATACATTCATTTTTGATGCTGATGGTTAGTTTATTTAAATATTTCAATAGATTCTGAGACTTATAACTGAATTTCAGGTGTTTTATGGCTTGGTGAATCAGTAATGCCAGGATCTCCAAAACTAATTGATTATTTGATCAAAAATGATAAACAAATAATTGTTTTGACAAATAATGCAACAAAATCTCGAGAAGTTTATGCGAAAAAATTGGCAAAATTGGGATATAACTCAAAAGTAATGAACAAGGATAATTTGGTAAATCCAGCAGCAGTTGTAGCAGATACAATTAAAAGAAGTGGAATGAATTTGAAAGATAAAAAAGTATATTTAATTGGAGAACAAGGTTTGAGAGATGAAATGGATGAATTGGGAATCGAATATTTTGGACATGGAAATGAAGAAAACAAAAAAGAAATTGCTGAAGATAATGGAGCATTTATTTATGATATCAAATTGGAAAATAATGTTGGTTGTGTTGTTGTTGGATATGAAAAACATTTCAATTATTTGAAAATGATGAAAGCTGCAAATTATTTGAAAGATGATAATGTATTATTTATTGCAACAAATGAAGATGAAACATGTCCTGGACCAATTGCTCATGTTATAATACCAGATGCTGGTCCAATTGTTGCATCAATTAAATGTGTTTCTGGAAGAGAACCAATTACTGTTGGTAAACCATGTACTCCTGCATTTAAATATATTCAAAGAAAATGGAATATTAATCCATCAAGAACTATGATGATTGGTGATCGGTTAGTTTTTCACTTTTTTCATTTTTAATCTTTTTATTATTTTTAATTTTACAGAACAAATACTGATGTTAAATTTGGAAGAGATCATGGTTTAAAAACAATGCTTGTTTTATCTGGTTGTCATCAAATTGAAGATATTGTCGAAAATCAAATGAATGATCGTGATGATATGGTTCCTGATTATGTTGCGCAATGCCTTGGTGCCCTTGTTCCAAAACATTTCTAATTTTTTCCAAAATGTTTTAAACGTGGTTGTTTTTACGAAGTATGTATATAATTATTTGACTTGTTTTCTATGAAAATAAAACTTCGATATCTGCAGTATTCTCTATTAAAAGTGAAGAAAAAAACAGCACAAGTTCGAATATATTCTTCCTCACTAATTTAGGGCAAATCATAGAAATTTGAACCAATTTATATAGAATTTCTTCCTCTTTCAAAACTTGTAGTTTTGGTAGAATTTCCAAAAAATTAAGAATTTATCCTGAAGTGCGCCTGGGAAATTATGAACAAAATAATAAGAACATCAAATACAGTATATAGTTAACATTTCCATTCATTGAGAATAATAGATAATCGAAAAAAATAGTATTAAAAAAGCATATGACTGCCATTTTTGTGAGCAAAAAAGTGTTGCTGTTCTTTCATTTTTTTCTCTATTTCTCTTCAAGTTTGCAATGTTCTTTTATTTTGACGAGGTTTGAATCGGTGCTAAAATTTCAGTCATACATAATGAAGATCTCATACAAAACTTGTGTCCATGGCTACCACGGGAAACATAACTTTTTGAAAAGGTTCATTGCATAATATTCCCTCTTATCAAATTTCAGACCAACATCAACACATATTTGTTTATCGAAAAATTGACAAAAAATATTGAATGAACAACGAAAGGAAACTAGTTTTGTTTGGTTTCATTCTGGTTTTTTCTTTTTATATTATTTCGCTAATTACCATTTTTCGGATGTTTCTGAATTATACGAGAATCCAAAACTGAAAATTGCAATAGTTGTTGTGCTCACAAAAGACACGAGTGTAAACGATTATAAGATTGCAATTGATTCATTGATTTGCTATTCAAAAATTCAAGAATATTCATTTATTTTGGCGAAAGATTCTGATTATCCTTGCCCACATAATGATGTAAGAATTTGTATATAATTCGGTATAAAAATAAAAAAAGTATGAATTCAGAAATTCTTCAGAAGACATTGTGTAATTGCTCACATTCTTCCTGAATTCGATGTTGTTGTATTCGTTGATGCAGATATTGGAGTTGTTAATCCGAATCGGTGAAATTATTTTCATTTCAAAAATTGTTTACGTCAATTTCAATTTTTACAGGAGAATAGAAGAGTTTTTAGAAGATGGCATTGATGTTGCATTTTATGATCGATTTTTCAATGTTGAAATAATGGCCGGATCTTATATAGCTAGAAATACAACATACGCTTATGAACTGATCAAAGGATTTGCTGATTATGAATATAAACTTCCAAATAGTTTTCATGGAACAGATAATGGAGCAATTCATGTGAGTGAAAATTGTTTTTGAATTTTAAAATTTCAAAAATAATTTCAGATGTACTTAGCTCAACATTTATTTCCTTATGCAAAAATTGAACTTAAAAATTGTCAAAAAATTTGGAACAATTCCAAAAACTTTGCTGATGTATTCATTTATGAATCTTGTATTCGAACAATGTTAGGAGCATCAACAAATTTTGGAAAAATAAAAATATTTCGAAAAGCAGAAGGTTGGGTAAGAGATGCTTGGTTGACTGGAGGAATGTGGAGTCAAAATGATTTTATGTTACATGGATGGAAAACTAAACAACTCAAAAATATTCCCAAAAATGGTATCAGGTTGGTTGTATTTATAATTATTAAGAAACACAAATATATTTGTAGTTCATCACGAATGAATTATAATCAATGGTATTCTCCATTTTCTGGCCAGTTTGATATCTCAAAATGTTCACCTTCAAATTTAACGTGGATTTATAATTCAGAATTTGTAGGAAATCCTGAAAACTTGAGAGAAAGTTTGAATGAGTATCAAAAAGTTGTAGCTAAAGAAATTATTGAAAATGGATATAAGAAAATAAATATTTAAACTGTCCTCGCTTGAACAAAAATTAGCAGAGATTTTTCTCTACCTATATAAATTAAAAACAAACTGGAAATGGCGTGCATAAAACTATGAAAAAATTAATCAACCTATGAAATAGTTCATAGTTCGTTTTTCAATAAAAAACTTTACCCAATATTTTTCAATAAAGCTCAAATCTCTACTGTTAATTTTTCTCCCCCTCTCTTCCAAACTCAAAATAAACTAACTTTGATTGGCCCGTTCCGTGAAAAATTGTTGATCTCTTTGAATGTTTTGTCCAAACGAAAAATCTTCTTGTTCGGAAGCCTGAAAATTCTACATTCTTTTTCTCAAAATCTTCGCCTATTCTTAAACTTACATCAGAAAATGGCAATTGTGGATTTTATGGGATCCCTGCAATATGTGACTGTTGTCTCTAAAACAAATACGAAAATTAAAAAATGTACCAAATCACTCAAAAACCAAAAAATAAAAATGTTGTGCAAAAAAAAATAAAAGAAAAACAACGATACTCCGCGTGCACGTTGTTTAGCGTGTTTATTTTGTTTGTTTTTGGCAGTGTAGATGAGAGAGGGTGGGAAATAGAGAGAGGGTTAGAGAGAGAGAGATATGTTTTTATTTGAAAAGAAATTATTGATTGAATGCTTTTTTCGCACGGTTTTTTCTGGTTTTTGAGTGGTTTTTTTCAGCGCAGAAAATGTTATCAATGGGGTGTTTTGGCACATTTTTTAATTTTCTTATTTTTTCAGAGACAACAGTCACAGAATGCAGCGGTCCAATAAAATACACAATTTTTCATTTTCTGATGTAAGTTTAAGAATAGGCCAACATTTTGAGAAAAATAATGTAAAAGTTTCAGGCTTCCGAACAAGAAGATGTTTCGTTTGGACAGGACATTCAAAGATATCAACAACTTCTCACGGATCGGGCCAGTCAAGTTAGTTTATTTTGAGGTTTGGGGAGGGGGAGGAACAAAACTAACAGGTGAGATTTGAGCTTTATTGAAAAATATTGGGTAAAGTTTTTCATTCAAAATTACTGTTGATGTTAAAGGAAAGTGTTTTATAAATTGATATGTTTAAATGATTAGAAGCTTTGAATTAAACTTGATGGTATAGGATAAGCTTCCAGATTTTATTGAAAAACAAACTATGAAATATTTCATGGGTACATTAGTTTTTTCATATTTAGTTTTATGCACGCGATTTTCAGTTTGTTTTGAATTTTTTTAATAAACTTCACAATTTGTATTCCCAGGCGTAACTTTTTTTTGAAGAAATCTTTTTTACTCACGTCAGCTTAGCTGCGAAAAATAGGTTTTTCTTCAAAATTTAGAATTTTTGAGGATTTTCTGACTGTTTCCCCTAGGGGCACACAGTGTCCCGAACGCGTACTGCGCCAGCACTCCACACTCCACACACTCTCTCGTTTTCTCTCTATCTCTCATCCGTCTCTTCAGCAAATCTCAGAGAAAGTATGGCTTGAACGGCGCGGTCCGCGGACGATTTTTCACCGATTTTTGGGTGAAAATCATTACGCGGATTCCGCGAAAAAAATTTCGCGGACAGCGAAACTTCAGCCAATGAGAGTCGAATTTCGCGCATTCCGCGAAATTTTTTGACTTGGAAATTTGATTTTTTTGCGTTTTTCGCGGATCCGCGAATGAACTCGAGAGGGAGGGTATAAAAAGGATAAATTGTATCGCGTACGCGACAACGAGGATAGCGCAGCAAGGAAGAGAGATGACTACAAAACGACAGGATTGGGATCGAGGCCGGGTTGGAACTACAAGTCAATACTAACTTCTGATAATTATCAGGGGTAGTGAAGCATTTTTATATTTCGAGAGTGCATTGCGCGGACGTTTCGCTAACAGTGGAGTATAATTTCGCGGACGTTTCGCTAAAGTTCTTGTGTCAGCCGCGGATTGGCAGATTTCTGGGTTTCGCGAACCGCGCCATTCAAGCCAGACCTTCTCTGAGAAGCGCGCTCTCTCATCTTTTTTTGCGCTTTTGTTTTCTTGCTAAAAAATGCTGGAAATGGAATTTTTGTAACTAAATCGAATATTGAGAAGACAGAGGAAGAAAAATTGAAGCTATTCCAAGTTGTTTCATGAAAAATGGTTGAGAATGAAATGAGCAAGAGCTCTTCAAAAAATAGCTTGTTGAAAAACATCATTTTTGACCCAGGAAAGCTGATAAAATTCAGTTTTATGCTTCCAAAACATTGAAATAGGACTCCTCAAGTATGTGGAATCAATAATAATTCAAAATTATGCCGTTTTTGTTATTTTATTTTCCATCGAAATTTGCCTCAAAAAACTAGATTTCAGAAGTTTATTTTGATCAAATATTTCCTAAAAGACCTTAAAAGTATTCTAATTTACATATTTATCATAAAATAAGTGCCGAATCACATTTTTTCCTTCATAAAATTTGAATTGTTTTTCTTCAAAAGATATTAACTAACTTATTTTGAATCCAATCTTCACATGTTTTATATCAAAACGTTCCTCTCATTGTTCTCCAGAACATATAGCTCAGTTTGGGAGTTTTCATGCAAGTATAATTGGATTATAATCGTTTTAAGAAAAACCTAGTGTTAAATTTTCAAAAAACCGACAAACAGGCTTGTGCGCTCTACCGCACATGCACCAAAAATGCGCACAACTTTTCTCTGCCTACGCGTTCGGGGCACTGTGGGGCACCGCCCCCAGTCTGCAGGTTTTCACTTGCACCTGTCATGGCTCATGTTCTTACCACCAAGGCCAACATGAGGCACCACCTCTGGATTTAAGTATGAAAAATATGAACATCGGAAACAGTTGAAACTTATTCCGATTGAAAAAAAGCATGGAAAAACAGTTTGGAATTATAAGTTTTAGTTCCAACACCGAGAAAGACGTTTGTTTTTGGCAATACTCCTAGTATTTAACAAAAACAAAAAAACCTTTATATTTATGCATCAAGCGCCAGAGTATTTGATGCATAATTATAAATAGATTTTGATTAGTGATCATCAAGTGATAACATTTATGCAATTTTTGCTACACCCATATTTCTCTTCCTACATCGAAAAAGTGTGTTTCTATTTCTCTCATAAAAAATGTGGAAACTGAAAATGACAAACGGTCAAAAACTAATACTATTCGTTGTTTTTTTGATTGTGGTTTATAATTATTCATCTCCCAATTTTTGTTGGTATTCTGCGAACAGTTTAAGAATCGCAATAGTTGTTGTAGTTTCAAAAGGAACTGATCTAAAAAATTATGAAATTGCTCTGAATTCTTTGGAATGTTATGCAAGAACTCAAAAATATAATTTTATTATTGCTATTGATTCTGATTATGAAAGTGTTTGTAAACAGAAAAATGTGAGTTTTGAACATGTTATTCAAAATTGTTTTTCTTTTTAAGAATTTGTTCCGCCGACATTGTATTGTCACAAAAATTCTACCGAATTATGATGCTCTACTTTTTCTAGATGCTGATATCGGAGTTGTAAACCCTACACGGTATTATTAAATTTTTATTAAAAATCAGTGTATTTTGTTTCTAGGAGAATTGAAGAATTTCTTGAAGAAGGTGTTGATGTCACATTTTATGACAGATTTTTCAATGTTGAAATAGCTACTGGTTCCTATATTTTGAGGAATACACCGTATGCAGTAAATTTAATAAATGGATTTGCTGATTATGAATCAAAACTTCCAAATAGTTTTCATGGAGCTGATAATGGAGCTTTTCACGTAAGAGAATTCACAAAAATTGAACTCGAAGATTCTAACCTTTCAGATGTACTTAGCTCATCATTTATTTCCTTATGCAAAAACTGAACTTAAAAATTGTCAAAAAATTTGGAATAATTCCAAAAACTTTGCTGATGTATTTATTTATGAATCTTGTATTCGAACAATGTTAGGAGCATCAACAAATTTTGGAAAAATAAAAATATTTCGAAAAGCAGAAGGTTGGGTAAGAGATGCTTGGTTGACTGGAGGAATGTGGAGTCAAAATGATTTTATGTTACATGGATGGAAAACTAAACAACTCAAAAATATTCCCAAAAATGGTATCAGGTTGGTTGAATTTTCGATTTTTTATTTTATGGAAAAAGTAAATGATTTTAAAGTTCTACAAGAATGAATTATAATCAATGGTATTCTCCGTTTCTTGGTCAATTTGATATCTCAAAATGCTCACCATCAAATTTAACTTGGATCTATAATCAAAAATTGATAGGAAAATCTGAACATTTGAAAGAAAGTTTAGAAGAATATGAACAAATTGTAGCTAAAGAATTATTTGATAACGGGTATCGGAAAATGAACATATAAAAACTACACGCTATACTAGCTCAATACAAGACACGCATAATCAGACACACACACACTTGAATTTGTGTGGTGGCACGACGTGATTAGTTTTAAAAAATTATATAAAGTTTATTGAAAAAATTATTGTGATGTTGAAAAAAGCACGATAATATTCCGAACCTAGAATTAATAGTCTTCCCGTAGTTTGGTTCAGACATTGATAATTTTTCTGTAGAAGAATGAACTTTCGAACAGAAATGTTTGCACTTTACCGGGTTGTTCAATGCTTACAAATGATAACACATATTTGCATGAAAATTGAGAAAGTTTAATACGATTGGAGTGTTTATATTGAATTCACACTTTATATATATTTTTTAATATTTTACTATTGGATTTCAAATGTGGAAACTAAAAATGACAAATTCACAAAAATTATTACTATTTCTATTTTTTATTATAATATTACTAAATTTTTTATCCACAGATTTTTGTTGGAATTCAACTAAAAATTTTAAGAATCGCAATAGTTGTTGTAGTTTCAAAAGGAACTGATCCAAAAAATTATGAAATTGCTTTAAATTCTCTGGAATGTTATGCAAAAACTCAAAACTATGATTATATTTTAGCTATTGATTCTGATTATGATGCCGTCTGTAAACAAAACGATGTAAGTTTTATGACACATTTTTTCAAATTGAAAAACTTTTTTAGAAACTTTTCCGCCGACATTGTGTTGTCACAAAAATTCTACCGAATTATGATGCTCTACTTTTTCTCGATGCTGATATTGGAGTCGTCAATCCCAAACGGTATTATTAAATTTTTGTTAAAAATCAGTGTGCTCTGTTTCTAGGAGAATCGAAGAGTTTCTTGAAGACGGCGTTGATGTTACATTCTATGATAGATTTTTCAATGTTGAAATTGCTATTGGTTCATATATTTTAAGGAATACACCATATGCAATCAATTTGATAAATGGATTTGCTGATTATGAATCAAAACTTCCAAATAGTTTTCATGGAACGGAAAATGGTGCGATTCATGTGAGTGAAAATTGTTTTTGAATTCTAAAATTTCAATAATAATTTAAGATGTACTTAGCTCAACATTTATTTCCTTATGCAACTATTGAACTTGAAAATTGTCAAAAAATTTGGAACAATTCCAAAAACTTTGCTGATGTATTCATTTATGAATCTTGTATTCGAACAATGTTGGGAGCATCAACAAATTTTGGAAAAATAAAAGTATTTCGAAAAGCAGAAGGTTGGGTAAGAGATGCTTGGTTGACTGGAGGAATGTGGAGTCAAAATGATTTTATGTTACATGGATGGAAAACTAAACAACTCAAAAATATTCCCAAAAATGGTATTAGGTTGGTTGAATTTATAATTATCAAAAAAAAAAACAAATATATTTGTAGTTCTTCACGAATGAATTACAATCAATGGTATTCTCCATTTTCTGGCCAATTTGATATCTCAAAATGTTCACCTTCAAATTTAACTTGGATGCACAAATCAGAACTTGTAGGGAAATCTGAAGATTTGAAAGATAGTTTGATTACTTATCAAAAAATTGTAGCAAAAGAATTATTTGATAACGGGTATCGAAAAATGAATATTTGAATTTTGATTCCATGTTATACAAATATCTTCTTCTTTTTCTTCGTTTAATAGAAAAACACGCCGAGACTAATCAAATTTTTTCCAAAAAAAAAACAGGAATATTTATTTCAATTGTTGTGTTCGCTTTTGAAATGAGGATTTGTTTTCTTTTCGAATTTTATTTATTCATTTCGTTTTTTGGAGAGATTATCAAAAAATTAGCAGGTGACCAAAATGGTGATTTTGGTGAAGTTGGTAAAGATTCTGGCATATGAAGTTTTGGATTTGTATTTGACGAATGACGATTTCTGTAAACTTGAATTTTACTTCCGAGAAAAACACATTCAAATTTTATTTTGATTGTTATTAGATTTGACAATGTTGTTTTTCTCATTCTCATTTTATTTCAGATTTTTTGTTTTTTTTTTTGAAGAAAGTGTTCTTACCTACTCCTTCGACTCGAAAATTGTTTTCCACATCCATTTACAGTACACATATGCATTTCTCTTAAATGAACAGCCGATGTGTGGATTTTTAGAGCTCCTTTATCACAAAATGATTTTGAACATGATTCGCATTTTACACGGCGTTTCATTTTTTGTGCACTTGTCTGAAAATCAAAAACTCCCTTTTCAATTTGAAACACAGAACTGACCTCTTCAATTTTTTGTTTTTCCTTTTTTATTGTTTTTGTTGATGACGATAATTTCTTTGTTTGTAGAGGCGGTGATAATTTAGTGACTGATATGATTTCTTCCTCACTTTTTGAAACATTCACTTTCTGATGCAGTTGAAGTTGCTGATTTTGTAGATTAGATATCAGCCAAGAATTATAGATCAAATGTGGCATTGAAACAAAAGGAAACGGTGAAAATCTCATCATTTTTGAGGGTGATCTCAAAGAATTCCAAATGAGCATTGTCTTCGAATCTTCGCGAACTCCGCCCATTTTTTGGGTGTAAATGTCACACCATTTTTTGCCGTCTTTTCGCGCATTTTTCCTGTGGGATTTGAAAAAACAAAACGGCGCAAAAGAATGATTATGATGTGTGAAAAAATGGGGAGACGAAGTTCGCACAAAAATGGAAAGTTTTGAGGGAATGAGACAAATTTTAATGAAGCTTGTGATTTCTTAATTTAGGTTATTTTGGAACCGTTGAAAATAAGATTGACTTTTCCAATTTTTATTTTTAATTTTTCGTTTTCTCTTTTTCAAGACCCTATTTTTTAAACTGGTGGAAAAAGACATTTTCAAAATGGAGCAAATTCTACATAGATCCAGTGCATCGGGCCATTTTTTTTGAAAAAGTATTGAGCATTGAAAAATATGGGTCCGATCAAAATTTTTTAAAACTTGAAATCTAAAAATCAGTTCGTCGTTATTGAGATCCACGTTATCAAGTTCAAATGTTGCCCACAGTATTCTATTTCACATGTCCTGTCCCATCTCCTCAAAAAAGTGTTCGTATGCCACACAAAGTGTTGAAAGCTGGCAATATTTGTCGGTGGCGCAAAATGGTCCCATGAGACTGCGCGACCGAAGACGACCCTCGTTCTTGTTCTCTTTTTGCCTTCCTATATACATATATTCACAGCCTTCTAACTTTTCAACACGTCTTTTTTGTCAAACCAAAAAAAGATGACATATATCTATGTCTTATGGGAGAAGAAGATTTTGGTTGAGTTTTTCGGTTTGAAAGCTTTTTGGGGTGTGAATGAGGGAAGAGGATAATTATGCGCAAAGAGCAGAGGATAATAAAAAATAGTAGACAAAAAAAACAATAGGGAGCCACTTTTTATCTCATCTTGTTGTGGAGTCAAAGGAAATTGGACAATTGATTTATTATGACAGAAAAAATAATGCAGAAGTTTAGAAAAGGAAAAATAGTTCGGAAAATAGGTGAAATCTGACTCGAGAATTTTTTAACGAAGCGTAATCGAATTTTGTGAATTAATGCAAGCCACATATATTTTTAGCAAAAAACTTTTGATTCTAAATATTTTTTATTTTGTTGAATCGCGTTCCATGATCTTTTAAAAGTGACACAGAAATCAAGAACAAACAAAAACAAAATATTTTATTCATTCGCTCTTTCTTCCCCGTTTTTTTCAGCCTAAATACTCTGCAAATCTGAATCAATATTAACATCAGATACTCCAATTGTTGTACTCGTATTATTCATATTTTTTCTCTTCATAGTAGTCAAAATAGATTCATGATCTTTCGGAATTCCAATCATAATTCGATTTTTTGATCGAAGGAAAAATACAATAGCACAAGTCATGAAAATCAGTTGAGCAGCAGCTGCGCCAACGAAAAAATACATAAAATCCATATTTGTTGAGGATTCTTCAGATTTCTCATTTTCCTCATAATCCGAATCAATATCATTTTTTGTTGTCGAAGTTGATTTTTTTGAAATTTGTCTTTCTCTAGGGCGATGATATATTTCGTAGTTAGAACTTCCTTCGACCCAGGGAGCATTTGAACCAGTTACATCTATAAGACATAGGTATATTATAAAAAACAATTTTCAAAAAGTGTGCGAAGAAAAAGACATACGTGGAATACAACAAATTGTCTTATTATTTGCCGAATGAAAATGTTGTTTTCCAACACCAAAAACATCAACTCCCAAATGTCCCAAATTGTTTTTATGATATTCACAAGATGAATCTTCTCTGAAAATTTAATGCAGTTCTTGAAACTTTTGTAATCTGACTTACGTGAAAACCCATGGAAATCCTCCGATTGAAAATGGTCTTCCAGGACACATATAATCATAATATTTATATGGTGGTTCTGAAATGATAAATATTCAGAAAAAAAAACTCTGAAATCAAATTGCCTAAATGAAAAAATTGATCTTCTGCTAAAGATAAACTCGAAAAGTATATTGTCAGTATGATGAAAATAATATTGATGATGAAACACATTTTTTATTTATTTAAAAATAATTTTTTCTATATTGTCCAACCCTTTTATACCCATTTCTCTCGTTTTTTGGGACACGTTGAAAAAGTGCAAAAATAATCCCTTTTTTTGTCGATTTTTTTGCCTTTTTGGCTCGCGTTTTTTTTGGCTCATAACACATTATCTGCTCATTTATTACTTCCCAACAAAAACAACTAAATGAATATATTTATTTTGTCATGCTTTTTTTGAAAGTTTTTTTGACTTCGTTTTTGCTGGTTTTGAAATTTTTAAACATCATAGAAATGAACGGTTCAACTGAAAAATGTTTGAATCAAACCATCAGATAGAAATTGTAGAAGACCCGATTCCTGAGCAAAAAACTCACATCAGCTCAATTCGACATATTTCGTAGAGCCGGATTCAAAGTTTGGCATGATTTTGAATATCAACAATTGCCATTTTTATTTTTTAAAGAACAATTCTGAAATGCCCTAAAGGTGTAACCCAATTTTTAAGTTTATCAAAAATTTGGAATTCTTACACCGATTCAGAATATTGAAAAATGCTCTTGTCGCTGAATTTTTTTTTAACTTTTCAGTTGCGTCAAAATTAACTCTCCTCCTCTGAGATTAATTCAAAAATAAATAACATCTACAGTACCCTAACAGAATTCAAAGTTCCCCCAAAACAAGTTCGAAAACATTGCACTATTTTGTCCGAATCGTTTTCTTTCTTATTTTCATTCTGTTTTCCACCCTCAATTTTCGAAATAAATCGCAATTTTGTTTAGTTTTCAATCAAATTACTTCGGACCAACTTAAATTGTTTTAATAGTAGTAAATAGGATCCTCTTTTTTTCTTTTCTTTTTCAGGACAAAAAAATTGCGGAAAAATAAGAGAAAAAAGGAAAAGGTAATAGAATAACAAACTTCGAACCAGAAAAACGGAAGAAGGAAAAAAGAAGGAAGAAAAGATGGAAAAGTATACTCCAACAAACACTTATCGCTTTCCAATTTCAACCACTTTTTTCCTGGTTTTGCATATTTTTATACCCCTTATAAACTTTTTCTTCTACCTGCCCGCCTAAAATGAATGTATTTTCAAAGTTAGCTAAAACCTTTTTTTGTTCAAAAATTGTTCATCAATAATTCTTTGTTTTCCAAACCAAAACATTCTCGAATAACGCCAAAATACCGTAATCTTTTTTTCTATAAACAAAAAAATTGTTCCAGATGCTTTTTTCTTCGAAATAATATAAAAATGAGTTTATTATTTCTCACACATGGCTCGGCTCATAAAATAAACAATTAATGAATTGAGAAAAAAGTTTATTAATAAAAATCCAAACAGATTCTGGATTTTTCGTTTTGAGAAAAAACGCACTTTTATTCTGAAAATTATTTTTGGAGGGTATACATAGTTTGTTGTTTTTTAGCACGCACTAGGCACATTTTGGATATATGATTCTTATTTTCTAATTGTAGATTTCTTCTTTTTTTTGAAAAGGAAGAGGTGGAAATTTTGGTCATTTCTTCGTGAGAAAAATTATTTTCGACTCATGGAAGCTTTAAGAGCTTGTATCAAATAGCTGCTTTTCCAAATCACTGAACTTCAAAGTTTTAAGATTATGGTTCCTCATATTCTTCAACCATAACATTTTCAAAGTATTTTCTACCCGAAAGTGCCCGAAAAACTCCTGAAAATGTTTCAAATAGTGTAGTTTACCTAAACAAATTTCCCCACGTTTTTTGAAACCTGATACAAATTTGAAGATGAAACTAAATTTAACGCGGATGTTTGACACCACCATAAGTTTCAAAAACATTTCTAGACTTGATGTATAATTTACTAACTACATACATTCCGCTACTGAAATGTGTTTTTATCAGATAGCTAAATACGATTTTTTTTAGTTTTAAGACTTTTTTGTCATTTCCAAAATGTTCCTCACGCTTTTCACCAAAATTTTCTCCCAAAAAATTTAATTAAAAATCTCGAAACGTTTCAGAATATGTAAATATTCGTCTTCTTTCGTTTTTTTCTTCCGAACAAACATACTTCATCATTTTTTCATTCTCTCCAATTCTGTTTTATTCCAGACAGGCAATCTTTTGTCGGTCGGGTTTCCAGGTCTTCACATCCTTCAATGAATTCGTAATTCATTCCATTTCGACTTTTTTTGTCCTTCTCTCATCGTTTTGTCGTTTGCTTTTTTCTCACTTCATTCGTCATTTGAGATATGTATTTATGTTCTTTTTTCATCGTTTTTTTTGTATGTCCACAATTGTGGTTTTTCTTGTCATTTTGTATGTTTTGTTGTTTTTTCTTCCTCTTCTATATTTTTTGATCCGGAAACAACCCTATAATTTTGAACGGTGATTGGCACTTGTCAGATATTTGGAACAGGCCTTTCCGGTCTGGACAATTCCGTATTTTGGTTCAGAATTAGTTTTTAAAAAAGTTCTTGAACGAGCCTAAGACACGACCGGTCTACTAATCTACTAGGTCTCAAACTTTTTAAAACTCTTTTTGGTAGATCAAAAAAAATGTCGGTTTTTTTAAGAATTTTGATACCATTAGAAAATTGAAGGCTTTCTAAAAAAAATACTACTTATCTAATTTCTCAGGCCTTATTTATTTGAACTCTTGTGAATTTTCAGACAAAGTTTTTTGGTCAGGTTATGAAATTCAAAATGTTCCGCATTTTTCTATATGCTCAATTTAACACACACATTTTCATATTTCATTTTAACCACCTGAACTTTGGACTTTTTCTTTTTGACCTTTTTTTTGAAATTAAAATTAAAACTTCTCAGGGAATCACGGGCGAGATCTCCGCGATTCGCGGGACCCAGAAATCCGCGAAATCGCCGCGAACACGCCGCGATTTCGCGGTTTTCTGTCTGCGAATCGCGGAAATCTCGCGGTTTTCTCTCAAAAATCAAAAAGTAGAGGCGCCGCGAGACACAACTAATCGCTTTTAATGATACTCACTCGGCCGGCCTCGATCCGACACTCTCCGCCTCGCACACATTCCTCTTACCCACTTGACCATCCACGCGCACGACTCATATCGCTGAAACGTGTTTCATATCTCTGCACTCTTGTCGTGACAGCCCGCGAAATTCACGCGAAACGCAAACTTTTCTGCGTTTTGCGGAAATCTCGCGACAAAATATTTTCGACCGAGTCACTTCGCTAAATTTGCGCAATTCGCAAATGTCCACCGCTGAGTTTCCGCAAAACGCTGGACGCCCGCGAATCGCGTAGATCTCGCCCGTGATTCCCTGAGTTTGCTGCAAAAATGTGCATTAAATCTCGTCCCATAAATATCCTCGTTTTCCCCTAGTTGTTTTTCTTTCTTCCTTTTTATCCCCTCGAGTCTATCAATTTTGCCGGTGTTTTTGTGTTCTCAAATTTACTCGAATTTGTTTCGGACGGAAATATGTTTTCGAGTATTTTAGTACATTTTTCTTGAAACATTTGTAGGTGTTTTAAAATATATATGTGAAACAAACAAACTCCAAACTTCACACCTCAAACATCTTCTACTTCTATTGTTTTGGTTTTTTTTGGAAAAATAATAGACAAGTTCATGATTTTTGGAATTCCGAAAATGTTCAAAAAAAAAACGTGTCATACATCATCTTTTTCGTCTTCATGATGTATGAAGTGAATTCAGTTCTTTTTTTTTGAATTTTTTGGAGTGTTGAGAAATGACTATTACGAGGAAAATTTCTTGGAATCATTTGAAAATGAACATTTTAGGCAAGAATGTGTAATATTTTTCTATAAATTTTTTTGTTTCAATTTAATACGTCAAAATATAGATAAGAATCAATATATCGTTGAAGCCTTCAAAACTCTTGAGGTTATCGTCTCCAAATTGCTTCCTTTTCTTGATAATTTATGTTTGAATCCAAACGCTCAATACTCATCCCCCCCCTCAAAAAATATATCTGGAGGCTGAAAAATAAATAAGTTGACCTTCTCAAAAATCGTATCATCGATAAATTTCACAGTTTTTTTCTCAATCTCCTTTTGATTAATTATATTTTATCAAATAGCTTTTTTTCCAAAATAACAAAAACTTAAGTGAACTTGCACAATTCTTCCAAAAAAAAAACAAACATATTTGTGACCAACTGTTTTCTTCCGCCCTTTGATAACAATTGAAACAATTCTCTTTTTAAAATAACATTATTTTTTGCTCTGAGCCTCGTTTTATTTTATATTAACAGTTGCTCACCAAACAACCCATTGTCTCTAATTTTCACACTTTTATTGGTATTTTTTGCGGGTCCCTTTTCCATCGAAATGAAATTTGATCTTTTTTATTTTTTCTCAAAGTTTTTATTATTTTCCAGATTTCCTATTATTAATATTATTTTCATATATTTGATATCATATTTCATTAGAAAATTTTTCCGCGGGGATGAAAAAACGCGCCATCGGATTTCCGGTCTTATCTTGATTCTTCGACAAAATTTATGATATTTTTGCCTACTTTTGCAACACAACAAAACAAGAAAAACCTCGTAGTTGTTTCACACGAAAAAAAAAGAAGTACAACTTTTTTTCACACTTCACACAATCATACTTGACATACGTGTTTTCCAGCTCTCTCGATCTTTTTGGTTTTTTTGCCTCAATTTTGTTTTGTTTGAGAAAACCTGGACAATGATGTTCTTTTGTTGTAAAATTATTTATCTAATTGGTTTTGCTCTTTTCTTTGCCTACATGTGTTTTTAATAGTCGTTGAGCTTTCAGCTTCTGTTTCTGTTTCAGATCATTTCCAATCAAATGTTTTCAAAATAGCAGAGGTGGGGTGAAAGTTCAGAACACATTTTATTTATAAAATATTTATGGACACGAAACTTGTCTGATTTCTATATTTGTGTTTTCTTGAACTTTGGATTTTCTTGGTGAAGAAAATTCATAACCGAACCTCTATAAAAAGGTCAAAGTCGAATTCTGAGTTAAAATTCTTTGTTGACGAGCTTAAAAATCTAATGTTTCATATTTTTTAGAATCTAATCATGCGGTGTTTTTCACTATCCGAACAATTGTTTTGTTCAACTCTGACCTGATGTCAGTTCAATTCAAGTGTATACTCAAATAATATGATTGAAAGTCCATCTTTTCTTCTTCCAAATCTCAGTTGTTTTATTCGATTCATTACCCACCATTCCCCATTTTTTCCCCATTCTCTTCCAAAATAAACTACTACATTTTGCCCCATCTTTTTTTGCTTCTTCTTCTTCTTCTTATTTTTTCTTTCTTCTTCATCTACTACAAATTATCGAACGTCTTTATTTTTTTTATTTATTTTGCAGGAGTCACACAAAAGAAGAATAGGGAAAACTTGCGATTTTTCGACTTTTCTCATGTGAAAATCAATGCGCACATGTTCGGTTTTGATCTGTTTTTCAATCATTTTTCAAATACTCAATGTTGTCGAATCACAACTTACTTATCGGGTAGGTTACTGTAGGTTTGGGGAAGGGGGGTTTGGAAATTCGGATTTTTGGACTGATGTTGAGAAAAATTATGATTTAAAAAGATCTGATTGAAAAACAACATTAAATTTTTGCCTTTCCGCAGCGTAAATAACAATTAAAAAAAAAATTCAAAACGTAAGAGTGTTAATTTCCTGAGTTTTTTTTTTGTCACATTTTAAAATTAACTAATTTCGGAAGTAAATTCAAAATTTTCTCCCATTTTTCATTGTCAGGTCACATTCAAGTTGTTCAAGTAATTTCATTCTATTCTATTTTACAGAAACCCGAACCAAGCACCGATTTAAATCGACGACAAACTCAAAATCGAGCAAGAAAATCTGAAAGTTATGATCATGTTAGAGATATTGTAAGTCCACTTTCCCAACATTTCAACAAACTTTTTTTTCTTAAAATAGATTGATAATGGTATAGTCAATGAAGATCTTCGTGTTTATACATCTGAATTTGCTCGAAAAGTTCGCGATGATGAAAAAGTGAATCATGGTCGAGACAAAATGAAATATCAACAATACGATTATGATTATCCAATTCATCAATTATGTGAAGAAGAAAAATCAGGTCAAAGGGAAACTGATACATTGGATTGGTAAGGGAACAAATATATATTATATTGAAAACTAGCAATCTGAAATATTATAGGACCGAATCCGGTGATCGTCTTCTCAAAATAATTGGCAACGGTGTAGTAGAAAACGGGTATAATATGTTTATGGCACCCGGTCAATCAAGAAAAAAACAAACTGATGTTCATGTTGCCATTTATATTGAATCAATGGGTTCATTCAAAGCTCAATCTATGGTAACTTGAACCATTTTTTTTGGAAGTTCAGAAAATAAAATTGAGATTTTTTGTAGGACTTCGAGGTAGATATGTATTTGGCAATGGGTTGGTTTGATCGCCGACTTGCTCATAATTGTACACATCCTATTTTGGTCACTAATAAGGTTTGATTTTTTGGGAGATTTTCAATTGGAACTGAAGAATTTTCTCGATCCAGTTCTTAGGCTCCAACAAAAAAATATTTTTTTTCAGCATATTGCTGATCGAATGTGGTATCCCGATTTATATTTTGTTAATTCAAAATATGCATATTTGCAAGAAGTAACAACTCCAAATCTTCTTGTTGTTGTTTATCCCGATGGTTTAATTTTCAAATCAATGAGACTTGATGTCACATTATCTTGTATGATGGATCTGAAATATTTTCCATTGGATACTCAGGAATGTCCACTAACCATTCAATCTTGTAAGTTTTTGTAACTCTGAAGTTAGAGTGAAAATTGTATTATTTCAATAAAGGAAAATAAAGGGAGGTCCACGTGGATTTCTTTTAAATTTATTCTGTTTGGAAAATAAATCACATAACTTTCAGTTGCCTACATCGAACAAATTGTAAATGTGACATGGCGTGAAGATAATCCAAATTTTCCGATAACTTGGAATGCAGATATAAAGGTTAGTTGGTTTTTTTGTTTTCAAAAAACGTTCACATCTAAAAATTGACTTTTTTTTTGATTTACAGAAGGTAAAATTCCAAGTTCAGGCAAAAATAAGTTTATCAGATGTTTATCTTAACTTTATGGTTAGGAATGAAATATAATCGCATGAGATTTTTCTGAATTTGTACTTTATTCTTTACATACACTAATTTTCAGAAAAGTTTTATCCTCACTGTTTTTTGTTTTTTTTTAGAGAATGAAAAATATGATGAAAATCTGAATTATTCTTCTTAATCTATTTAATTTTCAGTTGAATGATATGGAACTTATGAGAAGTCGATATATAAAATGTCCAGGACCATATCCAATGTTTCGAGGAGAAGGAACATGGAGTTGTATAAGAGGATATATTATTATGAAACGTTTGGTACTTTTTCATATAATTCAAACATATATTCCAACTGCAATGTTAGTTTCAATTTCTTGGATGTCATTTTGGTTGGATCCTCGAGCAAGTCCAGCAAGAATATCACTTACAATTACAACACTTCTTACTTTAACTACAATGAGTAATGGTGCAAGACAAGATCTTCCCCAAGTGTCTTATATAAAAGCATTGGATGTTTGGCTAACTTTTTCGCAAGCATTGATTTTTTTGGTACTTTTGGAATATTCATTTGTTTCATATTATATGACTAAGAGAACATCAAATTGTCATCATCGATCACCATTTTATGAAGAAAGAATTCAAGAAGTTTCAAAAAGAGCAAATGATTCAAATGATTTGAAATGTAGAAAATCTCCCAAGTTAGCTCATTTGAATGAAGCAATGACAACTGATTTAAATCGAAATCCAACAAAAGCAAAATCATTTTCAATAACTCATGGAATATCAGCTTGTTTAAATGAAAGTGCTGCATTGGTATCAAGTGTGAATCCAAGAATGTTCAATAAATTTGATAATCATAATAAACCATGTGCAAGATGTGCAGAGAAAAATGAGAAAATTGCTTTTATGATTGATGAACGTGAGTTAAATTGTGAGTTAAAATTTTGATCGAAACATGGTTTTTTTGCAGATAGTCGATGGTTATTTCCAGCTGTTTTCACAATATTTTGTGGTTCATATTGGATATATTATTCAACTATTCCAAAATATGTTCAAACAAATTGAGTTTACGAACATTATTGTTTTATTTTTTCCTCATATTATTATTTTCAACCGTGATATTTTCTGTGTGTTTTCATTTTATTTATATTATAAAAAGTTTTATTATTGAATTTAATACTTTGAATGGAGGTCAAGGAATCAGGCTGTGTCCGATAAATGAATGTTCAGAAAATATTATATAAAAATCAAATTCAGAAAATTAACAAATTTTAGGTCCGGAAAACCAAACCTGGCCTGATTCCTCTCCTCCAATTCAACATTTTCCAAAGAATTTAACGTGGTTGGCATTCATCAATTCGATAAATTTTGTGAGCTGGTGCAAACCATGCTTGATATTCAACAATATCAGGTGTCGTATCATAATGATAATGTCCAGCGTCTCCGTGATTACTGTAGCAATGTGTATGTTCTAATCGAAGATTATGACCAGGATCGTAAGAATGAAGAACTGATGTACAAATTAAAGGAGCAGACATTTCAAAATATTTTATCCATTTCGATACTTCTTCTTCATCTTTGAACGGACATCCAGGAAAACCTGGCATGACGTGAAGTTTAGCTGATCCTTTTTCGATTATGAAAATACCAGCAAGAGATATTACTCTATAAAAAATTAATATTTTGAATCAAAGTTTCAATGGAAGAAACAAACTAACTTCTCCCCGAAATGATTTTGAATTGCATCTCGAATTGCAATTGTAAAATTCTTTTGTCCTTTTCTAATTGCAGCTTTAATATGAATAACAGGCTGAGTTCGATCATCAGCATCTGATAATGCCAAATTTGCCATTAAACTGAATTTCGGTTCATTTATTTGATTCATAACATAACCTTTTTTCGAGCTCTCATCAATTTTCGCAATCTTTGTTGAAGTTTTTCCTGTTTTCAAATTAACATCAGCAACCATTTCACAATTTACACCAACAATTGGCCATGGTCCAGCACCTGGTCCAAATATAGATGCTTTTGAATGTTCACATATTTCTCCAATTTTTTCAAAATCAAATTGATGATCAATATTGAAACCAGGATAAAGATTTCCTGGTCCACCAACTTCTGCGATTTTTAAATTTTTCGCAAAACCAGATGAAGTTAGATTGAATGGGGATTTTGAGAGATCAGGACATTCTGATATTTCAACATGAACATTTTCAAAGTTTTCTTGGAGACCAAATCGAATAACTGGAACAAGTTCCGAGAGACTTGGAATATAATTATCGATTATTGTTGACAATTTTGAAGAACAATCTGGCATTCTGGAGAAAAAACAACTATTTGATTGGAAATTGATTTTGAGAAAAAAGAAAAATATGAACAATTAAAAAAATAATGGCATCAATAATCTATATTATTTATTTGTATATATTTATATAGGAGAAAATGTGATACAGTCCTCCACATTGATTTTCTTAGCCTCACCCCCAAAATTTTCGAAAAATCGAAAATTTTATTTTTTCAGAAAAAGTTGGCATAGTCAAAATATGTCAAAAGGTGATACATAAATGTACCCTACTTCGGTGAATTTCAGATAAAAATGAGGCTCAAAAAAAAAGTTGACTTTTTTGAAAATTAGGTCATTTTCACTTTCCACATAATCTTAGCCTCACCCTAAAAAATTGCTGGAATTTCAGGTTTTTGGCTTGAAATGAGTTTGGATTGAGGCTGAAAATGATAGTTAAATCAATTTCAGATAGAATTGAGCTGTAATCAACCACTATTGATTGATTAACAGTGACTGAGAGCGCTGATAGTGTGAAGACTTCCATAAAAACAAGTTTTCAGTCGAAGTTGGTCCAAAATTCGATTATTTCGAGCTTAATTTTTAGAAAATTGGTAGAAAACACCTTTTTCAACATAATCTGTCAAATTCTGACCCGAATTGCAAAAAATTTTGAATTTTAGCTGATTTTTCGAAAATTTAAAAATTTTTTTGAACCAAAATTTTTGAGTTTCAGCCAAATTTCCGACATTTTTCTGAGTTTTCCAGTTGGATATTCTTGTTCAGGCAAGATACTGATCTCTTAACCATCTGAAATAAGCTTATTCTTCAATTAGGCGCTCTGAAATTGTGAGATATCGGTCATATCTGATCCAAAGTTTCAGATCAATTTTGAGAAAAACAGTTTATTCTTGTAATTTCTGAAAATTTCAGTTTATCAATGTGTGAAAATGGTTGAAAAACTGACAAAAACCAATAACTGACTTCAATTAAACAATTTGTGTCCAAATGTTCAACCAGGAAAGCTCCTCAATGTTGGGTTAAAAAATTTTCAAAAATTCATCAAAGTCAGGTTTCAGTCTTTCACCTGATTCTTACTCCATTTTTGAATTTCTGAGTGTCAGAATTCGAAAAATTATCAGAATTAACGTGTTTTCGTAGAATCAAGAATATCCAACTGGAAAACTCAGAAAAATGTCGGAAATTTGGCTGAAACTCAAAAATTTTAGTTCAAAAAAATTTTTTAAATTTTCGAAAAATCAGCTAAAATTCAAAATTTTTTGCAATTCGGGTCAGAATTTGACAGATTATGTTGAAAAAAGTGTTTTCTACCAATTTTCTAAAAATTAAGCTCGAAATAATCGAATTTTGGACCAACTTCGACTGAAAACTTGTTTTTATGGAAGTCTTCACACTATCAGCGCTCTCAGTCACTGTTAATCAATCAATAGTGGTTGATTACAGCTCAATTCTATCTGAAATTGATTTAACTATCATTTTCAGCCTCAATCCAAACTCATTTCAAGCCAAAAACCTGAAATTCCAGCAATTTTTTAGGGTGAGGCTAAGATTATGTGGAAAGTGAAAAGACCTATTTTTCAAAAAAAGTCAACTTTTTTTGAGCCTCATTTTTATCTGAAATTCGAAGTAGGGTACATTTATGTATCACCTTTTGACATATTTTGACTATGCCAACTTTTTCTGAAAAAATCAAATTTTCGATTTTTCGAAAATTTTGGGGGTGAGGCTAAGATTATGTGGAGGACTGTAGATAACATTGATTTTCTGCAGGTCACAAAAAAAGGATGAAGAAAACAATATGAACTGTGGTAAAAAAAAAAAAAAAAAAAAGTTTCTGCTAAGAAAACTGTCAGTATTCGACAACAATGGTGTGGCAAATGGCATAAATCAACAATGCGGGAATGTTATGACAATGCAAAAGGGAACTCCCGGTAACCAGCCGATGATAAGTATTTACTGGAGGCCCGCGCAAGGGGCGACTGGTCTAAAGTTCTCGGGCACGAAACAACCACCGGCATTTTACGTAATTTTGACACTTAACTTTTTTATCAAAAAATCATAATTAAAAAACTAAAAGTAGACGGTAGCGCTATCGGGCGTTTAATGACCGGTGTTAGGTAATGTAAGTAAGTAAAATAAAACAATTTCTAAAAAATTCTAAAATAAATAAGTAACTTCGTGTCTGAGGACCCAGTCGCTAGGTTACCTCAGGAGATATTGCTGGATTCATCGATCATCGACGACGACGAGGAGGAGGAGGTGAGGTTAGTTTGATTTTTGGGAGGTTTCTTTTCAGATGGGCCGGGGGTTTCTGGTGGGCACATAATCAATCATCATTGCGCCCTGGTATGACAATCGAATACAAAACGGACCTCTGGGATGAACCAGCCTAGGATCTGTTTTACGTGAGGCCCGGAAACGGAGCACTGTACACAAACTTCCCAGATACTTCATAATCCTTCGGGGTTATGATAAATTAAGGGTTGCTTGAGACAAAGTTGCTGGGAAGCTTCTTTTACACATGCTCTTGTCAATTCCTTTAAATCTATCCACCACGATCCGAAATATCAGGCGACATACGTTCCCTTTTCAACACTCGTAGTTTACTCTACTATTTTCCTCATCATCATCAACTTAACTTTTTTTTAAATATTTCATTTATCAAAAATTCAAAAAAAAAACTTACTTACACATTTTTTTAGTTTAACTTATTAGAAAAACCAAAAACCGATAGCGCTACCGGGCGTATGTCTGTTTGATGTGGCAGGATCGTATTAGGGGGTAAACTTTCAATATGTATGGAGTCCTTCTGGTCTACATATATGTTCAAACTTTACACCCAAATTTTCTACTAAATTTTGTTGGTGTCTGGGGTAATTGTTTGTGTACAGATTGCTAGGTGAACTAGAGGAATATGATGTTGCAAATCGACGATCGAGAAGGAGGAAAGTTTAATAGCAGAAGCCTTCGGTCCGGGAACGGGTTTCAGCTTTTCATAACAGATCGAAAGATTCGGAATTTGCCATCAGATCCGAATCTCCTCCGAGGATCTTTCACATGGGAAAGGGAGGGGGCCTTCTCAAAAGGTTGGCCTCACCGATGGCGAGAAGGTGTAACCCCATTTTGTATAGGCAAATTGGGGGCTAACAACCGTAGTTACCGCCTCTCCCTTTCAAGATTAGGTTTGGTAAGTTGGTCTTCTAACCTAGGATAGTTTGAGAAGATAGAATATTTGAAACAGTGAAGTATTTTTCCGCTTTCAAAAAAATTAGGACGGGGTGTTCTCACATCCCAAAAAATAATAAATGGGGGTTCAAATTTTTTGTTGTCGACGAAAAAAATCGAATTAAACTAGGTCACGTTTACGTATTTTTTTAATTTTAAATGTTTTCAAAAATTATAATGTGACCTAGTTAAAATCTACGAAATAAATAAATATTTTAATTTCACGTGTTCCATTTTCAATTAAAAACGGTTCATTTCTCTATTTTATTACTGTGAAGGCTCAACGTTTTTTGAAGTAAGTTATATACTAAAAAAATGTTCTAACTTAGAGTTTTTAAGGGTACTCTATACAGTACTGTAAAAATATAACAATATAGCTAATCCAAATATTTTGAGTAAACACTTTTGTACTTTGCAAATCATTCCGAAAATCATTTTTTGTTCCAAGCCAAGTTGCTCATTGAAATTATGTCATTAATTTCTTGATTTTAGTCAAATGACTCCATCTTAATTTCGAAGATCACAGCCCCCTCAATTTATTTTTAGAAACGTTTTAATTTATTATCTGAACTTTTAAAAACGCGGAGTTTTTATCAGTCAATAATTATTCTCTGTGTTTATCAATTTACGTAATTAGTATACTTTTTCGATTCTAAAAATCGGAAACGAGGATTAGAAAAACGAGAAAATAATTTTGCTTTGCTCTAGTTTATGACAATGATTTTTTGATCATGGAAGAAAAAATGGTTTATCAAAGTTTTTTAAATCAATGACCTCGTGAAAAATAATCCGATTTGTTTTTCATAGAAAAAAAGCTGAAATTTTCAAAGAAAAAACAATAAATATTACTGCTAAAATGTACAAAAATGAGATTTGTAAACATGTGAACCCAACCCAAGTATGTTTCCAAAGAACATGTTAAACAACATAGAAAGGTGATAATTTGTCCGAGACATGTAAAACTAAAAAACATGCAAGATTTTATGGTTTTTCGAAGAAAAAAATGTACCGAAACGGAAATTTGGGGAATTTTTTGTAGATAAAAGAGCAACATATTCCCGTATATAAAAAGAAGCTTAAAGTAATTAAAATTATTTACGTTAATAAAACTTTGATTTTTTTTTCATTTTCAATTTTCGCAATCAATCAGTTCCAAACAAAAAATTAAAATTTTTATGATTTTGTTTTTTTTTGTATATTTAATATTCGATGGTTGAATGATGTCAGTACAAAAACAACCTTCCACAAAAATAGATAATTTTGAGCAATTTAATATTTTTTCACTTTCTGTTTTTAATAATTTCATCTTCTATTTGTTAAAAATCTTTGTGACCTTTTTATGAACTATCAAAAAAATTTTGCAGTTTTGATCAAGCAAATAAAAAAGTAAGGATAGGTGTGAACTTTTTGTCTTATCTTATTGAAGCTTCAGATTTTATTAGTTTTGTTGCTCAAAATAGAAAAAAATGGAGAGAACACAAAAATTAAATGGTCGTGTAGTTTGATTATGAAAATTATTTTTTTTTCGATAAGTAGGGAAATTTGGGGGGAAATTTCGGGATTATTTTTAAAATTCAGATTATATCTGATCGACAAAATAAATTTTGGAACATGGAAATTTTTCTGAAATACTAACTACTGATTTTGAAAATAACTGAAATATTCTAAAAAAAAATCTGTGATTTTCATTTTTTTTTTCAAATAATTTCGATTCCGATCTTTAATGTTGATTTTTTGGATTATTTTTCATAAATCTGATCTTTTTAGTTTCGAAATAGTTATGTTTTCTCCAATCATTTCAAAACTCATTATTTTCACTTCTATAATTTTTCATCGGAAAACCACGAGTTTCTTTGTCAATCGAAAGAACCGAAAAAACCAGACTCCGCCCCTTTTTTGCTCAAAAAGCTATGAATTCAAAACGATAAGACAAATATTTCGCGTAGTCTATTTAACCGATTGTCCATCTCTGATATTGAATAATAATATTATATCATTCTCAGAAAATGGATATAATACTTGATGACAGTATACTAACAACAACTCTTGGTGCAATTTTCAATTTGCAAGATTTTCGAGTAAGTATCTGTTCATGGTAGAATAGTTTATCATCATCTTAATTTCCAAATTTTTCAGAATGCTTTCTTGTGGGCTCTTATTGTTGGAATATGTTTGGCGTTTTTGTTGGGTTTTGGAATGGGAGCAAATGACGTGTCAAATGCATTTGGAACATCAGTTGGAAGTGGAGCATTAACATTAATACAAGCCTATATTTTGGCAACTATTTTTGAAACTCTGGGTTCTGTTTTAGTGGGTGAGTGACATATACAAAAATAGGAAAAAACCCGATTCTCGGCTTGAAAATAAAAATAAAATATTCTAGGTTATAATGTAATTGATACGATGCGAAAAGGAGTGGTTGATGTCGCTGTCTACAATAATTCAGCAGCCGAGTTTATGTTAGGACAAGTTGCAACACTTGGTGGATGTGCCACGTGGCTTATGATTGCCACATTTTTACATCTTTCCAGTTTCAACAACTCATGCAGTTGTTGGAGCAACTTTGGGATTCTCGTTGACTTGTAAAGGAACTCAAGGAATTCAATGGATGGTTGTTGTAAAAATTAGTGAGTTTTTTCTGATAATTGAAAAATAAAAGAAAATTAATCGATTATTTCAGTTGCTTCTTGGTTCATTTCCCCCGTTTTTGCTGGAACTCTTTCACTTCTCTTGTATATTTTTGTAGATCATGTTATTCTGAGAACAGTGAGTTTTTGTTTACCTTAACCGGTCACTGAGAAACCTTATCGGCTCAAATAGATAAGCGTTTTCTTCAATATTTTCCTCGGGAACTACATGATTTCTTTGTCTTGGACACAACTAATCCTTTCCGTTTTTCTTCCAGTCGGATCCTGTCAAAAATGGATTATTCTGGCTTCCAGTCTTCTATTTTGTTTGCCTTGTTTTCAACACTTTCATGATTTCTTATCAAGGATCCAGAGTTCTTCATCTTTCAACAGTTCCACTTTGGATTGCGATCGTTTTGAGTTTGGCTTGTTGGAGTTATTGCAGCAGCTGTTTGTCATTTCTTGATTGTTCCAAGAATTCGAAGATTTGTCAACAGTTAGTCTCACTATTTTTTGTTTTTATCTTCAAAATTGTGTTCCTTTCAGAAAACAAAACCGATCGGGAAAATCGAGTATCATCAATTGTGATATCAGTCACTGAAAATGAAGAAAAAGACAAAATAACAGTTCGAACTGGAACTACTTCATCTTCTTCCGATCAATATGGAAGTGTACATCGACCAAATACAACACTTGCACAACATCCATCGAAAATCAAATCATTCATTACTTGGTTGTTCCCGGATAAAACTCAAGTTGAAAGTGAAGATACCTTGCGAATGTTCAGCTCAGTTCAAACATTGACTGCTTGTTTTGCCGGTTTTGCACACGGTGCTAATGATGTTTGGTAAGTATTTGGAAACATCCTTTTTGAGTTGGAAGTAAAATTTACCTCGTTTAAGAATTTGTATATTAGTTTTCTTTTTCGTGCAGAATTAATAAATCAAAAAAGAAGAAAAATTCCATTTTTATCAGTGATTTACGAATTGATTAGTTCTTGTTCGCTGATAAAATGAAAGAAAAAGTACCCGGAAAGAGCTCGGAATGAACTCGTCTTTGAAAGATCGACAACAAAAAATCAATGTTTTTCAGTAATGCAATTGCTCCACTTGTTGCTCTTATTGCAATTTATCGAGATTATGATGTTTATCAGAAAAAAGAAACACCACTCTATGTTCTTTTATACGGAGTTTTGGCAATTTGTGTTGGTCTTTGGTGTCTTGGACACAAAGTTATTCGAACTGTTGGAACAAAAATGTCGGAAGTCAATCCAGCATCTGGTTTTTGTATTGAATTCGGTGCAGCTGTTACAGCTCTTCTTGCTTCAAAATTAGGTCTACCAATTTCAACAACACATTGTTTAGTTGGTGCTGTTGTAACTGTTGGTTCAGTTCGATCAGGAAAAGGTATCGAATGGGGACTTTTCCGAAATGTTGCACTTTCTTGGGTTGTAACACTTCCAGTTGCTGGAGGTTTTGCTGCTTTATATATGTGGCTACTCAAGTTTACAATTCCAATACAATACCGGTAGTTTTTAATTTCACATCAAGTTGTTTGTTATTTACTGTTTATACATATGATCTTCTACATATAAAAAATACTTATAATAAATTGATTAAATTGATTTTTGAAAAATTATGAATTAGATTCCCGTAAAAATAACAAGTAGAAAGGAAAGGAATGTTTTAAAAAAACATTCCATTGAAATCCTCACCAAAAATACCTATGAAAGATCTTCAGCATATTCCGAATTCCAATCTCTATCAAAAACATTTTGTAGCCGTTTCACAGCTTCTTCTTGTTTTATAACCATTGCAACACCAGCAGTTGAAATAAAATAATCACCAGCCCAATTTGATGTACCTTTAAAAAAAGAATGAATTATAGGAAAACAATAGATTGAGAGAAAAACATACCAATATAAGAAATCGATTCAGTCACCATATATTTGGCATGATTTACGCGAGAAAATGGAATCTTCTGTTGTTCGGCGTCGGCAGGAACTGTGAATATTTTCTTGAAAAACAATTTTTTTAGAAATTCATTCATACTTTTTTTCCAAGAAAAAACTAACCACTTTAATTTTTCCTTGTTTTTCTCCTCTTTTTGGCATTCCATCATTAATTGCTTCTAAACTCTTCAAATATGCAATCATTTCTTTTCTCGAATGATTCCAATGAGAAATCAACATTCGAACTTCGACACCTCGATAAGCAGCGCCACGAATTGAATCATCAATTTCAGACCAATATCTATTCGGTTCTTTTTTCATATAAATTGTTGCTGGAATATAATCCATAACACTAATGCAAATTGTTGAATTTGAGTTTGCCATTATTTTTTGAATTGCTTTCAAATCATGTTCTCGATTTTTTGGATTAAATTCGGCTGGTGAACTCTGGAAAAAATTTTCTTGGAAAACGTCTACAAAAAAATGTACACTTCCACTCACCGAGATGAAAAATTCAGCTGGTTTGTCATTCAATGGCAAATTTCCCATATGTGAAAAATTGAAAGGAGTTCGATATGAAATTGGCCATTTATCCGGTACTCTCGCATCTTTTTCGCCCAATTTCCAATAAGCCGCAAAAATCTTATATAAATCACCAGCCACACACGGACAATTTGTAACAACAATTCCAACTTCTTTTACTTCACTTAACGATTTCCAATCCATATTTGCACTTCCAATATAAACTGTCGAAATATCAGAAATCATGAATTTTGTATGTATAATTCCAGATTTTATTAGTTTCGTCACATTAATTTCTCGAAGTTCAGCTAAACCTTGATCAACAAGATATTTCGATTCTAAATTATCCGATAAATTCGAACTACCATCTTGTGCAATTCTTATTTTTACACCTCGTTTTCCAGCACGAATTAGAGCCTAAAATTTAGATTTGTAGTAGATATTTGTATTTCTGAGAATGTGAATGTGAAAGGACATTTTTTCATTATAAACTCACCTGATAAACAAGTTTTCCATGAATCGCAGTTTTATAATCCGAACTATTCAAATTCCAGTACATAACAGAAATATCTAAAAATCGTTTTGTGTTATCAATTAATTGAATCCATGCATCAGCTGTTGAATTTTGAGTTGGAAATGGAACTCCAGTCGGAATTGATTCAATTAAATATGATTTGCAATGTTTTGAACAAGCCGTTGTTAATTTAATTGGAGAAGCCAGATCTTCTTCATTAAAAAGTGGAAGAAAAACAAGAGCAATAATAAGTAGTGAGATTATACTAATCGGAACACAAGCTGGTTTTTATTATACGATTTCGCGAGTTTCTGAAATCAACATTTATTGTTGGGATTTTCTAATCAAACATTTTTGGAAATTGAATTTTCTGAAGAAAACACTTACCCGCAATTACAACACTTCGAATTTTCTTCCGAACTTCTTTCTAATTTCGGTATATTTATCCGCGTATCAAAGAGATCCATTTCAAAATTGGTCATGTCAGCCCGACCATCATGAGTCTGAAAATATTTATATTTTAATTAGAAATGAATTCACTGTGTATAATTTACCACTTCAAAGGACTAGTTTCTGAAAATTTTTGAATTTTTCGTGGTAGATAATTTTTAAAAATTGAAACTTTTTCTTAATTCTTTGGATTTTTCTTTAAAACTTTGTTTCAAAACTTTCTCATAAAACATCAAATTATTGAATTGATCCCGTCCCAAATATTTGCAAACCTCCCCAATAGGAATCATCTCCTTGCAATCGGCGGCAAAAACGCGAAAATGGAATTTCGGCCGAATTTTGATAGGATTTATCACAGAGGAACGCTCACTCGCCAAAAAATGTATAGAAATATTCGAAAAAATGTGAGCTACGTAGGAAAAGGAGATATTCGTGTTCGGTCGTCAAAGCGACAAACGGAAAGACGAAGAAAAAAACAAAAACGGCTTAGCTTTTCCTAGTCAACGCCTATCAGAAGAAAAAATATATGGAAGAAAAAAAAAAGAAAAGCAGCAGTTAATCGATCTCGGAAGCAAAGAAATATTTTATTGGTTTTTTATGAAAAAGTTGTTTCTTTTTTTTTGGGTAAAATAGTTTGTTGACTTTTGCATTTGCTAAATTGAAAAAAAAGATGTATTTCCGGGATCATTTTTGCATTTTTTGAATAAGGATTAGGTGAACTAATGCTTTTATATAAAAAGACTTATTTGAACTTTGTAATTCACCAGATTCTGATTTTCAATGAAAAATAAACTTACAATCAAAACTTCAGTTGATTGAGATTTAGAATTTCTATTGATTTGTCTTCGCAAAAATTCAACAAAAAGCATTTTCACGAATATTTTTCTAGAATGATTACACAGTTTAATTAAATTTTTAGTAGAGCGGAAAAAACAATTGTAATCAAAAAAGCTCGCCGAAATTAAATTAAAACTCACGAGGATATTGCAGACCAGAATTTTGAAAAGTTTTGTTTTGAGGCGAAAACAGATTTGTGTACCAAAAGAAAAATTTTATAAAGTGTGGGAAAATCTGGTACTAATAATTGGATCGGAAATTGTGATAAATTTGTTTTTATTATTTCAATTCTTACTTTTGAAAAAATCTTGATAAAAATTGATTTTCAACTAAAAAAAATCACTCACCTCCATCCCGTTTCCTCGAATTTTAACCATAAATTATGCTAAAAATATTTGAAATATAAAAAACCTTGAAATTTTCAAAATATAAAGTCTGGGCTCACAACACAACAAACAGAGGGAAAAAGATGAGAAAAAACGAGAGAGTATTTTATAATATATATTTTCATTTCAAGATAAAGATAAATAAAACAATGAAAAAGTTTGAAAAATGTGAGTAACACTTCAAAAACTTTGATGTTTCATATTTTTGCAATTCTATAATGGGACAGGAGAAAAAGAATGGGAAAATAGGACAGAAGTACAAAAATGCAAAACAAAACAATACAAATAAATTATTTAACAATACTTTTTTAGATTAGAATTTGGAAAATACAAGGTGCAGGATAGTCTTCGGGCCAGGCCAACTTTGGCAAAAAAACAGAAACAGGATGAAAAATTCCAGAGATATTCAATATCATTCAGAATGATATTATATTAAAATGAAAAAAAAACGGGAAATTGAGATTTTGTGGAACAAAAATGGAAAAGGCAATTCATGAATTATTCTTCAGCATCTTCAGCGGCTGCAGCTGCTGCAGCAGCTTCTCGTTGTCGTGGTGGAATTGGACCATCTGTCTTTCGTTTTTTAGGAGAAACCTGAAACAATGGAGAATCAGTACTTTTTTAAAACAACCGTGAACCTCGAGGAAACTTTAATTTCAGGAATATCTTCAAAAAAATGAGTATATTCGTTTTAATAAACTGTTGGGGAAAATTAAAATATAAACTAAAATTTTTCTATAACAAAAAAAATAATTTTTTTGAAAATAAACTATTTATTTTCAATTCAAAAAATCCCCAAAACAATAAACATACCTCTGCATCGCTATTACCATCATCATATTCAACCTCATCTTCATTTGCATCGTCAGATTCTGCATATTTTGCTGTTCTCTTTGATGCTCTTGATGGTCTTCCAGCTCCTTTTGCTGGTGTACCTTTTGCAGTTTTCTTTCCACCCTTTTTCTTCTTTCCAAAATCAACATCATCGTCATCTGATGGTGCATCATCCGAATCTGATACATATTTCTTGGCTTTTGCTGCTTGCTTCTTTTTGAAAAGTTTTCCTGGAATTTCATCGTCTACTTCAGCTAAAACAGTGCTAGTGTCATTGTTGGCATAATCAACTCTAGTTGATGTTGATCTTCGTGGTCTGGTTGAAGCGACTGAATCCGCTGCTTCAACAACTGTTTTTGTTCTTGGTTTTCTGTTTGATGGAGTTCCTGTAGCAGCCGCTGGTGGTCTTCCGGCTGATGTTGCTCCTCTACCTCTTCCTCGTCCTGTAGAAATTATTTTTTTATTTTAAATTTCACATATTAACACCCGGTCAAGCCACACAATGAGTGTTTTCTACTTTTTTCTAGCCACATAATGAGTGTTTTTCTATGCAGCTGCTAACTTTCTCGCGGAATCTTAAAAATAGGAAAAGTAGGGAGTCACCTAGATGCGCTGATTTTCATGCTATATCTAGTTTTTCATGAAACGACCTATGTTTTTATCAACTTGGGTGCTCCGTTTTGATCAGAATTTTGCTAATTTTTGTATTGCTTGAGCGGATGTGTATTGTCAAAAACAATTACCTCTGCCTCTGCCTCGGCCACGTCCTGATGGTGTTGCTACTGGAGCTACTGAAGTGTCAGCTTCTGGATCAGCAGCTTCCTCTCCAGCTTCTTCATCAATTTCCATTTTGCTCTCTGGTTCTTCTGATTTTTCTGCTTCTTTTTCTTCTGCTGCTGGAGCTTCAGCTGCAGCTTCTGGTTCTGGCTCAGCTGCAACTGGTGCTGCTTTTTCTTCTTCTACTTTAGGAGCTTCCTCGGCAGCAGCTGGAACTTCTGGTTCAGCGACAGCTGGCTCTACTGCGGCTACCTTTGGTTCTTCTACAGTTTCAGCTTTCTCAGCAACGACTTCAGCTGTAGGTTCTTCAGCTGGCTGTGCGGCAGCTTCTGGCTCAGCGGCTGGCTCAGCGGCTGGAGCAGCAGGAGCTTCTTCTGCTGGTTGTTCTGGCTCCGCTTGTTTCGGTGGTTCTTCTCCAGCTGGATTATTTGGTGGAATAACAACTTCGTTGCCATTTTGTGCGGCTGCTTCGGCGACTGGAATTTTTTATTAAAGTGTTTGTTAATTCAAGTTTTTTTTTATTTTCGACATAAATATCTGTATTGAGAGACACCACTCTATCGGGATTTTATCGAAAAGATAGAAAACCCAACAGGAATGAAAAAACACGAAATGAATAACGTCAAATGTTCCTATGACATTATTACGCCAACGCCAAAACAATGATTTTTAAAATGTTTATTTTTCAAAATACTAACCTGGTCCGTCTCCGCCAGCGGATTTCTCCGGAAGAGCAGCTTCGACTTTCGAAATGTCTGATATTACTGGAGCTTCGTCCGACATTTTGCTGAAAAAATAAAACGCGTAAACAATGGAATAAACAACAACAAAAATAAACAATTAAAGAAACGAAGAAAAATCATTAACTGTGGTATTGAAAAATTCAATTTCTCGAACGACAAATTTGAAAATTTTAATTTTGAAAAATCATTTTTGTTTACATGGAAACAGTGAAAAAAAACAAACAAAATCGTTTTCGACTCGAAAATTTGTTTTCGCGGGACGCTAAAGGGTACGCGACGCACAACAAACGCGTCGCGTGCCTGAGTATCGACTCATCCCATTGTTCAGTGGATACACAGCCAGAATTTATTGGTCGGTTTTTTTCATCACAAACATTTTTCGTCTGTTTGTTTCGAAAAACTTAAACAACTCGTAGATTTATTGATTGAAATATAGATAGAAATGGCACCATTATTCACGGATTTTCGAAAAATAAGAAAAAGGATGAAGAGGACCTTGAATTATGGATCGAAACAACCGGCCAATCTGAATTTCCCACTTTCTGGTTAGTTTGATATTTATTTAAATGTATTCATAATGTTACTGAATGATGTATTGTTATAGAACTTGTTGTTGAATACTTTGACAAAAAATGCACATTCGATTATATGGAGCCCGAAACCTCTACTTCGATTTCTAAAAATGGATATGCTGACCCTTGTTCACTCGTTGTTGCACTTGTTTATTTGGACCGCCTCAGATGTCAAAACAAGGTAGTTCACTATCTAAAATGTCATTTTTATTATTTTTTCATTTCAGAACTACTTTGAATCGACTGATCCAACCGCTTTATACATCCCAGCTCTTGTTCTTGCTTCGAAATATTTACATGATGCGGATACTTATGACAGAGTTTCGAATTCAGAATGGGCCGAATCGTTGAAAATCAATGCAGATGAACTGAATGAAAATGAATGGAGTTTTGTGAAAAATCTCGATTGGAATGTCTCTGTGAAAAACGAAGACTTCGAAATTTATTTGAATAATATGGAAAAATGGGTGGCAAACTCGTTTCTGAAAAAGAATGATTTCGTTACTTATAACGAATTGGACATTTTGGTAAGTTTCAAGAAACAAAAATTTTCATAAATAATTGCTTATTTTTCAGTCCTCTGCAGTTCCAATATACGATTTAATCCGTCAGTTGGCCGAAATCTTCAGCTCAGTTTCACTTATGTATTGTCTCACTCTTGCTCTTCTTTCAACTACAATTCAAAAAGTCCACTTCCAACAACAACCGACTGAAATAATCGAAGGACTTGTGGTGAAAAATCAAACTCTTGAGTTTCCGAAGTTTGATTTTGGCAATCTTTCACCGTCGATTTGGAATATTGGAAAAACTAAAAACCGAAGCACTGAAACCAATCTTCTTTGTGAAAAGCAAATGGAAAGTGGATTCGACTTTGATATCGAAAAGTCGTGCAGAAATAATATTGAACATCATTTTGCCTCAACTGTTTTCATCAAATAATTGTTGGGATTAATTTTTCAAACTCTTGGAACATTTAGATTCATAGATTTGTGAATCTGTAAAACAAGAACGATTCTTGATTCTGGCTTCTACCGAATCACATGTTTAAAATCTAAATGTTTCCATATCAGCTTCTCTTTTCATCATATCCTCTTTACTTCTTTTTTTCTAATAATCCTTTCATTTTTCGTCCCACCAAAGTGCCTAATAGTTTTGTGAATACTATGTAGAAATCTATCCGTTTATATTTCCTTCTTCATTTTTTTCTATGCAGGTTGTGTGATTTTATTGTAAAATCAAAAAAAGAAGTCTAATAAATGAATTGTACAAGAACGAGAAGCTTTAGACATTTTTTTCAAATTTTAAACCGATTTGTTATCGACCGTTTTACTCAAATAATTATTATAATAAGAATAATAATTTGATTAAAAATGATAAGAGTCATTGACACTCGGCGGAGTTTTTTGTGTGCTCCGAGAAAAAAATTTGAGGAAATTATCGATTAGCATATTTTTTATTTATGTTTTTATTTTAAATGGGTTTCAAATTTAAATTTCAATTGCTATTTTTCTCGTTTTTATTATCGATTTGGTTTTTGTCGTCGGGTGCACAATTTTGTGGTAAGTTTTGAAAAAATAGGAAATGTTACTACGGCTTGAAAAAATCCACATAGAAATAAGGCCCACAATACAAAAACCAGCCTCATTTTTTCATAGATGAGTTTGAAGAAAATTTCGCTTGAACTGGCATATCCTGATGTTCTCTCATCAATAAAATTTGTCTCTATTTCAATTATCAATTCCAGCCTCGGATGGTAGCGATGAACCTCCAATAACTGATCCAAACTACATGTGTAACGAAAAAAACTTTTCTGAAATATTCCATCCTCCACAACTTCACAACACTTCAGATGAATATGTTTGTTTTTATCAAATTCAGAAAATCAATTTGTTTATCTTATAAGTTTTCAGCCAATCCATTACTGTGATATGGTATTTCTTTTGGATTTGGATAAAACACTGACTTCGGAAGAAAATTATAGCCAAGTAATACAATTTATCAGCGACGCAATGACAACTTGTATGAATCGAGGGATTGGTTATAAAATATTAGCGTGGCCAATGTTCAATGATGTGAGTTTCTTAATTTTAAGTTTACAAGGCACACACGTTTGAAAAAGAAGAAAATTGTGCAATTTTCATCGCGCAGCCGACAAAAACGGTGCAACGCCTAGCGGTTTAATTACCCCCACTTCATCAAAAACAAAAAACATAGCGAAAATCAGCGTATCGAGATCTGTGCGAATGACTTTATTTGGAATTTTTAGGGGTCCTGGGAAGAAAGTTAGCCTCCGCTGCGAGACCATTTCAAACTAGAAACACACGCGCCTTTGAAACCGTACCTCTTTTTTCACAAGAAAAAAAAATAAAGAGTGTGGCAAACGAGGAGAGTGCGAGAGATGTGTGAGAACAAAATGTGTGCAAACACCTGTCTGCAAACACCGTTGTCGCCGCTTACCATGACTCTTCATTGCATGGGAAAAACGTGTGTATATAAGGGAACCTAAATATAAGGGAACCTAATGTTGGAAAGTGTTACTGTAGGTGACTGAAATCTGAGAAATTGTCTTTTTTGATAAATTCTTCTACTGTTTCCAAAACGTTTTTATTTTTTCTACGAAAAATCATCAGTTTTTCTTCCGTGGTCACAAAAAAGAAGTCACATTATATATTTTGAGAAATTTGTCTGATAACAATATATTTGTATTTTAATACAGTAATCCGTTTCAGTGAAAAACACTATTATTTGCAGACACAAGAAACAGTTTGCTGTGAACAATCAATTTGCTATCAACTTTTTGGTTTTATGAATTATCGAGATTATGTTGGAAATTATGATAGTTTTGATCCAATTCAACCAGTCACTGCAAAATTCAATTTTTCTTATACACTTATTGATGATGTAAGTAATTTTATTTGTGTGAAAAATTCAATTATGAAAATATCGGTTAAATTCAGATGAAAAAAATTGGAACTCCACAATCAGCATGTTTATATAATAATTATGTTTTGATAACAAATCGGCTATTCAACATGTCGAATGACAATGATGTTATTGGAGTGAGTCATAGATAAATTATATTCAAAAACAAAAAATACGTTATCTTCTACGTGCCAAATTTAGAAATTTTTCATTTTCATTTTCAAAATATAAATTTGAACTTTATTTTTTTCGAATACCACACCTTTATTTTTAAATTTTTCGTGGTCAAAAATCGGATTATTTGTGAAAAATGTGTAGTTTATCAGTTGGTGTTGTTCTATAAGTTCCCCCTTCGAAAAAATGAAGGTTACTGTAATAATTTTGTGTTTCAATAAAATATTTCAGGAATTGGAAGAAATTGAAGGAGTTGGTTGTATTACTCTAACTATAATTGCTGTTGGAAATGATCAAATTGATACAAAAATGATGTTTGATGCTTATAGTTCAGTAACTCTCAATACATTTGTTGTTCCAAGTTTCAATTGTTTGGATAACTTGAAAGATTGTATAAAACCGTGTGGAACTCGAGGATCAGAAGATTGTTATAATCAAGAATTGGATGAATGCGCATTGCCAACATCAACAGAACCTCCAACAACGACAACTGCAACTACAACACCAAAACCAACACCAAATCCAGATTTTTATAATGATTGGCAGATTATTTATTTGTTTGCTATTTCAAATCGAACAACACAAACACAATTTAATAATCTTGTCAAATATATTTCGGATCCTCTCAAAGAATGTGGAAATACAAAAATGGTCATTAGATTTTTGGCAAGAAATCAATCAGATTCTGGTTGGATAACTGATATGAATAAAGCTGGACCATATTTAAAACAATTAAAATATGATGAAGTTCTTATAAATGGAAGTGAGTAGAGTTTTGATACATTTAAAGATTAATCTTTGAAGTTTTTTTTAGATGATCAATTCTTAAATGGAAATGATAATGTGACTCTGGAATTAGTTGCTGAAGCTGTTTCAATTCCTGTTTCTTACAATGATGATGGATCAGTTCATCCGCCGAGAATCACTTTATTAACTGATTTTGTTTCACAAGTAGGTTTGTCTCAATAACTTTTTTGAAAGATCCTTTTTTTATTAACAAAATACAATACTATAACCTACAGTATTCCAGCCATTCATAAATGTTTTCACAACTGATCTTCTTCCTGATCTCGAATATTATGATTTCAATATAATTTGTTTTACACAAGATTCATATGATGGATATAAAGCTCAATTGAAAATAAAAGCATTTCAAATCACAAGTGATGCAGGTTATGGAGATTCAAAAGAACTCAAATTATGTCAACAAAAATCGAATGTAACAACAATCATGTTCATTATAATTGGATGTTGTTCAGGTGCAATGCTATTGCTCATTTTATTAACAGTTTTATATCGACAAAAATATATGTGGATGCGCAAATTGAAACGTTTTAAAACTTCACATATTGAAGATCAAGATGATTTGGATATGTGAGTGAAATTTCGAAAGGATTTTGAATAATTAAAAAATTTCAGAATTGATCATTGGGAACTTTCCCGTGATCGTCTTGTTGTCAAAAATGAAAAACTTGGTCACGGTGCTTATGGTCATGTTTTTAAGGGAAAAATTGTTGGAATTCCACCAGCTATTCAAAAATATTATCGAACTGAGATGGATGCGTTTGTTGATTGTGATTGTGCTGTCAAAATGTTACCAAATTATGCAACTGAAGCTGCAAAACAAGAATTTAAACATGAAATTGAATTGGTCAGTTAGAAATAGGAAACATTATTTTGTAAAACTAGCGAGGTTACTGTACATGTAAAAGAAGAAGCACTAAATTCTCAGCATTTTTTTGTTGGAAGTATTTCGAATCATGATGCTCAGAAAGTTTTCTTTTTTTTGGCTCTTTATCTTTTAAAAATCGCAATTCTAGTCTATAGTCATAAAAAGCACAGAAATTAATTTTTATAATTTTTCGGTTTTTTTTCAGATGAAACAAATCGAATTTAATGAACATATTGTGAATATGTTGGGATGTGTTACAACTTCAAATAAATCCTGTTTGGTTTTAGAATATTGTTCACAGCGAGATTTATTAAAATATGTGAAGAAAAAGAAATCAGATCTTGAAATTGTGAGTTTCTTCCCGATATTTTCCAAGTTAAACTCCGCAATATTCAGAGTCGAAGTGCTGATGAAGATTTCGATACTCACAAAGAGTTTCTAAATTTTTCGTGGCAAATATCTCAAGGAATGAGATTTCTCGTGGAAAAGAAAATAGTTCATCGAGATCTCGCAGCTAGAAATATTCTGATAAGTGATTTCAATGGAATTAAATCAGCAAAAGTTAGCGATTTTGGATTGGCATTGACTATTTCACAAATTTTGGAAGAAGGTGAAAGTATTGGATCAGATAGACTTCCGATTAAATGGCTCGCTTTGGAATGTTTGGAAAAACGAGAATTTTCTCATAAAAGTGATATTTGGTCATTTGGAATTGTACTTTTTGAAATGTATTCGTATGGTTTGGTTCCTTTTGCTGATGTTGAACCAAATCAATTAATTGAGCATTTGAAAAATGGAAATCGACCGAAAGCACCATTATTAACCACGGAAAAAGTGTTAGTTCTATTTTATATGAATGAAAACCAAAAATGAAAATTTGGAATTTCAGAACTGAAATAATGGATAAATGTTGGAATGAAAAACCAATGTTACGACCTGATTTTGATGAATTATCAGCAATGTTTGCCACACAATTAGAGCAGGTAGATTTTGGCCATAAAAAAAGAAATTGAGAAGTTTCCATCCGAAAAAACTCATATGGAAATTTCTTAGACCTTCGAAGGACCCTGATTTCCATTAAAAATTGAACATTTGAAATTTTTCAGGCAGCTGAAGGATATGGTTATTTGGAACTAGTTCGAACAAATGATTATCGAGTTCTTCCACCAGAAACTGCCAAAAAAGAAGAAAATCATGTATCATTAAGTGAATCAAGAAATCGATCAGTTACAATGAAAACAAGAAAAAAGGATTCGATAACACTTGGAAGAGATTATAGTTTGACAATGGAAGATAATGAAAAAGGTATGACTCATTATTATTTGGGTTACTGTATTTTTTTTGCATTTATCTTCAGAACCATCTGGTATTCCACGTCTTCCATCAGATTCACCAGAAAAAGAAAAAACAACGGGCAAGCGAAAATCATATTTGAATTTGATACCAAATTTGAATGCGATAAATCCATTTTCAAAAGAAAATGAATTCAAAAAAACAATCAAAAAGAAGTTTTATTCAAGAAGAGGAAGTGTGCCATATTAATTAAATTAATTAATTTTTGAACATGAAACTATAATTTCTCAGGAACAAATCTATTTCCCGGATGACAATATCTCATATAACAATACGTGTTAAAATTGTATATAAGTTTTTTTTGTAATAAATTATTTTATATTTGAATAGTTCTTTCAACAATTGAATTTATTTTTGGTGTAGATGTTTTGAAAAATCTAAGAATTTCTCGAACTTTTTCCATAAAATGGCTATTACTTGCAATCATAACAATTGTTGAAACCATTGAATGAGTTGATATTAAAATCATTGTATCAGTTGCTAATTCTGAAAAATTTTGAGGATCAGAATTAAAATATTTTTTCATAGATAACATAAATACCTTGATATTCAACATAATTATTCAAAATTACTGTAAATATAATAATAAGTGGAATACCAACACAACTAAAGGGTATAAAACATTGCAAAACAAGAGTAACTAGAGCAGTTTTGTGAAGTTTGAAAGTCGAAACAGACATGAATTTACGCATTTTTTGAAGGATGTAAATTGTATGACCAGAGAGGAAAATACCGAATCTGAATGGAAAAAAAATAAAAAATCTCTACTATAAAAATGTAGCTAAAGTTAAAAATTTACACCCCAAGAGCTCTTTTTTCCAATTTTATCTTTCAAAAAACCCACAGAGTGTAATTTACTACCCGAAAAAATTCGCGCATTTTTTGAGACCTGACACGATCTTAGGGGTGGGACTAAAATCGACGAAATTCGATGCGAAAATGAGAGATTTAAAGAAAAATGATTTTTGATCTACCCAAAAATTAATGAAAATTTTGAGGTCTAGCGATTTGAGGTAGTAAATTACACCCTGTGAAACTCCTACATTGCGAATATAAAAATAAACAAAGGAGGTAACATTCCAGCAATAATTAACCATAAATTATTTTCATATTCATACACAATTGATCCAGGAATATCCAAAATATGTAAACATTTTGGAAATTTTTGGAGAAGAATCAAATATTGTTGATGTTTTGAAAGATTTCCATTGTGAAAACAACCAGCAACTAAAAATGGAAAACAATGAGCCAGAAAACTCATAAAATAATTGATTGATTTTGGAACTTTTAATCTGGGTGATAAATCAGATGCAGCATCATTTCGAAATTGAAAACAACTAATAAGTGCTGGAAGTTCGAAACAGAAAAAGAAGAAATAAAATTGTGTGCTATATTCTGGTGGGAAAAGATTGACTGTAATTGATGATGAATTAAATCCGCCAAGCATTGGAAAATAATAATAACCAGGAGCAATGAGTGACATATACACTTCAACACACATTGTTGTTATAAGAAAATATAATTGACATAAACGATATTTTGATTTATTTATTTTTGAATGTTGAATTATCAAATAAATTCCAAATCCATTTATTGCCATCGATAAAACTGCAATCGAATGAAGGATTACTGTATAATAAATTGGTGGAGATTTCGGACAAATTAGTTCCATTATTTTCGATTGAAAAAATGAAATTTCTAGAACGTTTTAAAAACGTAAAATCCCACTGATTTCTTAAAATAAATTTCACCTGTTTGTTGAACTTTCAAGGAATTTAAAGAATTATCAAAACTTTAATGAAAGTGAATTGAAAAAGAAACATAATAAATAACATGAATTAAAATTATACATCATCACTAATTTGTACCATAAAAAGGGGTACGAGAAATCACATGAAATCGAAAAAATAAAAAAAAAGAAAAAGAAAAGAAAAACCGTATTTTATTATAAGTGTTTGTGAAGCCTTTTATTGTCCGAACATGCGTAGTTCGATTTTTGGTTTTTGAGCAATTGGAGCTGTCTGCAATATTTATGAATGATTTTTTTAAAAAGAAAATGAAATTCAGTTCTTTTCCGGATTTTCCGACGATTAGGAAAAACAGGTTTCCAAAAAATTATGAAAAAACTCAAAACTGAATATTTTAAAAGTTTTTTACAATTGTTCAAACTTGGTTGGGGCTTTTTCTGATTTTTCCCCAATTTTTTCGAGTTGAAAATAAAGAGAAAGAAATTATCCCAGAAAACTTTACCTTGGTGTCATTGAGCTTAATATTTTGATGAGCATGTCTTGTTGTTTGTAGCAAAAGTGCACTTTCTAATCGTTCTTTCAATTTTTGATCCCAATCAACAACTTGTTTAAATTCAACTGGCCACATCGAAGCAGCGGCATTTAGTCGACCAATTGCAATTTCGTGCAACTTCTTTTCAATTGCACCAACTTTTCGCCATTCTTGATGAGTTGTTGCGCGAAGAAGTCGAACAAGAAATTGAACAAGTAGCGATATCATTTGAAGTTCTGAAAACAAATTTAATTAAAATTGTGTATTATTCAAAAAAAAAATTTTGTTGTTGAAAAAACCAACTTTTCTTTTCGTTCGCATTAATTGCCAATACTTCAATAACTTTAATACATTCTTGAATAACAGCAACATCAGTTTCTTTCAGAACATTGTTCTCTTTATTGATTTGAACTATAAAATCATCGACAATTCGCATAATTTCATTTCCCAAATGTTTGATAAAAATTCCACTGAAAGCTTTTCGATTGAAAATTGAAGTGATTGATTGCAAAGTCTTGAGGACAATCGACACATTTTCACTTCTCAAATGATTTTTGATCAAAACAATGAGTTTTGAGAATGATTCCTGATGTGCTAGAACAACATTCATTGGAGCAGATGTTGTGAAAACGACAGCCGATAACATTATTATACATTTATCCAATTGAATTCGTTCATTATCTTCTGACATATTCAAAACCGAGTAGAATGAGTTTCGCATTATTGTAATCCATGCAGATTGGGTTGAATCATTTGGTGATTGAGAAACAATTGATCGAATACACTAAACAATATTGTATATTTGGAATAGTTATCAGATTTTTTTGTTCTCGTGAGAATGAAAATATTGAAACATTATTTGAAAACTTGTGATAAAATTAACGGAATAAAATTGAATAAATAATTTTCAGATTTGTTTCCAAAAAATTTTTTTAAAAGAAAAAAATGCAATTTATTTGATTTGAGAATAAATTTGGTAAAACTCGAAAATCCAACTAATAATTATTTTTTCTCAATCTTCCAAACATACATGGCATCTTCGTCCAACAGACCCCGCATGTAATGATCTCCCCCCTCCCCAAAATGTTGAAATGTCATGATCCCCCCCCCCTCAATTTTTTTTTATTTTTATTTTTAAAATTCTCAATTTTATTTTTCTATTTTTTGATTTGGGTGGGAAAATTTTTTTTTTGATTCGAGCGTGAATTTTCATTAGCCCCCGCCCAAATCAAAATTTTGATTCGAGCGTGAATTCAAAATTTTCCAAAATGATCCCCCCTCGAAAAATTTTTTCAAATGTCATGATTTCCCCTTCACAGTTTTGGGAGCTTCCATGCTTCCAAAGTTCACAAACCTGAATAGCAGAAGTTGCAATCGCACTCAAATGTCCACTTCTTTCTTGATTTTGAACTTCATCAATTCTTGCAGATTCTCGAACAAATCCTAATAATAAATACATAATAACTGGCAGTACAGTAATTTTAGCTTGCGGTGAGCAAAGAATTGGAATTTGAATGAGAATTTGCATGCTTCGAATAACTAAATGAGTAGATTCAATTGGAAGTCGTCCGACTTTTCGTAAATGCAAAAATGCATTTGATTTATGAAATTGACTCGAATTGATTTGTGGCATTTGTTTGAATATGACACAAACACAAAGTTCAAGAGTTGCATAACTTAAAGTCTTTTTGATTGTATCATGAATCTTTCCATCTTCACCGCCTTCATCTCCTTCAAACAAATCAATATTCGTATCATTTGCAACATTTCCGTTTGAAATATCTCGACTTTGAGTTATTCGAATCGAAAGTTTTGCAGCATCAATTATTGAACTTGCACATTCCAAACATTGCATTTGTGTTGTCAAATTCTCGCGTGTCAAAATAATTCGATGTAAAACATAGAATATTTCAATAGCAACATTGATATCAGGCGAACTCATTAATTGCATTTGACACCATTCTGATGAAAATAATCGATTAAGTGATTTAACACACATTTGAATAGTTTCATCTTCAATTTGTCTTGTTCGATTACTCAATGCTTCAACAGCAATTCCAATTAATAAATAGAATCGTTCAATATTTCCATCATCTCTCCAAATTGTTGATGTATCTTTCATCAAATCAATACTTGACGGAAGTGTGAAATTATGTTTTGAAAGCCATGTTGAAGATGCTAATAATATTGGTGGCCAACAAATTGCATAATATTCTCGACAGGCTTCAGCGCTATGAGATGTGAAAAATGTTCCAGATTTATTTTGGACTTGTTCCGAATACTGATTTGGAAGTGCAAGAAGAGCAGCATCATTTAAAGCAGCAAGCCAATAAACTATTAGAGAATTGGTTTCAGGTTCGACTAGAGATAAAAGAGAAACAGGTCCATTGTACTCGTAATGTTCATTATTTACTTCATTTTTCTGTTGATCTTGTTCAACTGCAGTCACATATACTTCTGCCCAAGCCTGAAAAATAACAATAAAAATTACTGGAAGCCTAAAATTTCGAGAATAAATATAATTTTCTGTTTGAGCCTAAGTTCTAATTTGTTGTTTAAACCTAAAATTAGAAAGTTTCAGAAAATATTTTGTAGATTTACCCTATTGAAAACCCATTCCTACATAGCTACAGTAATCCTAAAATGTATATGTTCTTATAAATTCAGTTTTCCGAATTTTCTAGTTACGAACAATGAAAGTTTTCATTTCTATCAAAAAACTATACCTTCAAAATGGATAATTTTTCCAATGTGGCCGCTGATTCACTATACAATTGTACATTCACACTTCCTTGTCTCAATTTTGCCAAAGAAGAAACTAATAATTGATGAACTCTTTTCAAATCATTCAAATCTCTTGCAACTCCACTTCCAATCCAAGTACTACAAACTTGACAAGCAACTGATGTAACATTACTTGAAGTATCATCTGTGAAAGCAGGTCGAAGAGCAGCTCCAACTTGTGCTTGAAATTGTTCAAGTAACATATGTCCAGGAAATTCTGGTTCTGGAATTGCCGAAAATCGAATAATAACTTCTTCGAGTGATTTTAATCCAGCAATTCGAAGGTGAGAACTATCACTTGTTGCAGCCATAAATGCCATTCGAACTAAATCAGCCAAATGTAATACTAAATAATCATTTTTTCCACCAGATGTCATTTGTAATTCTTTTGCCAAAGCCATATCCAAATGTGCTCTTTCCGTATCACAAACACTCATCAATCGATTCACAATATCCATTGTAAATACTTTAGTTTTCCATCTTGGCTGAACTTTTCCTTTATCATCTTCAATAGTTGATATTCCAGCTAAATTCGTATCATCATCTCCATCTTCATCTTCATCATTTTCTTCCATTTCACTATTTGTTATAGTTGTTCCAGTTGTAGATTCATCTTTATTTCTTCGTTTTTTGCCACTTTCAGATGTTGTTGCCAATATTTCTTTACATAACATCAACCAATTATTCAATAATTCTCCACTTGTTCCTTGTACAAGTGATATAAGAGTTTCTTGAATATGTTGACGAATTTCTCGATTCACTTCATAATCAAGCATTCCAAAAAGTGCTCCTTCTAAACCATTTTCTGGAAGTGTAAACTTTTTCTTGCTCGAATCAACAACACCTTGTGGAACTAAAACTTGCGCATGATTTCGAACCTAAAATACACCAATTGAATGAGAAAATGAATAGATCAATAAAATGTACATTACCTCTTTAGATTCTTGTTGAACTAATTGTCTGAGACAACTAACAGCTTGTTTTCGAATAACCAAATGTGGAGATGATAAAAATACACAAATATCACAAACAAGTTGATTCATATGAACATATCTTGGAGCGAATAAATGCATTTGTTGTAATCCTAAAACCGCTTCAGCTTGAATAAAACTATCATTATGTCCGAGTTGAATAGCACAAGCAGCTAAAAGAGAAGTTCGAACACCGTCAATAACTCCAGGACAACTGAGTTCTGGTCCAACACAAGTTATCAAAGCAGTCAGCTGGAAAGTATTAATTTATGATTAAGAAAATGAGGATTTTCAAAAAATAAAACTAACCAATTTACTAACTCCTTGAACAACATCAACAACAAAAGTCGGTGTTGAGATAAGCAATTTCAAACAAACACTCAAAACAGTTTCAACAAATCCTCGGAACATTCCACCGCCAGTTTCAGCTATTAAAGCCATTGAAACCAAAGCACAAGTTTGAACATTTGGAAGTGTTGATTCTTGAGCCAAAGCCAAAACCACAGAAACACCCGTATTCAAATGTTGCCCGCTTCCAAGTGATCCAACATGTCTAGAAAAATATGATCTACAAAATTTCTCAATTTTGTGAAACATACCTATGCAAACATCCCAAAGCCAAAACATGTCCAGAACGACTTGCAGCATCTTTCGAATTTTTCAATTGATTAAAACAATATTGAGCCATAGATGCAACAAATTGTGGTGATCCAACAGATTGTGATAATCTTGCCAATGCTTCAGCTCCAACTAATCGAGTCAATGGACATGAATTTGTTAGACATGGAATTATCAAAGCAACACATGCTTTTTGTAATTGTTCATTATCTGTATGATATCCACGTTGTTCACAAAGTGTTTTGAATGCTAAAAGTGTTCCAGCAACTGCATTTGATAGAATTGCTTGTTGTCTTGCAGTATTCTTACAATTTTTAATTGTATCCGTAAAATGTTCAGTGATTTGAATCTTGTGTTTACTAGAAACCAATGGGAATACTTTTCCATATGTAAATAGAGCAGTATTCAAACAAGTCAATGGTTCTGACTCATTTTCCGGCCATTTTTCATCAGCTGAACTTGTTATCAATTTCGTCAAATCATCGTTCAAATCTCCAATTGAAATAGTAAATGTTGCATTGCTCAATAAATCTTCAATCATTGAATAATCTGTTGCATCAAATGTTGGTGAAATAAGAATCTTTTCAACTCCTTGAAACATTTTTTGAGGAATTGATGTTGTTAAAGTGCTTTGAGCATTATCCGAAAGAGTTATATCAGCAACCATTTCACGAAGAAGTGCAACATAACATCCTTCGAAACTTTTATGTGGAAGAAGAAGTAAAAGTCGATATACTCGTATTCGTACAAGACTATTCAATTGACGCATTTTATTGCCATAGTTTTTGATAAGATTTCCAACTCTGCAAAAAATCGGTGATATTAACAATGTTGCATTCAAACTTACTGTGACATCATAACCAAACTACATTCAATTGGTATTTTCATTGATTCAACAGCTCCTCCAACTGTATATAATTCATTTTGTCTTGCAACAGCTTCCATAACAGATAATGCACCAGCTTGTGCAATCATTGAACATTGCCATGAAAATGAATCACCTCGATTACTTTCAGCTTCAGCTTCTTTTGAACTTCGTGGAAATACAGCTTTCCATAATCGAATAATTCGATGAAGATGTTCTTTGATAACAGGAGCACCAAGTGAAACAAGTGAATACATCAAATTCCAACCAGATTCAAGTTTTGCTATTGTTAACTTTGGTTGTTGTGATGATGTTTTTAATAAATCTTCAGCAATTTCAAGAATTTTTAATGGTTTTGAAAATGGAACACCTAAACGAGATGGATCATTTGAAGTTGAAAGTAATGCAGAAAGTGCCATTGAATATCCACTAATTGCATCTGATGATGATTTCATTTGTTCTAATCGTAAAATACATCGATCAATAAGTGGAGTTCGAAGATTTGGAACAGCTGTAGCGATACATTTCAAACACCAAGCTGTTGCATATCTCGCAGATGGAATTGGATGAAGAAGGCATCCAAATATATGTTCTAATATTCCAGTTGCTTCTACAAAAATTGGCATAACAGCAGTTCCAATTTGTCGAACTAATACTGAAATTTCTTGAAGAATTGTAATCGAAGCATAGGCACTTGAATAAAGTTCATCATCAATCAATTCATTTTCTGAAATACAATAAATAAGAAAGTGTGGGAAAAGAGTCAAATGAGGATTATACGAAAACATACCAATTTCAGTATCAATTCGAATTGAATTTATATATTGTGCTAAGAGTGTTCCCAAATGTTTGCACGCCAATATTTGAGCATTTTCGCCTAGAAGTGTTCCACAAGTTTGGCGGAGAATAAAAGAAACACATCGACGAAGCAGAAGAGCTTCGGATATTTGAGTAGCACTTCTGACAAAAAATTAATTTGAGAAATTGAAAAACTTACAAATTATTGTAATTTTTAAATTTACGGGAGAATTATTTTGGAGCCAAATTAAATGAAAAACTTCAACTTACTGCGTAAACGCCAAATTCCCACATTTCGCAGCCAAATCAATCAAATGTCCACAAACAACAGCCAGATGTTTTTCCAACCAAGCCGATCCCATTTCTTTCACAACTTCAACATAACACAAAGACATTCCAATTCGAACATCAGTTAAACCCCCAGAACTCGGAAAATTTGATGAATTATTCTTCAAAAATCCACCAATTCCTCCTCGAATGAAACCATTTGATAAAAGTGAAAATGTATCAGTCACCGAAGCTGGACGAACAGGAACACTTTGATTTGATTTTACTTCTGAAAATATTTCATTAAAATTAGTAGCGAAAACATTCCCTTTGTTTTTTACTCATAATACATACATACAGTATCTCAACTCACGTCATTTCAATTTTGTCTGGTTAGGGTTAGAATAAAATCGAAAAATGACCAAAAATTAAATAATGAAACAAAGGGGAAAAAGATCAGATAAGAAACGTGAACTGGACATTTTTTTTGGAATAAAGACGTGAGCATTTTTTAAAAAGAAAAATTCAGAATCACAGAGAAGCTTTCATATGTAAGTCAGAATAAATCCTATTTTTTATTTATGCTTCAGAAGAAGAGAAAATTCAGATAACATATTATCTTCTCAATTGTATGTTTTCAATCAATATATATATAAGTAGATCAGAAAAAACTCACGAATAACTGATTGTGGTGGTGGATTCATAGATGTTGAAAGAAGTTGAGCCATAAATTTCGCAACCGCACATCTCAAATCATAATTCGAACCATCCAAAACTTTAACACACATTGTACAAGAAGCATCAAGTTCAGTTGTATAAATTGGAGTATAAACAGCGACAAGAGCAGTTAGGCACTGAAAACAAACAAACAAACATTAGCGGTTTTTGAAATTTCCAAAAAATATTTTACCTCTAACGTAGCAATTTTGACATGAATAGACCGATCCTGAATCGAATGTTTAGCCATTTTGAAAATATCTTTATGTACAGTTGATTGACCATTTCCTAATCCTTTAACCATACTTGTTAATGTCATCATAATATGTGCTCTTGAATGTGATTCTGCACTTTTCATCCATTTTTGTAATATGACTAATGTTTCTTCAAATGATCTACCAACTAATCGACCCATTGTATCATAAAGAGCTGATAAACATGATAAAGCTGCTCTGCAAAAATATTATTAATATTTTTTAAGAAAAAAAAAGAAACTTACAATTTGGCTTGGACCTGTTTGGGTGACTCATCTTTGACTTTTAATGTATCATTACATGAATTGATTGTTGTTAAAAGTGAAGAAGTATCTCCACTTAATGAATATACACGTGCAATACATCTTGATATAAGTTTTCTTGTTGGTGGACCATTTTGTTGATAAAGACGAGATTCAAGTTGACTAATAAGTGTTTGTTTCACATTTTTCAAATCTTCTCTTTGAGTTATCGGAAGTATTCTATCAAGATATCGAAGCCATTCATATATAAATATTGATCTTTTTTGTTCGGGACATGATTCGAAAGCTTCTTCGTTTAATACCAAACTGTGGCTTTCATCCATTTATCTAAAAATTAATTGTGAAATGGGAAGAAAACTTGGGAAATTGAGAGAAAGTGGTAAGTTTAGAATATTTGTGCTGGCAGAATACGGATTAAAAAGAGTCAAAAATGTCTTCGCTTGAATAAAATCTACACAATAAATTTTTTGGGGAAGAAATAAATGTGAGAAAAAACTATTTTGGCCAACTGAAAAAAAATTATGCAGATGTTTAAAGACACACAATCCGCTAGAAATGAACAGAAAATGAGTTTGTTATTCATTCATAACACCTTTCAAGTAATCTAAATTCATGAAAATCGAGAAAAAATTTTGAGTCTAGCAGAAGTGAAAAAATAAAATAATTGTTTTTGAAATCGCTCAGCCGACGGAAATTTCGAAAGTGTGTGCACACAGTGTGTCGCTAGAGCGCACATGCTGGTTTTGTCGTTTGAAAATAAATGCGGGAAATCTGTTTTTTCCAGTGTTTCTTGTGTCTTTAACAGGTGCCCAAATTTTTGAACACACGTGTTCTTACAAAGAAGGTCGTGGACTAGAAGAAAATGTATACTGTAATTTTGCCAGTTGGATTGAAAATTATGACGTGGTATTGGCTACGTCATAACTTTTTTTTGAAAAAAAAAGTACATAGTTTGGTCGATCTGATAAAAACGACAATTTAACAATTTCTCCTGGGAGTTTTGAATTTTTTGTGTTTTGAACAGGGGACAAAGAATAAAATTCGAGAAATGAAGAAAAATATTAAACGGCTTTCAAAACCGATCAAAAAAATTAAAATATTCAGAAAATGAAGTTTGCGAAAATATCATTAACAAAAAAATGAATAAAATAAAATATCACAATTAACCATATTGACCCATATTTTCATCGAATCCGTAAATAAAATTATTTTTGTTATTATTTTCAAACTATAATTATGTAGGAGTAGTTGTTGTGTTCATTCGAGCCACAGATGTTGTTCTGGAAAAAATGAAGGTTTTGTTCTTTTATATGAAAAATATGAATACATGTTGTTCGTATTAAATAACAAGTGGTCATATATTATTTTGAGCATGCAAAAATTGTAGAGACATATGAATTGAGGGTCAATTTTTCATATTCCAAAAATGTAAGGGAAAGTTGGGGACGTGGAGAATATAGCTTTTTGAAACTTTGAGATTTAAAAAAATTCGAGATCAGATTTTCTAAAAAAAAATCTAAGAAATGTTAAACAAGGAAAAGTTGGCATGATCACCAAGAACTGATAATCGAAAAAGCTCTGCCTCGTCTCATTGAGAAAATCACGGATCTTTATTTTTCTGACCCGATAAAACCCTTGCTTCTAAATTAGAAAATCTATCGGAAACATAAACATTTTTATTGAAATAAATATATAAAAACTACGTTTTTTTCTTATACATAAGAAATATTGAAAAAACGTATCGTATTTCAATGAATGTCTCAATTTTTTCAAATTCCTAAAAAAGACAAAAAAAAACGACTTTCAATAACAAAAACTTTTTTCTTTTGAACCACCCAAAAAAAGAAAAAAAGAAGGAGAAGAAAACTTTGTCTCTTTTCACACAAATAATTCCCAAGTGTAAAAAATTCGATTTTTCCGTTTGAACAAAAAAAGGCACACATTCAAAAAAGGGCTCGAAAAAGTATCATTTTCAGAAAAAAAAGAGAAGAATTTTTTTCAATTTTGCTAAAAGTATTTCGAAATTTGGCTAATTCCATTTTTCTATTTTTTTAGATAGAAAAAAAGAGCAGAAAAGGGAGGAGAAGAAGAGAGAAGAATAACAAATTCGGGCTAATTTTGGTGGAGGAAAAAGGAGGGGTTTCTTTTTTGGAGGGAAAAAGATGGCACACACCAAATTGGTGGTGAATTGAATAGAAAAAAAGGGAGAAGAATTGGGTGGAGAATAACTTGGTGATTTTTGGTGGATTAGGGAGAAAAAAGAGCGTGGAAAATCAAAAATACAACTTTTTTCAGCTCTGCAATTCAGAATAGACACTAAAATTAATATTCATGAGATTTTAATATAATAATGACGAAAGTGTGGGTTGAAAATTATTTTGAATTTTTTTGTAATAAAAAAATATTTATATAAGAATTGAGAATTCATTGAATGTCACAAACTTTTCTTGTTATTTCGGTTTTATGTTTTTTTTTTGTTGCTTGGGAAAAGGAAAACTTTGAATATTGAATTAGCAACAACCGAAAACAAGTTTTAGACATCCCTTTGAATGAAAAAAGAGAAAAATACATGTCTTAAATTTGGGGAAAAACAACCATTTTCCGCCCGGGATTTTCACCAAACAATAACAAAAAACCCACCATTTTCTTCTTTGTTGTAAAACATCTCGCTCAAAATGTTCAGCAGTCATTTGTCCAGGCAACCTTTCGCATTGTTCATTGAATACTGAATATGCACTGATTTCTCCGCTTTTTCGTTTTCCCGTGTTGAAAAAAATGAAGATTAGAGCGAAGGTTATGAAGAAAACCATGCCGAATTGAACCCTGAACAAAATTAAAATGGAAAATTGTTTTAGTTCGGCGGACATTGAGAATTCAAATTTACAGAAACTTTTGAATTTCCCATGAATCTAAGTTTCAAAAATCCCGATTTACGGGCTGTCAAAAAAAAATTCAGCACATTTTTTCGTTTTTTTTTATTATAAGAATTTTCCAAATGATTCTCTTTCAAAAATGTTCTCGAAAATCTTCACAATTTTAATAAGTTAAATAAAAGTGTTCAGTAAATTTTCAAAAGGGTCACCTCAAATCTGAACAAAAAATTATGATTTCAAGGAAAATGTTATTTATGAATTGGATTAAAAATGGAGGTGAAGGTCAAATTCCCTATTTGACTTTTATTCAAATCAAAAATGTAGGCAAATAATGAATGGGACCCCAAATGGGACCCCAAATGACTGAATGGGACCCCATGCTGAATGGGACCCCGGTGTTTAAAAATCGTCGTGATGAATGGGACCCCAAAATAATAAAATGGGACCACAGCTTTTTTTTTTGAATTTTCTGAATGGGACCCCGCAAAAAAGGGACCCCGTTGAATTTTTGTATTAGTACGAATGGGACCCCACTGAAATTTTATACTGAAAGGGATACAAAATTTGAAGCCTAAGCCTAGGCTAAAAATCCTAACTAAGCCTAAGCGTAAAACCCTAACTAAGCATAAGCCTAAAGGCCTAACTAACCCTAAGCCTAAAATCCTAACTAAGCCTAAACCTGAAATCCTAACAAAGACCTAAAACCCTGACTAAGCCTAAGTCTAAAGGCCTAACTAAGTCTAAGCCTGAAATCCTAACTAAGCCTAAGCCTATGCCTCACCCCAGTGCTGAGGATACGTCTAAGTTTAAGCCTACCTGTGGTCCCATTCTGAAGAAATTTCAATGGGGTCCCATTCATACTCATACAAAAATTCAACGGGGTCCCTTTTTTTGCGGGGTCCCATTCAGACAATTCAAAAAAATGCTGTGGTCCCATTTTATTATTTTGGGGTCCCATTCATCACGACGATTTTTAAATACCGGGGTCCCATTCAGCATGGGGTCCCATTCAGTCATTTGGGGTCCCATTTGGGGTCCCATTCATTATTTACCAAAAATGTACTATAAACGAAATATAACCCACCATATCGCAAATGTCTGTCCAATCACAAAAATAATAGCTAAAATCCAATTGGGGATCGTCCAAATCTTCTCATCTTCCGGATTTTCAACTGATTTTCTGATAACTTGTTGATCTTCTAATATATTTTTGAAATCCTTTTCATCCTCTTCCTCTTTCTGATTTTCTTGTTTTTCCTGAAAATTTGGAACGATTTTAAAAACCTCATTCTGAATATATATTGAAACTTACAAGCAATTTTCTTTTTCTGAATTCTTCCAATTTTTGTGATGTTGAACTGAAAGACATTCTAAAATTCTGAAATTGTTTGAAACCAAAACGATTTCAAATTAACATAAATAGAAAAATGGTCAAAAACCGCTTGAACTTTGAAAAAAAAAGAAAAGATAATCAATTTTATTAGTATTGGTTATTGTACTGAAAAAATTGGGTGCAAGAATATGGGCTGAAAATTACTCGACTAGTAAAAGAATCTAGAGATAAACAATAATGAAAAAGCCTTTTTTTTCAAAAATTTTCGGCTAAAAAATATAAGCAAAAAGCAAAAACTCAATTTCCTATTTTTCACCATTGCATTTTCTGTCTTTTCTCATGAGGATTTCGTCCAATTGGCAAATGAGCCAATGTCAATTTACTTTCTTTTCTTCCACTGAATTCCAATTCATCTGAATCATCATATGATCTTTTGGTGAAGGATTGGAAATTGTCCTGAAGTACAACTTCGACTCTTGTCGAACACCGATTTGATGTGCTCATTGTAACATCGTTGAGTTTTTTATGATCAAGAACATGAGCAATGAGTTGCCAAGGAACTGCTGAGCGGAAATTGAGTGTGTCGAGATTCGGGAAACTTGTGACGAGCTGAAAAAATATCAACATGGAAAGATAATGGAGGGTAAAGAAGAATTTGTCCTTTTTTTTGGAAAGTTGTAAATTTTGTGTCTTTCGTAATTTCTAAAACATTGTTCAAAAACATCAATGATCGTATTTTTTGAGATCCCTGGAACTTTATTCATCATTGTCTTGGTAGTTGTTTATAACTTGAGTAAACATGAATGTATGTAAATAAATATCCATTACAAAAACGAATACAAGTTTCAAAATCCCGTAATAAGCGATGAAGATTTCAGTAGACGAAAAATTCAGATGAATCTGAAAATAGGTTTCCACTAATGTAATTTTCAGTTCCCACAATTTGCACACCTCACAATGAATTCATAATAGGAAATGGCGATAATGAAGACTGGCTGATGTGAGGACCTATAACTACAAAAACGAAAATTATTTCTCGCTCGGAACAAAACAATATAAATGACATCACAAAATAAATCTACGTGATTGAGAACTTGTATTGGTTGATTGAAATCAACTCCAAGATGAACACATATTCTTCGTTCTACCCAAACACTTCTTTGCATTGAAGAGACTTCTAATTTTTCTCGAAATTACCTAACAATTTTGACATTTCCAAAACCCAGAACTTGTTTTCAATTTTTTTTTTTTTGAAAATCCTCACCTCAAAAATCGGCCTCAAGTCATGCAGCATTTTCTTATTCCACTTTATGTTCCATTATCACAATAGACGCTGTGCTGGGAAAACGTTTTTTTCCGCAAATCTCATATTTCCGACACAGGTCTCTTCCGAACCATTCTGCTATTCTCGGTTGTTCTTTCAATTCGGTTGCTATTCTCGGTTTTTCTTTCAACCTTGCCATTCTTTGATTTCGCTATCGAAAGTTCGTTACGCGTAGATGAGCGAAGGCGAAAGTAGGCGTAGTCGAAATGAAATTTCGTTTCACAGCTGTTGATGATGAGTGAATGAATGACCAGACGAATTCAGATTAGTTCAATTTTGCAGTGAACACTTCATATTTATACCGTTCCGTCGGACGAAGATATTCAGAAAATTTCTCAATTATTGTCTTCTTCGAAATAATATAATAAATATGTTTCGACATCATAAACACTCTTGGATATTTTTGGCATTATGTTCTAGCAGTTTTAAATATCCAACAAAAAATCGATAATCCGTTGATGTAAAAATCCAATCCAAAACGAATCCAATCGTAAAACAATAGAGGCGTGACCACGATTTGAAGATTTGAAAGTTCTTTCTTCAAACAGCAATCGTAAAAGTTGAAAATTACGATTTTTTGAAATAAGAACGTGGTATCTTCTTGATGTTTTTTCGTTGTTAAATTTCCTATCGACGAATTGTTTACAATTTCAATAATTGAGAAGTTGTTCTCATAAGAAACACAATTTGGGTTTTGTTGTTGGCAGTTTCAGTTCGAATCTCTGTTTTTTCTCGGTTTGTGAAAATGGCGGGTAGACTTTTTTCTTCGAAAAACATCGTGCCTTGTTCGGGTTTTTCAATTATCGTATCGTTTGTACCTCACCCAAAACGTGAAAATTCAGTCCAGTAAAAATTTCAAAAATTATATTTCAAAAAAAGTGTGAATGTACCAAAAAATGGGAAAGAGTCACAAACTTGTCCTTCTAAAAAACCACGCTGTACAATTTTTGGACATCTGACACAGCTGTTCCAGGTGTGCCTGAATTTTTGTAATGAGAAAAAATTACGTGTCGGGGAATAAAGTACAGTAATACATTCTCGATCTGTTCCATATCGTGAATCGTTGACATTTTCTTCTTCAGCATAATTAAACAGGCTTCCGTTCATCAGAAATCGTTTTAGTTTCTTCCAGTGACATTTTCAGTATTCAGTGTATCAGGTTCCAAACCATATTATATTTCAAATCTTAAAACTAACCTTAATAAATAATCGAGTGGCTGAAGTATGTCGTGGCCTTGTGATAGTTATTCGTTTCAAATTTTCAGATAATCTTTTACAAAATGCTTCAACAGCTTCACTTTCCCACATCAAACCATCGAATTTAACTTCTTCCAAAGATTTTGGAAGATTCGCCAGAAATTCTTGCAAAATCCCAGTTTCTTTGAACTTTGAGCGATCACTAAATTATGAAATTTTTAATAGATTAACATATGATGTATTAAAATAAAAACTAACGAGAAATTGAGATATTTGAGATTTGGCAAATCCTGAATTCCTTTTCGAAGAAAATGTAATAAACTAGTTTTGATATTTTCCGTTATTGTTAGTTTTTCGAGATGTCGAAGATGAGCGAGTTTTTCAAAAATGACAGAAATATCGACTGCATCACGAATTGAATCCGAACGACTTGTTAGAATTAAAGAGCGAATCTGGAAATTTTTCGAAATTTTTTTTTTTATTTATAAACAAAACACTTACATTTGTCCATGAATCAATACTTCTGGCTAATAACAATAAATTAGTACCCGGTTTGTAATCCATTGAAGAAAATGTTAAATCCATTTTCTTGCATCGATTCGAGAATTTTGTCATAATATCTTTTGCATCGTGGAAGCTGAAAATTCAAATTATGATCAAACTAAAAAAAAATGATTTCATATTTCTAGTTCACGCCAAAAATGTTTGTTTTTTTCCAAAAAATAATTTTTTTCATTATTAAAAAATAAAACGTTTCATTCATTCATTTCTAATTTTAAGAAACGTGAATTGTATTCGAGGTGATCTTTTTGTCATTTCTAAAAATTCACGGTAATGTTTGCCTGTCTAGATAAAGCTTTCTTTAAAAAACCAACTTTTCACAACTCGCAATTTCAAAATTAACACTATCCAAATGAAGATTTAAATCGATTATTTGTCCAAGGAATAACTCTGCTTTCTCCATATTCAATCTTCGTATTGTCAAATTGCGTAAACTTGGAGTTATTAAATGTCGAAGCCAAAAATCTTGACGCATGCAAATTATTGAAAGTGATTCTATTCGATGTTTGAATTGACACGAAGGAGATGAAACTGAAAAAAAAATTTTGTTGTCAGGAGTTTTTGAGAAAAAACTTACCATAACTAATTGCATTTTCATCAACTCCAAGATCCGCCAACTTCAAACTAGCTAAATTCGGAAAATTTTCCAAATATTCAAAAAGATCTTTTGTAAGAAGAATCGATTGATAAGATCCTTCAAATCCACTATAATAATCCTTTGCTTTTCCACCAAACACAACATTTCGAATATTTTTCTTGACAGTCAAAAATTTTTGAAGAATGAAAGCTAAAAAAAGGTCAGCTTTTTTATGATGAAATCGAAATTAGAAAACTTACTAAGTTCTGGTGGCTGTATAAATTTTGCAGGATCATCAATAGCCATTTGACGAGCCAGTTCCACAGTTAAAACTTGTTGATATTTGTGACAAGATCCAAAAGAAGCGAGACATCTCGATGAACCTTCCTTAAATTAAGACATTTCGGATAAAAACTACTCACTAATTGAAAAACTAACGGGCATTGTCAATTTCAAAGTCGAATAATATTCATTTGGTACAATCCAACCCGCTTTTTTCGAAATTTGTCGGAACCTCCGCGAAACCATTTCCATAGGAAGCCGCTCTTGAAATCGATAGATATTTGATAAAATTTGTTCCATTATATTGTCATTGCAAAATACGACATCGATATTGTGTTCTTCTTGTATTCTTCTTTTACTACATTCGGGAGACTATAAAAACTTTGTTAAATCTTCGAATAAAATCGAAATTTCCAAATATCGAATCAATTCATTTTATTATAGTTTTAATAGTTAACATGAAAGGCTTATGTGAATTTTTTAAATAAGTTACAAAATATCTTACCTCATTTCCTTCTCGATCAGCCATCTTGTTAGTTCCTACGTGAGATCTGAAAATAACAAGCTTTAGCTAAATACGAAATATTTCGAAATGAGTAGAAATCCGTTAACTATACAAATGTCTCAAGATACTTATACATATGGAAATAGAAGTGAACAGGAAAAAAAGAGAAAACTCAGGCAAACGAGCCGACTAATCGGTGACTGACTTTACGTGGAGCGACTAATCGGTGACTAACTTTACGTGGAGCGACTAATCGCCGACTAACTTTTTGTGGGGCGACTAATCGACGATCAACTTTTTTTGTTGGCCGACCAACTTTTCTGCTAATTTATATGTAGGCCGATTAATCGCCGACTAATGTGCGACCAACTACTAGTTGACAGGCGATTTATCGCCAGTTGGTCGCCGATTAGTCGGCCCGTTTGCCTGAGTAAGAAAAGAAAGATAGAAAATGCATTGGAGTTTTATTTCGCAATAGAGCGCATTTGCTCGTTTCATTGCTCGATTATTATTTGTATTTGTTTTCTCTCCAAGCTGTCGTGCTGCTCTTTCTTTTCGTCTCTGTTCATACATTTATATCTCTTCTACTATTGTGATAAAGTATGAGTCGAATGCCGGGAAACCCTTGGTTCCCCTCGAGAGAAGGATCTATGGAGGCGTCATCTTCCTCTGCTTCTCAGGTATTGCTTTTGGTGTTAGAAATATAAATTTTTTTGCGTTTTGAAAGGATAAAGTCGGATTATGAGGATTGGAATCAAGAACTATATAACCAAAAATATATTTATATTTCTTGATCAAACTTCAATAGAATTAAAGTCAAAATCGGGGAGAATGAGAGACGAAAACAAAATTTTCACATGAACCTCCCAGTTCCCCATTGAAAAATCTACGCTACTACGTAGCAGTAGTTTCATTTCCTATGTTTCCACCACTCTCATCGATTGCTCTTTGACATTATGTGAGCTCATGAAACGTGACCCCAAGAAAAAAATTAAAATAAACAAACAGGGGTCTACTTATGTTCACATGCTTTCTTTTTCGAGTTTTCTAGGTCTTTTTGAGCCCTGGAAAATTTTTTCATAACTTTTTGAAGTTGAACAATTTTTAGATTTTGAACATTACTTCCGAAACACAAAAACTGTGAGAATATTACCTAATTAAACTTTATCTTAGGATCATATGATTGACGCATTAACTTCACAAATCGATGAAACAACAATTCAAAGTGTTATCGAGACACAAAGGCAAAGGTAAAATTTTCCATTTCTCAATAAAAAATAATAAAGATAAAAATTTCTAGTCTGAAACGTTTTGAAAAAACGAATGAGATGTTGATGAATTGTGCCCAATTAGGAGATCGAAGAATTGAAAAAGCGAAAAAAGACTCATTGGCACATCGTGAAACAATTATGCAAATGAAAAATGATTTGGAATTCATTTTCAAAAAAATTCGAGTTTTCAAAACTATTTTGGCAACCAAATATCCGGAGATTTATGAGAAAGGTGAGTTTTTTTTGAGAAAAAATGTAAACCACAAATATGAATACGTTTCCACGACAATGCAACAAAATTTGTAATTTTCATAAATATAAATATTAGAATAAGCATAATGGAAATTTTTACAGTTTGCGAAGAATACAAACCAACAACAAATGATGACGACGAATAATTTATTAATTAATTGTATATAAAAATCAAGAATGAAAATGAAACTTCGAGGATCTCAATCGCGTCTTTTTTTCTTTCGATCTTCTTCCGAACTTTCAGAAAATCTTCGCTTCCTCTTCTTCTTCGATTTCTTGTGTTTCTCTTTTTCGGAATCCGATGAATCACTTTCCAATTTCCGTTTTCGTTTCTTTTTCCTCTCTTTTTCTCTTTCTTCATCTTCAGAATCACTACCCGAATATTTTCTACTTTTTTTCTTCGATTTTTTCTTTGATTTCTTGCTTTTCTTCTCTTTCTTCTTCTTCTTTTTCTCTTTGTCTTTTCTAAATACAGTTTCGTCATCACTTTCAGATTCTGAAGAAGTTGAACTAAGTTCATATGCCATTGTAGAAGTGTTTGGTTTGAGTTGAATGAAGTTTCGACACTGTAAAAATTTTGTATAAAATGAGACTTGTGGAATAGGACCAGGAATCAATCGAAAAAAATCAACACTTTACCTGATAAGTCAAATGTCCAGGATATCCACATTTTTTACAAGCACCTGTTACAACTTGTTTTACAATCGCCGATCCAGTTGCATCTAAATGTTTGTTTTTTTTGAAAATCACAAAATTCGAAACATACCAATAAACGCATTAGGATCGTATTTTGGGGGTTCCGCGAGTTTCTCCAAATCAGCCAAAGTTCTTCCGCCTGTTTCTTGCGAATTTGCACCAAATTTTCGCCGAAATGGCATTGGTTCCATATTCGGATTCGACATTTGATCGAACTAAAATTAATTTTTTAAAAAATGATGATATGATTCAATTATTTCAGCGAAACAAACGCAATTTACAAAAAGAAAAACGATACTCAAAAAAAATAATTGGAAGTATTTATACACATTATTTATATTTATATACAAATTATTTATACTTCTTGATTTACACGTTTTTCTTTTATCTAGGAGATCCAAACGGGGGTGGAGATCCGAAACTCGGAAATTTTGGCTGGAAAAATTGAAGTTTGCAAAAACAACAAGAAACAATATTAACTAACCGGTGAAAGGGGTGTTTTCGGTTGAAGTTTATCTGTGACTTTTTGGAAATTTTGACGGAATCGAGTCGAATCGTGGGCACTCGAAATACAAACATTCTGAAAATTTCAAAGTTCTAACAAAATCTTATCATACAATATTCATACCTCAGATCCAGGTTGAATAACTTCCATCATTTGCAAACATCTTGGAACACCCCAAATATAACCGAGTTGATTGATTAATCGGAGAATTTGATATTTCATTATATCATCCTCCATTAAATTTTCATGAATAATTTGCTCCATAATAACTTGATGAAATTGTTGATTTTGTCTCAAAAGTGGTTCAAATTGACTAGAAACCATGAGGGTATGACAAAGTAGATGAGTCCAGACTCCACGGGTTGTTAGCTAAATTGCAATATTTTTCAAAAATTGTTTACTATTGAATTAAATAACTCACTGTTTTAATAGCGATTGGAAGAGCAGAAAAATATCTCAAAACTCCTTTCAAATCGACAGAATCTCTTGTCATTGGTAATATTCCAATACAATGAATGGTCCATAATAATGCAGCTGTTGAATTATTTTCCAAAAATTGTGTGATTTCTTCAGATGGTGGGTTTGAAAGTGAATCAGTTTTACACAATCCTCTAATTTTTGCCCCTTTTTTCTCTCTTTTTAAAATATCAACACGAATTGTATCTTGTGCTAAAAGCGATGAAAACATTGGAAGAAATTGAATAATAACATTTTGATCAAAACTTTCGGCAGTTGGTTTTTGACGAGTTACAGAAATACGTTTGACGTTTGCAGCAATCATTAGAAATCGACAAATTGTTATAATATGTTGATTATATCTTGGTAATTGTGGATGAGATAATTGAAGTTTTCGCAAAAGACTTGTTGCAAAAAAATAGACAACGTGTAAATCAGCGGCAATCATAGAAAAATCGATAAGTTTTGAGATATCATTACTTCTTCCAATATCATCCATCGCATGTCTGATTTTACTCAAATGTGGCCAATCAACACTTTTATCTCTTACACATGTATCCAAGGCCCACGCAAAATTACTCAGCACTTGCAGATGTAGCTAATTCATAGCTCAACCGATCGCAGCCCTTGACACTTGCGTTTTATTTACGAACAGTGTGCGGTTCAGCTACAAACACACACACCGAAGTCTGTTTTAGCTACGAAACACACACGCATGTTTTAGCTACGAAAACTGTCTTCCTGTTTATTGCGAAATACTGCTCATGCGGGGTTCTTTCTGTATTTGGCGTAGCTAGAAAACTTGCAAATATAAAACATTTATTCGTATTGAAACATACAATAACATAAGAATATGAAATTATAGTCAGTTATTCACCAGAAACACTTATTTTTCTCGCAGTTCTTTGATATCTTCTGGATCCTGGACCGGCCGAATGTTGGATAGAAAAGTAGCATTTACAATTTTCCAATAGGGCGGTAGGCTTGCAAAACATGACGATGTGGTGTTTGTGCTTTTTGCGACTCCATCTGGCGGTTTAACTTCCCAAAAACCTATGAGGAGCCAAATTGGTCGCCATCCATGACATCCGGCTTTTTTCTTGTTATTGACATCTGTAAATTGAGAAACATTGTGGAATATTGTAAAATTTGTTGGAATTACCTCATTTATTGAAGATTTCATCATCACTTTCCACTTTTTCGAGAAACGCAACAAACTGACTGTTTTTCTGCAAAAATTCAACGTAAAACGTAACTTTTAGATGAACTTACTCGTTCTCCATCGATAAAACACTGACGCGTAGACGATATAATATGTAATCAGCACTTTTCTAGGCTTTAAGCCACGAAAATCGTCGAAAAACAAAACAAAACGAAGAAAACATGTTTGCGCGCCAAAAAACCGTAGCTAAAACGTATGTGTGTTTTAGCTGAGAAATCGGTCAGAAACACTGAGCTAAATTTTTGCTTTGATTTAGCTGGAGATTCTAGTTGTTTCTACGGTTCAGCTACGAAAACCCTCAAAATATGATTTAGCTACATCTGCAAATGCTGAGTATACAGAGGATCTTCGATGCCTTTTTCGTGTGCTGCTATCGTAAATTCAGATTTGAGAGAGCATAAATGGAAGTTTGCAACTTCATTGAATTGATTTCTCAAATATTTCATAAATACCTTATACAAAATATCATTTTTTCCAATCATAGCAATAATTTCAGGAATTTGAGGCCAGTTCCTTCGAGATTTTGTGGTTTCTTTAGTGAAGAAGTTTGTTTGATTTGGATCAATTGAACATATAATATCTTCTTTATTCTTGAGATATTCATTTACTTTTGTCCGAATTTCATCAAAAAACAATTCTTCGTTCATTTTCCAACAAACTCTTTTCACCTGCATATTACAGTTTTTATATAATTCTTCTGTTTTGCAAATGGCATAGAGGAAATGTTCATCGATATATGGAGATATCGATTCGATAAGTTTTATGACAATTGGCCGGAATGGTGGTGCTGAATGCATACGGAAAAATTCTCCCAAATGAAACCTCAATCTCGAATCCCCATCTTTTGTTTTTCGCATATCTTCAATTCTCCATTTAATTTTGTCAGCCAATTTTGTCAGGCACTACAAAAAAAAAACAAATAAGACAAAATTTTAATAAGAAAAATCATACCAGATCATAAAACTCCGATCTCGCAATTCCTTGGCTATCCAAAAGTTTCAATGCAGATCCCAAATGAAGGACTGTTAGTTCACGATCTGATTGGAACTTCCGAATTGTCGCGCATAATGTAGTCTTCTTTTTTGCTTTAGATAAAAGTTCGTGGAGCTTGTCCGGCCCTACAACATTGAAACCCACGTTTTCAAGAATCGATAGAGTATGATAATCATCGTCATCTCTTTTTTGTTCCATCTAGTTTGCTGGAAAATTACTTGAATTTAGAAAATTTGAAGCAGTTTTTTCGAAAAAAGAATTCAAAAAATGATTTATTCCGGGAGAACTACAAATAATATTTATTTTTGTTTGTTTTCATTAGAGCGCGTTTGTTGCATTTCTACTACTTACTACAGTAATTTCTGTATTTCTGTGATATCTTCCTGTGCAAAAAACTGCACTTTGATATAAAATCATGAAATATGTTTGCAAAACAAATGTTCTTTTCGGACAAAGTGCTCATCATCCATCCTTCTCTTTTTCCCATATATAAAAAAATAGTGTGAGAAAAATAGAGACACAGAAAAGTGGCTCTCAATTTCCCTTTCTCTTTTTCTTATTTCCATTGGTCACAAGCACATCATTTTCGTTCTATTCTATTCTATTTTTCAAAGTTTTCTTTTGTATAATCTAGATACAATTTATTCTATTTGGAATATACAAAATGCAAGTGAGTACAATTTTCTGAAAATGATTATGAAAAAAATAGTTCACGCGATTATTTAATTGTTTTTTAATTTCAGGTCGAAAAGGGTTATGACTACGGTGCTTTAATGGTTCGAGTTTCAGCTGGTTTTGTTATTTTTATCTCACTTTCTCTAATTTTTCTAGTCGTTGGAAATCTTGTTTATACCAGTTTAACAGAACGTGTCAATCTCAATTCTAAAAAACGATAATTATTAATTTTTAAATAATTGATGTAAATATTTATTTCAAAATTGATTTGTTTTTTGTTTCTGCCATAAATATCCACTCAAAAAATGATTGTTTTTGATAAACATAATAATAATCTAGATAAAGATGTGACCCTGAAAAAAGTAAAAGAAAGGATATTCCAATGAGAGAAAAGATACGCAGACTAATAAAAATCTTATTCCTGTTTTGTTTTCCCAAAAACTTCCACGTTTCTCCTCTTCTTCTTCATTCTTGCGGTTTTCGATGAGAATATTGGTTGCTTTTTGTATTTTGGCTACTTTTGTAGCTGCAAATAATGACAGAAGTTGGACAACAGAAGAAGGTGTCAAAATCGAAATTATCAAGAAAATCGGAGGTATGCATTTTTTTAATTTTTTGAACCAAATCGTGCCATTTTCAATTAATTGAACTAGCGTGGCCACAATTTGAGTAGGAACTGGGTCACCAGAAAGAAATCGGGATAGAACTGATTTTTTAAATTCTAAATCAGACCATTTTCTTGAAAACCTCGATGTTGGGTGTCTGAATCTGACAATCAAAAACTTGGTCAAATTCAGATATTCCTCATGTCCGATTAAAAAACTCCCGGGGTTTTTTTCAAAATGTAATTTGGAGTTGTGGTAACTGTCATATGAATATTTAGATTCAAAATGCAAAATAAAATCACAATCCGGTGATCAACTTGAACAATTTTATAAATTGACAAACAAGGAAGGAAAAGTTGTCGGAAGTAATTTTGGACAGAAACCGTGAGTTCAAGAATTTCGAAACATTATTTTTCATATTTATTTTTTTGAAGATATACATTCACTTTGGGAACTGGTCAAGTAATTCATGGAATGGATGTTGGAATGGAAAATATGTGTGTTGGAGAACAAAGAAAAGTTATTATTCCACCAGAACAAGGATTTGATGAAGATGGAGATGAAGTTGAGGGGGTAATATTTGAATTTCAGAAAATTATATGGGTCCCCTTAGATACTGTAAGGGATTTATGTTTGGAATTGGAATAACGTACGTATGTGACAAAACGAAGTAGTTAGAAAATACATAGTCTCACAAAAATACTGAAAAAAAATTAATGTGAAATAAATCCTAAAGTACTTCATAAGTTTTGAATAAAATGAAAAACTTGAAAATTTTATTACAATTTTAGTTGATAATTACAGTACTGCGGCACATTTAAAGGCACAAGTACGTAGAATTTTTTAGAATAATTTGAAAAACCCTAATTTCAACGAACTACAGTAATCTTTTTTATGGTGGTTTCAAGATGTTCCAGATTTGTGACAGAAGTGAATGAAGTAGTTTCTGTTTTCTGAGTTCCTAAAAATATTCTCTAACCGATTCATGGATATAGAATTTGAACTTAAATTTATCAGGGAAATTTGGAAACTGAAAAATATTCCTTGTTTATTTCTCACCTATAAAATTTGGCCCCTCGTTTAACTTTTGTTAGAAAATTAGCTATCTATTTATTTTTGGATTTCCCACGTTTGTTTTAAAGTTCACCTACAGTAATCCATCCTTTGGGAAATCAGAAAATAGATTTTGAATATCTACAACAAAAACATATCACCTCATTTTGTCGACCTATGAATTTGAAAACAGAAATTTCTAAAATTCTGTATATTTTCTCTTCTTGAGATTCTGAACTTCAGAAATAAAAAAAAATAATTTAGAAATTTGAAAATCAATTTAAATTTATTTCATATAAATCACAAACATATTTTTTCAAACCAAGTTTTCCTTTCAAAAATATTTTTCAGCAAGGTGAAACTCTGTATTATTTCGTCGAACTCAAAAGTATTTTCCGTCCAAATCCCGGAGAGAAATGGATAACAGATGAAGGTGTTCATATTCACGTAACTCATCAAATCGATGATTGTGATGTTCGAGCTGAAGCTGGTGATACTTTACATCAACAATATACTTTGACATTGGAAGATGGAACATTTGTTGATTCGAGTTGGAGTAGAAATCGACCATTTATTTTTAAAATGAATTCAGGAGCTGTTAGTTTTTTTCGAATTCAGATTTTTCAATTTATCAAAAATTCAGGTAATTCCTGGAATGGATATTGCAATGGCTGGTATGTGCCAAGGCGAGAAACGAAAAGTTATCCTTCCACCAGATCTTGGTAAGAATTTTCAACATTTTTCCCGAAATATTTTGTTATTTGCAGCCTACGGTGAGAAAGGTCGACCACCAGCAATTCCTGGCAACTCATTCCTTCATTTCGATTTAGAACTTCAAAAATTGATTCGTCCAGGAAAAGAAGAATTGTAAAATCTCAAACGCCATAATTTATTTCAAAAGGGTATTTGAAACAGAAAGAACTTTATCAAGTAAATAAAAAGTGATAAGAATTTGAGAAGAGATCTGTGAATAACGATTGAACTATTCATGTATATATCTCACAAAAAATACTAGAAAACGTATGACAGAAAAAAAAACAACAAGAGAAAATACAAGTTAATCCCAGAAAGATCGTTTCATGAAACTTTGTGGCGGATTATTATAATGTGGTGGTGGATTTTGATTTTGAGGTGGTGGTTGTTGATTTGGAGGAACACCAAAATAGCTGAAATTATTTCGAGGCGGTCCATCGCTTGTCCAATTCGTGTCATCTGTCCATGAGTTCGACATTCGATTACCACGTCCCCACGCTTCTGAAAATATAGATTATGGAAAAATTATGTTCGGAAAAATAGTTTCAATAAAAATTTCTGTTCAAAATTAGTTCAAAAGTAAAAAAAATGTCAGAAAGATGAATTTGGCCGTAGGGGGTTGGATTCCTCCTGGTGAAAAAATCGTCACGGTGTTGCGCGTATTTCTGCAAACACCCACACGAAAATTCAAAAAATGGGACCAACCCTTTCTTTTTTTCACAGTAGAAAAAAGAACTGACCCTCTCTAATCGGAACTTTTCCAAATGGTGTGTCGACGTGTGTTGCATTCATACTGTTTTCTCTATGCCATGGTAAACCAGAATTGCCAAATGGAGAAGAGCCAAATGATCTGCAAAAAAAATATTATCCACCTGAAATCTGAAACCAAATCATTAAAACAAAATGAAATTTCGGCCAAATTGTCACCATGGCTACGTTAATTCGAAAATGGTGAATTTTTCTCAAACATTTGTTTGAATTTTTAAAATGGCCCAGGTCTATCTAGGAAAAAACAAACCTATCACTAGTTCCAGCCGGTGATCCAAAAAACGAAGGTTCCATTCGCTGTTGTTGATGTGGTGGTTTCGGCGCTCCAGCCCAAGCAGGTGGTCCTCTTCCATTCGGTACTCCAAAATTATTTCTTTGCTGGCCTTTCGGCGTTTGCTGTTGCTGTTGTGGTTTTGGCGGAGGTTTCGCAACAGGATTAGCAGCAGCAGGTGCAGCAGTTTTGATAATCGATGGAGCCGCCGGTTTTTCAACATTTTGTGCCGGTGTTGCCACTTTTTCTTTCACAACACCAAATGGATTTGTATTTCCAACTTTTGGAGATTGTCCAGACGTGGAAGGAGAATCAAATGATGGAATTTGTGGAGGTTTAGAAGGTGGTGCAACGTGCTCATTTTCAGCTTGATTTTGCATTGCTTTTTTTATTTTCTTTGTTGGAGGTGAATTCCATTGATTCGAGTTCTGTTGTTTTTTCTGAGCCTGGGTATCTGAAACCATTTGACAATAATTAAATTCTATATTCAAAATCACTTACTTTTTTCACTATTTGGTTTTACAGCTCTTGGTTCTGGTTGAATTTGCGGCTTCTTTCTTTCTTTCATTGGTGGCAAAGTTCCGAAAAATCTCTCGGCCTCAACTTGTGCTGCAACCATTTTCAAAGTATCTGACATTCCATCTGTTAATTTCGATTTTGCATCCCAAGGAAGTGGTGCATGTGAGGTTGGCAATTTGACTTCCGGTTTTTTAACTGGTTGTACAGGAACACCAAATGGTGAAGAAAGTGTTGGAATTGTTGGAGCTGGAGCATTTAAAGCTTCTTTCGGTATCCAAGATGCAAATCCTGAAGCAATTGGAGCTGGTTTCGCAGGAGGAAGTGGACCTTTTTTGCAATTTGCTGGTGGAGATTTCGATGAATCATCTATTTCGCCATCTTCAAGAGGAGAAACTCGTTGTTTTCGAATATTATCTGTAGAAGAAATTGAAACTGTTGGAATATTTGATGGTGTAGAAGATGATGATGGTTCAGTTGAAGATTGTTGAATTGGTGTAGATGAAGAAGGTGGAGTATTAAATTTCGGCGTGTTCGGATTCTCGATAACCACACCTTGTTTCAATTTTTGATCTGCAAATAAAATGATTTTGTTGATTTTTCAACCGTGAACAATTATTTGCTTTGAATATTACTTGTTATTTTTTTAAATATTATAATACTCACTTTTCTTAATTAATGCATCATTTTGTTCTCTCAATTTATCTGCTTGACTTTTCCATGTTCTACTTTCATACTTCAATTTATCAACTTCTTGTGATAATATTTGTGCACATCTTTCTGCATTATGTGCTCGAACATCTCCTTGTTCTTTTTCTTTTCTCGCTGTATCCCGTTGCATTTGATATTCAACAACTTCTTTTTTCATGTTTTTGTTGAGTTTTTCGAAAATTTGGCAATGTGTGCATTTTTGTTCGTTTCCTGAAACTCACATTTTTTCGTCCGATTTTGAACCAAATTATGAAAATACTTACTAATATAAACAGTGTCTGACAACTTATTTTCAATATCTTTATATAATTTTCGCGATTCATTTCTTTGCTGTTCATATCGATCTTTTACACTCAAAAAATAATCAGCTCGATCTTTTTCATATTTCATCTCAGCTTCTTTCAAAAGAACTTTCGCTTCAATACTTTTACATTTTTGAATCATATCTTCATATTTCAATTCGATTTCATATTTTGCTTTCTGAAAAAAAAAGAATGTTTCCGCTTCCGCATTTTATTTTTCAAACTCACATCAAATTTGGAAACAGTTTTGCGAGATATTGAAATAACTTCTATATGATGTTGACGAAACTCTTCTCTCAATTCGATAATATCATCACCAATTCTTCTTAAATCATCAGTATAAGCCAATCTAAGTTGTCGAATTTTCTCAGATAATTTTGGCATCAATTCTTTATATTTTGCTTTGATTTGTTCAGATTCTTTGATTTGCGATTCCTAAGAGAAAAAAAACAAGGGATAAATTTTCTCAATTTTATAACAATAAATATAATTGAACTTACCTGTTCTTGAATAATTCGTTTCATATTCAAAAGTGTTGCTCGAACCATCAATGGCATATCTTTTATTCTTACAACAATTTCCGGTTTGAAATTTGCGTTCAAATCAGCAATATACATAGATTTAATATATTCACTTTCCAGAATAAGTTCATTTTCACATTGTGTTCCAATATTACAATATTCAACACTTGAAGAAGCGGATGAAGCTGAAGACGGAGATGTTGAAGTTGCTATTTCATTGTTTTCTTGAATATTTTTCGGATAATCTTTTCGTTTCGTCTGTTTTTCTGACACTTTTTTCTCTGCAGCTCGTCCTAAAATTACAATTACAATTACTACTGTCATTTGTATGGAATAACAAACTTTTTTCCTCTTGTTTTATTTTATATGCTTCTCTTCTTCTTTCATTTTTTGCATCCAACAGTTTCGCTTTATGAATTTCTTTGGCTTTATTTCCATCTTCAGTTGATTTCTTTGGAGTTTCTTCGTTATAACTTACTGAAAATTGATTTTCGATGATTTTAAATTTCAATTTTACAAGTTGTTTCACTTACTACATTTGACTTTTCTTGGACCGAGAACTAAATCATCATTTTCTTCTTTTTTCACTCCTTCAATTGGTTCTAATACATAAACATATCCTCTACTCGATCTTACTGCTGGTTTTGGAGAACATTTTGGAATAAGACCCGATTCCATTTTCTCTTTTCTTTTTTTGATTGATGATTGTTTTCTAGAGTTGAAACCCGTCTTTTTTGTTCTCCTTTTTCTAGGTTTTGCAACTTTCTGTTGACTTGAAGATTCTTTATTTTGGTTGGTTGCCTCTTCTTCATTAGAATCCCCATCTTCCTCTTCTTGATTCTTGCAACAATCTTCTTCTTCTCCTCCTTCCATTGATTCATTGTTCATGTCTGTTTCCTTATTCTTGATTGAACTCAATTTTATATCCTCTTCTTCATCATCATCTTCTTCAAAACCTAACGAATTTCCTTCTTCTTCTTCTTGATTTTTCATCGAAATTTGTGATCTTCCGAAAGGTCTTCCAGTGTCATCAACTCTCATTATCGAACTTCTATCTAATCGCATTCCTTTTCCAAACCAAAGTCCACAATCATTCGAAATACACTTTGTTTTGTAAATCCATGGACGAGTTTTAGCCTGAAAATGTATTTTTGACTTTTCAAAAAATACGTAGATGAAAACTAAATTTACTCACCCTGTATATCGCTTTAATATAAGCTAAAACAACAGAATTTCCTCCACATCTATCACATTTCACATCAACGCATTCGGTTACCAAAATAGGAGGGATAGGTACTTCTGGGTATAGTACATCTTGGGCCTTTTCGCTATTATCAGAAGAACTTCTAGATGTTTCTTCGTCTTCGATTCTTTGTTTTGGTTCATTTATTGGTCTTCCATCATCGGAAACTTCTATAAAAGTTCCTCGATCGAATCGATAATTGTTACCAAACCAAAGTAAACAATTTGGATCTAAACATCGTGATCGATATATCCAAACAACTTGAGCGCGGTTTTTCGGCTGAAAATGATTTTAAGTTGAGTTACGGGTTTTCAAAAATGAAGCGAAGAGAAAATTATTGCTGTTTCACGTAAAAATATGTCACGCAAAATCTGATCTTTTTAAATAGATTTTGCATCAGAATCTTTTTAATTTTGTGAAAGTCATTTCTTAATTTCAAAAAAATGGAAATGCGCATTTTCAACAGGAAAACGAACAACTTTGATGGATTTTGAAAGGACTAACCCTAAATGAGGATTTCGAAAATTGCGAGTAACCCGAAGGACTACGGCAGTTTGGACAAACAACAGCTGTGTCTTCCGATGTCGTCGGATCTGAATCTTTTTCGGCCGATTCAACTACTGCAGTCGTAATGACGTCTTCAGTGATCTGCAGAAAATATTAATTTTAAACATTGTTTTTAAAAGTTTAATCAACAAAAACTAACATCAAAAATCGCCGATGACGTTGCGCTGAGGTGTTCTTGTTCATCTTCGTCATCCATGAATCTATGCTTCTGTAAAAAATCAAAGTTTAAGCGCGTATGAATGAAAAACGCAAAAAAAATAAAATCCATTTTTTACAATGAGTTTACGGTATGCAGTTGTGTATACACCGCATTGACACAATGCATACTCTGACTACCGTAGCACATCGAAAATAAATTATTTTATTTTTCTTTTCTTTCCTTCTTTTTTTTCGCAGCCAAAAAGTGGTCTGTTCGCAGCTTCTTAATAATTTTTATAATTTTCAGATGACTAGTGAATTTGAACCGGATTGGGCGGATGCCCCAGTTGAGGAAAAGTACGTTTTTCAATTTGATTTTGAGCAAAATAAACGTATTTCCATTCTTTCAGAAAACAAAGGAAGGAAACGGCTTCAATGTTTGGACCACAAAAAGATCCTAAATGGTGGGATATCAATACTTTTAATAAGGAAGATAATCCACACGGTCTCCTTCAAGAATCATCATTCTCCAGTCTTTTCCCAAAATACAGAGAAAAGTATATCAAAGAAAGTTGGCCGCTTGTTGAAAAAGCAATGGGTGAACATTTCTTGAAAGCAGATTTGGATTTGTTAGAAGGAACAATGTGTATAAGAACAACTCGAAAAACATGGGATCCTTATATAATTATGAAAGCAAGAGATGTTCTCAAACTTCTATCAAGAAGTGTTCCTTATGAACAAGCAATTCGTGTTTTGGAAGATGAAATTTATTGCGAGATTATCAAAATTTCATCAATGGTCAGAAACAAGGAGCGATTTGTGAAAAGAAGAGCAAGACTTATTGGAAATGAAGGTTCGACATTAAAAGCCTTAGAATTGCTTACACAATGTTTTGTTTGTGTTCAAGGAGGAACTGTTTGTGCAATTGGACCATTGAGTGGATTGAAACAAATCAAGTAAGTAATTTTTCAAACTTTTTTTTAATTCTTATGCAAACATATTATTTTTTCAGCCAAATTGTAACTGATTGTATGAATAATATTCATCCAATTTACAACATCAAAACATTGATGATTAAAAGAGAATTGGCGAAAAATGAGGAATTGAAAGATGTAAATTGGGATGGATATTTACCAAAATATCGAAAGAAGGTTCAATCAGCAACAACAACAAAAGAAGCAAAAAAGAAGAAGGCAATGAATATGAAAAAGAAGGGAGAATATACACCATTCCCACCAGCACCAGTTTTGAGCAAAATTGATAAACAATTGGAAAGTGGAGAATATTTTGTTAGAGAAAACGAGAAAAAGATGAACAAGAAAAGGTTAGTTTTGTCTTTAGGCTAACTCATTCTGTTCCTCGAAATCATATAATTAACTGATTTTTAGAGCAAAACTCGAAGCTTCCGCTGTTAAGACAATTGAAAAACAACAAGCCAAGTTGAAAGTGTATCAACAAAAAGATGAAGCTCCACGTGAAAAGGTTACCAAGAAGCGTGAAAACGACACGCCGCTTGATCTCGAAAAACTGAAGAAAAAAGTCAAGAGAGTTAAAAAGTAATTTTTTGATGTTTTCGTTATGTTATTTTTTTGTTCTGTTGTTTGTTGTTTATTTTATTTGAATAAAGAAAAACCCGATTTATTGATTACTGTAACTGTTTTAATTTAACATATAAAATTGATTTAGTTGGCGATGCCAAAATCAAATATATTAGCGAATTCTGCGATGTTGCTGAAATTATTTCCATTATTTTTTGATTAATTAGTGAACTTGTATCTTCAATTTGACCTTCCTCTCTGAAAAAAAAACAATTTGAAGACAATTTTTGAAGAAAACATACTCATTAGCTATTTCAGGTGTCATTCCACGAAAATATGAAGAATTCAAATTTGCAAGAATCAAATTATGTTGCATCATTTCCATTTTTATATCATTTACATGGTTTTCAATGTTATTTGAGAAAATCCACTTCGCTCTGAAAATTTGTTTTTTTTTCTGAATAAATTCAAATTCATTCTGACTTACTTTTCAGCGTGTTCAACATCTTCTAACTCGTGTTTCTCAAAAGCACACAAAACTGATAATTGTTTATCTTTTTCCAAATAATAGTCGATATTTCTTGTCTTTTTTGTATTGTCAATTCTCAATGTTTCACTCCAATCAATATTTCCTTCTTTGTTTTCCTCATTTTTCCAACAATCGACACAAATTTCCGGGAATTTTGCATCTCGACAAACACAATTCTCTACAGTACATTTAACGTGAGAGCGCTTTTGACAATTTTTGCACTTTGCTGAAGTTTTTGGTGACTTTTTTGATTTTTTCTTCGTTTCTGGTTCCTGTGCGAGGTTGTTCAAATATTCATTATAATCCCAGCCATGTTTTACATTTCCAAAAATTAATCTGAAAATATTTTCTTGAAAATTTTAAAATCATATTCAACTTCAAACATACCCAGCGCTCAATTTCATTTTTACTAATCTCATCGCTGCCCAAGCATCTTCATATGAGCAATGACCAAAACCACCTTGAATATTTTCATTCAAAAACAAACTCGTTAAATTTTTGAGACTATTTTTTGAAGTTGTTCCTCCACTATAACTCAAAATTGTTGAAGCATCAATTATATATCTGAAAATTTCAATAAGTTTTGAGAATATTTTTTATTAAGAAAAACATACGGATGTGCCATTTTCATTGCTTTCAAATCGTGTTCTAAAGAATGTCCAACAAGAATTGCATCAGGTGGTAAAATAGCTTGAACCGCTTTTTGAACATCTTCTAATTTTGTTGTAACATTTTCCAACATTTTTTCTGTGATTCCCGAAAATTTTGTCAAATAATCAACAATTCTAGATTCTGGTTTGACCAAAGTATCTAATAAAACAGCACCTTCTTCATCAACAATTGATATTCGAGTTAATTCATGACATTGTGCTTCAGTGATACACATTTCACAATCAATCGAAAACATTGGCGAATCGTCCGTTATTTTAGCATATAGATTTTTAGTAGTAACAATGTTTTGCTCTCCCGGAAACGGATAGAGATTTTCAGCCATTTCATCGGTGCATAATAAATAATTCAGTTTTTCGAAATGTTCCTCATTTGTTTCAGCTTTCTCCAAGTTCTCCAAAACCTGTTCTTGTATAGTTAGATTCACATTCATCAAATTGTGCCAAAATTGTGATTTATCGTATATACTCGAATCAATTGATAACCATTCTCGATTGAAAAATGTGTCAACATCGGAAAATGAAGATGATTCCTGGAATTGATAGTGTTTATAGTCGAACAAAAGAAAAAAAACTTACGATCATATCAATTGGAACATCTACTCGTAGTAATAATTGTTGTAAAACACTTCGAGGTTTTCTCAAAAAAGCCCATTTTGGTTTTGTAACTAATCCACGAAAAAGTGTATGATGAACCAATTCGCAAATGTCTTTTCCTCCTAATAATTCACCGTTGAGTTTCGAAAGATTCAAAATCAATTGTGGTCCATTTGCAGAACTCGGTCTATCTGAACTTTTTCTACTCGTCGAAGCAGTCTCCAATTCTGAAATAAAAAACAAAATTCTATAAAAACTTGATATTGAAAATTTACCTTGGAAACTTTCTTCTTGGGCATCACCATTCTCGAACAAATCATTAATGCTATCTTTCAGACTGAATTTCTCTTCGCGAAATCTTCGTTTGCCCATTCTATGAGTCGAATCCCAAACCTAAAGAAAGAACGAAAAAAATAAAAGTGTGTGTCAACACCAACTGGTCCGCAAACATTTAATCTTACGCGCTGACGCGAAAAGCCGCTGCAGAATAGAAAACACGCTGCTCGCCTATTGTATTTTTTGGGGATTTTTAAAAATGGGAACCCCCCGGATTTTAAAAGGGACACGTTAAATTTTAAAAGGGACACGTTAAATGTATGAACATTGGGAACCCTGAGAGTCTTTCAACCTTTGCTTTTCCCAGGGAGAATACTAGTTTTCGCGAAAACGAAAAAAAAACCGAAGAAAATTCTCTGGCCTAGGAAAAATTTGGTTTGCTAGTCCCTATCATATTTTTTGTTTTCGGCCGAATGCGCGCGAATTATTTTCCGGTGGTGTCACACCAATTTTCCAAGTTATTTTTTATTAGATTCGCAGAATATACCTAGAAGTTTAAAATGAGCTATAATGATTACACTGATGATGAAATAGAACAAGTTGTGAATGAGATGGGATTGGAAATCCACGATATGGACTTTTTGCATAAATTGAGAGGAGGTGAGTTCTTCAAATCCAACATTTTTCAAAATGAAAATTTTTTATTTTCCAATTTTATACCGTGAACTTTTTTTTCCAGTTTCACGTGTTCATCCAAATATATTAATTTCCAAAATTTCTGAAAAAACAATTCGCTTGAATAAATTATTCCAAATTTTCAGAAATCAACAAAATTCTTGATGAAGATGAAGCTGCAGATGACGATACTCAAATGTTTGGCGGATTGTCGATCGATAATTCACCACCTTCGTCTAAAAATCAAAATAATGTAGTCAATTCTCCTATTGTTTCAAGAAATCATCGCAATCTACAGTATCCAAATGAAGAAATTCCAGAGCAAGGTAATTCAGAAGAAGCCAATTCGTTGATCAGTCAAGCATTGAATACAATTGGCCGGATGTATAAAACATGTCGAAATGCGGAAGCTGTCACTGAGGTAACGTTTTTTGTTAGTTTTTTAAACATGATTGATTTGAGTTTTTTCAAAAATCTAGCTACTAAATTATTTAACATAGGAAGAAAAGAAGAGGTTTGATAAAATTTTGATATAATTATAACTTATGAACTTTAGGCCATGAGAAAATCCAGCGATTTCCTTGATGAAGAAGTACCAGAAGCCTCTCAGGAAAATGATGAAGTTATTGAAGACGAAGAAGAAATTTATGAAGACGATTTTTCTGAAGAGACCCCAAGAAAATCTCCGAAAAAAGTTAAAATAGTTGATCCAAGTTTTCGACCTGTTTTAGTTCGTAAACCAGGACGTGCTCCTTTAAAATGTGATCCTGTTACAAGATTCCATTTATATAAAGAAGAATGGGCGAGACATCCAGCTCCAGGAGAACTGAGACGATTATCATTGAGATGGAAAGTTCGAGAATATATGTTAAGACATGATGTTCCAAGATTACACGATGGAAAAGCAGAACATCCAAAAGATTGGTCACCAAGACCATATATCGATTAATTTATTGTTTTATCTCAATTTGTTCATTATGAAATGATTTAATGTAAAAAATTTCAAAAATGAAAAATGTGTTCAAATAAAACACGAAAAAAAGTATTTCGAGTTCTCATTAGAAAAAAATCACAGAAAAAATTGTAGATGAGTATACGAAAAATGCAAGAAAAATTTATGTTGGCACTCGGGCAACACAATATACCAGGACTTCGATGGGTTTTGGAGGGATTCAATTTTTATGATATTCAACGAGTGAAAGAAGTTGGAGCAGATCGAGCAGCTGCTGAATGGGTTGTTCGTTGTGGTGGTCAAATTAAATTCAAACAAATTGAAGAAAATTTTGCCGATTATAATGTTTTAATCAAAAGAACTGCACAATTGGATCCAAGAATTTCAGCTGATAATGTAACAATTGAAACAATTTATGCTGAAAATGCAAGTATCACTGGTTTCGGCTGTCAACATTTCAGTGAGTTCAACATTTTGATCTTTCAGAAAATTTAGAAAGTTATTTACAGAAAACTTAGCAGAAATAAAAAATGTTCATTTCATTCGTTGCAAAAACTTTCACGATTTTGGAATCGAATATATCGGAAAATATGCCGGCGACAAATTGAAAGTTTTGGAAATTAATGAGTGTCCAAGAATCACGGAATTTGGATTGGAACATCTTTTGAAGTTTGAGAAACTAGATAGACTCATTCTCAAAAATTTGAAGTCGGTTCATGGAAAAGAAAAAATAGCTCAAAAGCTGAAAGATGCACTCAAGAATACAGAGATAATATTTTAACTGTACAGTTAAAATTAAAAAAAAATTATAATCATAAATGTATTATAGGTTCTAGTGTTTTAGCGATGTATTTGAAAAGTGAAAACACGATTTTGTTTCAATAAACAATTTATTGATAAGCTCTTGTCTCTATGGATTGTATTCAATTGGCAAGTTCTTTCTGCGAACCATACCGTCTCCTTGGAACCATTCACGACGGAATTGTTTGGCAGCACCATCTGGAGTATTGGTCCATTCAACGGTAATACGGTCGTTGTTGGTATCTTCTTGTCCATAAGCGAAAGCATCGCATGAAACAGCAAGAAGAACAGCTTCCTTTGGGTCCAAAACTCCACATGGTGGATCAACACCAAGTCTCTTCATGTTGGTGGTCTTGATACCGTATCCAATACGACGAGCAGATGAATTGATTACCTTGATGTGGTAAGTGTGTTTGTCATCGTATGGAGCATTGAAGACAATCTTGGCATTTGGTTGAGTTTGGATATCTCCTGGTGGAACTGATTGAGCCATTTTTGAGGATGGGTTGATGAATGCGGTGTGGAGAGCGGTTTAAATAGTAAAATGATAAAATCTTTCGACGTGGAATTCAAACGTGGCAAGATACGTATCAATTTCACGTTTTTAAACATTTTATTTCAAGAAAAATGTTGATTTGAAAAAACCCGGGAATTCACATTCAAATTATTGTGGATTACTGTAGGCGAATTTTTTGTGTGCATTCGAGATTTTCTGCAAACACCACACACCTGCACAGTCTTGGAATTCCAGCTTTTTTTCGAATTTTCGTTGTAGAGAAACATGTTTTCGATGAACATTTCGTCAATTTTGGGAGAATTCTCGTGAGTTTACAGGGTGTTTCATAAATAGTGTTACAAGAGTTGTTCAACTTTAGGTCAGTTTTGTGAATGTTGGGTAATTCCGATCGTTTTGGTCGTAAGATCAAAAATGTAGGGTTTTTCTTCCTCTACAAGAGCTATCTATGTAAAATTGACATCAATGTGTTTTGGACACTGTTTATGACGTGTAAACAAAAACGAATTTTTGGAAAAATCCTTTTCTGGCACGACGGTCTTTCCAAAAATGAAAAGCCATGAAATCTTTAGTTTTTTTGAGTTTTGTGGCTTAATATGATATTTTCTAATGTAAACAATGTTTCTAGTCAAAATTTCACACAACTCCAGATATTCATTATTTTTTTCTTGAACTTAGAAGAAGATCTTCAATTTCGACTGAAACTTCGGATTTTCCCGATTTTTCGACAAAAATATCGTTAAAATCGAGTTAAATTTTGATGTAATCGGTCAAATCAGTTATTTATAGAAGAAAAAACAATTGTGGTACAGAAATAATAAATATTGAGTGGAAAAAATCATATTTTTCCACAAAAGCTAAAAAACTCAATTTTATTTTTTGACAATTTCGAAAAGTAGGTTCACTTTGACCTCCCGGCTACGAGTCTACAGTAATGCTGTTACTTTGTCCGTTTTAAATTAACGAAATAAACCCGTCAAAAAGAGTTTTCGAAAGTTACTTTCGGGAAAAGGCCAATTTCAAAAATAAAGGATCTCATTGAACAAAAAAAATCGTGCGTGCAACAGTGACCCTCCACTGGCACACTTGGGCTGGTGGCAATGGTGTGAAAGTTGAAATGAGATGTTATTCATTTTCGAATCTTGTCATACTTACGTTCGGCTAAGTTTGTGTCAAATAATATTGAGTTTTGATCTTTTGCCTTTCTCTAGGTGGGCTGTGCAAGTTGTAACACTATTTATGAAACACCCTGTAATGAAAGTATTGAAAATGACGAATTACTTCTGTTCAGGATCAGACAAAACACGACCATATTACCGGAAAAACGACCAAAAATTGATTTTTCACGAAGAAAAACAGCAGAAAACATGGATTTGTTAGAAGGATTCGATCCGAATATAGAGTTGCAAACATCACATGGAATTCATCATCTTTATAATTTCATGAATTCCGCAAATTTTTTCTCAAGATTCATAAGAAATTTCGATAATTTTAAAGAAACTGTAAGTTTATTCAAAATTATAGCTCGAAATATCATACTTTTTCAGGATTTCCTATTTGTTTGTTGTCGTTATGTCTTGACTCAAATTGAGAAATTTACCCGTGGAGTTCCGGACCATTTTGAGATCTTAGCTTTTCGAAAGGATGATATAATTTATATTGGATGCGATCGAAGTATGATTACTCGAAAGTAATTTAGAAAAAAAAAACGAATTATAAGTGATTTATATTTGTATTCTTCCAGAGTTTTAACCGAACAGAGCAAGTTGTCAATATTTTCTGGACTTAAATTTGGAAAGTGTTTGACAACTGGAGATTGGAGCAATCTAACGGATACTCATTCAATTATTCGGCATATTAGAATTATCAATCATCAAACAAATTCAGCACATTCTGTAATTTGCTCTTCAACTGTTCGAGCATTTGATAATAACTGTAAGTTATTTCAATATTTTTATCTTTCAATCCTTTCAATTTTAATTAGATGAAAACGATTTTCAGCTGAACCAATCGAAATTCATGTTAAACGCGATAGAAAAAGCTTCCAACATTGTATTCGAGAATGGAGCTTTGGAGCTCGTCTTTCTGGCAGTTCAAAAATCATATTTGGAATCAGAAATGAAAATTATAAAATAACGAAAATTAGCGAAACTAGAAGTATCCGAACAGATCATTCGAGCGCTTTAAATATGATCAGCGAAGTATTGACAATGATTGCGAAACTTATCGAAAACGAAAAATGTGTAGCCGTTAAACCAAATTTTGAAACACAAGATATGGAATTTGAAAAAGTAGACATTTCATATATGAACAAATCTGAGCAATGGTGATTGAACTTAGAAACATACAAAGATAACTAAATTTTTAAATAATTATTACTGAAAAATTAACAAAACATTTTTTTAATAATAAATTTTATTTTTTCCGCGTGCTCTATTTTATGGTCTGTTTTATTCAAGACTGTTATGTTCAGTTCTTTATTTTTTTCAAGAATGGAAGTGTCAGCACAAAATTTTGAAACAGGTTTTTACAAAAAGAAAACAAAAGTGTTTTAAAAATATTTTTTCAGAGTTGTCAAATTGTAGCATTTCTGAAACCGATATTACACTGAATAGTTTGGAGAATGTAACAATTTTGGAAAAATGTACGTTTATATTTTTCTTGGTTCTCACAATCAATCAATAAATTTCAATTTTTAAGTGATTACCGCAATTGGATCTTCATTCGAATCAACTCTCGATTCCGAAGATGATGATTTGTCTGTAAAAACTGCTGAATCATTTGATATGGATGTTCGAGCATATGCTGAACCATCACTTCCAACATCAGCTGAATATTATTCATTCAAAGAAGACTGTTAGTTTTCACTTTAAAATTATTTTTATCAAAAAATAATATTCAACATTTCAGATGAAATCTATGACTTCAAAAATAATCACCAACTTGATCAGGATATTATTTACAACTCGAATGGCGATATTAAAGGTGAGTTTCTTTCCTTAAAAATTTCAAAATAATTGGGGTTATATAGCATTCGATATAATAACACATGATAATCGAGTAAGAGTTGTTGATTCAAATGAATGTCTTGATTATTTGATGAATGCTTCACTTGAACCAGCTCATTTTAATCCTGTTTATTATCTTGGAGTTGATAATAAATCGAAAAATGAGTATATTGGGAAAGAAAAAGAGGATGAAAAAGAAGAAGACGATGAATATAGTGATATTTTGACAGCTGAATTAGGACCAGCTTTTGGTGAATTATCAAGTTACTTGAGAGGTGATTTCGATCATGAATAAAGTGTTTCTGAATTCAGAAAATCAATTTATTCAAGTATGAAAAAGTCAATCAAAAAAGGAAAATTTTGAAAACATGAAAGAAAATATCACAGACAAGAAAAAAAGTTGAAGTTTTTGAGCAAATTCTACTAGGCAATAGCGACATCAATTTCGTCGAGTTTGATGACTTTTTCACTAGTTTTTTGAGATTTTTCAACCGCAGCTGATGAGATTGAAGGTGTTGTGATAATACGAGACTCATGATCTGGACCAATTTCATAACTAAATGTTCGGTACGCTTCAATTGGTTCAATAACATTGACTATTCTGTAAAAGTTAGGATTGGATTAATCAGGAAAATTTGTTAGATAAAAATAACCTGATGGACTGTTTTGATGGAATGTAGAAAATATCACCTCGTTTAATATCGTATTTGCTAACCTGAACATTTTTATGTTATCTACTTGATATATTATTGGAAGTTTTTCAACTTACAAATTCATCATTTTGTGTTCTCTCTTCAATACTCGCACTTCCACTTGTAATAACTAAAATCGATGCACATTCCAAAGCAGGTAATTGAGAATTCTCTGGCTGTTGATCAATTTCAACATTGATTTTGTGTAATTGAAAATCTTTACAATCTGGCGCGAATTCGGCAACACAATCAGTCAATTGAGTTGGATGAACCAAATAATCTTCTGGTTCTGTCATTTTATAATTGAGAACTTCACAAAGTGCCTCACGATCGATGAATTTTGGTGTCATAGCTGCACGGATTGTGTTATTCGAACATCCAACACATTCAACACATTCTCCACTTAAATATGCATGCAATTCTTCAGCTGCATAATAACAACATTGACCTGGTTCAAGAATCATATGATTCAAAAATAATGGAGAAAATATTCCAATATCATTTGGAAAATCGATTGACATTTTTCGAATAACTTCGACTGTATTTTCTTGAACTGCACCGCGAACTCCATTTGATAATTCCTCTAATAATTTGAAGACAAGACCCTGCAAATTTATTTTGTTACTTTTTCTAGAAATGATTTTCCAATTCTAGGGTACTAACCTTAACTTCTGAATTTTGAATCATCATCATATATTTAAAGCATGCAGCCAAAGCTTGTCTACATTTAATTGATTGAGAAGTGTTTTGAATAATAACTGTTTCGAGTTTTTGAACCATTTTTTCGCCACCGAAAAGTAGTCGCAATGAAGGAAAAGCTGAAAGATTTGGCTTATTTTTTCTTCACAGGGAACTCCGGTGTCGTTTTTTTGAATTTCTTAGTTAATAGAAACTGATTCTCTTGTTAGTACATTTTCCACAAGTTACTTTCAAGTACCTTTTAAATTATCTAAAATCTCATTCGATGGTCGAAATCCGCATAATAATTCAAATCGTGTTAAAGCATATGCTAATTCTGGTTTATGATTACGATCCGGATAATGAACTGGATCTCTTTCATGTAATCGTTTAGCTTGTTCTTTTGTTGGATGAACTTGTAATGAAAGAGTTGTTCGAATTGACATTATTTTCATAATAAATGGAAGATGAATATTTTTGGAAGAGTTATTGTTTGTGATCAAAGGTGATGGATTTTTTGCCAAGTGTGTTGATAATTTTGTCAAGCATTTTTTGAGTTGAGCTGGTCCATCTGGATGAGTTCCCATCCATAGCTGCAAAAAAATTATGTTTTGGTTTATTTTCGTATCAGTTTTTGTAAAGTATTTTGGTATCTATTTGCACTTTCAAACGTTTGTGAAGTTTACCCGATGATCTTCGTTGTCATTTTATTTTCGGATAAAAGAAGAAAACGAACAATAAAGATAGGGAATCAGGTTTTAAACAGTTCTTTGTACAAACAAAATATACTGTAAATGTTACGTAACCATTTTTTTAGAAGGTCAAACATTGAAAATGTTCTTGTTTCGAGTATGAATAGTTTTCTTCGATGTATTTTCAGTTTTGGCCTTCATGTGAAAATTGTTATCAATGTTTATTTGGCTAACTTGATACTTGTTTGTTCGAAACTGAAGAATTTGGGTTGTTCAGATGATTTTTGAAGTGTCACACCCATTCAAATATATTATCCTTAGATAGCTTGAGAGCATTTTTACCTCGACGTAGAATTACACAAAAAACGTGAAATCTACATTGATCATATCGGGACAATACTGTTATGGGTGGAACAATTAACCTAATCTCTCAAAAATTTTAATTTTGTTAATTTTGTATTCTGCTAAATATTCGAACCTCTGCATATGGTGCATTTTTGTCGATTGTAAAATGTTCATGTCCATCAGCAAATAATCTGGCAACTTCACTTTCTTCTCCAAATTTTCCCCACGCATACTGTTTCACATGACAATGTAACTGTTCCATACCCAAGTGATGTTATCTTTCTTCTCACAAAGAAGTTGTGAAAAATGAATGAAATACCTGGAAAATCAATATTTCGAATTGGGTCATTGTTGGCGATTTGACACAGTGTGACGAAAAACAGAAAAGAATAAGAAGAAAAGTTGATACGAAACGAGAAAAAATTGGGGGAAAAATTATTGGAATTCTTTTTGAAAATTCGAAAATTCAAAGAAACATTAAAGAGATACGGTGTGAGGATGTGTCTTACACCGAAAGTTGTCCTCTTTTTTAATGAAGATTTTATCGCGCTTGTACTTTGCGCGGAGAGGCGCAAAAATACAGTTTTCATGTGGTTTCTAAAATGATTCAATGAATTATGATGTTGGTTCTTTTTTTAAAAAATTGGAAGGGAATATGGTAGGACCAGAAATGAAGTTTGATAATCTGGGAAGCTAGAGAACCTTTTTGATAGTAACAATGTTTCTAGAAAAGCCCAGAACTTTTTCAACGTATTCAACTTCTACGTTGAAAATGTTATGTTATATAACAGTTTGATTAATTAGGATTGGAGAGTTCCGAACAACTACATTGAGATCTTGTGAATTCAACAAATTGTTGACCACAACAGCAGACTGCAAAAAGTTGCAATGTTTTCTGAAAAAGAATACAAAGAAAAAATTCGTCAAAAACCAAAACAATGAATGACATTTTTAAAAACGAAAACGAAATAAATGAAGAAGGCTGAACTTATACCCATTTTCGGACGCATAAAAAACCTACCCGCCTAGAACAATTTTTTCTCAATCATCAAAGTACAGTAACTTAGTTCTGGAAACCAAAGTTTTTTCTTCACTTTGGGTGGTATTGATATCGTTTAATGGATTCAGACACACACTTACCAAAACCTTTGGTCGCAAAAATAGGTTTAGTGGAACGTGTTGCAAAAAATGCAAGATTCGAAAGATAAGATTGGTCTCAGTCTTCTCCCGAAAAAACCGGGTGGTCCAAGCTCGTTGCAGAAAAATACAGTGAGACAAGATTGACTTATTAAAATAAAATAAACAAAGAGTGAACCTGTTGGAAAGGAAGAAGTAAAAGAAGAAGTGAAAAATGACACAACAAAAACAACCGAATTGGAATGGAATGAAATGAGAAGAGAGGTTAGTGGAAAAAAAGTATTATAGTATTTAGTACAATGAGAAAATAGTACATTGAAAAAATATCATAAGAAAAAAAAAGAAGAAAGAGAAGGAGAAAAAAGAAGAAAGAATAGATAAATTATGTCGAGAAAAACGAAGATGGTCATCATGATCCATATCACTGAAGAAAGACATACCCGAAATGAAAATACAAGGTCATCGCCCTCTTCGCAACCAAACGCTCCAATTTTGCGGGCCGCTTTTACGAAATCAAAAACACTTTTCATTTTTGGATCATACATAAAATGGGTCCCCAGAATCGGGGTGAGGGTCTTAACTTTTTTCAAAAACCTGAAGGGAAGGGTGCCTAACTTGGCCAATTTTCTGCTGATAATTTACCAAAATTCCCAGATTTGTCCAAAATTCGCTCAAAAATGTGAGGAAGGTGTTTGACTTTGGAAAATTTTCAAGGAGGGACCCTAACTTTGAAAACTGACTCGGGGGACCTATTTTATGTATGTTTTGGATGAAAAAATATGGTACTAAAAATAGAATGTAGCAAATCAAAAACAATTGGAAACAAGTTTCAATTTCAGTTTTATTGCAATTTCTTTCTCGCATATTTTGTCAATCTCTAACTATCTAAAATAGTTTCAAATAAATGTGCAATTCATGAAATGTTATTTAAAAACATTCAGATCGGTCCCTCTATTTTTCTGTATTTTGTGTTGTTGCATCAAAATTCGTCATATTTTCCAACACCAGATTTTTTGAAATTTTTTATCACCATATCATTGACATTCTCTTAACAAAATGGACGAATCTTCGAGTCGAAATGGGCGGAAATAAGAACTACAAACAGTTGGAAACAGTTACATTAGAAGAACGGTTGGAACGGATTTCTTGAAAACTTGGAAGTTTGGTTTTTACGATATAGAATTGGGACACAAATTGATCTTTGTTTGTTGTCATTTTTATTATTAATGTTAACGAATTGTTGAGAGTTTTGGAATCGAATTATTTCCGATATACATAATCGTGATTCTCAGAAATTCTGAATTCCAAATTATCGAAAAGAAATAAAAACTCTTCCGAGTTTTTGAAAAACACGGAGTCATGCAACTTTTTCTCCATTAGGAGTGATCCAAGAGCATCAAACAGCTAACGGGTAGATACGATTCAGATTCAAACATCCTAAATATAAGATCATATTTGAATAATCAGACCTGCCCCATTGAGAATTGGGCCAAGAATTTGATTCTTGATTCTGCTTGCAAAGTTTTGTTGAATTTTTTGTAAATTACAAAACCAGTTTCTTTCAATTTTTGTAACTTGTAGACAAAACACAGTCGATTATAATTCATTCTCTGTTTTTTTTCTCGATTTGTTTCACTGAAACATGATTTCTCTAATAGATTTTTAAAAGAAAATATGTACAAAATGAAGCTAAATATTTATTAATCAAATCTCAATGATAAACATTTCGATTACTTTTTATACGAGTTGCCATGTTTTTTTGCATTTCGAGAATCATTGTTTGTATGGCCTGTAAAATTTCCTTATTTTTCAATATTCTCAAAAAACAAAAAATCGGACCTTTTTCTAGTTTTGATTATTATTCTTTTTCGAAACTTTGGTCTCTGAAAATCTCATGTTTAAATCTACTATAAACTTAATATTAACTCAAAATTCCATGCAAAATTAGGTTTTCAAACACAGAGAGAAAAATGAACCTCAAACTGTTTTTGTTGAAATTTCATCATATTTTCCATAAATCTCATATGTTGATGCATCCAATTGTCAAATTCTGGAGCATATGGGGAAAACTGAAAATTTTATGAACATTTTCCAATAAAACACAAAAATTATTAATCCTCAATTCCAATTTCATCCGAATCGACTCCAGTTGATATTACCTTATGAGTTGAACCTAAAAAATAATGAAAATTTTTTATGATCAGCAAATTGAGATATTTTACCATAAACTGTTGGAACTCCGAGACCCATTCCCATTGACATCATCTGTAACAAAAACAATTGTTTGTTATCATGAAAATAGGAAAAAATACTCTAATTTGAATTAGAATAGTCCAAAAAACCAAATTTGTTCAAAAAATCAAATTACCATGTTATCTTGGTGCATTTTTTGCATTGCCATATGATTCGCAAGAGCATTTTGATAAGCCTGAGAACTTCTCTGAAAGTTTAAATTTTTATTCATAAAACCCAATAAAGGTGGTATACCGCCGAATCTTGTGGGGATGAACTTCCGAAAGATTGTTGCCTGAAAAATGGATATTTTAATCTAGAATATTTCAACTTCTAATACTTTTGATAAGATGAGCTCCAAGAGTTTGCTCCAGGTTGGTTGAGAACATTTACTTCAGCGTGTTCGTGACCACCTGGTAAACTGAAAAATATTGTTGGTGTTTTTTTTTTGTTGGGACATTTCTTACACTCGATGATAAGTTTTCGAATAAGTTGGAGGTTCAACTCCTCCCAATCTCGTTTTTTCCGCGTTATAATCTCCAGACATCGGAAAAGTCGATTCGACAACTTCTAAACTTTCAACCAGAAAAAGAACCGAAAACAAAAATAATATATTGAACATCATTCGCTGAAAAAAATTATTATAAAAATTAACCATAAAATTTTCGGAAAGAAAAAAATAGATTTTCTTCCCGTTTTTATATGTTATTCGATTGAACAAGGACAAAAAACTTGTTTTCAATTTTTTTGAGAAAAAACACATATGATTTTTAGAGTGGGCGGAATTATATAGGATCAAAGATTTAATTTCTTAATTTAGACGATGTTTGATCATCTGGACTTATGTTATGTTGTTTTTCAAAAAACTCCAAAAAAACCCGCGCAACGAGCTAGAACTCATTAATTTATATGAAATATGTATATAATTTCTGTAGTGTATCCTGATTAAAAATCTTGCCAATTTGGCGAATAAAACAGTCAGGTTTTTGTAGAAACTCGTCAAAAACAGTAGTACTTAAATTAACAAAAATCTGAACATGGATCAGAAACTACAGTAATCTTTCTTATTTTTCCAAGGCCAACTGAATCATCAAATATCTAAGTGTCTTGTTTTTTTGCACTTTCAACAAGATTTCCAATTTTTTATGTCATTTTTAAATTTTCAAAAAAACATGAACACAATCCATTCGAATTATTCGAGTTTTGGACCTCCTTCAAATTTGGCGCGCAAATCGTTTACCTGAAACCAAGAAAAAACAGATTTTGAAACTAAAAGCAGTTAACTCACAATATTTGACGTAGCCTCCGATTTAGTTTTCCGCGGATCTCCTGTTAATCTAACTTTTTTCAATGATTTTGTTCGACGAATTTGTGGATTTGAAGATTTTCTTTGTAATGATGTTGAAGGTGTTCCCGGATCTTCCGCAGAACGTGCAGTTGCAGTTGAAACTAGTAAACTTTCCTGACTTCTGCAAAATATTTGATTATGTTAAGTAAATATCTGATGAATAATCTACCCTTCCAAGTTATTTCCAGAAGGTTCTGATGATTCCGAAGATTTTCGAAGTGTTATTGGTGTCAGTGATGTGCCCTTTAATAGTATCTCAATTGATATTTTTTTATTTTGAAGTTAAACGAACCTCTACATCATCTGAAATTGGTCTTGTGTACATATGTTGAACTCGCGCCAAAACACCAGTTTGTATTCCAATATCTGACATTCTCAATCTTCTTTCTTCGTCTAATTCTTGAACATAAACCTTAAAAAAACTGATTTGAAACAATCAAGTTTAAAAGTTTTGGTATCGAACCGAGAAGTTGACGAAAAAAGATAGAATATAGAAGTTGTTGAAATATTTGTGTTTAGGGCTAGAAAAAGTGAAATATTAGTGACAGAAAAATATCATGCTGATAAAAATAACCTGAAGCCAATCATCATTTCCAATCAAACCAGATGACATATCACAAGTTTCAGCAACAGCTTGAACTGTGCTCGAAGTTGTTGGGTTAGAAATTGTCTGAATGAGAGCATGCGATAAATCCTTGGGTTCAGATTGTGTTCCAGACACTGTTAGAATTTTCTTTGCCATTTTTTCTGATTCATTCTTGGGAACAGTTAGCCATTTCTCTGTTTTGGTTGTGACTTCAGATTTGATTACAATTCCAGTTTCAGTTTGATTTTCATCTTCAGTTTCATGTTCACCTTCGATAACTTCTTCATCTTCGTGAATATAATCGAAATCACTCCAAAGTGGTCCAGTTGCAAGAGATCCGAAATTTATTGGTGGACTTGGAGATTCTGTTTTTTCTTCTTCAGCAAAAAAATCTTCGTCGTTCTGAATTAATGGTTCAAGGGATTTTCAATTGGAATTTTTTAAATTGATTATTTTTTAAACTAAATTCATCAAAAACACTCGATTTTTACCTGACATCGTTTGTTTTTTGTTTGAACTTCAGCTTGACAATATTTATCAGCCTGATATTCTTCAAATTCATGCTGAGTTGCACAAGAAGCAACTATGCAATGACCTGAACCCGCTTGATTTTCAGCATCTTGTTTTTGTGGATCATCCCATTCAGTCTGTTGAGAACTCGATTTAAGCGCCTGAAATTTTCCAAATTTACAATAATTTTTGAAAATTCACCAACCTGAACTTCAGTTTGAATTTGCAAATTCTGAACTTCAACCTGTTCTGTTTGGTTTATTCGATCTTCCACTGATTTTTGTATTTCAATTCGCACCTGAATATTTGAGTCAACAAAATCTGGATTTTCTGTTTGGCTTTGATTTTCCACCGATGTTGTAACTTGAACTTGAACTTCTGAATCTTTTTGTTCCAATATGTTTGTCTGTTCTGATTTATTCGAACAATCTGGTTTTATATCAATTTGCCCTTCAAAATCTTGAACTTCTAGATGATTTGTTTGAATTATTTGATCTTCCATAGATATTTCACATTTGATTTCAACCTGAACTCCAGAATTTGCGACTTCGACGGATTCTGTCTGTTCTGATTTTGTTGAGCATTCAAATTCAGTTTGAATTTCAAAGTCTCGGATATCTTTTTTCTGTTCGACAATTTCAGTTTGATAAGATTTATCTGAAACATCTGGTTTCAGACAAATTTCAGCCTGGCTTTCGAAATCTTTAACCTCCACTTTAGATTCGAAAGTTTCAGTTTGTTCTTGTTTATCTTCGATGTTTGGTTTCATATTCACTTGATTTCCTCGATCTTCACATTCTTTTCCAAGTGAAACTTGAAGTCCAAAATTAATTTTAGTTTCCAATTCGGTTTGCACATGAATATCTATCTGGCTATTTTTGAGATCAGCTTGATTTGATTGGTCCATTAGTATAAGTTTTTCATTTGGAATGTCAGTTTGCTCTGATTGATCAACACACGAATTTTGGAAGTCTGTTTGAATATCAACATTTTGTAGATCAACTTGCTTTTCATTTTCAGTAACTATTTTTGGAGATATATAATCAGTTTGTAGTCCTATTTCAGACACATCGAGTTTTAATGTTTGAGTTCCGAATTGATTTTCGCTACGAGGTGAAGTCTGCAACAAAATTTTCATTGGAAATTCCAAATAAGTTGTTTCTTACCTGTGTTTCAATATCAGTCAAAAATAATGGAATTTCAGATTCTTCTACAGTACTCTCTTCCATTGTTTCTTTATTTTTTTCTGTTTTATCAAAACTTGTTTCTTTTTTATTGTAAAATGATGTTTGTCTTGTTTGTACTCCAATTTCTTCCATATAATGTATTTCGTCTTTCTTCTCGTTATTTTCAGGTTCAGCCATTTTTTCCGAAGTTTCAGCTAATAACTTTTTCGAAGGCCGGCGGAAAGTACTAAAAAAGATAACCAATTTAAGTTTTAAATATAGAAAATGTACCTTATAGTTGTCTGCGTAATAGAATCAGAAATCATATTCATAGATATTGGCGTGGCATGTGATTCTTTGTCACAAGTTTCTAAATCCTCAGTTTGCATTGATGAGTTTTTAAAAAGAAATTCAATTTCATCGAAATCTTCATCATCCGAAGACAATGTTATTGAAGAAATACTTGATATTTCACGATCAATTGATTCTTTTGCAAATGGAACATCAACAACGTGTCCAACTTCATCAACACCAAGAGAAATTAGATGGACATCAAGGTTTACCTAAAATTCAAATTTCAAAAGTTTGAATGAGGTTTTATGAACCATTTTAGTTTTCAACTCACTTCATTAATAATTTCTCCATTTTCTTCAATATTTTCCAAAGATTGTTCTCCAATTTTCTGCTCCAAAATATAATTTCTGTTATTTCCTTTATCAATTGTCAAATTTCTTTTTCTTTTTTCCATCATTCCTTTTGGAATACTCGACATTTTTGTTTGACATCTCCTGTTTGATTTTTCGATCTCTTCATATTGTGTTGATTCTTCATTTGTTTTGAACACTTCAGTTTGCATTCCACTGTTTTTTAAAAATCGTAAAACTGTTGAAGCATGTTTCTTGATCTTTTTCCTTTTCTTTGTTTTTCTTTCAGGCTTTATTATTTTTTCACGAATTGCAATGTCAGATTTTTGTTGGTCATTTTGAGAGGATAAATCTTCAGATTTTCCAACCAGAATATTCTGTTCTAAAATTATCTCATCAGCAACTAATTCTTTAGAAAGATCAGAGTGAATAGGAGAATTTTTGACCGATTGTGATTTTTGTGAGGCTTTTGATCTTTCCGAATATTGTTCAGTTTCGAAATCCATATCAATATCGGTTTCATTTTCCGAACTAGTTTCAGATTCATCTTCATTTTCCGAGCAAGATTCACTTGAATCCGAAAAAAGTGGATTATAATGATAAATTGATGACACTTCGGGTTGAATTCCAATTGTATGACAACTGAAAATGAATTATTTTGTCACATTATGGACAACACAAATTATTTACCTAGTAACAATATACTGTGTTTCAGAATCACACGTGGTTTTCTCAATTTTCGCTTGAACTCCAATATCAAATATATCCATAATAATAGTTTGAGTTGCTTCATCCATTGTTATTTTTGCGATTTCTGATATAATACTCTGTCTTTTCGAGCTATTATTTTCCCAAGCCATTTTTGGAACCATCATCGAATTTTTCCTCGAATTTAATAGATCTTCAATTGATGATTTTGACATATTTACTTGATTTTTTTCTTCGGCTGCAAGTTCTTCAGCAACTTCAATATAATCATTAAAATCTTCTCTTTGTGCAGTTGCAAATGCTGGCATTCCTGTTTCTGGATTTATATTTGTAAGAACTGGCGGTGGATCAATTCCTTTTTTACTACAATCTTGTTTGAATTTGTTCATCACTTTTGTTCCATCATTTTTACTCAATAATGGCATTAAGAATTTAGCTTTTCCTTGAAAACCTGCCATCATTGCTGAAGCAGCATTTGGATCTCCATTTTCTAATGCTTCCATATAATCCTACAATAATAATAGATTATATGAACTTAAATTTTATCTAGATTTTTGTAAAAATGTTACCTTCAATAACTTCTGTAGAATAGCCATATACATCAATGCGATTTTTTCTTTCACAACATCAATACAAACTGTTAACATTGATAATCCAATTATGACAACTCCAAAGGTTGCAATCATGTATTCGGGATTTGCAGGTGTAACATCACCCAAGCCAATTGTTGTTAAAGAAATAAAACAAAAATAGAAACTCGTGAAAAATGACCAATCTTCAAACATACAAAAAATCATTGCTGATAACATGATCCAAGCAACTGTCGCTGAAAAAATGTAATTTTTAACATATTTTGAGGATGTTTAAGAGACGTTATTTGTAAAAACTCAAAAATTCTCGAAATACGAAGAACAAAAAAAAAGTCATGATCTTCGATTTGGGTCTATTTTTGGTAAAATGATGCCCCACGCCTATAGAGTTGGAAAATAAAGTGAAATGGCGCAAAAAAATTTTTTGAGGTCGGGGGGATTTTTTTTTGAAAAAAATTTGGCCGATCCGTAAAATGGTTCAAAATTCATATTTTTCGACGTTCAAAAAAGCATTCTGCTCGTAATTCAATGATCTTTCCAGTGGTAAAACGATCCATAATTCATTCTTTAATCTGAAATAATTATATTTTTAAAAATTGAAAAAATGATGAAATTTCGGTTAAAATCATCATTTTCGACCTTAGGGAGTCAAAAGCGCACTTTTTAACTGCGTGCAATCGCTTCCTTTCGCAATTTTAGCCCCGGGGACGTATGTTTAAAAAAATTAAACGCGGAACCTCGTCTTCATCCAGGTCGCTGAAAAGCGCCCACTAAAACATTTGTAGGTGCATATCTTGAAGAGATCACTTGAAACGCTTGATTTTGCTAATCTAAGAGTCACAGGTTCAATTCCCGGTGGCGGCTTTTTTTAAAAAGTGGTTTTTTGTTCGAAAACCCATTCAGATAGATACAAATGTCATGTCCTAAAGACAATATACTAAAGGATACAAGAGAATAATACAGTGCATTTTATAATAATAGATTTGCCTTCTATATTGATAACATTGTCTAAACCATCAGTTATTGAAGCAAACTGAGTCAAAAATTGACACGTACGCACAAAATCAGGCAGGTAAACTCATTTTCCTATAAAATAACCAAATATAAAAACATATCTGGCCGATGTTCAAAAATTTAAAAAAATTAGTGTTTCAAAATGAGAGATTCACCTTTTTTGTAATAAAAGAAGATGATCAAATATCGATAAATAATGGAAAACAACACATTTTTGTACTGGCATGATGATCTTAATGGTAAATCTTCAAATCGTGAAAATTCAAATGTCTATGTCGGAAATTAAAGCAAATGATGCCCTGTTAACTTCAAATGTATTTTTGCTTACATTCTTTATTTCGCAAACAAAAATCGTGATCCTATTGAACACCAAATTTTCTGTAATTTTTGAACATCGGTCAGATATCTTTCTATTTTTGGTTATTTCATATGAAAATGAGTTTACCTGCCTGATTTTGTGCGTACGTGTCAATTTTTGACTCAGTTTGCTTCAATAACTGATGGTTTAGACAATGTTATCAATATAGAAGGCAAATCTATTATTATAAAATGCACTGTATTATTCTCTTGTATCCTTTAGTATATTGTCTTTAGGACATGACATTTGTATCTATCTGAATGGGTTTTCGAACAAAAAACCACTTTTTAAAAAAGCCGCCACCGGGAATTGAACCTGTGACTCTTAGATTAGCAAATTCAAGCGTTTCAAGTGATCTCTTCACAACATGCACCTACAAATGTTTTAGTGGGCGCTTTTCACCGATCTGGATGAAGTCAAGGTTCCGCGTTTAATTTTTTTAAACATACGCCCCCGGGGCTAAAATTGCGAAAGGAAGCGATTGCACGCAGTTAAAAAGTGCGCTTTTGACTCCCTAAGGTTGAAAATGATGATTTTAACCGAAATTTCATCATTTTTTCACTTTTTAAAAATATAATTATTTCAAATTAGAGAATGAATTATGGATCGTTTTACCACTGGCAAGATCATTGAATTACGAGCAGAATGCTTTTTTGAACGTCGAAAAATATGAATTTTGAACCATTTTACGGATCGGCCAAATTTTTTCAAAAAATCCCCTGACCTCAAAAAATTTTTTTCCGCCAATTCACTTTATTTTCCAACTATATAGGCGTGGGGCATCATTTTACCAAAAATAGACCCAAATCGAAGATCATCACTTTTTTTTTGTTCTTCGTATTTCGAGAAATTACAAATAACGTCTCTTAAATCTGAGAAAAATTGGCCCCAATTTGAGAAAGAGGAAAAATGTTTATTTTTTTTTCAATTGATTTTTTTTTAAAATTAAGATAGTCGATTTCAAAAATTATGTAAGTTTGATGCCCATCCAAAAACGATACAATTTAAAAATTCCTCACCAAAAATAGTTGAAATAACAGGTGGATCTGGTTGTATTTCCTCATCATCTTCATCTTCTTCTTCATCTTTACTCAACATATCAATCGAAACATGTTCTCCTTGATTATTAATTCCACTTTCGGTCAAGTTTGACATCTGGAAATATGATTCTTTTTAGAAATGTAAAATTTGGTCAGGGTAATAAAAAAAATCCACTGAAACCACAGTGTTACTGAAGTTTGTTGAATTTTAACTTACCACAACTTTTTGCAGTCGATATTTTTTGAGATAAGCTCGATACCTTTTCAACTTTTCTTTCTCGTGTTGTCTTATTGTAATAATTCCGAATTTAATTCCTAAATACAAAATCGTGTCACTTGTATAATTAGCAATTATTTTGATCCATTTTAGAAGAAAATTATTCAACGAATTCAACATAACCAACATAATTGGAATGCCAGCAAATGCATAAATCATAGTTGCAACTTGTCCAGATGTTGTTTTACAAGCAATATTGCCATAGCCAATTGTTGTGAATATAGTTCCAGCATATAAAAATGACATCCAAAATGTCCAAGCTGTTTCAATAACAGGTTCATCTAGATCTAATTCATTTTCAAATCGAAGAATCGCATGTTTCCATCGTTCTTCATGATCTTGACGATTATCATAATAAATTGCTCGAAGATTTAAAATCATATTTTCTCTAGCTATTTTTCTTTGATGATATGATTCTTCTTTTGCAGCTAAATCTGCCGAAACTTCATAATACATAAATAAATGAGCACCTAAGAATGAATATAAAGCAATTATTATAAGTAGTTTGAAAGTTGATAACAACTTTTTAATTGGCGAAGTTATAAATGAGGTATAATATGAACTGGAAAAATAATTTGATTTTGAAAGAAACATTTGTACTTTGCAAAAACTCACATTTTTCTTTTCGAACTTCTAACAGATTCTTTAATTGATGCTACAAAACTAACAGGTTGTTCCTCTTCAAAACTCATAAGAGCACACCTTGATGTGCTCAATTCATTTTGCTGATCGTCTACATTTGGATCAAGATTTGGATCGTCATCTATGTCTATAGCCTACGAGAAATTTAAATTACTTATTTTCGAAATTAATTTAATTTCAAACTCACAAAGTTATCATTAGACATCCCATCGAAATCTGAAAAAATAAACAAATTATCTGAAAAACCTCAGAACCACACCTATTTTCAGTAACACCTATTTTATTATTATTTGCTCAACAATAGTAATTATCAACTTTGAAGGGTACTTGAAAATGTTGTTGTTTATTCAGATGCTCTTTTCTACCACAAAAATATAAATATTTCCGGAGAAAAGTTTGAAAAGTCTACAGTAACCCAAAAGTAAAAAAAAATTGTGTGACCAGACTATTTGAATTGAATGAACACAGGAAAAGAAAATTACATAATGATAAGAGAAAGGTCATTTTAAAAATGATGGAATTTGAAGTGATTTTCGTCAACACAACCACTTTATTATATTTGTTTGGTGGTGCACTACGTAAACATTGAGATACACATTGGAAATCCGAAAAATCCCGTTTTTTTGACATAATAAATGTTCGGTTTTTGATTGAAGTTGAGTTTTCAAACGATTTTAACTTTGCGAAGAGGATTCAGGAATACAACAAAAAAAGTGTTATCACTGGATATCTATACCTAGCTTCTATCCCGGAAATCATACATGGCTATTAAGCATCTTTGAATTTCTGAAGTCTAGAAAGGGCTTTGTCACGGATATTAGGTTTAGAGAGTTGTTCATTCGATGGTCTCGAAAATTTTTCCCAACTCGTTTTTCATTCAATATTACAATATAACATAGAAATCTGCCATCTTTCAATTATTCAAAGTCCGAAGAGATTTATAATAGTAATCTACATGTGTTTTTTTGTTCATCATCACCATAAAAAACCGTTATTGTTTTTGTGTGAGGGCTTAGTTTGATCAGCCACGGATCACCAGTCGGTGCATAGACAAACATATTATGACATAAACGATACCAATGGTAAAACTATAAAAACAAAAGTTTCGTTCCAATAACAAGTTTTTTTTTGAACACGAGAGTACTGTCAAATTTTATACCATTTCATATTTTTCATGTTGTTATTTTTTCTGACTTTTGGTCTATTGAAATTCGGAGAAGCAACGAGTACTGTAGGTTTGTGAATAAGAATATATTTGGGGTTAATGGAAGACTTGATAATTTAAGCACCGAAAAATGGGACATTGCCAACACTTGGAAACTTCACAATTCCATTGATTAATGTATCAGAGTTTACGATTGGAACTTTTCCACCTATTAATTTAACATTCCCAACAGTTGGAAACTTCACATTACCGCCGTTTAATTTCTCACAACCTTTGCCAACATTATCACCTCTGAATTTAACATTTGCACAACTTGGAAACTTCACTCTTCCAACTTTTGCACCTCTCAATTTATCTGCTATTCCTACAATTGCTCCTTTCAATTGGTCATCTATCGAATTTCCAACTTTTGCTACATTAGCTCCGTTCAATTGGTCAGCTTTGGGTCTTGGCACAATTCCAACGTTAGCCCCATTCAACTGGTCATCTATCGAACTTCCCACATTTGCACCGCTAAATCTATCAGGAATTCCAACTCTTCCACCGTTTAATTGGTCATCAATTGAAATTGCAACTTTACCTCCTTTTAATTGGTCAGTACTTGGAACAATTCCTACATTGCCCCCATTCAATTGGTCAGCTATTGGTCTACAACCTCCAGTCACTTTATCTCCATTGAATCTGAATCTCGGAGTTCAAAATATCACTAACTTCACATTAAGCGACTCTGTTTTGAACTTGGCAGTGGTTACTCCAAATCCATTGAATCTCAGTGCTCCAAATCCTTCTAATTTCACATTTGCACAACTTGGAACCTTCACTCTTCCAACTGTTGCACCTCTCAATTTATCTGCTATTCCTACAATTGCTCCTTCCAATTGGTCATCTATCGAATTTCCCACTTTTGCTACGTTGGCACCGTTTAATTGGTCAGCGTTGAGTCTTGGAACTATTCCAACAATGGCACCATTCAATTGGTCGTCTATACAAATTCCAACATTTGCACCGCTAAATCTATCAGGAATCCCGACTCTTCCACCTTTCAATTGGTCATCAATTGAAATTGCAACTTTACCTCCATTTAATTGGTCTGCACTTGGTTTAAATATTCAACCAACTTCACCACCATTCAATATAACTCTTCAAAATAGCACGAATATAACATTACATGATCCTGTTATTAATCTTTCCGAATCTATTTCTTCAAATCTTCTCAATTCATCGGCTTTATCACCAACAATTCCACCGTTGAATTTGACACTTCCAAGTTTAGATAACTTAACACTGCCTACATTCAATTTGTCAGATATTCCAACTATTCCACCTTTTAATTGGTCAAATATTGAGATTCCAACATGGCCAACATTAGCTCCTTTCAATTGGTCCGTATTAGGTTTGGGAACAATTCCAACTCTAGCTCCATTTAATTGGTCAAGCATTGAAATGGCAACAATTGCGCCGTTAAATTTATCTGGAATTCCAACAATTCCACCATTCAATTGGTCATCAATTGAAATTGCAACTTTGCCTCCATTTAATTGGTCAGCTATAGGTCTTCAACCTCCAGTCACATTATCACCATTTAATCTTGAAGTTCAAAATATGACAAACTTCACACTATTTCCAAATCTCAACCTATCTTCTCTTCCAACAATTCCATCTATTAATATTTCTTCCTTGTCTGATTCACTGCTTCTTGGAAATTTTACAATGCCACCTTTAAATTTCACCGAATTTGCACAACTCAAATCAGTTCCAAATCTTATGGATTCTCCAGTTTGTCTCACATGTAATTCATCTCAAGTTTGTACAAAGGATATAAATGGAACACAAGATTGTACAACACGACAAATTGGAACAAAATACTGTGCCGATAATCCATGTGAAGATGGTTTCAGTTGTTATGACAATGTTACAAAACATAAATATACTTGTTATCAATCACTAAATATAACATCTGGACAATGTTTGACAACAAAATGTTCACCAGGAGAAGTTTGTTATCAAGAAACTGGACAAAATGCAAAATGTATTGATCGATTTGATGCACCAAGTTGTAACGGAACAAATGAAGAATATCAAAGTTGTACTTCAGGATGTGATGGAACTTGTCAACAACCATACCCGGTACATAAACCTGTCGATTTTTCTAATTTATTTTCTTAACTCATTTTTTTTTTCAGGAATGCTTGAATTCCACAGTTTGTACTCCAGGATGTGGTTGTATTCGAGGATATGTTCGAATTGATGGAAAATGTCAATTGATGAATCAATGTGAATCTATTACAACTGGAAATGTAACATGTGAAGGTGCAGAAATATATACAGATTGTATGCCAAGTTGTGAAAAAAGCTGTTCTCATAGTTGGGTTAGTTATGAAAATACAAAAAATTGTTTTTTTATTCTTGCGTGATCTAATTTTTGTCCAACCAGGAAAAACAATTTAAAAATCATTTCCAGAAAAATAAACAGGAAAATAATTTATGATTTGACCACGCAAAAATTCCCTTTTTTCAGAATTGCACGAACTCGATGACTACAATTTCTTCCACATGTTCTCCTGGTTGTATTTGTCGTTTGGGATATAAAAGAGATGATTCTGGAAATTGTCAACATGTAAGAAAATGTGCTCGATGGACAACTTGTTCGAAAAATGAAGAATGGTCAAAATGTCATAATTGTGAACCAATTTGTGGAGCTGATCAAACAACGAATCCAGCTTGTGATCAATGTTGGAGTGGATGTGCATGTATTGAAGGATTTGAAAGAAATTCAACGAGTGGATTATGTGTTGAGAAATCATTGTGTAGTGCGGCTTAGAAATCGGAATTCGAAAAATAATAACAAAACAAAAAATCATGTAAATAATAAAATATTCATTTGTAAGATGATCGAATTTCTTTTGTAACAATCACACTGGAAACATTTACTATGTTTCTAGAAAAATACAATTTCTATTCTATTATTTGACTATAACTCACGTTGACTTTCTCCAAAACATACAAAATTTTCGATATGCTGGAAAAGTAACAATCATGACAAGTATATTAATTGTTGAATGACTTGAGAATATTGCAAGAAGATAATGTGATAATTCTTGAGAATATTTCATTTTTGTCACAACTGTTATAGTTATGATAACTGGTGGAATAATACATACAGACGAAGTTATGAATTGAGCAAAGAGACTGAGAAGAGCACTTTTATGTTTCAAATAACTGGCTTGAGATATTCTTGTTCGATTTTTTCGTAACATTATAAACATTTGATTTGTTGCCCATATAGTTGTTATAACTGAGATTAATCCATTTATAATAATCATTCCTAATGCAATTTCTGTTATTGTTTCAACTTTGTAAATTGCAAAATTCTTCAGATTCTCAAAATTTTCATAATAAATCATAGCTTCCGAATTGCTAAAGATATATTCAAATTGCTCAGTTTTAGTCATTCCAGCTTGAAGAAATATAAAAAATGTTGCAAAAGACCAAAATACTTTTGATAAACAAATGACAAAAAATAAATGACGAGAAATTATATTCTTTCGATCAATTTGTGCAATTGCTTGATGTTTTCGGATAAAACAAACTGCCATTGAACCAGTTTGAGCAGTTATTAATAAATTGGTGATCGACTGGAAATTTATGTTTTTTTTTCATGAAACGATTACGGTAGAGTTTTGTTCAATGTTCTTGTACTAGATATTTAGTACCCACCATTTGCCAATGTGTAGTTATATCAAAAAAGCTGCTCAAAATTCCATTTGATGTTCCAGCAACTAATGGAAATAAACCAACAGGTTGCATTAGGAAAGTTATATGAAAGTCAATAATCATACAGAGAATCTGGAAAAAATCTATGATTTTAAAATAATCAAAATGGTAATAAACCTGAAAAACCAATAGATAATATTTGAAAGTGTCCATTTGGATTCCTTTGAAAATAGTCAAATATATTCCGAATGCATTCAGAAACAAAGAAATTGTTCCAATGAAATAATAAAAATACAAAAGTATTTGTGGAGGTTCGAAACTTATCTCCATTTCATACCAATCTTGAAAAATAATGAAAATATCCAGCTACTATATAATATTTTTTGTCACGGAAAGCTAAACTCTAACCAGTTGCCATGTAGATTTATAAGCGTGTGATTAAATTTAATAACCCTGTAATTTTTCTATACTTTTTCGCATCATGAGTTGTAATCTGTTGATTTTATAGTATCAAAATTGAATTAATTGAAGTACCCTCGAAATTTACACTAGAGCGCACTTGACGATTCAAACAAAAAACAACTGAAAAAAATGCGCAAAACAAAAAAGCGTCAATGACGTGCGGCATGACGCCGTGTTTTTATTTATTAAGAAAATTTTCATTTTTTTGGATTTTGTTCATCCGAGCTCAAAGTATATACAATATCGAGTTTAAAAGTGAATGTTCAGAAGATTGATTCGAATCATGACGAAGACATTCGAAAAACCTGCAGAAGATAAACTTAATCATGTGCAATCAGGTGGGATCGAAAAATCAAAAGAAGTGAAGAAAGAAAGAATCAAATATGGAAAGTATGCGATGCTGTTAGGTTATCAAGGAAAACAATATTATGGAATGCAGGTTAGCCATTTTCAGACAAAGTTCCCTGACATTTTTTACCCAATAATGCGGTTTTTGGAAAAATATCACATCAAAGTACCAAACCACAGATCACATTCATTCTTTTTTTTAAATGAATACTTTGTTCACTTCTAAAACGAAATGTATGCCAAACAAAAAGTGTTTCAGCTCCAAAAGGATTTGCCAACAATTGAATCGCATTTATTGTCCGCAATGCATCAAGCTGGATGGATCACAGAAGCTCAAAAAGAAAAGCCATTTGATTTTTTCTTCCAAAGAGCCGCTCGAACTGACAAAGCAGTTTCAGCAGCAAGGCAAATGTGTGGAATGCAACTTCCGAGAAATGACGATTTTTATAAAACCGAAGGAGCGAAAACATTGAATGCACTTCTACCAGAAGATATTCGCGTTTTTGGAATTCGTAGAACTATCAATTTCTTCCATCCACAAAAGTTATGCGATTATCGAACATATAGTTATACAACTCCGACATTTGTTTTTGCAAAACCCGATGAATTGACAAATTCGAAATTCAGAATAAAAAGAGAAACAATTGACGAAGTTAATGATATTTTGAAAATCTTTTCTAGGAACACACAACTTTTTCAATTATACTGCAAAACGGTAAGTTTTGAAAAAGTTCCAATTTGGCCCAAAAAATGGGCCGAACCGGGGATTGAACCCGGGACCTCTCGCACCCAAAGCGAGAATCATACCACTAGACCATTCGGCCACGTTTTGGAAAAGCTTATTTTTCAAAGATAATACATCATTTCTGAAAATGAAGATAACATTTGATATAGATCTCTTATCAAGTCATTTTTCTTCGGATGATAATTTATCCTACAAAAATAAGCCTTTAACGTGTCCGAATGCCATTGTCTAATGGTATGATTCTAGCTTTGGGTGAGAGGCCCCCGTGTTGAATCCCCGGTTCGGCCCATTCTTTTTTCTTATTTTTTAATTGTTGAAATTTTTTTTTTCAGTGCTTTCAATGACATGTCATGTAATCGCTACATTGTTTCTTTCGAATGCGGAGAACCTTTTCTTTTCAAAGACGAATTCAGAAATGAAGAAGTTGAATTTATTCAAATAACAGTGAAAGGACAAAGTTTTGTTTTGCATCAAATTCGAAAAATGATTGGAATGGTTATCACTGTTATTCGGGAATTGAATTTGAAAAGTGCCATTCAAAAAAGCTTTGAAGGACAGAGGGTACGTTATTTCTCATAACACGATATTTTTCCAAAATGTTTTTGATTTTTAGATGGATGTTCCAATGGCTCCTGGTTTGGGTCTTCTTCTCGAAAGAACACATTTTGATAAATATGATGAGAAAAACAAGAAATCGCATGAACCAATAACAGTTTGGACAGATGAAATTGAAAAAGAAGTTGATCGAACAAAGTTTGAATTGATTACCAAAGAAATGTTGGAAACTGAATTGAGATCACAAGGGTACGTTGGTAGATTTCTTTTATTCATTGAAGTGTTGAATTGATATTTTTCAGAATGCTCAAATGGCTAGCTGATCTTGTCCATCACGATTTCTCAGGTGATGCAGAAGCTGAAGAGCCACCAAAACAATCATTTGTTACAATGGCTGCTGCATGTGCTAATAAAGCTGAAAAAGAACAAGAAAGTAGTGAAAGTGCTGAAAATGTCGAAGAAGTTGTTGTTGCAGCTTTGTAAGTCGTCTTTTATTTTTTGTTTGTTTTTACCTGTTAATTCATCTGTTTTTTTCTTTTATTTATCTGTTAAATTGTAATATTTGAATCATAAGAGATTTGTTTTTATTCGATTTTTCGTTCAACCAAAATCCCCATTTGACAAAAACCAAGAATTATTCTCTTCAGTTGTCTGAATTTCAAACAAATGCAATGATTTTTAAAATTCTAAAGATGAATATACGAGTTCACGTTACCAGTTAATTTTCGAATATTTTTTGATTTATTTCTCATTTCGAAATTAACCTATGTCGGAAGAAATATTAGTATAGTACGAAAGAAAATGATGAAGCATGCATTGTGCAAACAAAAAGGTAAATATTCAATTCTTATCGTCTGCGTCTCTTTTCCTCGTGTTTTCTCTTTGCTTTGTCATTTTTCATATTGATTTTTTCGATTCAAATTTTACTCTGAATTTCTTGGTTGAATCCTATTCATTTATTCTTTATACATCTGAAAATGTGGGCTCAACAATATCAACAACAACAAAATCAACAATATCAACCTCAATATTATCGCGATCAAAGTAATAATCAATATTATCAACATTTTCAAGAGCAAACTACAACAACTATTAATCCAAATCCAAATGCGTCAATTGATTTTGTTGTAACTCAAATTGAAGGATTAGCAAATCAAATAAACACTTTAGGAGCTAATGTAAGTCATTTTTCAAAATATTGAAAATACTTTTAAATTTAGGGAGAATCAGCGGGACTTCAAGTTGCTGATCATGCTATAAATGTATTTGATAATATGAAATTTCAAATTGATAATGGAACAATTCCAAATGTTGACAGATTAGTTGTAAGATTTATTTTCTCTGAAATAATTATAGACAAATTTAAAATAAATAAGTTACAGGATATTGCACGAGAAAGATTTCATGATTTTCCTGTCACCGAATTAATTATTATGGTTATTGTTGGCGTTATTCTTGTTATAATTACAGTAAGATTCAAAGAAAAATTGAATCCCAAAATAATCCAAAACTTTCCAGCTTATTTTCTTGTTCATGCTTTTTGGAGAACGAGTTACTGCATATCGATATCGTCAAAGACTTTCTGCAAAATCAGATATCGAAAATATTTGAGACCAACCAAAAATCGTACAATTTTGTATAGTTTTTGAATAATTGATAAGTGGGATTATGTTACATTTATTTAACTACTAGTATACATTTGTTTTATTTTTCTATTTTCATATTTTGCTTATGATCTTGCGCTTATTAGAATTACCAAACGGGTATGTTTTTTGGAAATAAAGTTTGGTTTTGTTATTTGAATCGAGATTTTTTTAAAAACGATAAAATCTAATGACCCTAAAAGTTTGTGGAAATATGTACATACAAAATCTTTGTTTTATAATAAATAAAATAATAATAATAAATAAAATAAATGAATCATGTGTCGTCTTTTCATTTTTTAACGTATTTCATGACATGAAAACAATATCAATAGAAATATTGCTATTGTTCATTTTCCTATTCCGGTTGGTTTCTAATATATTTTAAGAAACTCCATGGGAGCAGCTAACCCAAAAAAATCAGGTTCTGAGTATTTGCTCTTTTTATTTACTTCAAGTGAAATGATCCTGGGAGAGGTTTTGTTTGAATAAATAACACACAGACATTTTAATCAGTTTTCAATCACCTTTTTTTTCGAGATTTCTAGTTTTCATGAGAAAGGTTACTGTAGATTATTTTTAGAGTTTTGAAGTTGATGATTGGAAGATTCTGAATCTGGTAAAATTTTCTGAATTTTTCCAAGAAATTTTCTGAATTTTTCCAAGAAAAAGGCCGAACAATCAGACGTAACAACTCGAACAATTTTTTATGGTTCAGAACACAATAGAAATTTGAATTCATTAGTTTCTAAAAATTCAGATTTCGATTTAAAAATTAGCGTGCATTTTTGACTTTTATTAATCTCAGTAGTCACCAAACCTATTTAGCCCAATTAGTCAAAATTCATAAACTTTATAATTTTTTACACCCAAAAGTTCATAGTCACAATATTGTCATTATAATAAAGCCGAACCGCTTTTCTACTAGCTCAAATGACACCCGATCTTCTTCACCTTCATAATAACAAATATGTATAAAAGTGGGTAAACAGAGAAAGAATCGAAATGACTAACTGAGTGAGTGACCACCCAACATATCCAACAATACTACTGCATTCTGACTTTCGCTGTCTCGTCCCGGTTTTTTTTCTTCAAAGAACAAATATTCAAAAATGTTGCGCGCGCGGGATTCGAGAAACAGAACGAGAGAAAGAGAGAAAACAGAGAGCGAAAGAGACTTCTGCTCTGTTTCCCTTCGGGTGCATTGTTCGTATTTTAATATACTATTCATATATGTATTTGTATTATTCGCTCGCCATCCGAAATTTTCTTTTTTTTTGTGCTTGTTTCGATTTTTGTATGCATCTGATTGTTTTATTGTTTCAAACAATTGTTCAAATGTTGCTTTACATAAATTTTTCTGCCTGCAAAAACTGTCTACAACCATTTTTTGTTATTAGGCACGTCTGAAGGGAAACTTTTTTATTACCAAAAAATATTCTGGAAATTTTACAAGCTAGAGTATTTGAAAATTGTTCCGTAAATACCCACCAATTTTTTCAAAAAATTAATATCAGAACTATTAAGTTGAGGGCTTATTCGGTTACTGTAAATATCTCATTAACTTTTTCAAACTTATTTTTATCGATCAAAAATTTTCAAAATTATTTTTATCGTTTATTAGTCTTGATTTACAAATGCAAACATTTCATTCTCCAGCCAACCAAATTTTCAATTTTACTGACATCAAATATTTATTGATAGCGAAAGACTCCTTTTCTAAATTTTTCAATTTTTATCAAAAATTGTAAAATGTTGCCTTGTATTATGATTATTTATACTCGAATATTTTTGTATTTGCACATTTTTATGTGGAATCTTTTTATTGTTATTATTATAATAACGTTTTTGGCGCAAAAATAAAAATAAAATAGGAATATTTTTGCGGGAAGAAGAAATAAAAACGATTTTTTATAGGTTTACTTTTGACAGTCATTCATTTTGTTTGTATTGTCATTTTCAAAACATACAACAATTTTGAGCTTGATTTTCCATATTTTTTAAAAATAGAAAGTTTATATAAAAATCTCAAATAAAAATCCAAGAAGATATTTTGAATCCGAAAAATCTCATATTTGAAATAATATTTCGCGCACACAATCAATCGGCGGCAAATAGAAATCGTGTCTTTCCTTCCCTCAAAATGCTATTTGCTCTCACAGCTTTCTGTTTTGTGTTTTTTTTTTGCTTTTACCATGCAAGCCAGGTCAAAAATTTTCATTTTTCCAACTTTTCGCAAATAAATTTCGAAACAATTAGGCGAATCTTGTCCGCCGGTATTCGTCATATTTATTTGATTAGGTTTCATCTTTTTTGTCTGATTTTTATTTGTGTGCATAAAATGAGTCATTTTCTCCTCCCTATTTCTTACCTTATTCCTTTTTCACTTGATGAGTCAAGAAGTTCTACGTCTGTTTTTTCTAAAGAATCCATGTTTTATTGTTGTTTAGTGTTTGCATCGGAAATATTTGTTTGGTTGATAACTTTTGTGTTTTTTTCGTACTTCTTTACATTGTATCTTTTAAAAAATTCTGTCAAGGGTAACTTTTTCATTTTTTTTAAATTTTTTTTCATAAATAAAATTGTTCTAAAATATTCCCAAATCCCTTCTGAACTAATTTCTCAAATGATAAACAGTATTTAATAGTCTCAGAGATACTTTTAAAAATAAATAATTCAAAAAATGTCATTTTGAGCCCAAGTTAGTAAGCTCTCTAAGTATAATCTAGTCCTTTTTTCCTAAGCTTTTGAACCGTTTTCGAAAAATCCTCTAATTTAAAGATGATTTTTCTGTGCTCAAACTGAAACTCAACTTTTTCTGTGCTCAAACTATGCATCTAAATAATTCCTCTAAATATTTGTGTCTTGTCGTGTTATCAACCAAAAAAATATTCACACATTCCGTATTCGTATACAGAAGAATTTCTTTTTTTTTTGCAAGTCTCTTTGTGTTTCCATAATACACCACATTCTACACAAATACACTCCACATTTATTTTTCTTATTATTATTATTTCTCGAATATACATCGATTGATTTTCAGAATGTCAGTAGATCAGACAATAACAGAACTCAGTGGGACTTTGGCTCAACTCAGTTCATTAGTTGCTCATATTAATGGACAAATATCGGGTATAACTGGAAGAATCAATTTGACGCTAGATAATTTTGATATGGCGGTTGCTAATTTAGCAAAAGATGCTGGATCAGTTACATATCAAGTTGGAGAAACTGTTTCTCAGGTTAGCTGGTTTTTTTATTTGGAAATTTAATTTTTAAATTTTTGTGTTTTCAGGTTCCAAATAGTTGGGTATTTTATCTGTTATTCATAACATTAATTGTTGTATTTCTACTATTATCCATAGTTTTGCTATTGAATTTGGTTACAAAAGCACATGCAATTTATTCGATAATGAAATCAGATGACAGTGAGTTTTTTTTTGGCAATCATAGAAAAATGTAACTTCTAACCTATCGGTGTGTGATGTGTTTCGTATTTTTTTTGAACTTCTATGATTAACTTCTAACTTCTTCCTTTAAATAGGTTCTTCTCAACAAATGTTAATGTCTCCATCATCTTCGGTTAATAAATCAGATCGATCTGAATTATTTCGAAGAGATATTTATGCAATTGGAAATGGAAATGGTGACAAAAATCGGCCAAGAAGTTCAATGCGGCATGTTCAAATTCCAATGGAAGCCGAACCGAGAAGACCTGGACAAAGAAGAGGTAACAGTTTGATGTTGTTTTTTTTTGGGTTCATCGTGATTTTCCAAAATTTAGTTGATTTGAAGATGTTGTGAAATAAAAAAATGAAATAATGGAACTGAAACTGTTTTGCTGTTCTTAACGCTTTCTAGATTTTCAAAATATTTTTTCACAATTCTAAAACTATTCTTTTTCAGAAACTACATCAACAATATCAGTGGAACAATCACAAAACGGTCAAAGACCATATCAAAGAAGATCTGATGAATCTGTTGGAGGTGGAAAATATAATGTAGATCAAAGACCTCAATACACATCAAGTCAATTGAATGTATAGATTCATATTAGTAGTTTCAAAAACAACAAATTCTATGTGCCTTTTATGATTTCGCTCAACTTTTCTCACCGGTTTTAATTTGTGTTTTTTTTTGTATATTTTTGGATGGACGCTTCACTTGGTTGTATTAACACTGTTTTTCATTCTTTTTTCTAGTCTGGATTTTTATTGAATTTTTACTGTATTGTTTTAATGATCTCATTGGACGAACCAAAAATAAAATATTTCTAACTTTCGAGTATTTATTTTATTTTTTACTTGCTATTGTTAGAGACAGAAGAAACAGGAATTGTAAAACAGGTGAATTTCGAGGTATTTTAAATAAAAAATTCCAGATTGAAAATAATGAGTCAAAGAGAAGAGGTGATATATCAAATACAGCTATCGTCAGTTTTTGACTCAAAAATACAGAGTTATTTTGTTGAATTGCTATTTTTTCGAGATGCTAAAAATAGTATGAAACATGTTTGGCAATTAAAGTTTACTCCAACTCAAACGTAAAATTTAAAAATAGCCTTTCTCTTCTCTTCCAAAAAAAGTTTGAATTCAAGAAAAACTCTCTCATCTGTGGCACGTTTTTTCCAATAAAAAATATTCGTCATTTTTTGTTTATTTCCGTATTCGATTAATCTTTTTGACACCTCCAAAAAACAACATAAAATCATTGGACAAATACAGTATCATGAATCATCCATCAAGTGTAAACATTGCAAAAAGGTACCACACAAAAAAGATAAGAAAGAAGCGTTGTTGTGCTGGTTGCTCTTGGTCTATTCACAAATTATATACAATTTTATTGATTAGTTATTATGGGAATCGATGAGGAAATTCAGAATATTTATTATAGTATTTATAATATTAATATTACCTTAGCAAATGTAAGTTTACCAATTGCGTGAGATTTTATCACTTTAGAAATATTTCAGTTAGATCAGGGCTTAGCAAAGGCATTATATACAATGGACAATGGTCTCGACATTTTTGATTATCATGTGAATGAAACTGTCAAAAATGTAAACGATATTCAGAATAATATTATTGCCCAAGTTGATTCGGTTTGTTCATTTTCCGCATTTTTCCGAAACTATATAATAACAATGTTTCAGTTTCCAAATCAATGGTTATATCTGACAATTTTGTTATTTGTTATTTTATCACTTCTAGCCTTGAATGCATTTTTGATATATTATATAATCCGATATGTTTTGAATCGACAACAAAGATTTGATGATTATCGAATGTGGTATTTGAAAAATATTATGAGAAAGAAAATGATAGATTCAGACGATGATTCAATTGAAATTGAAGAACAACGAAGAGAAACACCACCTCCTGATTATGGTTTGTTGATTTTTTTGAAATTTTAATAGAACACATTTTTTTTCTTCAGAAGAACTTGAGTCAATTTATGAAGAATATGAAGATCAAACACCAATTCTTGAGAGTTATTCGCCATCTCGTAAAAACAGTACAAAACCGGTTGAATATTCAACTTTAATTTGATATTCAAATCTCGCCACAAAAAATAACACAAAAACAAAACAACTGCACGGGTTTTCACTTTTATTGACACTACAAAATAACATAAAGTTGTATTTTTTGAAATTCATGAATATGAAATTGTTGATTTTGTTTTGTATTTTTCTAAATTTCTCGAATTGTCAATATGGATATGGATTATATTCGGGTCTTTACGGACTTGGTGGATACGGTTTGGGTTACGGTGGATATGGTTTAGGATACGGTAATCTCTATGGAGGATATGGAAATAGTTTGTTGGGCGGAAATTTGTACAGTAATCCTTATGGATCAAATTATTGGAATTGTCGGTGAGCAAAACTCTCAAAAGATTATAAAACACATTTTTGTTATTTTCCAGAAATTGGGGACTTTACGGAAAAAAGAAGTGATGATCATTTTTTTGTCTATTTGAATAAATTAGTTTTCTTTCTTCGAATATTTTTGTTTACTTTGTGAAACCGGAAAAAATATTAAAAATTCTTGCATCATTCTAACAAATATCTACACATTTTTAGGTAAAACAATATTATTATGTGGGAGAATTTTTTGTTATTCTGATGTCCTTTGCAGCTGATATTTGACAATCGTACTTTTTTCTGAAAATAATAATAATAATATAACATTTATAAAAAAAACCGGATGAATGATGGATTTCAAATAGGAAAACAAGATAGGAAAAACTTGAAAAAGAAAACGAGGAACTCATGTTTGGATCAGTTGATTTTTGAACTGAAAAAGAGTTTTTGAATTAAACTCGAGAAATTATAGAAGATCCTATGAAATATTGTAAAGATTTTCAAATTCGATCAAATTATCCACACTTTCAGTGGGTATTGAACTATTTTTCATTCTAAATTGGCCCTTGTTGATCCACAGTTTTCCTTAGAAAAGCCCTAGCTCTACAAAACGAGACTTCAAAACTTGTTTTTTGAACTCTGAAATATTCATGACTAACACCTCCATGTTTTCTTTCAATTCTCAGGATTTTCAGATTCACCTGCCATTTTCGTCTCATTGAATATTCATCCCTGTTTCCATGAGAAAATATTTCCCGAAAACCCGCTAAGCCACGCCCACTTTTTCCAGTCATAAAATAGTCGTTTTACCCTCATCAATGACGCTTTCAAAGATGGTCTCAAACAACACTTTTTCCAGTTAATTTTTTTTTCGAAAATAGGTTTTTAGTTTTTTTTAAGTAATTTATTTTCAATTACGTAGTTTTTTCTATCAGAAGAAGTACACTCACAAATCTCGTCATTCTTTTAATGAAATAAGTCAACTAGAAAATGGTTTTTTGTCTTCATTGTTTTTTTGCAAAATAAAAGGAAATGAAATAAATATTTTTTCATAGCTGAAACATGCGATTTCTTGGTCTCCTTCTTGTTATTTTTGCCATCATTCTTCCAACTTCCGCAATTTTTCGATCTTCTTCAAGGGTAAGCACTTATCATGATACATCCGAAACAGGCACAGTCTTAACTGCTCCATATAATTTTCTGTTGGACAATCCTTGGGGACCACGATATTTTTGAGTTAATTATAGTAATTAATTAACTCAATGTTTTTTCCAGGGAATGATGCCGTCTGTTGATGCGAATTCTGGTGATGTCATTTGGGTTCCAATTCCACGTGATAACACTGATACTGAACATGCGAGAAAGTAATTAGAATTAAAACATAAGATATTCCGAGTTCAAAAGATCTTTTTTTTCAGATGTCTCTTCTGTCGAGGAGGTCGAAGATGAATAAATTATAAATTGAAGTTTAATTTTAATTTATATTCACAGAGAAGAGAGAAAGCAAATTATAATAAAAAAATTTATTTTTTACCGGTTAACATTCCAAGACTACCCATTAGAAATCCATCAGTTGCACCGCGCAAAAATTTTCGAGCATTACTTTCGCCTCCCATCTGAAATAAAGAATAAAAACAAAAATGCTACTGTCAATTAAATCATTATTCAAAGAACTTACTCCAACTCCACCGCCTCCTCCACAACAACCCATAGCTGAACTACCGTAACCAGGATACATCATACCGTATGGATATGCTTGCATTCCCATACCGTATCCTCCAGTCATTCCATATGTTGCTCCTGTCATTCCACCGTAACCTGAGGCCATACTCATTGTTGGAGAATAGACAGGAACTAAAACAGTTTGAGTTCTTCCAGAATTTAGCGCAGAATTAATTAGCGCTGGATTATAATATTGTCCATAAACTGATGAAACTAATAAAATATAGAAAATAGAGTGCATTTTGATGTTGTGAAGAATTAAAAATGAACCATTTGTGACCTTCTCCAATTTTCAAGTGGGTCAAATTGGAGGTTACTTTTAAGTTTTCAACTTTCAACAAAAAAAACGGTGGTAAAAAAGGAGCGAGTAAAAAATTGAAAACAATTTTTAAAAAATGAAATGATCCGAGGACTTCTCGCAGTGAACTCATTTGAGAAAAAAAAATAGTATTTTCAGAATTTAAATTTTACCAAGTTAAAGGTAAATTAGTTCTGGTTCGTCAATTTCTCCATATTTCGAATTTTCGATCTATCAAGATGAAGAAAACTTGACAATGAATCATTGTCCAAAAAAACTTGTTTTCTCCGATATTTTTTCAAAAAGAATTTCACAATTTTCACAAGGTATTCATCAATTGTTTTTGTTTTTCTTTATATTTCATAAATATTCGAATTTTCCCAAACTTTACGTTTTTTTAATGCGACGTGTATGATGGCCTAGTTTTCCGTATTGAGTTGGCCGAGTTTTTTTTATTAGTTCGGCCAGGAAAATAGAGAAAAAGAATCATCATGCGCGCACATGCAAGCAAGTGTCTATTGATTTTTTGCGTTGTTTTTTGCTCCAAAACGACAAACCTTTTTGTTATATTTCGACATTTTAGGAGTTTTATGAAACGTGTATTTTAAAAATTTCAGATGGCTGACAACGAAGCAAAAGCTCGCCAAAAGATGGCTGAAGGCGAGAAAAAATTGAAAGGTGGTGGCGGATTCTTCGGAAAATTATTGGGTGGCGGAGGCGGTGGTGGAGAAGCTGCTGATCTTTTTATTCAGGTAAGATATTTTTGTATTTTTATTTTATCAGGAAACAAAAAGGAAACATTATTTGGCTCTTTTAAGTCAAATGTCTCATCTGAAATCGACAATGAAATTGAATGCGGTCATTCTGGATGTGATTTTATTGCTTCGAATCTTCTTGAATTTGAAGAACATTACAAAAATCATCAATTCGAATGTATGAAATGTGGCAGAGCTTTTGAAAATGCTCATATTTTGGACTGTCATCTCGATGAACAACATAATCCATTTTTTGAAAAAATGAATTGTTCTGAAGGAAAATATAGATGTTTACATCCACAATGTTCACTGAAATTCACAAATTCTCGAACAAGAGATGAACATTCAAGAATTGTACATTATATTCAATTGGATCGCAGAAGAAAAATCGATAAATCTTTTCAATCTCAACTGACAAATACAATGGAAAATCTAAATTTAAACTCAGAAGAACCAACGTGGAAACTAACTAAACAACGAGAAATTAAAAAAGCTAAACGGAAAAATCAATAAAATTTGATATAAAACTGTGTTATTGAGAAAAATTGAAGGTTTTACCTACACATTTCGAAATGTTCTGATTTTCTAGGGTGGAAACTTGTTCAAAATGGCAAAATCATGGAAAGAAGCTGGAGATGCATTTGTTCGAGCTGCTGAATTTTATGGATCTGGTGGAGATTCAAAACATGATTGTGCTACACAATATGCTGAAGCGGCTAATTGTTATAGAAAAATTAATCCACAACTTGCTGTTGATTGCCTTTTGAAAACATCTGAAATTTATACCGATATGGGACGATTCACAATGGCTGCCAAAAATCATGTTACAATTGCTGAATTGTGAGTTTTTTGTATATGGGTTTTTTAGAAATGAACATTTTATGTCTAAAAATAGACGTTCACGTTAAAAATAGGAAAATCTAGTTATTTTTGAGAATGTTTGAATCCAGAAAAATTCGATTTTTTCAGATACGAATCTGAATTGCCGGATAAAGAATTATCTATAAAACATTATCAACAAGCTGCTGATTATTACAAAGGAGAAGAACAAAAAAGTAGTGCTAGTAAATGTTTAATCAAAGTTGCTCAATTCTCCGCCGAACTTGAACAATATCGTCAAGCAATTTCAGTTTTTGAAGAAATTGCATTTTATGAAGCTGATCATGCTACACTCAAATATGCTGCAAAAGGACATTTCTTCCAAGCTTTATTGTGTCATTTGTGTATCGATCCTGTGAGTAAAATTTTCTAGAATTAAACAATATTCAATTATTTATGATTTGTTTTCAGTTGGATACTCAACAAGCTTTGCAAAAATATGAGAATGCTTCTCCATCTTTTACTGATTCGAGAGAATGTAAATTTGTGAAGGAAATTTTGGCGGCAATTGAAGAGCAAAATGAAGAAACATTCACTGAAGCTGTAGCTGGATTTGATAAAATTAGCAGGTATGTTCTAGAAGTTTGTATCTTTTAGGAAAAATTCTAATTCAAAAATTTCTCGCAGACTCGATCCTTGGGCAACTTCGCTTTTGGTAAAAGTGAAACGTGCAATTTCATCGGAAGGAGATGACGATTTAAGATAACTTGGTTTCTTTTTCATCTCTCAATCAATCACTCTTATATTTTCCCCTCGAATAATGTATTTTTTAAATATTATATTTATTTTTGAAAGAAAACTTCACTTTTGTCCCGCATTCCCTTTTTCGCTGTAAGACCAATTCGCAATAAAATGAAGTGAGATTTATTTATTATTTATTAAATGTAGTTAGACAATTTATAAAGCTTATTGAAATTTTTTTTGGAATACTTTTCTTTTTTGATTTTTTTGAAATCCAGCTATTACGGAATTTATGATTTCCAGAAAAAATGGGCGACGAGGAAGAAGAAGCAAATGAGAAAACATTAAAATATTGGAAAATGAAATATCAAATTTTATCAGATGATTATCAAAAAGTAAGTTTCAAATTCAATGTTTTCGGATAGAAATCTTTTTTTAAGCCCCACGTGACTCAAAAATATTCAAATTTCAGCTCAAAACTCGAAGTGAATCACTGGAAAACCAGCTCATAGAAATTGTAGAACAAAATGACTCGCAAGAATCAACAAGTCAACAAAAAGTAGAAAATCTTGAAAGGTAAATTTGTTTTATAAAAACAATGTTTTTCCAAAAAAATTTTCAGTAAATTGCGGGAATCGACAAAACGAGTGGAACAACTTGAAGCGGCTTGTGTATGTTTTTTTAAAATTTCCAATTACTCGAAAACTCTTAAAATTCCAGATGTTTTATCGTAGTCAATGTAGATCAAATGGAAATCCAAATGAAAACGATTTGAAATCTTTGAAAATGCCGGTTTTTGAAAAAGGTGATGGATTCATTTACGGGTTTCGTTGGAAAGCTTCCAGTCAAATTCATATTGTTTGAATTAAAGTACTAATAAAATATTGCATTTTTGGATTTCATGGAAAGTTCTCATGTCAAACACCTCACTTCCGATAAAACCAAGAAACCAGGAAATTCTATCCGTCAAGCCTACATCTAAAATAATTTTCAGAGAAAAAAAGAGACGCATTAATTTTTTTCTACTCTCTCTTTTTCTTTTTGAATTATTAATATTCCGCAAATATTTATTCGGTCTTACCACAAGTTCAAATTCAGATTTTTTTTCGATATTTATTGCATTTTTGTTTATATGTTTAAGTATACAAAAATGAATGTTCGATGAAACTAAACTGACATTTGAGCAAAAAAGAAGTATTTCGGAATTCTAGAATATTTTGAGCAAAAAATACAGTAATCCTTTCTTTTCTCTTCTGTTCAAATATTCCCTGGTCCCAAAAATTATTTTTTCTTGAAAAATTTCAAAAAATCAACAAGTTCAACTTTGCTTATGCTGAAATTGTAGTAATGACGCGCAATTTGTGGCTTCAAAATTTCTTATATAGAAAATGTCAGGTTTCACATTTTTTGTGAATTTTAAATTTATTTTTGTTCAAAAATTTCATTATTAAATTTTGCATCCAGCACAAGAGCTTCTCTATGAATCAAAAATTCGAAAACAAAAATACGGAATTCGATTTTATGCATCTAAATTTTTTTGTTGAGAAAAACGGTGAAAAATATTTTGAACTTGACATTTGTTCTTATTCCGTTTTCAAAAAAAAAAAATGCTAATTTATCCTTTTTGTTTCTTTTTGCATTTTTTGAAGCGGAAGACACAACGAAAAATTGCAATTAGTTTGAATTTCAGCTGGTTTTTGACACGTTCTTCTTTTTCTAATCTTTTTTTAAAAACTTTGAAAAAAATATCTGGATTATTTATGAAATGTTCTTAACTTTTTTTGAATCCAAATCTTTGTGTTTCAAAACGATAGATTACATTTTTTGATTTTCACGCAAGTTTTGAATTTTTCTCGAATATTCTCTCTCGATTTACTGTGTTTTTAAGTAAGTAGAAAATTGATTTGAGATGCAGAAAATGTCAAATCCAGACTGGCTCAACTAGATTTAAATTTTCAAAACATACTTTTTTTTCTTCTTCCTAAATCTCAGAATCTTGCACAAGTTCCGCTGAACTCTTTTTGATCATCCAAATGTTTTTTCCTAAGAAAAATTAATTACTCATAGTTAATTAGATATTCATAAAAAATATTTCTCGTCTCGCTCCTAATTTAATTCAAAAAATCATGTGCGCAATATCTAGATATCTTCAATATCAAACACCTGGACAAATGTTCTAATTTGATATACAAAATAATGCCTTTTGGCTTTTTTTCAGTTCACTACGTTCCTGACATTTTGAAAGTTTTCTTCGGAAGCCCGGATTATAGATAGTTTTTTTTGCTGAATTGAGATTAGTAAAAGGTTTTGATATGTAAACATTTATCGAGAAATGTGTAATTATCTGAGAAAACTTCTATTTTTGTTACTTGCTCAGAGTTTTTCTCGGCAGTTTTTGTATCGGACCTGAGGAATCGGACCAGGTCCGATTAATCGGACCCGATTTTGAAGGTATTTTGAATCGGACCAGTGACACAATTTTTCAATAGGAATCGGACCACAAAAAAGAAATCGGACCACCTTGCCTTTTTTGAATCGGACCAGATAAAATCGGACCAGGTAAAAAAAATCGGGCCAGGTAAAATCGGACCAGGTGACAAAAAATCGGACCAGGTGACAAAAAATCGGACCAGGTGAAAAAAATCGGGCCAGGTAAAATCGGACCAGGTGACAAAAAATCGGGCCAGGTAAAAAAAATCGGGCCAGGTAAAATCGGACCAGGTGACAAAAAATCGGACCAGTTAAAAAAAATCGGGCCAGGTAAAAAAAAATCGGGCCCAGGTGAAATCGGACCAGGTGGCAAGAAATCGGACCAGGTAAAATCGGACCAGGCAAAAATCGGACCAGGTGGAATCGGACCAGATAAAATCGGACCAGGTGAAATCGGACCAGGTGGAATCGGACCAGATAAAATCGGACCAGGTGAAATCGGACCAGGTGGAATCGGACCAGATAAAATCGGACCAGTTTACCAGTTTTTCTGGGCGTTCACTAAGCCTAAGCCTTGAAAGACAGAAAAGTTAAAGCTTTTGGGCTTTACTGGCCCGGATATTAGGCTTAGGCTTAGTAAACGCCCAGAAAAACTGGTCCGATTTTTCGTTACCTGGTCCGATTTCACCTGGTCCGATTTTTGCCTGGTCCGATTTTTTGTTACCTGGTCCGATTCCACCTGGTCCGATTTTTACCTGGTCCGATTTTGCCTGGTCCGATTTTTTGTTACCTGGTCCGATTCCACCTGGTCCGATTTTTTGCCTGGTCCGATTTTACCTGGTCCGATTTTGCCTGGTCCGATTTTGCCTGGTCCGATTTTTGCCTGGTCCGATTTTGCGTGGTCCGATTTTTTGTTACCTGGTCCGATTTTTGCCTGGTCCGATTTTACCTGGTCCGATTTTTGCCTGGTCCGATTTTGCCTGGTCCGATTTTACCTGGTCCGATTCAAAAAACACAAGAGGGTCCGATTCCTTTTTTGTGGTCCGATTCCTATTGGAAAATTGTGTCCCTGGTCCGATTCCAACAACCTTCAAAATCGGGTCCGATTAATCGGACCTGGTCCGATTCCTCAGGTCCGATACAAAAACTGCCGTTTTTCTCGTGATCAGATTTTTTTTGATTTGGTGTTCAGTAGATTTTTATATGTTTATTGATCAGGGTACTGTAGCAACATATTTCAGTTTCGGAGAAAATTTGATAATATTTTGAAATTGGAAAATATATCATTCAGGTTCCGTGTTTCATTTGAAAATTTATACAAATTTGAATTTCGGTTAATCTGGGGGAATTTTCTCCGAATAAATGCTTTAAAAGATGCAGAAATGATTAAAAACACACTTTCAGAAATAGACAAATATTTTCATGTGATTTCTTTTTCAAACTTCAAAAAAATATTGTTTTTTATTCCAAATTTATTATCTGAAAATACAAGTACGTTCCAAACTTTTGCCAAAATTTTTTCCAATATTGTTCAACTTGAATTCCTTTTTTCCTGAATATTGTTGATAAATCAAACATCTGAAATTTGTTTATACATAGTTTTGGAAGTGTCAAATTGGCTTCTTACTATTCTCAAAGATTATAAAATGGTTTACAAATCTCAAAATACGGAATCGTTTTCCAATTCTTTTTGTAGAAAATATGTGTTGAATTTATATAATCGCGTGACACTTGATTATTATACCTTTTCTGCTGTTTTTTTGCTGAAATATATTTCTAACTCTGCAATTACAAATGTTTTTGTTATTTCTTTAAAGACACGTAGAAAACTAGAATTGTGTGTTCGTAATCTTCAAAATTTGAACGCGCGCCTTTTTTCAAAGTTGTGTGCTGTTCGTTTGAAAAAAGAAATAAATAAATAAAATGTGGTGGTACGGTATGCTAAGAATGCACACATGTGCGGCAAATCACGGGCATTTGTGCAAACACCAAATTTCGCGTCGGCTGAGCGATTTCAAAAAAGGCAATTTCTTTTTTTGACTTTCGCTAAACTCAATATTTTTCAATTTTGTTTATGTACTTCCACTATTTAAAGGATGATAAAAAACATGCAAACAATGATTTTTGAACGATTTCTAGTTTTCTACGTGTCTTTAAATGTTATTTGAAAACGAAAAGTTAAAATACACTAAAGTTGAATTTTGCAAGTTTCTTCCCTTTCCAATTTCCAGAAATCCAATGACAATTATTAATTGTGACAAGCATGTTTTACTCGAGGAGCAAAATAAGTTTTGAGCTCGAATAATTTCATGTTGAATCATCCTTTTCTTTTCTTCTCTTCAAAATAAAAATCTTAATTATATGTACACAATTTTCCAGCTTATTAAAATTTTCCCGCTTTTTCCTTCTTCATTTTTTCTCTTATTCAAGAAACTTTTTCCGTTTTTTAGCGAGACAAAAACATGTCCTCAAGATATAGGGCAGACTACGGTAGATATACGCTTTTTTAATTTCCTGGACTTTCTTTTGCCTAGAATGATACAGTAACTGTTTTTGATATATATTTTTATTAGAACAAAGATTAGTCTTGTGATATTGTTTTTGTCTTTCTTGCCTAAAAAACTCTTGGATTATTTTCATATTTTTTCTCATAATTCGGATGAAATATAAAAACTGAAAATAAAGAAGGATAGGTTTGAGGTCGTATTGAGTGCACTAGACGTTCGATTTTTAATTTCTTTTTTTTTTAAATAAATTTCAGTTTTTTGATTATTACACAGGATGTCATTAATCGCATTAATCTGAATATTTATTAATTCTAATGTTTGATATTTCAAAAACTTTTCCAACATTTTAAGGATAAAAATAATAATTAAATTTTTTAGATGGAAAACATTACATCAATTTTGGCCTCAAATGCGACACTTGCTGACGCAGTAACTGCCGTGACTGTGGAAAATATAACTGTTCGACCTTCTTCTAACTCGTCATCTCCTTATCACTTGGATAGAATTCGATTTATTTACGTACAAGTTCTTATGGTTCAAATTCTACTTGGTTGCTCAGGAAATCTGATGAATCTTGTGGTTTTATTGAGTAGAGCAATGCGAAGTCGAACAAATTTGGTAAAGGTTTTTAGCCGGAAAAACATTGGGAGTTCCGAACAATTTTTTAGTACTCATTTTTTCGAACAATCAAACCAATCATATCAAATTTCCAGATATTTGCGGCAATGGCTTTTTCGGATCTTTTTTTCTTGATGTGTCACATAACTACAGTACTCTATTTTTTGGTGAGTTTGAATAATTCGAATTCTATAATAACTTCTGAAAACTTTCCAGGGACCGTTTTCCAAAAGTCTTTTTTATTATAATTATTCTCAATACATTTCTGGTCTTGCTAATTGGGCATCAGCAATTTCAATTTATTGTATGATGTATGCAACAATCGAACGTGTTCAAGTATTTCGAAGTCCATTTAAAACTTCGAAAAGATCAGCTTCTTGTCGATTTTTCATGATTATGTTAGCTATCACAATTGGGTCTCTCTTTTTGTCTCTTGTTCATTTTGTCCGCCCCAAACACCGTTTAGAAAGTCGTTTAGCACAAATTTTAATGGTAAAATATATCTAGTTTGATAACATTGATAATTCTAAATATATTTTCAGATGGTCAATATGATCTGCATTGTAATAATTCCCTTGTTCGTCACAACAATTCTTAATGTTCTTCTGATTATGGCTCTTCGAAAAAACACAATGCCATTGAGAATGTTAAATGACAGTCAAATACACAAATCGTTGATCATTCAAAGGACAAAAAATGAGAGAAAGGTACAAAAAATTTGCGAATTGAAAGTATCAAATTCTTTTAAAATTTCAGGTTACCTTGATGGTTGCAGTTATTATAACTTGTTTCATTGTTTGTAACACACCTGGAGCAATTGTTTTTATTCTCAAAGAATTCATGCCTGGTTTTGATATGGTAAATTAACTTTCATCAACATAAAAAAATGCAAAAACTGAATAATTGCAGAGCAACGACAATATTTTGACACAAGCTGTTTGTAATTCGTTGACAATTACTGGAAAAGTTCTCAATTTTCTTCTCTTCTGTTTGAGTTCTGGTCACTTCCGCGCACTTCTTAAAAAACGACTAAAGTTTATTTTTCGTATCAATCCGAGGCCACGTCGAAACACCTACAGTACGGCCACAAAAACCTTCAGTGTACCTTTAAATGATCTCTAATTTTTCCTGTTTCCTCCTCAATCTCTCTTTTTTTTGTTTTATGTACATATTTTTTACGTGTCAAAATTGTTTGTGTGTGTTTTTTTCATTAGAAACCGAATTAGATAAAGTTATTCTGTCCTTCTCAAAATTTATAGAATCCCCTAACAGAAAAATAAAAAGGAAAAAAAAACATTATCGTGTTATTATGTCATTATTTTTGTTTTAATTTGATTCTTTTTTTCGGGTTACATATGGATAGATGTGTGGTCCGAAACAAGAAAAAATGATGTAATTTGATTAGAAGAAAATATGGAAACAAAAAACAAGTTTTCAAGATTCTTGGAATCTATTTTTATAACTCGGAGAATCTCTGACTCTGACTTGTGAATCTGACTTTTGAGATTGGCGCCACGAATATTATTAGGCCCTAAGCTTTCAACTTTGAAAAAAAAAATCTGAACTGAGCCCACATGTTTTGGAGCACTGAAAAAAAGCAGCGTTTTCAATAGAAGTCTGAAAAAGTTGAATGTTTCAAGTTACTTCATTTACAGATTCATTATTTTATTGAGTTCTATCAATAACTTAACCCTTATCAGAGAAATGTTCTAGAATTCAGTTTTTGGAAAAAATCAGAAAAACGATCGTTTGTATTTTTTTTTTTGAAAAAATCGAAGAATATTGAACAAAGTCATCTTATCAAATGTATTTATCATTTATCATTTTTTTTTTCGCCTTGAACAAATCACAGTTGGAAAGTTTACTGCAAAAACATTTCATGAAACAGTGTGGTCCACTCAATGAACATTTTCGAGCTGGAAGTGTTTCGTCCAAAGCACAACGCTTGCAATTTTTGCAAGATCTTTTTTTGCCACCCAAATTGTTACACGAAAACACAATTTTTTGTACATCGATTTCTGACGTCTCTTTTTTTCAAAAGATAAAAAATTCATAAATATATTCATCTAAAAAGTACAATGACTCGTCGTGTTTATTTTTGTTCATATCACATCAAAAATTCTCAAAGATCAAAGAATTCAAAGCTTCTACTTATTGTTTTCTTACACATACTACATTGTATACATACAACATACATAAATCCCTAAAAACATTCCTGATTTCTCGTTTTTAATAATCTAATGATAAAAATGAAAAACGAGAGAAATCTTTAGTCTTTATCCGCGCAAAATATTTTTTAATTTACACGTATTTTTGATCAGAAACGCTTGGAAATTATTTGATAATTTCAAATATCTGTTTAATTTACGATTTGATTTCTGGTGACTTCCTTTTTTTAGATTTATTTACTTTTTGAAAAAAAAAATGATAACAAATTTTTGAACCACAAATGACGAGTTTTTGACGTTTTTTGAATTTTTGAAAATGAGCGTGAGAAAAACGAGTGGGATAAATACTTTAAAGGTCCCCAGGAAATATATTGTTTTGAACTGAACTCTGTTTATTTTTGTAATAACTAGCTAGCAAAAATCGGATCAAATTGAAATTCATATCACCTGTGTTATGAATAACATAACATTTAAAATAACCATGAAAAAAGAACAATAAATGTCAATACTAAATCCTTTGTCACTTTTTACCTGTTACAAAATATCGATCACCTTTTTTTTCAACTTTAAATTGAATCATAGGTTTGAATTATTATAGGTTTACATTTCGACCAAGAATTATTTCACTTTTGTACTTGTTCTTATGTTTCTTTGTTGTCACACAAATTTTTCCTATATAATCATTTGAAAAAAAGTTCAGTTTGGCCGAAGTGTGACTTTCAAGCTCCGCCCATTTCTTACACCTACTGATTTTTTATTTGATATTGGTTTGATACCAGGTTTCGATCATTTGCAGTGTGTGAAAAATATCAAGTTTCAGTTTATATTTTTTACTAGAACGTTTTTTCTCACTTGTATTCCAAAGTTTGAGATGTGATGTTTCACCCTACAATTTTGAAGCTTTCGAAAAAAAATTACGATAACTTTTTTGTTCAAATCAAAACACATTACCAAAGAACTGTTCCAACCCAAATATTTCGATTCAATTAAAATCCAAAACATTTGTATTATTATTATTATTTATATTATTTTCAAATAAAAGACTCATATGTGTGACATTTTCGTGTTATTCCTCCTCCAGTAAACCAATTATTATCCACCGAGTTGTTTCTCCTTTTTTTTTGCATTTTTGTTGCAAATTCATGTGTCAAGTGCATTACAAGACTCCTCCCATTTTTTGAAACATTTTATATTTATTACGTAATTCAATACTAATTATTTGATATTGAGTTTTGTGGGTTACGGTAGTTGCAATTTCTTGAGATCTAAAATATTTATATTGAATTTAGACGTACAAAGCAAGTTCATTTCAAGTTCTCAATCTGTCTGAAATACCATAAAACGTTTCTCCTGGGGCTTTAAAATCTCAAAAATCAGATCTTGAAAACAACAAATCGAGAAGTTCTGTTTTTTGAGATTTGAACACTTATTTATTCATATTTTGAAAAAAAAAACATATTTTTAAATTTGCTCCAAAATCTGATGAACTAATATAATTCAATCTTGCTAATTTTCCAGAGTTATTCATAGATCATTTCTTCTTCCTTTCTAATTTCATCTTTCACACAATCCATCAAGTTTTCTCATTTGAAAATCTCAAACATCAAATTTTGAAACCTGGAATTATAGAACAATTACCCATTGACTCCTAATTATATACGTTGACTGAAAAAATGACGAGATCTTTCATTTTTAGAAAAAAAAAACATTTTGTTTTTCCGTTGAACGCAGAAATAAATAAATAAATAAATTTATACTAATTTTTATTTCCGCCTACGTTGATAATCCAAAAACAAAATGAAGAGGAGGAAAACTTTCAATTTTTCAAAATTTCTTATAAGCCAGTTCAATTTTTCATTTCATTTTTTCGTCAGTTGGTTTTTATTAGTGTTACCAATATAACATTATTTGAAAATAATTCAATTCTTTCAACAATTCTTCACAAAACAGTTATATTTCACGTTAACACAAAGGGTTTGGGTTTTTTTAAACACATCAAAGTTTTGGTGACATTTAAATCTTCATCGTTCTTCAATTTGTTCTACAGTAATTTTTCTATTACGTCTGAAATTTCTGGCTTCACTAATTTTAATCCTATTTAGGATTTCTGATGTTTCAGTTCAACAATTTTCAATAATCAAAATTTTGAAAGTTTCAGACATGTCCATCATAATATTTCTACTAGTTTTTATATATCCATCATATTCATATTATTCCGAAGATGAAGATTGTCGAGTTCGACCACCGTCACCTGGTAAGCATTTTTGTTAGAAAACTGTTGTCTCAAATTTCAAACTTTTTCAGATCATCCAAACATTGTTATTCTTATGATTGATGATTTGGGTTATGGTGATATTGCATCTTACGGTCATCCAACTCAAGAATTCACACAACTTGATAGAATGGCTTCTGAAGGAACACGGTTTACACAAGCATATTCAGCTGATAGTATGTGTAGTCCAAGTAGAGCTGGATTCATAACAGGTATATTTTAAATTTTCATTTTATGGAAAATGCGTGAAATATGACGTGGCAATTGAAGAAAGACATTTCTTAATTTGAATGTTCCCAAAGAATGAGACGTGTTCACGTGAATAATTTATTTTGTTTGAATTATTTCATGTTGTTTCTTTGCACTCTTCACATTATGTTCTCACCCATTCAGGGGACCACATTTCAAATTGTGCAAAGTCTGATACTTTTCAATAAAAATTAGGATGATTATGTCAATGATATTATTCGTCTATAGTTTTATTTTGATAGTTCAGGAAATCTGAAGTAAAATTAATCCAAAGTTCATTTCCTCAATGCAATATTTGCTATCTGAATTCGTGTTTAATTATATACATATATACTAAAAAATAATAAATATATGTTTCTGACATATGCGCGGTACCAGGAACTACACACTTACATCACATTTTTTTTCAAGCAGAAGATTCAAAAATAAATGTTTGGTCCAAAGTACAATTTGCAGGTCGATTACCAATTCGATTAGGCGTGACTGGTGGTAGAAGAGTATTTGTGCCAAAAGATATTGGAGGATTGCCAAAAACTGAAATAACAATGGCTGAAATGCTTAAAGATGCTGGTTATGTAACTGGAATGGTTGGAAAATGGCATTTGGGAATTAATGAAAATAATTCAAGTGATGGTGCACATTTGCCAAGTCGAAGAGGTTTTGATCATGTTGGAATTAATTTACCGTTCACAAATGTTTGGCAATGTGATACAACTAGAGTTGGTTTTGGTTATTATTTTTGTTTTCAAAATTATATGTTTTTTTGTTTAGGAATTTTATGAGCTTGGAGCTGATCCAAATTTATGTTTCCTTTATGATGGAGATGAAATAGTTCAACAACCAATGAAATTTGAACACATGACTGTAAATCTTGTGAATGATTGGAAACGATTTTTGAAAAATCGAATGACAGAAGATCAATCAGAAAGACCATTTTTCTTCTATTTTTCATTTCCACAAGTTCATTCAACACAATTTGCAAGCGCAAGATTCAGAGGTTCAAGTGTAAGAGGTGAGAATTAGTTCTGATCTGTTATCACGAGAAAAAAACCGGATATACATAATTATCAAATTAAAATATACAACAAAAAAGAGAGAAATTCCAGGAATTTATGGTGATTCGATAAATGAAATGTCGTGGGCGGTTGGAGAAGTTTTGGATAGCTTAATGAATGCTGGGATTGCGGAAAATACACTTGTTATTTTGATGTCTGATCATGGACCACATGTTGAACTTTGTCTAAATGGCGGTAGTACTGCTGGTTTAAAAGGTATAATATAAATCTATATTCTTTAATATGAATCTCGAGCTCGTTTTAGGTGGAAAATCAAATAGTTACGAAGGTGGATTCCGTATTCCATTTATTGCATGGCAACCTGGAACAGTTAAACCAAATCGAGTTTCTCACGAGGTTATTTCAAGTATGGATTTGTTCCCAACATTCCAAACTTTACAACCACAGTGTATTTTTACAGTAAGTTACAAATAATTTTTTCTCTTGAAATCATATCAAATTTTTTAGCGTCCTGCAAATCCATCAGATGGAATTGATATTATCAATGAATTACGTGGTGTAACACAAGAAGATGAAGAAGGAACATATGGAAAACTTCGACCAATTATCTATTATTGTAACTCAAATCTAATGGCAATTCGAATGGGTGATTATAAAGTTCATTATAAAACTTCACCGATATTTTTGAATACATCAATTGATCCAAATTTGGATTATTTCTGTCCAAATGGTAAACCGAAAAGTGATTGGTATGTATCTCAAATTTGTCCCGATGAACAACTTCAAAAACATTATCCACCATTGGTATTCGATTTGATTCGTGATCCATATGAACAATATCCATTACAAAATACTGTGAAATCACAAGAGGTACATAACACAGATGAATGATTAAATAATTATCATAATTAATTGATTGTTTTTAGATTCGCTTTGAGGCAACAAAAATACTGTCAGCTCACAAATCATCTCTGGTTAAAGTTCCAAGTATGCTCGGACATTTCAATGAATCTGTAATTCCCTGTTGTAATCCACCACTTTGTTCATGCGATAAACTTCAACATCGCCAACCACCTGGGGTTATTCCAATAACCAGTGATAATTTTGACAAAACTGAATATTTGCTTGTACAACGTTTCTTCTGATCTCTCTCCCTGTCTCCCTGTCTCTATCTATATTCCCCTATTTTCCATATTTTTCCTATTTTTCATCCCGGGTGAATCCCTCCTAGTCTTCTATTTTTTTTTTGATTTACAGTAATCTATTGTTTTCCTGTCTCTCGGTGATCTGTCAAACAAAAAAAAAGAATAAATATTAATAAATAAATTAATTATGTTACGTGACATTTTTTATCAAAATTAAAGAAAAAATGTTTGAGAATCGATTATTTTGAAAAATAATGAACATGGCAACTAGTTTTGAGAATAAGGTAAATTGAAAATAGAAAAATAATTCCAGCATCTTTTTTTCAGCAAGAAAATTACCAAAAAGTCATTCAAATTCATCTAGAAAAAGGCCCAGTTGACCATGATTATACATTCGGATTTTTATGTGAAATTTTAAATGATGCGATTGTAAGTTGATATTTGTTATTTTGAGTGGAACTTATCAAATTCGTCATACTTTTAATTTAAAGAGTGCAATCGAAGGTCGTTCACAAGTTGTTTATTGTCAAGCACCATTTAATGTTTGTGGTGATATTCGAAGCAGATATTCAGATCTTTTAGAAATTTTCAAAAAATGTGGATGGCCTTTTGATACAAAATATATGTTTCTTGGAAATGTTATTGATGGATCAAGATTCAGTTTGGAAACATTAGTTTTGTTGCTTAGCTGTAAAATAGCATTCCCTGATAATTTTGTGATTTTAAGAGGGTATTTAGAGAATATTATGTTGACGTAAGGCATCCGATTACTGTAGATTCTTTCCAATCAAGTATTGAATTTCAGAACTGAAAATAGTTTTGTGGGTGAATTTCGTGTCAGATTTCCAAATTCGAATCAATGGAAAATATTATCAGCCGCTTTGAAAAAGTTTATTCAAAGACTTCCACTTGTCGCAATTCTCAATAGCAAAATAATCTGTTTGAATTCTGTTTTCACAACAAATGTAACTAATGAAAAATGCGCTGTGACTGTTAAAAAGTAAGTTTAATCTTCTTTGGAATTAAAGGTTACAAGTCAATTAATTAATTAATTTTTGTAGTGGAGTTTCAAATGGAACATCAACAACAAAAATCGAGATCAAATTTTTGCCATTAGATACACCACAAGCAGTCACACCAAAAAAGATTGAAGAAAACGCCAAACGTCTCAAAGATTTGTTAAATGTTCTGGATATGTCACTTATGATTAATTCGAATGATGTTATTCCAAATGGTTATAATTTTTCTTTGAATCACTCACTTTTGACAATCACATCTGGTTCAAAAATTTCAAAGAAAATTGATAATCGAGGAGTTGTCATGATGGTAAGACCTATAGAAAGTGATTTTTTGACATGTGTTTTTTTCAGATGGATTGCACAAAAAAGACAACCTTCAAAAAAATCAATTCAGCTGAAGGAAACATTGAGAGTCAAGTAACTTTGCTGAGATGTTAAAAGAAATGAATTTTTCAACTCGTTCTTTCATTTTTCAAACTTCAAGTTTACTCTTGGAACGCTTATAAAACTATTCTGGTTCTTTGAATTATCAGTCTGACTTTCGCTTGTTATATGTGATGTAATTTATTACAAAACCGTAGACACATCAGTCTTCACTTCCTTGATTCAATTATTCTGTGTATATCTGATTTGTGTTTCATATTACATAAATTCATAATTTTTATAACTCATCCAACATTTTTACTTTTCAAAAAAAATACTGAACATAGATTCAATGTTCAATAATCACAAAAATAGGTGTTCCCTGTATCATCTTCATTTTCGAGTAATCAACCAACCAGAAACCATGTCTAGAACAAAAATAAAAGAGAAAACAAATCGACCATAGATAACTAATTTCTTTTTTTTTGTCTGTCGTTAATCATATTAGAATAATCCTATAATGGTTCAAACTAACATAGACATTCTTTAGTCTACCTTATTCATGTCCTTTCTTATCAGCTTAAAAAACTCCAAATCACCATAACAACCAAAAGAATTGTTGCTTTATTTCGTTTCTGATCATCATCGGTTAAATAAATAAAAATGAACTTCTTGTTTACACAAGTTTTTTGTCCTGTCTGGCACTTCCCAAAAACACATTTAAAGGTTTATTTTTTAAAATTTCAATTATAGTAGAAAATGGTCGCGAACAATTCAATTGATTTGATTGATCAGAATGAAACATCAATTATTATTGGAGCAGGAAAAGGTCATCTATCTACAGTAAGTTTATATGAGGATAAGAACCTTGTGAGAAAAATTCCGATCACGGAACCATCGAAAGTATTGGCAGTTCCACTCAAACAAGAGCGATTTCAAACTGTAAGTGTTTTTCTATTCTTATTCCATGTTTTACAAAAATGAAATGTTTTAAAGATGCATAACACGGAATTGATAATTTATGAAATCCTCAAAAACCATCATGAAGCTAATATTAGTCATCCAAAAATATTTGATAGCCAAGAAATGAATGTAAAGTCAAACGTCACTGGATATCTACTAATGGAATATATTTCTGGATGCGAACATGTTTATCTTTTTGAGAATCTGAATCCTGAACATTTGATTGAACCAATCAAACAAATCGCAAGGTTTCATGCTATAAAACTATCAGAAAATGAGCAAGGAAAAGTTCCAAAAAATATGTTGACTTCTTGGATGGCCGAACTATTTTGTGAAGCGGTAAGGTTTTTTCCAGGGGTGGGGAAATTGGCCTGGCCTCATGTTGTCCTGTCCTTAATCATGTCCTAAACTTGTCCAGGCTTGAACATGTCCTAAAGCCATATGCTCAACCTGTCCTCGCTTGAACAAAAATTAACAGATGTTTTTTTCTACATTTATAAATTCAAAACAAACTGGAAATCTCGTGCATAAAACTATGAAAAAAATAATCTACCTATGAAATATTTCTGTTGTGTTTGCGACCTTTTTATGATAGAAATTTATTGAAAGACTAAAATACAAAAAGTTACAATACACAATTAGAATACAAAGACAGAACAATTTACAATTGTTTAAACACAGCTAAATATACCTAGGAAATTGACCCGATGAAAACCTAATGAAAAACCGCCTAAATAAATGTGCAACGCACAAAACACCTAATAAAAAACTGCAGACCACTGCCAAACACAAAAACAAAAACAGAAAAAGATAGGCGGTCTCTACGCCGCCACCTCTGCCACGTCACACGTGCACGTGAAATAAATTAATATAAAAAGATTGATTCTTTTTATCTCTTTTATTTATTCTTTTTTTTTACTACATTCCAACACCTCCCCTCTAAGATGACTTCTTCCCTTCGAATAACAAAATGAAGTAGCAATGGAGATGTGGACAATAATACAAACAGGAGACAGCAACAATATGAACATGCAACACGATAATACAATTTGACATGAAGATAGATTTCAGCACCACTAATCAGTTGACTCATCATGGTTGACTTGATGATGATCTTGGAATGACTGTTGTGAATTTTCGGCTTTCTCGGCGGGTCCTTGATCTTTGGAATAGGATTGGCGGCTCGGAGGTGCGGAATTTATTTTGGGATTTTTAAGAATCAATCTTGACTTAAAACTTTTGTTATTCACGCACACGGTGTCCGATGACTCGGGTGGACAAGCCTTAATCTCACAACCACACGACTGTTCGGGGAAGAAGAAACTTCGGCCACGCTTGTGACGTCATCAATTTTTCAAAATGAAACTGGCGGCGCGGCCCGAAAATGTTCCAGGCCATATCTCGAAAAACTAAAAACGTAGCGATAATCTACGCATCCGAATCTCTTTGAATAAGTATTTTCCGAAGGTCCTGCTGCGACTTTACGAAATCGTGTCGAGACCCGTTTTCTCAAAAAATAGCATGTTTCTTTGTGCGTTTGCGGAAATTCAAAAATAGTTTTTTTTTCAAATATTTGTTTTCGGTAATTAGCTCATTTTCGAGAGGGAATTCCGAGAAGATAAGCATATAGAATAACTTTAGATGTGAAAAAACATGAACTGACATTGAGTGCGTGAGAAAATGGTTAAATTCATGATGTTTTCTGTTACCTGAATCATATTTTACAAAGGTAATTCAAAAACTGAATGCTGTGTTGATTATCTGGGCTTGAATTTTCAGCTTTTTCATCATAGAATTTCACTTTTTGAAGTTTAATTTGTTCAGATAGCGATAATAACTTTGATTATAAATTTTTGAGCTCAATTTTAAGCTGTTTTCAAAAGAAAAAATGCGTTGTTTTTCCCACTTCCATTAAATTGAAAACGGATTTCAATTAACAAATGTTTTGAATGACCCTGGAACTTTAGAAATGTTCTTTGGTGAGTTTGTGTCTAGATATTCGGTGAAAAACATCAGGTTTTTATTGAAATCTGGAATTTCTTCAAATTTCGATTCAGCAATTATTCCCAATAAAGTTCAGCACTTATTTTAAACGAGACTGAATTGATCTTAGGTAGAATCTTAAGCATTTTCTTATTGAACCTTCATTATTTGCTCGCCAGTTCGCGAATGGCAATCATTTTAATTGTAAAACAGAATAATAAATTAATTTATGAAAAAAAATATGGCAGAAAAAAAATGAAATCCATCGTTTGACAAATGGTGAGCATGTTTGAAGGATGATGTGAAGTGATTTATCTGGAAAATTTACAATTAGTATTTCTCTGGAATATTTCATTTTTAGTGATAATCTTGCTGTCCAGAGCCTAATATTAATTAGTTAATTGAGTAAGCTTTTCTGTGAAAACTAAACATAATATTTTCTTACATCGTATTCGGCCTTGAAAAATTAATCGTGATAGAATTTGAGTTGGTTTCTGTAGCGAGTAACTTTTCGATAGTGTGATTTTTCTTCAGACTTAATTGGTCTGGCGATTAAACTCAGGCCTGAATACATTCGTTTTTCGAACAACTAGAGTGAGAATTTTGGAATTTAAATTTTTATTTTTGGTTTTTTCTGCTAACCTTTTTCCACGAAATGTCAACATATGTTTTGAAGATTTTAGAAAGAATTTTCAATATAAAAATACTTACCGAAACACAGAGATATCATGGCATTCAAAAGTTGTTTATAACAGCAACAAGCTATTCTCCAAATCTTCTGTCGTTTTATTCAAACTTGCTCGCTTCATGAAACTCTCAATCATTCAAGTTCTGTTGAATGAACCATTCATTATTAATTTTGTTGGTGTCACATAGCTCGTCTTGTTGAGTTTTGCCCAGTCAAGCCACAAAAATATTGTTGGCTGATAGTGAAATGTTGTCCAATTATAATCATGAATTATCTAAAAAAAACTAATTTAGACAATCCGCAGAAAACGTACAACAATAAAGAAATACGATGTTTTTCTGTTGCTCTCTATATTCAATATGTACGAAAATTTTAAACATTTTACATAGAGAATAGACAAACAATTGGTTCAGCAAAACATATAAGTTCAAACACTAATTTCAGTAAAACCGGAGTGAATTCGCTCAATTACACACCTAACCATTACTCTCCGAGAAAAAAATAATCAATGTATGCTGTAAAAACTGATTTCTCTTCAGAAAACACTAATAAATATCTTATGGGGTGATTCAGGTCGAAAAAAAAACTAAAAAAAAACATTTTTTTACAAAAAAATTCGATTCAGCAAATGTCAAAAAACTATATTTTTTTTCTATCTCTCGACATTTTTTTTCATTGAAACATTTTCGCTGCGAGATATCTCTCATTTTTGTGTGGAAAAAATATAGTTTTTTGACATTTGCTGAATCGAATTTTTTTGTAAAAAAATGTTTTTTTTTAGTTTTTTTTTTCGACCTGAATCACGCCATTAGCAAAGTGAAACGGAAAAAAAACGAAAAAAAATAAAAAATAAAAATAATGTGTGCAATTTCATGTCAGTGTGTATGAACATTTTTGCGTACAGTAACCCGAAATTTTTATTTCCGCTGCCGAACAGGCGTGACCAGGAAAAACACATAGGGTGGGGATCCTACTGGGTCTCAAACAAATATCATTCAAACTTGCGTAACGGCGTTCAGCATGCATACATACAACTTTTGAAGACGACAAAGGGTTAGGTGACGAAACAACATTTGGATTAGACATTGACAATGACGGCTTGCGATGGTTTGACAACGTTGAAATATTAGTAATTGAAGGTGGGCGGATGTTAGGTTGAGTTACATGAAATTGAGAAGTGTGAATTGGTTGGCGACTTTTAACTGAAACAAAGAATTTATCAACTGCTAAATTAACAAAAACCTTGATCTTTCGATCTCGGAACAAATCATCAAAATTAACTTTCCTGATTTTTCCATTTTGTCTGACTCGACAACTTTTGGGTCCCAACGACTTTAGCACCACAGCTTTCTCCCAAAAACACTTATCCTGGCGATACTTCTCCAAATAGACAGTATCACCAACTTCAACTGACTTAACCCCGATTTTACAAATTTTGTCAAAAAGCCCGTTCAATTCAATTTTCTCTAAATTCCGGCCATTTAACTCACGTTTCGGTTTACTCAACAAATCCAATTCGATTTTCAACCTTTTCCTTTCAACAAAACTCAAGCCAATTCTTCCAGGTGTCGATCGATAATCAATCAATTTGTCCAAAACAATTTTAGACACCATCTCCTCCCTCTTTTTCAAAGAATTTGAAAAATGAAATGTGTCTCGACAACGATCCGACAAACTATTAGACTTGATTTTGATATGCTCGATTTCCAAATCAGCACAGAATTCAGCAAACATTTCCGACACGAACTGAGTTCCACAATTTGAGACAACAAACTTGGGTTTTCCATTTTTTTCGAAAATGGACTTCAGAAATGATACTAACGCTTGAGTCGAGATCGACTCCGTCAAACAAACTTCTTGCCAACCATTTTCGGCGTCAACTGCGACCCAAAAATATAAACCAGATTCCGATCCAACATATTCAACATGAACATAACTCCCAGAATCTTCCACATTTGGCAAAGTTTCGGATGACAACTCATTTGACACCGATTCCGTCTCTTGACCTTCGAATCCGGCATCTGGTAGTTCTGGCAACGATATTACTTGCAAGCAAATTTGCGATTCTTCCTCGAAGACATCCAATTTCTTCTCCGCTTCTACCATTTCGACTGATTTCGTGGCTTCAATGGTCACAAGATCCAATAATCCACTCATTTTCGGTAATGATCTGATGAGATCCAAGCCAAGCAAGTTAGTACCATGTTCCCGAACATGCACATTTCCTTCGCAACAATCACTATTGATGTTGATCTTGCCCTTGAAAACTCCCAAAAGCTTCAACTCACTACCATTTGCACATACAATCCGGCTAGCTTTCTGGTTGAGCTTCGGCGATCCAATCTTGACCCAATCACTTCGACTTATGATTGTTCGATCGCTACCCGTATCCAGTTGGAATTTCATCATTTTCCCATCAATTTCAGCATCCAACAACAATCTATTCGACCCAATGTTTCCGCATTGCACAATAGCCTGGTTGATAACTTGCTGACAATCTCTCGAATAATGTCCCATTTTTCCACAATTCCAGCACTCAACATTTGACAAATCTTTGGTTACACGACGACCATTTCGAGTTTGACCTTCATTATCTCGAGCATCCTTGACGAGATTCGGTTTCGACTTCTTTTTGCTGAACGCACGAACTTGTTGGACAGTTGATGGACCTCCGATTTTCTCCGAATCAGCTCGCAAACTCAGTCTTCTCATCCACTCTTCATACAAATCCTTGATCGTTTTCTTTGGTGCTTCCTTGTCATAATCCATGAAATCAAGCAGATGATTTCTCATATCCACATCCTGAGCATTCTCCAACCCTCGAAGGAAGAAAAAACATTTCCAGTCTTCCATCTTGATATCGGCGAGTTGAGCTTTTTCACAGGTTTCGTTGACTTTGTTGGTGAAGGCGAGTGGTGATTCGTCGGTTTTTCTCAGCGTCATACAAGCAAATCGTTTACGAAATAAAGATTGTTGAGTATCAAACATATTTTTCAACAAACTCACGATTTCTTCAAAACTCAACTCATTTGGGTGTTTTGGCGCCACGGATGCTGAAAATTGATCATACACATCATCCTCCAATTTTCCCAACAACACTTGACGTTTTGATTCTTCCGATGCTTCCGACTTCTCAAATATATTTCCATATCGAGTCCAATATTTTACAAACGTTTTTCCATCCTCCATGTCAAATTCGAACTTTGGTGTGCGGCTATTTAGACTATTGATTCGATGTGCTTCACCTCGTCCGTCTGTAGTATCACCATCACCACCAGCACTTGCTCTTTGTTGACTTGTCACCGCTTCCAATGTGGTTCGAAACATTTCCGACAATTGTGCGAATTGTGCGAGAATTTCCGTGACATCCACATTTCCAACTTGACCATTGACCATCTTGAACCTAATCTACCTATGGCTCTTCAAAATCTCAATAAATCAACTGGTTTACTCGCTGCGAACAACTAAAAAGCTTTTTACGATCTGAAAACAACGTTTACGAGCAAAATACGGACAAAATTCCTAATTTAGCTGCGCGAATTTCCTAAAATGAGCCCGAATACTGATCGCCACTGTTGTGTTTGCGACCTTTTTATGATAGAAATTTATTGAAAGACTAAAATACAAAAAGTTACAATACACAATTAGAATACAAAGACAGAACAATTTACAATTGTTTAAACACAGCTAAATATACCTAGGAAATTGACCCGATGAAAACCTAATGAAAAACCGCCTAAATAAATGTGCAACGCACAAAACACCTAATAAAAAACTGCAGACCACTGCCAAACACAAAAACAAAAACAGAAAAAGATAGGCGGTCTCTACGCCGCCACCTCTGCCACGTCACACGTGCACGTGAAATAAATTAATATAAAAAGATTGATTCTTTTTATCTCTTTTATTTATTCTTTTTTTTACTACATTCCAACAATTTCATACAGTAGTTCGTTTTTCAATAAAATCTGGAAGCTGATCCTATACCATCAAGTTTAATTCAAAGCTTCATCTAATCATTTAAACATATCAATTTATAAACAACTTTCCTTTAACATCAACAGTAATTTTGAATGAAAGACTTTACCCAATATTTTTCAATGAAGCTCAAATCTCACCTGTTAGTTTTGTTACTCCCCCTCAAACCTCAAAATAAACTAACTTGACTGGCTCGTTCCGTGAAAAGTTGTTTATCTCTTTGAATGTCCTGTCCAAACGAAACATCTTCTTGTTCGGAAGCCTGAAACTTCTACATTCTTTTTCTCAAAATCTTCGGCTGAAAAAACCACAACTTACATCAGGAAATGAAAATTGTGGATTTTATGGGACCGCTGCATTCTGTGACGGTTGTCTCTGAAAAAATAAGAAAATTAAAAAATGTACCAAATCAACCCATTAATAACTTTTTCTGCGCTGAAAAAACCACTGAAAAACCAAAAAATATAACAAAAAATAAAAATGTCGTGCGAAAAAATAAAAGAAACACAACGATACTCCGCGTGCACGTTGTTTAGCGTGTTTGTTTTGTTTGTTTTTTGCAGTGTAGATGAGAGAGGGTGGGAAATGGAGAGAGGGTTAGAGAGAGAGAGAGAGAAAGATATATATATATATATATAATTTTCAGAACATGGAACAATTTATGAGTGTTTGGAGAAATTATATGAAAAATTATATGAGTTCAGAAACACTGGAAAATGCCGAGCTGTTACCAAAAATAATGCAAATGGAAAACTTTCAACGATGGAATGATGATTTGACACTTCCCCAAGTTTTGTGCCACGGCGATTTTACTCCACCAAATATTATGTTTGAAAAGGATACGAGAACATTCAAATCAATTTGTGATTATCAGGTATGGACCATATTTTTTAAAATGAGTTTTAATAAACTTATTTAGACATCAAATATTGGAAATGGAATGCAAGATTTAGCAAGACTTCTCGCAACTTCTTTGAGCGGCCAAAATCGTCGAAAACACACTGAAAATCTTCTGAAAGTATATCACGAAGAAATTCAAAAACATATCAGCTATCAGATTGATTTCGAGAAAATAATTGAAAGTTATGAAATATTTTTTGTTCTTCATTCAGCGGTTTGTTGTAGCACATCACCTGGTTCAATTCTCCGAAGATTAAATGAGTCAACTGATGAACAATTTAAACAACAGGTTGGTAATATGTACTTTCAGAGGAAAAAAATTCATTTATTTTCAGATAAGTGACGTAATGTGGGAAAAATATACATTATTATTGGAAGATATGGCAATCTATTGGAATTATCATTTTTGAGAAAAAATAGTTTGTATTAGGAAGCAGTGATTAATCAATAATTCGATGAAATACTTCACCAGCCACATCTTTTCCACGATTCAATAATCGTTCAACCCAAGATGGTCTTCTTCTTTCAGCAGGTTCCTAGAAAAATAAAATGTTTTCTATAATTTTTGTTTGATGTTACCTGAATCTGTTGAAGAATAGTTGTCCAAGTATCTTCTGTGTTCAATCCAAGTAAAGCTGATACTTCAACAAATTCACATTTCAAATGTTTGGAAACTTTTTGACCTTCAGAACTTGACACAACTTGATTTCTGACGAGATCAATTTTATTGGCAATCAAGAATGCTTGAAGTGGAGTTTCAGATTTGTTAGCTTTAACAACTCTGAAATATTTTGTTTTAGAATTTGAATTAAATAGAAGATGTCAACCTTTCCAAAATTCGACTAGCATATGCAAATGATGCTTTGCTATCTACAGTATACATTGCAATATAAATTGTTTTTGATTGTCGAAATGGTGAACTTTCCAACGCAGATTCCAATAAAATTTCCAAAGTTATTTCTCGACCATTCAATAAAAATGTTGTCATTTTTGTGAAATCATCTGGGTTTTCATCAGCTGAAAAATATCAATTATCAACAGAAAATTTACAGAGAAAAAAACGATAACTTACGATCGACAACTTTTTCCGGTTTCATACTCGTTGCAAAATGATGAATTCGATTTGCCAATCGTTTTTTCCCACAATTTTTCGATCCATAAATTCGAAGTACAACATGACGCATAAGATGATTTTGTGAATCAAAAAGATAAATATCCGGACAAGTTGCACGTCGTGAATCATATCGATTTGTTGGTGGTTCTAATGTTTCAGACGAATGTTTTGGTTTTTGAAATCCTTTATCGAGTAAATGTCCATCACGTAAATCAAAACTTCTCAATCGATCTTGTCGTTTTTCTCTTTTTATGTCTTCTCCATCTTCTGTTTCAGCTTCATCTTCACTTGGAGTCGGTGGAGTTGGTGGCAAACTACGACGTCCACCATTTGGAAGTGGTGTTGAAGGAAGACTTCTGCAAAAAATAATAATTTTTGATTAATCTTGAGATTGAAACTACCTTCTTGGAATCGAAATGTTTGGAGACAAAAGCATTGGAGATGCAATATATTTATTGTTGTTATTATTATAATTATAATTATTTTGTGCAGAAGTTGCAGAAGAAAAGTTGTTCAATTTGTGTGGTGAAATATAATTAGAAGTGACACCAAGTGAAACCGGAAGAGAAACTCGACGAGAAGAAGAAGATGAAGAAGAGAACAACTTTTTATTCATTTTGAATGAGGCCGCTGCTCTGTTTTATTTTGTTTTTATTTCGAATTTCTCTGAAAATATCAACATGTATGGGGCTTTACAAAAGTACGATTTAATTAGACTTTTACGTCATTCATTAGAGAAAAAAGTACAAATGAGAAAGAAAAGAAAAACAATATCAGTCTGATCAATAAACATTCTCTAATTTAAGTAAGTAGGTTCTGGAAAACATGGTGTATGCTGTCTTATTTTTTCGAATTTTTTGTTCTCACGTTTTTTGAACATTTGGTAATTCATTCTCTCGAAACTGAATGTATAGAACTAACAAGGGACTTTTTTGAAGCCATAGGAGCCATTAGTATTAAAACTCTTTGGTTGGTATATTCATACTGTTAAATAAATTCTAGGATATTTCAACTCATTAAAAAAAATTGTTCTCTTATAAATGTTGTTACAAAAATAGTCTTTCAACCAATTTCCTCACATCTGAAAGAAAAACAAAATTCTTTGAAAAGTATAAAAATAGAAACCTATAATTATCTGAGAACTACTAAATAAGGGATTATGTTTCGCCTTTTTAAAAAAAGGTGTTTGTGACGTCACAGAATAAATAATCAATTATATTTTTGAAAACAACAACTTTTTCAGCTTGCAAAAAAAGAGGAATTCAAAAAAGGAAGCAAGAGAATAGAAAAAGCAATCCGGAACAAATTCAGTCAAGTCAGTAAGACCAAACATTTTTGTTGTGTTTGTGTTTTTCGAGTTTTTAGAAGAAAAAATGAGAAAAAAATGAGTGACCACAAAATAAAACTTGAAAACTTTTCGGAATATATTTATTTATTATACTTTCGAGCTATACGAAGATCATAGATGACATGGATACTCAAAAAAAACGGAACAAATATTTTTTCAAAAAAAAAAGCGAGCAAAAAAACATAGAGATAATTCTCACGGTTATTATTTCAAGTAAGTAACCCAAAAAGCAGAGAAAGAAACTTGAGATTATTATTTTTTTCATTCATTAAATATAATTTTGAAAATATACATTCTAAAAATAAGAAGCTGCTAAAAATAGATGAAAATAGAAAAAGGAAACAGAAAAAAAGAAGGAGCCGAATAATTACATTTTCCTTTTTGCATTTTTATATCTGAGAGTTAGCATTTTTCGATAAAAAGTATACTCGAAATTAATTGGGTTGTTTTGTTGAGCATTCGAGTAGAATATTTATGTACGTTTCAATTCTCAAGGGATACAATCATTAATTTGAATTGGAGCAATTTTAGAGAAAAGTGCGAGTGGGCGAGAAAAGTTTTTATAACTTTTTTACCATTTGAGGATAACTAAGCTCCAATGAAAATTATAAGAAAAGGCAACGAGACTTCGAAAAACGAAATGAAGAAGATCTAAAAAAATGAGCAAAGTGGATATTCATAAAACATTCAAATTATCATAGCCTACGACATCAGAATTCTAATTAGAAACTTTATATGACGATTAAAAAAACTGCTGAAAATTTATTTACGAACCACAAAGTTCAGAAACACTTTTGTTACAACTTTGTTCACGTGGTAATTTTTTTTCTATTTCAAATATCCAATTTCACCGAATTCCACCCACCTGATTTCCCATTTTCCAAGGAATTTCAAATCAATTACGGATAAGGAAAGAAAAATGACTAATCCGATTAAAAATCTGAATATTTTGTTTTTTCAATATATTTTTAGAGACGACAAAAATATATCTGAATTTTTTGATTGAAATGAATGAGTGACAAGAAAAATTGTCAAAATGGAATACATTTTTCGTTCATTGATTGTGAGTAGGAAAATAAATGGGATTTTGTAATAAAAGAAAGAGAGGGCGTCGTATCAAAGACAAGATTAGAATTTCTATTTTTGACGAAAAAAATGAGGAAAAAGTGTAAAAAATACTGGATTTGGCACGGATTTCAAAATGACATTTTTCGGAATATTTTCTTTTTGTTATTCATGTTTTTCTTTTTCTTCCTTTCTGAAAAAATGAATTGTTTTAATTAAAAATTTCGGTTTGGGAAAAACAATTGTTCCTTTTTTTCAGCATTGAAAAGATGACTTCATTCAAAAAGATATTCGACAAAACTCATGTAAATAACAACCATAATCATAATCAGTAAAACAAGATTAGTGACAATATGTAGTAACAGCCAAACAACTAAAAGAAGCTTTTGAGAAACGCCTTAATCTTTTTAAATATTTTGAAAAATATTGATATTTTATCAGCAGTTGAAGAGCCTTCTGTGATTGGTGAACAAAGAATGTTTGAACTCAAAACTTGTGAATTGAAATATCTTCGATGATCAAAAAGAAGTGCATTTGAATTTATAAGATCGGTAAGTTTATAAACAACCCCTTGAGAGCATGAAGGATCTTCTCCAAGTGGAAAACCATCACAAATTTTATAAGCTGACTCATTCACCATTGAAGTTGGGTACCTAGATAATTAATTTTTTATTGTTAGTTATTTTTTCATTCATCGACTTACCATATCTCATTTTTATGATGAAAATAACCATAATCAACAGTTGAATCACAATCCATTTGCTTTTTGAAAAATGTTTTGACATTTGCTGTACAAAAAGGGACTTTTGGAATAATATCTTTTGTATTTACAACTCGAAACGCATACGGTATATTTTTGTTAACATAACTCGCATAATCTTTATTTCCAGTTCTCGGTTGTCCAAATGTTACTAGTTTTATTTGATTCGATTTTCTTAACCCTAAAAGTAAAGTTCGAGTTGCACCCAAAGAAGCCATTGCTCCACCCAAAGAATGTCCAGTAAATACAACATCATAATCAATATATTCAGTCATTTCTAAGACTTTTCTCACAAAATCCCAGGTAACATCATGTGCATCTTTAAAATATTTTCCAGTTGTTCCAACTCCATAAAATATTACTGGAGCAGTTAAAGTATCACTAATTTCAGCCATTAATTGAGTCTATAACAAAACACATTTTGAAAAAGTCAAAAATGTGTTCACTCACAATAACATCAGTTCCTCGATAAGATACAAATAATTGTTTGTTTTTATTTGATACACTTATAAATCCTCCACATTTATTATTTTTCGAATCACATTCGGCGTCGAATGAATGAAGAAAAATGCTTTGGTCAGGCTCATAAAAAGTACTGTAATATTCTGAATATTTTTCATCTAACAAAATGATGTTACCTTCCAACACATGAGCTATTAAAAGTGTAATATGCAGCATTCGACAAATCCCATAAGCCTCTTGCTTCAGTCGAATTGTAGATCAAATCATTTGAATCAAAAATAGCAAACACCCCCGGATTCCACATCATCATTAACAAAAAGCAAAAAAACAACATTCGATATTTCTTAGAAAGTCAATAGACAATAAATTGAATGTCTTTATTTATTTTAAAAATTTACATTGAATTTATTATAATTTTAATGAATCATTAAACAGTTTCCCGCCCAATTCATTTTCTTCCGAATAAACTTGATACCAATCCTTTAATACCTTGAGTTGTTGGAGGTCCTTCGAAAGTCATTGTTGGATTACATCCACCTTTTCCAAAATCGGGAACTTCAACAGCAAAATAGTTTCGATGATTCCAAATAGCAAGAGTTGTATCATTAAAATATACTTTAGCAGCATCGGAACATGTAAAATCTTCATCGTGAGGTGAACCAGTACAAACATTATATGGTGAACCAGTTGTCATATTCATTGGATACCAAATTTCAAGAGCGTGATGATATCCACCATTTGTACTAACTGGATCACACGGCATTGATCCATCACTTCCTTCTGGTGGAACATATGATAAATCTTTAACACAACCCGGAAGATGTGGAACAATATCAGTTGAATGAACAACTCGGAAAGAATATGGAAGCAATTGATCATAATTCTTTGAGAAAACTAAATTTCCAACACGTGGTTCACCAAATGTAGTTACTTTGACTTGATTACGTTGACGAAGTCCAGATGAAACGATTCGAGGAGCAGCAAGAGCAGCAAGTGCGCCACCAAGTGAATGACCTGTCACATAAACATCATAGTTCTGAAAATATTTTCTAATTTTAACAAAAATAATATGTTTTTCCCCACCGCATATTGTGTATTATTCAATACACCTTGAACATAATCCCATGTCTTATCATGTCCTGTTTTGAAATATCGGTTAACTAATCCTAATCCATAAAAATCTGAACTTGGTTGAGTTGTCGCCCATCCTTCCAAAATTAATTGACTCTGAAAAAATAGTTCAATTAAAAAAAACTACAATTCCCAACAAACATTTGTTTTTGTTCCTCGAAAAACAACTGTAATTTGTTGGAGTACTGTGGAAACTGTAACATATCCAGCACATGGATTTCCAACAAAATCACATTTCACAGAAAAAGAAGTTGCCACTTGAGTATTCTCGTTCGAAGGAAATGTTCTGAAAAAAATCATAAAATTTTATGGATCACAAAGCATAAGTAAATACCTTTGAATACATGGTGTTGGATCAGTTGAATATGCAGCAGCTGATAAATTCAATAAAAGTTTAGCTTCAGTTTCATTATAAACACTATCTTGTGGCCCAAAAAGTGCAAGAGTTACTGTAGGAAAAATTAGAAAAAGTAACATTTTGTCGAAAATAATGAAAAAAGAAAAGTGAAGGAATGAAAATGGCAGATTGGTGATTTAAATTGAAAGTAAATATTTGAGTTTGCACAGTTTTAGTTTTGTAGTCTACATAGAAAACTGGTTAAAATATCATGTTTTGATGAACTATTTTAAACAAAAAAGTGTTGTTCATTTCAACACTGTTGCACTTCTGCGCGAACAAAAAATCGAGTCACAAATTAGCACCAAGGACCTCATTTTTCTGAAAAAAAAAACAAAACTGAAAATACCTTCTTAAAAATGGATTTTTAATGAACAGTGCCATGTCATTAAAAAATAATTTCACTAACTTCTAAGTCAAAGTTTTGAAAGTTTTGGGCCAAAAATATTTTGAAAACTGAAAACTTTAATGAATAATCTATTGTTCTTTGTATTTCTTTCAGGACTTGTCGGCGACACTTATCTATTAAACTAGAAAAAAATTATCGTAAAAAACGAATTCAGGGTGTTATCTTTTTTTGTGTGTACAAATCATGAAATTTCCATTTTCTGATGTCATTAGAAAAAGAACCGTGTCTTGAAAGGTTGCAAACGGAACTCATAGCACACACAGATCACAGTGTGACTCTGCATATCAGAGCTAAATGAGAACGGATTTCTAGAAAAATTAAGAAAAAAAGTGGGGTTCAATAATTTCTAATTTTGTCAGAGTTTTTGAAAATCGACTGAATTTTGTTAAGAGTGCCAGTTTTATTCATCCTGGTTCGAAAATAATGTATTCTGATTTCCAGATGTTATTTCTCCTACATTTTTGAATTACGACAGCTGCAAAATTTTAGGATCTCTTATTTTCTTCATTTAGCTACAATAAGTCAATTTTCAGATCGATACTCCCCAGTTCGTTTAACATTTTATCCAATTCAACATAAATTAATAATAAGTTTTTTAAATAGAAACAGACAAAATCAAAAACCACACCATAATTATTAATAAAAATAAATACCTTGAATTCGAAAAAAAGAGTTGCTTTATTCAAGGCAAATATTATTGTTATGTAATATATAATTTCACCAATTTTCACATCTATTTTTTTCTATGTACACAGCCTTTTGATATCATATTTCAAAACCGAACACAAACCACGGAATATGTCTTCAAAAATGTTGATTATTTTTTCATATAAAAAATTATTCATTGATCAAATATTTGCCGATCATAAAGATACCCCCTTTGGCTTTTGGCACTTTTAGAACTTCACCTTATTTTGAGATGTGAGAATTAAAAAAATGAATTTATACCTGCTTTCCTTATTTGCATTGTCTGGAAACCTCCAAAATCTCAAATTTCTTCTACTTTTAGGAACTTTTTTCGTGTGAGAATGCGTTTTGTTTGCTTACGTTAACGTGATTTGTGACTTGATAAAAACTTTATTTCACAAACAAAGCTTTTCCAAATTCTTTATTTTTATTTATTTCTCACATTTTCGTAGTTTTTCAAAGGCGGTCAGACAGTTATTCAGATTGATTGAGACCATTCAACGAAGACTCTGACTTGTTTTCTGGTTTTTTCTATTTTCAGCATGATGCTTCAAATAAAAAGAGAAAAATGGTCTTGCTGCCTTTAATAGAATTTCGAAATATCGTGTTATCTTTCAAGGGTAATTGTCCAGAGCATTTGCTAAAATGTCATTAGTCATTAAAAATATCATCAGTTTTCCACCTTACAAGTTAGGTACACCCACATTTTGAAAACTTGCTCAATTTTTGAATCAAAATTTTTTGAGTTATCAATATTGTTTTATTGATTTCATATACTCTGATCAAATCACAAAAATCATATACTTTTTGAGTTTTTCAAACAACAAGTTATTTGAAAATGACTCATTTCTACCTTTTTAATAAAATCCCGATTAGGTGGTGTCTCGATAGAAGCAGGATTTTTCAATGGGGTCCCCCCTGTTCTCATTTTTGAAATGTCGCAATCTATAAAAATTAAAAATGAATAATAAGATGATTTCTAGAGTTCACGTGTTATTCCTCAATTTTATTTGCATTTTTTTCTTCTACAAACAATAGTGACAAAAATTCAAATCATGAACTGATAAGATTTGCATTCTTTCTAGTTCTTTTTTCGTCCGTCCGGGTTTTATTCTTTCATTTTTATTTGCTCATATTATACATATATGTATTTCATTTATACAAGTACATATTTTCTTCAAGTGTCCCTTTTTTCTTTTCATCGATTCATTTCATTTTGTTACTTTTAGATGGGCCTTTTGAGCCAACTTCGATTATTATTATGGAAGAATATATTACAACAAATACGTTCACCATGGTTTGCATTATTTGAATTAGTTGTCCCTCTTATTTTAATTGGAGCAAGTTTCGGATTATTGATTGGAGTAAGATTATTGTTTTTTTTCTCAAAAAAAACATTGAATTTTAGTTTTCTGGACAATTCGAAACAAGCTATGATAATCGTGAATATTCGCCTTGGCCTGTATCTGGTAGTGCTTATGATCTTCTTATTCCAACAAATTTGAACAAATCAACAAGTGCCATAATTGAACCATATTTTTTATCAGGAGTCAATCCTGATTGTCAATTTCTACAAATTCAAAACACATCAACTGGATATAAATTGAATGTTGATTTAGCATATACTCCAAAAAATGCTCAAACAACAGATAAAATTATGAATATTATCAAAAAACGATATTCCATCAATAATATTTTAGGATTAATTGAAAAGATTAGTCATATGAATGTAACACTTGGAAATGGAACAATTCCAACTTTTGATACAAATATGACTGTTATTGGATTTGATACTGAAACTGATTTGGTAAACTATATGTCGTCACAACTTCAAAATCCATGTGGCAATCCATTATTGGCTGGAATTGTTTTTGATAAGCAAAGTATTGTTGACAATTTGATGACATCAAAAGACTATAAGTACACAATCAGGTTATCAAACACACATAGAAGAGCCAAAAATGTATGAAAAAATATTGTGTGAAAAAAAACAAAGTTGATTCATTGCAGGTATTTGGAAATGATAATTATCCTTGGGATACAAGTGTTGAATTTTCAATTCAATATGTAAGTGGACCAATAAATGCAGATGATAATGATGGTGGTTCACCTGGTTATTGGCAAGAAGGATTTATGACTATTCAGAAAGCAATTGATGTTGCTATTGAAGAAATTATCACCGGAACACCTCAACTTGAAAATTTATACTTTCTCGATTCAATTTGGGTCAGCAGATTCCCATTTCCTGCGTATTCTACGAAAATTATCGAAGTTGGAGCATTTTTCATGCCAGTTATTATAATTTTCAGTTTTATGACAAGTGTTATTTATATTGTTAGAACTGTTGTTGTTGAAAAGGAAGATCGATTGAAAGAATATATGAGAGTTATGGGATTGTCACAATTCATCAATTGGATTTCTCATTTCATTGTTAATTATGCTAAAATCATGTTCTCCGTCATAGTTTTGACAATTCTTCTACATTTTGTTGCATTACAGTAAGTTCAATTATTTCCAAAGTTCAAACCTAGAATTATTTTTGATTTTCAGATCAGATATGACAGTTATGTTTGTTTTTTTCATGGCTTATGCATTTAATATTGTTTATTTCGCATTTATGATTTCAACATTCATGAATTCTGCAACATCTGCAACAATGTTAGCTGTTGTTTTTTGGATGTTATTATATTTTTGGTTTGCTTTTTTCACGAGTAATGATGATGGAACACCATATTCCCTTGGAGTTCGATTATTAAATTGCTTAAATCCAGATATTGCCTTGAGTTATGGAATTCAATTATTATCTGCATATGAAACTCAAGCTGGTGGATTAAAATGGAATCTTATATTTACAGCTCCAAGTCCAGATAATGACTTTACTTTTGCACATGCTTTAATTGCATTAATTGTTGATGGAATAATTATGGTTATTGCAACATGGTATATTGAAGCTGTTATTCCTGGTGGTGAAGGAGTTCCACAAAAACCCTGGTTTTTCATTCTTCCTTCATATTGGTTCCCATTTGCTGGTTCGAATAAAAGAAATTATGAAGATCTTGATGAAAATGTGATTTATGATAGTCATGTCAAACTAGAAAATGAACCATCTGGAAAGGTATAAATTTTATTATAAAGTAAAATTCTGAATTGTTTTTTTTCAGCCAACAATTAGTGTTGTGAATTTGACAAAAACTTATGGAACATCATTTTTCAAGAAACTATTTGATTGCAAATTTGGAAAAACTGGAGAGAAAAAAGCAGTTCAAAAATTGAATATGAATATTTATCCATCTCAATGTACAGTACTACTTGGTCATAATGGAGCTGGTAAAAGTACAACATTTAGTATGTTAACTGGAGTTGCTGCACCATCAAGTGGAACTGCAATTGTAAATGATTATGATATTCGAACAAGTCTTCCAAAAATAAGAAAACAAATGGGATTATGTCCACAGTATAATACACTTTTTGGATTTATGACTGTTATGGAACATTTGGAATTTTTCGCAAAATTGAAAGAGAGAAAATGGGATAAAAATGAAGCACTGGAAATATTGACAAGACTTCGAATTGAATTCAAGGCAAATTCATTATCATCAACACTTTCTGGTGGACAAAAACGAAAATTATCTTTGGCAATTGCATTAATTGGTGGATCAGAAATTGTGATGTTAGATGAACCAACTTCAGGAATGGATCCAGGTGCAAGACATGAAACCTGGACACTTATTCAAAGAGAAAAAGAAAGAAGAACTATTCTATTAACAACTCATTTTATGGAAGAAGCTGATTTACTTGGAGATAGAATTGTTATAATGGCTCATGGACAATTAGAATGTTGTGGATCACCAATGTTTTTGAAAAAACAATATGGAGATGGTTATCATTTAACAATTGTTTATGAATCTTCTGAAAATGCTGATGTTGCAAAAACAACTAGCATCATTTCACAATATATTCCAAATATCGAAGTTTATAGTTTCATTGGACAAGAAGCTACATATTTATTGTCATCTGATTATCGACCTATTTTCCCAAAACTTTTCAAAGAATTGGAAAGTAATCAAAAAGCAATGGGTGTTACATCATTTGGAGTTTCAGTTACAACAATGGAAGAAGTATTCTTAAAGTGAGTACAAACAAATGTTACTCTGAAGAAAATAAATTATTTTAAGGGTTGGAAACATTGCAGAAGAAAGACATAACTTTGAGGAAGGAATACAAGAAGAAAACAACGAAATGATTACAAAAGATGATCCAGCTCTTCAAAATCTCAGAGCCATTCAAAGAAATACTGGATTCGTATTGCAAATGCAACATGCAAAAGCAATGTTTATCAAAAGAGCTATATTCTTTTTCAGAAAATGGACTCAATTTATTCCTCAATTGATTTTCCCGGTATGTTGTATGAATTCTATATTGTTTGTAAATTGGTCTATTTTTCAGATTGCATATCTTTCTTTGATGGTTTCAGTTTCAAAAATTGTTCCAAAAGTAAAAGAACAAGATCCACTTACAATTTCACTTCAACCGTATGCAGATGAAACTGATCCAAGTTATGTAATTGTTGGAAACGGAACATATTTCAATACTCCTTTGTCAAATTTCGTTACAAATACCATAAATTCACTTGGCTTTTCGAGTAACAAAATTGTGACTCAAGTTACCAACAATGTTGTGAATTATATCTATGATGTAACAAACGCAGAAGGATCAAGAGATGTTGGACTTCATTATGGATTAGCCTTTGTTCCATATACAATTGAGTCGATTCAAACTATCAAAGCGTATTTCAATAATTTTGCAATGTTCACAGCTCCATTGAGTATCACAATGACTGATTCAATTGTTTTATCACGAAAAATGAATCAGAACTATACTTTCACAGCAATTAATCATCCACTCCCACCAACAACATCGGATACGTTGAAAACAACACAAGCAGGAACATTTGCTGCTGGACTATTGGCATACGGTTTGATTGGTTAGTTTATAATTACATATTTGTCTGTGTCAAAGTATTCGAAAATAATTATTTTCAGTTAGTTTTGCACTTATCGTTGCTGGCTACGCGCAATTTCTCATAACAGAAAGCAAGAAAAAATCAAAACATATGCAATTATTATCAGGAATCCGACCATGGATGTATTGGTTGACAGCTTTCATTTGGGATGCGATATGGTTTATTCTTCGGGTTATTTGTTTCGATGCAATTTTCTATATTTTCAATATCGTTGAATATACAACTGATTTTGGAGTTATGCTAAGTTTAACATTAGCAATGATTTTATATGGATGGACAACAATTCCGCTAACATATTTCTTCCAATTCTTTTTCTCGTCTGCTCCAAAAGGATTTATGATTATAATTATGTATCATATTTTAACCGGAATGATTGGTTCAATTGCTGTTCCAATTATTACACAAACATCAAGTGCAGATGCCGGATATCATTGGTCAATTATATTTTCGTTTGTTTTTCCGACTTATAATATTGCACAAATTGCAACAGTCGTTTATAATAATGAAAATATTCGACAAGCTTGTAAAAAGTTGGATTGTTCCAATATCATTTTCAAACAAGTTACTGCGTGTTGTGGAACTTCCGATGAGAAATTATATGTTGACAGTGTTTTATTTGCTGCAAACCGTAAAGGAATTCTGATTATGGTGATTTTCTTAGCAGTTCAAGGATTCTTTTATTGGTTTTTGGTATTTATGATGGAAATGGATTGGTTCTCAAAAATTATTGATTTTGTGAAATGCAAAAAGAAGACAATTACGGTAAGAAAACGCTCTTTAATTTATGAAAACCTAAATTCATAAAAATTCAGGGTCTGTGGGATATTGTGGAAGAAGAAAACTCTGTTGAAGATTCAGATGTTATTGCTGAAAAACAAAAAGTTAAAACACTTCTTCAAAATTCTCAAGACTATTCACTTATTTCTGACAATCTTGTCAAATGGTATGGTAATTTCAATGCAGTCAAAGGTGTCAATTTCCATTTAAAATCCAAAGAATGTTTCGGTTTATTGGGTGTAAATGGTGCTGGAAAAACATCAACATTCCAAATGTTAACTGGTGAAAATTCAATAACATCGGGAGATGCATTTGTAAATGGGTGGAGTGTTAAGAATAATTGGAGAGAAGCTGGACAAAGAGTTGGATATTGTCCACAATATGATGCAATTATAAAAGAAATGTCAGCTGAAGAAACATTATATATGTTTGCTAGAATTAGAGGAATTCCAGAAAATGAGATTCCATCAAAAGTTGCTGCTGTGATTCATGCAATTGGTATTGGAATATATGCAAAAAGACAAATCAAATCATACAGTGGTGGAAATAAAAGAAGACTGTCATTAGGTATTGCAATTGTTGGATTACCTGATGTTCTTTTACTTGATGAACCAACAAGTGGAGTTGATCCAAAAGCAAGACGAATTATTTGGAATATTTTGAATAGAGTTCGTGATCTTGGAACATCACTCGTTTTAACTTCTCATAGTATGGATGAATGTGAAGCTCTTTGTACTGAACTTGCTATTATGGTTTATGGTAAATTCCGATGTTATGGAAGTTGTCAACATATCAAAAGTCGATACGGAGAAGGGTACACTTTATTGATTCGCCTCAAAAATGCTCAAGATGCTCAACAAACAAAAACTGCAATTACTAGAAATTTTGAAAAAGTATATTTGAAAGAGGAACATGTTCTTCAACTCAATTATGATATTCCAAGAGAAGGTGTCAATTGGTCAACACTTTTTGAAAAACTTGAACTGGTATCAAAAACTTTGAATTGGGAAGATTATTCATTATCACAAACAACTTTGGAACAAGTATTTATCGAATTCAGTAGAGATGCGGGAAGCGATGGATTCGCTAATAAAGCGCTTGATGATTCGGAATAGGTTTTTCAAATTTCTTTTATCTTGCCAAATTTCTATTTTTTTTATGATCTCTGTATTTTGTAATAAATTAATTTCTCAATGAAAATGTCACACTTCAAAAAAACAAGAATGAAACGACCGGCTTCCGCCGGTCTTCATTCTTGTTGCAAGCCTTCGGCTGCGTGCTGAAGTCTGTGTCCTACAGTGATTTCTCATAAAATTTTATGAAATGAGAAAAGTGAAATTGGGTTTTTTCTTGAAAACTGAACTTTGTCAGTTTATGGAAAATTTTTCCAACATTGGAAATGTTCTGTGAACAAATCAATCAATCACATCACATCGAAAATAACTATGGAACTTCGTTAGAAAACTTTTGGTCTATGAGAAAAGTCTATCTGGGACATACCTCGTCTAGGAATAAAAAAAACTAGAGATTCTATAAATTATTTCGAAAAATTGGGTGAAAGACAGAAAAAAAAATGACCTCATCCAGTGCAAGATTCAAATCGATTTGTATTTTACATCGTTTCAGAAAAAAATCAAGTCACAAAAAATCACATAACAAAAACAAAATTCAAAAAAAAAGAATAAAATATAAAAATATAAAACATAATTGCGGTTTTATTGTTAATATCATCGACGTTTTGATGAAATAAATTTTTTTCATATTTGAATCATTTTTTTACCAAGATACTTGTTCATATCCACAAAACACCCAATATATTCCCCTACTTGTCTCAAAGTTCTTACAACCTTTAGAAACAACACATGCCTAATTCATATTTCAAAAAAAAATATTATTTCTCCCGACCTCAAAGTTTTTAAAAGATTCGAAAACTTTTCAAAAGCATTCTCGATGCAAATGCAAATAAGTTTGAAAAGTTTCGAACTCTACAGAACTCCCTCCGACTAAAACTTCACTACTCAATCGAACCCAAAAAAAAGAACTAACCTTTGAAATTTCGATCGTTCCTCGATCATCTCAGGCAAATCGTCCCACCGGTGTAACACCAAATCCCCACTAACTCAACACCTTCTCTTCATTAATCCCACCGGTGGGCCCACCGGTGGGAAACTGGTGGTCACAAATTTGATAATAGCACCGGTGTACCACCACCTTAACACTCGCTTAACACCGTTTGAACACCGTCTGAACACCAAAAGAGGTGTTCCACCGGTGTTTTTGTTTATTTTTCCCACCGGTTACCCACCGGTGGGCCCACCGGTGGGACGATTTGCCTGAGATCTCATCGCTCGAAATTGATGTAATGCTTCATGTTTTCCATCAAAAATCATCTCCAATATTTTCATCCACGAATAATCTGAAAAATATTTTCAATTTTTTGGAAACTTTTGGTTGTTTTTTTATTGATTCAAAACGCTATTTGGAAATATGGGCGTCCATATCTACGAGAGAGAGAAGAGACAAAAAGGTAGTGAAATCGCGGGTGATCTACAGTGATTTAAAAACTTGCGGGACTAGGTTAGGAATTTTTTAATTTGACAAAAAAAAATAATTTCGCGGTGTTTTAGTTGAAAAATAACAAATAATCGTGAGTTTACATAAAGAAAGGTGTGAATATTGGAAAGCTCTGAAGGTAATAGAACATTTTGGGGTTATTGATTTTGGCGATGAAATTTTTAGAAAAATCGAAACTTTTTTCAAAATTGATGAAAAATGTCGGTCTAAAAATCCATTTGTAGCACAAACGGCGTACTTTAGTATTACTTCGACTAAAATTAGGAATAAAATAATTTTGGTCCCAAAAGTCCACTAAATCAAAAATCCAGTTTAAAAAATTCATAAAAGATCAACGTTTTCGTTGTGAAGGAGAAGTTTGTGTGAATCGAGACTATGATTTTTGGATTCTACGGACCAAATTACGTCTGTTGACCGACCCAAATTTATCAAGTTCCGTTCATTTGAAAATGGAAAAATATATTTTTTGTGTTTTTTGGTGACCATTTGATCAGAAAACCCTCGACTAAAAAAACCAAAAAAATTTCTAATTTTTTGATAAAAAGTTTCACAAACACGTAATCGAGCATTCTGAACAAATTCCACGACTCAAAAGTTCATAAAATTGTTTCAAAATCGAGTTCACCCATATTTTGTTTTCGGTTTTGGGCCCAACCCAGCTGAACCAAAACCAACCTGGCCCAAAAACCGGCCCGGTTCGGAACCCTGGTTACAGACGCTCTAAAAATCAAAAAATGCTGAAAAAATCGACCTAAAATACATTTTTTTCTCGAGAATAAGGCATTTCTCTCCTTATTCCCGCTAGGGTTTTTCTCACCCACGGGAACCCTCAACATTCCACATACTCTCGATTTTTTCCTTGGGGGAACATTGAAAACCATTCCTTGTAAGATTTTAGTGAGATGATTATTTTTGGTTTCAGTTTTGGGATAAAATATAAAATCTATATAATCTCCAGTTTTTTTTGTGATTTGAAATTTGTTTATCAAATTCATTATATATTTTGTGATTAACAATGTTTGAGTATAATTATCACAAAAACTAGAGATTCTATAGATTTTTTAAAAATTTTATCCCAAAACTGAAACCAAAAATAATCATCTCACTACAATGGTAGGTCTATTACCTTCAGAGCTTTCCAATATTCATACCTTTCTTTAAGTAAACTGACGATACATTTCAAAAAATTAAGGCGGCAATCCAAGCGTGTTGAAAAATCAGAAATGAGCAAAATTGTTCACGTCAAATTATTTAAATTTAAATCTAGGGCACAAAAGTAGGTCGAGCGGACAGACAGATCACCAATATATAAGAAAGATACAATATTTTAAAAATTATCGAAACGTGAAACGTGCCCGTTTTTCAACGTGTCAATAAATAAAAAAGGAAATTATTTCTAGTTTCTAATGAAATTTAACATATTAACAATTTTAATTCTATTATTCGAATGGGTATTGTGTTTCGATTCAAAAGATGAGATTTATAACGAAGAAGAAACTCGAATGTTATTTGAATTGGCTGCTGGAACAATGCTAACTAATAAAACATCATGTATTTCGAGGTAAATCTCTGATTTTCTGCAAACTTTATTTTTTTTATCACAAGATGTTTATTTTCAGTTCGTCTAAATTTCCTGGTGATAGTAGATTTGTTGATGGTTTCGAAGTAACTTGTGATATTCTAACTGGATCTTGTTCTGGTTATGTTGTAGAAATAATATCAAAGAAACAACTTGTAGTCGCATTCCGACCAACTGATACTTTTTTTCAATTTTCCGCTGAACTATTTGCCGCTGGATTTCCGGATTCTAACTTTTATGACATTGGAGAAGCGTCTTTTTATTTCAATCAAGCTTTTAAAACAGTCTGGCCTATGGTGAAAAATATTTTGACAAGACAGGATTTCAAAAATCATGATGTTTATTTTATTGGACATTCTTTGGGTGGATCAATTGCATCTTTGACAAGTTTAGCTACGATAATTGAAAAAGTGAGAAAAACGAATCAAGTAAAAGTTGTGACATTTGGACAACCAAGAACAGGAAATGGTGATTATGTGAAATATTTCAACAAAATAGTCAAATATAGTTTTCGAATTATTAATCGAGGAGATGTTTTAGCAAGAGCTCCGCCATGCTTCAAAGATATGCTCAATTTTGAAACAATGAGATGTGATCCATTTTCAAATGGACCAAAACATCATAAAACTGAAGTTTGGTATCCAAATGGTATGAAAAATGGTTCAAAATATGTTGTTTGTTCGGATGGTGAAAATGATTATTGTGGAAATTCGTATCAGATTGATTTTCATAATTTTGCTGGAGCACTTATGGATCACAGAAAATATTTCGATAAAATGATAAGTCCCTGATATTTTTTTGAAGAAATATTTATATTTATTTTCAGGTTGGACAATATGGACATTATGGTTGCAACAAAAATCGAGAATTTGATGAATCAGAAGGTTTTTTGGGAATGATTTCAACTGTTGTTGATTTTCTTAATAAACACTTCTGAGTGAATTTGAAACATCAACTGTTTTTGGTTGAACAAGTTTTTGTTGCATTCGAAGAAGAGTTTGAATACATTGACGGTAATCCGAACTTCAAAAAATATAAATATAATTTCATCACAACTTAAGACTGTGCAACTTACTTAATGAAATAGAAAATGAAAACATTACAAGCCAATGCGAGATTGACTGAAATTCCAGCATACATTTGAGTAATATTATTTGTACGTTGATCGGAATATGAAAACGTATTTGTTAGAGAAGTAATTGCCCAACTTGAAAGAAAAAACAAAACAGTTGTGAAGATTGATTTGAAATATGCTTTTGACGAAGTTTTTTTGCGCAAAATAAAATATGTTGAAAAATAAATGATAACAATTGCAATATTGATGATCCAAGAAGTATAAGTAAAATATTGAAAAGATCGATTTCGAAGTGCCAATGGTAAGAAACAAGTTATTTGGCTGGAAATATTTCGAGTCAAATATTTTCATAGAAAACTAGAAATATCAAATGATCCATTTTTGTATTCTCACGTGAAAAATACAAATTTCAAGTAGGCTGGCAAAAAATTACCCGAATACACTATTTTTAGAAATGCTCAAAAATGGCTTACCCATTTACACTACACGTTTTTAGAAATGATGCCCGTTTACACTATTTTTATTTATAAGGCTACACTTTTACACCTTTACACTTTTACACTATTTTTCTGGAAAAGAGTTGTTGAAAGTGCCAAAAAAGACTGAAAAATAGTGAAAAAATAGTAATTATCTGAGAATTAGCAAAGCCAAAGCATAAACATCGTAGAGAAGTTGATAATTCTATGTTTTTTGTTCTGTTCAAGTCCAAAACTCAGAGTTATTTTAAGCAAAAAGCCAAGGAAAGTTAATTATTCATTTTCTAAGCAGGCTTTTATATTCCTTTTTCATTTTCTGAAACTATTTATTACCCAAAAATACCCCTTTTCTTACTCTAAAATTCTTTTATTCACTTTAGGAAACCATTCTTTTGTTTCGACATTGAGATTTTTGACATTTATTTTCTTTTTTCCAAGCCGGAGCAAAAATAGTGTATTCGTGTATTATTGTAAAAATGTATATAGTGTAAAAGTGTAAGTGTATTCGGGCATTTCTGCAAACGTGTAAAAATAAAATTAGTGTATAGAAATACCCGAATGCCTCATTTTTGTCAGCCTAATTTCAAGACACTCTCGGCATCGTTTTTTTTATAGTACAAACAAAAAACTAACTTGTCAGGATTTGTATCTCTTTCATAGTATCCAAGAATGATGAAAAATATGGAATAAGTTACAGGAAGAACAGAAAGAGCGAAAAGATAAAGTTTCTGACTGAATTGTATTTTTCGATAAATAACAGGATTAAGAGATGCAATGAAACGATCAATTCCAAGAGAAAATATCCAACAACTTCCGCTCAACAAACCATAAGATGGGATAATTAATAAAAAGTAACATTTGCTTTGAGAGCAAGTTGCTGAAAGTTTCGTAATTTTTGAGAACACAAAAAATTTTTCTTGTTTTTTTCTTTTGAAAAATGTTATTTTTTAAAACAAAACATTACTTCCAGTGAATAAATAATATGCAAAAACGAAATGAGCACACGAATGACATAAATCTGTGAAACATGTCAAAGTGATCAAATAATGACAGGGAGATCGAAGTTTTTTGACAAATCGAATGAAACAAATAACCATAATCATATTTCCGATGAATGAAACAATTGAACAAATTGGAAAAAAAGAAGCCAAGAGGTAAAACAAATGGATCGATCCAATCAAACATCTCAATTTCGATTAGAAATAAGTTGTTAGACTATTCAGAAATCGGATATTTTCACTTGAACAAATATATGATGCAGATGTTATTATTGGGATGATATTATACTTCAAATTCAATGGAATATAGAGAATGTCGATGAGAGAAATAATTAGATCACGATTGTCAGAAAATGAGACAAATAATGCAATCAGATCGAATAACGTGTAGATCTGAAGTTTTATTATTTATAATTAAATAGACAAAATGAATTTCCTCTAGAGAAAAATCAGATGATAACAAGAAATATTCTTTTATATGTAATTGTTATTTGTTTTTTATTTTTATTATTTATGATATGATCATATTGTCTAAAATATCTTTTGAATTTGGATTGGTCTAAATAATAAGAAGGATATTTGAATACCTTACCAACTGATATATTGATATTGGCAAAAACTGAATGACGAATAATGTATTATGTCTTGTTCGATGAACTACCGAATAAATTTTGAGATGTATGAAAACGGTGAAAACTATAAGAAGGACATAGAAAAAATTGAACGCCTGAAAAATTACAACTGAATAGAAATTCAATTTTACAAACATACATGAGCTATGATTGTTGATTTTAAATCAATACATGCATGTGAATCTATGAAAAGAACCACTGCGCATTTTTGAGAATAAAATATGAGATTTGTGAATAAAAATCCCCAGAAGCACAACAAAATAAAGTTCATCGACCTTCTTGAAAAAAATAATTTTATACGTGATTTTTCACTTTGGTTATCAGTTGTTATCGAAAACAGAAAAGTTCATTGGGAGTACTGTGGATTAAACTTACTAACCCGGTAACAAATTTTTTGTTCATCGGAAAAAATAGAATAACAAATTTCTGAAAAGCTATCAAAAAATTGAGGACAACAATAACACGAAATCCGAAAGGTTCGAAAAATGAGTAATGTAAAAACCAGATAAATATTCTGACAAGATTTACCCCTAATCCTAGACTCGATTTGACAATACTGAAAACAATTATATCTATCAGAACATGATATGAAGAACTACTCACAAATCAAACATCCAATTCAAATAACAATCCATGAAAACAAAATTGACAAAATAATAAAGCTGACTAATCAATGTTTTTTGACATGATTTTTCATTTGTTCTTCGAAATCGAAAAATTGTCAAAATAGCAAGACAAATGAAAGATATATTATTGATAAATATACATGATCTGTCAACAATATATACTTGTAGTTTTCTACTCGGTTTACTATAAAACCAGTATGTTTCAGAACTATAAAAACTTTGATTGAATGGTTCTCCGAATATTGTTGAATTTATTAATGTCATTTTAGTGGTCATAATTACAGGAAATGAAATGAAATGATTTTGTTTTGCAGGTGATTATTTGAAAGTGCTTCACCTGTTATTATTCACTAAAATCAACCTACTTGCAAGCAAAACGAAGAACAGTGATTGACATCTCGTTGCAACCTATACCGATTCCTCTTGATTTTGGCATTCCAGCAAATTGATGTCTCTGAAAAAACTTCGAGTAATTCTTGAGAGAAAAAACTGAAAAAATCGATCGAAAAAAACCTCGAATTCGAACCTCGAATTTCGCGAAACATTTAAATTTGAAAAAATAATTGCAGCGCCCCGCCAAACGCTTCGAGACCACATTTTCAAACTACACATGTGCGCAAAAAAAAATAATTCCATGCGCCTTTATTATTTTTTTTGTTTTTTATGTTTTTCATCGAAACTTTTCAATCTCTCTTTATCAGTGAAAACTAGTTTATTCCTTGTATTATCAGTTTTGATTATGAGCTTTGTTGAGTTTTCGATGTTTTACTCGTCGACGATTTTTCTTCCTTGCTCCTCTTTTTACCTCTATTTCTATTCTTTCCATGATTCATATCATACGATGATTCAGCCGCACTAGTTTGTTGTTTTTCTGGTTCTAGTTCTAGACAAGTATTTGGCATTTTTGTCCGCGTTACTCCTTCTAATTTATTCACTTCCATGCGTTTTATATTTGAATAATCAGCAGGAACTAACGCGGATACAAGATGTTCTAATATTCTTTGGAAATCTATACGATCTTCTGGTCTTCGTGTCCAAATTGAAGAGTGTAATTCAACCATTTTTGGGACATTTGTTTTTCCTTCAATCAATGGCATATTTGCTTTTCTAATCGCTTTGATTATTGTTCCTGTGTCTTTTTCATTGGCAAATGGTTTCAATCCATTGAAATATACTTCATAAATTAACACTCCAAAAGCCCAGACATCACTTTTTGTTGAGAATTCAGATTCTTTTTGGATACATTCTGGGGCTAACCAGCTGTAACATGAAACCTTTTACCTAATTACTGAAAATAATAACTTACACAAGAGGTGCCTCTTTCAATGCTTCTTTAAATTTGGTCTCATTTGCTCCAAGTGTTCTACTTAATCCAAAATCAGCAATTTTGATAAACCCTTCAGCCGATATTAAACAATTTCTTGATGCCAAATCACGATGTATACATTTATGAGTATGTAAATAGCGCATTCCTCTTGCAGCATCAATCAAATAAGTCTGTTTTTCAAATTCCTCCATTTCATTTCCTCTTTTATACAAATGACTCTCTAAACTTCCTCCGTTACAATATTCCATACAAACCATAAATGGTGGTAAATCACATGCTAATCCGAATAATTTAATCACATTTACATGGTTATATGATATCATTATTTTAGCTTCATCGAATAGTTCTTTTTTTGTTTCCATAACAATTGCGGGATCAGGATGTTCTGTTTGTTTTGAGACTTTGATTGCCACAACATCTTTTCTTGCACCTCGTTTCAATGTTCCACGATAAACAATACAAAAGTTACCAGAACCAAGTCTGCCAGATTCTTCGTAATGAATTTCCGAATTCCGTAGTTGATATTTTGGTCTGTTCACAGATCGACCCAATCGAATTCCACATGCAAGACGATGAACCTGAAGTGAAGAAGAATTAATATTCGAAAAAGTAGTGAATAACTTACTCGATAGTAATTTATCATCTCTTCGAAAGTGTTAAATGCATGTGATTCAACAACTTTTTTGATTCCATCTTTTTCCATTGTTTCTTGTTTCAAAACAATCTGGCTATTTCGAAATGCGACTAAATAGTGATGAATATCATTCTCACAAACTTTGATACACAAATAAACTATCATTTTGATCTCATTTTTCAAAAACGAAGTTCGTAATAGAAATTCTCCAATCGATGCATCTTTCATTAATAATTGTGTGTCTTCTCTTGTTTGAACACCATGGTAAAATTTTAGTTTGGTTAAATCTGGATTTCCTTCACTTGCCTGAAAGTATTACACTTTGATTTTGAAAGATACACTTTGATTTTGATTTCTTACCGGTTGTGCAATCGATGAAGTCATAATATCGAAAAATCAGAAATGGTTGGATTTTGTTCGAATTCTACGCGTTAGTTTTTTTTAGTTCACGTGATTATTAATTTTTCTTTTTATTTTTTGTTCATCAATAAAATGTTCTCTGTTAAATAACTTTTTATTTTTATTTCAGTAATGCCCAAACCCAGCAATTCAACAATGAATAACAACAATTGCAACAAACTTCAAAAAATAAGTTCAACTGCACGAATCTCTAAAATTGCACCAAGAAATGGATGGTGTAATGATGAAATTGTGTTGAAAAGGCGAGAAAAGGTATCTTTGTGATTATTTAAACTTCTAGATGTAATTTTGAAATGAACTGAATTTTTTTAAAGGAAATTCAACGAGTCAAGGAGAAATTGGTGTATAAAAAGTATGTTGAAACTATTCCAAAAATCGATCGAATAAAAGGAATTCATCCAAGAACACCGAATAGAAACATTGATTATAGTAGAAGAAGTTGGGATGGACAAGTAAGTATTTTTGATTTGAACAAAAAAAATTTTTTGTAATAACTAAAAATAGAAATTATTTATTCAAAAATATAACATTTATTTAACATTAGGTGCAGGAGGAGCACTTAAATGTGCTTCCGAATCACCAGCAATAATATTACTAAAAGTTCTCCATTTCCATTTTGACCAAACTTCCGAGAAGTGCACTGTTAGTTCGAGTTTGTTTCTTGGTGTTAATAACCAAATTCCGACTGGTATTAGAAAACAATATTGTATTCCTAAAACTGTCGACATATCTGAATTGGCTAGGAAAGTTTTGTAATTTCCTTCTCCATATAAACTAATAGTGCAGAAATAGAAAAATGCGAGAACTTGAACACGAACAATACTTGGAACACTTTCCATCTAAAAAATGTTAGTTGAAAATAGGTCAAAGTTTTTAGTTTGCTCACCAAATGAATTTCCGAAATTCTTCTCATCAATAGACAACTACCTTTTGCAATTACAGCAGATCCTAACCCAATATAGCCAATTTCTGAAACATCGGTTTCAAATATATTTGTTTAAAAACAAGAAACAATTGTCTTACCTAGAGCCTTCAAATTGTTACACGAGTTTATACTTTCAACATAATGTGATGTTAGTTTAACCACAAACATGCTAACCATCAATAAAAATGAAGAAATCGATATAAGAAATATTCGACTGCGCGGCAGAAAACTGTCAATAATAATAGGATTGTACTCGATTTCTGGTAGTTTTTGAACTCACAACGCGAAAAGTATCATAATTATAATTGTAATACATGCTGAACCAGGTTTGAATAATTTTGTGTCAAAATATCCTAATGTATTGACTGAATTGATATCCGAATCAATGTATGCATCGATTTTTGAAATAATTGTGCTGCAAATCAAGATTTAAAATCGATTATGATTTTATCTTACCATAGAATCGAAGTCACAAACAGTTCATACATAATTATTCTAGTTTTCAATGTGTGCATAAATATTTTCATAATATCGTCACTTGGTTCTATTCGTTGAAATGCCACGCTATCAACAGCTGTTGCTGGGTCCAAACTTAGTTTTGCTAAAATAAAGAAAATTAATTGTGTTCTTTCGGAGAACTAATAAATTTTTACCATTTTTGACAATCCGTTGAATTAATTTTTCCAATCTGTTGAAATCACTCAATGTCAAAAGATTATAAATTGTATCACTCGTTTTTCTAAAAAAAAAAATAAAAGGTGATATTTTCCACAATCAAATATCTAAACTCACATTGATGTATAATAACACAAGAAAATCATAGTCAAAGCTGATGTATGGAAAAAGTACCAAATTCAATGTGAAATTGGCTAGTTTAATCAAACATAGTGCAGAAATTTCAGCAACAACCGAAGCTGAAAAATGGTGATAATCTTTTGTTCAACTTAAAAAATGCTCACAAATTTCAAACATTGCAAAAGCCAAAAGTCGATGATATTTCGGAACAGATTCGATTAAATAAACTTGAAAGAATATTCCGAGCATATGACTGAGAATTTGTAGGCCGAAAGTTCCGATATACCATAAACGAACTGTATGTGTCATGCAGAAAAAACAAATTGGTAGAAAGAAAACAATTATTCGCATTGATGTTTTATGACGAGTTCTGAATATAATTGAATGATTCTAAAAATTATTTGAATTTTCAATACAAACCCGATAAATGCTAGAGATAGAAATGGGCAAATAACATGAGCCAAATCATTTGTTGGTAGATCACCAGAAAATATTCTTGAGTTATGAGATACTTCTAACAAATCATCGTCATTTGTTGGTGTAACTTGCGTATAAACATTTGTGAGTTCATAGATCGATTCGGATGTTATTTTTGTCAATTTGTTAGAGAGAAATATTGCATTTAGAATAAACCAAAAGATGAAGTTGATGATACAAACATGGATAATCGTTTTTCTTGTTGGTGAATAATAAATTCCTGCAAAAAACGTGTAATCGAAAGTTTTGAATGAATTTAAAATCTCATACCAATATAATCGAATAATGTTTCAACCGTTTTGATTTTTCTTGTCTTGACATAAATCTTTTTCGAGCCAGTTTCTTTATCTCTCGGTTCATGAATAATTTCAGCAGATCCATCATCATCTTTATCAGAATCACTAATTTCTTGGCTTCCTCGTCTTCTTTTTATAATTTTTTGTTTTGTTTCACCTTCTTTCGAATTTTCAACCGATGTTTTTGATTTGGTATTTTTTCCAATATCCGTTTCCTTTGATGTTTCTTTTGATGGATTATTTGCTGACATTGTTACAAACTCGCTAGAATTCGTAACCTTTTCTTTTGATTTTGATCCAGTTTGTTTTTCATCTGATTTTGTTCCATTTTCAGCCGATTTTGATTTATCTTTTGAATTTGGCAATTTTATTCTGACAGATTTTGGCAATTTTGCTGATTTCTCTTTTTCGGCAGATTGTTTCAGAATACCTTTTTTCGATGTTGTCGATTTCAAATCTTTTTTCCGACTTTTAATGGTTTCTGGCGATGATGTGATATATACTTCTTTGGAATTATATCTTGACGGCTGATCCTTTTTCCGTTTTGATTTATTTTTCCTTGATGAAATAATTCGATTCGCATCTTCTTTTGATTTAGATTTAGATTTCAAAGATATACCATTTTCCATTGTTGTAATTAATAAAAATGAACAAATCTTTGTTGGAAAAAACAAGTTCGTGGATCACGTGAAAATACGTAAAAATATTATTTTGTGTTTCAATTTTTTTATTGCTGATTTTTTAAGTGTAGAGTATTTCGACTTTTCTTAGAATGAAAATAATTTATTATCAAATTGATTATGATCTCATTTGACAACAGGTGCTGGTGGAACTGTCATACGTGCTTCTTCTGTTCCAATGATAACATTCCTCAACTTTTTCCATTGCCATTTTGACCAAACTTCAGAGAAATAGACAACAATATCAGGTTCTTTTCTCGGAGTCAAAAGCCAAATTCCAATTGGTACACAAAATAAACATTGCATTCCAAACATATTTCCATTTATTGAACTATCTTGTAATGCACCAAAATCACCAACGATCAAATATTCGAAAAAACGACAAAATGCAAGTAATTGTAAACGAACAATACTTGGAACACTTTCGATCTAAAAAATGAATAAATTTAATTTGTTTTTTGAAATACTACAAATTTCTCTCACCAAATGCATTTCCAAATAAACTTTAATCATTTCGCAAATCCCGGCAACAACTCCTCCTAATATTGCACCATACCAGGGAATATTTGTATGTTTATCACCATCACACATATAAGCAGTATAACTATGTTCTTGTGTGTATTTGAAAACAAAATAAGATATGACTAGAAAGAATGATGATATTGATAATGGAATAATTCGGCATTTTGGTAGTATTCTAAAAATAAAAAGGAATTCTAAGAAACATGCAGAGAAATAAACAAACATTGAAAATGGAATCATAAATATTATAGCAATTGATATTGCCAGTGGAGTAATAATATATTTATCAAACATTGCCAAAGATGCTGCAGTTGATATTTCGTTTGAAACAATTGTGAAAATTTTAGTGCTCAATGAACAAACTAATGAACAAATAAAAAGTTCGTATACAATCAGTCGAGTTTTGGTTGCATGAACAAATATTTTCAAAATATCATCACTTGGTTCAATATTCTGAAATGCCATACCATCTACCACATTTGAAGGATCAATTTTCATATTTGCTGAAATAAAACAAATTATTATCATTATTAGGATTCTTTCATATTAAAGAAAAATCTTACTGTATTCAATAAAACGAGTAACACTTTTTTCAACTCGATTGAAATCGCTCAAAGTTAATAAGTTGTACATTGTATCATATGTGTTCCTAAAACAACAATTATTTATTGTCTAAAATATTCTTTGAAAACTTACAATGCAGTGTAATAACATATAACTATCAGAAATATTGTCGCTTGTTGGAAAAATACTTGGAGAAATTGAGCTGGTACCAAAGTGATATATAAATGAGCAGAAACAAGAGCTATCGCGGTGGCTGTAAGAAAATATTCATAATGTGAGTATGAGTTTTTCTGTGTAGGATTCATGTCACAAAGACAACTTACCAGCTTCTAAAAGAACCAATGCAATAACTCGATGATATTTTGGCACAGATTCAATCAAATAAACTTGGAAAATAAGAGTAAGAAGATGTTTCGATAGTTGAATACCAAAAATTCCAAAGTACCAAAGACATGAAATATGTGCAATAAAAAAACAATAGATTGGCAAACTGATTACCAAAATCTGTATGATCAATTTGTGTCGAGTTCTAAATATCAAAATTTATCGAGTCAGGAATTATTAGTTTCCGAATGTTTCTTACCCTATACATCCGATTGAAATAAATGCTCCAAAAATAATGGCAAGATCTGTGCTCGGAATAAATTCGGCTAAAAAGTTTGCATGTGAAATTAGATCGAGAATACTTGTTCCATTGACTGCTTCAACTATACCGTACATGTGCAATTTTTTGTACATATCTTTTTGTGAAAATTTCGATAAATTATTCATATCTCTTGCTGCTCTATACACAAATATAACGAAAAAGTGGATTATACATATTGGAATAATTGTTTTTCGAATATGTGGATAATGACAGCCTACAAATTTTTAAAATATTTCCGTTTTAATAACTTATCTTACCTATATAGCTGAAAAGGGTATTAATAGTTTTGATCCGTTTTGATTTCACAAATATTTTTTGTTTTCCATCATTTTCTTCTTTTCTTATATCACTTGGACGAAAATTGTCATCTTCTGCACTATTTTCGAGTTTCAATTTGCGTTTTTTGATAATTTTATAAGCCTTTTGAGTTTGATTGTTCATTGGTGTTTTTGTTTTTGATCTTCCATAATCACTCGATGGAGTTTTTGTTGGAGCTGAAGTTGACACCGATTTTCCTTGACTCATTACAGATCTGGATATATTTTGAAATATCGAAGCTCCTTTAGTAAGTGAATTCGTCATTTTTCTCTTCTCATTTGATTTGGAAGGTGTTCCAGCTGATGAAGGTGTATTCATAGATGACGGTGTTCCATTTGATGGTGTTTCTCTTGAAAGTGACGTTTTTTCGTTTGAAGGATAGATTAATTTCCTATTTGACTTTCTAGTTGAGTGGTTTGATCTCACTTTTCCAGTTGGTTTCATTTGATCCACATTTTGATCGGAACTAACTTTCCTTATATTCGATTGCAGCAAACTTTTTCTCGATTGTTTGTAAGCTTCAACAGATGATTTTGGTATAGAATTATTGATTTCTGGTGATTGACCATCTCCTGACACATTATTTGATTTAGAATTTGATATTAACGAAGAACTTCCTTTCATTTGATTTAATTATTTTTTCATAGATAGAAATGGCAGAATTCTAGTTGGCCAAAATCGTATCATTCCTAAAGGTCACGCTTTTATTGCTTAAATAATTTGTTCTGTGTGATAATTTTGAAAATGTTCAGAAAAATACTAATAACATCGTGAGAAAAATCTCAATGTTTAGAATTATAATTTAGAATTTCGTGGCTCAAATTCTTTAGAAATCTCAAGCTTTTCATTTTTATATCATTTTTATCGGGAAAAAAATAAATTAATATTTTATTGAAGAACAAGCCAATAAATGAGTAGAAAAAGTGATCGAGACATCAAAAATTGATATTTTATCGAATAATTTTGAATTTTGAGGCTCAAATTCTTTAAAAATCTCAATTTTTTCATTTTTATATCATTTTTATCGGGAAAAAAATGAATTAATATTTTATTGAAGAACAAGCCAATAAATGAGTAGAAAAAGTGATCGAGACATCAAAAATTGATATTTTATCGAATAATTTTGAATTTTGAGGCTCAAATTCTTTAAAAATCTCAATTTTTTCATTTTTATATCATTTTTATCGAGAAAAAAATAAATTAATATTTTATTGAAGAACAAGCCAATAAATGAGTAGAAAAAGTGATCGAGACATCAAAAATTGATATTTTATCGAATAATTTTGAATTTTGAGGCTCAAATTCTTTAAAAATCTCAATTTTTTCATTTTTATATCATTTTTATCGGGAAAAAAATAAATTAATATTTTATTGAAGAACAAGCCAATAAATGAGTAGAAAAAGTGATCGAGACATCAAAAATTGATATTTTATCGAATAATTTTGAATTTTGAGGCTCAAATTCTTTAAAAATCTCAATTTTTTCATTTTTATATCATTTTTATCGAGAAAAAAATAAATTAATATTTTATTGAAGAACAAGCCAATAAATGAGTAGAAAAAGTGATCGAGACATCAAAAATTGATATTTTATCGAATAATTTTGAATTTTGAGGCTCAAATTCTTTAAAAATCTCAATTTTTTCATTTTTATATCATTTTTATCGGGAAAAAAATAAATTAATATTTTATTGAAGAACAAGCCAATAAATGAGTAGAAAAAGTGATCGAGACATCAAAAATTGATATTTTATCGAATAATTTTGAATTTTGAGGCTCAAATTCTTTAAAAATCTCAATTTTTTCATTTTTATATCATTTTTATCGGGAAAAAAATAAATTAATATTTTATTGAAGAACAAGCCAATAAATGAGTAGAAAAAGTGATCGAGACATCAAAAATTGATATTTTATCGAATAATTTTGAATTTTGAGGCTCAAATTCTTTAAAAATCTCAATTTTTTCATTTTTATATCATTTTTATCGAGAAAAAAATAAATTAATATTTTATTGAAGAACAAGCCAATAAATGAGTAGAAAAAGTGATCGAGACATCAAAAATTGATATTTTATCGAATAATTTTGAATTTTGAGGCTCAAATTCTTTAAAAATCTCAATTTTTTCATTTTTATATCATTTTTATCGGGAAAAAAATAAATTAATATTTTATTGAAGAACAAGCCAATAAATGAGTAGAAAAAGTGATCGAGACATCAAAAATTGATATTTTATCGAATAATTTTGAATTTTGAGGCTCAAATTCTTTAAAAATCTCAATTTTTTCATTTTTATATCATTTTTATCGGGAAAAAAATAAATTAATATTTTATTGAAGAACAAGCCAATAAATGAGTAGAAAAAGTGATCGAGACATCAAAAATTGATATTTTATCGAATAATTTTGAATTTTGAGGCTCAAATTCTTTAAAAATCTCAATTTTTTCATTTTTATATCATTTTTATCGAGAAAAAAATAAATTAATATTTTATTGAAGAACAAGCCAATAAATGAGTAGAAAAAGTGATCGAGACATCAAAAATTGATATTTTATCGAATAATTTTGAATTTTGAGGCTCAAATTCTTTAAAAATCTCAATCTTTTCATTTTTATATCATTTTTATCGGGAAAAAAAAAATGAATTAATATTTTATTGAAGAACAAGCCCAATAAATGAGTAGAAAAAGTGATCGAGACATCAAAAATTGATATTTTATCGAATAATTTTGAATTTTGAGGCTCAAATTCTTTAAAAATCTCAATTTTTTTCATTTTTATATCATTTTTATCGGGAAAAAAATGAATTAATATTTTATTGAAGAACAAGCCAATAAATGAGTAGAAAAAGTGATCGAGACATCAAAAATTGAATAATTTTATCGAATAATTTTTTTTGAATTTTGAGGCTCAAATTCTTTAAAAATCTCAATTTTTTCATTTTTATATCATTTTTATCGAGAAAAAAATAAATTAATATTTTATTGAAGAACAACCCAATAAATGACTAGAAAAAGTGATCGAGACATCAAAAATTGATATTTTATCGAATAATTTTGAATTTTGAGGCTCAAATTCTTTAAAAATCTCAATTTTTTCATTTTTATATCATTTTTATCGGGAAAAAAATGAATTAATATTTTATTGAAGAACAACCCAATAAATGAGTAGAAAAAGTGATCGAGACATCAAAAATTGATATTTTATCGAATAATTTTGAATTTTGAGGCTCAATTTCTTTAGAAATCTCAAGTTTTTCATTTTTATATCATTTTTATATGTAAGAAACATCTCAAAATCCAACCAAACTTCCTATTTTTGCAGATGAAGAAATGGAAATTGAGTTTATACGATCTTGTTGGAGATATTCAAAATCAACCTTCGAAAAAAGATGAATCTGTGAGTTTGAAATTGGATGAAATTTCTCGAACAAAAATATTAAAAGATATGGATCTTATATGAACTTGTTTTCAAATTATTTATTTTAGTTTTCTATAAGAAAAATCACAGGTTTATAAGTTATAATAAGTTATATGTTAAATTAGCATCCATCGTTCTCAATATCTTTGTAGATTTGATAAATAATTGGTTTATAAACTTCGTCAGTTGCTCGAAGTCCAACAGCAAAATCATAATGACTGAAATGATCCAAATTGTTGGCTTCTTTTAACGCTGGTCCCATTCGTTTAATAATTATTTCATTAACATCTCGTTCATCGGTAACTCGATCATCATGACTGTAATATAGATATGTCGGAACATTAATTCTTCCAATATCCAATGCCGGTGCTTCAGTTTGTCCATAGATTTGAAGATTTCTTTTCGGTCCCAAATCGAGATGACGAATCTCATGATATTTGAAAATTTGTACCCAATGAAGAAGATTCAAAGTAGAAGTTGTTGATGGGAAATGACTGACAAATACTGGTATTCTTGTTTCATTCATTTGTCCTAATTTTTCTCTTCCTGCAGAAAGATAGAAAGCTGATGCACAGAAATGTGTTAAAAAGTGTTGTCCACAAACATCTGCAAGAGCTGAAACAATGGGTTTTGGAATGTTGATTGGGATAATTCCAAATCTTCCATCGAGTACAAATTGAATCAATCTTTGGATTTCGTGATTTTCAAGAAGTTCGAATGGTAAATCTGGTTTTATAAATCCAGCCGTTGGACCCATTGCGAAAAATGCGCGAATTTTGTTTTGCCAAGCTGGTTCAGCTTCCGCCAATCTCGCAAACATAACTGCAGTTCCTTGAGAATGTCCAACATAAAATAGATTTTCCTGGCCAGTTTCTTTCAAAACATATTCAATTTGTGATCGTAAATCCGAATGCGAATGATCATATAATGAGAAATTCCAAAATTGTTGTTCTTTTGGTGAGAAATGAGAATGATTTCTTCCATATTCAGTTCCTCTTACATTTCCCAACCAAACATCAAATCCAGCATCAGCGAATACATAAGCAGGACTTTGAGATGGAAGATTCAAAACAAATTCAAAAGATGATGCAAATAACCCATGCATAAAAAATACGACAGGTCTTTTTGAACATCCTCCAATTGTTCGACTGTCACGACCTTGTGGAATTCGATGAACTTGATTTGTATATCCATCTTGAGTTGTTACAAAATGTCTTTCAACTGGATAACCATAGTGAGAAATTATATCAACCTTTAAAAATTGAATCATGAATTATTTCAATTGCTCTGTCGACTTACGGTATCCAAATCTTCTTCGATTTCCCTGGTTGATCCACCAATTATAAATAAGAAGGCTAGTAATAATTCAAAGTGTCTCATTTCCTGATGAACAATGATAAACTGTAAGACAGTTTTATAGTCAGAAAATTTGCAGTCAAAACATGTTTATGTCATCAATAGTACGCTTGATTTATTGATAATAGTTTTGAACTCTTAAAGTTCTTGTTTTGTTGTGGTAACCGCAAACAGAAAAAATGTGCTCATTTCAGTTACGTCGTGATTATGCTCTTTTTATCAGCAAAAAATGTTCATGTTTTGAATACTTCCCTGTTCGTCTGTACTAAACAATATTTTGATATTTTGATGTTTGATTAGGAAGTTCATCAACTCAGGAGAACGACCGCGAGATCTGCGCGAAACGCGAACCCCAGAAGTCCGCTAAATCGCCGCGCATCCGCCGCGGTTTAGCGGTGTTGTTACAGCGTTTCGCGTAAATTTCGCGGTTTCATTATCGCGTTTCGCGTAAATTTCGCGGTGTCCTCTCAATTTCAAAACAAAATGTCATCATGATCGATCCTCACATTCAGGTGATCATCATTTGTATTTATCACACTCACCCAACCTCGAACCCACAGCCTCTCACCTCGAATACATTTGTTTTACCCATTTGACCATGCGCGCACGTGACGCGAAGAGCGAAATAGTTTTTTATATACCATGCTACTGCGCGAAAATGTCGCGAAACGCTCCAATTCGGTCGAGGAAGCCCGCGAAATTTCCGCGAAACGCGAAGTTCCCCGCAATTCGCGCAAATTTCGCGACGTCCAGTCGACCGAGTCCCAGATTGCGCGAGGTTTGTGCGAAACGCGTGATTCTCCCGCGAAGGTTGAGCGAATCGCAGAGACCCCGCTTTTCGCGCAGATTTCGCGGTCGTTCTCCTGAGAAGGTATAGAAAACATAGATTAGAGTTTGGATAGCTTCATGTATGGAATAAGGAATTTTGATTCTGACCTTATTTACCAAGAAAAATTCTGTAGTTCCAGAAAAAAATGGAAAAACATTATTTTGCAGAACTCGCTCAAAACTTTGTGGTAGCTTTTTCATTTTGTAAAAAAAACTTGGCTACTGTAATCTTTTTTTAATTTTTCATACTGTAGGTTCGGTTGTGAGGCTCGCCTTAAAGACCCTAAAATATTTTACCCATCTATGTTTTTCGAAAAAAATGGCTCACCTGGAATTCCAGGTATTGGGTGAGGTTGTTCCAGATAATTTTTTTTGGTTGTACAATATTTTATGCTTGAAATTTGTTGGAAACATACATTTTTCTGAAAATTTAATACGATCACCAAAAATATATGAAACTAATCAAAAAATTCATTCATTTTTTTTCAAAAATAAAATTTAGCATCCATTTTTCTGAATATCTTCACGAATTGTTTGAATAATTGGTCGATATACTTCATCATTCGCTCTCAGCCCAACAGCAAAATCGATATGAGTGAAATGATCCAAATTTGTATAATTTCTCAATCCAGGACCCATATGTTTCAAAATAATTTCTCTTACATCAACATCATCTGTTATAATATCATCATGACTGAAAAAAAGATAAGTGGGTGCTTCGATATTTGAAATATTTAAACGGGGTGCTTCTTTTTGACCGTATGCTTCAAGATTTCTTTCGGGACCAAGATCAAGATGTCGAAGTTCGTGATATTTGAATGTTTGAACCCAATGAAGAAGATTTAATGTAGAAGTTGTTGATGGAAAATGTTTGAGAATCACAGGAAGTCTTGTCTGCAAAATTATATTAATATGTTTTCAAACTTGATTTATTATAACTTACATCGTTTAATTGTGATAACTTTTCTCTTCCACCACCAATATCGAGAGCTGCTGAACAAATATGATTAATTTCAGCATTTCCACATGCTTCAGCTAATCGATCAATAAGTGGATGTGGTATTGTAATTGGAATTATTCCAAACTTCCCATCAAGAACAAATTGAATAAGTCGCTGAATATCTTCAATTTCTAACAAAAGAAAACTAGCTGTTGCTTTAACTGAGCCAGCAGATGGACCAAGTCCAAAAAATGCTCGAATTTTCTTTTGCCAAGCTGGTTCAGCTTCTGCCAATCTCGCAAACATAACTGTAGTTCCTTGAGAATGTCCAACATAAAACAGAGATTCTTGTCCTGTTTTTTCCAAAACATATTCGATTTGTGAAACAAGATCGGAATGAGCGTGATCATAGAATCTTCAAGAACACAGCATGTTTTTCTCTAAATTATTTTATTTTAGTAAACTTACGTGAAATTCCAGAATCGTCGATCATTAGTTTTTAATGTTGTATGATTTCTTCCATATTCCGTTCCTCTTACATTTCCCAACCAAACATCAAATCCAGCATCAGCGAATACATAAGCAGGACTTTGCGATGGAAGATTCATCAAAAATTCGTATGAAGAAGCAAAGAGACCATGTTGTAAAAACATTATCGGCCTTTTAGAATTGCATCCTTGAATTGGTCGATTATCTCTTCCAAATGGAATTCTTTGGATTTGATTAATATATCCATCTGGAGTTTGAACATAATGTTTTTCAGCTGGATACAAATTATATTCAATAGATTCAGCAGCATCAAGACTTTCTTCAGGTTCTGTTGCAAAGACTACAGTAATAATCAGGCAAATAATAAATTTCATTTTTTTTGTAGAATGAGACAAAACAAGAGATTTTAAAAAGTTCTTTCACTTTATCAGTGTGCACTATTAAGTTTGTTGTTTTTGTTTTTTGAAGACACGTGAAAAGTTGGAAATGGTTCGAAACTCATTAATAAGTACACAGAAATATTGTCAAAATCTTTTTCTTTTTCAAAAATAGAGAAGTTCACACGTGGAATCGAATGATTGCGGCCTGAATGGGCAAAATATTCTCATAAAAAAAAGTTTAAAAAAATAGATTTTTCAGAAATTTTTTCCACGTTAATTTTCATGATTTTTGGAAGCTTCCATCGTTTTCCTCTCGTGAAAACAATCATTTTTGATTTTTTCAATCATGAAAAAAGGTAAACTTTAACATAAGTTCCGATTGATCTAAAAAATGTCACTGTGTGCATTCAAAGGCGCATACCGTACCCCCGAAATTTTTTAGGTCAACATTTTGTGTGGATTTTTGTCCTGGGTGCTGATGTAGCTGTCAAAGAGAATTTGGTACTTTCTATACAAAATTATTTGATGATTTTATGTTCAATAATTTTAAAAATCTTCCGTCAGAGACACATTTTGAATCTTGAACTCTACAGACAAAGAACAATAATAAATCGGCCGAGTTCCTGGTCTTTGCTTTTCATTTTCGTTGTCATTTGATTTTTAGTAATAATTTATCAAAGTTGAGATATTCCACATTTCTTCTTTTTTTTTGTTCATTATCAATTATTTTACAATCAATTTTCTATTTTTATCGAAAAAATCTTTTGCTCTTTCATGCAATCAATTTTCTATATTTTAATTTTCATTTCGATTGTTCAATCAAAAAATATAACAAATCGATTATATAATCCATTAGTTTGTTATGTTGAACAAGAAGGAATTCTGAATAATAAAGAATATAGAGAAGAACAACATCATGAACCATGTGGACCTGAAACTAAATGGTGCCAAAAAATAACAGCAAATTACAGTGAGTTTTTTTTCAATTATTAATTAGTTCTCCAAAACAAAATACAATGGGAAATTTTATTTTGATTATTTTGAACTTATAAAAAATTGAAGACCAATAACAAAGTTTTATGTTTTTTTGCAGTCAATGCTCATAATGAACGAACTCAGATTGTTTTGAAAGGATGTGATACTGTATCAATTTTGCCTGATTTTACTGGAATTGGATGTCATGGAAATGGATGTAGTGAAAGAACTTATGAAGATGAAATATATACAGTTTGTTGTTGTAATACAGAAACCTGTAATTCTCAAAACTCATATTTTTCTTTATTTACTTCTTTATTCCTCATCATTTTTATATTGTTCATAGACGTTTGATTTTTTTCGAATTCTAAGAATTTACGGCATTTTTTTCAAGAATTCATTCCTCCTTCCTTTTTTCTTTGACAGCTGCAAATAAAAATATTTCCATTTTCCGGTAAATGAAATTTACCTGTTAGTCTAATCTTTTGTCTTTATGCATTTTTCAGATATGTTATATTCTGGAATTTCTACAATTTCAGAATTACTCACTCTATTTTTAATATACTGTATTATTGCGAAATCGACAGATGAATTAAAAATTTATAAAACATCATTGTTGAAACTTGCACTTTCAAAATTATTTTTCGGTTTTTCTGTTGCAGTTTTGGTTTCACCGGATTTATTATGCCCATTGCCTTTAGCAATTGTAAGAAGTCCAATTGGAACATTGAGTCAAACATGGGCTTTTTGGATGGTAAGAAAAATTAATATTCTAGTTTTCAATATCTTTTTAAAGATTTTTGTTTTGATATTCGCAAGTATATCTGTTTTTATGTCAATTAATGATTGCTGTTTTTTCCGACTCGCCATATTTTTTCAACGTCGAAATCTCCTTCGAAAACTTCGAACAAAATCAGCTATTTTCATTTGGAGTTTAATAACAATTACAATATCTTGTGTTTTTCAAAACAGTCTCGAATTCGAAAAAAGTAATATATTTTATTTCTACTTTCATTTTTCCTATATTCTTTTATTCGCTTTTTTATTACTAATTAGTATTCATATTTTGAATTTCATATCAATGAAAATTGTGTGGAGAAATATAAATAATAGAAAGAATATAATGTCAGCTCGAAGTTTTGCAAGTCATCGAAGTTTGACGCTTTTTGCATGGCTACAGGTGATAACAAAAGATCTCTGAAATACATTTTCAGTTTTTTTTTCAGAATATTTATCCAATAATCGTTGTTACTGTACCAATTATTATAGTTTCTTTCTCATTTTCTATGAAATATGAATCTGAAACATTTGCCTTTTTCATAAAACATCTTGTAATGTTTGCCACAGTCATTTATCCAACAATCAGTGTTATATCAAGGTTTAATTTACTTAAATGGCTCGGCAACTCAGAAATAAACATGGTCTAAAATGAAAGATATTCATCTCTAGATTGCCCCTATCTATATTACTTACAAGTTGCGAAAAGTCATTTACGTTTTTATAAATACTGGCCAAAACCTTTTGAGAAATGGAGGGACTAGTAAATTTCTAGTCCCTATAGTTATTTTTCCTAACCAATCATTTCTCAAGTTTTTTCCTCGGGCTCTATAAAATCGAAAAAGCCTTTCCGCAACTTTCAATATATATGATCTAGTGATGAATATCTTTCAATTTAGACCATGTTTATTTCTGGGTTGTCGGGCCATTTAAATGTCATCAAATATCATTATTGTTTTTTTTTTCAGTTTCATACTTATAACACCATACAGGTGCTTTTTGAATTCTTTGATTTTCCGCCTACGTCGTAGACACATATCAAGTGTTGTTGCACCAACAAGGAAGAAAAATTCATTTGATAATTGGATTTAGTCGACAATTTGGTATTTATTCATTTTTTTTGAGTAAATTCATTTTTTTCGAATAAAACGATTTCAGAAAACTTTACTTAAAAAATACTGTGGTCAACTTGAATTGGAAACTAAAAACAAAAAAACAAGAAAAAACATCTTCGCGTTGAGACCCATTATACGCTTGTCATGTTCCTTCAACGAACACACACACCGTAATTCTGTGTTTCCAATTTTTTCATTTTGTTTTTTGTTTTCGTTTTGTTTCATTTTCATCCTCCATCCTCCATCCGTGATTCATCGAGTTCCCGTCTTTTCATGACAACTATTTATCTTCGTTACCCACTATTTCAAACATATTTCAGATGGGTACTTGTCAAATGGATACTGATGATGTAGATCTAGAAAATGGTTCTGATTGGACAGATTATGGAGGAACAGAAGTTGAGATCAAAAAAGAAGTCTTCGAGAACGACGAAATGGAAAACAAAGAATTCAATTTGGAAGAATACGAAGAATTCGATATTGTTTCAATTGGTATTTTGACAAGCTAGATTAACAACTTGAGCAATTTCGCTTTATTTTTCAGAAGAAGTAACCATCGAAGTTTTGGCAGCTCGTATAAGGCGATTACTTCAAGAAGTAATCAATCGAGGAATTTCAATTGCCAGTCAACTGTTTGATGTTGCTGCAAAGATCATTTACAGAGTAAGATGAACATGTTTTCCTTCTGAAATACTTAATCATGTCATATTTTTAGTCGACAATTCTCGAGGAATCTGAAAGTAATCCTGTGACATCAACAATTATTCAAGGAACTGTAATGATTATTCTTTCAAGTGAAGAAAGAGATGAAGAAAGTAGTACGGCAGAAAAGAATATTATGATGTTTGTTACAAAACTTGCAGTTTTTTCGAAATCTCAAAAATGTGATGAACTTTTGAAACAACTCATCATTATAATCGACAAGTTTTTCTATCATCCTGATTCAAAAATTCGTCAACGAATTTATAACATGATTGGAATGCTACTCGTAGAAAGTAATAATATTGTTGAAGTTGAAAATGATGAAGCTGATAATGAATATATGTTTGGAGATGATGATATGAGTCAAAAAAGTGAAAATAATTCGAAATTGATTGAAGATGCAATTATCGATCGATGGGCTCAAAAACTTGGTTCGAGTGTTTTGGACAAATCACCATTTGTTCGATCGATGGCCTTGTTTGCACTTTCTCAAATTGATCATCAAAAAATGATAAAAGATCGAAATGGAAATGAATTTTGTGTGAATCAGAGTTAGTTAAAATTTCTTGTTTTGGGTTTCAAATTTACTCTTTTTCCAGTTATTTCAAGAAGTCTTTCGGATATCGATGAAAATGTGAGAAGAACTGCTGTCAAATGTATTCATATAGTCACATCAGATGATATTGATAAATGTATGAATTTCATAGAAATGTCTACAGAAAATAAGGTTTGTTCAGAAAAAAAACACGAAATAAATAAGTAAATTTTTGGAACGTGACCTTTCTAGATAAATTTGAAAAAAATTGAAATGTTTTATCCGATAAACATTTCTGGCAAAAATAATTCTAGATTCGACATTTGATGGTTGTTCGAATGGCATCTTCAATCCACCTTTTGTCATTTTCAGAATCTCAAAGATTCAGACTAATCAATATTTTGAGAAGAAGTGACAGTGGTAAGTCTGTTATTGATAAATTATAGCACCATAAAATTAATGTCCGCAATTTTTCTAGCAAGAATTCAAGATGTAATTCATCAACAACTTGTTGAATCTTGGTTAAAAGATGCTTCGGAAGCTATATGTGGTCTCAGTTTGTTCAAAAATTTTGAAATTCACAATACTCAGGAACAAGTTCGCTTTGATGATTCGGAAGTTGTATTTCCAAGTATTATTCTTGAATATCTCAATCCAATGATAGATCCTGAAGCCACCTCGATTTTTGTTCGTTGATTTAAAATGTTGATTTAAAAAGAAAAATGATTTTTTTTAAATTTTCAGCTAAAATTTGCGATAACTCGATACATTCGAGCAACTACTGGAAAAGAAAGCAATGTTATTGATTTCGAAGCATTTTTGAAATTATTGACAGATTTTGGAGCGAAGAAATGTAATTTGTTAGGAATAATGACAAGAACGGTTTTCAAATTGATTCCTGAAACAGAAAAGTTTGTTTTGAATACGGCAGAATTCATTCAAAACGCAATTCAATTGAATTTTCAGAGAGGAAAATATAAGTGATGTAGAATGGATAAAACAATCATATTATCGTGTTTTTATTCTCCGACATATGCTTGATGTTGTTTTCCAACTCACAAATGATGTTTCAATTCGTGATCGAACTCTTCGTTTTCTTGTTCTTGGCATAAATCCAATGAGAAAACATATCGAACAATTTTGTGACCGATATTTCAATCAAACTGGACTTGTTGAAGAAATAGGAGATTCTATGGAACATTTGATTGCAAATGTTTTACATATCTTCGATGTTATCGTCAATGAAAATCACGATAGTTTTGAGATGTAAGATCTATACATTTTTCAATCAAAAATCTATTTTCATTTAGAACCGTTTACAAAAATCTTTTGGAAACATTATTGAGCAATTCAAGAATTCAATTCTCACCAGAATTTATTCAAATTTTAACGACGAAATATATTGAATTGAATGAAGATGTTGAAATAGTTTGTGATTGGACTTGTTATACTGCAAATGAAGTTGTTATGAAAAATGAAGTTGGATTACCGATTAGCGATGATTTACAGGTTTTTTTTAAATTTAATTCTATAGACATATAATACATAGTTTTATCAGATTGCTCTCGCTGATGATTTGATTCTTGAATGTCAATTAAAACGATGTACTGCAATGTTTTTGGCACTCTGTAAACATCCAAAAGTTGTTAAATGTACCACTATGATGTCATCAGTTTTCAAAGTCTTGGTAAATACTTTTTTAAGATTGAGAAAAATAGGAATTTTAAAAATTTTCAGTTACCAAGTCTTCTTTCGAATAAAAACGAAGAAATCAAATTCGATGGAATCGAACTCATTGGATATTCAAGTATTATTGATTTCGAAAATGCAGTTCCATATCTGAAACTGTGCCCACTTCTTCTAACTTCATCGAGAAATGATCGAGAAAAAGCAGTTTATTTGAATGTTTTGACATGTGTTGTCAAAAAATTGGGATTTCGAAAAGTTTCCGATGCAATTTTTGGTGATTCAGATACTAAGTTGGAAAACATTTTGGAAGATGAATATAGTAAACTTAAAAATGGGACAATTGAGAAATGCCAAGCTTCAAGAGATATTTTAAGCATGTTGACATCGGAAGTTTATTTTTGGCCAAGAATGTTAGCGAATATTATGAAAGTGTTAGTTTCAATTGCTAGTTTTATAAATGTTCAATAATTTTTTGCAGAGTTTTCTCGAAAAAGATGGAATATTATAAACTTCCTCGATTATTCAACAAATTTCTCAATACTTCAATGAAATCTCTTCGTAATCGAGTTCATTTGATGAGATCATTTCTATTTTGTGTGACAGAATTTGACAATGATTTTCAAATTGAATTGATGAGCAGATGTGTTTTTCAACATTTTGAGACTTTTTCAAATGTTGACATGGAAGATGTAAGTGGATTATTCATTCGAAAGTTATCAAAAAATATTTATATTACAGATAAACTCGGAAAAATCTGAATTTTCAATTGAAGCAGAATTGTGTCGAAGATTGATTCGAAAATCAATAAATGATCCCAGAGCAACTTTTGTTAAACCAATATTCAGCGAATTTTCTACTCAACTCAATATAGATTTCATTCCACTTGAAAAATTGAAGGAAATTCAAGATTTGGCAACTCGAGCTGCTTACGTAAGTTTTGGGATTTTAAAAAATGAATATAATCTATATTTTTAATTTTTCAGGAAGCTGAAGAGTTTCATATTCGAGCAGCACTTTCACTTATTAAAAAGTTTGTTGCGAAATGTGAAAAAACAATAAAAATCAAGAAACGAGTCGAAAGAATGAAGAATGGAGGTGATGAAAATGAAAGTGATAATGAAGAACCAAAAAAGAAACGATTGAGATATGCAAAAGAAGTAAAAGAAGAAGAAATTAATGAAGAATGGGATTTGGAAAATGAAAATGAGGAAATTGTTATATTGGATTCAGATGATGATATTGATAATGAACCTGTATATGTTCCAAGATCAACAAAATCGAGGAAAAGAAAATTTATTGAAGAAGGTTAGTTTTGGGAGGTTTTTTTTACATTGGATTGGGTATAATGGAGAAATAGTATGCATTTAAAAATCCCAAATTTTGAATGGTGTCAAAATTGACTCACAGCACCAAATTTCGAAATACCCTCAAATTTATTTGAGATAAAACTTAAGATTTTTAAAGAACCTTTAGAGGGGGTCTCTAAATGTATGTGTTTAGGTGACATAAAAGAAGAAGTCGAAAACATGGAAATTTAGTGTGTTCCAAACCGTTTTTATTGCGTTTAGTTAGTTTTGTTTCTGTGTCACATTTCCTTGTTTAATAAGCAATCATGTATCATCACTATGTTATATAATTTATTTATCTTGTAAATAATGTTCTTTGTTGGATGAATTCATTGTTTCATACACTTTATTATATTTACAAATTGATTCTGGAAATTTATCACCAAACTTTACACTTTTTCACCGGATTCATATTTGATCCAAGTTTGCATTGAAATGCTTCAGCAAATTCGGGTTGATTTGAGAATACCGTATTTATCCGCCATTTTTCTGGTGAATGAACATCGGAATACAATCGAGATAATATTTGTTGAGGGCGAATTTTGCTGCACCAAACATACGCATTTGAAATAAAGAATAGTTGAAGTGGGGATTTCGTTTCGAGACCTCGAATTTTTTCGAGATTTGTTGGAGGTGGAAGTTTTTTGAAAGCTTGAATTGCTGCACGAATTCCTCCATTATCAGCAATATTTTCATTGAGAGTTAGACGACCATCAATCTGTCAGTTTACTTTAATTGCTTCAAACTGTTTTTTTTTGCAAACTCACAGTTAGATTTGTTGTATCAACAGTTATATTTGAATATTGATCGATAAAACATTTTGATAAATTCATAAATGTTTTCATTGTTGTTGTATCCCACCAATTTTTTCGATTTCCTAATTTATCATAATCAGCACCAGAAATATCGAAACCATGTGTTATTTCATGACCGATTGCAATACCAATGGCTCCATAATTTATCGAGCTAGAAATAAGAACTTTTAGGGAATGGGAGAGTAAAGCGAGGAATAGAGTTCTTTTTTTCCGAAGTATATAATTCACAGAGAAAGTCTTAAACTTTGAAATTTTCATGAAATATTATTATCTTTCAAGTAAAATTCCAGAGAGTGTTTTTGTTATGAAATTTCCGTAAAACATCCAAATAGGCTAACCTTGGTAAACTTAAATTAAAATAAGGAGATTGTAAAATAGCAGCAGTTAATGCAATACTATTACTTGTTGGATCATAAAATGCATTAACATCGGTCGATGGAAATTCGAATTCTTGAATTGATCTTGTTGTATTTAATCGTGATAATATAACATTTTGTGTCCATTGTTGTATTTTCAACATACTCGTATAATAAGTGTCATTTTCTTCCAAACTCAATTTCTCATATTTTTTAGCAATCCACGTGGTATTGAATATCTGATCATTTAATCCAATGAACTTTTTCATAGAATGTAATTTTTCCAAAGCAGCTGATTTTGTTGATTTATCCATCCATGTATTATTTATCAACATATTTTCAAAACTTTCAACAATATTAGTAACCATTTCTGTTACTTCTTGTCTTGTCGAAGTTGGAAAATATTTTTGAACATAAATTTGAGCAACTAAATCATAAAATATTGTGCTTGTTGTTGACATACAATCTTTTTCTTTGCTTTGTGTTTTTGCACCAGAAACAGCAACATTATATCCTTGCATTACTTCTTGATATCGATAATCGAAAAATTCACCAAAATACATAATTGCTTCCCAATCAAGATAATATTCAAGTGTTGTTTGATTTATTGTCTTCAACATTTTATCAATTCTCATCAGTCCTTCTTCGTCAATTATTTGAATTTCAATTGTTTTAAGTAGATCAAGTAATTTGGAATCTTTGAAACTTGAAAAATATCGATCCCATTCGAGCTGAAAACATTCAGAATTTGGCTATTAAAGGGAGAGCTTTTCAGTCCTTACACTTGTAAACAATGAATTCAAATCTGAAAATGTTGACATTGTTGTTGTTTTATTATATTGATCAAAATATGCAATTTGTGCCAATTGTTTATCAACTTCAAAAAATGCTTCAATTCTCGCTTCATATTCTTCTGCTTTTCCTCCAAATACTTTTCCATCAACGTCATCAGCTTGAATTAAATCCAAAAGTTGACCGAGAAATTGGCGCATTGCCAAATATTCATGACGATATTCTCGTTTTGAATAAGCATTGTGACTGAGAGTTGGATGACTTGGCATTATCTGAGTTAAAAGAATTACATTTGAATTGAATATAAATAATCTCACTTGTAAAACTCTCAAACTCGAATTATATTCATTTATTCCAACTGAAAGATCAACGAAAAAATTCATCGGTCGAAATTCGATCATCCAATCAGTCAATGTGGAATTCTTCTTTAAACCGTGAACTTTTCTGAAATTTGTGTTTACATTAAAAAAATCCTTTATTCAAAAAGAGATTACTCACGCCAGTTGTAGCAACAACATTTCGTATGCTTTATTGTCTGGTGATTTTTTATGTTTCATACATTTTCCATAAAATTTATGAACAGTTTTTTGTTCTTCTGTTGTGTCAAGAGTATAATCGCTTTCGAGAATTTCTGTAATTATTTATTTGTTGTTTTGGAATTTATGTGTTGCGTTCAGTTTTGAAAAAAGAACAACCTTGAATTTGTGAATGAACTCGTTGTGTTAATAAATCCATATGACCAACAGATGTTTCATCATCCGAAATATTATTTGAATCAATCCATCGATGACAAACATGTTCATAAAAATCATCGCAAGGATCAATATCATTATCAAGCATCTCGGCTAATTCAGGATATTCGAAAATATATTCATTTTTTGGTGTTGATGTTATTTCTGAACTTTTTTGAACTTTGAATAATTATTGGAAAATAGAAAAAAAGGGCATTTTGTTTTTATGGTTGGATGGGTGAATGAATGAAACTGATGTTTTTAATTGCAGCATGTTTTTTTTGTTTGATTGGTCATAGAACAAAATGTTTCGAAATTATCTCACCTTTTTGATGTTCTTCTTCCACAATACTATTTCCATTTATACTCATTTCATCAAATTCAATTTTTCCATTTTGAACATTCAGATTTTTAAAATGAAAACTGACATTATCTGATCGAAAATTGATACCCTCCAAAATCGAATTCAAATCAATTTGCACATTTTGACATTTTCCACCGAAAATTAGTAAAAATATCAAGAGAAAAACTGGGAACATAACAATAAATAATAATAGGCCTAAGATAGCGTGAACACGTATTTTGAGATGTTGTAGTTTTCGAATACCAAAAAATATACAGAAAAAATAATAGCGCAAAGTTTTTGTGTGAAAGAGTTACTAGTTTTTGTTCGAATAATGGGTGGAGACTATTTTGTCATCAAAAGACGGCCAGAAAAAATTGGAGGGATTTTGAAAAAGACTATTGAATATATTGAACAATTTATGTGAGGTTGAAACACAACAAAATTGTGTGACTCATTAATCACTTCAACTTTTTTTTGACGGATGGGATTTTCAATATCTTCTTGATTTTTATATATCGAAAAAATAGAAAGTATTTTTCAATGATCAACAAGCTCTCAAAGAGTCAAAGACTTGTTTAGAATAGTACAGTAATCACGTTGTTTCTTCAGATCTTTCCGGGTTCGAAAAATGGTGGAACATTTTAGCAAATTCTAAATGTGACCTGACATGATTTTTGAAAATTATTGTTTCAAAAATCAATTTTCGTAAAAAATAGTCTGACATAACAGCGCCTGATGTCATCTTCAAAGTATTTATTGAACAATTATTGTTTCAAAATTTAGGCACGAAAAAGCACTAATCAAAGGCGCCCAGGAATTTCAAAATTTTCCGATTTTTGGGTCAGATATTTACTACAATTGATTTAAAAAAAATATCAACAAAAAATGCATAGTTCCTTGTTCATTATTTTTCGTCGTTCAATTTTCAAAAATTGTTCAAGTTTTCTTCCGAATTATTTCTTGATTCCAGGCAATTTATAGTTTCTGCCCTCTAATTCCTAAAGTACTTTCTTTTTTCGACGAATGACTAACAATGTGTTCTTTTATATTTACACGAAAAAATACACAATCGATTATTATTATACTTTTTAACAATAACAAAAATACAAAAAAAAAGTAAAAACAACCTCGTTTTCAAGAAAAATGCAACACGCAAAATGAGAAGGGGAAAAAGTTTGGATAATTCTATTTTTGTAAAGAAGAATTTGAGGAGGAGGTAGAAGGCGAAGATTGTGACGACAAATGAAGAAATGCTCGACGGAATTTTCGAATTAATAACATACTAATTAACGGAGTTATAAATACACATGAAAATGTTATCATATAACCCATGTTTTTCTTGAAATTTGATTGCTCTAATTGTCCTGCAAATCCTGAAATAGTTGTATGTTTATATTGAAAGAAAAACAAATAGAAAAATTTACTTGATAGAAGAACTCGATATTGTCGAATTGATAACGGAGTTTGGAAAAATATATGGGTTATACTCATTATCAAAATAATCCAAGATTTTTTCAATGTTTTCGAAAGTCTCAATTTTTCCATTATCAATGAGATAATATTTACAATAAGACTGAACATTAGAATTGAATGATTTACGATCATCTGAAATTTAAAAAAAAATAATTTGGGAATTCATTTTGAATTGAGATTCACAAACCGATACAGCAAAAACATAATAAGACGATATGAATCTCGAACAAATATCATTCATTGTTATATTTCCTTCGATTATATGTCCTAACACAAAAAATAGTTCGAAAAATGTTAGACATATTTGAATAGCCACTAAAGTTTCAAAATTCAATGGTTTCTTTCTGAATAACAATACAATTTGATTGATTGAAACAGGAAAAATAACAAGAGTCGCTGAATGGAATGTTGATATAACAATATGTCGAAGTATTGTGCATGATAAAACAGATGAATAATATGGAACATGTTCGAAAAGTAGATTTATAGTTTGCCACGTTGCAAAAATGTAGAATGGCCAATAAAGAAAATGTGAAGCAAATGTGATGAATGTTATTGAATGCTGAAATTAAATCGAATAAAAATGGATCATTCGAAAAATCGGGCTCGTAACACTATGTTCTGTTATTATGTAACGTAGATCGATTTCTCGATAGACACACATTTTTATATTCAAATATTCAAAAAACTTACTGAATATTCAAACATCAATTTCTTATTTGACCAAAGAAATAAGCAAAGCAAAAATGAGGCAAAAAGTGAAAATGAATTGATAGACCATTCAATAATTAATCGATTTGAATGTTCAATTGATGTATAAGTTGGTTCAAATATTTCATCCCATCCTGTTTTATCACGAATTCTTACCGCTCCATTATATTTTTCATCAATTGATCGAAATATATAGGGATAAAGATCAACAACTCCAACATGCGATTCGTTTGACATTATTTGATGATTATAATGGTATTTTTAATTTTATTTTGAAAATGCGTATGTCATACATACTGTTTTTATAATGGTTTATGCGGAGGTGGATGGATTAGAGTGGGTGGAAATAATACATTTGAATTTTTATATACGATCTTTCGATCTTCTCAATAAATGGATTATTTATATCATGCAGATTTGTATTGAATTGAGTTTGATGTTCAAAAAACTTTATGTGAAATATGTACAATTTTAAAATTATATTGGGAAACGTTATCATTAATTTTCTTGTTTTAAGTTATCCTTTTCTGTTGTTTTTTTGTGATTATGTCTATGGCGACCAGCTCCAATCATATTACTTCCTCGAATATATTCTGGACCTTCAGGTTCAGATTTTTCACTTTTTTGTTGTTCTTGATTTGTGGCACTTCTGTAATTATTATTCTGATTTATTTGAAAAATACGAAGAGGTGTATCTCATGAAAACATTTTAATTTCAGTTTCGACACGCAACTGAAATTATAATTACGCTAGACCTTGATAAAAATAAATTACAGAAATGTAATTTCAAACCACATTTGATAATCTAACGAAATCCCTCCACGTAAAAGTTGTTTAAAAAATATTTTTTATTTATTTAATCCAAAATAAAAATAGAATAGTTAATTTCAAATTAAATTTTCATGAAATGATGTAATGAAAAAAATTATTTCCACGTGACCCAACATTTTTTTGAATTTTTAAATATCATTTCGAAAATGTTTTCTATTCAATTTTTTTCACTTACCGTTTTTCTTGATTTTTATCAGCCATTGTCGAGAATATACAAAAAGTGATAATCAATGTGAAAACTAGGAAAAGTCGATGATTCATTTTTAAAAAGAGAGAATGTGAAAAGTTGAATGATAAGAAAGACAAATATATAGATATTTTTGTGGTCAGTTGTTTGCTTTTATTTCTTCAAATGACTCATTTTTAATTAGCGCGAACGAAACAATTGTGTTCCGACGAAACACTGAGAATCGCGTGATCTCTTTCTTTTTTCTTTGAAAAAAAAACATTCAAGAAAAATTTTAAAAATGAATCACTTTATTTTTTCATAACGAGAAAAACTTTAACAACCCGTAAAATTATATCAAAATAGAGATCTTGCAAAATAAAAAAAATAAAAATTTAAAAAATATTCCAAAATTAGTTAAAGAAAGACACTTTGAGCATGATATTTTTGGATATTTCGAAATCATTTCACTTTAGAAAAATGTGAAAAAGAACAAAAGTAAAAATATGGATATTCGAAAAATCGAAGAGGATGAAGAAGTATGATAAGTATTACATTTGTTACCATAACATGAACAAAGATGAACATCTCCGATTGCTGGAGGATCACTTGATTTTGCTGGATTGAAAAGGGCTGATCGGCTGAGAGTTCGACAATGATTCTGAAACAAAAACATGTTTTGTTTGAAAAAAAAACAAAAAATGAAAAGAAAGTTTACCTTTTGGTGTGCATTTTGATGAAATCGATGTGTTCCTAATGCTGTTTGATTAAAGCCATTTCTTAATACTTTATCCATACATCCCCGTATATGTTTATAGCCAATTAATACACCAGCTTCAATATCTGGTTCCATCATTGAAATACAAACACTGCTACATAAAACTATTGGAATTCCTTGTTCATTGTATGGATCACGGCAACGATCAGTGAATACCTAAATTTGTTTTTATGATTTATCTTGAACATGTTACTTTTTCTGTAGTGTTTGGCGCTAATTTTCCCGAAGGAATCTGATGAAAACTGAAGTCAGAATTCGTAATTTTGTGAACAATTTTTGAGTTTTTCAAATAGAGAAGTGTATTCTACGATTTTACCATTTCCTTTTTTTCGTTATAATTTTCAAAAAATTACCTTTGGCCAAACATATGTTGCTTGTAAATATCTCCAGCTCATTTGATACGACATTGACATACAAGAATAGCATTCAATCTGTCTATTTGGTGAAACTGCTGGTGTACCTAGAAAAATAAATTTTGCTTATTTTTACACATCTAATATCCCAAATTCCATCAATTTGTGTTTTTTTTTACCATAATTTTGATTTCTTCTTGGACTTCCAAATCCATCGTCAAAAGACGCCAAAACGATACATATTTTGAATATGAAGAAAATTAGAAATGGCAACATTTTCAGACTTTGAACATCTTAATATGAAAAGTTTTTGAAAATGAAAATAAAAGAAAATCGATAAAAAGAAGAAGACAGGTGTCAAATTGATATAATTATAATGGATGGATTATTCATTTATGAGATAAAGTTAGAATGAAAATGAACAGTTGGTTTTGAAGGATAAAAAAATTAGAAAGAAAAACAGAAGATTTGGAGAACTAATTTATTGAAAATCGTTTTAGAAATTGATTTATTGAAGAATTTTTATTTGATTTTTTGAAAAAGTTCTATTTTATTTTATTTTGGAAGAGAATATAAAATAGAAACAAAAAATAGATCAAGAAAATCTAATAAAATTTGAAATATTTTATGTGTTTTGTGCCTCATCACATTAACACATTTTGATTTATATCTAGAAATGTAACATCTTTAGAGAAGATTTTTTGGAGAAAACTTCTCGAAAAGTTTTTTATCCTCATTTTTTTTTCTGGTGTAAAACGAGACAATGATTGTCTTAGTGTGGTGTATAACTGGGTGGCTTGTTTGAAATAAAAAGATCCCTTGAGAATTATCTCAAAATCTCCTTCCTTTTTCTCATATTTTTCCACCGGATATCTACGAAAAGTATCTGCTGAATACATGTTCATAGATAACAACCAAAAAAAGAACTAACGAGTCCTTAAAAATATCTCGTTGACATCAAAATGATCCCCGAAAAAAGTATTTTTCAAGGATAATAAATCAAAAATCTACTAATTTCTACCGCATCTTCAACTTCTACCATATCCCTTGTCAACATTTCTGAGTTTCCCTAATTACAACACTATTTCCAGTTGACAATGACTGATTAACATTACATCAAAAGTGTAAGATGTTGCCGCCCAGGAAAATTGGAAGAGAAGGCGAGTGAAGGAAAGGAATTGAGCAGGAAAATACGGTAGCTGTCTGGAGGGTATATTTTGAAGTTTCATTATGAAAAAGCCCTTTTGAGGCCGATTTCAAGAAAAATGATAAGCATTTTCAGACTTAGTTACATATATAAAAACTGGCAACTTTTGAATCGGATTAAATATTCTGGATGCATGAGTTCAAATAAAAATGGATCTCTGATTTTTAAAAAATTTTGCCGGACCCAGGACTAGTTTTATGGAATTTTGAAATTAAATTTTATAGACGTTTCATATTTGATAGGGTTTTAGAGATTATCCTTTAGATTTTATGTTTTATTTCTCTATTTTAGAAAATCTTTTTTCAAAAAAAGATTAAATCTGAAAAGATACTTGCAAAACTAACATTAACAATATTGAACTTTTCGCTTTATAGATTTTAAAAATACAACGAGATTCCAACTATCGAAAAGAATGCAGGTTCAAAAATCAAAACCTCGAACAAAAATAATAAATGAAGACCATCTAGAATATTTCAAATTCTCAACATCAAAAGTACTCAAATAAATTGCGAAAGTACTAGGAGAATAATAAGACTTATATGAAAAATCTTAGGCAAAAAATGTGTTGAATAATTGATAAAATAAGAAAAGTATGGGAAAAAAGTGCGCATTCGACTTTTTCGACCAAAACTTCAGAATTTATTAATATTATTAATATTAAAAATCATGAGTCTCGAAAAGAAGCACTTGACAAAAGAAACAGAAGGAAGAAATCAGCGATTGGATATGCTGACAAAAAATGGGCGGAGATGGATGAAATGATGAAATAAAGAGAAAGAAAATGAGAAACAATGGTGTTTTTTTGGGAGATATACACCAAAATCAGATTAGACTTCCGATTAGAAGAAAAAAGAAGAGGAAAAAAGAAACATGCTCAATTACACGCATTCTTCTTGAGGAACCAACTAGATAAGTTTGTTTTTTCGGATGAGTAAACCTATGGTGTAACACGAACAAAAAAATCAGAAAATCCTGCCAAAGCTCACTAAAAAATTCCAAGCACATTGAAAACAAAAGAAGATCTTCTCATATTTAGAAATTTGAGGACTCAGTCATGAAAATGTACTTTTTCGGGAGGCGAAAATATGAGAGGAGGGCTCTGAAAATTTCCGGTGTGCCGCGAAATCAAATGAAACGGAAATATATCGAAAAAATGTGTGGCAAAAAAGGAAATTAGCAAAAACATATGATATCCTAACCACCCAACGAATAAAAATGAGAGGATCAAATACATAACATAAAATAAAAAAAGGTCTATAATAATAGGTTCCTATTCTCATTTATATTATTATGAGTTGGTAGTATTTTACCTGGAACTTTTTTCGAGAAAAAAAGAAGAAAAAGAAAAGAGTCTCTATTGTGTCTATTTAGTTTTTCTCTTTCGAAATACTAAAAAGCCACCTTTTTGTGGTGTGACAATAATAAACAACACCTTTTTTTGACCAAATAATAATTGTCTAGTTTTTTTCTTACGTTTAAAAAAGTGAAGAAAAAAATATTTTTTGCGTGAGAAAGTTCATCGAAAAAATGTCAAAATATGCAAAATGATGTCCACTCTTCTTTCGGAAATGATTATAACAAAATCATCGGGAAAAAATAAGAGAGTGTGAAGAAAAGAAGAGACGCAGATACCACTCATATTTATTTTTTGATTGACTTCGCACTTCTGATGAACTAATGAGGGGAAACGAGGAGAACGTTTCTGAGTTTGAGTTTTGTGAAAAAAAAATTTCAAGGGTTCCAGATGGTATCGGGAATTTAGGAAAAAAATCAACCAGAGTTTATAGCGTTTTCGGATTCAGATAATTTTGGGATATGAACCTTTTTTGGAACAAAAATTTTATTTTTATAATTTTTAGAGCATGTGCAATGTTCATAATTTCCCAAAGTTAAACTACGAAAAAATGTATTTGAAAAATTTAGAAAAAAATATATATAGTTCTGGCTCACTGGAATAAAACACCCAGAATTCAAAACAAAATAAATATATTGAAAAAGGCTCGGGTGGAAGCGAATAATTAAAATAATTAGATTAGAAAAAAGAAGAAGGAGAATCTGTGTTATTTTCAGAAAAAGCGAAGCTCCAGGTTTTTTCATTCATCAGAGCAACATTCATTTAATTAGGTTTTGTATTGGAAGCCGCCTAAAATCTCATATTTGTTTGTTTTTTTTCTTTTTGATTGAAAAAAAGGGTCCCTTTTATTGAAAACATCAACAAATACTGCAAAAAAGGAAAAGTCATTATAATTATTTTGTTTTTTCAACTCAACTCATTAATTTTTAATTGTTTCACTCTTTTTTGTACTATTTTGGTGCACCTTTTTCTATTCATTCAGAATGTCGAGAAAAAATGAAAAGTTTCAGGAAGATATTAGAATTTCAGCATTTTCGTTGAGAAAAAACTATTTTCTCTGGAGTACCCAATTAAAAAAGTACTTCCGAACACTTTTGGTTTTTTCAGAGATCATAAATTATTTATTTTCAGATTTCCCACAGAACTTTGAGACAAAAAGAAGACATTTCAGAGAAACATTAGATTTTGAGAGAGAAAATTTAGTTTTAGCCATTTTTTAGAATGTTGAGAAAAAAAACTATTTTTGACTTTGGAGAAAACCAATTAAAAAAGTACTTCCGAACACTTTTCGGGTCTTTCAAAGACAATAAATTATTTATTTTCAAATTTTTCCCCAAACCTCGTCAGCTGCGCGCAAAAAAAATCCATGCAAAATTAAAAACATACCATAAGTCCGCATTTTTTTATAAACTTGTTCGCTAAATTCAGTTCTAACAAATTCAGTTTGTTCATCGCCGTCATCTGAACTCGAATATCGATTTAGTCGCCTTTCTGGATGATCAGGATTTTGCCAAGAGTTTTGAATTTCATTAAAAAGTTCAGGTTGAACATTTTCCTGATCTGGATAATCAATTATTTCGGCAGAATCTTCTGGATGAACTTCATTTTGAAATTGTGGTTGACGTTTTCGCCTTTTTCGATGTTGATGATGTTTTTGATTTGATTCTTCAGAAAATTCGAAGAAAATCAAAACAATAATAATGTAGAAGAAGATTATTCGCATTTCAGATACATTTCACACTTTTTATACTGAAAATTATTTAAGAAAAATATGAAGAAAAACGAAAATGTTAGGTTAAATAGAATGACACACAAAAAAAACATTTCCAATAAAAAATGAAAACTTATGAATTTTGAAAATATCTGTTTTTGTCAGTTTTTTCTTATTTTTTTCAACAAAAACTATTATGAATTTAGGGAAAAACGAAATCGAAAGAGGAAAAAAAGGTTTGAAGAAAAAGGTCAACTAGAAATTAATGAAGAAAAACGAAAAACGACGAAATTGTTTTTAAGGCTCAAAAAAAGTTTGTACTTCGAAAAATGAGCAGGAAGTGTCTTCAGAGACTAAAAAATTTTCTGAATTTATTTTTTGTGAGCAAGAAAACGTATTGTTGTTGTGTTCATTTTTGCGTTATTCAAAAATTCAAAAAGATAGAAAAATATTAAAGAAGAGTCTCGCAATAAAAACTCGATAAAAATTTTTAATTTCGAAAATTGAATAATTTTCCGATGGGAAATGGGAAAAATTAATTATAAATGATCATTTATTTTTTGTTTCACAGAAGAAGGTCACGGACTCACTTAATAAACTTTTTTGTAACTTTGACAGTTAAAATAACAGCCAAAGTGATGATCATTCCTAGGGTGCACAACTCACCCAAAATATAGTTATGACGTGGCAGAGTAGCAGAAAATGTTTGAGTACAAATATCAGTTTCAGAGACAATAATTTCGAACTCTGCTAAAGTTCCAGAAAAAGTTTATTTGGTGAGTCGATGGTTTTCCTTGTCAGAACAAATTTCCCAGAACATGATATTTCAAAATGACTTCATAGAATTTTAAATTTTTTTGCAAATCAAAAAAATTGGAGAAAAGCAAAAAATGAGCTGGCTTCAAGATTTTAGAAATTTCTTTTGAAATTTCGGACCATAAAATACACATATAATATATCCCAAAATAATAACAAGTGTGTATTTGTGTTGTGTCACGGCAAAAAATATCCACAAATAATTTTGGCTTCTTATTCCAGTCAAAATAGTTGGATTTCGTGACAAGTTTCTCTCAATCTTCACTTCTTCTTCTTGCTTTTTTTCTTGCTTTTCTCCCGCGTACCGGAAACAACAAAAAACCAACGAGAAAAAAGCCGCAAAAAAAATTGTGAAGAAGAAGAAGGAGAAAAGAGAGCAAAATTATGGTGAAATTTGTGACAAACAACATAAAATAATTTGAATGTCAAAATGTGTTGAGGCCACGGACAAAAATTATCATATTTATTTGAATTGGGACCAAATTCAATTGGATTTGAAGAAGAAAATAGAACAAATAAATAGGAGGAAGAAAAAAGAATAATAGAATATCGACGTGAGAATTCAACTCTAATTTGAAAAAAAAAACATTTTTTGAAAGTTTTTCGATACTTAATTTAAAAAATGCCGCGTGGAATCATTTTGGAAGTTTTGCCCAAAATTTGAAAAAGACCACATGAATTTTAATAAAAACTATTCTAGGTTCAGGAAACTTGAGCAACCCGGATCTTTAAAACGTTCGTAAAATTATTCGAACCGAGTTTTTAAGCTCATTCAAAAGTTATCAAATTTTATTTCATTTTCAAGTTTGAAATATTCCGAAGTATTTTTTTCATTCAGTTTCTCACATTTTTCCAAAAACCTGATGAACTCAAAAAAAAAAGAACATAGCAATATTTCAAAGTGTCATAAAATAATTTGAAATTCATCTACCTCAAATGTCTTTCAATAAATAATTTATTTTTTAAAATGAAACATGTTTTCTGCTATTCGAAAAAAATCAGAAAAAAAAGTGCAAAAAAAAGAAAAAAAGAGAAGAAACCGGAATTTCTTTTTTTTTCTTTCTGATTCCAGAAAAAGTCACGCCCCGATGAGCAACTAAATAAAATATTCACAACTGGTATGTACTTCTTTCTTTGATTTGTTTTGAGTTACCTTTTTTGTTTTAAAATTGATTTCAGAAAAGAAAATGAGGCCTATAAGAATGAAAAAAATAGAACAAAACAGAGAAAAAATTTGAATTCAAGTCAGTTACAAAAAATTCGGAATAAAAAACACGAAAAAAGTCAATTTCCTAAGCCTTTGGAATCAATTTCCATTATTTCCGATTAATTTGTTTCGTGTTTTTTTTTTGGAATTCCCTGACTCAATGTGAAATTTGAAAAAAAAAATCCTGACATTTTATATGCGCATAAATTGCACTTCAAAAAAGAATAAGAGAAAAGTCGAGAGGTGCGCGAAAAAATAGTTTTTTTTTTCGTTCCAGAAAAAATAAGGCTCACAGGAAGAGAAAAAAAAATTATGATTGATTGTTGCTTTGAAATTTTACGACATTCCAAATCTTGTATACTATTTATATATTTATTTACAAAAAACTGGCGAATTCTAGAAAGAGATTGAGAAAAGAAAAAAATAACTTGTAATTACCGGAAATTATACCTTTTTGTAAGACAAATATATTTTTCATATCGCTTTCTGAAAAACTTTGAACATTCCGACTGGAAAAAAATCTATGAAGAAAGAAGAAAAAGAAGAAAAAAAAACGTTTGCAAAGTATATTAATCTGGGCATATCTTTTGAGAAGGTGGAAAGGCGCCAAGAAATGTGAGACAATATGAAATAGTATGAAAAAATAAGAGAGCCACGAAATATGAAACCGTTTTCATATGAAAAAAAGATGATCCGAAAAGATTTTGCTGAAAAACTATTATACTTCTCATGATAACTTCTAATAATAATGAAAAAGTAGGTATCTTTGACAATCAGAAGTATTATAGATATTTAATTATGGGAATATTCGAGACTTTTTTCTGAAACTATACGATTTTCAGATTATAGGGTTTGGTTGCACTTTCTTATTTTCACACTCAATGTTTTTTATCCCATGGGAAGAAAGGAAAAAAAGGAACACTTATAGAATAAACACATATGTAACCTAATTTTTTGGGTTAGTCGATCGGGTGGTAGAAAAAAATGTGAACAAAAAATAGAGAAAAGAAATTGGAAGAATCCCTTGGGCCAACAGAATCATAGGCGATGATGACAAAAAGAAACAACATAGAAACAAAATGGGACAAATTGTACTCGCGGGACACATCATCTAAAATGTTTCTTTTTTTCGTCTCTTTTTTTACTAGTCAGTGGCTATAATCAGGTCATACGAGAAATAGTTTAGACTTGATTATTTCTATTGAAGGAAGTTTTGAATATTTCATTTGAGAATTATGACACTCGAGTTAAAATTTGCCTAGAAGTAATCAACCGGAAGAACAAGCTCTGATCTTATGCTTTCGAAAATATACACCATTCTTATGTTAGAAATAAATGTAACTGACAGAATTTCAGTAAAACGAGAAACAAGGCCTAAATTGAAACATATCTGATGTTTTTTCAAATATGAAGTGTTATCAGAAAAGTTGATAATGGTTTCTGGACTGATCTTATATGATTTACAGAATTATTATCTTCAACAAAAACATAACAATTAGTTTTGCCTACAAATTTCCATAATAAAAGATTTTCCATGATTTATACGATACAAACTCCATTGAAGGAAAATAAAAAGGAAAAATAGAACGGCAACGGAAAATTGGTAGAACAAATTTGATTTTCTAAACAGAAAAAACAAATATTGTGTTAGAATATTTCAGGTACATGGTTCAATTTTTTGCGCAGCTGACTTGAGGTTTTTTTGTTGAATTTCTACCCAGAACTGACCTTGTAAAGTGAGATTGACACTGATATGATTTGCAGCAAGTATCAAATTTGTAAGGGGCAGATAAAGGCCGGCCATGTTGAGAGAAAATCTGGAAAAAAAACAAAAAAAGTATATAGATGATATATAGCAATAATAATAAAAAATAAAGAAGACACAATACATAAATAATGAAATCTTTGGAGCGAGAACAAATCTGAGAGCGCGATAAAATTCAGAAATTCAGATACAATATAGTGGGACCTTCTCAAATATTCTCTTTGAATAATTTTCCAAATAGACATAGGAAGGAAACTGGGAGACCGGGAGGGATCTCAAATTGAGTGTGAAGAAATTGTACGGGAAATGGACCATTCTTATTGTGAGGTATAATATGTAATAATAATAATAATATCAAAATAGAATATAATTACTCGGCTCGCGCAATTTTCTTTTTTCTTTGTTTTCGGAAGACGAAAAAAGGAAATAGATTCGCTATTTTTAATTGAGATGTGCACTTTTTAAGAAAAATATAGTTTTTTTTGGAGAAAAATGTAGTTCGTGAGAGACACAGAAAATTAGTATTCCAATCGAATCAGAATTTCTTGACATATTTTTTTCAATTATTGATAGAATTGTCTGACTGAAATGTTAACCTTATTGATTTTTGCGTTAAAATAAGCGTTAATTAAAGTTCAAAATTTGAAAACATTTTCAAAATCACATATCTGAAAGAAAATCAAAAACATCTTTTTAAAATTTTCAGAAAAAGATACGAAAAAAAAACCCTTCCCATTTTTTGGAAATCTGATCCGCAAAAAATGATATAAAATAATAATGACCTGTCTTTTTCGTCTCGAACTTTTCATTCAAACCAAAAACACTCAACAAAATAGTCTAATCCACTCACTTTTTTCGGTCACCAAGAAAAAAAAACAAAAAAAAGGAAGAATGATTTGCAAAGACCCTTTGAAATAAATGAGATTGATAGATTGTTTCTTTTTTTCTAAAAAAAAAGAAAATAAAAGAAAGCGAAGTTCTAAAATTGGAAAATTTGGGAATGAATGAAATAACCATAAAACTAAACTTGGTTTTGAAAAAAAAACGGAAATTGTTATGGGTAAATATCTAGTGAACACAATTTTTGGCGAGTTTTTGTTTTGGTTTTGGAAATCGTAAATTATGTATATTTAGATAGATAGAAAAAAGGTAGCAATTTTTTATACATCGCAAAATTCAAATGAGCTGAAATTTGAATTTGCACTTTTCTTCACTTAAATAATGCGTTTTCAGTGAACATCGGTTTCAATTATTTTAGACGTGAGAAATATAGCATAGCATAAAAAATGTGAAATGCGTTCGGGGTTCTCATGTTTAGTATTTCTAAAAATGTTCGATCACGGTTACTATTTTATTAATCAAAATTATTTGTAATGAAGAAGTACGACTTGGTGACCGCCACAGACACCAAACCAAAACAAAAAAAAACGAGAACAAGGCACGAAAAGGTGGTGACTGACAACTTGTCAAACTTTTTTCTCCTTCTATTTTTTTGTGCCTTATGATCTACTCTTTTTTCACACACCACATACATTATATTTGAATATTATATCTCATGGGAACAATATGCCAAACACACATATTTATTTTTACGGACTTTTGAATTTGAGACACGAATTTGACTGTGGGAAAATTCCTTTGACTAATAAAAAATAAAAAAAAATCAATTATTTTTTGCTGATTTGAGAAAACAATTCAGACATCCCAAACCTAAAGAAAGAACGACAAAATAAGAGTGTGTGCCAACACCAATTGCCCGCAAACACCAAATCCTACGCGCAACCTTGACGCGAAATACGCGCTGTGTTCGCGACACGCACACATTCAGGCGGCAGTCCACCAAAAACACTACGGTCTGCAAAGTGTGAATTTGTGCGTCGCAGGAGCAACTGGTCGAAACTTTTTTGGGTATCGCAGAACTACCAAGAGAATTATCTGGAAAAAAAGAGCGGCAACAGAACCACAGAAATATATGAAATGAAGGGACCCCTCTAGCCGCCAGTTACTAGAGGTTCCCCAACACTTCACATACTTCTATGGGGCGAAAAGAGAGAGAGAAGCGGGCAATCACAGAAATATGTGAAAATCAAAGATTTCACACATTCCTGTGATTATCTAACATAAAAAAAGAGCAGCAACAGAACCACAGAAATATATGAAATGAAGGGACCCCTCTAGCCGCCAGTTACTAGAGGTTCCCCAACACTTCACATACTTCTATGGGGCGAAAAGAGAGAGAGAAGGGGCAATCACAGAAATATGTGAAAATCAAAGATTTCACACATTCCTGTGATTATCTAACAAGAAGAGAAAGCACCCGACTCACGTTTTTCCTCCGGAACGGCGGCGATGGCGGCGTATGGGCATTGATGATCAGCAGAAAATAGGTAGAATATAAGGTAGGAATATTTGGATGTGAGTAAACAACCTTCTCGCCGGCTTCTTATATAGCATCTCTAAGAGATTTTATCATCACGTGTGTCACGTGAATAATGTAACATCGTTTTTCATTTTGTTTTACTTTAAAAAATAGAAATAGAGAATGACATTTCTAATCATCACGCGTGTCACGTGAATAATATGACATCGGTGCTTTTTCATTTCTAATTATATTTAAAAGATCGAAATGGCGTTTCTAGAAAATTCCGATCTGATGATCGCGGTTTGATTTTCGGAAAATTCTTCGATTCTAGTTTACTTTTTGTGGTATTTTAATTATGATTTTACTGTTCAATTCGAGATTTTATCTTGTTCTGACAATAAATCTCACATTTGAAGTAAACCTTACACAAAGCCGAATGCAATGCATCAGCTAATATTTCTCCCTCTTCTTGTATTTGTGGTTCGTCTAATTCGGCAAAATCCTCTATTCAGACATAAAAATAGAAATTTAGAACAAAATAATTACATTTCAACTTTCCACGAAAACAGTTAATGGCCGTGGCCTAGAAAACCAAGCTGAAGACGCCAATTTGTTGAATAACACGCTGCGAATTGCGTGTTTTCTCAACCCGCGTAATTCAAAAATGGATCATTTTCTTGACCAGCAACATCAGCCTTCAACATCCACTGCTCAGAATGAATCTGAAAAACCTGCAACGGTGTTTGAATATGTTGATGAAAATGGACAAACTGTATTGATTGAAGGTGAATTTCGTAACTTTTCGACTATATTTTAAGTAATAAAAATAAATTTTCAGCTTCAAGTTCATCAATTTATGTGGATGAAGAGGGGAATACTGTTATTTATACCGATTTAGATGGACAAGAAGTTGTACAGGAAGAAATTGTTGAAATTGAGGTAAGCAGTTTTGTTTTGAAATTTAGTAAAAGATTTGTTTTTAGGAAACACCGCGAAAAACAAATAAAAATCCAATAGGATATCCCAAAAGCACTGTTTTGTTAACAAATCAATGTTTAGAAGCAAAAAGAGCTTCTTTAATTGCTAAATCTGGATCAGCAAAACGAAAACCTGAAAAAGAAACCGAGCAAAATATATTATCAACTGAAAATGTATCAGTTCTCAATAAAAATCTTCCTGGGATGAAAAACATGTTCAAAGTGATGGCTGAATCTGCAATGAGCAAAGTGAATTTGAAAACTGCAGGAATTCCCGAGGAATTGCGAAAAGAGCTACCAAAAGCTGAAGAAAGAATTGAATTGGACGATGATCGAGCAGGAACACCTCCGTGTTTGGAGAAGGAAATTGATGAAATTGAATCGATCGAGTATTTTGCAGATCATCCAATTTATTCAAAATCAGTGATTGATTTCAAAATGGCGTGTGAAATTCTCATTGGAAGTAAAGATGTTCCTTCAAATAGATTATGTAAATCAGTTCCAAATGAATTCAAAGGGACAGGAACTTTCGTGATTGATTTGGAAGATGGAAGAGGATGGGAATATAATAAAAGGAATACTCATTTGAATGACAATAATGGAAGATGGGCAACTGCTCAAGGAAAAGTTCGATATTATAAAGAAAATCAACAAAATAATCTTGTTCGAGCAGATAATGGAAAAGGAGAATTGAATGATTGGGCAATGGGAGTATATACATATAAAGTTATATTGAGAAAATATGATAATGAAGATACACGTCGATCGATAGAATCTGGTCAAGGAATGTTTCAGAAAAAGATATATTCAGCAACTTTAGCAAATGGTGAGAATGTAAATAAAATTATCATAACTTATTCATGGATTGGTGGAAAATCTTGGAATTATCTTGAAAAACCGAGAAAAGTTTGGGGGAATAATGTTGGTTTACCACAAGTTGCATCAGCATTTTTCGAAGGATTTACGTTGTATAGTCATGAAGTTATTGATTTCAATCAAGTTGCTGCTATTTTATTAGGTGGATTGATCGTTGAACAAAATAAGTAAGTTATTAAAATATCATTTAAAAGAAAGTTCTTCAAAGGGTTTATTTTTGCAGAGTTTGCAGTGCAATTCCTCTCGGTTATCGTCAAACTGGAACATTTGTAATTGATATGAAACGAATGAAATACGGACATTTGGAATTGAGAAAAGATGATAATGGATTATGGGGTAAACCATCGGGACAAAACAGGTGAATTTTAGTTTTTATGAATCATATAACCCTGACTTATCACAGGTTTTACAAGTTTGCTGAAAATGGAGATGCTGTGCGAGTCGATAAAGGAGGAAAATTGACAGATGATATTGATTACGATGTGAAGTTGTCTTGCAAACGATATGAACATCCACAAGTTGACAAGAAATTTGTGAGAAAAATTTATGTCGCAAAAGGAAAAGATGAAAGTTTGACGTAAGTTTTGAATGCGTGTTTTAGCCTGATTTTCTTTTTTTTTATAGATTTGATGGATCTCCGGAACTTGGAATCATTGTTTATTATTGGAAAGGTGATCCTATTCCATTCACTCCAATTTATAAACAGAATGATGTTTGTGATGTTAGTTTTCATTTATTTTTCTAATTATTGTCAATTTTATATTTTCAGCCTCGAAAAAATATTGTGGGAGATGAAGATGATGATGAATTTGTGGTAACTGAATCAGCTTCAGATATTATTCAACCAAGAAAACGCGCTCGAATTGAAGATGCTTCACAAAGTGTTGAAACAGTTGGAGAAGTTCATGATGATTTTAGAAACGTAAAACTTGAACTTTTGAGAAGAGAAATTGAGAATCAGGTAAGAAAGACTTGATTTCCAAATAAAAGTTTATGAAGTTATTTTTTGCAGGATCGTTTTTCATCAATTCTCGATCGCGCTGATAATATTTTATCAAGATTGGAGCAAAGATTTCCACACGAAGAACATGTTATTGTTGAAGGAACACCAATTTATCATAACATTGAGGGAGAAGAAGTTGTTATTGAACAATTTTCTGATTCTTTTTTAGAACATTCTGATTCCTAATAAATATACAACTTCTGTTTTTCAATTTTTATTTATTTTTTAGTCTTGAAACTATTTTGCAATATTTTTAATTTTTCGTATCTATAATGTTTTACAGCATTTATGTTCTTAGCTAATATTTTCCCCCAAAAAATTCAAAATTTATAAAATCACAGGGGTTTTATTACTACCGAGAATTAATCACGTACAAAACATTTTATCTGACGACAAAAAAAATCCGCAAACAGCACGCTACGTGGCCGACAAAAAAAAACTATAGCGTGTGGCCGGCCTCGCGAGTTGTCGGTCGCTGCAAACACACATATAGCCCGACTTTTTTCTTTTTATTTGTGTGTCTTTTGAGCCAAAGGGTTTTCAATTTTCTTTTTGAAAATCTGAAAACCTAAGCTCCGCCCACATGTCTGTGCGGAAAAAGATGGGCGGAGCCTATTTTCTCGATTACAATTTTGCATTGACTCGGTAGTGAAAAAACCCCTGTGAAAATTCTTTTTCACGAAATAAATTCGAATCTCCCGCCTTGTTCATCAGAGCGCACTTTCCTTTCTCGCCACAATAATTTTTCTAGAATGTGTCATTGGAGCGCGTTTACAACCCTGTTTCTCGAAATTTCATTCCTTTTTTTGCAGGAACCTGAATCACTTTCAAACATTTTAGTGTACAGAAATGAGTGAGGTGAGTTGGGGCTGGAATTTTATTCTTATTCATGAATTTTCTTAGCATTTTTTAAATTAAGATTCGGAAGAAAGTCATATTTGACTGAAAAAACTGGAAAAAATGAATATTTCATTTCCGTAATTTTGTATTTATTCCAGGCTATCGCTGAAAAAGACTTGGGAAATGCTGCCTACAAAATCAAAGATTTCGTGAATGCACATATCCATTACGATAAAGCTATCGAATTGGATGCAACCAACATCACTTTCTACAATAATAAAGCAGGTGAGACAAAAATCCCAATTTCAAAAATCAAAAGTCGAATTTTGCAGCCGCATATTTCGAAGAGAAAAAATATGCTGAATGCATTGCTCAATGCGAAAAAGCCGTTGAAGTTGGAAGAGAAACCAGAGCTGATTACAAACTCATCGCTAAGTAAGTTTATCAACAATATGGAATTTTGACCTACTTATTGATTTTAGAGCAATGGCTCGCGCTGGAAATGCATTCCAAAAACAAGGAGACGAAACCCAGGCATTGAATTGGTTCCAAAAATCATTGTCTGAGCACAGAGATGCTGAATTGGTCAAGAAAGTGAAAGAACTCGAAAAAACCATCAAGGAAAAAGAACGTTTGGCTTATATTAACCCAGAAATTGCACAAGAAGAGAAGAACAAAGGAAACGAGTATTTCAAGGTGAGAACGATTCTATTCGGTTTGAGTTATTATAATTTCTTTTCAAATTATAGAAAGGAGATTATCCCTCGGCAATGCGCCATTACAACGAAGCCGTCAAAAGAGATCCAACAAATGCAATTCTCTACTCGAATAGAGCTGCTTGTTTGACAAAACTTATGGAATTCCAAAGAGCTCTTGAAGATTGCGAAGTCTGTATCAAGACTGATCCAAAATTCAGTAAGTTTTTGATATTTTCAGGAAATCAATCAATTATTATCTGTATTTTTTAGTCAAGGGATATATCCGAAAAGCTGCTGCTTTAACAGCAATGAAAGAATGGGGAAAAGCGAAAAGAGCATATGAAGATGCTTTGATGGTTGATTCAACAAATGCTGAAGCTTTGGAAGGATTGAGAAATGTTATTCGAAATGATGACGAAGATCCAGAAAAGGTTTGTTTGAGACGTGAACTGAACGTGTGATGTGGATTATTGATAATCATTTCTTGAAATTTCATATCTCTATAAAATATATTTTCAGGCTCGCGAAAGAGTTATGAACGATCCAGAAGTCCAAGAAATTCTTCGTGATCCAGGAATGAGAATGATTCTCGAACAAATGAGCCAAGATCCAGGAGCAGCTCGGGAACATTTGAAAAATCCTGAAATCTACAAAAAGCTCATGAAACTTCAATCTGCCGGTGTTATTCAAATGCGATAAGTTTTTTTCTATGATTCAATTTTCGAAATTTTTTACTTGTGTTGTTTTTTTTTGGTCTCATCTTTCCTTTTCTCTTTATTTATTAGCATGTTTTAGTAAATGAAAATAAATACCAAAAACAGAGATCGTTTAAAGGCACAGGTTGAAAAATCACAGGTTAGAAAGTTATTACAAAAAAGTGAAAATGTGAAGTTCTGTTGAAACAAACAGTTAAACGGATTGATCTTGTCCATGATAAAGCCCTCTTTTATAAGTTGAACGAGGTGGAGTTGAAGATTCGGATAAAGGTTGATACTTTTTGTATTTCGAATAATAATAAATTGCAGTACATCCTGAATTTGAAATTATTACAAATTAAAATTAAAAATATATTTTAAATACCAACCTATCAAAGTAATAGCTAATGTGATTGCAATAACAATTACAGCAACTTCGATTGCTTTCAATAATTCTGCAACTTGAGTTAATGTTGCGTTCAAATTATCGAGTGTCTGAAATATTGAAGTTCTGATTAGAGATTGTTGCCATTTTTAAAAAATGTGGCTTACCTCATCCAATGACATTTTTCGATGAAATTTGGCAACGCTTTTCTGAAATGTTCTTTTTTATGATAGAAATAATGCTTGAATGAAAACACAATTATTTCAATTTTCTAAAAAAAATGTTTTATAAGAAGGAAAATGTTTTCATTTTTTTTCGGCGGAGAATGAATCATGGATTTTTGAAATGAAAAAAAAATATCGAAAGATAAGGATTTCCAGAAGATTTTTTCCAAATTGAATTGAATTGTACAGAAAACAGCAAAATTGATAGAAAAAATTCCTACCAAAAAATATGAAATCAAATAAAATTATAATACAAATAAATGAATGATGAGAAAATCGAACATTTCTTTCTTTGCCGAAAAATCATTTTTATGCAAAAAAGAACATGGTTTTTTTCTGGAAAAATTCAAAACCAAATGAAACATTCTCAATTATTTAATAAAGTAATAATAATAATTTTGTGGAAAAATGGTTTGATAAAAAAAATTGCGACACTTTTTTTTGATGATAAGAAAAAAGTTCAATTATTAGTTTTCAGGATTTGAAATTGAACCAAATCGAAAAACAAACCTCTTCTCATTAAAAAGATAAAAAATAATTAGCATGAAAAAATAATATAGGATAAGGAAAAAGAATGATAAATAAACAGATAAATAAATAAATAAAATAAACAGCGTTTCGAAAAAAAAAACAAAACAAGATCGTAAAAAACACAGACAGGCATATAGAAAAAAAGGAGATATCATGGCTATCATTTTTATTATCACTTCAACATGAACTTGTTTTAGACAATGAAAAACTATTAAAACGATTTGAAATGAAATATAAAAACTACAGTACAAAAATTAGGCTATTTTTATAAAAGGATATCAATTTCTAGGTTGAACCATTTCAAAAAATAATAGGCCGGGACTTTTTTGGGCCTACAAGGACTACTGTAACTCGAGAAGTACTGTAGCCTGATTGTGAGAGTATCCCAAATTCAAAAGTATACTGTATCTCCCAAACTGCAAAAGAGTTACTGTAACTCATAGATATTATCATCTTATGATTTTCTTGATATGAACGAAAAATTGGTCTCAAACTAAAAAATCAGATCTAGCCGAAATCCACAATTCCGATTAATTTCAAAATCAACTACAGTAGTAGTATGACATAAAATACAATCAATCCAATCCAATAAAATAAAAACAATTGGAAAACTATTTTCTCTCTTATTTTCATTGGTTTTTTATTTTCATGTGTTAATTTGATAAATTCGAAATGATAGGATTCATTACGAGAAAAAAGGGTCGGCGGCCTAATAAAATTAAAAAACATTGAAACGGAAAAAAATATTGGGGGAGAATCTCGTTTCCTAATCTACAATCGTTGACATAAATCAAAAAATTGTTGTCAGCTTCGATTTTATCTGTAATTTTTTCTGCCTCTTCAATTGCCTTTATTTTCCAGATTTTATTTTAATTTTTTTGAATTTTTATTTCGCAAATTAATTAAATTAATTAAAATTAGTAGTATTATTTTTTCAACAGACAATATAGAAGATATGCAGGGAACAATGAACAATCACAAAAAAAGTACACGGGGTTAATAAGTGAGAAAATAACAACACAACATCAAAAAGAAAAAAAAATGAGAAGAATTATGCGACAACATTTTCAGTCAATCTTTCGGTTTCAGGTTTTTCATTGGCAGCTGCTTCACGAATTTCGGCCAATTGCTCTTTTGTTGGATGTTCGAGCATTTTTCGATTTAGCCTGGAAGAAGAAAAAAAATTGATTGGACAAAAATCATGTGAGAACAAGGCACTGAAAATTTCATATTTTCAGGCCAGTAAGAAATCAGGATATGTTCCTAAATCACTTCACAAAAGTGTTCAGATATTTTGGTTCTCATTCATATGTTTTCAATAATTGCCTGAATAACTCACCCCATCAAAATAATAGCTGGAACAATGATAAGTGGCATAACATAAAATGATAATTCTGGGCAAAACGAGATTGTTAATGGGAATAATCCGTGGAAGATAACTGATGACGTCAAATTACAAAATGCTTCGATGACAGCAACCAAAGCAAATGCAGCTCCTCTTTCATTTTCAGCCACATTTGTAGAGATCAAACTACGAAGAGAAGTTGCCGGGAATTTTGAGAACATTTCGAAGAAAACAACTGAATAAATACCAATGTCATTCCAAGCAAATGCATACCTGCAAAAAAGTACAATAGACACTAGACCAGAGAATTTCGAATAGCAGAGGAATTATCAGACAATAACAATTTCAAATATTTCTGTTTCAAAAAATATGTCCGACTTTTTGGATTCTAGATTTTTTTAAAGAAGAATCAAGGTTCCAGAATCTCCCAGTCTTTCCAATTTTTTTTTTCAAATCTCACCATGCTCTTCCAATACTTCTTGTCACCAATCCGAAAATCGCCAAAGTCGTATCTTTAAATCCGGCAGTTTTCAGAGCAGGGAAACAAGAAAATGGCCAAAACTGTAGTCGTTCCTTGATTGAGTCCTTTCAAATATCCATATTTTTCATTTCCCCAATAGAATTTGTGTTTCAAATAAAAGAAGAGAATTCGAGTTGAACCGATAAATGCAAAATATGAGAGTGCAAATGAAAAGTATAGAATACAGAGAGACTTTTTGGTATCATACGATTTTCCAGTGAAAATACTTGTTGAAGTCTGTAAAAATATGAGACTGGAATAATATTTAAACCTAATAGGCTTACAAAAATTGATGGTTTATTGGATGTTTGAATGGCATTTGTTTCAGAAATTTTTGGTTCATCTTTTACAAACATCGCGGATATAAATGCACCAATGTGCGCAATCAAAATTAATCCACACATTCCAAGATAATCTGTTCTATCAAGTTGGGATGATATCAAAAACCCAACCATCGCTGAAAAAAAGTCAATTCTGAATATGATTCTAAATTTGTAGATTTGAAGAATTCAATCTTACATCCAAAAGCGACATTTCCTTCCATTCTTGCAATAACTTTTGCTCTTTCTCTTGGATCTTTATGATAAGATGAAATAATTGCAAATGCACATGATGTAATCGACATATATCCACCAAAAAGTCCAAAAATTATTTCGGAAAGAATAAAGAAATATGGTGGAATTTCTGGTATAACAACTTGAACAATAATCGATAAATCAGCGAGGATCAATCCAAAAAATGGGATCAAAAGTGCTAGTTTTCGTGATTTGATATCTGAAAGTCGACCAACATATCGACTTGTGAAAAAAGCGGTGATACATAAACCCGAACTTCTGAAAAATATCGGGTTTTTGAAAAGAAAAGTTGATTGAAGTGGATTATGCTCACGATACAAGTAAAACCATGTTTGATAATGTGTGGATTGCTTCATTTTTTGCAGAAGCTTCTCGATCATAACAATAATTTGGATCTGTTGAATTGGCAATTGATATGCATGACTGAAAAATTAGAATTTTTAATCGTACGAAATTTTCAAATTGAATTTCTTATTGAAATTGAATTATCGTGGCGCACACAAAAAAATGAAATTCGTAATTTTTCAAAAAATAAAAAATAAAAATAGAAATGACACTTGCAGGGGTCACGTGAAACATTCCCGAAATCATTTCTAATTTTTTTTTCGCCATCAAACAAACCTTGAAAAATACCAGTGACTGAAAAACCGGGAAAAACAAGCTGCTCGTAACCGAATATAAAAATACTGTCAGAAATACACTCATATTGAATCAGCTCATGAAAATAATATTCGTTCTGCAAGTAAAAATAATAAAAAATAATAATAAAATGAAAAAGAGGGGAAGGAAGGAAGGAAAAGCGTATTATGAGATTTTGAGATCAATAAAACAAAGAAGCCATGTTATTGGTTTCCTAATAAGGTCGAATTACAGTAACCCGCACTTTTTTATTATTTATAGAAGACAGAAAATAATTGGGAAATTGAAAAAATATAACTAAAACTTAGCAGAAGTATTGGTTTTGATCTATTTTCTGATCAAAAGTTTTCTCATCAAACATCGCAAAAATGTTTATTGTAGACATAAAAAATGATAGTTCAAAAAGTGTGCAATAATAGATAAACTGTGAGATTATATAGGTACTGTACCACAAATTATTTGGCGTGTGAATATAAAAAATGATGAAAAAAGAAACGAAAAGAGGAATTTATAATCTGACCAATACACAATTTTTTGATGAAAACGTGAAGTTTGTTTTAGAAAAAAGACCTAGAACACTTTTGAGTATCTGTGAAATGACGTGCTACGTTTTGTAGTGATAACAAACTTTCTTTGACTGATTTCAATTTTGTTTATTCTTGGTCAGAATTGAATTTATGATAGGGTGAGTAAAAATTGTTTTTCTGCATTTACTAATTTTTTGAACTCCGAGCACAAAATTATTTAGAAATTTTCTGAAATTCTGTAAAATGTTTTATATTTATTTTCTAGCTGATTGTGAATTTCCAAAAAAAAGCTGTCAATAAAGTTTTTAATTAATCTTTGTCATAAAAACTTGAAACGAATTCTGAAAACAAACTAATTTTTTGAAACAATATTTTTAGAGATTGAAACTATAACACATACAACGAAAACGAAAAAAAATCGCCAATCTGTAACCAACAGAAAAAAAAAATCGAGATGTAATGGGAATATGAAGAAACGGAGACATAGCAACAGTGGCTCCAATAAAAAGAAAAACGAGTGAAGCAGACAACGAAATAGTATGCAAATGAAAGAGAAACATGAGATATGTGCGAATTCGTACATGTGTTGCACTTTCAAAAAACCTGAAGAAATTTGAATCTGCCGCCAAATTTTGAATGAACAAAGTACATATTTTAACAACCAGCAAAAAAAAGAGATTGTTTACATTTGATGGTATTTTGATCTCAATATTGGCTGCGCACGTAGGTGGGAAAAAACTGAGAAAAGTGTGATTATTTTGAGTGGATTTATATTTATAAAGATGTAGGTGTTTTGTGCAAAGTTCAGTATCTTGGGTTCAAGGTTCAAACATTTTCCGAAGACATTTCTCTATTGGAAAATGTTTTTAAAAATGCACGACTCTTCCTAAATCTTTTTGTTTATCAAAATTATTCGGCTACACTGAAACAACTAATCCTCTATCAAATCATGTTTTTTTGTTGATAGTATGATTCTGATAATATTAAATGCTTTTGTTATCTGAAACTATATCAAACGATCATTTATTTTTTCAAACTCGTACTTGACAGGTTCAATTTTTGTGACCTGGTGTTTTATGGAAAGTTGATAGGGTTGAATTTTTGGATTGTACATCGGAAATAAATTTATCACATACAATCACATTTATATTCAATATTATTTTGTTTGCTCTATTCAAAAATGATTCCGGTCTTCGAACATTTTTTTGAAACTTGGAAATACTGAACCTATGAATAGATACATTCAAAAATCAATCATAGTTCTATTTCTCAATAGCCTACAAATTATTCTCCACAGAAATCATCAAAACACTATTGACGTATTTTGTTATCTTTGAAAATGTGCAATTTCATTTTATCAAAAAATCGTTGATTTTTTGGGTGTGTTGCATAAGTTGGAAAATAATTGTCGATTAGACTAGATATATTTATTTTTATATAGAAATCGGAAATAAATATAGTCTAGTCGACAAAAAAGTTGATAAATTTGACATTAAAATCAATGAAAGGTTTAAAACCGAAATAAAAAAGAAACAAGAAACTTATTTTCAAACAAAACAATAACTAAACAGAGATCAATTATGTTTATAAAACTTCTCAAAAATGAGTCATCATATTTTTGTTCTGGACCTTAATAATATAATAAAACTTGAAATTATGATTCATTGAAATTTAAAAATAAAACAATTAAAATTTAATACAAATGAACGAATTAAGAAATATCGAATAAGACGTGAATTTTTCATTTTATCAAATCATTTGCAATTTTTTCTGGAAAATTGTATGTTTTTTCCCAATTTGAAAGTTAACAAAACCAAGAAATGATCAAACGAAGATCAAAAAGTACCAAAGAGACGTTTTTATTGTTCTTTTTGGACAAAAACATAAAAAATGTTATAATCGTGTTTGAAGATATTTAATGATTAAAATAAGACGTTTTCGGCATAAAAACGTTTTTCGATAAGAATCATAAATCAGCAATGTTGTGAAGGAATAAAAGAATCCTTGGAGAGACATTAGCAGAAATCCCAAGTTGTTCAACACTTAATTATTTTTGTTATATTATTTGTGAGAAAATGTGACATTTTTTACCTTGATTATGGTATTTTGTGAAAAAAGAAAATGTGAAATAAAAAACAGGGAATAATATACATTGTCATTGGAATGAAAGTTTGGATTATAACTGAAATAAAAAGACGATATTGCATTCTTTTTGTTTTTTCGGAAAGTGAACATTTTGATGACATCTTATATAATTCGACACTCGAATGAATCACGAAAAATAATGCTTGTGATAGATAAAAAATGAGAATCACAGAAAGAATACAACAAATTAATATTGGAGAATCTAAAACTGCATAATTAGTTTGAGATTGTTTCATTAAACAAATTATATTTTCAGAATAAACAGTGAATTCTTGATTTGCTTGACTTTGATCAGGTATATTTAGAAATATTGGAATAGTTATGTAAATTGGAAATATTATATTGATTACTCTGAAAAATATTCGATATCTTTTTGATTCGATTTTCCAAAATGAGAAATTGACAACATGGCGATGACGATTCTCAAACAGGAATAAAATTGCTGTTCCAACCTCTTAAAATACATAGTTTATATCAAAATATTCATCATGTGCAATATCTTACCACAGATCACAACAACTAAAACATAACCCTGTACAAACGGATTAATTCCAAAAACTTCAGTTAATAATCCACATGGAAAACCAGCTGGCCATGGAACAAAAATATACGGGATTATCAAGGTGCCAATCAATAAATCACCGAAAAGACTCCAAAATTGATTATACAACAAAGCTAATTTTAATGCTCTCAAATTTCTCGAATTTTTGAAAAATATAACAGCCAATGTTAGGAAATTGAAAGGAATTGTTAACATTGAAATTGAATGGGATGTTGAAATATAGACATTTGGATTTGCAAGACTATTTTCAATGGGGCAAAACATTTGGAAAATGAACAAATTTTTTGATTGTTTTCATACATTTCCATTTGTGGGAAACGCGGATTTTGGTAAATTAGAAAAATTTTCAGTCTGATAAAAACCGAGAAAAATCAGAAAGATCGTTGGGAACAACTGATAATAGATACAAATAAATCCATAAAATTAGCAAAAAAATTCATGAAAGTATGTGCGCTGCAAACTTGCAAACAACGACACTCCGTCAACCCGTTGTTTAGCATGTTTTTAAATTTTCATTTTTTTTTCAAATTGTAACTTTCCACTTTATTTCAAGGCTGCCAGCGAGAGTACAGAGATAATTTTAAGGGAAATTGAAAAAAACAAATAGACCCACAAGTTTATTAGATTTTTGGGCCTAGATTTTGATGAGTTAGCCTAACTTTTTTCAATTTTTAAAGATTTTTTCATAATTTTTCAATATCGATTTTATTTCAAATTTTCCGAAATCCCTCCCTAAAAACTCACCAATGGCTTCTAAAATTTGATTTTTTTATGTATCATTGAGTTCTGCTAACTCCATTTCTCTTTCTATAGATCCTGGGTCTCACAACAATTTTCCAGCCATAAACCGCACCTTTCTTCGATAATCCTCGGAATTTCCGTTGGAATCGATAATTTCAGCCTTGTAGAACATCTAAAAATTCAATTTTTGACTGAAATCCACTGATTTTCCCCGGAAACCTGAAAACCCAGCGAAAAAAACAACGAAAAATGAAAATATTCTCGTGTTGCGCTAAACAGCGGGCAAACGGAGTGTCGTTGTAAGTGTAAAATTCAATTATTTTTTTTTATTTTTGTGCCAATAATTTCATTAAGACAGTCATCAAAATCATTAAGACAGTCATCAAAATATGTTTTTTTTTCATTTCAAATATTTTTTTGATCGATTTCTGGTTTTCGAGAGTTTTTTACCATTTCTTACATGCGACACTTCTTTAATCATAGCCCACAACGTTCCGAAACGCAATTGGATGAGAGGAGAGAGATTCTAGAGAAAACATACGTTTTTAGTGGGCAAACGTGCTCAAATGAGAACAAAAACTCCATTTTTTCGAACATTTTCTGAGAGGTCGTTCAAACGTATTGCCGACATTGATCAAACAAATGGCCAAGCGCTATACACACATGTATTATTTTTCAATGCCTTTTTCGAAAAATGAAGCGAGACGACAAGAGTTCACGCGAATAATCAACAAAACGTGCATTCTTTTATGTTTTTCTCTAAATCTCTTCCTCTCACCCTATTGCATTTTATCATTAGCCTAAAATGTTGTGAGCCTTCAGTTTTTCAAAGTTTTTTATTTATTTTTCAACTATAGAACTAGTGGAGTTTTTTTTCATTTGGATTGTTGATCTTGCTCTAATTGCATTTCTAGACAATAATATTTGTATCAAAGATAAATTCATACGTCGCATACCCCTGTTTCAAATCCGCCAGTGCATACCCCTATTTTTGAAAATTTTCGAAGAAAGGGATAACCCCCCCCCCCCTTTTTTATTTTTTTTTCATTTCCAGCTATAGAAATCTGAAAATTTCAATTGTATTGAGCTTAAGCTCAGAATTTGCATCAATGAGGCAAATAGTGAATTTTGCACTTGAGTTAGGGGTAGCAGGCCTTTATTAGACCCTTATCAACTATGCTCAACGATAAAATCTGAAGAATTAAGCCAGGTATCAAGATGGGACCACTGTGTCATTTTTCACCTCTGTTATCAAAGAACACAGGGGTAAAAAGTCAGTAGGGGTATCTAATAAATACCAATGAATATTAAACTTGAGTTAGGGGTAGCATGCCTTTATTAGACCCTTATCAACTATGCTCCACAATAAAATCCAAAGAATTAAGCCTGGTATCAAGACCTTGATTTGATAACAGAGGTGAAAAATGACATAGTGGTCCCATCTTGATACCAGGCTTAATTCTTCAGATTTTATTGTGGAGCATAGTTGATAAGGGTCTATTGAAGACCTGCTACCGCTAATTTAATTAGATATTTATGTGGAAACTTTTTTTTTTGAAGCTTAAATTGGTATCCCTATGTCAGAATATGTAGAGAAAATTATCATCAAAACTGAGAAAATTTCATAAAAATTTTTATCTCAAGTGACAACCCCCTCCAAAATTTGGTGTGAGGGATGACCCCTCCACGGATCGATTACCCCTGGCATGCGACGCATGGATAAATTTCTAGATTCTAGATTAAAATAATGAACACATCTTCAAATTGTGCAACAGAATCAATATTTGATTCTCCATCATTTTTATATAATACTGCACACATTTTGACAATTTTTACTCTTCCAATCAATTTTTTTGGTGTTTATTTGGTATATTCGAAAACACCACCTTTAATGACAAATATGAAAATGGTTATGATAAATATGCAAATATGGATTATGTTATCTGATTTTTGCATTGGAACTCTAGTTATTCCTTATATTTATTTTCCTGTTTTTGCAGTCTCAACTTTTGGAATTTTGAATAAATTGAATGTTGGTATTGCTCCACAATTTTATCTTTTAGTTTTTTCAATTGGTGGTGAGTTAACACTTTTGAAATCATTTTGAAAAAAATGAAATAAATAGAAATTGGTGCATCAATGGCAATAACTCTTGAAAATCGAAAAGCCAACATAACACGTGTTTCTTATATTTCAATGACAAATAAACGAAAATTATTAATAAGTATAAATTATCTTCTTCCATTTTTATTTCAACTTCCATTTTATTTCAATTTACCTGATCAAAATGAGGCCATGATTGAAATTAGTCGAAAAATCCCTTGTTTATCATCTGAATTTCACACGTCTCCAGTCATTGTTATTAGTACAAATGGAGTTTTACCTGGTTTTTCGATATGTGCTATTTTATTTGCGTATGCAATAGAAATTGGATATTTCATAACAAATATAACAAATGTACTGCGTGTGATGAGAACATCCAAAATATTCAAGAAGTTCTCAAAGTTTTTGGCCCTTCAGCACCATCTGAAGAAGAAGAAGTTGAAGTTAAGCAAGAACATGTGCCAGAAATAATTCCAACTCCTTTTGTTCTCTTGAAAAATATCATTGAATTGATTTGGTTGAGCGTTTCTTGGACAACTCAAGTAACTCTTGAGGAAACCAAAAAAATTATTGAGAAACAAAAGGATTCGGAGATCAGAGTTGGTGAGTTTTTATATTTTTCTCTGACGAGTTTCAGATATAGAAAAATGAGCATTTTTTCAGGAGATGTTTCGATTCACCCAAAATTCATCATTTTTTCGTTCTCATTCACTGTTGTTCTTTCAATTTTGGCCATGATTTTCAAGATTTTATTTTTCTGATCAACTTTTTTTTGTTTATTTGTAAATATGCATTTTTTGCTTAACAATCTTCTTTATGAGCACACTTTTTTGTGAAATAAATGTTAGCGAATCACACCTTTTTCACACTTCATTTTACCTGAAAAAACCCAAGCTCTGAAAGAAATAAGTTTTAGCTCATTTGTTAATTTTTTTTCAAGAGATATATAATTCATTCAGTTTTTCAAAAACAAAAAATGATCAATTTTGGCTGAAATTATACAATAACGTGACCTTCAATTGTTATCTTTTACGTGAATCTCAAAAAAAAGAAGCTCTGCTCAGAAAACTGTCAGTATTCGACAACAATCGTGTGGCAAATCGTGTGGCGGAAATAATCAATATGCGGGAATGTTATGACAATACGAAAGGGAACTCCCGGTAACCAGCCGAGGATAGTTTTACTGGAGGCCCGCGCAAGGGGCGATTGGTTTAAAATTCTCAGGCACGAAACAATCACCGGCATTATACGTTCTTTCGAATTTAACCTTTTCAAAAAAAATTATCATTAAAAAAAAACTAAACTAAAAATAACTAAACATAACTCAAAAAAAATTACGGTAGCGCTATCGGGCGTATTAATGTCCGGTGTTAGGTTAAGTATGTAAGTAAGTAACTAAATTTCAAAAAAAAAACAATTTCAAAAATAAGTAACTTCGTGTCTGGGGATCCAATCTGCCAGGTTACCTCAGGAGATATTGCTGGATGCATCGACCATCGACGACGACGAGGAGGAGCAGAAGGTGAGGTTAGTTTGATTTTTGGGAGATTTCTTTTCAGGTGGACCGGGGGCTTCTGGCTGGCATGGCAATCGAAACAAACCGGACCTCTGGGATAAACCAGCCTAGGATCGTGTTTTACGTGAGGCCCGGAAACGGGGCGCTCTACACAAACTTCTCAGATACCGCACAATCCTTCGGGGTTATGCTAAATTCAGGGTTGCTTGAGACAAAGTTGCTGGGAAGCAACTTTTACACATGCTCTTGTCAATTCCTTTTATTTCTATCCACCACGATCCGAAATATCAGGCGACATTGCGTTACTTTTTCAACACTCGTAATTAACATTTATATTTTCACTACTTTTCATTTATCATCATCATAATCATAAATTCAAAAAAAATCTTACTTACATATTTTTTTAGTTTAACTCCATAGAAAAAATCAAAAACCGATAGCGCTGCCGGGCGTATTGTCGTCTGATGTGGCAGGATTGTCATCGGGGGTGAAGTTTGAATATATATCTCGGTGTATATTCAAATTTTATTCCCAAAAACTTCTACTAAATTTCGTAGGTATCTGGGGTAATTGTTTGTGTACAGTTGCTAGGTGAACTAGAGGCATATGATGGAGGAAGTCGACGATCGAGGAGGAATTAAGCCTTCGGTCCGGGAACGGGTTTCAGATTTTCAGAACAGATCGAAAGATTCGGGATTTGCCAACAAGACCCGAATCTCCTCCGAGGATCTTTCACATGGGAAAGGGAGGGGGCCTTCTCAAAAGGTTGGCCTCACCGATGGCGAGAAGGTGTAACCCCGTTTTGTCTATAGACTGGCAAATTGGGGGCTAACAACCGTAGTAACCGCCTCTCCCTTTTAAGATTAGGTCAGGTAAGATGGTCTTGTAAGCTAGGTTAGTGTGATAAAACAAAATATATAACACAGGGAGGTATTTTCCAATTTTTGAACAAAAATTTAACGGGGTGTTCTCATATCCCAAAAAATAATAAATGGGCTTCCCAATTTTTTTTTCTTGATTATGAGGAAAAAACGTGGATTAAACTAGGTCAAGTTCACGTATTTATTTAATTGATAATTTATTTTCAAAATTTATAATTTGACCTAGATTTTTCACGTGATAATTTTCCAAAAACAAATATGGGACCACATCGAACATTTATTATTTTTTAATATAGAAAGAGCTGATAAAAGGCCACATTGATTGCTGATACTTTGAATTATGAAAATCATAGAATAAATGTAAATGTTCAAGGATTATTGATTGATTAAATGTTTCAAACTATCAGACCCAGAATTTGGCATACTGATTGATTGTGATCGGAAGTTATTTTCAATTTTTTTCAGCTGTGGATTTCGAGGAGGAGAAAAACTTTGAAACTTGTGAATAAAAATTTTTGAATTCTTCACCTGGTTGTTGAATTGATGCGAGTTTGAAGCTAGAAAATATGTCGAAAGGTAGCTGAGCTAGATTACGAACTTGTGACTCTCTATTTGGGTAAAAATTCATCGTTTTTTCCAAAATTCGAACTGGAGATATTCATAATATACACATAATACATAAATAAAAATATAGTAGATACATGAAGTTTTAATTATTTCAAAAACCGATTGAAATTCTCGAGCAAATCATTGATTTTTTGTCGGTCAGCTTCATTCGGAGATTTGCTAAAAAGTGCTTAGGGTAGGAAGAAAAGATTTTTCAAAAAATATCGACTGCTTTACCCCCGAAACACAAGGGTTTCTGTGAAAAAAATTATTAGAAAATGATCCCCAAGGAATCGAGACATGTTATTAGCGAAGACCCAAAAAAAAACCCACGTTAGTAATCTTGTTAATCGTTCATACAATTCAGACACTTCAGACTCGCTCAATTTCTCACAATTTTCAAATAATTCAGCTGGCAAATCGCCAGGATTCGCTTTTCTTTTCACATAAATTTCACCATTTTTCGGACATCTTTCAATAAATAAAGGCATGAATTTACTGAATTTATCAAACTCATTTTGGTCTTCGACAATCACACCTGGAGAGACAGTGTCCAAAAATTTTTGTACAGTGTGAAATTTTTTCAAAAAAAAATTGTGCAGCGTGAAAATCTGAAGTTTTCGAGAAAAAAAACTTCGCCGGCAATAAGACTCGAACCCTGGTCTCATGCATTGCAGTCAAAACTGCTATCCTCTCGGCCACATCTCTCCTTTCTCCCGAGGGGAAAATGTTGGTGGAAAGGAAACTGTTTTCAAACGAATGCGTTGCAACGTTGCTCAAAATTTGAAGTTAGGAAAACTAAGCTTAGACTTGACGAACATGGTTGAAATTTTTATGATAGATTGCTAAGGTCATAGGCAGTGTGGAACACCATGAGTGCAGTGTGGAAATGCCCTATTTCGCTGTTATTTTGAAGTGTCCATTTTGATGGAAAAATTGGCCACTGGAAAGAATCGCGGGGCATTTTTTAATAAGGCAACCTCCGGGTTCGGTTTCTTCACAAAGTAGGGGTATTTTTGTGTCTATTTTTTGAATTTACCCATGTGCAGTGTGGAAATTGATTTTGAAAGTGACAATTGATGAAAAACAGTTTTTTACTGGACACTATGTTTTTCTAGGCGAGTAATCAATTTCCACACTGCACATGGAGTTCCAATTAGATAAAAGACTGTCTAGAAACTATTTTCATTTTAAAAATGAAGATTTTTCGAGGTATAAACTTGTTTGTTATAGTGTGAAAAATTGAAAAAAAAATAAAAAATTGCTTCGTTGAGCAAAACCGAACCCGTGACCTTGTGACTGAGGGCGCAGCGTCTTAGCCACTCGGACAATCGTGTTTTTTATTCGAAGGGAGAAATGTTGGTGAAAAGGAAACAAGTGATTTTTTTTTTCGAAAAAAATACAGTGTGACTTTTGAAAAAAATGTACAGTGTCCATTTTAGACACGTCTCGTCAGGTGTGTCGACAATATATTCAGTTGCACCATCTTTTCCCATTCCTCGTCTAATATAAGCAATCATTTCTTTTTCGGTTAAAATCGGTTCAAATGGGATGTTTGGTAGGAATTTCCTGGAAAAATTCAATATTTTTTTGATTAGCAATTTCTGCAACAAACAGGACCTGAAAAAGCAAAGGCTTCTTCTGTGTCAAAAACTTACATAAAAGCATTTTTAAAAAGTTCCGAATGTTGAGTAAACGTAATTTTTTGTTTCTCATATGATTCCGGCCCATAAACATCTATAAATCCTTGAATTTCCATAAAAACCGACATTTTTGCGACTCTTCTACTCATATAATCCCACATACTTTCATTATAAACTTGAATAACTTCATTAGCTTTTATACAATCTCCAATTTCTTTCCAAATTCGTTTTCTCATATTTTCATCAATTTCTTGTTTATCTTTTAATTCCAAATTTTCAGTAAATTTCGAAAGTTCCGTCAATGCTCCTTTTCTATTGAAAGCCTCTCTATAATTGAATCTTGGAATCGGTTCAGTTATCAAAATACGCAATTCATTATAAGCTTTTTCATAAATTTCATCTAATTTCCAAGTTTCAATAAAATATCGATATCCTCGTTTTGTTGAAAATACTCCTGTATCAGTTAACAAATCTTCAAACCATTTTTGAATTATTCGAATATTTTCAGGTTTAACACCTTTGAATAAATCCATTCCAAACGAAAGTTCATCAAAAAGTTCGAAAAAAGACCAAGATGCGAGTTTACAAAATGTTCCATATGGAGTTGGAATTGGAACTTGGTGGACTTTTCCGACTATTTCGATTGGACAAGGGACTATCTGCAAAATATTGGAATTCTTCCAGGAAAAAAAAAGTAAATTGAAAATACTTAAATCAATAAAACCAGGAAGTAGCTCCATATTTGTAGGTGCCTATTTCCAGGATTTTGAACAATGTATTTATATAAAACTGTGATTTCTTGTCAATTTTTATCACTTACAAATAAATCAGATCTTTCCAATTTCAGAACATTCAATATTTTCTCCAATTGTTTGAATTCCAGTGTCCTCACAATTCCAAGTTTTCTCTCTTCATCCGTTTCCACTCGAACCAATCCAATCGGAAATTTTGATTTGTATCTTAATTTCATTGAAATATTCAAAACATTTTCGACTTCTTTTGCAATAAGTAAATGATTTTCTTTTTCTTCATCTTGAAAACATCGAAGTACTGGATATTTATCGTGGAACCAATTTGCATCTCTAAAAAACGTCTGCAATGAATAATCCCAATCATAAACTTCATGCATAAATCGTTCAATATCTGCTCTTTTTTTATTTTTGAATATTTCTGCGTTTTGATCCACCAAAGTAAAAGTCGAATAATCTGGACATTTCATCATTTTGAATTTCAAAATTTGAAATGATTATCAATTTTTAACATCATGAAAAATTTGGGAATCAATTCATATCTTCCACTTAATTGACTTCCAATTTGATTTAATATCCTTTTCTTGAGTTCTCCAGCATAAAGATCTAAATAACTCTCATTTTCATGTTTTTGATATAATGTTGAAAGCGAATCCTCTTTTGACACAAACTTTCGATATTGGCCATTTGATACCTTTTCAGCTAATATAACAGGTTCATTTTGAAAATTTAATCCACTTGCAAAATAAAATGAGCTATTTGAGAACCCTTGATATTTGAAAAGATAAAACAGCAGTTTTTGAGGCGATTCATAGACTGCTTGCATTTCAGGCGAATTTTCCATACATTTTGCAATTACATCTTTCATATATATGATTTCTAAAATTTTTCCAGCGTTTTCTTCCTTCAATTCTTCCAAAAAACTATGTGAAATTTTCTGAAATAATAGATTTTTTCTAATTTTTCTCAAACTTCAAGCAACTTACATCTCTCGGCACATATTTTCGAATAACTCCTGCAAAATATTCACCCGTCCAATTCGTTTTTTTCATCACACGCTGAATTTCCTCCATTTCACGCATTTTTCTTCCGAAGTTAAGAATAAATATAATATTATTTTCTACTGAACCGTATATCACATTAAAGGAACATTCGTTTTATGAATCAAAGGAACACAAAAATGTAAAAAAAAATGTTTGAGACCCGCTTGTCATTTTAAATGTTCCTTTAAAAAGGTGTACGGTTTCGCAAACTAATTTTTGATATTTTTTCCGAATATATTTGGAATTTAAATGAAACTAGTATTCTCCAAGGGAAAAGCGACATTGGAGAGATTCTCAGGGTTCCCATATGTTATACTTTAAACTTGTCCATTTCTAAAATCTGGGGGGGGTTCCCAATTTTTAAAAATCCCCCGGAAATTTCTTCGCGAAAACACACAGCGCGTATTTCGCGTCAAGGTTGCGCGTATAATTTGTTGTTTGCGGGCAGTAGGTGTTGACATACACTCTTATTTTTTCCGTTCTTTCTTTAGGTTTGGGATTCCCAACTGTTATACTTTATATGTTATCCTTTTTCTTGATTTTTTTTTAAAAACGAAGCGGTGTTTGCACACATCGAAACACTTGACGTGACGCCAAATTTTCAGTTATTTCGCTTTTTATGATGGAGAGATTACTAAAATCAAATTTTCAGAAGTGAGATGCCCAAATTATACTTTCAAAATTCCCGGATGCTCGAAGAAGACGCTGGCTGATTCGAGGTGAGTATTTTTTGTTTTTTCTAGCATATATTTCCTATCTTTTTGGTTGTGAAGTTCGTTTCACGAAATTTCCAGTAGAATTTTAATGACATATCATTAAGACAGTCATCAAAATATGTTTTTTTTTTCATTTCAAATATTTTTTTGATCGATTTCTGGTTTTCGAGAGTTTTTTACCCTTTCTTACATGCGACACTTCTTTAATCATAGCCTTCAGTTTTTCAAAGTTTTTTATTTATTTTTCAACTATAGAACTAGTGGAGTTTTTTTTCATTTGGATTGTTGATCTTGCTCTAATTGCATTTCTAGACAATAATATTTGTATCAAAGATAAATTTCTAGATTCTAGATTAAAATAATGAACACATCTTCAAATTGTGCAACAGAATCAATATTTGATTCTCCATCATTTTTATATAATACTGCACACATTTTGACAATTTTTACTCTTCCAATCAATTTTTTTGGTGTTTATTTGGTATATTCAAAAACACCACCTTTAATGACAAATATGAAAATGGTTATGATAAATATGCAAATATGGATTATGTTATCTGATTTTTGTATTGGAACTCTAGTTATTCCTTATATTTATTTTCCGGTTTTTGCAGTCTCAACTTTTGGAATTTTGAATAAATTGAATGTTGGTATTGCTCCACAATTTTATCTTTTAGTTTTTTCAATTGGTGGTAGGTTAACACTTTTTTGAAATCATTTTGAAAAAAATCAAATAATTAGAAATTGGTGCATCAATGGCAATAACTCTTGAAAATCGAAAAGCCAACATAACACGTGTTTCTTATATTTCAATGACAAATAAACGGAAATTATTAATAACTATAAATTATCTTCTTCCATTTGTATTTCAACTTCCATTTTATTTCAATTTACCTGATCAAAATGAGGCCATGATTGAAATTAGTCGAAAAATCCCTTGTTTATCATCTGAATTTCACACGTCTCCAGTCATTGTTATTAGTACAAATGGAGTTTTACCTGGTTTTTCGATATGTGCTATTTTATTTGCGTATGCAATAGAAATTGGATATTTCATAACAAATATAACAAATGTACTTGTATTGGATGCAAAAGTCGGAACATTATCTAATAGAACAAAACAGTTTCAAAGAAAAATATTCTTTCTGAGTTGTGTTCAAATATTTGTACCATTGTTAACAACTTTTGTACCAGTTCTGAGAAATCTTATTTCAATTGCATTTTTTTCATATGACCAAGGTTTGAAGTTTCATTTTCTAGAGAGAAAAAAGGTTTATGTTTTAGCATTCACAAATCTCTCATTTTTAATAATGAGTTTACATGGATTCGTGGCAACTGTTGTGACAATTATAATTTATAAACCCTATCGAAATTACACATTTCGGTTAATATTTTGGTTTCTAAAGAAAAACAAAGTGAAAAATATATCTCCTAAAACTCAAACTAGACATATTGTTGTTTATTAATAAAGTCAGAATTCTGAAATATTTGTTATGTTTTGAGCACATTCTCAAATAATAATCTTGCCTCTTTATTCACATCATAAATAGAGTACATTAAAAAATATGTGTACTTGTCTGGGAACTATTGAATATCTCTTTATCTTTGGTATTTTTTGTACTTTCTCTAATTATTTTCAAATAGTGTTTTTATTATTATCAGCCGGCTTATCGGAACAAGATATTAAATCAAGACAATTTTCATTTTATTTGATAGATATTGCTTTTTTGTCTGGTATAAAAACAAAAATAAAAAGTTGTTATTTCTACCAAAAACTATGGATTCAATATCAGTTTTCTATAAATTTAACTATTCAACACAATGTGAGAAATCGTCAAATTTTTTTGTTTCTCATGAAAATTTTGGGATAATTTCAAAAATATTATTTCTTATAAGTGTTCCATTTTCATTGTTGGGTGTTTATTGTATTGTTATAAAAACACCCAAATCAATGAAAATTGTTAAATATTATTTACTCAATGTTCACATTTGTTCAAATTTTTTGGATTTTTTGATGTCGACAATGATAATTCCAATAGTTTATTTACCAACATTATCAGGATGTTCAACTGGTTTCTTTAATATGTTCAAAGTTCCAGTTTCTTTTCAATTGTTTATTGCACATTTTAGTATTCATAGTAAGTTTTTTTCTTGAATTTGAAACATCTGAAAACGTAATTATTATTCAGTGATGGCTAATTCGATATGTGCATTATTTGAAAATCGCAGTAGTTCTATACCTAACAATATATTTCGAATAAAAACAACAAAACTTCGCGTTACAATATACTCATTTTATGTTTTCCTAACATCAACTTATATGATTCCAACATTTCTTTCTGTAAATGAAAATCAAGAGATATCAAAACTCTATATTCTTTCAAAAATAAAATGTCCAACTGAAGATTTTTTCAAGTTACCAATTCATATTTGGACAATGGATATTTTTTGGATTCGATATATTTTTATATCAATCTCATTTTTCACTATTTTAACTCTTTCTCAATTGATATTTTTCACATGCTGTTGTATTTATTATTTATATATTCACGTTGCAAAAAATCAATCATCTAGAACTCGAAAATTACAACGTCATTTCTTTGTTGGTTCGGTTGTTCATGTAAGCTAATTTATTTTCTAACATAAGATAACCGAAGTAAACAATTTCACAGGTTCTAACACCATTTTTGTTTTGTGTAATTCCAATTTTCATTCAAATATCATTTTATATTTATGAATATTATAACCAAACATGGAATAATCTATGTGTTTTTGTATTTCAAAATCATGGATTTGCTTCAACTTTAATTGTGTTATTTTGTCATCAACCTTATCGATTGTTCATTTTTTCACATTTTAGTAAATCAAAAAAAGTGGCGATGGAAACTATTTCAGTTACTGCTAAAGGAACTATTTAGATAGTTTTTTGAATTTATTTTTGTTAGAAATTATAATAAAAACTTGAACTAATGAATAGTTTTTTCTCGAAATCAAAGAAGCATTCAAAAATGTGAATTGAGATAAATGATATGATATTTATAAAAGGGCGATCAAAAAACTCAAATTGAAAAATAGTAAGCTGAATAACATGAAATCGAGAAATCTAAACTGAAACTCAACTTTTCATTTACAGAACATAACTTTATTACCAATAACATTAACTGTAGTAATTCACGTAATTAAATTATTGTCGCCAGAATTAAAGACATTGTTGTCTTAAGAACTTGAAAGATCATCCAAAAAAAGTGAAATTATATTTTGATAATATTATCATAAAAATAAATATTTATTCTTGATCATAAAACTCAATAACAATACTTGGCGGACAATTTATCAATCCATTAAATTCAGAATGTGTCGAGTTCATCTACAAAAAATTAAATGAGATCAAAGATGTCTATGTATGTTGTTGAGCCAATAAAAATTCCCGAAAAAAACATACCCATCTATAACTTTCAGCTCGTATTGCTTTTTTAATAATTCTTCCGTCGTAAAATTCATCTCGAAGACTTTCGATTTCATAATAACCAAACTGATATACTGAAATTTCAAAAAAAAATTTTTGAATTGGACTCTGACACTAAGTTGAGTTTGTCTAATATTTCAAAAAATAATTTTTAAAATAAGATTCAGAAAAATTTTTTTCAAAAAGCTGTAGGTGTTCTGACATTTTGAAAATCAACTCTCTAGATTTATTTTGGAAATTCTCTTGGACTTACTTCCTGTACATTTGAAATTATTTAATTGATTATTCAAAAAATCATCGCTGGAAAAAAATAGATTTCCATTAAATCGTAATTATTTCAAAGCTCACATTTTCTCGTATTTTATTCGATCATATTGAATTTTCGAAATTTGTTGAATAGCAGTTGTATGACTGTGATAACCAGTGAAATCTTTTGAAAAAACAATAAATAGAATCAGTGTTGTGAATAATATAAAAACTGTTAATAATGGTGGAAACATATATTGCATCAACAAATCAAATGGTCTTTCATATTTACAACGATAACGAGTTGTATCACAGCGATATGAAACTGCTTGAACATACCCTAAAACTCATCTATCTCAAATTCTAAATGAGAAGACATCACTTACATTCTTCCAATTCTTGATCATATTTCTTTTTTCTTGTCGTATTATTTGGTTTCAATCCAATTTTTTGCATTTTTCTTCTCAAAGTATTCACTGTTGGTTTTTGTGCTTTATTCTCACTTGATTTTTTCGATTCCTTTGATTCTTTCGATCCTTTTTCTTTTGATCCAGATGATCCTTGTGTCAGACATTCTTCTGGTGATTTTATTGACTTTGCTTGTGAAGTTGCTTTCATTTTTCTATAAAGATCTTTCAAACTATCATCTTGGGTATCCATCTGCAAAAATGTTCTTGTTAAACCTTGAATTTGGTTCAATAAAGTTTTAGACAAAGATTCCAGTTCAGGAAGTCCGAAAATCAAAAATGTTTTGATTTCAATTCAAAACTTCCATATTCTTTTCATACCTCTCTGGCAGCAAATGATTCGTCCGGTTTTTTTCTCAATGATTTTCTTCCTCTCCTTGCCGATTCTCTCGATTCACGATGATAACCCTTCTTTCCTCTGCTTGCCTAAATTTTCAAATTTTTTCTTTGCAGTCAAAAAAAGCAAAACCTACCACTCTTTTCGATTTTCCGCCATCTTTCGAATTTATAATTTTAATAATACTATTTCTTTTTGATCCTTTTATTGGTTCTGCTGATAATGTCTTTTGTTGAATTGTGTTTTCCATCTAAAAAAAATAATTTCAATTTTGGATTTCCAAAAAAATGTATGAAAAATCTCACAGCTTCTTTGGAAAGCGCAGCTTCTTTACTTTTTGATGGAGTTTTCAGATCACTCGCAGGTTTTTGTGTTTTGACTGACATCTAAAAAAAAACAACGATTCTTGTAGAATTTGTAAACCTATGTTACCGTTCCTCCTTTTCCATCTCGATTGCTGTTTTTCTTTTGAACTATCGCTTCAGATGAAAAAGTTCGACTTTTTTCAATCTGAATTTGATTATTATTATTATATTGAATTTGAATTTGAATTTAATTTCACGAACTCACATTTTCTCTTGATGTTGACATTGGTTTATAGGTCGAAGCTTGTTTTTGAGTTTGCAGTGAAGTTGTCTTCAAGAATCCCGATTTAAAAATGTGTAAAGCGAGAAAAATAACTCACAGCTTTTTTCGAAATTGCATCAACCACATTGATTTTCTTTGTTTGCTCACCAGATCCAATCTGTAATTTCATAAGTGAAAACTTTTTTTTGAATATTTTGTTACCTTTTCTTTTGATTTTGAAATTGGTTGAGTCATTGAAAGTTTGCCAGAAGGTTTATCTCCGACACTCGAAGCTGGCAATTCGTCCATTTTTAAAATTGTGAAATAAAACTACCAAAGATATGTTTCACGTGAAAAATATTAATTTAAAAATAACCGAGAAATTGATTTATTTTTTCCACAAAAAATAATAAATTTATGAAATGACAACACTGGCACAACTGTATCCAGTCACATTAACAGCTTGTGGTGCATATTTTTGAGCACATCCCCATTCTTGTTTGTTCATATTTTGTTTCACCAATTTTGTACAGAAAGTATTGGTATATTTGACAGTAATTGCAGCCTTGAGAATTCCGTATCCTTTTTGCATACAAACTTCTTGACGAGATGCAGCCGGAATTGTTGTGTTAGCTTTGCAATTTTTCACAGTGTTTACTATTTTTTTGAGAAGTGGTTTAGCGAGAGCAATTGATGGATCTTTTAATTTTGCTGATAAATCATCAAGGGATTCAGGATCAAGGCAATTGTTGACTGAAATAATTATTGTGATTGTGATATTGAGTCTTATTCACTTACTGTTGTTATAAAGAACAAGTGCAGTAGTTGCTTTATTTCCAGAATTATTGATGATACAACTTTTAGCAGCTTGTTGAATTGCAGTTGCATTTGTTGGAGTTTTATAAAATTGATCTTCACAGCATTTGAAAATCCCTTCCAATTCAGTCGCCGTATAAAATTTCACACCCAGTGTAATGCATTTTTTCGAGAAGACATTTCGATTATCTACTCCAGATTGAACACATTTCAAATATGTGACAACTAAAATGAATACAGTAATCCAATGCATTTGTTGAATTGAATCAAAATGTGTTCGAAATTTTGTTGCCATCCTTTTTATATCCCCAACATTTTTTGTTATTTTTCAAAATTGATGGTTTAATATGGTTTTAAATCTCGAAATCTGTTTTTGTTTTTGTTTGAATTGATCAGTTGATGGATAGGTAGTCTGGCCGAAATTGAAATGATCAAGTTTGATTTGAGTTTTCATGATTACTAATAACATCTCAATTAAGAAAAACAAATATTCTTTTTATATTTTGATGATTGATTATTGGTCATTAATCGAAAAATAGTATAAAGTAGAATAATCCCTTTTAGAGTTCAAATATTGGACATCAAATTCCATTTTTTTTATTGAACAGAACACATGTACAGTAATCTTATAATGGCTCGAATTAATTTTTATTATATTTTCGCCGTTTTTTTACAATCATTCGAACAATGAAATTTGTTTGTCTTGTGATATTATTTCTTGGCGTCGTAAGTTCAAATTCCCAAACAAAAAAGTTTTCTATAAAATTTTTTCCAGACAATGTCTTTGAAATTTTCAACTGAAAATCTCACTTTTCCTCCAATTCTTAACAAAACTATTGGAGAGCAAAAACAACTTGTGAACTATTTTGAAGAATTTGTGAAAACGTGAGTAGAGAATTTGCAGTATATTTTTGGAAACATTTTTCAGATATCAAAAAGAATATAAAGATCAATCAGAATTCCAAAAAAGATTCGAAATATTCTTGAAAAATCATGAAAAAGTCAAAACTCTCAACTTGGAAGCAATTGTGAGAGGGGAAAACACAACATTTTCAATCAACAAATTCAGTGATTTCGAAGCATCTGAAAACAAGGTTTTTCTAAAAAAAAAAATAAAATCTTAATTGAACTGAAATTTTCAGGGCGGACATATGACTGAAGTTGGGTCGAATGCAAGAAATTTGAGCGATGCGGAAGTCGTTAAACAAATTGAGAAAAATTTGGAGCCATAATTAACTTTTGTTTTGTGTGTTTTCATGAATAAATATTTCAACCAAATGTTTTTTTTGAGTATTTTTATATGAGATACTATGAACTTTTCTAAACTAACTTTTGTTTTCTTTGCCTTGAAAAACTTTGGAAAAATCCAATAACTGATTGTGAGCTCTAAAAACTTGAAAATGTCTTATCTGATTTAAAAAAAAAGTTTCTCTTGTAACAAAAATTAGATGCAAATATTTATTCCATTTCCCAAAAAGGTTCAAAATCAATCATAATCATATCTCGATGATTTTTTATTCAAAACCGCAGTTACAGCATCTTTTTCAATATCACACCAATCAATTCCTCGAACAACTCGAATATATCCTTTCTCTCCCCAATCATCATCCCAAGAATTTCTCAAAATCCAATATTTAACAGTTCTTCCACTCGATCGATAACTTGTTCCGAATCCAACAATTGCTCCAGAATGCCAAATTGGTGCTTTTGTTTTATCGCAACCTTGTGATTCAAGAATTCCTGATTCGTAATTTTCAAAATCTTCTCCGACTCGGAAATCTGAAATGTGACATGAATTCAGTTTTTTTTTCTTTTTTTTTAAATAACTTACAAACAGCAACTGGGATATTATGATCTACCAAATGTTCCATAATTTTTTTCTCTGCTCCTCGTTTATTAATACTTTTAGTCTTGAAATCATATTCGTCAAGGTATCTTTTTGTTTTTTTCAATCTACATTGTCCTGTTTTATTTGCTCTTCCATCAACATATGGATAAACAGATTGTGCAGTTTGTCCAAGTTGAGAAGCATATCGAAGACCGTAATGTGGATCACCTCCAACACATCCAGGTGTTTTTCCACTTATTCCACAATCACAGATCTCTTGATCAGACAAACTCTTCAAAAATTTGGAATGAATTATCAAAAGTAAAAGATTTTATCAGAAGTTTGAATATATTTTAAGCCATAGGAACAAACCTAGAACTTTTGTAAAAAGTGTCCACTTCATAAATTAAAGGGAATTTTTTTACAAAAATCAAAGGCTCTCCAAAAATTTCCCAACTTTTCACTCACTCTGTGTTTATAGTTTTTGAGAGTGTATACTGTTTCCGTTAATGCAGTTACTGCGAACGCCCAGCAACATCCACATGATCCTTTAATTGTAAATTTTTTTCATTTATCAGTTTTCAGTTTAAAAAATTTACCTTGATTTTTGATTCGACCAATTAGTGGAGCATCATTAATTGTTGCTTCTCTCAAATCATAGTTTTCTGGAATCGAACTTCGTTTTGACCTGATATTTGTTGAATTGTGAATTTTTGAATAATCCGGTAATTTCTCATTTTCACTTGGTGGAGGAACATGAGACAGCATTCCCTGAATTTTTATAATGTACTTATTTGTTATCAAATTAGATTTTATTTATTATCTCACTTCAAATTCTTCTCTTGTCCAATCTGCAAAATGATTCAAACCAAATGTCACATTTGTTCCAGCCAAACTCGCATTTTGACGAAGTTTTTGAAGTCGGTTGTGTTTTCTTGCGAAATGACCCAATCTTCTTGATTTTTCAGCAGCGCTTGTGTAATTTCTCTGATACCTGAATTCAAAAAGTATATATACAATGCAATTGAGATCAGCCTACTTGATTATAAAATCTTCAAAATCTTTGAGAACTTTTTCTGGGTGATTTCGATCAATTGTGACGTCAAACATTTCTCGTTTTGGAACATTTTTCAATAAAGATCCAGAAACAACACCAAATAATAAAATTACCAAAATCATTGTAATGAACAATTATTTGTTTTGTTGAAAGTTTTATAGTTAGACGGTTCAATTAAAAATTTTATTATTTTTTGCGATTTTTGATGATGAACAGTTTTTAATAGAATGTTTAGAAAAATAGAAAAAACAATTAGGGAAAAATTCGATGGAATAAAAAAACGTGGAATAAAAAAACAGCAGACCATTTGGTCTGCTCGTTTTTTTCGCTCGCTGAACAGCAGACCACTAGCTAAAAAAATTGAAAAACGAAAAATAAGAACGACGTGGCGTGAATTTCTGGTTTCAAAAAAAACAGTTTTGAAATTTTATAATAATGGAAATAGCAACAGATACAAATGTGAACAGTGAAATGAGTGATTTGGTTCGACAAGCTGAAGAATGGGCAATTCGAGATAATTCTTCGAAAAAAGTTGATAATGAAAAATTATCGAATTTGAAACGTATGGAAAATCGTATCTTGACAAAAGCTGCTATTTTGTTATTCGAAAAATATGACATCACTACAGTGGAAAAATATAATGAACTTTTTGGAAACAAAATAATGGAAAAGGAGAAAGAGGCTGTTCGCAAAGAAAATCACGATACTGATATTGTTTTTTCACCATTAGATCGACAAGAATTCGCAAGTATTTTGAAAAGCGGATGGGGAATGGAAAATGTTTCACCAATTAAGGAGCATGAATTTCAGGCTTTTTTGAAAAATGATCACCGTGAAACGATGACATTTACACCAAAACGAAGAAATTCAATTCTATCAAATATTATTCCACTTTCTCCAATTGTATCAGATGAATCATTGACAATCGAGAAACCTGCAAAATTTCGAAAATCGGAGCCCGCTCTACCGATTTTTTCTTCAACTCCAAGACAATCTTCAATTTCATTTAATCGTGCAAATTCATTCCATAATACGCCAAAATACAGCACGGTAGGGAAAATAATATTTGTTTGTAATACTTGCATTTTTCAGCCTGTACGTGTTTTGACAACACCAAATAAGAGAATGACTCCAAAAGCAGGGGAAACTCCACTCGAAAATCGAGCAAGTCGACTCAGAAGATTGAAAATGGAAGAGATGAAGAAATAAAGTAATTTTGAAAAATGAAACTTTCTCTGAAAATTCCATTTTTGATCATTTTGTTGAATCTTTTAATTTTGAAAATTTATTGAAAAAAGAATACCTTGAAAAATGTTTCAATGATAAAAATAGTATTACAAGGGAACCTTTTTTACTTAACACTTCAAATCATGATGAAATTTGGTCCATGGACAGCTTTTGGGGTCATAAGAACACTCTAAAAATTTTAGTCTCCCAATGGACCTCTGAGCCAAGTTCTGGGCTCTCAAAAGTTCGAAAATTGCCAAAATTGGCTCATAAAACACGTCATCGCTCAATTCTCGATCAATTTTATGAAAAACTGAGTAGCAGATGATGATCAGCGTAGTCGATTTACCCAAAAAGCATCAATAAATCAAAATTTCGGAAAAATTTTTGATTTTGGAAAAAAAGAATGAGCAGGGGCACATATGAATTTTCAGCCGAAAAATAAAAAACTTCAGAATTTTTCGAAATAAAGTTTTTTATTGATGTACTTTTAGGTAATCGACTATGCTGATCAATATCTGAAACTTCATTTCTCCCAAAAAAAAATTTTGAAATGGAGCTATGATGACTTTTATGACCAATTTTAGACCTTTTTTGACCTTTTGAGAGCCCAGAGCTTGGCTCAGAGGTCCATTGGGAGACTAAAATTTTTAGGGTGTTCTTATGGTCCCAAAAGCTGTCCATGGACCAAATTTCATCATGATTTGAAGTGTTGAGTAAAAAAGGTTCCCTTGTTAGTGTAGTTGAAACGATTGTTTTTGTTTAGTAAAAAGAGCGTCGTTGAAAATTGGTCGTCAGTTGAAATACTTTCTTATAAGATAAAAACGGTTACTGTAATACACAAAATTCATAGACGATCCATAAAAAGAATGTGCCCATTGTGTCCCATCCACAGAGAATCAGGTGCTTGTTCACATTGGTGTTCATATATCAGATTTTCTTCATTGCATTTCACAAGTTTACGGAAATCGTCCGCAATTTTTCGAAATAAGTTTGGAGTTGCTCGGAATCGAAATATTGTGCGTGAATTATAAGCAGAATAACCTTTTTCAACTGTCTGAAATATTTTTTTTTTGGTTTTTTTTTTGAAAAAAGTTTAACTTACTTTTGAAAAATCTTCTTCACTTGTATAACCAATAATATCTGCATTTGAAACAGCAAATCTTATGTATTGATTGAATTGAGCAGCGGATAAATCAAATTGTGTTCGATATGCTGATAATTGCAGAAATTGACTGAATTCACCGTTTTGAGAACGGCCTACAGCAAGGCTTCGAAATGCGTTTGCATCGATTTTGTAACCAATACCAAGTTCATCTGGATAATGAAGTCTAAAACGAAAATCTATTTAAAACAATTGTCAATTGATGTTTTAAAAAAAACTAACTCAAGAATTTGAATCCTTTTCAAACCACTTGTCCATTTGTTCAAATCAATAATTTCGTTTTGTCGATGTTGAACTCGTAATATATTTAAACGTTTCAATCTTCTCAAGAAAAGTGGAAAGGATGCTGGAACTATTTCATCAAAAATCGCATTGACATTTCGAATATTTTTAGCAAATTTTGATAGTAAATTCATAACCATTGTATCAAAACAATTTTCTCCATTTTTTTCAACAACAATATCAACAGAATGAACTCCTGGTTCTTTGACTAAATCCATTAATTGAGATGGATCTTTCAAATTGAACACATATTTGCATTCTCCATTTTTGCATACATTTCGAATCAGTTCAACTACCATTGAACCATCCGCTTTGCAAATGAAAGTTGTGGGCATTTTTTGAATATTTCTGAAAAAAAATTAGTTCATTTTTTAAATCCAAAAAGGTGAACTCACAAATGAAATTCTGATGTTGAAGAGCATCCTTTACCCAAACACGATTTTCGTCCCGAAAAAAGTTTTGAACTCTGTGTGTAGTTTGGTCCATTGTAAAATCGATCCGAAACATTTGTGCAATTGTACATTCTTGACAAACTGGTGTTTTGGAAAACACTTTCAAATCGAAAAATTTCTTTTGGAATTTCTGCTATTAGGAAATCTGGAAATTTCAAATAATTTTTGTATTTGATATTAAAAGTGAAAAATTGAGAATCAAATTAGAAGTTGACTTTTTAATTCAAAAATTATTTCAACAAAAAACTAACCGTCTCTGTGTGGAGCATTAGAGCAATTCAATAATTTGAATTTAATTTCATGTTCAGAAATTTCAGATCCTTCGACACATGACATCATTCTGAAAAATACTGATGGGGTGATTCAGGTCGAAAAAAAACTAAACAAAAACGTTTTTTTACAAAAAAATTCGATTCAGCAAATGTCAAAAAACTATTTTTTTCTATTTTTCGACATTTTTTTTCATTGAAACATTTTCGCTGCGAGATATCTCTCATTTTTGTGTGGAAAAAAATAGAGTTTTTTGACATTTGCTGAATCGAATTTTTTTGTAAAAAACGTTTTTTTTTTAGTTTTTTTTCGACCGGAATCACCCCATGAGATTGTGAGTAGAAAATAAACTTTCAAAAAAAGAAAATTCTACAGTAATCTGTTGTTGCTATACATTGCTACAAATAAATAGAATGATGAGAAGACAAAATAAAATGTGCTAAAAAATAAAAAAGTGTGAAAAAAGGCAGATTTGCATGGAAGTAAACAAAATAAAAATAACAACAGATGTTTGTAGTAGAATATTGGAAAAAAAAAACAGATAAGGAATTTTGGGAAGTACTCTTGTTTATTACTTGGAAAACTTTGTTTTTGGAATTTTGTTATGCGGTTATTCAATGTCTATTCTCAACGCTGAAAAGGTTGAGAAAACTTATACAGGAAGGTTGAGAAAATAGGATAAGGGTTGAGATAATTTTTTTTTTCAGTTTTCTCAGCGTGTTGAGAAAATCGCTGAAACTATGTATATTTAGGTGATTAATAAGTTAATCAAGATTTTACATTGAAAATTATAAGTGCAAAAATCACAATTCTGTAATTAAAAGCTTGTTTTCTTTGTGATGAAAAATTGTCCTCAATTTTAGTACTCAATATTTTCAAGCTACAGCAAATCAGAAAAAATTATAAAGAAAAATCAGCTGTCAAAAAATTTTTTATCCGCATACATATAGCAAAGTTGTAAGTTAAAAATTCCGTTTTGTATTTTTTTTTTCTTTCTAGACTTGTTCTCCTAATACTTGACCACATTTCAGATAAATAGAAAGATTCAGTTTTCCCTAAAAAAACGAATAAATTTTGAACCCAAATTCATCCTGAAATTTTTGAAATTTATTCCCTATGATTTCAACAAAACTTTAGAAAAATTCAAGTACTGTGAAGTGAAAATCAGAAATTTCATTGTTTGTTTTCAGAACTTCATTTTATTCACCATTTCTTGATATTTTAATCTCTAAATCTCTTATATATTTTCAAATAAGTGCACTTCAATGATCATAAAAATACTTCCCATATCAAAACCAAAGTTGCGACACCAGATGTTCGCACCAAAACAAAAACCACAAACAACCTGACCACGCCCACATTTATGAGCCCACCCCTTTTTTCCATAATTATATCATTCAAACTTTTTACCTGCTTCTTATTTGTGCTCTATTTCTTTTTTAATAGTTTCTATTTTCTAGAAAACTAGAAAGCTACAAAAATGGCAAGTTGCAATTCGGATTCAACACAATTTGAAGACGCCCCAAAGAAAACTAGATGGTTGCCGCATCCGGATGAAAGACAATATGGAAATCCATATATTTATCGTCGACGTGGAATGGAAACACATGATGATGAATGGGATCGAAAAGATGAAGAATGGATGCATTCTGTTGATAAATGCAATTATCGTTATTTTCCATGCAAAGATCACAAAAAAAGTGATATTGATGAATGTACCGAAGACGAGCTCGTATACATTTTGGAACGTGAATATTGTTTACAATCATCTCACGAACATGTCAAGTTGTTCAAGAAAATGTCGAATCGATTTGTAAATCAAAAAGGATTCAAGAAACTTCCAAAAGAACTCAAAACATCTGAACCATTCTTCAATGCTCAAGTCAAAAAATCATTGTGAGTTTTTTTTGTAATATGAGTACTACAGTAATCTTTCAAAATAAGTAGACACCGAATCTATTTTGTAAATAATTGCTTTCAAAAATAGAAATTGGACCATAAAAACGCAATCGGGCCACTTTTTGAACGTTTTAAGTGATCTAGGAAAATTTAAGAAGTTTCAAATTGAAAGCTCCAAAACTTTTTGACAGTTTTTGCCGTAGATCAAACAAACTCTTGTATATCCATCTTTCTTCCGCTGAGTTTTCAAATTATTGTATTTCCAGGCAAACCACAATGGCTCCACTTTTTATTCACTGTTATGGTGAATTTGTCTCTGTTGAATTGACAAAACACACTTGTCAAGAATGCAAATTCAGATTCTTGATGGCTGCTGAAGATTTGCATTATTTCTTGGAACTTCAAAATATTCACACATTGGATATCAAAGTTGCTGCAGATGGACACGATGCTTTGCTGAATGCATTCGGAAAATTGAGCGATGATTGGTGCAAAAATGTCAAATGTACAAATTTGATTTTCGATGAGGAGGTGCTTTTTGATATGAATCATTTTTTGCAAAGATTCGAAAATTTGACAACTCTTCGAATTCAACACAATAGCAAGTTAGCGATAATTGTTGAAGTCATGATTCGTAATTTAACAAAACTTGAAGTTCTTGAGTAAGTTTTTTTCTGAAAACTTTTTATTGCAAATAAAATTTGCTATTTTTCAGTTTGCATTACAACGAACCAAATAAGGCTGGTTATTATTTGAATGGGCAAATTTATTCGTGGATCACACAAAACGGATTTTATGAAAAGTTTGCAATTCCAACTCATATTTGTATTCATTCACTTGTTGCTCCGCATCCAAATGAACCAAATATGTTCTTCTATAGCATATTTGAAGATTTGCATCCAGCTTTTTCCGGATTCAGATATTTCATTTATGACTACAAAACTGAAAAAGTTCGGACATTTGAAATAGCACCAATCAAAAAAAGCGAGGAAATTGTTCGAATTGAAAGACCACAAAGTCCCGATCCACATTTGGAAAGAAAACTGAATTTGTTAACACGTATTCCACAAGTTCATTTTGGACATACAATTGATATTTTCCATTGGTAAATGTTATGAATCTTGAGTTTTTATCTTTTATTTTGTTCTTATTTTGTTCTTTTCATGATATTATTTTTTCAAATAAATTGTCTAGAAAATAATAAGTTTGTTATTTTAAAAAGTTTCAGGAAAAGTTAATGCCTGGGAAATTCCTAAATTTGAACTAGGCTCATCTTTTGAAAATTGTTTGCTGTCAATTGATTAAAAATGAAATATTCGACTTTGTTCTTCAAAATGTGGCAAATGTTTTTGTCACATCGAAAAATACAACTGTTATATTGCTATTGTTTTAATTTTTCGGTATCTCTTAAATGCCAAAGATTATTTATATTTGTGTCGAAAAGAATTTCAAAAAAAAGTTATGAAATCACACCATAGTTTGTATTTAGGAAAAAATAGTCGAGGGTTAATTTCTAGAAATCAAGAATAATAATTCAATTCCCATATACCCTGCCTACGATTGCATCTTTTTGAAGCGGTTTTTGTTTTACACCGGAAAATAAGATTTCAATCGTGATATCTTTTTGACGAATCTATAATTTCAAGGGCAATAATCAAGTATTGTTTTGAATATTTCGAAACCCTGTCTTTTTGTAATTAAAATTGAAACAAAAAAGTTTGAATGCATAAATGTTTATTTGAATTGTAAAAAATAAAAGATGGATGTCTAATGTCTTGAGACAAAGACAGCTGATCTTGGTGGACAGGCACAATAAGCGGCATCTGGTCCTGGAAGTCCTGGTCCTCCTGGAGCTCCTGGTTGTCCGTCTGGTCCAGCATTTCCTGGTTGTCCATCTTGTCCAGCTGGTCCGGCTGGTCCTGGTTGTCCGTCTGATCCTGGAGCTCCATTGTCTCCGTTTGGTCCAGCTGGTCCAGCGTTTCCTGGTGCTCCTGGAGCTCCTGGGGCTCCTTGTCCTCTTTGTCCATCTTGTCCTGGGGCTCCTGGTTGTCCGTCTTGTCCTGGTGCTCCTGGTTGTCCATCATCTCCAGCTGGTCCTGGGGCTCCTGGGGCTCCTGGGGCTCCGGCGTTTCCTGGTTGTCCTGGTTGTCCGTCTGGTCCGGCTGGTCCAGCTGGTCCTGCTGGTCCGGCTTCTCCGGCTGGTCCTTGTGGGCACTTGACGCAGTCTTGTGAGACTGGAGCACAGGTAATTGGAGCATAAGTAGAAGTGTTATCTTCTCCCTTTGGTCCTGGAGCTCCTGGAACTCCTGGTTGTCCAGCTGGTCCTGGTGGTCCTGGTGGTCCTGGTGGGCAAGTTGGTTTGGTTGGCTCGCATTGGCACCATGCTGGAAGTCCAGAGAATGTTTGACGTTTTTGACGGAAGATTGAGTTGAATGGATTGACACGTGGCTTTGATGGTGGGGTTACGGTAATTTGAATATCCATCATTTCAGTCCAAGCTGAATCAGTTTCAACACGGAAAACTGAAACTCCATCGAGAACCTATAATAATTTATTTGATTATTTTTCAAATTATATTTTTTTATTTCAAAATTACCTCATCATGAACTTCATTGATTGTGTTGTAAAGAGATGGAATAACAACAAGGCAAGCAACAACAGCCAAGGTTGAGAAAGCCGAAGCAACTCCAACTAAAACCTTCTCCTCGAACATGACTAAAAGCCAGTATACTTTTTACCGTTAGTCGCCTCGCTTTTATAGTCGAAACATTTTTGACTCCGCCCATCTCACAGCTAGGGGTGCGCATTTCGACGTTTTTTTGTGTTGTTGTTTTGTAGTAAACTGGGCGGATGGAAGGAAAAAAAAAGAAAAATTGATGATAGAAAAAAAAAGAATTGGATATGGCAAGGTATTTCGGTTTTTCGGTATGGCAAAATACAAGGCAGAGATATTTCGGAAGATGCGATCTAGTTTTACGTAATTTCTGATGTTTAAGAGTTGCGTTAAATTAGCATAAATAGATTTTCAAGGAAGAGAAACAATGAACTGATGTTTCCAACTGATCAAAGAAATTTATTTAAACCCGAACTTTGATGTGACACTTGCTGAACTGCCAGTCATTTTTGAAGCTTGAAAAAAACCGAAATGAATCAGAAAATTAAACATCGTGCAGTTTGTATTTTTTCCCAGCTTTTCTTTCCTAATTTTTTCCTGTTTCAAATGCATTTTAATTCTGAGAAACCTTGAATGGTACATTTCCCAGTGTTTCCAAATTCCAAATAGTCCAAGATCTTTTCGCATAACTATAAAAAGTACAACCAACTAATTCAATTAAACCCGTCTACGTATCTCTAGCATTCAAATCAATCAAACTTTTCGAAATTCCTTTTCTTTCTTATGACCTCCAAATATAAACAGTTATTTAGCTGCTATCTTTCTGTCCTTGCCAACAATTGTTTTTGGCTGTCGGTGGACACAGGTAACATAAAACAATTTCAAAAAAAAAATCAAGATACAATTACAGTTACCCTCTCACTATTGGTTGGTCTACTATGTTTTTGTTGTTTACTCGTAAAATTCAAGTTGATCTTGAAAAATTTGATAACAATCAGAACTCAATAAAGTGTTTTCGGTACTTTCTATTAGAAATTGAAGACATTTCTCTTTTACACAGAAAATACAGGTATAACAGCTACTTAATTAATGCATTAATGCATTTTCAAGGTATTCTTCTTCTTTTTCTCACAATAAAAAATAATAGATTACACAACACAAACAAAACAGATAATATGAAGGAATTTTATGAGTCATTGTTGCAAATTAGATCAACAAAAACATTGAAGATGTATTCTTCATTAGGAATTTCTTCAAGTTGGAATTAAAAAATTTTTACGTTCAAAAGGATTCGATCTTGGACGTAGTGAACAAAAAAACATGATCTAACCACTAAATTCAAAACAAACTGGAAATCGCGTGCATAAAACTATGAAAAATTTAATCTACCTATGAAATATTTCATAGTTTGTTTTTCAATAAAATCTGGAAGATGATCCTATACTATCAAGTGTAATTCAAAGCTTCATCTAATCATTTAATCATAGTAATTTACAAACAACTTTCCTTTAACATCAATAGTAATTTTGAATGAAAAACTTTACCCAATATTTTTCAATAAAGCTCTAATCTCACCTGTTAGTTTTGTTCCCCCCCCCCCAAACCTCAAAATAAACTAACTTGAATGGCTCGTTCCGTGAGAATTTGTTGATCTGTTTGAATGTCCTGTCCAACCGAAACATCTTCTTGTTCGGAAACCTGAAACTTCTACATTATTTTTCTCAAAATTTTCGCCTATTCTTAAACTTACATCAGAAAATGACAATTGTGGATTTGATAGGACCGCTGCATTCTGTGACTGTTGCCTCTGAAAAAATAAGAAAATTAATAAATGTACCAAATCGCCCCATTAATAACTTTTTCTGCGTTGAAAAAAATCTAAAAAACCAGAAAAAAGCAAAAAATAAAAATGTATGCAAAAAAATTAAAGAAAAACAACGATACTCCGCGTGCACTTTGTTTAGCGTGTTTATTGCAGGGTAGATGAGAGAGTGTGGGAAATGGAGAGAGGGTTAGAGAGAGACAGAGAGAGAGATATGTTTTTTATTTGAAAAGAAATAATTATTGATTGAACTTTTTTGTTTAAACTGAATCATTTTTCTGGTTTTTTTTCGGCGTAGACAATGTGTGATTTGGTACATTTTTTAATTTTCTTATTTTTTTAGAGACAACAGTCACAGAATGCAGGGATCCCATAAAATCCACAAATGTCATTTTCTAATGTAAGTTTAAGAATAAGCGAAGATTTTGAGAAAAAGAATGTAGAAGTTTCAGGTTTCCGAACAAGAAGATTTTTCGTTTGGACAGGACATTCGAAGATATCAACAACTTTTCACGGAACAGGCCAATCAAGTTAGTTTATTTTGAGGTTTGGGGGGGGAAGCAAAATTAACAGGTGAGATTTGAGCTTCATTGAAAAATATTGGGTAAAGTTTTTCATTCAAAATTACTATTGATGTTAAATGAAAGTTGTTTATAAATTGATATGTTTAAATGATTAGATGAAGCTTTGAATTACACTTGATGGTATAGGATCAGCTTCCAGATTTTATTGAAAAACAAATTATGAAATGTTTCATAGGCAGATTAATTTTTTCATAGTTTTATGCACGCGATTTCCAGTTTGTTTTGAATTTATTTTTTTTCTTTTATAATCTATGTCTCATTAAACTTCACAATTTGTTTTCCCCTGATAATAACAAAAAATCTGAAAAAAAAGTCAGTAAAAATTATACCATATCAATTGAGACCTCCCAATTTTTTTCTGAAAAAAAACCACGAAATTGTTCAGAACTTTTTTCCAGAAATCCAATCTACATCAATTTTTGTAGAAAACATCTGTTAATTCTAGTTTTTAGAAACATTTTGCATGGTTTTCTTCCAATTTTGAACTATATAGTTTTGTGTTTTAAACGTCTTCGAAAGAATCCACTTGAACTATGGTTCACATAAACACTTTCACATGACAAATGTTACAGGATCTACTTATTCCTCCTTCATAATTATAATAAGTTGGGTTGTGTTGACCTGCACTTTTTTATGTATAAATGTTTTGGGAAAAAAACGATAATTGGAAAATGTCATACGTTTCATTTTGAAGTTCTCATTTCTCAAACGAAACGTGGTCAAAATTAGAATAAATTGATCAAAGATTCGAGAATAAGAATAACAAAATAACAACAATCAAATACATATCTATGAATGTATTCTTCCTCAATTGTTGTTTTTATTATTATTATTCATATTTATTAGTATTTTCGGAATCTTGTTTCGCGCATACGCCTTTTACATGTCCTTTTATGATTTATTCATAAGCAACTTTTCAAGTGACCGTTTCAATTGAATTCTTGTAGTTCATTCTGATTTTTTTCGAAATAGAATATTTTCAATTGTTTTCAGACAGGATGTATTTGTTGATTATTCTAATATTTTTTGAGTTGGCTTTTTGTGATTCATCAGCTGTTCGAGTAAGTTTCTTGATTTTCATTCAATTGTGGAATTTATTGTTTATTAGTTCACAAAGTTTCGACGAAGGAATTCAAACGGAATGTTTTTGATGTCACCAAATAATCTGAATCAAGCTAGATATTATGATATTCGAAGAGCTCCAAAGAAAATTATCAAAATTCCAGAAATATGTCAGTGATTATTTTTATCCTTTCCAAAAACAAACTACTTTCTTCAGCGAAAACTCAAGAACCTGTTGCAATATGTGACGGTGATCAAATTGGAATAAAGTTCAATGAATATTTTGGGAACGCTCAAATATTTGCAACACAAAAGAAAAACATCGATGAATGTTCACAACAATTTTGTCTTGGATCAGAACCAAAATTTGTGACAAATATTAATGGACCCTGTGGGGTTGTTAGAAAATATACTGTGAGTTATTTGTTTTTCTGTTTTTAAAAAAATCTTCAAAGCGAAGAATATTTCAGGGCGTTCCATCATCGATGATTATGTATCAGATTCGTCTTATTTTATCATTCAATTCGGTAGAAATCACAGAATCTGATAAAATATTCGATATAACGTGTACTAGTCTGATGAAATCTCAAGAACTCGATACTTCGTATACGATAAAGTCAGAAACAGTTTGAATTTCAAAAATTAAAATCTATATTTTTCAGAAATATCAGTTCTTCTCTATTGTCGAATGTTGAAAATATGGCGCCCAAATGTAAATATTCATTACACGAGGGTAATTTTGATGGTCCGAGAACGACGTCTGCAAAAGTTGGCGATGTAGTTAGTTTTGAAAATATATATTTTCAGGAAAAAATGCTGAGTTTCAGATTTATCATCGTTGGCAATGCATTTCCACTGATTTTCTATTCAAAGTATACAATTGTTTTGTGAATGATGAAAATAACCGAACTTATACAATAATCGATGAAAATGGTTGTTCACTTGATGAAGAAATAATACCAACACCTGAATATAATATGAAATTAGGAATGATTTACACACCATCTAGAGCTTTTCGTTTTGCCAAATCGAATCATGTTCATTTTAAATGTATGGTTGCTTTGTGTCCTAAATATGATCCAGATTGTCAAATGAGTGTGGTTTGTGGAAATTTATGTTGAAATTCATTTGAAGTTAGATATTTTCAGCCACCGAAATGTGGAAAACCGAAAACAACAAAAAAACGAAGACATCTTGAAGAAGATAATGAAAATATGACAATTGAACAACGACTTTTGAGAATTCAAAAATATATGGGAAATGGGAGTATAACTTCGGTTGATAGACATACAAAGAAAACAATTCCACTTTCTGCAGAGCCCATTGAAGTTCTCAAACAAAGTTCAAACTATGGTATGTTATACTTGTATTATTTTCTGATGAGAATAATAGTGTATTTTCAGAAATTTTGAAGTATGAAGGAATTATCTGGAATTATAAAATATGCACTTGGGTGCTGTGTTCTATTAACATATTTCTTGTTTGTTTTTCCATTCTGGTCACATTTCGATTATTCAAAAACAAATATATAATGGATATCAAAGACAAAACCAATACGGTATTCAGGCGGTCGCCTTTTTAATTTATCTCAACTTTTTTTCCGTTGTTGTTTCCCGTAATAATATAATATAATATAATATACGAATTTTGTCTTTTGGGAAAACGCGAAAAAAACTAATCAAGTAAATTGGTTTTTTTTTCGTTTTTTTTTTTTGAAAAGAAACGAGATGAAATGAGAAAATTAGTTCGCGTGTGTGACTTTGGAAGTAAAAACGCATATGAGATGATTGATTAAAAAAAGACTAATGGAACCATCAGAATAAGTATCCAAAGACAGATATAGGAAATTCTAATTAATATTGCCTTTTCCCTTTTTAATTCCGAAATTAAGTATTTTCCGAAGATCAAGAAGTATCTTATTTCACAATCAAGATGCACTTCGGTCGTGATTTTGAAATAAGATATCTCGCGCGCGCATCTTTGCCCTACTCTTTCCTGAAACCCCTTTTCCAATTCATGCAACTCGGGCAAAATTGTGTTTCATAATCTCCAAAAAACATAATTCTGTTCTGCATATCATTTCAATAATAATAACAATGATAATCCAACAATGACGTAGATTGCGCCGCGCATTCAACCGCTGTTTCTCTATTCTGCTGGCCGCGCTGAAATCTGTCCCCATGTGAGCGAGAAATTAGAGAATTTTTGTGATACACAAAAATTTGCATTAACTCCGCCCTCGTTCACTTGGCAACCAAGTGCGAAAATAGTTTTTATATAACTATAAATATTCAAGTTCAGCGGTCTGCAAAAAGAGTACAGGTATCATTTTTGTAATTTTCTCGACTTTCGAAGTGCATACTTATCACGTTTTTGTTAAAAATTCAAATTTTCCAACTCTTATCAACGAATTTTTGACGTATGAAAGTATGCAGCATTTGTGTACAAAGAATATTTAAATTTTTAAATACGAGCAGAGAAATTGAGAAACTTTGATCATTTTTCGAGAAAATAGATCCATACTCATAGATAATGTCTCTCTTCCTCGAGAACCCTTTGACAATTTATGGTATTGCTTTTTCAAAAAGGTTTTGGTTATTTCTGCGCAAACACATTTTTCATGTCAAATTACAGCTTTGTTTGAGATGTCTTATGTTTTTTCCAAAAGATGTGTCACGTTACAAAATGACAGTATTTTAAATAATTGCTAGTTTCTCAGAACAATAATTCATCCTACTGTAAGTATATCTCCTCACATCATTTCTCAAAACTCATCGAGCTCAAATATATGTTTTTATTTTTTGAGTACTACTCGTCTTTTCTTTTCATGTCATAATGCAATTTGTCTGTTTTTTTTCTTTTCTTTTTTGCTGACTTTTTTGGCGCAAATTTTTTTGCTGGCAAAAAAAAGGAAGGAAGGAAGAAGAGAAATGCGTTGAAAAACAATAACATTATTATTATTATTATTATTATTGTTGAGCACCACACCACCCAACGAGTTATTCTACCTACATAGATCTATATTTTTTGTTATGTGAGCGGTGTGAAAAATGGGTATTTGTTATGAATAACGGAGTAGATTTTTCTATTAGTCGTCAATCGGAAAACAATGAAAAATGAGCTGGGTTCCATGAGAATTTCAAATTTGTTACGAATATTTTTTATAGATCAAAACCTTCAGAGAGGAAGTGAATTTTAAAAACGTTCACATGAATTATTAATTTTTTCTGATATATTGCATAACTGACTATGTTTTAAAACCTCATTCACAATGATTATTCGTGACAAATGCAACAATTTATCCGCTGGGTAAACATCAAAACGGACTCTGTGATTTTTTCAACAAAAAACCGCTCATTGTTAGCATTGGCGGGGGTTATATTATTGACCCCGTTGTGTTTATTACAGACGGAACGATGAATTGTTTTTAGTTCATGGTGGCACTGGTGATTAGTTTTTTGTATAGAAAGAAAATAATGCTTCTGAATAGCTTTGTTTTTGACTAGTAGTTGACTGAGAAGAACTATTTTGATTTATAAAAAAATATATTCCATGACCCGAATCCATTTTTAGAAGCACAACTTCTTCTAAGATACTCAAACTACTGTAGAATTTTCGATTAATTTTTTGAACCTCAATTTCAGTTCAATCTTTTCCCGATTAGCCTCAGTGTGCTCCAATTGAGTGTATTTTGTTCCACATGCTTTTTTTCTGCCAAGTCATTAACTACATTCGTTCTTCAACCAAAAAAAAAACAACTTCCTCACATACTTGGTTTCCTTCTTTTTGGACCAATTTTTGTTTGCAACATTTGCCACCACCAAAAAATATATATGTAACATTTTTTGAATCCCAAGTGACTCTCTTCGACTACTTCCCGATATCTTTTGAGTTTTCCTTCCTCACAAACAACTCTCGTCGTTCTTTTCCTCTGTGTACATTTCTCACTATTCCAGTGTTAAGGATAATCCTTGATTACAGTAGTATTCAAAGAAAATCTACTTAGAGCCATTTTTTGGCTGCTTTCAAACACAAATCCGTCATCTACACTACACCATTCATAATATGTATTATAATATGTATGGAAAAAAGGTGTGCCTTCAACTCCTTTTCCTTCTTTTTCTTATTTCTTTCGCAATTCATTACTCTCTCAATTTTCTCCACATCTTTTTCTCTATCTCGTCGAATTGTCGCAATAGAAATAGTATGCGCTGAATGGAGAAAGTTAGAGATACATGTGTGTTTTGACTGCCGGCGCAATGCGCATGAGCGAGCGCACTGCGCTCAAGCTCCTCCCATTTTCTATGTGTGTATGTGTGTGTGTGTGTGTGCGTGAGCGATTTTCCACCATGTTTTTTTCTATGAATGTTACCTATATGTACTTTTTCTAAAACTTTGAAAATTGTTATTGTTGTTAAAGAAATTTTTTTTTAAATGCCGACTCGGGATTCCGAACTAACAACTATTCTCACAAGTTCATTTACTCCACTGCCAGTCGAAAAAAAATTGCCAATTATTTCATGAAAAAACTTCCTCTTCACAGATATAATCCCTAGTGAAACATTTTTTAGTGGCGCCAAAAAAAGAAATGGCAAGCGGTCACAAGTTTACCACATCACGCGTGTAAGGTTTACTTTGTTTGTTGTTTGCCTAGTAGAAGCCTTTCAAATATTTTCACACGGAATTGATTTCTTGAGAAAAATCAAAAATTTTCTTCATACTTTCTTTATGTATACATTTGTTTACAATTTTTAAAGTCTATCCCTCATCGGTTTTTGAACCTTCTCCGAAAATTGCTACACATGACAACTGTGACTACTATGACGAGCGCAGAGTTTCTAAGCAATATTTCTGCGTGTGATTTTCTTCTTTGAAAAAACACTTTACGAAACAAATTTGTCATCGAGAAAAAATAATATGTTCCTCGAAAAAACACATCACTTTTATTTTTTTTTCTTTACTTTATTACATTTTTATCAGTTGTGACAGCGAGTATAATTTAATTTCGCATAGATTAATCTAGTTTTTTTTTTTCAAAATACTTTCACTAGCATTGTTTCACGACTCATACGAACAAAAAGATCCAATTAGTTCCGAAATAAACAGCGAAAATTTGTTTGTTGTGTGAACATCGGATTTTTGTTCTTTCACAAGAAAAAACAAGCAGCTGTCGTTTTCAACTGTTTCGTGTAAGAACATTTACAAAGATCACGTAATCCTTATTTGTTTTCTATTCTATTGTAACCACAAAATTCCTTGTGGAATACTTCCCTAACTATTAAGAAGAAACATTGATTATGAGTTTGTGTTTTGCGGTAACTCCGAATCACTCTTCAAAAAACACTTCCTGTCGTCTCCGAACATATGTTTTTTGATTGAGCACGTGGTTTGGCTCCGCCAAAAACAACCACAAAATTTCGTAACGCAAAAAAAGCTATTTTTGTCGGCGCACTATTCCCTTTTGTTTTGGTTCATTAGCTATTAATTCCATAATTTTTTTGATGTTCGAAATAAGTAGAAGTCGAACATGTTTTCTTCTTATTTTAAAACTACTCCCTTGTGAGTCATATCAATATTTGACAAATGATGACTCAAGTGTTTATAGGAAAAGTTTTTGTTCGAAATTTATTATTTCGATTTGTCAGCAATATTTCTGCCAACGTTCAAAAGTGTTCGTGTTCTCTGCAATCACTGATTTTTTTGCTTTTTTATTGAACGACCTTTTGGTTAAATTGGTTGTCTGTGGCAGAAAACACAATTTAATAATGTTCGCCCTTTTTCAGTTAAAAGGTATTTGATGTAAATGGCAGTTCAGGCAATAATAAACGGGTGAACATAAAAAATTGCAATTCAATTTCCCGTTGGTCTTGCTCGACCAGGCAAACACATACACACAAACACAATCGAATTTTAATTCAACTCTTCGTCTCTGCCTTTCGAACATTTTGCTTGCGACTTCTTCTCTCCATCGTTTTCTTATCATCAGGCTCTTCTTCTGTCGCTTCTGCTTTTTTCTTCTGCCAGCCAGCGAGCGACAGCAAGCGCCATTGCCGCTGCCGCCTCACTTCTCCTCCAGACTCGATAATGCGCCGCGCATTGCGCGCAGATTAATCGTTATTTTGCCGTTGTTGGTTTTCATTTTTTTTTCTATTTCTCTTCTTTTCACAATTGGCTTCTCTCGCGTCTCTTTTCTCTTCACATATACTTATTCATGATGAACATGTTGTTCCTCGTTGTTGTTTTTTTGCGAGGAAGCGGAGAGAGAAGAAAGAACATATTTATCGTTTCGAAAACTTAACAAGCTTATTTTCATATCATTTCCTTTCTGAACGAGAAAAAAATTAGACAAAAAAAGAAAAACGGCATGCATTGTTTTTCTATTTACTTGTTTTGTCTACGGCGAAATTGGTTTTCTTCCGCCGTGTTTTCTCTCGTTTTTTTTCAAAAAAAAAAAACAAATTTCAAAATATCCGAAACATCTTTTTAAGACTAATAAAATTATCATCAAAAGTTAACTTTGCGATTTCGTAATTCCGCGACAAAAAAAATAATTTTTTTTTAAATTGAAAAAAATGAAAAAAAAATAAAAATAAAGGCACACACATTTATTGGAAATGGTCTCACACCGTTCCACGTTTGCCAACCCGCCACAACGTCCACTTCGAAAAAAAAAATGATTTTTTTGCAGTTTCTTTTTTCAGTTCTCATAAAATGTAACTTGATATCGTTCATTTAACTCATCATAAATGCAAATTTTCTTCGCCGGGTTCTTTGGTAATTCAATCGTTTGTTCCCATAACCCTTCAACTATCAAGTTACATTTACAAATTTGGTCTTTATGTTTTTATTCTATGTTTCGCTTGGACTAAAAAAAGTGTTTACAAAACTAGTTTTCCTATACGTGACCCTTAAATATTTGATATCTCACTTGTTATCTCTTCTCTCTTTTCATCATTTCATTTCGCGTTCTTTCGTCAGTTTTGGTATATTTTATCATTCGTCCGCTATTGATTTTTTTGTTGTTTACAGAACCAACACACATTAAAATGGCCGATCAATTGACCGAGGAACAAATCGCCGAATTCAAGGAAGCATTCAGTCTTTTCGATAAAGACGGAGATGGTACCATCACCACAAAAGAATTGGGAACTGTCATGAGATCTCTTGGACAAAATCCAACTGAAGCTGAATTGCAAGATATGATCAACGAAGTTGATGCTGATGGAAACGGAACCATTGATTTCCCAGAATTCCTCACAATGATGGCTAGAAAAATGAAGGACACTGATAGTGAAGAAGAAATTCGTGAAGCCTTCAGAGTCAGTTTTTTTTATGTATTACTTTCTTTCAAAAAAAATTGTGTTGAACATTTTGACACACCATTAAATTATTCATTTCGATGTCAACGAAAATTGCAAATGTCACGAAATGGAGGAATATGAAATTTTGATGACTTACTCGTTTCATTATTTTTCGTTTGATATTTTTCATGAATTTCAACCTCTAAAAATCATGCATTCAAAATGAGAGCGAAAATCAAAAATAAATGAACATTCATTTTTTTTAGGTATTCGACAAAGACGGTAATGGTTTCATCTCAGCGGCCGAACTCCGTCACGTAATGACAAATTTGGGAGAAAAATTGACAGATGAAGAAGTTGATGAGATGATCCGTGAAGCCGATATTGACGGAGATGGACAAGTTAACTATGAAGGTATATATTTCATTTTATTTCTATTAATCAGTCGAACATTATAATCTTCTGATTGATAACATATTTGGAAGAAAAATACGATTTCTAACGAAATTTTTTTTCAGAGTTCGTCACAATGATGACCACCAAGTAAATCATAGCACTTGTTACAATTATAATTATGTTTTTCACTGTGTGCACCAATCGAAAAATCTCCAACTTTAAAATGTTTTCTTTTCCACTAATTTAAATAAACTCTCTCTCCTTTCTGTGTTCTCGTCGTCGTTCGCTATTTTTTCAAAACTTTCCGCGCCCAGCCCTTTCCAAACAAAATACTTCTCTCGACTCCAAAAAAATTCCCAATTCTTAGCAAAAAATGCATAGAATCTCCCACCCAATCCCACCACACCACACGGGCCCTTTCTTTGTTCCCATGTTTCTTCACACCCCCCCCCCCATTTTTCTTCCCACCCACCTACACCAAATTTTGCACCCCCACCCCCATTCACCCAATGCTTCTCCTATCTTATTTTATTTGAAATTCCACCAATATAAAATTATTATTATTTGGCAAAATGAAGATTTACTTATTTATCGACGCTTTTTTTTTGATGGACAGACATTAATTCAAGATTCGCAGAACTTTCGAAAATAAAATGAGAAATTTCAATTGCCATATGTTTTCGTTCTTTCTTCCCACACAAAATACACTTTTAGAATTGAAAAGACTCAATTATTTCTTATGAAATTGAGCAAAAAGACAGTTCAAAAGATGACAGTTAAAAAGAAAAACTTATCAATTGTATAAATCAAAAAATAAAAATGAGTTGAGACCAAAGTGAAAATAGAAAAAATTCGAAAAATTACAAATTTTGAATGCTGTATTTGGCCTTATGCCTTGTAAATCTGGAAAACTTTCCAGTTTTACAAATTTTGACCCAAGAAAACTGATAAAAAAATTGAATACAGTAATCAATATTTTTTGTTGATGTCCCTGTTATTTTTCGTTCAGCTGATGTTTTCTTTTTATTAAAACTACAGAATTTTTCAACATGAAATGAATCTAAGAACTTAGGTGAACCTTCCCTCCAAAATCTTTTAAAAACATACTCAAAAATTTTATAATAACGAAATCAATGATGCAAAAGTTGTTTCTCATTTTTGGATCCCATATCACCAGCCTTTCGTTTAGCCAATTTATTATCAGCATGTTTTCTGTATTCTTCCATAAATAATTCGACAGCAGAATCTCTTTCAATTATACCTTTCTGAAAATAAAAATTTTTTAATTGATAAATATTTTCAAAATACCTGAATAAATAATTCAAGGAGACAGACATGAATAAAAAGAAATTGTAGATGTGATTGGACTGCTTGATATCTCATATTTCTCAATTCTCTTATGATAATAACCATATCAATATCAGATTCTTGTTTCAATCGAATACTTGCATAATCAATTGCAGCAAATGTTGCAGCTCTTCCTGCTCCACTATTACAATGTACTAAAATTGGGGTTTTTGGAGGATTGTGTGATTTAACCCAATTTATTAATTTGATAATATCTTTTGGATTATTTGGTGCTAAATGATCAATCCACCAAGTCACCCAAATATGGTTGATTTCAACTGCTGGTTTTTCACCATCCGCTACACTCAAAATAGAATGTCCAACATTTTCCACAGGTTCTTCACATCTTTTTTGAAATGTAACTTCAAAATTTCCATATTTTTCTTTTTGCCCAATTTCGTCTGGAAAATATTGTGCACATTGTTCTTCGTCTTCCATTAAAGGACATAACATAACAATATATTTTATTTTCTCTTGCAAACACATTGTCCAAAAATCAGAAATTGTATCAGTAAGTGGTCCTTGTGTTAAAATATATGATGTTTGAGAATCAGGAATATGAATCCAAGAAGCATGAATATAATCATTTTGTTGTTTTTTGAGAATAACTCTTGTTGAATCAATACAAAAAACATCACTGAATCTATTCAATGATTGATTTGATTCAAATGCTTTATAAGAAGTACGGGGAGCAACAAATCCTTTTACTCTTTCTTTGTGCAGTTTTGCAAGTTGGGCACATTTCTAAAATAAATGTTGTTTTTCTGAATAAGTGAACACGTTTTGACCTCACCTTTTTCGAAATTTCAGCAGCCCATGTTTTTCTCTGATCTATTTTATCAGTGTTCCTACTTTGTTCCGCAAATCGTTTCGATTTTTGTATATCTTTTGTAATAGTTTCAAGTGAAGTTGATTTTTCTTTCTCTTTATCATTCGACTTCTTCTTCTTGAATTTTTGGGATTTCTTCTGAATTTCCGGCAGATTTTCGGGTTTTTTCTCAACATTTTCTTTTGAACTCGCACGTGTTTTCGAAATAGTCAAAACTGGTTTTCTTGTTGGTTCTGCATTCGAATCAGTCGAAAAAGTTGTTGATAGTTGATCTTTCGTTTTTATTCCTTCTTTTCTTTTTGGTGTTGCTTTTGCTGAGCATATTGTAATTATTTGAAGAAAATTGCATAGTGATACTAAATTTATAAAAATGACGATTTCGATCATTCTAAATATTTTTATTATTCAAAAATGACTCAAAAACTGATATGTTTTGTTGATGAATCATTTGGTTTTTTTTTCAGTTCACGTAAAAAATTCAAATTAAGTATATTGTTAGTTAATTCTGATCATTTTAGTTTCTTTAAAAAAACCCTCCGATAATATAAGTACACATTTATTAAATAATTGTAAATATTTCATAAATGATTTCTAAAACTCTTTGGGTACAAAAAGGAAAATGGAATACCGGTGTATAAATGAAATAGTAAAATGCATGCATATATTAAAAGCACCTGAAACCGGGAAAGACATTTAAAATTGTGAATTTTTTTCAATTGAGAGGAACAGGTGAAGGACAAGATAATCCTGTGTGAACAGTTATTGAAGCATTTCCATTCACAGAAAATGCTGGATAATAAAGACCACGTGGCATATTTCTGAAACATTTTTTTTGAAAATATGTAAATTTTGAGAAATAAGTAAAAAAATCTTACGTGAATGCAACTGCATCTCCTTTATAAATCCGTTTTGTATCATTAACTGTATATTCAAGTGTTCCACGATCACAATCTAATTTCACACCAATAACTGCGCCACGTGTAATTCCTCCATTTATTCGATTATGATGTGTTTCATTATGTAGATACCAAGATCGTTCACTATCAACATACATCGACCAACCATGCAAATCTTTTCCTAACATCATATTTCGATTGACTGCTGGTTGAGCAACTCCAATTACAACATCACAATTTCCTTCATATCGATCAATTGTGATTTCCCAATAATGAACTCCTTTTGAAAATGCAATTGAACCAAGAACTGTTCGATATTCAACAGATGACCCAGATAAAGTTGCACATTCATTTGAAAGTATCATATCTCTTTGAGATGGCGATTTTGTCAGTTGAAACCAAGCAACTGAAATTATTCATTGAAGTTCTCGAAATTTTCTTAATAATTAATCAATTAAACTAACCATGTGCTGTTTGTAAACAAATTGGTTCAGAATATTCACTTTCACCAGCCGAATTATATGTTTTAACTCTTGCTTGATAAACTGTATTAAAATGTAATCCATCGATTGTGCAAATTGTATCTGGCCCAGAATATACTTCTTTGAAATTTCCATCATCTCTTCCAGTATCAATTTCTAATGCAAATCCATCAACAGCTGATCCATCATTTCTTTGTCGCCAAACAATTGTCACTGAATTATTTTCAGCTGAACATTCTGATGTTTCGATGATTGGAGCAGATGGAACTGAAAAAACATGAATTTGATTTGAAAAGTAGATATATGAAATCAGAAATATGTAGGATAGGTGATAGATTTTTGGGGGTGCTTTTGTGCTTCACAATCACGACTACTCAATAACTTAATTAATTGTTACCTCTACTAGCATCTCCTTTTGTTCTTCGATTTCTAGCTAAACATTATTGTTAAGATTTAAAGTTTCAAAAACGTTAAGGCGATGTTGCAGATGAGTTTCTCCTCCGAGGAGAAATGAGGAGAAATGGGACGAAATTCGAAAAATACATTGTTTCGCCTCCACGTGCAACACGTTTCTCCTCTTTCTCCTCAATTAGCCCCGAGGAGAAACTCATCTGCAACATCGCCTAATCTTATAATTAGAAAAAAATCAACTCACCTTTAAGTTGCGCAAAATCCAATGTCTGAATTGTATACTGTAGATGTTTTGTATCCAAATTCAATATAAATTCAGTATCAATTTCAGCTTTTGTTTTCATTTCTTTATGCCAAAGGAATTCCAAACTTGTGCTTCTATTCAATAATGTATTTGATATTTGCATATAAATTGAAGGATCTGGTTCTTTCAAAGCTTCGATACAAAATTGAATGAGAGCTGTTGTTTTTGCAAGTTTTGATGTGCATCGACTAATTTGAGATTTCAAAACTATTTTCTATAAAAAAAAAAAAAAAAAAATTTGTTTTGGTGTTTTTGTAAAAATGAAACAAACCTTATGATCAGCCTGTTCTTCAATATGTCCCATTAGTTTTTCTTTTCTCATTTGAAGTTGTTCAATGAGTTGATCAATTTGAATACAAACTGAAGATTTGAAATCATTGCAATTATTTTTGATAATTTCATGCATTCCTTTCAATCTTCCAATTTCTACATTCGCACATTTTGCTTTTTCGCTGAGTTGTTGAAGTGTTGTGGAAAGTTCGGACTGAAAAATAAATTTTTTAAATCCCCAAATTCAAAAACATGTCATTATTTCTTTCATCAATATATTGCTCATTTTCTTTTGTTTTTCTTTTATTTTCCCCCTTATATATCCATTTAACACCCATCACCAAATACACAAAACTCATTACTCTTCTTCACCTCCTTTCCTCAACGTCTTTCCTCGTATGTTTTCTTCCCCCAAAAGTACATTATCGAATTCATTAATTTTCATGTGCAAATCTATCTAAACATCTGCCCCGGGCCTCTTTTTTTCACACTCTTCTGATACTTTTCCATGAAAATGAGGAAGACTTGAAAAAAATTAGGCTAATTTTCGAAGTGTCGAGGCACTATCGAAATTTCGTTGTTGTGTTTGATGAAGCAACAGGAAGTAGGCTCGGATTTTCCTTTTTTCACACTTCTCGAGCGAAAAAGAAAAGAGAAAAGAGTTTCGAAATTTGGAGAGGATAGCAATAAATTAAATTAGAATGTGGAACATGCTAGACTAATTGAGGGAAAAAGGGCGCCAACAAAGATGGATGAGCTAATTCTAAATTATATATTTTTGAACAAGAATAAGATATATGTCAACTTCGAAAAAAGAAAAAAGTCTCCACAACAAAAAACAACAATTAGAAAGTGTTGCAGTTATCCAGATTCATCAATCAAAAAAAGCATCTTCTTTTTTTGTTGTCTTCTCGATTGTACTACTACACTACAATTTATGAGATGAGATTAGTTTGCGTCCATATATTTGTTTTTTTTTGGTATCTTCCTTACAATAATAATTTGTAACATTACGCATATGACAGAAGCAGTTAATATTACGCAATTGGGAAATAAATATTATTTGTGAAAGGTCTTTAATTATAATTTTCGGGTTACTGTAGATTGTTTCAGAACGCTCAATGTACTGCAAAATTATTTGATGCGAAATATTTGAAATTTCGAGATTATCATTTTACTACTGTACAGTAAACTTCACGGGAAATATGATTATCGAAACACTTTTGAACTTATTTTTTCTATGAGAAACAATTAGCTGATCAACCCCTCAAAGTTCAATAAGAATATCCGAACCCTGGTTTCTTGAAAAAAAATATCCATCATCTCAAACATGAGTAATACTTATAATTAACCTACAGTTGTTTTTTTGTTATGTAACCTCTAAACAAAAAACCCTCTAATTTAGCGCGGCCCGGTACCATTTTGTTTATCCTTCCGTATTTTTCAACGCCTTACTAATCCTTTTCGCTATATTATTATTATTATTATTATACCTCATTACGCAACAACACATCACAGCTGCTCTTTTAATACATTTTTTGTGTATTGGGCTGTTTTTCCCTCGTATGATTTATCTATCATTTTGTGCGAAATTGTGAGTGTAGATGTTCGTGGATGAAATATGAGAATTGCAGTTAGTTATATTTGTAATACACAACTATTCTTTACATATCTCAACTTGTTATTTGATAGTCTATAAATGTGTCTACATATCCTAGTGAATAAGAAGAAAAGAAAATAATAATAGGATATTGATATGGGTATATTGAGTAATATGATAGGCTAACTAACAAATTAAATTTGGCCTCTAATTTTATAGTACTTGAGATGAAGAGATGAATCGAGATTTGAACTTGTTATGGGAAATTGACCCGTATGTTTTTTAATTGAGTCGATAAAAATTTTATATTTTTTGTTACTACATACTAGTATACATTTATTCATGGGTGGTCCAAAAAAGTTGTTGTTTTTGTTGCCGTCTTCTTAAGATTGATGGAAAGCACTTTAATAGCAAATTGACATGTCGTGCTTTTTTCCCCTGAAGCGAAGAAAAAACAAATAAATAAAAAAATATGCATATGTGTATGTGTATAGTAGTAATTCTCACGAGGTTATGCAACAAAGTTTTTTTTGGTTGGTACGTTCTGATAACCTAACAAAAATTGACATGATTAGGAGTCAAATTTGTTTTGTCTCTCAATCTGTTATGACTGAGTGACCCCGATTAGACTTATTATTATATAATAATTGCACAGAAAAAGTGATCAATCAATTTTGAAAAGCACACACACACTTTTCATTCTCATATTTCAACCGAAAATCTGGGGTAGTTAGTTGTAAATTTGAGACTAATCGATCAAAGTCACAAATGTGTTGTGTTTCCCATAAATCTTTTTCAATTTCACACTTTTTGGAGACGAGAGAAGAGCTGGGGGAGGAGAAGAAAAAGAATAATTAGGTATTTGGCGCTGGCTTTGGCGCCAAAAAGCGTCAAATGTCAAACCAAATAAACTTTCTGTCATTTTGCTTGTCAAGAATGATGAGACCCAAGGGGATATAGGGAATATTGTGATTTTCAATGAGCAGGAGAATTCAGGTCTTCGGAATAAAATGTTTTCGAAAACTTTGGAAGTTATATGAATCTAACTGGAATGAACTGAAGAATGATAGTAAAAAATTGGTATAAAAAACTGAAACAGGCTTTATCTGAAAATAACCGACGATTTCTGAAAACCAAAAACAAGTTTGTAGCATCAAAATTTTAAAAACAATTTCTTGATATAAACTTGTTTGTTTTCCGAATCTAGAATGTTTCCCCGATACATCCGACAAGATAAGTTTATTCGATTAACACCTTCTTCTCAAATACAACACATGTTATGCTAGTTACACATCGTAAATGTGTCGTCTTGGCGGGTTCTTTTATGTTTATTGCTCATTTGTCGGGTCACCAATACCACCACCACCATCCAATACTTTCACCACTAAATTGATATGTGATAGTTTTATTGTTCTATGTTCAGGTCAACAGAGCATATAAGATATAATGAAATTGAAAAGTCGACGTTTTTGAAGCGAAATTCCAATTTTTAGGAATATTCATTACTTTTCCCTATGTTTTGTAATGGTTTTATGAAATTAGGAAAACATATATGAGAAAACAGTACAAAACTATGTTTTTCCAAAAATATGTAATGAAATTTATGAATTAGAATAAAATTTGCAGTTTATTCTACATTTCTACTGATTCTGTCCTTTGTAGCGAATTGAGCCGAGGCGAAAATTGTTACATTGTATTTTTTTTAACAAAAAACGTGAAAATTTTTATTGAAAAAAATTAAAAATGTAATGAATTTAGCTCGAGTCGAAATCGTTACAATCCATATTTCCTTGTTATAGTTGAGTTTATTAACGGCAGAGTAGAGATCGATTTGAGAATCTTCATAAAAGTCGTTTTGGAGACGGATTGTAAATCAAATTTCATTGCCGATCGATCTTTGGCTATTTTTTCTAAACGGAAGTTGATGAATTTCCTCGAACAACTGAGAAAACTGAAATTATACTGTGTTAATCTTTGTTTCATAAAATGGAACTCACCGATGTGCATTTTTGTAACCGTACTCCGAAAGATTACCGAAGTGAAATCTTTACAGAACACCATTGCCTTTTTCGGTTGGAATAAAAAAATTTGAAATGAGAAATTCCACATTTCACGTTAAAATAATTTTTGTTTGTTTTTATTATTTATTTTTACGTGTTTCGTTGGAATTTTGTCATTTCTCGTTTCAGAAAATGTGCCAAATGGATCAGTTTTTGGTGAGTTTTATCAAACCACATCTTGAAGGTGAATTCATCTTGTTTACTTCAGAAATTTGGGATAAGATGATGTGATAACATGTGGAATCGTGTTCAATGCTGCAATCAACAAATATTTAACAAGTTCCCAAATCGAAAATGATGGATTTCGATAACATTGATTGAATAATTCTCTTTCCAATAAAAATATGCTATGTTCTTTTCTTTTTGTACAACTGTTGCGATTAATTCACGATTGCGGTTTTTTCAATTTTTGTGAAAAAACCAGACAAAAAACAAGAAAAAACAAAAAAAAATAAAAATGTAACGATTTTCGCCTCGGACAAAATTATTACATTTTATATTTTGGGAAATAATAAAACAAAAATAAACAAAATTGTAACGAATTTCGCTCTGGATGAAATCGTTACAACCTGAAACGGCAATTTTTAATTTGATGCAGATTTGTCGAGAAAATAATAACATCAGCCATATTTTTGTGAAAAATGTTTGCATTTATCCGGAGAAATTTTGCATTAAAATTATCTTGAACATTGTGAATATTGTTGCAAATTTCTTTCGTTTTTGTAAAATCAATTCAAAAACGTCGACTTTTCAATTTTGCTATATCTTATATAAAAAACAATTGTTTCTCCATCAAATTTTCTAACTGACACAGTTCGAATTATATTAAATTTTAAAGGTCAAAACGAGGCATACCGCCACCTATTTTTAATTGGTTTGATGACAAATGATGGGCGGTAAATTAACGCGAAACGGTTTTTGGCGTTGAAAAGTCAAAACAAACTCGAATAAATAAATAAATAAAAATGGGAGACTCACCTTGTGAGATTTGCATGCGATTGAAAGCGGTTGAACGTCGTGATTTGAGTGACGAATGTCCTGAAATTCAATGAATTTTGAAGGTTGCCTTTTTCCCGATCCCTTCTTTGAAAAGAATAACATTTGTTTATCGAAAAAAAAATAAATTGACAAGTTTCACACGCTTGAGCTTTTCATATGGAAATTTGGTTCAAAAAGAAAAAAGAAAGACACTTTGGCGCCTAAAATACGTTTCAGACATATTGGTGCCATCAAAAAGGAATATGAAATTTGTTACTAACCTGTAGGCATCTTGAACATACTGCGACTTTGCATGCTAAACAATATAAAGTAAGTCCTTCATTTGGATGAGCGATACACCGTAATCCTCCGTTATTTGTTGAATTCAGGTTTTCCGAAATCGTTGATCGTCTTAAAAATGAATAATTATTTTTGAAAAGTACAAAATAATGAATATTTAATCCGACTCACTTTCTTGTTGCAGTTTGTAGATTATGTTTTGCTAATGGACCACGTGCTGGATGTAAAGCTGTTTGACACGGTGTACAGTAATAAATATCACATTGTTCACAATAAACATTTGCTGATCTACCACCAACACCTTCACACAATTGACATTGCGGAGTGTCGTTTGATGAATCTTCTTGTGGTTCATTTGATTTACTTGGAATCAAATTCGGGTGAGAAGCTAGATATCGATTAATAACATTTTGCATAGCAAGATTTGTTGGAGCATTTGCGATTGCATTTTCATCACAAAAATATGAACTTTTTTGACAACTTCCACAAACTAATTGAACACCACTTGTAGAGGGAGAAAGTATATTATGAAGTCTTGAAGGAGGTGGTCCAACTATTGAAGAGGGTCGACTTGTTCTTCCACATCCAACAACCCCAGAATCCGTTTCAGAAACAACTGATAATTTATCACTTTCATGATCGCAAATTGAGGCGGTATCGGATGAACCTATAATTATTATTATAGTTTTATTTGGTGATTGTATATTCATAATGTTATTCCCATTCACAAAATGTTTTTTCGCCGCGTTGTTTTTTAACACAGGATTTTTTCGGGGCTATTAAACGGCTCTTGTGGGAAACTGGCGATTTTATAGGTTTATTATTATAATTTTTGTTTTGAATTGGCGATTTTTATAGCGAAATGACCATTATCATATAGTTTTTTTTCTGGTTTATTCAAAAAAAAAATTTTCTACCAATTGATCAAAGTCAAGTCGGTTAGCACAAAAAAAAAACGCTAGTTATATAATAATTGGATTAGACCATATGTGCACTTACCACTGCTTGTACTCTGTGGCGATAGAATTTGGGTGAGAATTGGTGTTGGTGTGGGTGAAGATGTTGAAGGTTGATGCGCCTGAAAATTCATATTTTGAATTTAATTCCTATTTTTTTTCAGAAAAAAATATTCGAAATATAACAAAACTCACTTTCAAGGCACACAATCGACAAAAACTGTGACCACAATTCAAAATAATTGGATCATCGAAAAATCGAACACATTGGGTACATTTCAACTCTTCCTCCATGTTTCTGAAAAAAAATTATATACATAAAAATTAAAATCGATTTTGTCATAAATAGCAAGAAAAACGAGAAGACAACACAAAAAAAATAACAGCAAATGGGCGTGGTTTGAAGATTTTTGGAGACGGGTGGTCTACGGGAAAATGGGCGGGGCTTGTTTAGGAAAAAAGAGGATTTTAGGAGAAAACAATGTTTTGAGATCAAAAATAAATAAGAAAAAATATTTTTAAAAAATTTGCACATGAGCTCAAAAAAAACAATTTAAGTATCATTTTTAATATTTCTTCCGCCTACAAAAATCCTTTCAAATACTTAAAAGTAATAACTTTTCACATTCTTTCAATAAAAAAGTATAATGTCTTTCGCTTAAAATAATAATAATAATCGAGAACGATGAAGAAGAGAAAGAAAAATGAAAGAAGCAAAAAAAAACAGACGGATGGTCCGAAAAATAAATGAAAAATAAAGAGATTTTTGCAAGAAAAAGACCAGGAGACGAAAAAATGATGAGCTCACAACGATGAAAATTATTAAACAAAAAATCTCAAATTTCTTTGAAACTTTCTCTGTTTGTGTCAAAAGAAGGAAGTCAGTATATATCGCAATAATAATAATAATGAATAAATATATACGTATGTCAAAAATATAAATAAACAATACCTAATCCCCCCCCCCACTTTTCTACGTTTTCTCACCCAAAAAAAGAAACAGAAATAAATAAGATGTCGGTCCGAAGTACTATAATTAAAGGAATGAAAGTATACTTTTAATATGGTCTTCTAATGAAATAATAGCCGCTGTTAGAAAAGGTGGGAAACCCAAAAAGAAAAAGAGAAAAAGAATACTGTATTTTGGAAACAATAGAAAATAGCATACATGGACAAGGGTTATTTAGCAAGAGAACTAGAATACTGTAGATATATTACTAGAATAAGATGAGATGCGGAAAAATCAATTTGAAAAATGTTCAATGCCACACCCTCAAAAACAACAAAACACGAGATTTATCTAAAAGACAAAAGGAAGAGGAAAGTTGCGAACACCTTTTTTTCATTTCATTTTTCTTCAACTTATTTTTTGAATAGAAATGTTTGGAATTCATTCTCAAGAAAACTCATCTCGTGAGAGAAATATAAATTTTTCTAACAAGGGAACATTTTTGAAATCACTTAAAAATTGATGAAAATTTCAGAGCAGCGGTTATGAAAATTACAGTTTAGCTTTTTTCAATTGGATCAGGTCTCATTCATTTTTTGTGGTTCGGATTTCTATTTTAAAAAAAGTGACCATCCTGGTACAATTCAAAAAAATTTTATCGAGAAATTGAAAAGTCTACAGTAATCTTATCCCAACAAAAATCGCAAGTTTTAAGGATCCGAACAATGACCCATCATCAACAACGATAATGACAGAAAAAAACGCGAATGCTAATAAATCGAAACAAATTGGCCCAAAAAGTGTGAGAAACATCGCCAAAAAATCAACAAATCATCAACTTTTATGATGCGTTCTTTTTCTTTCTTTTTTCTTTCTCAATTTCGTTTGGGTGAAAAAAGACCACACAGAAAAAAGAACAACGAATTAAAAGTAGACCAAAAAAATCATGTGTAAAAAATAAAAAGGATGAAGATTAACTACTGGTTATTATACTATGTCAGATTGCGCATATCATATTTGTATGTGTGTATTTTTTTTGGTTATAAAATAATACTATAATGGTTATTATGTGATGTGTTATTTTTATTTTATTTATTCATATCACATTTTAAATTTACAATAAATTGGAAGAAAGAAGAAGATACATCTTTAAGCCAAAATAAATATTTAAACAAAAAAAAAAAAAGAAGGAGGTTGGAAAATTTAAGATGAGAAGATTGCTGTTATTGCTATTAAACTGCACGGAAATATGGTGGTCTGCCATGCGACACATAAATTTTATAACCTACAGTACTGGAACCTATCATAAATATTATTTTACTAATTAGAAATATAATAAAGACCAGAGAAAAACTAAAAAAAATAAGATTTGTAAAAGAATGTAAACGAGTTTGTGGAATTTTCAGTGATTTATTGGTTTTCGGGGGAAAGAAATGGTGTTAGCGAGATTTATTTTAAACTACACTTATGTTAGCCAAATTTTCAGTTTTCAACTTTACAAATTAGAATCGAACAAAAAATATAGAGAATGAACGGAATACTAATTGAATTCTCGAAAAAGGTCATTCTACAAATTAATAAAATCACGAACATAGAACGAATCCCAGAAATAATTGGAGATATACATTTTATTTTTGGTTAGTTAGTTTTGACCAGGTGAAAAATGATTTTGACCAATGCCAGGTAAATAATAATATATTTTCTCTTCGTTTTGAAATATTGGAAAAGGAAGGAAGAAGCACTTTGGGGTAAGGGTTGAGAAGGAAGAAAAAAGAGATAATTATAGTCATAAATCGGGAAATGGACGAAATATGGATTTTCTCGAGAGAAAAAGGACAACCTGATATTATTTTGAAATATTTTAAAATTCAGTTTGAACACCCAAAGGTAACATGAAACTCATTTGAAATTCAAAACTTTTGGAATATCTAATTGGATATTTCCAAGATTTATTCTGATATTCGAAAGAGTAATTTGAGAAATATTTTGCAATTTTTATTTGCAAAATTTTCAAAATGAAAAAAAATATCCAGAAAAGAAAAAAAAAACATAAATATTTTCAGAAAAACCACAAAAAAAATATTTTCGTGAAAACGAATACTCAACTAATTGACTGAAAAGCAAGCAAAATGCTCAATGAATAATTCAAATTTTTAGTACGAACAAGAAATTCTGGTTTTTATTTCTTCTGAAAAAAAGAGCGGCGGGAAAAAAACAGGAAAGAGGATAATCTTCGGAAATCCAATTATAATTAAAAAGTGCGTCGAAAAAGAGGAGAATATCCCATGGGAATTTTTTGGGCGAGGAGGTGGAAGGCTAGAAAACAATGGGTAAACAATATAATTTGGATGATTGGATTTTTAAAATATTGTTGAGTTTTGAGGGTTCGTTAAAAAGCATAATACTTATTTCAGTGAAATTTAGGATCAATCAGGAGAGCTGGATCGAATTCTAGAACGCTTAAATTGGGCCGATCTCTTTTCAAAAAATAGTAATTACCCTTAACTACAGTACCCTGTTGTCTGGCTAATTTTTTGAGTAAAATTATTGAAATTGAATTTTTCCACGTACTACCGTATTCTTTCGATGAAGGGCGCAAAATCAGACATTCAAAAAATAGTAAAATTCCTCAGGGGAGATTCAGAAACTTTAGAAATTTCAAAAATTCAGGAAAACATGAAAAATAAATGAAAATCGTGGAGCATGTTTTAATAGAAAAAAAACGTACATAAATATATTTCGGAAGACGAAGAACATGAAAAGAACAGAACATAAGCTCGAGAAAAAAGAACACCAACTTTCTCTTTTCTCATCCAAAAAAATGTCAACGGCGGCCGGAAAAAAGGTATCCATGTTGTATACGAGAAACAAACTGACACAACAAATAAAAAAATATTTTGAGAAAAAAATGAGAAGAAGAAGAAGAAGAAGAAGAAGAATGTAATGGACCTGCTGAAACATTTGAACAACTGTTGATTGAGCCAAAAAACAAATGAAGATGCAAAAAAATCATGAGATATCCATCTATTTTGCTTGGAAGAATGTCAATATTATTTTAGTTTGGAAGAAAGAAGATGTCAAAGATTAATTCGAAAGAAAAATGATTATTTTTCTAGAAAATAAAACTCGGAGCTCAAATTTCGGATATTACGTAATGAAATATAAGATATAGGTTTCCTTCAAAAAAAAACCCGAAAAATATAAACAAAAATTGGACCGAGAGACCGACAAAGAGGGAAATAGATATAGATAGTTTAGTTTGATGGGATGAGGACGCAGATGTTTTTGATCACCCACTGAGAAGAAGAAGAAGAAGGAATTCCGATTGAATTCACACCTTATTGAGTAATAGAAATGATTGATGTGAAATGAATCATGGATTGAGAACATCTGACTCATGAGAAAATAATATGATCCGAGATTTGGGAATCTGAAAGAGAGGTTCGATATTCTCAAAGAAAAAAGTACAACATGGTAGAAGTTCAAAGTAGAGGAAATTCAAGATCTCAATTTGACGATCAAAAAGCCTTGTCATCTAAATGCGTATCTACAAAATTCTCCACTATTTTCAGATTATGTTTTATACCCAATAAAAAACATACTCGAAAAAGCAAAACCTCATAAAATCTGACAATAGAAAATGCTCGTAAAAATTTTAGGGACCATAAAACTTAACAGGTTCATGCGTTTTGCATTGATATTCCCTTTCTAAATGCAAAAAAAATATCATCAGGAAATTTTCCCAAACGTTTTTTTTTCAAACAATGCAAAACTCCTTTTGTATTCCAGATGAATGGGAAACAAGACTACTAATCAGAGAAAAATAGAAGAAAAAGAAGACAGGTGCAAAAGTGGATTACTGTAGGTTTTGGGAATTCAAGAGTTTGAAAAAAACAATTGTTATAGGAAGAGATAAGGAGGGAAAATTCGATTAGACGAAAAGGGTAGTAGAATAAGTCCGTTGGGATTTACGCAAACAAAATTGGATTTTTCTCCGTTTTTTGTGGAAATTGGAATCAAGGATTTATTACGGAAGAATTTAAAGGAAGAACGATCTCAAAAAAAAAACGAGGAAAAAATGGAAATAAGAATAGAAATAGAAAAAAAACGAGAAAAAGTCACTATTTCGTCTCATTTCTCATTGATAGAATCGTCAATTATTCATTTTCAGCAACAATTGTTGTGTCCACTTGTGTTTTTTTGTGCATCAAGAAATATTTCAGGGCAATTCAAAAGCTATCACTATGACGACTCTGGGAAAAGGAAGAAGCAGAAAAACTAATATAGCTCTAGAAAAATTCTGGAAAAAATAAAATGAAATGAAATTTTCTGAGTTGGGAATCTCGGAGCATCCAAACATTAATTTGCATCTGCGCAGAGTTCGACGAGACAACAAAACAGTGTGAAAAGTGAGGAGAGACAGAGAAAAGGGAACATATGAAATTGTGACACAAAAAAGTTGTGGCGATGATTTGTGGCAGGTTGTAAGAATTGGAAACTTTTGGAATTTTTGAAAGATGTGTGGGAAAAATTAATATATTTTGTATATTTGTTCCAAAATGAAGGGTTTCAGAAAAATCCATTGATAAAAACTGAAACTGTTTATTTCCGTACAAATTCAACTTTTTCTGGATCTAAATTTAGAAGTTACAGTAACATTTTTATAGGTAATAAAATTATCTCATGCGGTAAAAATCGTCTAATATAGCCATCAAAAACTATTATCAAAAGGTCAAATCTTGCAAAGATTTGACACCTGATATTTCTATTTCTATTTCACATAAGTATAATTAACTGGGGAAAAACACCAAGGAGGGAAAAATATATTGCATGAGAATGAGAATGAGAAAAATCTGAAAAACCAAAACCAATAAAAGCCATTTCCATGAGAGAGAAAAGGCAGAAGTCATTTAAAGTTTTTCAGATGTGCTTAATGGCTCGAGGACACATGACATCTAAATTATATGTGTATTTATTTATAGTATACATATATCCTAGTTGTTGTATAGTACTAAAATACATATTTTCTGAAGAGATTTCACACCAAATTACGAAATAAGTCATTTGTTTTTGAATGAATATTGAGTTTCGAAATACATTTCTATTCAGAGCTCATGAATAAACGAACATTCCAAAAATATTATAATCTAATAAACTGATAAAGTATCTAACAACATTAAAATGTCAATAAATAGTGTGTTAAATAAATATTTTGCTAATAAAGGCACGCTTATTGAGGAAAAATAACGAAACGAGTTGGAAATAAGAAAAATGAAGGTAATCAAAATATTGACCGGATTTAACAGCAAACTTCTTAAATGGGGACGAAAAGTTGGGATCGAGAAAAACAATGAAGAACGAACTGAGTTGAGAAACAGAAAATGCGGAAATTAGAAACTTTTTCAGACCGAAATTTTCAGAGAAAAAGCGACAATTTAACGAATTAATCAATTTCTATGTGTTCAAATCGGATAAATTTGAAAAACTGCTTCGTTTCAGAATTTCTCAAAATGAAAAACATAGAAGAATATGTCTTAGACCTACAGAATTTCAGACTGTCCGAAAAAAATAAATCACGAAATTTTAAAACTATACAAATTATTTTGCACTGGAGTTCTGGAGTTCCTACGGTATTTCCTAACAGAATATAACTAAAGAAAACTCGAGCCACCGTAACCTACAGTAAATAAAATATAAAAGAAACTCACGATCATTCCTCGAATCCCTGCCAGTTTCAATTTTGAAAATATGAGGAAATGAATGAAAGCAAAGTATCGAATTGATGAAGCTGTAAAAAAAGGGTCACGTAATTATTGTATTTTCAAAAATATTATTTTTTTTTGTTTTGAATAAAAAACAAGATTTTAGGAAGACGCAGAGAAAAATATTGCAATTCGCCGCGAAACTCAAATACATTTTGCAGATCAAAAATTTCTCAAACTCGAAAAATCTATTTATTGGCTCATCACTTTCATTTTATTCATAAATAAACGAAACGAAATGAAAATCGAATTAACCTTGGAAAAAACACCAATAATAGGTGTTTTTCGTCCAATTAATAATACAACTTATCTTCAAATCTGAACATGTGTTTGATTTAAATTGTCCATGGCAAATATTAATGTGATAAATAAGATTCGCGAAATTTTTCAAAAGAAAAAAATAGAAAAAGTTAAATGCTCCAAAAATGAAGGTCGAGTGTAATCTTTTCGGTTTCTTGCTAATTTTCTACTCTCTAATTAGTAATCTCTTTATGTGTCACTTACTTGAAAATGACATATGGCCGAACCACTTCTTCTTTCTTTTTTTCCTCCGACTGAGCTGCTTAATTCAATTAGTACAATATATAACTAAGTGAGTGTAGAACATGAATCAGGGAAAGCACAAAAAATATTCAGAGTAACCCAAAAAAATCTTGATTTATTTCAGAAAGCAAATATAAAAATTATATTCTCGTTTTGATATTATACACAACAACATCATACGGGTTTATCATATCAATAAAGGAAAGGGGGACCTCTTTTTACACAACTTGCATTTCGCTTCTCACAATAATTCAAATAAAATAAAAAAAGAACCAAATGTGTACACAATTAGAAAAAAAGGAGATAGAAAAAGTGAAGAAAACTCATATGAATAAGAAAAATATAGTAAATAAGTTAAATTGGCTACTATTCAAAAAAACACATGAAAATGATGAAGGTTGGCGTTTTAGAATAGAATGGTTGGAGGGAAGAAATATCACAAAAGAGGGGTTTGTTTGTATATTCGCGGATGGTGATTGATTTAATGAATTATAAAATTCAAGTCGATATTTAACAACATCCACCACTTTTCTTATCTTGAACTGGTTGTGATCCAGTAATTCGAACACCTGGAGCACCACCTGCTCCTTGAACTGGTCCCATTCGTGATTTGATTTCGGCTGCCATTGTCAAGAAAGCCTGAAAAAATAAATGTATCTTTTTGGGTTCCTGAACTATCATCATCAGCTGATTTTATTGAATAGGAATGAATTATCAATCATGTTTGATAAGACCCTTGTTTATTTTCCAATGGATGAGAACTTTGAACGATAAAAACGATGTTGCCATAATTTTCGTTAAGATTTCATCGAGATAATTAACTCAATCAAACGAGTATGACTGTGAAATTTTGGTAAGCTAATTCTAAAAAAAAATAAAATTCTTCTCAACTTCGGAACGATAGAACTGGTTTTGAAATAACCAAATAAAAAATTCAACTCTGATTCGAAATTTAATTTATGTACACTGTGAAACCAGTTTCGAATAACGAAAGTGCGTCATGAAAAAAGGTTTGCATTTTTAATAAAACTTCAAAAACTAACCTGTTCAACGTTAGTCGATGATTTAGCAGAAGTTTCAAGGAATGGAATGGCGAGTTGAGTGGCATATTCCTGAAAAAAATAGTTTATATTCATTTTGATTAAAGAAAAAAACGATATTTACCTGAGCAGCTTGTGTTTCAACAGCACGTTTTGCCGTCAAATCGCATTTGTTTCCAACTAACAATTTGTTGACATTTTCACATGCATACCTATCGATTTCTTGCAACCATTGTTTAACATTGTTGAATGTTTCCTAAAATAGAACATTTTAATTAATTTTTCGATTGACGTATTTTTCTAGAAAACGGACATTGTTGTTTGACAAAATATTTTTGGTCTTCGAATACAATTATTTTCTCAGTAAAAAATAACCAAGTAGAAGCACTCTTAACTAAGCTAATAAGAACTTCAAATTTTATTTTTTATATCCTTTTTTATAAATCAATTTTCTCGGCAAAAAATTAACAAATCTTACGGAAAAGATGAAACAATCTGATTAGAAAAAACTGGGTTAAATTCGAGATTATAATCCAAGAAAATGTTTCCGACTTTCCATCACACATTTTTCAAATATGAGGTTTTTCTATTTGAAAACCTCCATAAACTTACTTGATCAGTGATATCATAAACAACAATAATACCATGAGCACCTCTATAATAACTCGATGTGATTGTACGGAAACGTTCCTGTCCAGCAGTATCCCACTGAAAAATTAAATCTTGCTAATTGACTGATGTGGAAAAAAACTTACAATTTGAAGTTTGATGGTTTTTCCGTCAAGCTCGATTGTTCGAATTTTCTGAAAAAAATTGGAAATTTAAAAACACGGACAATGGAGCAAATTTTTCGAACAAAAATTCAGAATCATTTACATTTTCCAGTTTTTGATCGTAATTTGTTTTTTAACGACATTTTTCTTAAAACATGACTGGTTTTTTTTAATTTGACTAGTGAAAATACACGTTCAAAGAATTGAAATCAGTGGTTATCAAGAATTCAGGCTATTGTCGTCTTTTGGCAGATGTTTTTTGTTTAAAAAACTCACGAAATCCACTCCAATTGTGGAAATGTATGATTCGGTATAAGTGTCATCGGCAAAACGAAGAAGCAAACATGATTTTCCAACACCAGAGTCACCGATGAGGAGAAGTTTGAACAAATAATCGCTGAAAAAATAGTCTTATCTTCGGAAAATTTGGCTTTGAAAATAAACTCACTATTCTGGATTCATTGCAGCCATTTTGTGTTGATAAATAAACGACTATCGGTAGAAACCCTGAAAAGTAAAGAATGAGTTGCAGTATTTAGATTATGAGCACTGAGTGTAAGCTGATAAGGAATATTTCATAACGGACAATAAATTATGAAATTGAGACGATTTGTTATTTTCATATCAAAATGTTTGATGATTTGGCAACGGATTGAGTTACGTATACATTTATGAGAAAAATCGATATTCGTAATTTTTAAACAAAATGTTATGAGAATACTAATATTGATATATGAAAACCTGTTTGTAATTCGACTAGAAAAAATAATCTGACAGTTTTCGGCTGACAATGAGTCATCAGTTTTCTATCGATTTTTACTTTTAAAATTCATTAAATCTCTATAATTCGAGGGAATGCCTGCAGTACTCTCAGGAAATCTAAAATGCTTTGTGAGAAAACAGATAACCTGGTGAGTTTTGAAATGATAAGCATCTATTTTCAACTGGAACACGTCAAAATTGCGAAACACTTCAAAACTTTGATTTACCAACGATTTCTGTCAGATTTCGATGAAATTTGAATGTAAATCTAGCCAAAAAGACTTATAGAATCAGAAAATGATGAATTTCTGCCATAAAACATTCAAAATTATCAAAAAACATGTAAAATGACGTGGCAAACGACTGTGAAATGATGAACCACTCAATTTCGGCTGATTGAACACCCCGTGACTGCGACGCGGTTAAACCGCGACGCTTCGCATTTGTCCACACTTGCCTCTTTTGCTTTATTATTTTTTTATTTTTGTCTTCGTTATACTGCGACAAAAACGCTATTTTATGTCCGAATTGTAGAACAAGGATTGGAGGCCGAGGAGTTTATTTGGAGAAAACAAACAAGAATAAAACAATAAAAGCATTTGGTCGACGAGAACAATAAAATTGGGCTTACCGCAATGTACAACTATGTACAAGTTTTACATACATTTTACATGAAAAAATGATAAAAATGGAGAAAATTAAAATGATTTGGGGGGGGGGGGTAAAATAATAGGGTCTGTGGACCGTTGGAATGATAAAAATAAGAAAAAAAGGGAAGTAGGGATAAACTCCAAAAGAAAAAAGGAATGGGTGCTTCAGAGGGGAACTTTGGGAACGAAAAAATCTATGGAGGGGTTGAAGAGGAAGAAGGAGGGCGAATTAGAGGAGCAATGGGACTGGCAGGGCAACTACGAGGAGTTTGAAGAATAAGGTCCACTTGGAGGCGGAGCTGCGGGAACTGATGTGGTCGGAAGCTGAGTCGGCGAGAATCTAAAATATTTGATTAGTTAGTGTTTCAAGGATTGAGCTTTTCTCAAATATGCTTGAAAAGCTTTGTCGCTTCCCCATCTACCAAAGGATCTAACTACGTGTTCCGGGACTCCCTGATCTAGCGCCTCTGATGCTCCGCCTCCTCTAAACGCGTGAGATGAGTATTTTGTGGATACTCCTAATTTATTCCACCTCTCTTTTAACAGATTACTAGCTAAGTTATAGGAAATTTTGGCTCCAGAGTTGAAATTAGGGAATAAGAAATCCTGGTTGGTTATAGTCTTTAGGTAATTCTCTACTATCTGGGTTTCCCTCAACCCTAAAGCCAACCCTCTGTTTGTGCCTTTGCTAGCCTGATCCGTTTTCGACTTTTCTATGTGAATCTCCCAGCCTGTTCTAGCTCTCCTAATTTGCGATTTCCTCAGCTGCAACGCCTCTCCTATCCGGAGAAAGCCTCTAAACATGAAAATCCCTAAGACTGAGGTTCTTAATTCGTCTCTTGAGGCTGCTGGATAGTCGGTGAATTTCTTGAAATCTACCGCGCTTACTTTTTCCCTATGAACTATTGGTGCTTTAGAGCGTTGGGCGGCGTCTAAAACTGCCTTAAGGGTAGAGGCGTAGGAGGGATTCGTGGGTCCTAAAAAATATGATAATGCTGGATTCGTAGTTATGGCCGTCTTCCCTCTCCCGTTTTCTACGAGCTGCGCCAAGTATAGAATCCTCACCATGTCTTGATTCGGCTCCCGGGTCCATTTCATCGATTCCTTCCATTCTTTGAACCGTTGGAGAGCCGCCTTGTATTGGGTGATCGTCCCTTGGGCTCTGTCCTTCCCCAAGCAACTCTGCAGCTTCTTCCAAACATCCAATTCCTCCGGTGACATCGCATTGTCTGTGACCTTCTTTCGGACGAGTTCGAATCGCGGATCTGGAACCACTGTTTTGTTTTGTCACTTTTTGTGTTCGGGTGGGTGGGTGGGAATTGCTGCTACCTCAAAAAACTGCTCGAATGACGAAATTTCGTCAGGAGTTGCCTTTTATACCGCCCATCGTTCCAAAAAGCGCGCGAAAATGTTTTGGCGGGTTGGCCGAGAAACCGACACCCTCCTCGTCCCCCTCCTCGTCCTTCTCTTCCATAAAATAACGAATTTTCCGTTGTCGGCGGACATTTTTTGTTTGTTCATCAGTTTTTCGTTTCCGTTTGTACTTTGTATGCTTTCAAGCTTTCTCAAGGGGTTTATTAGAAACATAATTAAAAAAACCGGAGCGAATTTGTGCTTCCATTATTCTGTAAATGAGTTTTTCTTTAATTTCAGAATCTCAAACGAATGGGTGGAAATGTATCTTCTGAAACCCCGACCACTTCGACAAAAAGTAAACTTGTATCATTGCATTCTACGCTGAAGTGTTCTTTTAAGGTTTGTCCAAAAAATATTTTTCGAATAAAGTGTATTTTTATAGAGAAAAAGATCTAAACGTGACCATACGAAACCATTTCGAGAACTTATCCGAACTTGGCCAATAATTGATGCTGAAAAATTGTTGACAGAATTTGATGCTGATTTGTTTATTTTGAAGCTGCAAAAAGAAAGTGACAAATCTCGAAAGATTACCAAAAACTTTGGAAATGATTATAATAGTTATAGAAATGAACGATCGGATTTTGTGTTAATATTGAAAAATGGTGCTGAAATAAGTAATCTTCAACGGGAATTCGTATTTTCTCGATGCAAAAAACTTCGATATTCAAAACTTCCGAGTAATTTCGATCAATTCTCAGTTGAAGACATTGAACGATTTATGGAATATGTATATACAGAAAAATGGAATTATGATAATGAAACACTTGAAAAACTTCGAAAAGAATTTGGATGTTCGAAATCACTTTTAGAAGACAATATAGAAAAAGAAAAACACGATTATATAAAAGGCGATTTGATTATTAAAATAGTATCAGAAGAAGTTTCGAAACATGAATTTATTATAAAATGTGATTCATTTATTGCATCATCAAGAAGTTCAGTTTTACATTCATTGAATTCGAAGAAAAAATCTCATATTCAACGAAACAATATTTCCGAAATCGTTTGCTCAAGTTTTCATTCATTTTCTATACACTGATATATTGGATCTTTCGTTGGTTAGTTATTGAAAAATTACATTTTGGGGATTTATATCTGGAAAATCATATAACACAGATAACTTTGTAGATTATATATTTCATGTTAAATTTTCAAAATGATTTTATTTTCTGTTTATATATTCACAATCTCGAGATCATAATCAACACGGGGGTGACGTGTTTAATCACAATGAAAGAACACTTTTTTTTAGCAAATGAAATGATCAAAACTAGGCCACATTCTAAGTTATTTTGTTCCCAAATTGATTTATCCAATTTCCACAATTCCCACGAGATATTTGTTTTCAGATTCCATCATCAGAAGTCACAATATCTTCATTATCTGAGGCTCGCGCAATAATTTCTGGAAAATCCCCAGACATTCAACTTCATCGAGCACTTCAAATGATGCAAGTCGCCAAATTTTTCAAAGTTGATAGATTAGTTCAAAGTTGTGAAGATGTTGTTGTGAAACATTTGAAAATTGATAATTGTGTGGCTGTTTTACAATGGGCTAGAGATGGAGGATCAAAATATATTGAATTACATGCATTGAGGTTTGTTTTTCTTTAAAATAAAAGTAAAATATTTATAATATTAAATTTTTAAAGGCTCATTGAATCGGAATTTCCAAAAATCTGCAATTCTGCAAACCTTTTCGATCTAACAATTGAAGAATTAATGGATGTTACAAGTTCACAATTTTTGCAATCTACTGAACTTGAGATTCTCGATTCAATAATAAGATGGGGAGAACATGATTTACTTCGAAAATTAGAAGAAAGAGAACCAAATATAGTTGCTGATACATGTCATTCAATAAGTCGAAGAGGTTTAAGAAGAGCTGAATTATCTGGAGATGAATTGAAAGATATTTTGAAACCATTAACAATGAATATAAGAATTGATTATGCATTGCCACCATTTCATAATACATTAACTGAAGCATATAATCGTGGAATACTTGAAAGAAGTCCGCTTAAAGAAGATCTTATTAGTTGTAATTCGACATTAGAATATAATCCAGATGTTCATTGGTTTAAACCATCTAAAAATCAAGCTGGTCCAAGATATTATAAACCATATCATTTGACACTTCAAAAATATATTCAACAAATATCTGATCAACAACAACTTTCAAATAATCCTGCATCTTGCTCTGATTCAATCCAATCTTCACCAAAACAACAAACTATTGTTTTTGAGAATTTATTCCCAGAAATTTTGGATAATCATGATTTTGAGTTGGCGAAAGAAAGAATCAATGAAGAATGGAATAATATTCAAGAACTTCCTCGATTATTCCACAAATTAATGGCTCTTGAAATTATAAAGAAACGTATTTTGACCGAATTGGATATTTCAGAAGAATGTTTCAAATGTGTTTTTGTATTGGAAAATGATTTGGAAACATTGAAAACCGAAGAAAAACATGAAGATGAAGATCTATCGAATACTTCTTCTTCTCATTCAATTGCCCCAGATTTATTACAAGTTAGTTAGTTATTTATGTATTTTCAATCTTGTTTTTATAGTCATAATTGTGATAGTTTTGATATCTTTATTACGGGGATTATTTTTCAATTTATTATTGATATAAATGATTAGAATCTCAAAGGTTTCTGAAGTATATCTTCAGGAATATTGACTGGTATTTTATGGATTCCTTGTATTTCATTTATCATTGTCGATGGTGCAATAGGAGTTCGCTTTCTTCGCGAAGAACCACCAAATAAAAGCATTTCCAGTTTGGCAAATGGAATTTCAAAGAAACTCGACCAAAATATTGCAATAACAAATGATAAAACTGTTACAGGAATAACTGCTTCCAAAAACTGAAAAAATTGAGATTTTTTTCAAGTTAGTAATTTTCTGAAAAACTCACGAATTGCGATGAAAAATACATTTCGGAATAATTTTTACCAAAAAAGTATCCACAAACCATAATATGAATCAAATAAGCACAAAAACTCATTCTTGCCAAAGGTGTCCAAATTGGAAGAGACATGAAATCATTGATCATTCCTTTTCGATAATAAGTTGAAAATATAATCCAACTCAATGATAATCCCCATAAAATTCGTCCTAAAGAACTATAAACTGCATTTTCGATAGGAGTCCATAGATTTCCATCTGTATAAGTTTTCAAAGAGAGGATCACAAATACCATCAAAATTAAGGATAAAATCCACATCACACGGTCCAGCCACTGAAAAATTTCATAAATTTTTTTTCAAAATTAAAAAAAAAATAACAATTTTTTCATGTCGAAATTACTGTGGCCTTTCGAAGATTCAAAATATTTGCCTAGAAAAATTATATCCAAAACATTGTTTTCAACCCCAAAATTACAGTAAATACCTTATTTATTTTAACTTTTTCGGTCTGCTGCATAAAATAACCCAAAACCATTCCCATAATATAAATTTGACATCGAATTAAGTGGATTATAATAATTCCATTGATCATATCTTCTTTCATCCGGATTATATCTCGGATCTTTTGGTCCGAATTGAAATTGAGTTGGTGGAAAATGCCAAACTAACATTTGATAAGTATTATAAGCAGTTGAACCAAGAAATACGGTTGCACAAGCAATTAAACCGGCGATTTTTCCTCCCAAAGCAAATGGAAGAAGAAGTAATGGAGTTAGACAATATATTTGAATATCTGTTGCCAGATACCAAGAAATCACATAACACTGCAACAATGTTTTTTTCAAAATATCATTTTTTTTTCTCCAAAACTTACAATATGTTTTGAGTCAATAATATTATCAATGTATAATAAATTAAGCCAAAAATTCCTTTCACAAGTGTCATCTTGAACTGCGGGTGACATATAAACTGGAGCATCACGTAGAAGTCGAGTGAAGACAAATGTGAAAAAGAAAATAGTTATATAATAAACTGGAGTTAGGCGAAGAATTCGATGAACATAAAACATTATCCAACCCATTGGAGACATTACCGCTGCACGACGTTTTTTGAGTTCCTAAAAATTTGAAAATATTTTTCTCAACACATTTTTTAGAAAATGTTTCGTGGTACTTTTAGTGAAAGTCATCTAACTTTTTTGATGAGCTTTATATTTTTTTTAACTTCTTTTTTTCGAAATGAAAAGTTCCAAACCACTAACTTTGAACCACAAAAATGTTAGCAAAAATGCAGATATAAAGAAAAATGTGTCAACAGCATAATATGCATTGGCCATGAATAATCCTATATAGGTTTTTGTATAATCAATAAGATCCATTGGATTTGCTGAAAAGTTTCCGAATTATTTTCATTCCCATTTTCAGAATTTCCACTTACTACAAACTAGTACCATAATCGCAGAACAATGTCCAAAAATAACCCAAACAGTCGAAATTGTTCGAATACAATTCAAACTTGTTACTTGTCCACTTCTGTTACAATTTTTGATTCGGAAAATATTTTTGACATTCCGATACAAAGAAAAAGACATGAACATTTTCCAAAGAGTACTCGAATTATCATCGATTCTTTTGTATTCAGATTTTGCGAATTTTCGAGCATGAAAATAATCGACAAAACCTGCGATAATACATAGAATAACAATTGAGATGAGAACACCAGATACAAAAAATGTATAAATATTTGGTTTTGGAACTCTTTGATTTACATTAATCACACTGCAAACAGGCGATTTTTCGATTGAAGAACCCAAAGCTAAATTTTTTGTGTCATTATTTTGACAAGAAAACCCAATAAAACCACCTTCTCTGAAATAATCCGTCAAATTATCATTTTTACAAACATATGGTAAACATAAATCAAGTCCAATTTGTGGAACTTGACAACTTCCATTTGCAGAATTTGCTCTCATTTTCAAATCAAATAATACTCGATAATAATCACCTCGTAATGTTCGATTCAATGTTGTCGAATAAATTCGAACATTTTTACATTGTCTAAATTGTCCTGAAGCTGTTATATGTCCTCTTGATATTCCTGACCCAACTTTTCCAGCTGAATCCATCATTGGAATCAAATAGTATTGTCTTTCTTCAGCTGTCATAAATCTTGTTCGATTTTCAAATGATCCATGATGAACATGTTGAGCAGAATCAATCATACCGTAACCCAAAAATGTGAGTTCATCGTGACATTGTTTTGAGATTGTAAAATTTGCATTTGAATGAAAACCAAGAGCTCCGATTAGATCACTGATTTTATATTGTTGCTAAGAAAATCAAAAATATTCAGAATTTTTCGAAAAAAGTTCTTACCAATTGGTCGATTACTTCTCTTGGATGTTCTATCAAATCATTTAAAAGATCAATAGCTTTCGCGGGATCGAAATCAATACTTTCAATTTCTATTGTCAAAAAAGAAAGAAAAAATACTAATAAATTTAAAGATACCCTCATAACTCAAAATGATAATGAGTGAGAGTTGTTTTTCAATCGGGTTGAAACTTATCATGTTTTTAAATTTGAAATTTTTAAAAACAAATGAAACTGTTATCATCTTATTGTTTTGGTGAAATAGTGACGATATTCAAATTTTTAAGAGATCTATTGTTCAAAAAACAATCCATTTCTCTCTAAACTTCCTCATTGTAATTATCAACGAAAAAAAACTTTTGCCAATGTCATTATACGCAACAAGAAAAAAACTGAACCTAACCCGATTCTTATCAAATCTTCAAAGAAATCTCCGCCCCACAAATGTTACAAAAAACTTCGCGTAATTCGCGTATAAAAAAGAAGCGACGAGGGTGAGAAAAGTATACTGGGTTTTAGTCATGTTCGAGGAGAAGGTTTTAGTTGGAGTTGCTTCGGCTTTCTCAACCTTGGCTGTTGTTGCTTGCCTTGTTGTTATTCCATCTCTTTACAACACAATCAATGAAGTTCATGATGAGGTAATTTTGAAATGAAAAAAAATAATTTGAAAAATAATCAAATAAATTATTATAGGTTCTTGATGGAGTTTCAGTTTTCCGTGTTGAAACTGATTCAGCTTGGACTGAAATGATGGATATTCAAATTACCGTAACCCCACCATCAAAGCCACGTGTCAATCCATTCAACTCAATCTTCCGTCAAAAACGTCAAACATTCTCTGGACTTCCCAGCATGGTGCCAATGCGAGCCAACCAAACCAACTTGCCCACCAGGACCACCAGGACCACCAGGACCAGCTGGACAACCAGGAGTTCCAGGAGCCCCAGGACCAAAGGGAGAAGATAACACTTCTACTTATGCTCCAATTACCTGTGCTCCAGTCTCACAAGACTGCGTCAAGTGCCCACAAGGACCAGCCGGAGAAGCCGGACCAGCAGGACCAGCTGGACCAGCAGGACCAGACGGACAACCAGGACAACCAGGAAACGCCGGAGCCCCAGGAGCCCCAGGAGCCCCAGGACCAGCTGGAGATGATGGACAACCAGGAGCACCAGGACAAGACGGACAACCAGGAGCCCCAGGACAAGACGGACAAAGAGGACAAGGAGCCCCAGGAGCCCCAGGAGCCCCAGGAAACGCTGGACCAGCTGGACCAAACGGAGACAATGGAGCTCCAGGATCAGACGGACAACCAGGACCAGCCGGACCAGCTGGACAAGATGGACAACCAGGAAATGCTGGACCAGACGGACAACCAGGAGCTCCAGGAGGACCAGGACTTCCAGGACCAGATGCCGCTTATTGTGCCTGTCCACCAAGATCAGCTGTCTTTGTCTCAAGACATTAGATATCCATCTTTTATCTTTTACAAATCAAATAAACATTTATGCATTCAAACTTTTTATTTTGACCTTGCTGAAAAAGATTTCATGAAAAGATAATTTCTTTTTTTTTTCATTCTAAACATTACAACAAACAACAACAGTTATTCTTCTTTTTTTCGAAAGTCACCTTTTTCGGTTCGCTATTTTTCGAATTCTCAATTTGTGATTTCTTGAGATTTTTTGGGTCACTCAAATCACTTTTATCCTTTTCAGCTGAAGAACATTTTGGTTGAGATGAGGTTTGGATTCGAATTCGGATTCTGAGTCGGTGCAGGCTTGTTTTCTTCATAATCACTCAATACAACATCATCATATCCGCCATTATTGATGTTTGATTCATAATGCGATTGTTTTGCCAACTCTTCGATCGTCATTTCACAGATCTGGAAAGTATTCAAAAATGTTCAGAGACTGGAATTATTTTTCATTCAAACTCTTCAGCTCTAAAAACTTTTGAAAAATTTAAATTATTCATCAATGAGTTTAGAAGTTCTAGTTGATCTATTCTATGATTTGGAACTAAAATACAGTAACCCGGTTGTTTCTAAATTCGGTGAGGTAAAATTATGAAAACGTAAAAAAGAAAATAGAACACGGTGGCCAAGTTAAAAGCTACAGTAATAATAAATAAAGCCTGATTTCCAAACAAAAAAAAAAGAAAAGTTCGATATAACTCACTCGTTTGTACTCAATTCAAACTCACTTTTTAATAATATTCAACGAATAATTTTTTGTAATGTTGAATAAATTATAGAAATGAGACATTGGCGAAATGAATAATATTCACGTGTCGATTCATTTCCAAACATTTTGTGACTCATTTTCATTTTTGAAACAAATGTTGTTTTTCGTTTTTCATCATTACGGGTAGAAAATGTTACTAATCCCATTCAAAAATTCGAAATCCATTACGAGGAGAAAACTGGTTAGGCTAACATGAAAGACTGGAGAGAAAAAGAGAGCGGAATTATTTTATTTAAAAATATAAAGTAAATATACAATATTTACCAACATTCATCAGTTAGTATGCAAAAAGCATACATTCGCTTGATTTTTTTGTTTCGTCGCAGGAAAAATTGATTTTATCCAGGCATTTGTTAAAAGTCTCTTCTTTTCTATTTTTTTCCTGAATTTGATTCAGAAAAAAACATAAATGATGGAATAATTTTGCTCATGACTCATACACATTGATTTTTGCATTTCTTATCTTCCCGACAAAATTTGTATGTGAACAGAACAGAGTTTTCTGTTTACACAATGATGATTCCATATTTTTTCAAAATCATATACTTTTTTCGATAATATTATAAAAAATTCATGAGTTTTCATATTTTTCCCATAACCTTCGCACTTCATTGAACACATTTCATTTCAAAAATAAATATCGAATTTCATGAATTTTTGTTTGTTTTTCGATTGGCACACAAGTATACCTTTTTCAAGAATGATGAGTAAAATTCATGACTCATGGTTTTTATTTTATTTTTGAAATGAACATTTTATAATGTCTCAAGGGAACTTGAAAAAGTTCATATTTCTCAGAATATGTTTTTTCGAACTTTTTTCGTCAGAATGTTTTAGTCAATTTTTTTATCCCAAGCTTTTTTTCCGAATCGTGTTTCCAAAACTTCCGGGAAATCGCGGAATTTTGATTCAAAAACTATTAATTTTTCTGTCAAAAAAACTTCTGACATGAGAAAAATAGTTTTGGATAAACATTTGAAACTACAGTAACCACACTTCTGCTCCTTTTTCTCATAATGTTTTTTTGCAGATCCACAAACAAAATGTGGACACCTTGGATGATAGTAATATACATTCTTCTATTGCTTGTTGTTATATTTTTCTTATTATTGATCGCATATTTTATTCGAGCAGATTTTAAACGAAGGAAAATGATTGAAGGTTTGCATCTTTTTAAAATATTTTTCCTTCAAAATTAGAATATACTTTGAGTAAAAAATTTTCTCATTAAAAAAAGAAAACCATACCCTTTTTAGATGATAACAATTCACTTCCGTAAAAATGAAAAAGGTAAAAGCGTGTTGTGCGAACTCCCTAAATTCCACTTCTCCTGCATAACACCCTCATTTTGACTTTTAACAAAATAATACTTTAAGTTTGCTTTTTTCAGAAAAAATTCTGGATTATCGAAAGGCGACAGATGTGTGATCTTCAGATAAATATTTGTATATATATATTTTTTTTCATTTTTTTAATGAAATATAAAACATTTAATTCTAACAAAAATATATAACAATTGAGATCATTGTAGGTATATATTTTTTTTCATTTTTTTAATGAAATATAAAACATTTAATTCTAACAAAAATATATAACAATTGAGATCATTGTAGGTATTACTGTACAAAACAACAACAAAAAATAAAACGAAAAACAATAATAATAATACAATGTTCAACCTAATAAATCCAGCCAATTATTTGCCGCATTTTTTGGAATAATAACGGGAGATTTGACTGGTTGAACTTCAACAATTTTGGGAATTTCAATAATTCGTGAGCTAAATTCATCTTGCGTAGAAGTTTCGAAAAATGAATCAGCAAAATTTTCAACACCATTTCCACCTCTTGCAATAACAGTTTCATCTGGGCGTAAGGATGTAGTTGTATTAACTGTTGTATCGATTTCAGATAAATCTAAGAATGTTGTTTCTTCAGCTGAATCATATGTCGAATTTTGTTGATTCTGGAAAAAATCAATATTTCTTAAGCAGGTAGAAAAAACGGATTTTCTCTACAAAAATGAGAAAAATGAAACAAACCTCGTCAATTTGTGAATTTGAGAAAATCGGTGAAATTTGAACATTTCTCTTTTCTTCTTCGCTAAGAATTCTAATTTTTAGTCGTTGCATAATAGGACTTTCTTCAATTTTTCGTCGTTTTCTAATATTTTGTTCCTCTTCTCGATTCTCTTTTACTGATATATCCAAATTTCGACCAAAAACTTCAGAATTCCACGTGGAACTATATCGCATTTTATAATATTCTTCAACAACTTTGAAAATGACATTATTTGTAATATAAGTTGAGTTGTAAATATCGGAAGTGATTCCTCGAATTGATTTTTGGCGAATAATTGATTCGAAAAAAATCATAATTTTCTCTTTGAGACATGGTTTTGGGTCCAATAATTCGAAAATCTCTTCATCGAGTGCTTTTAAACGAATCGCAAGTTGTTGATAGATTTTCCACGTGGAAATATTTTTTGATTGACAAAGATTCGAAAATCCAAAACTTTTCAGTTTTTCTCGCAATTTTTTTGTGTGCACAAATTTATATTCGGATAAAGATGTTGCTTGAATATCAACACATTTATAAAGACAACGGATGAAAATAAGACGATTGTTTAGAGAAGAACGAGAAGCAAAAACCTGAAAACAATACTCATAATTTTTAATTACAAAAAATTAAGAAAACTTACAATTTTCTTACACATAAACCATGTCAATTCCGAATATTCTCCTTTTTTCTCATTTTCCATCAAATTTTCCTCATAAACTTCTATCAATTTTTCCACTAATAAATTCCAATCATTTTCCATATTTTCTTCAGATCTTTTCGTTTTTGTTTGTCTCACAACTTCTTCCCAATTTATTTTAACTTTCTTATGAATTTTTCGAGAACTTCGTTTTGATAAAATTGTGGCAAATTCGATTTCGGATATTTTTGCAGCTTTCAATACAATTTTAAATAATTCAAAATTTCTCGATTTTATATTATTATTATAATTGAATAGGTTTCCAGGATTTTCCCATTTTTCAATATTCGCTATAAAATATAGTGGAATTTTAGATTGATAATAAAACTTTTCCAAATCAGTCCTTGATACATTTACATCTATTTTCCTAATTAATTCGATTTGTTCTTCTGTTGCTTCATCATTTCCTATCACATAATTTTCATCCAATAAAAGAGATAATCTTCTTTGTATAATCCATGCTGTTCGATTTTCAAGATTTTCACACAGTTTCGGCCAGATTTCGAGTTGTGAAATCTTTTCCAATCGATATTGGAATGATTGCTGAAAAAAAAAACAAAATGTGGCGAAATGCTGTCTACATTGGATAAATCCCATATATTTCGGTACCATTCAAATTTTTTCAAACAAAAAAAATAAGATTTAACTTACGACACAAATCCATGGTCTCCGAAATCCGATAAAACAGAGTGAATGTTCATCTTTCAATGCATTTTCTTTTCGAATTTTTGTCCAATTCTCAAGTAATATTTCATCTTCATTTGAAGTAAATTTTGGTGAATTATTAATTTTGATACCTATGAAAAAAAATCAATATTTCTTCAATTAGATTTTTGAAGAAAAAAACTAACCGAATTCATTTAATAGTTTCATATGATTTTCATTCAATTCAAACGGTGCATATTGATAGAATATTTCTCCATATTCATTTTTCAGATCGTTTTTTGGTTCAGGCAATTCTTTTAAATGCACTGGTGGATAATAATAACGTCTAGTGAACATCTCAAAGAAAACTGATTATAACAAGAATTTTGAGTTAGAACAATTAAATGAAGATATTTTAAAAGTTCATCGACTTTTTGGAGTGAAAATGAAAATAATTCGAAAACAAATTCATTAACAGATTAATTAACAGATTCGAGAAAAAATCAACAATAAAACTCAACATTTCAAACCTCGTCTTTATTATTATTAGAAATTTCGTCCAGATTTGATTTTTTCGATTTCTTCCTTTTCTTCTTTTTGACATCTTCTTTCGGCTGTATATTTGAAGTTTTATTTTTTGATTATGAGCACAACGAGAAACACTTACCAAATTTTCATTATCCTGAATTCTATCAGAAATTGAAGAAGCACCAGGCTTAGAATCTTCGTTTGAACTCAATGTTTCATTATCATCTTCCGAATCCGATCTTTTTGTTCTTTTTCGTTTTCTTGAAGATGTACTCGCTTCTTCTATCTAAAAAAAACTTTTTGAAATAATTAAAAGTATGATAATATTCTTACCTCATCCAAAACAATTTCATCACTATTCACTTCTCGCTTTCTAATTGTTTCAACAACTTCGAACTGAAACATATTGAATATTTTTACCAATTTTATTCAAAAACTAACCTCGTCATCAATTTCTTGTTTCACCACAATTTCACAAGGTTCGCCATCTTCCATATATTCTCGATAAGTCAATTTTTGCTTGAGTTTCTTTTCCAAGGCACCATCAAATCCTTCAATCTCAATATCATCTGGATTCAAATATTCCGAATTATTGTTTTCTTTACATAACAGAGGTTTAACTACTTCTGATTTAACAAATCCGTGTAATTTTGATGGAAAAATGAAGTTGTCGCCGTATGTATAATGAGAATAAATAACAAATGCTTCTGTTGCAAGTTCAAATACATCTAGGTCCGTTAACTTCAATTCTTCCTGAAAAATGATATTATTTCTCGAAAAAAAGCAATGAAATAATTGTTTAAATACCTCCAACCATTTTTTTGTAAAATCATTTTGAAGAAATCGCATTGTTGTATTAGTCAAATTCATTTGAATAACTTCAATTTGTTCTTTATCCTCTAATAATTCATAAATTCGTCCATCTTTCCAGTCAGTTTTTCGACACATTGCCCAATATAAACAATGAATTTTCACTGGAAAAAAATAATATTTTCAAATAAGAAATCCAAATATCTTTTAACTAACATCTCACAGGAAATCCTTTCGCCAATTTGTCAAAAACAAATCTGTTGAATGTAGACAAACGCTGTCGAGTATTGTGAAGAAGTGACCACATCAATGTTTGTCCGGGTTTACGATATCCCCAAATACCTTTCTCTTTCATCATTTTTTTGAATTCACTTTTTTTAAATTCATTTTTATCAAAAATCTGTGTGTGTCTATTGATCAGTTTACAAACACATGCCATAATTACGCGTTGTTTTGCACGAGATAACTTATCGACTACTACCTGAAATTTATTCAGATTCACATTTTTGTCTCTCTATGACTTACACCACGCATAACTACTTTAACAGCATATTTTTCGTTGTTGGTTTTCTTTAATTCCACAAATGATTGTTTGATATCAGAAATGTATTCATTCCACGCTCGCAATGCAATTTTCGGTAAAATGAAAAGTTTGGCAGCGATATGTTTGAAATCCAAATCCCTCGCAAACTGGTCCAACTTTTTCGATTTCAAAGCTTCGGCGAATTCTTCAGTGGAAATAATTTTTGGAATCACAGTTTCTTAAAAATGAGAATATTTGAAAAAAACACTTCATAAAACTTACTCCAAATTAAAGATTGAACGACTGATTTGTTCGAATTGTTAATCTTGTTGTATTTTACCAGAAAAGATCTGACTGCTCGAATTTTCAGTTCCAATTCCTGTGCAATGTGTCTCGCAGTTCGTTTCTTTTCATGAAGTTTTATAATTTCGAATTTGATATCCTGTTCCAATTGTACTTTACTGAAAATTGAAAAGATAAAACTATTTTTTGAAATTATATAATTTTACCTGAAAAAGAATTCATTGACAAGAAGTTTGAATAACATTTCATCATCATCCCATTTTTTGTGATCTTCCAAAATATTTGGATCCAGTATTTCTAAAGCTTTCTTATAAACCTGAAAAGCACTTCGATGAGGAAGACCTCGACCTGAAATTAGAAAAATTTAAATATGAAAGAGTATCCACTGAAAACCTACATAATTCAACATAGAAATTATTAGCATATCTCTCTTCCATATCCTTTTTCAATGCTCCATGACGATGACCGGCATTTAGATAAATCGGAGCATTTTCCACAGGATATCCAATGCTTTCAGCATATCTTTTCCAATTCTTCAGTACTAAACAGTGTTCTTCTAAAGTAAATTGACTGCGAACATTTGTTTCGATACCAAACTCAGCCAAACGTTTTTTAGCTTCCTTTGTATACTTTAGAGGCTTTTCGTGGTAGAATAAGTTTCCTTGAGCAGTGTAAATACCTGTTTGGGGCAATAAATCGTCCATATAGCTTTAACAAAAAATTATTTGAATAAAAGTTTTCAAAAAAGAAGATAGAAGTACTCATAGGTGAATGAAACACTGGAAACAATACAAAAATGTTTTTTAAAACCAATAATTTATGAATTATACGAAACCAAGTAAATCAAACCCGTTTAGCTTTGAAAAGCCGATGATAAAATCTTGAACCGAGATTAATTGCTAAGAATGCTAGAGCAAAACCAGAAACTTCTGCGAATTCACCAGGACATGTGTCATTTCCAAAAATTGCTGGGAATCGAATAAGAAAATTGAACGGCCAAAATATGTTGTCAGGAATACAGAAAGCCTGGAATTTGATAGTTTTTATAAACAAATTTATTTTCTATGAAATGAAAATATTATAAACTCACAGTTATACCAGAAACATATCGAAGAAGAACAAGAGCTCCAAGTTGAATGACTACACGTGTTGCGCCTTCTATTTTGAGATTCTTTGTTGTTTCAGTTCTTTTTGTAGCTTGCAATTGCTCCAACTCATCATTCAATTTATTTAATTCTCTATCTTTTTTGAAATACGCGGCAAACTGATTGGTTGGTGAAATATCGTTTAATTCTTTTTTCAAATTCTTAATTTTATTTTTCAATAGAGTTATTGCAGGATCCTCTTTCTCTTTGAAAATTGTTTTGAGCTGAAAATTTTACTTTTTAAAATCTTTCGAAACTTCACAAAAACTCACGAAAGTAGCAACTGCGCTAATAATTCTCGCACTATCCACAGCAAAATATGCAGATATAATGACAGCAACTACATTCAAAATAGATATTTTCACTGTTTCCTCCATTTTTCGAAACGAAAAAAACTGAAATAAATTAACGACACTCCGCGTGACACATGTTTACCGTAAACCTACATAAGAATTGTCTGCAAACACTTTTCATTGCGGACTTTGTGTAGATTTACGAGACGCATGTTCAATTTTTTGTTTCGCGTTGCTGCCATTGTTTTCGGTGTGAAAATAACCAATTTCACACTTTCAATAGATTTTCGAGCTGAAGGTATACCCAGATATCATGTTTTATTGTTCAAATATGCGCTGGCTTATTTTACTCGAAACCTTATGCATAAATATTCCACATGTTATAAATACTTTTTTTCAGTGATACCATGTTGGAACTTGGTTTAAAATTTATCAACTTTGAGCCAGATAGAAGTTTTAATGATGGAAATATTACTAGAAATTATTTCGATGCATCTAGTCAAAGAGTGAGTTTATTTGAAGAATATGAATTTTCGTAAATTAGTTTCATTAATTCAGATATGTACAATGCGCAATAATGGAGCACTAGGATTGACTTCAAAAAGTTTAGAAAATGACAAAATAACCAGTGTGAGGTTAGTTTCTTTTTCATACAGTTTAGACACAGTTTTTAAGTACAATTTTAGAACTCGAGATCGCGGAGAACCTTCAACTGTCAAGTTTTCAGTAGACGGAAGATTGTGTGCCACACAAAGAACAGCAACATCAGCTGATGTAATATTTCTCGAAAAAACTGAAAATAATCTTTGTCTTGAAATGACAGTTACTGCAAAATCAAAAGAACCACTTCTTGCAGTCGAATGGGTTGCAAATAATCAACTTTTGCTAGTTACAAATCATAGTGCAGAATTATTATACATCAATGAAGATAAGAAAACTTCGAAAGTTTTGAAATCAACCAACGTGAATGCGGCATGGGCAATATTTTATGTGAGTTAATTTTTCAGTTATCAAAAAATATGTTTAAACAATTTCAGGCGCCAAGCCAACTTCTTCTTATTGCAAATGGTGCTTCATGTTCAAATCTTCAACCAATAATTGTTGCTCATTCGAACTTTACAAGAATGAAAAACTTTGAAGTTGATTTTGGTGGTTCACTATCGCGCGAGAATTTTCTCGAAAAAGATGCAACAATTGCTACAATGTGAGGATTGAAGTCTGATTTCTGAAATGAATCTGATATATATTTTTTCAGATATGGTAAAGTATATGTAATGGTATTACGTTATAGTGTCAGAAATTCATCAATGTTAGATCTATATGAAATGCCATTCGATGCAACAAATCCAGCAATTTTCAAATATTCACTCATTCTTGGTTTTAATGGTCAATGTGGAATTCATGTAATCGATAATCTTATAATTGTTCATCATCAACCAACATGCAAATCGCTAATATTTGATATCCAAGTTTCATCAAATAGCAAAAGTCATTCACCACTTGTTACAACTACAATTGAACCGCATATTCAACATCAACCACCGCCATATCTTTATACACCATTTTGGTTTACTTTTCTACCAAATGTGGTTATCGATTCAAATTCTGGAATTATGTATTCACTAGATTTGAAAAATTCGAAATGTATGATTGAAATCAGTGAGAAAAATACAATGCTTGAATATCTTATTCGACGAAAAAATGAGAAAAAGTTATTTATAACATCATTTTTGAATTGTTTACGTGCTCGAGCTCTTTCTCTTCGACAAATTCGTCGAATATTTTCGATGATTTCAAAAACGAAAGAAAGTTTTGCGAAAAATGAAAAAGATTCGAAAGCTCCAATAATTGTTTTGAATTGCGAAAAATATGAAGAATTACAAATATCACAACAGGAAATGCAAAGCTCAATTCTTATACCGCTTAGAGAAGATACAAGTTTGAATGAAGGATATGTTGCTAATATTATGCTACAATATTTGAGATGTTTATATGATAATAATGTACAACCAGAGGTTAGTTTTTTGGATGTTTTTGGGAATTTTGGGTTTCAAAGTTGTTTTTAGCAATTTTTTAGGTCAATTTTTTTCCCAAGCTATTTTTCCCAAATTTTTTTCACAAGGTCGTTTTCAAACTTCCCAAATTAAATTTTTCCCAATTTTTTTCCCAAGTTAATTTTGCTTTTTCCCAAGTTTTTTTCCTATTTTTCTTTTTTTCCCAAATTTTCGTTTTTTCTCAAAATATCCATTGTTTTTCCTTTTTTTGTAAGTTAATCAACATTTAAGCCTATTTTCCCACCAGAGCCTGAAATTAAGCACTTCCGCAATGTGAAAAAAACTAAAAATAGTCGCAAAGAAATAATGGTTGATGAGAAACTCGAAAACAAGAGACCAATTGTGTATAAGTTGATCGAAACGAGAAGGTCAAACCGGAATTGCCTGTCCAAAAAGAATCAAACAAATAATAATCAAAATTGAAGATTTATTTTTAAAGAATACAATAACATCCCAATTTAGTTAATCCCCTCGTTCTTTTGATTTCGGATAGCAAATTTCGCTGGCTGAAAATATGTAATTTTGGATTTCTAGGTCTTCATACAAAAAATTTATTCACTAGTTGATTTTCTCAGAATTAAATTAAGCAGAAACTTTTCGTTTAGAAAAATATCGCGTGAGAAATGTGGGGATATTTTATCCCACTTCCGACTGTGGATTTCTTTTTGACATTTAAAATATTTGCCGATTATTAAAAAGGCAGATGAATTGAAAAAAAAACTTGGTTACGCTCTAAAAGTTCGAAATTTTCTGATTCTTTGACTAGTTTTTTTTTCAAAAAAAAACACTTACAGAAAATACCACATAAAATTCGAATTCGGTGTACATTAGATGAACCACTTCGACTTCTAACAACGACGCAGAAGGATTTTTAGATTACAATTCTCCTCTCAAATCTCCATTCCTTTACAAGTTCCAGCCAACAATTCATATTTCTCATTTTCTCCTCTCAAATCTCCATTCCTTTACAAGTTCCAGCCAATAATTCGGTCAATATCTCAATCCTAAACTTTCATCATTTTCTCTTGTAAATTCGCTCGATTCATCTAACTTGATCGAATTCAACAAACGACGTGGCAAATCAAAAATCAGGGAAATATTTTCGAGCGATGATTCATCAGTAACACCTCCATTTTGTACATATCTTTGGCCATTTTGGTTTTGTGATCTACGTGGAATTTGACATCTTCTACGGGTTTTTTGATATCCTCGCCCAAAAGCCAATTCCTTTTCCGGCAATTGTTCGACAAATCCTCAAGTTTCAACGAGATTTTCAGTTTCCCAAATCAATTGTTTTGAAGTTTCGAAGCCGGAATTTTTTGTTGGGCTGATTGTAGGCATCTGAAACAATTGAAACTTATAATTAGAAGAAAGACTGTTCAGAAAAAACAATTAAACGATAAAAAACGGAGATAATAACTATTTTGAGGCGAGAAATAAAAATAGATGCGCGTCAACGAATGTTTTGTGCAAACACGGCCACGACAAAGTGCACAACCCGGGTGTCGCTGCAAGTTGAAACTTATAATTTTCGTTGAACAAAAGTATCTCGACAGAATCTACTCGTAACCTTTTTTGTATAAAATTTAGCGAAGAATTGCTTCGTGAAAAGGTTTGTGAATTTTTTCTAGAGAATAAAAAGTGAAAAGAGTGTTTCAGGAGTATTTCGTAAAGTTTCGGCTGGGATTATATGATTTATGACTATGAAAACAACACATCTTTGATGAATATTGAAAAAGGCGAAATCAATCATATTCATGAAGCAAAAATCTTGAAGAATGAAAAGTCAACAGTTCATCAGTCACCAACAACACAAGATGTCAAGCAAATTTCGAACAACGCTTCTAACAATATTATGACAACCAAAATGGCAACAAAAATGTTATTCTCTTGCACTTGTTGAAGCTCGCAAATCAAAAAAAATCGAAAATTAACACAAATTGACTACAACACGCAAACGTTTAATACTCAGTCAAGAAAACAGCGCATCGTGGTGAGAACACGTGTGTGAATACCGTATTGGAAGCTTTTTATTGATTACAAAAAAAAGAGCTGATTTGTCGCTGTTTGATGTGGAAAAATCAAAACGAAAATCACAATGATTTTCCCAGAAATTGATTTTGTCGAAGAATGGAACAAAAAGTAAGTTAAATTGTAAAAAATAAAGCATTAAAAATTCATTTTTAGACATATTGAAATGATTCGCTTGATCAAGCCGATCGATTTGGTTGAAATCATTCAAAAACGACGGATCTCTTTCGAAATGCCTGCTCATTTGTCCGAGAAGAAATACCCCCCAGATGATTGGGATTGGCACGGTAAATGTTTTCATTTGCTGTCAGAATCCTTTTGCAATTTTCAACCACCAATTCTGAAACAATTTCTAATATATATCACAAAGTTTGAAAATATTTCAGATCTGAAGAAGAAAATATTTCCACAATACGGAACTTTCACTGTTGAGGGCGAAAAGATGGGATTTGTAAAATGCAGACAAGTGGAGAATTTGAAGTTTTCAAGTTCGTTTTGAGAGATGAGAAGAATACACGAGTGGTGTCGATTTATATTTTAGAGAGTGGTTCGGTTGATTTTACGAGTTGTAAAACAAGTAGAGCGTCTCGTAAGTTGTGATATCATAGTCTTGGATTTCAATGAAGATTTTCAGCGACTGATGTTCAATATATTCGAAATAATCTGAATGGGTCTACGAAAATTGGAGCATATAAACGAATGGCTGAAGAAGGAAAAGTATTTTCAATGAGTCAAATCACAAACCAATCGATCACTCACAAAACCGTGGTTAAAAAGAAAACGGGTCCAAAAATGGTCAGTAAACCGCAAGATCTCTCCGCATTTCAAGCAAAACGCTTCAAAACCTCAGTCTACGAACCATATGTAACACACAATAATTTGCGTGGTATCAGATTTATGGATTTTTCAAAAGATGCACTGTCGATTTATATGGCGTTATGCCCATCTGGAAGGCTGAAATTCATCTACAACGTGAAGAAGCTGTCAAATATTCGCGTCTTCCGGAAACTTCAAAAATCGAATATTTGAGTGAGTTTTTGAATGAACGTCAGAAAAAAGAAATTCTCTTTTTTTCAATGTTACTTAGAAAATAGGAAATAAAATTGAATCATCATTCATCACAACTTTTCACTTCTCATTCAGATACACTTTTTGCAAATCACCCCGACGGAAAAGTTTTGAAATCTGGCGCTGAACTTGATTCAACATACACAGATACCGATGCTCTGGTTTCAACATTTGCGGTGGAATTACCACTTTTTGTGTGAGTTTATAATTTTAAAATTGATAAATTTTTCTTTTTATTAAAATGCATTGATTTATAGAACATCATCATCTGGAAAAAATGTGAAAATATTGATGGGTTGGTCAATTCATTCAAATAAGGAGCTTGTGAATCACGAGGCTTTTGCCAAGTTCTTGGCCAGCAAAATGGGAGATTTCAAAAGAATTTCCAGTTTGACCGTTGATGGAGAAAAATCGTTTTCGATTTATTCACAAGTTAGTTTTATTTATTCAATTTTTGAAATAATTCACCTTTATGTATTGACAGATTTTACAATGCCCATTGTTGCGCTGCCAAGTCCACATTGCCAGCAACATCAAAGACAAATTTGGAAAAAACGGAAAAGAACTAGTCGACATTTTAATGGGATCGATGGTAAAACTTTTACTTCTAGCTTGATGAACTCTCACTCAAATATTTTCAGAGTCCTTCTGGGAACTGGATCATGGGACTTTTGCATTGCGGAACATTGGATGAAATGACCGAGAAGATAGAAAGTTTGTATTTGGATGGTGGATTGAATGATGATTGGTATTCATATTTGAAGAAAAATGGTAAAATGTTGTTTGATGGATGCTCGGTTTATTCAAAAATATATTGTGGAATGGTGACTTTGTACAACTCGACGAATAGAACGGAGCAAATGAATTGCGACTTCAAACGTGCAATTGCAAAACAAGTTTCACAAGCGGACATAGCTCAGTTTCTTCTCGACTATTCAAACAGTAAGTCTAAATAAAGAAAAAAAATCACTATTCAAGGGTTGGTGCTTTCCTGGTGAAAAAATCGTCTGCAAAAAGGCGTCACAGTGTTGTGTGCAAACACACACACGAAAATTCAAAAACAACTGCACTAGAGCGCCTTTACATGTTTTATTTCGTAGGTTTTAACTCGCTTGTGTTTTTGAGGAAAAACATGGGCTGAATTTATACTAGATTTTTTTCTAAAACTTAAACCTTCCAGGAGCACCTTATTCCTATCTAAACCAAGCAAAATTCCCTGGCGGAGCACCAACCCTTTCAGTGAGACGAACAATTATATTAACCTAATATTTAACATTGAATTCACTTTGTTTTTCAGAGTAGAGTATAACCCTAATTTTTATAGCTAACAATAAGTAGTTTATACAGCTTGGCCTAGGATTCCAAAACCTCGATTCCGAAAGTTGAGTTATTTTTCAGAGACGGTTCTCGACTTGTATCGATCATTAAAGTTTGATGATGGGCCGATTCGTTTCTTGAAGTTTTTCGGAGTCATCGAAATTGGATTCGGTACAATTAACAGCGTATGCCGGGCGACTAGGGTTCCATGAATCAAGTATTATTTTGGAATTGGCCAATATCATTTTACTCAAGTAAGTGATATATTTTAAAAAATTACAAAAAATATAGATTCACAGGCATAAAATTCTGATTTTTTCTGCCACGAGTGCACGTTTCACATGATTTGAATCATTTTCGCGCTTTTCATCTTCTTTCTTCACTACAATTTCCAGGAGAATAGAAATAATAATTTCTCGAAATAAAAAACGTGCCGCATTTTGCCAAATGAATCTCGCCTCCCGCGAGAAATTTTTTTCGGCAGAAGGCATTTCTGAATAAAAAAAAGTCAAGAATTTATGCCTGTGAGATTTGCCAAATATTTCATTTTCATTACTAATATTTTTTAATTTCAGGTCTCGATTTGTCGATTCTGGTCAAAAACTATGATATTACAAAACGACTTAAAGTAAATGTTATTCAAATTGGACTTTATCACATTGAAAACCCGGAATTATCATCATCTGCAAGATTTGTCACGGTTTTCACTGAAGATTCTCTCATTTGTCAAAAATGCACCGATTTTGAACCACATTCATTATGTGAACATTTGTTAGTTTTTATTTTCAAATATGAACGTAATCATTCAGTTCTTATTTTTCAGATTAGCTGTACTGAACAGTTTGAGTGAAACTGATCGATTCGTCAATTTATGCAAACTCGAACTGAAAAAACGGAAAGAAATCACAGAAAGAAAGGAGTTTGTTGAAGTCTGCTCCGGTGGGAGCTGGTCAGAAGTGTCCACGAAAAGCATCCGAGCAGTCATCATAATGATCAAAGAATAATCAATAGAGTTGTGCTAAATCCGGCGTTGTGTCATAATCAAATCATTCGCGAGACAAATGAAGAAAACCCTACAGCGGAAAGTTCATCAAGTTCTGACAACTCAGTGATGTTCAATAATTATGAATCAAGTTTTGAAGATGTTACGACAACGGAGACGACCGTTCATGATGAGAATATTGAAATTGGTTCAATCACATCAGAAGATGATGTTTTCCCAGCCGAAAATCCGAATCCTGATTTGAATAAAACAACATCCGAAATCCCCGAAAAACACAATACTAATTGTTCAAAAAAGGAAGTGATGCGAGATTTTTTTATCGAGCGCTTTTCTATCGGATATTCAATTTATTGCTGATCACAACAAAGTCGCTCTTTCAGATGATTATTGTGCGGTGAGTAATCAATTTCATCTAATATTTTTAGACTAAAAACCCGAAATTTACTCAAAGTTCACTAACAACTTTGAAGTTACATTAAAATTTATAAACAAACCAAGATTTTTCGCGAATTAAGTCATGGAGACGCTTTTTGAAAATATCACTGCAGAAAATGATAATAATCTTTTACATCAATTTATTTTATTTCAGAATCTTGCAAAAATGGTGAATTGCATTATGGATGGGATAAGTGAATGTTCGAAATGTGGCGTATGTTCGGAAAGAGAACATGGAAACTTGTTTTGTAATGCTTGTGATCAATTCGCTACAATGCATTGGAAACCGTTTTTGTTTCCATCTGGGTCCGATTTTTGTGCATCTTTAAAGACATTAAAAGTGAGTTATTTTTTGTGTTCTATAAACAAAACCAAAAAAGTATTCAGTTCGGCACCACCGACTTTGGCGACTCCAGTTTGGATGACAGTATCGAATCATTGAATCAATTGGGAACTGACAAAGAACGAAACCCAATCGTCAACGTTTTGCAGCCTTCAAATTCGGTTGTTCAAGAAGGATGTTCGACAAAAATGAAGGAAGTTCCACAAAAACCAGAAAGGCCAAAACGGAACAATGGAAAAAGGACAAGCTATGATAAAAATGGACCTTTTGAAATTGTCAACGATAAAAAAGTGTATAGGTGAGTGATTTTGAGCATTTCCGATGTGCCATCTCTCAATCTCAAAAGTTTCAGATATGCATAGTTGTGTATGTTCTACACTCGTTCATCAATCCGTCTCCCACAAATACAATTTTTGCTTGTCTTGTTAATCGTTTTGTTTTTGTTAAATTTTGTTATTGTTACGTTTTTCATTCGTTTCGTTGATATTAATACTATCAAATTGTGGATTTTTCATCTTATTGCTCATAGAAAATAACAAAGAATGGTGAAAAATAGCAACTTTCATGCTATTTGAAAATTTGGGAAAAAAAGAAAAAAATAGGAAAAAAACTTGGGAAAAAGCAAAATTAACTTGGGAAAAAAAATTGGGAAAAATTTAATTTGGGAAGTTTGAAAACGACCTTGTGAAAAAAATTTGGGAAAAATAGCTTGGGAAAAAAAATTGACCATTTTTTATTTTCGAAAAATCGGTTTTTCCCAAAAAAAATACTCAGATTGGGGTTTGAAAAACCTACCTATCAGATTTTTTTTTCAAAATTTTCTGAAAATAATGAGACGTCAATTTCCTCGTGGTAGTTCACCGAAAACAGTCTATTTGTAAAAACATTTTTTTTTCATTTATCCTTTTTGTTTATTTTCACACTTTTTGTTATTTGATTTTTGACAAAATTTTGATATAAATTTCAGGCTTATCTAATTGAAATTGTCGTCGAAACATTAGCTGATGGAAATGAAATGGATAAACTACAACAAATTGTTACATATAGAGTTATTAATGATTCAAAACCTCTAGCGTTTCTATTATTATCTTATGAAGCAAGATGTTCGACACTTTTTCAAAGTGGGGTTGATATTTTAGCAAGAAACAAAGCAAGTGATGAAATTGTTGAAGTTATGTTAGAAAAACAACATATTGTTGATGCTTTTCGATTTATTGATGCTCGAAATCTCAACGAAAGTATTATTCCAAAAGTTGTTGAAGCTGCGAAACATTGTTCTAGACAAACACAATATGCTATTAAAGAACATTTGACTGAGAAAAAGGCAAAAGGTTTGTATTTTTATCGAAAATAAATTGACTGAAATTATATTTCAGCAACAATTATAAATTCCCTTCCTGATTTATATGAACAATCGGAGATTGATAAAACTGCCAATGAACTTGCCACGTGTCAAAGTTTCGAAGTATAAAAAGGTCTATTTATTGGATGCATATTTATGTTTTTCTTTTGAAAACGAGGTAATTGAAATGTACTTATAGACTCACAGTGATATTTATCTCATTTTTATCTGCTCAATTTATATGAATTTTAAAATTTATATTGAAATCATGAATTCAGAAACAAAAAATGAAATAAAAATGAATTTATTGAACTCAAGCATGAGCACAGTTTGAATAACCCAAATCACTAACATTAACATCAAAATAGTTCAAATGATCACTGATTGATCCATCTGGAAGAACATTACCATTTGAACAGAATGAACTCTCATCAACATCATCACAAATCAAATATTTTGTCATTTTTTCTTTGTAGTATACTTCAGCCTTATGATGTGTGTAGTTTTGCAAATTTTGAGTTGGCAAATGTGGAACTGGATCGTGAGCATGAGTTACTCGGAAACCATTTGGAACATATTTATCGAATGATGTGGCATAAGCTTGATCTCCAACACGTGGTTCACCAAATGTGACAAGTTGAACTTTGGTGTTATCATAAAGTTTGTTGTATGTAATGTATGAAGCAGCAAGGGAAGCCATTGCTCCACCCAAAGAATGTCCAGTGATCCAAACTTGATATCCTGGATATTTAGCAACAAGAGTGTTGAAATCATCCTTTATTCCACCATTCCACAAGTTCAAGAAACCATCGTTGAAATATGTTGAAACAACACCACCAGCAGACCATGGAGTCTAAAAATAAAGGAAATCATAAATATAACAGATTATTTGAAAAAAAAACTAACATGATATGTGAAAATAGTTTCAAGACCTTCCATAATCAATTGAACATTGTTAGTGGTTCCTCTGAATACAATAATGATAGCTTTGTCATCTGTACTAACAGCGGTGTAACCAACGCATTTATCAGTTGGAGAAGCATCACAACGGGTTTCAACACGGCGACGGAGCTAAATTTATTTATTTAAGGGAGACTAGGAAAATAATTTTTATGAAAAGTTTAGGATAGTAAACTTTGCAATAATTATTTTTTTTACTGAAGTTTTAGATTTTCGTCTTCTAAAAAATCTCTTGAAGGTCACACTAAAAATGGTCTAACTTTTGAGATTTATTTGATTTTCCATCCAATCTTCTTTTGAAAAATTTTTTTTAAAAATCATACTTGAGCTCCGTTGAAAACTTTATCCAAACAAGCTTGTGGATTACTTCCATAAGCTGCTCCAGAAGCATAGATCAACTTTTTGCGAGCAGTTGCATCATTGTATGGAATTGTGTATTGAGTGGAAGTTTCAGTTTTGAATGGAACAGCCATTACCATAACCCCAACAAGGGCTAACAGGATAATCGCCTTCATTCTAGAAAACAATTAGAAATTTTATGGATGGAAAATTTTTCAACTGCGAAAAAATTGATGAGAAAAAGTGATTTAACGAGAAAATAGACTCGAAATGATTACAATCAGTTAGAATCAATTAGTCTGATAAGACTCTTTATGGTATAAAGTTCAAATTTGCCATGCAAAAAACCGGAATTAATTTTTTGAGCTGAAAAGTGTCGCGTGATTTTTATCGTTTTTTGAGGGGAATTACGAAATAAATAGGAGATTACTGTATCATGATTTGTTACTTTATCAAATATTGTTTAGTGATGTAATGATAATCAACATAAAATAATACGTTTTGACTCAAAAATTTTCGGAAATTTTGTTGTTTGTGAAAATCGTGACAAATCACAAAATTAGTATTAAGCATGACGTGGCTATTTGATTGTTTCCACAAATCAACTCTTATCTGTTTTTTAATGTGTTTCTTGAAAACATTGTTCTTCCAAAAAGTAAACCATTTTTCCCAAAAAAAATAAACAAATAAATTAAATAACAAAAAAATGAATTATCTATAATGCAAATGCATGACAAGTGTGTCCATTTTTCCATGCTCCACAATAAGCTGTGTCTGCTCGAACTGTATAAACAAATGATTCGGCTGAACATATAACCACAAATCGTTGAAGTTTATGTTCTTCTAGAACTCCTTGGAGAGCTTTTGCTGAGTCGACTGCATTTGGATGCATGTTCTAAAAATAACTGTAGTTATCGATTCTCGAAATTAAAATCAAGAAACTTACATCAACAATAAGTTTTTTGAGTTCAGGAGAATTGCAAAGACTATCCTTGTCATTGCTTGTGATTCCAAAAAAATCAGGCTTAGCAGGACGTTCTGGCAAAGGATCTAGAAAATTATAGATGATTCATAAAATGGTATAAAATATTTGTTGCAAACCTTTTCTTTCTACCTCCACATCCTCCACAATGTGATTGTTGATGACAACATCCACCCATTCCAAATAATCCAGGACAAGCAGCAGCAATTGTAATCAAAACAGCCAGAATAAGAAGAAGCTTCATGTTTTTTTTGTATTTCGAGACGCTTTCTGACCTCACAAAGCATTTCACGCTTTTATACCGTATTCTTCAAGGCGGGACTTAGAATAAGAATAATAATTTTTCGTTTTATGTTTTTTGTTTGGAACAAGAAAAACGAAATAATTAGCCAGAGTAAACTTTCTCTTTAGTGGATCAACATATTTGACAGGTTTCTATCGAAAAATAGTACAATTGGAACTAGTAGGTTGTAAGTAATCTTTGAAACATTAAAAAAAACAACCAATAATTTATTTCGTTTCGGAATGTTATAACAAAATGTACAAGTACAAAAAAATCCACAAATCAATTAATAATTCAAACATGGAGATGTTTTATTATCCATTGAATACATTTCTGGATTATCATACATACTTGCAATACATTTTAATCGATTATATTCATTTACTTCGGCAAACTCTTGTGGATAATAATTTGGATCATAATATCCAATCATTCCACCATAACTTGCTGGTGCACATTCACAAGGAACCTCTTTCCATGTACTTGACCAATCTGGTTGATAACTCAAATTATGCCAGATTTGATCAAGTGGAGTTGGCATTTTCTTACATGAAAGAAGTTCGTCTTTTTCAACTGGAACATCAAAATATCCACAGAACCATTTGAATGCTTTTATTCTTCTTGATTCTCCACCTCCTCCTGGATTTACTTTATCTTCTCCAGAACATTCATTATTAATAATAAGAGAAGTTGGTCCGAATATTGGACCGGTATAACCAGCCGCTTTATTTTTCTCTCCGCTATTCCAATTTCCCATAACAATATCATGCATTGCTGGTTTTGGTGGTTGAGGTGTCATATAAAACCATAAAGATGCGAGAATTGACAATGGCGGATCCATCTTAGTCATCACTAAATTAGGTTCCTCCAAAAGATCAACACTAATGTTTTGTGTTTTCAACCAATCATTGAATTGACCATAATTATAATTGTATGAGATTTGAATAGCACCTCGACCAAAATAACATCCTTTGAATGGAGAAGCTGGATTTCCACTCGATTTATTTGCACATTCATAGAAATAATTAATTTGGGCTGAAGATGAACAATATAATCCACCAAGTGAACAAGAATCTCCATCGATTGGTTGATGTCCAGGATTTGCTGGATCTAAAAATCCTGACGTCGGACCACCTTCAAACCAATTGAAGAAACCGCCTCGGTAGAAACAATTTGAGGCAGCTTGATCACTCATTGTGCTGTAAAAAGTGAACGTTTTATATACAATTTTTGGAATTTTTCGACAAACTCGTAAAGCGCGATATTGTTCTCTCCAGTTTCTTGAATTGCATGCGCAAAAAATGTTGCCAAGTCTCGTTTCTTGTTCTCATTTTGACTATAAACAGTGTTGTTGACGTTCAAACCAGTTCCGAAATTTGGAAAATATCTCGAGGCAATAATGAAAGCTTCATAAGAATATGGCCAACAACTGTGTGGTCCCCAACCAAGATTTGCATTCGGGAAAAGATCCTGAGAGTTTATTGGGTTTTTTAATTCAAAATTCTAAAGTATTTCCAAAGATACCTCAAACATTTCTTGTGTAAACCAAGATTCTAGTTCGGTTTTCGGTTTATTATTTGGATCTGATGGTGCTATACAATCTGCTGGCGGACCTTTTCCATATTTTGCAGCTCGAGGGCAATCACTTGCTTTTCCATAATCAATTGTTGAAACTATGGAGTTATCTGAAATTATAATTGATTTCCTCAAAAAAAACATTGAAAAACCCACATAAACTTAGGCTTAAAAATAAAGCGAAAATAATACGGTATCTCATGATTAATAAAAAATAATGAAGAGAAAGTGTCTTTTATAATAAAAATAGTCTGATCAAGATATGCCATATTATTCATAAAAAGATATGAAAAGTATACAAAACCCACCAGTGTCATCAAAAAATGCGCCGATTACATCGTCGTAGTTTGTTGTAGATGCATTGATTCTGTCAGGAAGGTCATTGAGCAGGTTTAACTGGAAATTTATGAAAATGAATTATTTCAAATCTGCACGTTTCTTCACAATTTCAAAGATCACATAGTCATATTTTTTAAATTACACGAACGATTTTATGTTTACAATAAATGATAGTGTTAGATAAGTTTTTCTGTCAAAACAATCGTCTTTGTTCTTTTTCATTTTTGTTTTTTCAAATATTTGCTCATTTCATTTACCGAATGGTCATTAGAAATCCATCATAATTAGGTAAATTGTTGACCAGTTTTTTGCCGACAAAAATCAACGAGACATTAATTTGTGAATTTTCTGACGTCATTTTGTCAGGAAGTTTGTGAAGAGGACAGGAAGAATATCGGGGGATGAATAATTGCAAAGTTAATTGGTCGAATTAAAAAGTCGTTTTGTTGGTTGGGGAAAATTGGAACTTTCTATGAACTGGGAAGTGAATCTTTTTGTGCTAAAGACTTTCAATTTCTGGGGAAAATTCAGAAAATGGGAATAAGCATAACTATTATAAATAGTTCAATTCGTTATTTTTCAAATTGAAAAATTGAAAGACACATTTTTAACGGGTCATTTTTCTGATTTTGTAAGGATCATTTGGTTTTTTTTAGAGAAATTCTCTGAATTTTCAGGATTTGATTAAAGCTTGGAATTAAAAGTATTCGCTGAGAATTGAATTTATTAGGAATTGATATCGAAACATTCAATATTTGTTAGCTGAGCAGCTAACTTAGCTCAAAATTATTAAATTTTATTTATAACTAACCTCTTCATTATTTCCATCCAAACTATACACAATCGCATTTAAAACCGACAAAACATTATTCCATAATAACATACCGTGCAAAAGAGCACACAATCTGAACAACAATTGAAGAAATCGAAAAAATGAAAAGGTGTGAGGCTTTTCGTTCATAGACGCGTGCTCTTTTTCTTTTTTCCGCGCACCGTCGCGCGGAACAAATAAAAACTATAGCAAACAAACATATTAATACACAACAATACCTAACAACAATTAATACTTTTTCTCTTAAATCAAGTTGAGCTTTTGAAAACGTTCTCAAATAATTTATGGAATAGAAAGAAAGAAACATTTGAACAAAAAACCCGTTAAAAATAATGAGAGAAAATTCGATAAATTAAATTATAAAAATAATTAATTAGGTTTTGAACTGAAAATTTTCATATACATATTTTGTTCGTTTTTCAACTGCCTCAAAAAGCTTTTTCTGATAATTTGTTGGATAATCTGTCATTGATAATGGTCCAAATTTCAATACACCTGCTAACCATTTCTTTCCCCAAGACCACATGGTTTGATCTCGATAATGTCTAAAATTTGAACAATTTTTCAAAATAACGTTTGTATCAAAAACTGCCTTACCTCACAATTCCCTCTTCTGGTAACAATTGTTTTATAACATGGCCAGGATACATAATTTTTGGAAAATGAGTCCAAGTTTCGAATACTTTTCTTGGATCAACAATACATTTTACAGTATGATTTGGTGGTCCAACAGAAGATGTATTATGCCATCTCAAAGTTGGCATCCATTCCAATATTTGTTTTTCTCCTGTATAATTTTGAGGCATCATTTCAGTTTTCAAAATCCATCGCTGTCTAAATTGAATTCCACCAATCGTTTCATTTTTCAAATTATCCAAATAATTCAAAATAGTTCCTGTATAATTAGTCATAATTAATCTTTCGTCAATATCCGCAAAGATACTCCATTTTGATTGTGCGCGACTTCGAATAAGACAATCCTAAAATATGAATTCAATTTTTCAATTGACATTAGTTTTTGAAACTCACTGAATATTGGATCATTGGCCAACCATGATCTTTTCTTTTATAACGATCCAATAAATAAATCACTTCAACTTCTCCAGTTCTAACATAATCTTGAAGTAAATAACTATCGTATTCAGAAATATGTGAAACATAAAGGTAGAAATGATCCGCACCCTAAAAATATATAGTTTTTATCAATTTTCACACCCTTTTTCAATGACATCAAATGCTCTTTTCTACGCACATTTGCAATTATTATCAAAGTCTTTGTGGTGATCAAACCACACCCAAACTTTTCTTATCGTAGAAAATAATAAATAAAAAATAGCTACCTGAAGTTTATAATGCTCAATCATTTCTGTCAAAAGTAACCATTTTGGTTCTGGTCCATACATTGGTGTCATACACATCGAAAGATTGTATTTTGGTTCTGCAAAATTTTATTTGTGATGAAATTCTCCATTTTTTCTCAAAAACAAAAATCAAACCTGTGATTCGATTGAGAAGTGGAATTGGAAGAGTTGGTTCAGAATTTGATTTAACACTTATTGATATTTTATGAGTTCCTTTTCTTTTTGGGCAATAAATTGTCCATTCTGGATATGTAAAACTTTCAACACTTTGCTCGATTTCTTTGTCAGATGAATCGAAATATCGACAAAAAACAACTCCTCTGAAAAAAGCTCATTTCTAATTGCAAATTGAAAAAAAATGAAATGAGCATACCCGTTGATATCTGGAGTGGTATGAGAAATGACATATTCGAATTCGAATTCATAAGCTTGTAAAATTGATATAGTTTTGACCTCTGGAGTACTGTTTTTCTGAAATTCAGAGTTTTGGCGATTTTTTGATTACAGTACTAACCTTTGCTTTTTTGATAAATGAATCTCTTTGTTTTCGATACCATTGAAATCGATCACTTCCATCAATCAAATATTCTTTACCATTATTTGAATTTTCAATTCTGTTTTCTGATTTGGAGAAAACTTCGAATTTTTTGAGAGGAACTTGACTATCAGGTATTGTGAAAAGTTGCAACAAAAATACTAGAAGAATGAAAATAGGAATAAGTAGAAAAAGTCGATTCTTCCGATTAATCATAGATAGCTGAAAACAAAAAGTAATAAAAGTCTGAATCAGAAAAAAATTTTGAAATAAAACGTTTTATCAAGAGTTCGAAATATGATAAAAATGTTCTTTATTTGACCAGACCATGTTTTATCTTTTGTGGTTGAGTCGGAAAAGAAAACTTGGAATATTTTTCGTTATTTTTTAAATCATGCGCTAGTTCAACAACATTTTTTTTGGAAAAATAGACATTAAAAATCGGGGAACGAGGACAAAAATATGCAAATCATAAAAAGTGTCAATAAGATAAGAAAACAGTACCGGTAACTCGAACAAAAACTGATTCTACAATGAAATTATTTTTTGCCGGCCACGTATTCTGCCACGAGTACACGTTTCACGTAATTTAATTGTTTTTTCGATTTCATCTTTTTTTTCTTTACTAAATTTTCAGAAATGACATATTTTCTTCTTTTCAAAAATTTTGTGAAACATTTTATCTTTCAGGAAAGTTGGGGCTATTTTTAGGACTCATCATTTAGATTTTTGATTCTTTACCGATAAAAGAAATGAACAGAATCATTGGAAAATGTGCTTTTTTATAATCAAACCACACCCAAAACACAAAATTAGAAACATTGCAATAGAAAAGTTGCCAATTGACAAATAAATATCACCAGCAGGACAAAAATAGAACATTTTTCAAACTCATGAAAGTTTTGAAAAAAACTAATCCAAAAACACGTGTATTGAATCGCACGGCATGAAAATGTTTTTCAGATAATTTCTACATTCGAAAGTGTCATTTCCAGATTTCTCGCCAATGTCACCATTTTTCACGTCAAAAGAATTCCAAAACTTTTTTTCAGAAAAAGTTCCAGAAAGTTTTACCACTTTCCCTTTTTTTGAAATAATTACAGGTTCACTTTTTTGTTCAGTCAGACACAAGTTTCAATCTTCATCTCAATTATTATTATAATATATTATGAAGAGTGGATGTTGCCAATACCAAAAAAGGTTTCACTTTTCTGTCGTTCATGAACTTTTTATTAGTTTTTTTTGGTTTCAGTTTATTTCTTGTTTTCGGATCAAATTCAGTTTATAGTATAGTGTATTTATGTTATAATTCGATAAAATTACAAAATTTCCAGCCATGACAAATTTAATTCCATCGACACTATCATGTTTTATATTTTTGATAACAATTAATCATTCCACCCAATTATTCTTCGGAGGTGGTGGTTGTGGTGGAAGAAATGTATATCAACCACCACCTTGTTCATGTTCTCCTATTGCTCGTCCAACATATTCTTCTCCATGTGCAAGTGCAAATAATTATTATCAAAGACCTGTATATCAACAACCACAGCCTGCATATTATGCACCACAAAAACAATCATATATTCCTCCCCCACCAATTTCATCTCATTCAACTTATGAAATATCAACACCAAGATCTCAAGTTTATATAAAACCAACAACTCGAGTAACTCCTGAAGTTGGATATACGGAAGATTCGAATACACCATTGATTATTGAAAAATCGTTGAAAAGTCTTACAGATCAGGATGTGAGTTAAGAAAACAGTTCAAATTTCAATTCTGATACATTATACGTGTATTTTTAAAGAACAATTTTTGGGGAGTTTTTATATTTAAGTGTCACCACAATTATTTTTTTGTAAGTTTCGTTACCTTCAGAGTTTTTTTTTCAAATTTTCCAGTCTTTGTCAACTTTTGAATCATCCCTTGAAACTTATAAAATGCAAAATCGAGGTGGATTGAGAAGAGCTCAAGCTGCAAAACAAATTGATTTTGAAGACGGTGAAAAATGTTCGAGTATTGAATTGAAGAAAATAATTCTAGAGGTTTGTAAAATTAAAGCCCTCAAATTAACCTTGCAACTATTTTGCAGGCAATATCTGAAAATGTGTCGATTTCGAAACTTCGAATATCACAAAAAGCCAAGAAAATATTTGGTTATAATTTCGATGTGATCTGCAGTGAACATGATTTTTCGTATCTGATTTCGTCAAATATTCATTGTCGTGTTCAAAGATACGGTCTAATTTGTCTCGCTTATGAAAATTGATTTTGTGTTCTTATTATTCATTAAAACCCGCAGATTATATAAGTTACAGTTACAAATGTTTCTTATTTCTCAAATTAAAATCCAGCATTCGTCATTTGTTCCAACATATCAGCATCTTCATCTTCATTGAATTCAATTTTTGGAGATGCATCTTTTTCAAATGTTTGATCAATTAATTGCAGATCTTCTGGAACTTGTGGAGAAGGAGGCAAAAGTTGACGAGGGAAATTATTGAGCATTGTGTTTTCGAGAACTTTGATATAAGTTCCTTGATTACAAAGAGATGTTGTACAAACACATAAAAGTGAAGAATGTTGAGTTGGTGGAGCTGGAGAATGACGAGTTGCAAAACGACGATATCGACGGTGAATTGATGAACTCTGAAGTAAAAATGTAATCCGGAAAATTATTTGATTAATTACCATATCAACATTTTGACACATATTTGCTCCTGGAATCATCATTAAATATTGATAGATTGGAGTTGCTGGAGGAGTACAGAACTTTCGAACAACAGATGTTTCTCCATCGAAAATTACAGCCATTGAACAAGATTCTGATCCAGAACATTTAGTTTTCTAAAAAAACATTACTGGCATAATTTTGTTATTTTTCTTCTTTGAAACAAACCCTATCAATACACGGACCAGCTCGTGTTGAATCTGTGTTACAAGTATAACATTCAAACGACCAAACAGTTGACACAAAAACAACCAGAAAAACGACCAAAACTCTCATTTTACAGCAATTTGTTTCTGAAAATGAAAAAAATAAAAACACTAAATAAATAAGTTGATTGGTTAGAAAAAGTACAGAGTGATTGATCACATGTTTATTAAAAAGAATTTAAATGGCAAAAAAAGTTGCGGATAATTAGACGATAAAATCTTCCTCGTTTTTTTTTTTGTTTGGAAAACTACTTAACTGACTGGTTTGAGATAAATTTGGAGGAATTTTAATTTGGTAGTTAAAAATTATTGAACAACTAAATTTGAGTCATGGTCGGAAAAATAATATTTTTTTTATGTTATTTACAAGGTTGAACAACCGGTTGATTATTATGAACTACGAAGTTAAGAACTATATCTCACTCAGTTTTTGTCAACCAGAAAAACATGGAAAACCTCCAAAAACATCAATATTAACCGGAAAATTGATGCAATTAGTCAACTCGACACGAATACTTGACACCAAAAAAAAACGCTGGCGGTTAGAGGAAAAAGAAAAACAACACAAACAGTCTTCGGAAAAAATAATAATGGAAAAAAGAAAGTATCACTTTCATTCATATCGAAGAAAGATAATTAGGTCGGCGAAAGTTTTCGGTTGTTTTTTGTTTAGAGATTAAAGCTGATTGGATTAGTTGGATTCGATTGAAATTGTAGATTTTGATGAGGGAAAAACACTGATGGAATACTTCAATGTTAGGTGAAAATTTTGAGACAAACAAAACTTTATTTATTATCATATTTTTTTTTCAAAATATGATAATAAATAAATAAATACATAATTAATTATGTTTTTACAAAATTAATGTGTCTTATTTTATTTCGTATTTTTTCTGGAGTCGTGAGATAATTTCAAACAAAAATGTGGTGCGATTCGGATTTTCCGTTGGCCTGATTATCATTTTAAATATAGTCTATGTCATCAGATTCTATAGATCCCACCATAAAAATACAATTTTTCAGAATATTTCTCAAAAAAAAACAAAACATCTTTGAAATCGGGTTCGGCTTTACCCGATTCCTCAAGTTCGATTCAAAAAATTTTAAAATTAAAATGATTTAATTTTTTCACATGAATAAATTATTAATTGCCACGTGTCACGTTCACGCGCCAAATAGAGTTTGATATTCCACTTTTTAGAAATCATTCTCAATTTTTCTTTGCATTCCACTTCACCTTCACAATAGTTTCAAGTATGTGTTTTTGTCATGTCATTAAAATGCACATTTTTTCCAGAGTAGCTCTGAATAATCGAGTTTGTATGTGCATCCAAAAAACTGCTCATCCACAAAAAAACCCATTTTCTTCTTCGTTTTTCTCCTGCCTGGCTGACTGCCACAAAAAATATGTTCTTGTCATTTTCGCCGTCGCCCATTTTTCTCTTCAGCCAAAAACTGCGCGGATATTCAAATTTTCTTTTTTTTTTTAGTTCTTTTTTCCCGTTGTTGTTTTCTGCTTTTCTGAAGAGTTTCCACCTCTTTTTTCTTTTTTTTTCTCCTAGTTGTTTTTGGATGGAACAATATTTTCTTATAATAATTTATTTATTTATTGATGTTCATGTTGATGTGTTTTTCTCAGATAAATATATTTCTAGAAAATTTATATTATTTTATTTCGAGGAAATGTGAACTTTTCATAAATTCCAAATTATGCACTGCTTTCAAAATTTTCGCGAGAAAACTCAATTTACTCTTTCCTTCTTCTCTCATCCTTTTTTTCCACTCGATCAGATAACTTTTTCGTTTTCATTTTTATGTCATAGATTTATTTCCAGATGCTCAAGTATGCTTTTCTCACACTTTTGACTACATTATTTTTTGTTTCACACGCTTATAAGATTGGAGCAATTTTTCGAGAAAAAGAAGATGCTCATATTGAAGCAGCTCTCAGGTATCGAAATTTGAGAACTTTTCGGAAATATCCAAGGTCATCTGTTTCTTTTTTAGATATACAGTTGAATGGTTAACTCAACGTGGTATTTATGGTGATATTGATGTAGTTATTGAATATATTGAAGTTTTGGATCATTATGATGCTCTTAAAAAAGCATGTAAAATGATTGAAAAGGATCATGTTGTGGCACTTTTTGGTGGATCACATCCAGCACTAAATGCACAATTGGAAAGACTCACCGATGAGGTATCATTTTTTCAAATCATAATTTTTATCAGAAAAAAAACCTATTTTCTAGCTTGATATTCCACTTTTAACTTCAATCGATGATTTGGAAAATTCACAAGGTTTTTCGAAAATCGATTTTTGGCCGAGAGCTGAACTTTTTGAGGCAATTGTTGATTTATTTGAACATTGGAAATGGACTAGAATTGTTCTTGTTTATGAAGAAGATATTAGGATAAGAAGATTGGAAAAATTATTGGAAAGCGAAAAATATTCACATATAAAGTTTTATCTCATCAAAGTTGATAATAAGGATTATTTGAAAGCTGCGAAACAAGTAAAAGAACTTGAAGAATGTCGAGTTCTTCAAAAAAGAGATTGTTCGGAATTTAGTCGAATATTAGTTGATATGAATCCTGAACATACTTATAATTTTTTACTTGCATCACTTCAAATGGGATTGATTGAATTGAAACATTGGTATCTTTTAACTAATATGGAGTTGGAATTTATGGATATGGAACTATTCAGATATAATCATGCTAGATTTATTTCTCCTCATCCAATTGATGATAATTTTATAACAGAATATCGAGATACATTCAATTTTACATATTTCAAAGAACATGTTAGTTCAAAATGGGCGATTAAAACAGAAAATAACAAGAATTTGAAAATCATGGAAGCTGTTTTCACATTTGACGCTGTTTTCGCTTTTGCAAACATTTTTAATACACTTTCTGGAGAAATGCAAATGAATGATACACCACAAACAATGTGTAGAAAAAGAGATCGAAATTCGAGAAAATATCAACATGGAAGAAGAATTATTGATAATATTGTTGGAAATGTAAGTTAGGCAACAATTAAGAAAAATAATTTATTTCAACTCAGGAGTTGCATGGACTTTCTGGAGATCTTCGAAGATTAAAAAGAGACACGATAAGTTTATATCAAAGAATGCCAGATAAAGTTCCGAATAACTTCACAATGGGCATCAAACTTCTGGGATACAGCGGAAAATTGGATAATGTAAGTTTGATCATTCAGAAATTGAATCTGAAAAAAAGAATTATTTCATTGACACAAATATAAAACTCACATTCTTTCACAAGACTATTAAAATCTCTTGGTTCGACCAATGTTCCATAAGATGAACATTCAACCAAAATTGTGTTCCAGTTTTTTGCATTTATCATACTCTGTTTATTACCAAATATAAAATCTAAATGTCGACATCTTGATAATGCAACATTTATTCTTTTATCATCAATCATAAAATCACTCGATTCAAATGATGTTGTTCTTGTTGTACAAATTATACAAATATCCCATTCTCTTCCTTGTGAAGAATCAACACTTCCAACATAAACTTCTGATTTTTTCGACCATTCATAAAATTCATTCAATTGTCCTCGATAAAAACAAATAATCGCAATTTCCGATTTATCAATATATTTCAATAATTGATCTACCAAATTCATTGCCATTTGAGCTTCTTTTGTATTTTTTAACGATGTTCCATTTTGAGAATGTGATGTTTGTTCGGTGTTCACAAATAATATTGGATATTTTTGAAGCATTGGAATAGTTTTTAGCTTTTCTTCTGTTTTTGAAATTCTGTGTAAACTTTTGAGTGAAGAATTATAGAAAAGTCTACCAAGAATATTTGTTATTTCTGGTCGACATCGAAAAACACCATTGAAAAATACAGAAGGAAGAATATCTTTGAATTCTTCCAAAAAGTTTCCAACAGCAGTTTCCAAAAGTAAAGGAGATGCAGTTCTTTCACAAAATGGGGCAAGTTGTCGATGATCTCCGACAAAAGAATATGTACACTTTTGAAGACAAACTGCAATTTGAATGAGATTTTCTCTTGACAACATTGATGCTTCATCAATTTGTAGAGTTGAGACTCGACTTGAATATCGCTTCATTGTTCTTGAGAAAGAATTGATAACTGAATCAACTGTTCCCACAATTATTTTTGGTGTTTCTCTATCCAAATAAAAAGATACAAGACGAGAATAACTGCAATTCGACGATGTTTCGAAAAGTCGTGTCAGTCTTATTGAATTCAAATCAGTAATTTGGAGCAACTTCTGTTCACGCAAAAAATAAATGATCTGTTTGAGAAGTTTATCATCAATATTTTTTTGAAATTCTCTTTCATCTTCAATCTTCACAATTTTCATAAAATAGTCAGCCATCATTTTTGGAAAATCGCAATCTGTTAATAATTCTGGTTGAATCTCTTTCATATTATTTTTCGATATGAGTCGAATAATTTCCACATCGGGTTTCATTGACTTCAATTTTTCAATAACAGCCACAACTGCACAATTTGTTACAGCACTGATGACGTGGAATTTATCCGGTTGTTTTTCAGTTAAATATATTGTTGTAGCTGCAATTGTTGCAGTTTTTCCACATCCAAATGAACTTGAACCAATAACTGCAATTGTTTTTTCATTTGCCATCAATTGTGCATATTTTGTTTGAGTTTCCAATAATACAAAATCATTTATTCTGATCGGATAAATTTCTGGAATATCTTGATGTTCTAATAATTGTCCTCCATAAATCGATTGAATTAATTTATCAGCTTTTGAATTCTCTTCAATATCAGAATAGGCCATTCTTCTTGGCGTTATCTCATCTCTCTGTATTACTGTAATCGATACATTTTTCGACAAACTTCGATTGAAACTGCTCATTTTTGCTTTGATTTTGATTTTCGATGTTTTTTGGGCCGTCATAACATCTGCCTGAAATTCTCTTTCTTTCGTCAAAATCCTGATTTTCACAGCTCGATCCCATTTTTCCATCGATGCTTCATTTGAAATTGAAAATGTTACAATCGCAGAAGAAGATTCAATATATATTTTATCAATTTTTGTTTTGTAGATATTTTCATCGACTTGATCTTTCTTTATTGTATATATTCCAGATGATCCATGTTCCACAACTTCTTGCAGTTTTTCATAGCCTTTTTCTCGAGTATTATACTTGAAAACATTATTATTTTTCTCAAACATTTCAATAATACCATCAGAAGCTTTTGATGCTCGAAAAACGAATATTGGTAATTTCCCAAGTTTGGGAACTTTCAGTGTTCTTTGAACAATTTCATCCCGATGTTTTTGAATTAAAGAACCCAAATAATGTCCTGGTTGAGCAATTGGAATAAAAATATCCCCCTCAAGAATTGTATCAATTTTAGTACCTTCCGGTGTCATTTTTGGATATAATTCAATAACTTCATCTATGGATTTGGTAACACAGTTGAATCCTCCTTCAAAAGTTGTAAATGGTGTTAATATTTTCGAATTTGCAATATTTCTTTCCATGATTGTAGAATGGAACACATACCATTTATTCGAAAACTTTAACATTCCAGTAACCTTGATGACATCTCCAATGAAGATTTTTGAATTGTTCTGTTCCTCAATGTGAACTATTTGAAGATCAGGTCGATCATCTGCTACAATCTCATAAAAAATTGGGCGGCATTCGAAACCGTTGTCTTTTTTTGAAGTAACCGAATATAATGCAAAAACTCCGTCATCTTGGCCAAAACAATCTCTGTCTTCAGAACATTGTCTGAACTTTTGAATATTTTCCAATGTCACAAAAGTGAAAATTGTTTGACGTGAATCAGTTACAACTTCAAGATCGTTGCATTTGTAAAACTCTTGCCATGGATGATCCAATGAAATATTGAATCTTTTTATTCTTTCAATGACGTCATCTTAACAAAAAACATTTAGAAAAAGTTATTAAAACAACTGTCTCACCTGTCTCAATCATTATGTTAATAAGCAATGAATATGTGTAAGCAATAAAGAATTTGAAATAAAAGATTATCAAATACTTTTGAATATACAAGCGACTAATCTGCCTCCACTAAAAAAATGAGAAATAATGCGAGAAAAATAATGTTCTCGATCTATTATGTAGTATTTAAAAAACTCTGTTTCTCTAACATAAGCAATAATTTCGCAATCCCAAACAACAAGAAAGAGCGAACACATTAGAACTATGTGGCAACGCCAGGTGGTTCACAAACATTTTGTCTTACGCGCTGATGCGAAATATACGCTGCAGAATAGAAAACACGCTGCTTGCCTATTGTATTTTATGGGGATTTTTTTCGAAACAGGAACCCCCGGATAAAAAAATAGACATGTTAAAGGTGTAAACATTGGAGAACTTTGCTTTTTGCGGGGAGAATTTCATTAAAACATAATAATAAATTAAATAGAGTATCAGCTTGTCGAATGTTTTCCAACTATTTTTCACCTGATCAAATAAAAATGTAGTTTCTCATAAGCAAACTACACACAAAAAAATAATCCTGCTCAATTATTTTTATATTAAAAATTGTTCAAAAAATCAACAAAAAAACCAACAAAAAAAATGTTTTTAGATTGGTCATTGGACATCTGCTACGAATGTTCATGTAAATATGTCGGGAGATTCAAAAGCTCAATTACAAAAAAATGTACAAGTTTCGGATGAACTGAAACCACATTTTCGAGTTACAACAATTATGGAAAGACCTTATGTTATGCTTAAGAAAAATCATTATGAACTTGATGATAATGCAAAATTTGAAGGTTTTTGTATTGATTTACTTGCTGAATTATCAAAAGATCTCGGTTTTACATATACAATTCACGCTGTAAAAGATGGAAAATATGGAAATGATATTTATGGAAATGGAAGTTGGGATGGAATGATTGGAGAAATTTTGAGAAATGAAGCTGAAATGGCTGTTGCTCCATTAACTGTTAATTTTCGAAGAAGTGAAGTTGTTGATTTCACAAAACCATTTTTAAGTTTGGGAATAAGTATTTTATATAAAGTTCCCGATGATCAACAACCCGATTTATTTTCATTTTTGAATCCTTTGAGTTGGCAAATTTGGACAGCAATCGCAACCTCAATTAGTAAGTTTTTGAAAATTTGAAAATAAATATACTTTGTGATTACAGTAACCGTCACATTGGGAATGTATTTTGTTGCAAATATCACCCCTTATGAATGGAATCTCAATTTTTCTTGTTGTACTGCTCACGAACCACATCCAGCAGCTGCTTTTTCATCATGTAAGTAATGAAATCCAATAAATAATTCTTTCAAAAATTCTGATTATTTCAGTAGTTCCTGCTCAAGAGACTCCAATTCAAATGTCAAATAATTATAGTTTTTGGAATACAGTTTGGTATGTTTTAAGTACAATGCTAAAAGGTGGATGTGATTTTGGACCAAGAGCAGTTTCGACAAGATTGTTAGGAGGTTGGGAAATTCACAAACTTATTTCAAGTAATTGTATTTTTTAGGTACTTGGTGGGTATTTTACCTTGTTGTAATATCAGCTTATACTGCAAATCTTGCTGCTGTTCTAACTGTTTCTCGGCCTTTTATTCCAATTAAAAATCTTGACGATTTGGCAAATCAAACAACAATATCATACGGAACAATAAAAGATGGATCAACTATGCAATTTTTCCAAGAATCAAAAATTCCATCACATATTAAAATGTGGAGTTATATGAAAGGAAAAGAAGTATTTGTGAAAAGTAATGGAAAAGGTGTTGAAAGGGCATTGAGCAGTAATTATGCATATTTAATGGAATCAACATCGCTCGAATATGAAACACAACAAAATTGTAATTTGACACAAATTGGAGGAGTCTTAGGATCAAAGGGATACGGTATTGCATTAGCAAAAAGTTAGTTTTCTATTTTAGTTGTTATCCTATTTTTTTTTGAAATTTTAGAATCTGAATGGACTGATAGAATATCACGACAAATATTATTATATGCAAAACGTGGAATCATTGAAATGAAAAAAACAAAATGGTGGAGAAGTAAAGGAGCAACTTGTGCAAGCACATCTTCATCTGTGAAACATGATAGATTTGCATTAAGTATGCATAATGTTGCTGGACTTTTTATAACTCTTGCAGTTGGAATTTGTTTGGCTGCGATTGTTGTTGTTTTCGAATTGATTTACCGATGTCATCATATTTCGAAAAAAGAAGGGGTGCGTTTATTTTTTTTTGAAAGTATTCCAAAATCAAAAATGTATATTTTTTCAGAAACCATTCCTTTCTGAACTTCTCTACGAACTTCGATTTGCTTTGAATATGAACAGTCTTTCTGATCATCGATCTCGTCAAAAAATCAATGGAAACGATAAAAATCTTCAACAAATCCCGACTCAAAATAAAAATAACAATAATAATTATAACGTGACCAAAACAACATTGTAAATTTTTAAATAAAAAAATGTAAATAAGGAATAAACGGTTTTCATTCATTTCTATTTTTCTCGATTCATTTATCAAAATGGTTTACGGTGGAGGTGGCTATGGAAGACCTGGAGTTTATGGAAGACCAGTAATTTATGCGAGGCCAGCCGTTTATCATAGACCTGTAGTTTATCATCAACCTTATTATCATACTTATTGGGTATGTTTCAAGTATTTTTTAGAGGGGAAAAATAATGAGAAATCAAAAATATCTCAAAAGTTATAGCACCTTTGGAAAAATTCAAGATCTTCTGTAAAAAATTATGCAGTGATTCTAGAAAAAACATTCGTTTCCCTCTTCAAAAAAAAAAAACATACTTATAGTATTATCCTTCATATCGTGTTGGAGGTGCAGTTCCAATGTATGGAATTTATACTGCTGGTGGTGTTATTCTTCTTATACTCTTGATCTTTATAATTATTATATGTTGGAGATGTTGTAAGTTTTGTCTTGAACTATTTTTTTACCGAATTACTTTGATATTTACAGGTTGGACTCCGGCAGAACCAGTGGTTGTTGCTCATGATGTTTATGCTGAACCAGTTGTTTATGAAGATCCTTATATGTATCAACAACCAGTTAATTATGGATATTATCCACAACAATATCAACAAGGTTATCCGCAACAACAACAATATCAATATCAAGGATATCCTCCTCCAGCATATCAACAGACTCCAGCTCAACCTTACTCAGCACCTCCAGTGCAAGAACCTGCGCCTACTCCAGCACCGGCACCCGCGCCTTCAACACAACCTGCTTCAAAATCAGTGTCACCCAACAATAAAAGCAAGAAAAGTTCGAAAAAAACTGACAAAAAATAAATTATTTTAAAAATTATGTTACAGTAATCCTTCTTTCTAAAAATCAGCTCTATAGACCGGATAAAAAATATACTGTAGGTTTCCTGATATTTTTCAATTATCAACTGCCGGAAGTGCATTCGGAAGCAACCTAAAGGAAATTGGATTTTTTATTTTCATTTTTTTCGCCAGAAGCTCATTTTCGCTAATGGAAAAGCAGGCGAAATTTTCCTCATTTTTTATTCTTCAAAAATGTATAGGTTAGAAAATTTTCTTTGCCCACTAACCAAAGTTAGTTTTTCAAAGTATTCCGTATAAAATATGTAGTTGTTTCTCTTCAAAAACTCGCGAAAATGTGAGGAATAGAGTTTTTTGCAACACAAACATGTAGAGTGCGCCAAACGCGCTCTAATGCAAACATTCGAATTTGAATTTTCGAATTTTTGCTTTTTCTTTTTCCCGCGTGAACCGTTCGTTCATTTCGAAAAATTGTCACGCTAAATCGATTAATCATTTTTTGCCTTTTCAGAAAAATGTTGGGAAATGCTTCATCCTCGGCAATAGCAGAACATGAAGCATACAGTCCTTCACGGCGGAAAATCACGAATACTTCATTTTCCACAACTCCAAACTTTCCTACTTCACCAAAACAAAGGCAATCAATTGCACCGATTACAGTTATTGATCATATTGTTAATTGGTTTCACAAAGAAGTGAGTTTAAATCACAATATCAAATATAGTTCGATGAATTTTCAGATCAATTATAGGAAACGTATTGCGGTTGGAGTAACTTCGGCAATCTGTAGTTTTTTATTCATTGTAGCTTGTACAATTTTGAGATTCTCTTTATGGTCTTTCAAAGGTAATTTTTCAAAATATGGTTACAAATATTTGATATTTGCAATTTCAGATACATTCACATGGTTCTTTCATCCAAATGAATGGATTCCGGTATTTGTTGTTGGAATAGTTGCATCAGTTGTCAGTGTTTTCACAATTCTTACAATTTGTAAAGTCGATCAACTTCAAAGATTGCCATATACGGAAAGTTCTTCATGGGCTTTAGTTGCATTGGATTTAGTTCAAAAATTGATATTTTCAAATTTTGCTATTTATATGAGCGGATTTTCTGAGACAACTGAAGGTTTTACACATTATGCTATTTCATTCGGACTTTTTGCATTGGCTATCGTATCAGTCTTCAAGAATGATTTTCACTATACTTTTCCAACAGTTCAAGTGGTTAGTTACTATTTTCAAATCATACATTTTTATAACATTTTCTTTTAGAATTCTTTCAATTCACTTTTTCAATTCATTGACCGAGTTCAATTTCCATATATAACTGAAAATTGTGCAATTGAAACAGTTCTTGCTTTCTTTACAATTCCTGCATCAATCATCATTTTTGGCCCAATGTTCAATGGTTTCCAAACTTGGTGGATTTTATTCAATGTTCCATTTTTCATCAAAATATTCGCTTTGCTTTTCATTCAACACTTCTATTCAAAGATTTATATGCATTTAGTCAATCAAATTGTAATGCGACCAATTAGTTTCATATTTCCACCAAGTTATGCAGTTTATTCTCCAACTCCTGAACAAACTCGAACTTTGACAAATGTTCTTGAAACAAGTGATCCAATGTTAAAAATGTTCGCATTATTTGATCTTCGCCAAGTCGCATGGAATGATGAAATTCGTCGTCGCGATGTATTCTCACTTTCTCAACCAGGAGGACATCCAAGAAATTGGAAATGTGTTTCATCTGTTTGTGTTAGACATCTAGATGAATTATGTTCAAAAATGAAAACATCTGCGGCAAGACTTGTTGGATATTCTTGGGCTGATCATGAAGACAACGAAGATGATGATATTCCAACACGTGATGCACTTTTAATGCCAAGAAGAATGCGTGAAATGACAAATCGCGTCAAATCAAGAAGACCTCAATACACTCAACAACAATCAAGTCTTATTCAAAAAATGTAAGTTGTATTTTTGAAAAAAACACAAACTATAAATTTAGTAGTTTACATAAGAACAAAAAATATGTTTCAGCCTTGGTAAATTCTCGATGATCACCCCGAAAAACGTTGTTTCTCGATATGATGCACAAATCAATTCGTATGCAGCTGAAGCACTTTATATGCTTATTATCGATTCACTCGGAGAAGATAAATATGGTGTTGTTCAAAAAGATCTCAACGATTTGATTGGATTGTTGTGTAAATTGATATCGAGTATTGATGCTTACGAAAGAGCAAGAGCTGTGAGTTGTTTTTTTATTAGAATTCATGTTTGTTAAAATCTCTGTCAAAATATGTGAGAATGTCCAATTTCAAGTTCATATTCAACTATATTTTATCCAGATTAATTGTTTGCAAACTCCTTGTAATTTCAGAGTATCGCTGACAAATCCGATATAACATATTTGAGAATTGTCGATTCTTCTCTTCAATCTTCACTTCAACGTGTTGTTGCTTCATTTGGAAATCATCTGAGATCTCTTAATTTGCCTGTTGAGAATCTCCAAACTATTCGTCTCGTTTGTCAAATCGACGATTTTTAATTATTCCGTTTTTTGTCTCTCTGTCTGTTTGTCTTTGTGAATAATATTGTTGTTATTTTTATTTTATTTTCAAAAAATTATCCAATTCCCCCCAAATCATCATCAATTACTAAATAATAGGAACAATTACAAGGACATTAGTGATAAACCCTTCTTCTTTTTATTGCCTTTTTTGGCGCATCAAAATTTTAGTCTTCTTTATTGATTTATTAGTTCGAATATGACTTCAGTACTTCAACGTAGACAATTTGGACTTATTGCTGGAATTTTGCAAATTATTTTTATATGTGCTTTTGCGAAACTTGGAAGATATATTGATCCAATTGATGATTCAAAACGTGTATTTTCTGGAACCGATTATCCATGTTTGTTTGAAAAAATAAATTCGTATAAAATTTGAAAATTACAGTATTCCAAGATGTTCATTTGATGATTTTTGTTGGCTTCGGATTTCTAATGGCATTTCTCAAAAGATATGGATTTTCAGCAATTTCAGTCAATCTTTTACTTTCCGCATTTGTCATTCAATTTGCAATTCTTTTAAGGGGTTGTTTATCAGATAATTTCAAAAATACTGGAACTTTTACAATTGGAATTCCCGAGTTAGTTGAAATTTCAGAATTTTTTAGACAAAAACGTTATTTCAGAATGATATCAGCTGATAGTTCTTGTGCAGCTGTTTTAATTACAATGGGTGTATTATTAGGAAGATTAACACCGGTTCAATTCTTATTATTAGCCTTTTTCGAAACAGCAATCAATGTTTGTGTTGAATTTGTTGTTGTGAATGTTTTACACGTAAATGATAGTGGTCGATCACTTACAGTTCATACATTTGGAGCATATTTCGGATTAGCTGCTGCTTTGGTTGGACACAAGAAAAATGTAATGGAAATGGATGAACACGGTGGAATTCATCATTCTGATCTTTTTTCAATGATTGGAACACTTCTTTTATGGGTATTTTTTCCATCTTTTAATGCTGCAATTCAAGAACCTGAAGATGCGAGACATCGTGCAATTATGAATACTTATTTATCAATGGCTTCAAGTACAGTAACCACATTTATTTTAAGTTCTTGGGTAGATCAATTGGGTCGATTTAATATGATTCATATTCAAAGTTCGACATTAGCCGGTGGTGTTGCAATTGGTTAGTTCTTTTCTCAAAAATAAATTTCTTACAACACAATATTGTTTCAGGAACTGCTGCAAATGCTGTCCTTTATCCATCTCACGCTGTTTGTGTTGGTGTTATTTCAGCATTTCTGTCTGTAATGGGACATGCGTGGCTTAGTGTGTGTTAGATTTTCGGTTTTTCACTAATCTTTCTGAAATTTACAGCCACGACTTGAACGAACTTTTCATATTTTCGATACTTGTGGAGTTCACAATCTTCATGGAATTCCGGGAATTCTTTCAGGACTTTTAGCAATTGGATTCGCTTATTTTTATGATCCACGAGAATATGGAAAAACGTGGGTTACTGTAGCTCACAATTAAATAAAAAATTACCTAATGAAATTTCAGCCTAAACCATATTTATCCATATTGGGAACCTTTGAACAAAACACATTTGATATTGAATTCACAAAATGGAGCTTTGATCGGAGATCGAAATCGAGTCTCACAAGCGAAATTTCAAGCAATTGGTTTGGGTTTCAGTCTAGGATCTGCAATTATTGGAGGCCTAATTACTGGTCTCATTTTGAAAATTCGTGTTTGGAATCAAGTTGATGATCCAAATATTCCACATGGAGATGTCAATTATTATGCACCATCTGATGTCAATTTTTTGAGCAAAGTTAGTTTTCAAGTTTCACAGAATAATCTTTTATTTTTTTGTAAAATTTCAGTACAAACATGCGCAAGAACAACAACAATTGAGAGAAAGAGAACAAATGCATGAAATTTACTGATAACATTTATTTTTTTTTATTGTATGGCGTTAAAAATGAATGGGTAAATTTTTGAAAAATGAGAATTGTGTGGGATGAATCTGCCAAAACATAGAAGTAAAATTTGAAGAAGCACAGCAAATACGAAATATATTCTTGATTTCACAGTTTTCTGGAAAAATTGAATTTTTTTATTTTCTGATGATATTTAAAAAAACACACGATTTGTCCATAGAAATAATAAAAACCAATTGAAATTCCAACGAAAATACTCGAAAAATATTGAATGTGTTGTGTGATTTGATCCACAAATGGAATATTTTTCACAACAAAAACAGTATTCATGAATATATAGAAAAGAGAGGAGAAAAATATAACAAAACTTGTTCGCTCGAATGGTTTTTTGAAATTGTGCTCCAATTCTGAATTTAATTTGAATTTTTGGTATGTTTTTCAAAGAACAAAAAAAAATCAATCTCATTACCAAGACCACGTTAGTCAGATGTATATAACCAAGAACTACACAAAATTCATCAGCTGCGAAAACTTCCATGAAATCTGACATGAAAAATGCGGTGAATGCAAAATATGCAGCACTGAATAAATAAACCAAGAATACTGGCAAAGTTCCATGTGCAATTTCTAATGGAATTCCGATAATAATTTCGATCACCAAATTACACAAAAGTTCGAGAATATTCAAATTCAAAAGAGGATATGTGAAACATTTCAGAAAATCTGGAAATGATTCATTTTCAGTATTCATATAAATTGGAAGAACATCTCCACTTTTGAATGAGAAAATATGACAGAAATAGAAAAATATCTGGAATTTTAATATTTGTTTTCAGAAATATGTACAAGGAATTCTAATAATCTATACCTGCAAATAAATTAGAATGATCATGAAACACGGAATTCGATTCTTTGAAATTTGCCCAGAGGATAAAATAAATTTCCCGATTTTTTGTAAAATTCCAGGTCTATTTTCCAAAGAATCTTCCAAGGACATATAAAATCCATTTCTTTCTGCCTAAAAATAAGAATTTCGAATTTTCGATCTCAAGAAAATAAAACTGACCATTTTGCAACAAAAGAGGAAATGATCTGATCGATATTACATTTCTGTTCGTTTTTTTATTTTTTCCTTACATGAAAGATGTTGTAGAAAATTGAGAACAAAGAATTTCCCTTCGTTTTTTTCTTCTTTCAAAAAAACTCAAAGAATGAGAGAAAATTTTAGGTTTTCCAGACACACCTGACGAGACGTGTCCAAAATGGACACTGTTCAAAAATTTTCAAAAGCCACAATGTACATTTTTTCACGAAAAAGTGTAGTTTTCATTGTTTTGCGGCGGATTTTGATGAAAATTTTCAAAAAATTCGAAATTTCACGCTGAACAATTTTTTCGCCAAAATTTTTCACGCTGCACAAAAATATTGGGACACTCTCTCGCCAGGTGTGTTTCCAGATGACGTTAAATTAAAATTTAGAATTGTATTTCTTCTTTTTCCAAATTATACTGCTCAGAAGAGCAGATCACTACAACTCCAAAAGTGAATTCAGAATTGTGCGGTCATCAAGCCATAAAGGCTGTTTCACGCTCGCAATCTGCCCGTCTCCCTTTCATCGCAGTTGGCATCATTACCAGATAAATGGGAATTACGAGATACATACTGCAGAAATGATTCTGTATAGTATGGTCTCAAATTTGCCGTAAAATTGCTAGAGTATAACCGAAGAGTGTCGCCGACAACTTACTTGCTTCGTCATTTGCTATCTGTTTCGCGTTACGAAGCCCCGCCCACCCGAAGAGATATTTTCTCTCTTTTTTATTAATAAAATTTTAACACTATGAAAAAGAGTTATAGGGGGTTCTTTGAGGATTTAATAATCAGGATGATTCAATTTCAAATTCCTATTGAGTTTTCATAATCCAGATAATCTTTTTGAAACATTCTCAAATTATTAATGCTTATGTTCAAAAGAATTGAGTGAATTCTATAAATATTTCTGCTCCAGAAGTTCGGAAGTTACTTTTATTTTCCTTTAGTACTTTTTCCTTCTATTTCTAAACAATTATAGCTCGCTGAATCGCAGTGGCGTGCAAATTTGCTTCAAGGCAAATTCTCTGAAACATCAAAAAAACCAAATTGCCTCGCATTGTTCGTTAGAGCGCGTTTACTTGTTTTGCATCATTTTCCATTTTTTCTTTTGTTTCACACCCGTTCAAGCCACGCAATGAGTGTTTTCTACTGTAAAACGAAAAATCTGCAAATGAAAAAAACTGTGCAAACACTTTTGTCTAATTCTCTCTGTTCGCCGTTATATTTCGCACTACAGTATTAAAGGAGCATGATAAATTTCACGCGTTGGGTCTTGTCGCGATTGCTAACTTTCTTCGTAGGACCTCAAAAAATAAGAAAAGTAGCAAGTCAGGTAGAACTCGATGCGCTGATTATCATGCTATATTTAGTTTTTCATGAAGCTTATCTAGGTTTTGAGCTACAGGGTGCACCGTTTTTACAGCGTTTTGCTGATTTTTGTGTTGCTTGAGCGGGTGTGGTTTTCACGTATTTTTTTGGCCCTCGGTTCGCGGTTGGTATACTGTACTGACTTGTGCAAACACGGTGACGCACAAATGCACAAAAATCTCTCGCGTCTCTCCATTTTGCGCGCTATTTTTCGAAATTGGTCTCGCCACGAACCCCAAAACGCTAAAACGGCACCCGTTCGCTTCACCAAAGCTTATTTCCATGCAGTTTTTCACGGCGATAAAGATGGTGTACTCAGATTTTCATTTGATGCAGCCGTTCTTAAGATTTTGGTGGAAAATTAAAGCATGTCCCTTTAAACAGCGAACCGAGATTTTTTGTTCAGCAACAAAATACGTGTTTTTGGAAGTTTTTCTTCTAAAAAAGTTCAAAATATTGCTATTTTCCAGCTAAAATGTTTAGACCGGTGATTTCTCGATTATTCTCAACCACCAGTAAACGATTAGCAGAAGTTGAAGTCAAAGTTTCAAAAGAAGCTTTGGTAGCTTTGAGAAAAAGAACCGGTTATAGTTATGTGAATTGTCGTAAAGCTTTGGTGAAATTTGGTGAAAATGATATGGATAATGCTGAAAAATGGCTGAAAGAAGCTGCGGCAAAGGAAGGATGGGCGAAAGCTGCAAAGTGAGTTTTTATTTTCAAAATGAGAATCTATTATATGTTTTATTACTTTTAGACTTGGTTCTCGAGCAACAGCAAACGGTCTTGTTTCTCTTTCGACAAATAATTCAATTGCTGCAATCGTCGAACTTTCATGTGAAACTGATTTTGTCGCTCGAGCTGATCACTTCAAAAATCTTCTTTCCAAATTAAATCACACCGTTCTTTCGCAAGCCGAAAAAGATTTCTCATCAACATCTACTGGAAGTTCATTCCAAGAATTATCTTATGAATTAGAAAATTTGAATGACGCTGAAAGCGGAAAGAATTTGCGAGAAGTAATGTCTCTGTCAATCGGAAAATTGGGTGAAAATATGGTTGTGAAACGATTGAAAGCATTGAAAGCACCGGAAGGAACTCTTTTATTCGGTTCTTCTCATCCAAAAGATGAAAATGAGCAAGTTTTATTGGGAAGATTTGTATCATTGATTGCATTGAAACAAGAAAAACCAGGAGGTATCAGTTCACAACAATTAGCCGGACAAATTTGTCAACATATCATTGGTTGGTTTTTTTTCGAATCAATATTTTTTACTGAAAAGAATATTTTTACAGGAATGGCTCCCGAAAAACTCGGAACCCCACCAACAGCCCAATCATCTGCCGGAGAAACTCTTCAAGCAGGTCATGATCCAGAAGCTGAACCAGTTCGTGTAACTCAAATTGATGAATCAGAAAATGCACTTTTGAAACAATCGTTCATGTTGAATCCATCACAAACAGTTCATGATTATTTGACAACTCATAATGCAAAGGTTATCGATTTCGTTCGTGTTGAATTAGGATCAGAATAATAATCACAGTAGAAGATTTTTATAGATTTTAGTTGTTTGTTTTCAGTGTAGCACAAATCAGTAAGTAATTGTTAATTTTCAATTGTTATTTATTTTATTTCAACCCAAATACAAAATTTCTCTGATTTTGAAAAATCATTCTTTAATCGGTTCATCATCTTTCAAAATATTCAATGTTTCCTGATAATAGCAATCTTCATCATAAGCAAATCCTTTGTGAATAATGTATTCCATACCTAAAATATTCTGGTAAAAAAATGCTTCCCGGGTTTTCTGAACAGTTTCAGAGCAATTGAATTTTCAGTGAAGAAAATTATTTTTAGAACCCAATGAAAAAACCCACGTTGAAATGGTCTCGAACATTTTCGACATTTAAAACATGATTGATGCCAATGAACATCAAATGCTGAAACACATTTCTCGAAAGTGCTTTTTCGACAAGCATGACATTTTGGAGCATTAGCCATTAAATTGCATTCACTACAAAGAAATGTTCCGACTGAAGAAGGATAAGCTGCACGAATTCCAATTGTTGTCTGCAATATTAGTTAGATGTTCGATCTCACTTTTTATATAATTTATAAATTTGAATACCTCGCAACTCGAACATTTGGCACAATTTATGTGATACAAATCATTGTTCAATTTAATAACTTTTCCCTAAAAATATTTTGGATTGTATTTTTCTCACAAAAGTTTCTTACTGAAATAGCTTCATCTCTTGTTAATATATTATTGCATCCTTTGCATAATACTTTGTAAATTTGTTGATTCTATAAGCGAAATAATTTTCAGACAAAAAAAAACAAATCGAAAACTCACAACTGCTGAATTCTTCATCATTTTATTTCAAAAATGAGCGAATTTCCATTTTCACATCTAAATTTCACGCGACCGGAAAAAATAATAAATATTTATATTTAAAAAAATCAATGTTTGAAACAGAAAAAAGTTGCATTTTCAGCAGCGAAAAAGAAGAAGAAACATCAATAAATAAAGCGGTGTGGGCAAATACATATATAATTATCCTATAATCGAGCTGCAATATTTTTTTGTTGATGGGGCTATTCATGTATTTTCTCAGCATGTTGAGAAAACAGGAGAAATGCGGAGGAAATACATTTTCTCCGCTTTTTTCGTATTTTCTCAGCCTACCTGAATAGGTTTTCTCCGCTTTTCTCCCGTTTTCTCAGCGTTGAAAAATAACATGAATAGCCCCATGAGGTAACAACTAAAAAAAATTGATATTTACTTTTGCATCTATTCATTTGCGAAAAAAACCGAAAAAAATGTATTTTTTTACAATATTTTTCTATTCACCAAAATGCACGAAATAAATGTCAATCGTGACGAGACCCACACACATTTCAAGGAGAAAAACATGCGAGAAAAAAAACAAGAAATGAAATTTTCGAAAGCATGCATTTTTCACACTCGTTGCCTTGAAATGAGTGGGTCTCGTCACGATTGAATGTATTTCGCGACAATTTGTGATTTTGGTGAATAGAAAAATATTGTAAAAAAATACATTTTTTTCGTGTTTTTTTGCAAATGAATAGATGCATTTAGAAGACCAAAAAAAGGCGGGTATTTTTGTGTAGCACCAGATAGAAAAATAGAAAATTTGAAGAAAAAAATGAAGCAGATTATTCGTTATTTACAGATCGGTTTAGTGAATCCTGAAAGAACTTGATATTGAATAAATTGAAATTAAAAGAAAAAACCAACCTTATCCGATGAATGATTAGATTGCAAATCGATGAAATTTTGCTGAAGTTCGACGACTGGAGCTGGACCCATATGAACAATATGCATAAAATCCGAAGGAGATGATATTTGAATATGACTTCGACGTTCCGTTGTTGATCTTAAATTTGGTAAAATTTTTTCTTCCAAAAAAAAACGAATGAAAGGACAAAAATTTGAAAAATGGAACAATCTAGACTTGCAAAAGTTGTTCAAAAGATTTCATTAAAACTAGTTGAAGCTTTGTAAAGTCACGGTTTTGCGAATTATTATAACTTTGCCACGCCACAACTCATATTCAAAATAAGAGAAACCGTTTTTGACTATGGGATGTTACAAACTGATATAAAAATAACTTACCGATCATCTTTATTATGCGCTCTAAACGTGAATTTTCTTCGTGTAACTTTTCGTCCATCGGTACTTAGTGTACTCATATTTATTGGAACATCAATCACATCTTCTTCGGCTAACACATCTTGTAACAAAATCTACAAAAAACTTTCTCTTTTTTTAAAATGTATTTGAAACTCACGAAAATTGGCGAATCGTTGCATAAACAAATCGAAAGTGTACCTTCACGTGATAATGGTTTAGCGGATCTGAAACAATTACAAATTGGATAAACATTATTCTGGTTTATTGATATCACCAGAATTCGAGAAAAAAGCGAAAGTTGCCCTATTTTCCCTTCATCAATTTTTCATTTCTTATTAGCTTTCACTTTGATCCACTATATAATGTTTTTCCGGATTATACTATTATTTTCTAGTTTTCTTATATATTTTCAAGTTTCGGCTGGAAATGTTGTAGTTTGTAAAGATATTAAGGACTGTAAAACTTGTGCTGAAAGCTATATTCATGTTCTTGGATTCAAAGAAGAATGTAGATGGTGAGATTTTTCAAATAAAACTTTTAAGTTTTTTAAAATTCAAAAATAGGATCCGTTTTTCAGGTGTATCGAAAGTAAATCATGTGGTGGACCATATTCTTGTCCAATTGGAAAACCTTTTATTCAAAAAGATCCATTCAAGTGTCCAATTCCGGTATGAAAAAAACATATTTTTTTATTGATCTCTCAATATATTTTACAGTATCGCCCAGCTTCTGGAAAACGATATACCGATGCTCTTGGTAGATCAATTTATGCAGTTGCAATTGCAGTTCGTGACAAAAATATTACAAGTTGTCTAGGAAATGTTCGACCGGATATTACACTCACTAAATCTTATGAAGTTGAATGCGACGGAGCTGGAAATTTGTGTAAAGGACTTCTTGCAAAATCTGAAGAAGCCAAAGCCATTTATGTTTCTTATAAAGGAAGTACTTTTGGAAAACAAGTTTTCGCTGAACTTTTGCATGGTTTGACAGCACAATTAGGAGCTTGGGAAAAGTTCGAATCAACTGAAGCTGGTGTTATCACTTATTTCCATACCGCATTTTATCGATTATTCATTGATAGTGGAATGAAAGACGATTTACTTGAATTGATGAAGAAACATAAAAATTACAGAGTTTGGGTAAGAAAATTCGATAATCAACATGTTATTTCAAAAAATTGAAATTATTTAAGCTAACTGGGCATTCACTTGGTGGATCACTTGCAACAATGACATCACTTCATTTGGTAAAAGCTGGTGAAATCGATAAAAATCGAATTCGTCTTATTACTTTCGGAGAACCAAGAACTGGAAATTTGGCATTTGCTAAAGAAGTTGAAGATAATGTTCCATTCCGTTATCGCGTTGTCAAGAAAAATGATCCAGTAACAAATATGCCAGCAGCAACTCCATTAAATATGTTAACAACTTCTCTTTATAATCGACAACCTCTTCATTATCGATACATGGTTCATTATAATGGACCAATGTTCAAAGGAGAATCTTTCAAGGTTAGTTTCAGATAATTAAGGTAGCATCTCGAGATTTCATTTTATTTTAGGTATGTGAAGTATCTGATGACAGTGCTTGCCGAAATGTTGCTCTGTCTGATATTTCTGATCATACTACATATTTCCAAATCGATCAAGATGATTTTGTGAAAAACGGTTGTCCAAGAAACGAACTTATTTAAAGAAATAATGAAAAAAAACTAACCTTAAATTGATAGTTTGAACCCATTCAGCCAAAGTCACATTGAATATATCAATCTGTAATAATATTTGTATAATAAATAAAATGTTCGTATTTTTCTTTATCACACCTCGGCCAAAATCGTGGTTTCCACAATAAAAAATTGTACGCTAACTTTTTACAGTACAAAAATTGTGAATTTTTCAGTTTTTGTCCTCTAAAATTGTGATTTTTCAATTTTTGACCTCTAAAAACTGAAATTCAGATTTTTCAAAAAATTGTACTCTGGCCAGCCACGGCTTGGCCGAGGTGTGTTCTTGATAATAATCATTTACCTCACTCTCCGAAAAAACACATAAATATGGTTCGTGATAGCTGAAATATTTCGAATTGGCTGGGAACATAATTTCTGGCATTCGAGAACGTCTTCCTTGTTCATTTACATATAATCCAATGACATTGAAAACTAGAAGATATTCATCTGGAGAACCGGGTACATTTATTATCAATTTTGCTTCGTATGATGTTTGTTGATTCAGGAATTGGAGAGAGGTATCTTCCATGTTGACTAGTGCTGAAAAATATAATTTTTGATTTTTCCGCTCAATTTTTTGTTGAGAAATAAATGTTTAATTTTTGGATTTCACAATCCTGTACGAATAATGTAAGCCGTATAAACTTACAAATATGTTGTAAAACAGCCGCTTGTTCATTTCCAGGAATTGGTGATGATTCATTAACTGTCAATGACCAACTTCTAAAACTATGTGGAAAACCAACAAATAATCGACCATTTGATATGCTTATATACTGCGGTGTTCCAGGCATTGCCAAATCTTTCCATTTTTTGTGTCGTTTTTCAGATCGATCAATTTGGAAAATGGTTACACTTTTCTTGAAAGCCACAGCGAAAAAGCTTGTTTTTTGTTGCGAGCCAGAAGGATTTGCAGAAACCGCAAGTAAGTGACAACCTTTTGTATCATTTACTTTGATCCATTTTAAATCTCTACCATCAAGAGCAGCACTTGGAACAATTCTGAAAAAATCAATAACTAAATAAATAAAAGGAAGGAAACAAGTCTTACCGAATATGTCGATCTTTACTTGGTCCAACCATCATCATTAATAATTGTTCTTGTTCATCATATTCAACACTTTCAACACATCTTTGTTTATTTTCTTTTTCTCCTCCAACAGGCACAAGAATTTGTCGATTTATTTCAACACAATATAAACCATGATCAGCAAATCCGATAACAATTTTCGATCGATCAATAATTGCACAACATTGAGCAGCTCGAATTGATGGAAGTGATGTTACATCAAAAACTTCTTTGACTAGAAAAGCTCGTCTATCAGCTAATTTTGATCGTCTTAAAAGTGTTTTCAATTCACTCAAAGCAACAACCCATTTTCTTTTTTCTTCTTCAGTTTCAGCCATAAATAATGTATAAAACTTTGATGATGACGAATATTCAGATGATGAATTCAATATTTGTGTTGTTGTTACTCGGAAGATTTTTGATATGTCTGATTTTTGAGCATGGATTACATCAGCTTCGCTAACTCCACAAACAGTGAAATCGGCATCTCTCATATCCAAAACCAATTTGATTTCATTTTTCACATCTTGCATTTTATTTTGTCGATCAACTGTGCAATCATAAAGGTAAAGTTTGAAATCGCAGACAACAACATAAGCTGTTTGCCATCCCTGCAAAAATATCGGCTTTTGAACATATCAATTGAACAGGTTTTCAAAATTAAATAATAAATCTGATTTTAATTTCTATCAAAAAGAATCTGACAAACCTTTCTAACACCTCCATTTCTTGGCGTTTTAACTAATCCTTCATAAGCAGTTCCAACTCCTCTTGTTGGATCAATACCTAAAGGTCTTCGATCTTCTTCTGGAACTGGACAATTTTGAGAAACTCTTTCAGCACAAGCAACATGACAAGCATATTGACATGCTTGACAAAAGAAACCCTGTCGATCCATTCCAATAAGTATTGATGTACAATGTCCACATTTTGTTGGTGTTCGAATTTTTGCTCGTTCAAATGAATGTCCACGTGGTTGTTGTAGTGTTTGATCATAAATTGTGCTACTTGAAGCCATTTTAATTGGTTTTTGTTTATATCGAAGATCATCAATAACACGTTTTGGAGCTTGATGATCATGAAGAAGAATTGCATTTTCATAAGATGGTGTTGTATTATTTGATTGTCGAGATATCATTTCTTGTCGAAGTAGTGAACTATTTGACATTTCATATTCATTATTCAAATTTGTTATCATAAGATCTCGAGAAATTGTCGACGAAACTGAAATTTAATTTTATATTGCAAATAATGAAACCTTTTTTTGAAAATTCGTCGTATTGAAATTTCAAATTCCAATAAAAAAGCAATCAAAATGTTAGAAAAACCCACATTGACTTTCTGAAACTGCTGAAATCGCATCATTTTTCGCTTTCAATATCGAAACTTCTCTCATAACAGAAGCTAATCGTTTTTCAGTATCTTCGAGTCGAGCATTTGCAGTCAAAAATTGTTCTCTTGTAGATTTCAATTCACTTTTCAGTTTCAATTTCGCATCTATTTCCGCTTGAAGTTGACGTTGAAGATCTAATCCATCTTTTCGAGCAACCTGTTAAATAAAAAGAAATGAAAAATGTTAATATACTTCGATGCACATTTTTTTGCCCCTTTCCAAACAAAAATAACTTACATTATGACTTCTTCGAGATCCCCATCCAGATGGTGTATTTTGAATATAATTGCTTGTTGTTAATGGCGAATTTTGTTTCAGAGATTCAACTTCTCCTGTGATTTTTCTGGTCAAATTCTCCATTTCTTCTCTTGTTGCTTTTTCTTCATTAACCCAATTAAATACTTCCAACAACTGTTGTTCAGTCAAATTTCCACCACGTGGAATATTCGCACTGAAATTCGAACAGTTATAACCATGAAAAAAAAATCTAGAAAAAGAAACTCACATTTGTGTCGCAAGTTTTTCGTTTTCTTCCCGTAATCCACTATTTTCGATATTCAATTGTTCAACATTATCTTGAAGTGTTTTTTGAACTCTTTCGTAGTGAGTCTGAAACATTCTTTGTTTTTAATTGAAAAGGCCAATAAAGTTTAATAAATTTACCTCAACTTGCTTCACTTCTAATTCGGTTTGAGATATTAATTTCGCTCGTTCTTCTTCAAGTGTTTCTTTCAATTTTTTGATTTCGTTTTCTTTTTCTTCATTCAAAGTTTGTAATGTTGCAATATTTTTCTTCGCATTTAATACTTCTTCAGATTCTTCGGCTTTTGAAAGTTCAACTGATTTTCGTGCTTCGGCTCGGAATTCTTCTTGCTCTGAAATAATATTTTACATAATGTTTCCGGCAAAAAACTCTAACTTACTTTTCAGTAGTGCTGAATTTTCCTCCTCAATTGTTTTCAATTTCTTCTCGAGTTCATTCACATTTTTCACCAGTTTTTCTTTTTCAGCTTCACTTATATCATTAATTTCCTTGAGTTCAATTTGAATTTCATCTCTTTGTCTCAAAATAATTGATTTTTCAGATGTCAATTGATCAACATGATCATTCAAATTTTCCATTTCTCTTTGTAATTCTCCTTTTTCCAATGCCAATTGTTTTATTCTTTCTTTTAATTCTTTCGATTTTTTCTCACTTTCAGCTTGATCTTTCGGTTTTTGTAATTGTGCACTTTGTTCATCTTCCAATCTTCTATTCAAAATTTGAATTTCATCTCGAAGTTGAGCAATCATCGCTTCATAATTTCGTTCTTCTTCGCTTTTTTGATTTTCATTCGTAATTTGTGTTTGCGCTTCCGCCAATTTCCTCTGCAGCTCAGCTTTTTCAGCTTCGAGTCGAACAAGCGTTTCTTCTGAACATGAAGATTTTTCAGTTTCAGATGTTTTTGAATTAGAAGAAGAGGGTAACGAAGATTTGAGAGAACATGCATCAGAAAGCATCGAACCATGAGTATAAGAAAATCCAACAAATGGAAGATGATTTCCTGTGAAAGCGGCGAGAACTCGAGGTGGTTGAGTTTCCTGAAATATTTTCATTTTATTTTAAGAATTTTGAAAAGAAAAACTTACACAAGGAGTAAAATCATCCTCACAAACTTCAACGTCAAAATTCGACGTATCTTCTGGGCTCGAAACTTCAGGCTTATATGGTGGAGATGCTGAAAATTAATATTATTTTTTAAAATAAAAACAACAAAAATAAAACTAACAATCTCTGATAGTATTCCAATCAATTCCTTCGAAGAAAGCGTGTTTTCTGAAATCTTCCAGACCATTTCTTCCAAATCGAACTTCTCTCGAACAAATTAATTGTCGAATCAAATCTTTCGCTTCTTCCGAAACAACCCAATCAATTTCATCATCGGGAAAATCGAGCATATCTTGATGGCTCATAATCTTTCCATAAGTGTCAACAAGTCTTTCGGAATAGAATGGTGTTGTTCCATAAAGCATTTCATACATACAAATACCCAAAGACCACCAATCGCATTCTTTTCCATATCGACCTTTTCCGTCTTCCATTGCACGAAGAATTTCGGGTGAAATATAATCAGGAGTTCCGACAGCAACATTTGAAGCAACACTTCCTAAAACGCAAGAAATTGAGAAATGATTTATTTAAAGTAATATTTTTGAAATGGGAGATTTTTCGCTAGAAAAAATTTACGTGAAATTGAAAATTCATTTTTAGAATTTTTTTCGCTCAAATTTCGTTTTTGAAATTTAGAAAATATTTGTTGACTAACCATCAGGTAATAATTTCAAACAACTTCCGAAATCAGCCAATCGAATATGTCCCTGCATATCAAGCAATACATTATCAGGTTTTACATCACGATGAACATAGCCAAGTTTATGCAATGAATCAATTGCGAGAACCATTTCAGCGATATAAAATTTGGCCATTGATTCAGGAATATGGTCGACGAACTTTGAGAGAAGAGTTAGCATATCTCCACCAATGTAATAATCCATCACAAAATACTGAAAAAATGTTTTTAGAAACATGAATCATAGGAAAAAACAAAAAGATTGTTTGAAATGAAACAAAATTGTTGTTTTTTTCCTGTACAGGATTATTTTCGAAAAATAAACAAAAGATAAGAAAACCAAAATTTAAAACATTATTTCCGGTATAACGAATTCTCAACTCACCAAATTTTTCTCATCTTGAAATGCATAATGTAAATTAGTTATCCATCTTCGATCTCCATATACTAAAACATCTCTTTCTTCTCGAAAACAAGCAGTTTCAGCTCGTTTCACCATTTCCCATTTATTCAATATTTTCATTGCATAAATTTCACCAGTTCCTCTCATTCTTACAACCGCAACTTCACCGAATGCACCTTTTCCGATAACTTTCAAAACCTCAAAATCATCTCGATTTAGTCGAAGAGCTTTCGCTTTTTGAATAACCGATTTGACTGTGTCGACGAATTCGGCAATACATTTTTCTTTTCGAAGAGTACTATTGCAACATTCATCATATAAACAAATTAACGAATCTGAAAGATTATTAGTGTTTACTTTCGGAAGAATATTTTCTATGACTAATTCTTTGCTAATTGGTTTTTTTTTCAAAATATTTTTATCAAATATACTAACTTCGTTCTTATCAAATTCAAACCTCAAAGAAATGTTATCTTTTTTCAATAAAATTAAATAAATTAAGAAGCGGAAAAAACATGATCGTGTCCCTCAGGTAAACAGGTTTATGTATCCTTTTTCAAAAATAAAATCGATAATTAGATATATAGAAAAATATAAAGTTCAAATAGAAAAAAAAACTTACCGATGAGTGTTTCAAAAGACAAAACATCATTTTGCCTACTGGGTCCGTCCAAATATAATTCTTCTAAATTTTTCAACCGAGAAGGTGCCGGCGGGCCACTTTCGGCCATAAGAAAAAACGGTTCCTCCTGAAAACAAAATTGATAAAATTATTATTTTCTCATGAAATTTGCCGGAAGAACAAAAAATGTTTAAGAACATAATAGAAAGGAGAAAATAATAGAAATTCGGTGATTCAGTTCCAAAAAAAAAAGAATTGAACGAAGTCAATACAAAATCATCCCTCTTTCGTTCCTCTTTCTCTCCGTTTTTGCTGACGCATTTCTCGTTCACACGCTTACAATTAAATGCGCCAGCCTTCTCTGACTGGCGATTTTTTGAATAGTTTGCGCAGCTGGCGTTTTGGTGTAATATTTTGTGGTGTGGTGTAATGCGATGACATGAAAGATTTCGAAATTTTCTCCGTTTTTTTCTTTTAAAAACTAAAAGTACTTTTTTTGAGGGAAAACATTGGATTTGTACATCCAAAAATCGAAGATTTCCATTTTCTAAAAGAAAATAAAAAGTTAAAAATGAGTTATAAAATAAAATAGTTTGAATAAATCGATTGAGAAACAAATAAATGTAAATAAACAAACTAACAAATGAAATAAATGTTTTAGTAGTAATAAAACGATACCGTCTAGTTCATTTGTTTTTTTCTTTGAAGAGGGAAAAGATCGCACGGAACGATTATCGAAGTATAGTTTTATTTATTCGGTGTAATAAAGTAATCAAGTTTTTTTTAAATTTTTTAGTGTTCTCTTTTTCAGATAAAAATAATCGACAAAACTGAGTACACAACACAAACAAAAACTAACGAAAAAATATGATAAAATATGCGGGAAACAGGATTAACTGTCGTTTTTATGAATTTTCTCTAATAAAATAAAATAATAGATTTTTACATGCGCTTGATTCTAATGAAACAAAAAAATGACGCGCACGCAAAGGCAGATGAAAATTATTATTATCAAGAGGACGGAAAGGAAAAACACCAGAGTTGTGTAAATAATAATCAGTCTCTGAGTAGAATGCAAACTAAAAGTAAGTGGAAGGAAGCAAGGAAGTCTGTTTGTGTATATATTAGCATGGCGGATGATTGTGCAAGAAAAACTGGAAAAAGAACATTGAAGTGGACATATGTTTACGTCAGGCCAAAAAAATCATACTTTTTTTGGAACTTCGTTCTTTTGCATTTTTAAAAGAAAAAACAACAAATTCAAACTAAAAACAAGACCAAACTATTGCGATCTTTGGACTAATCTTGACACTATAAAATAGTTTGATAACATGTTTATTTGTAAATATTTTTCAAAACAATGTATTTTTTCTTTCTCTGGTTTTTAGTCGGTTTTGCTCGACTTGAAATTGATATTCCGGACAGTTTGGATGATCTAAATCCAATTAAAATCTCTCAATTATTTGAGAAATTTATCAAGGAGTAAGTTTCAAAACTGAAATAAAATAATTAATTTTGATTCTTGACAGATACAAAAAAAGTTATGAAACTCCATTGGAAAAAACTCAAGCTTTAGCGACATTTGGTGAAAATCTTGCAACGATTATAAATCTGAATATTGAATCAGTTAAATCGAATTTGCAATTTGGTGTCAACCAATATGCAGATCTAACAGACGAAGAATTTTCCGACAAAATTTTGACTCTCGAACCAAAAATTGGAAGCGATAATCTATTTCGAGAATCAATTTATAATTCAACAAACTTTGTAGTTCATCCTGATTCTTGGGATTGGCGAAGTAAAAAAGTAGTTGCTCCTGTGAAATATCAAGGAGGTTGTGGATGTTGTTGGGCATTTACAACAGTTGCTGTTGTACAAAGTGTTATTGCTATCAAAACAGGTAAAATACCTGAACCATCTGAACAAGAATTATGCGATTGTGGACAAGGAAAAGGTAGAGCTGGTTGTAATGGTGGAAACCTTGGAAAATCATTCGACTATGTTAAAAACAATGGTATTACTGAAGAAACAAATTATCCAAAGTATAATGATAAAAGGGCAACAACTGATCAAGTTTGTGAAGAAAGTGGTAAACCAAATAATATAAAAATATCAAACTATCAATTTATTAGTCAAGCGACAGTACCTTTATTAGAAGACGCCCTTATTAATAAAGGACCATTGGGTGTTGGATTCAGAGTTGGGAAAAGTTTTCGATATTACAAATCTGGAATTTTCGCAAGTACTGACTGCGATGTAAAATCGACATTTGTGGGTTGAGATAACATTTACTAATCATTGATTTACAAATTATAACTTACAGTATGGATGGCATGCGGTTACTGTGGTTGGCTATGGGGTCGAAAATAAGATCCCATTTTGGATTGTGAAGAATTCGTGGAGTGAAAAATGGGGAGAACAAGGATATTTTCGAATAATTAAAGGAAGAAATCTTTGTGGATTTGAGCAAACGATGCCTTTTTTTGCAGAACCCTAAAATACATTTGACAAGAGAAAATATATTAGAAATGAAACTAGTAAATACATTTTGAAAAATTGATCCGTGACCCCGATAAAATGTTATTATAATGTTTGATGATATCATCAGGTATTTTAGTCTAACGAGATTGGAAATCAATATTTTCAAAGTTCTGGCTAATGTAAACAAATTGGTTATCAAAAATATTAAACTAGATAGTAAGTGTATGAAGTTCTAAATTTGAAAAAAAAAACAATAAAACGAACAGAAGAACAAGAAAGTTCCCAAAAAACTGAGAAATAATTCTGGAAAAAATTTCGAAACAATAAATTCAAAACACACACGAGCGCGCTACAGGTACTGTAGGCGTGACGAGATATCACACAAAGAAACGACGCACCCTTAAACGGAAAGTACGGTGTCAATTGTTTGCTTCAAAATTTTTCAGAGTTCTCTTTTTTTCGAGTTTTCCCTGAAAATGCCAGAAGACGATATAATTTCACTGCCTCTGAACATTGCGGAGAATGTAACAACCGAGTTTCGAATGCATACAAAGCTGCTTATTTGGGAAGTTTCGAGACATCAGACAAAACAAGATAAAGATGGATCGATTCGAAGAACAGCTCAACCAATCAGCAAGTAAGTTACTTATTGGAAATTATTTTTTGGGTGAGACTGAACAAAGGCAACTGTTCTATAAAAAGTAGAGATTCACAGAAAAAAAAAAACATTTTTTTGATCTAAACAAAAAATTACCAAGTTGTGGGCTCTGGAGTAGAAAACTACATACCGTTCTAATGAACTTTTAATTTCAGGACGATTTGTGCATTCTTAAACACAGCTGGCGGTAAAATTTACATTGGTGTTGATGATTTTCGAATGGTTCGCGGTGTTCGTTTGAGTAAAAACATGATTCAACATTTCTTTGGATCATTTCGTGCAATGTGCGAACAATTCAAACCAATTAATCCAATGGATTTGATCAAAATTTCTATTGCACAAGTTATTCAAACTGGAAATGAAAAAGAAGCAATTTTGCGAGATGTCGATATTAATGAACCTGATTTTGGCGGAGAAATGACACATCATGCAATTGGTGGAACTTATGTAAGTTTTAAAACTATTATTTATTTTTGAAAAATTTTATTTTTTCAGTGTGATTGTTTCAAAGAAAACGATAGATTTCCAACTAATCGATATTTAATTACAATCTATGTGAAAGCTCCAAAACGAGACGCGCCAACTGTTATTTTTCAAAATGAAGAAGGATTGGTTTATCGGTGAGTTTTCCTAATTTTTCATCAAAGTTTTTTTGAAAAATCTGTAATTTTAGTCGCCGTTTGGCTTCCAACAAATGTGTGTATCTCGACGATCTTCGCCTTCTTCGCGCAGAAAAGAAAAATAAAGTATTTGTTGATCTTCACGATGAAATCCGTCACGAAATCGACAAACTTATAACTTTTTAATAAATTGACATTTTATGCAAATAAAAAACATTTGAAAAATAATAAGAACCGGAAAAAAAAGTTTAAAAAATTCAGAAATCTAGCGAAAAATCAGAAATTAGTATCTAAAATGCAGTAGACAAAAAAGGCTCTAAAAACTGTGTCAAATTTTGAAAGATAAGGTTTGTTGTTGAATGAATCTTGGGCTCGAATGAATAAATATTTCAAAAAAATGTGTACAGTATATGTATAGAACAAGGTAAAGAAAATAAGTTACTGTATACAAATTGTTGTAAATGAAATGAAATGTGAAGAAAAACTCTAGCAAACTAAGGCACTCACTGGGATCAGAAATTAATTTAGAGATAAATTAGGTACAGTTTTATGGTTTTAGATATCTAGCGGGTTGTTAAATTTTCAACGTTTGTTTTTAAATTAAAAAGGTAGAAGTTGGAAAAGATAATAATCTAGCGACATTTGTTTGGGGTGAGAGTAAGTACACTTAAAATTAGGGTATACACATTATAACAAGGAATATACGGCTACCTGATGATAACTTATTATTAGGTGTCTGATTATTGTGGATTACTCAATTGGGCGAAAACGGGTAGTCTAGATGTGGATGAAATATTTGAAGTTGAATTATTATTATGTGATGTTGCTGTTGTTGATGGTGTCGATGTTGAATAGTCTTCTGATGACCATTTTTGTGATGTTGTCGAACCAAGAAGTGAATCAGTTATATTCCAAACAACTAAATCGTTCAGCATGTCACTGAATTGGTTGTCAGAACTGAAAAAAACATAGTATTTTCTTGGGAAATGTTGTTCTGAAAATCTAGCGTTTTTTAAACGTAGTAATCTTGATATTTTTCATGATTGTACGGGAAAATGTACTTCACGAGTCTCGAAAAATATGAAATGAAAATCGTAATTTTCCGACACATATTTAGTCAAATTTTAAGAGATGAATCATAAAAAGGCTCCCCTGTGAATTAAAAAAAAAACTCACAAATTGGTCTGCTGATCATATGACAAAAATCTGTTTGGTTGTTGTTTTTTGATCGGCGACGATGTCGAATAAATACTAAAATCATCCACATCCAAACCAGGCGAAAAACTACCATTTGGTGATTCGCTTCCCGAATCATTCGAACTTCCAGCTGGCGATTCACCCGCACTTCCATATCCACCATTTGGTAGCGAATAAACACGTTGTAACACATTTGATGGAACTTGTGATGGTGTATGTTGTTGTTGTTTCATATTCATATTATGATATTGTGAAACATACGGCGATGGCTGTCCATTTACAGTTACTGGTGTTGTTGGTTGAGGTGTTGATGAATTATCACTGAAAACACTTGGACAAAATATTAGAAACATATTATAGATGAAAGAAGAGAAAGTGAACTCACTTGTGAATAAAATGACATCGTGGACCGTATGGGCAATAACCAGATTGATGAAATGATTGACAAGCTTCAGTTTTATATTTTGGATGTCTCGGAACTGGTCGTTTTTCATCTTCACCATGTGCATATTGACATCTAAAACTTTTGCAATTATTCGAATTTTATTGAATTAAAAAAAATAAAGTAAAAACCAACCTTTCACCATAATTGCATCTTCCATGATCCATCCAACTTCTACACAATTCAGTTTTGTATAATTTTGGATTTTTTGCTGGTGCTTGTTGTCCGCCGTTTGGCGTAGACATTTGTGAGTTACCTGAAAACAAAAACATACGATGATGATGGAACATTTTTGTTGGAAATCGAAAACGAAAATCCAATTTTCTCGCATCCTTTTAGTTGAGCCTTTTTTGTTGTGTTACACACGAGAAATTGGGTGGAGAAAAAATAATTAATGAAGTAAAAGAAAATGATGATGAGAATATTCTTTTTCTGGGTGGTTTGTATCTACAAAGAGAATTTCAAATTTGAAAAGAGCAGCAGAGAAAAATCGAATTTCCGCCAAAAGTTCGTCGAGGATTTCCGTCGAAATTTTTTTGTGAATTGGAAACAATTCTTCTAGCAAAAAGCCGCAGAGGAAGGGTGTAGTGAATAACAAAGTTTTCAGCCAAATTTTTTTCGAAAAAAAAAATCCGGAAATTCGATTTGATAAGAGAAGATAAGAAGAAAAAGGATCTAGATATATTGAAAAATATATAGATTAAGAAGAACAACTTGCAAAACTAAAAATGTGGAGAAAAAGTTTAATCTGAATTTTCTCATAAATGTTCAAGTAACTCGCAACAAGCAAAAAGTGCGATTCTTCCAACAAAAAAAGAAAGAATCAACTAGAAAATAAGAAGAAGAAGGCGGAGTAGAAGAAGAAGCTCGAAAAATATCACATGAATATACATATGTTGTATCTCTATCTTATGCATATTTAGTGTCCTCTTTTCTGCTAATACGTTTTTGGGTTTTGCCAAAAAAAAAACTTTTTTCAAGTTGTAGCAATTTCATAACCACAGAAAAAAAATTGCAAGAAAAAACAGACATAAATCAAACATTTGGGCACATGGCGAAAGAAAAAAGAAAAAAATAACAAAAATAATAAAAAACGAGAAGGGAAACATATGATTGATATAAGGGAACGAACAGAAAATATAGAAAATGATGAGGAGAAGAATCTGTGAAAACGTTTATAGATAAGAAAATGAGTTCAGATTTAGACTAGGATTAGGAATGGGATCAATCACAGAACCAGCTGAATATTCATTAAAATTTGTCACCCGAAAAAAATTAGTAAAAAATCACAAACGCATAGAAATGAGAAAAAACTATGATAGTATGAATTTTCAATTTTTTCCGGAAAATTTTCAGTTTTCAGATTTTTTTTCCAAAATTCATAGTTGTTCAAAAATTTTTTAATAAATTTTCAGCTGTTTTTTTGAAAATTTTTCCCAGAGTCTGAAACTACGGGGTAAAATATTTTTTGAAAGTTAACTTTCAGAATAAAAATTGTCTTTCATAATGAAATGAGACCCCTTTCAAAATAATTACTTTTCATCAAAACTTTCCGAAAAACTAACCAATAGGTGTTCCTGGTGCTCCAAGTGGATTAATCGAGAATTCATCAATTCCTCCAGATAATGGACTTGTTGCAGATGTTGCTGATATTCCTCCTCCACCAAATAATGTGCTAAATGAAGTTGGTCTTGGTACTGACATTCTGAAACAATATCATATAATATATTGAGTGGAACCTTGAAGATAACAGAAACTGGGAACAAGAACGAGAAAAATATTTGAGGCATGTAACATTTGGCAAAAAAAATGAGAGGATAACATTTGTCGCTAAAACTTTTTTGTCTTTCCAACAATGACTGAATATTATATATTTTTTGATTTTTGATTTTTCTACTGATGGAACCAAAAAAAACGAACTAAACAGATGTCAGATCTTAAACTATTGATATATTTAGATAGAAAAATACACAGTGAAGATGTATTTTTAACATTTTTGTGGTTCCTTCAAAAAATGAGAGGAAGAAGAAGATATTCGTAGTAAACACACTGACTAATTCATTCATGAAAATAAATATGATAATTCCTGCGTATTCCAGATAAATCGGATTAACAATTTCCTCCTCTTTCTAATTTTATATTTCAGGAATCAAAAAATTCAAAATTCAAAAAATAACAAACCTTTCTAAACTATGTTGTGTTTGTTGTTGTTGCAAAGATTGTCCAGTTAATCGATCAGTCAAACTTGGTGTATCAAATAAAAGTGAGTTGAGATCGGAATTTGTCGAATTTGTATCGCCACTGTATAAACTCTGCAAAAAATGATACAAATTTAAAATAAACTGAACAAAAAAACACACATATATTTTTCAAAATTGAGAAAATAACTAAAAATTGTTGTTGAATCCTCATAATGTTCGTGAGAATTTTATATAAAAATTAAATGTACTTTTTTTTTAGCAAAAACAAAATTTCACTTTCTTTCAAAATATTAACGTGAGATTTTTTCACAATATTCAAATGCACTTTGAAAATCAAAATGAATGCAAAAAAATCTCGAAAACTAAACGATAAAAAGTACAGACCAAAAAACCCGTTATTCCAAAAATTAAAAACTGATAAAAATGCGTTATCTCGAGAAAAAAGTACGGAATAAAAAAACGGGGAAAACGAAAATGAAACCAGCTGACTCGAACAAAATTAATGTGAGGAGAAGCAGGAAAAAAAATAATTGGTTTCGAGATATCCGAGAAAAATCAGTGATTTGTTGCATTTTTTATATAAAACTATCGAGAAATGGAATAAAAATATAGGGAAAGAAACATCAAAATCCCGTTATTCGAACCCCACAGTACGGTATCATGCACCAGTCGCCACAAGACCCCTTGATAAAAATTTGTGCGCCTTTGAAATTGTTTCTCGAGATTTATTTTCTGTTACAAGAAAACTGTAAAAAACGGCTGAATATTAATAGATTTTACTAAAAGAATAAACATATCGATAGGAAAGTTGCAAAAAATAATAAAACCGGAATTGATCAAGTCAAGGGTAGAAAAGTAAAAAAAAACCAATTCGGTATGAGAAGGTTATGACCTAGCATCACAAAATTATGATTGTATTCTATTCACTAGAAATACATGAAGAGGGGTCCCGCCCCTCACAAGTTTATTCCGATCCTATAAATAAATTTCTCATCAATATTTTGCTGTTAGAAAATTTTCATAATTTTTTCTGCGGGTTTAAGAAAACCGTTTTTTGTAAATTTTGCGATCATCGGAACAAATTCCTTCCAAATTAAAAAAAACTGAAAAATGCACAGAGTTTTGTATCAATCCGCCTGGATTATCGAACAAATTGATCCAGCTGACTTGAACCCTTTTTGACTTCTTCGAAACACCCCCTCAATAATCAACGCCAGCTGAGACGAAACAAAGAACCAAGTAGTGTTTTACGACTACGCAAGGAAAAAGAGAAAGAAAACGAAAAAGAAGAAGAAGAAAGTGCACTTTTGATCATTTTTTACACACACACACTGAGAAAATGAAACTATTTTTCAACTTGAGACATTTATCACTCAAGAATAATGGAAATGTTAAGAGAAACAGAGAAAACGCAGATGATCATAGACAGATCAAAAACTTCCAAAGGATATGTGTATGAGATTCTTTGTAGAAAAGTTCAGAGTTCTTCGAACAAGCGTGCAAAAATACTGGAAAAAAAGTTTAAAAAAAACGAGAGGCTTTCCGAAATGATTTTTTTCTGAAGTGATTCGATTCGGACATTTTGAAAATCGGACTATCCTGGACCCTCCTCAACTTGTCTTCTAAATTTTCATTCACTCGCAATAAAAAAATCCCCCGGCTAAATGAAAAAAATAGAATTCTGAACTTTAGGGTCACTGCACTCAAAATTATTTCTAAAAATATTATAATCCCTTCTTAAATAGAATGAATCCTCTAAAAAACCTCACAACTAATATAAACACAATTTTTATAAATAAAATGAGGAAGAAAAAGTGTTCCGAACTTTTTGCAAAACAGCTGACATATAATATACATTTTTATAACAGAACAAAACATTCTTTTCAACTGACTGAGAGTGAAAAAAATGAGAAATAAAATAAAAAATCATCTGATAACTCTGTTTTCTTCTGTTTACCAAATTTATTATTACTATCAGCTGGTTCCTTTTGGCAAATAGAGAAAAAACAAAACGTAAAATAAAACAACACATTTTTGCGTGGTGGGTGCCTAAAAACTTGAATCCCACGATGGATTATGGAAACACCCCTAAAAGGCCCTACTTAGCTCTCCTCCCAAAAACACTCTTTCGACTTTTTAGTTGAAAAATATCAAATTTCTGTAAGCGATATATGCAAATGAGGAGCAAAAAGAAAAAAGAAATAATCGGATTGGCAAGAAAACGAAAATAGTTTAAAGCTCATAAAATCTAATGGGAAAACAGATTGGGTGAAAAATGAAAGATGAACTTGGCCTAATATTTGATTCTCTATTTTATACATTCAAAAAATCGTGGAACAGGCTATGATTCTGAGCCGTTCAATTTAAAATTTTGTTTCAGAGACCTAACAGCTACAGATCAGATAATTTTTTTCGTTTGGGGTATGTAATGTGAATGAGAATTAATATTTAGATTAGGATGCATGCGTTTCAGCCAGAAAATCAATTGTAAATGTTTTCAAAAAAGCTCAAACTAAAAAGAAAAAATCTTGATAATTTTTCAAAATTGATGTTGATTTTTTGACGAGCAAAGCACAGTTCAGGAAATAATTCAAGTGATGGCACAACTAATCAAACAAAACAAAAGAAGAACAAATACGAATATATTTTGTTGCCGTGCGCTCACTAAACTATTACATCTCCAAAAAATGTTGAAATTGAGACTTTCTAAAGACCTCCATGTCGAAAAAAGCCAAAACTCTCAAATTTCCTCTACTAATAAGTATTTTTTCTATTTTTTTTGTTGTATATTTATTGCTTGTTTTGCTTTCGATCTCAATTCAACAAAAATATTTGTGATGTTGTTTTTGTTTATTTTGACACCTCTTTAATTTCAGCCATTTTTTTATTTTGATTTTTGTGTGTTTATGTTTGTTCGAATGTCAGGGGGCAACTAAAAAAACAGGATTCTTCAAAGGAACAAAAACATTATTACATGGCAATCTCATTGGCCATGTCAAAATATTTGTGTTGTATTTATTGTGCGGTCGATTGACAACACAAAAATATGTTGTTTTTCCTGGTTACTACTCTCAAAAGAGTCAAAATTTTATCGAGTGAAAAATCAGAGGTCAAAGGGCGAAAAGAAATGAACTTGTAATTAATAATAACCATAGAGTGGAATGAAAAACTACTGGAAGCCACTCAAGATATATATGTAGAACATAAAAATACACAGACTGGCAAGCAAAGATTCTTTAAAAAAAACAGGCTTAACTCGACTTGAGCAGATCATTTGAATAAAAATGCTGAGCTTATGGTGAAAAAAGGCCTTTATGAACCTATTTTCAGAACTTAGGAACTTCAGCTTTCAAGTTCATCTAACCATTGATAACTTTCAAAAGTCTAAGTTTGATGCCGATTCCAAAATCCCCATTTTCATTGAACAATTCCTAATCATTCTTCAATTTCATTTCTTTTTTCGCGCATTCTCGACCACTCTTCAGCTGATTTTTGCATTGCGCGTGCTAACATCAACTTTTCACTTTCATTTCCATCATCGTCAAAACTTTCACTATTCAATTCGATTGCATCGAAGCGCGAGAGAAAGAGATAATATCAGACATTGCGCAACACTGTTTCTTTTTTTGCCTCTCTTCTCCGTTCAATACACCTACCAAAAACCGGTATATTTTCACCTGATGGCAAAATTCAATGGCGGCGACATTGATCGAGGTGGCGAGAGATTGAGGGAAAATGCGAGAAATAGACAATGCGCGCGCTTGTTAACTATGACTGTAAAAGGGCAAACTGAAAGAGAAGGCATAACTTTCATTATTCAAAAGACTGAAGAAAAAAACTTGAACAAAGTACTTCCTGCGTTCAGAATAGTGTTATTTTTTCAAATAGTCCGAATCTAGCAGTCAAATCTCATTCAAAAAGTTCTGAAACGTTTTACTGTATTCTCTTGATCTCAGTTCAGGCAATTTCGACGAAACCGCCTAGCTCGTTAAATAAACCGAGTTGCTTTTTGTATTGATCCATAATCGGGAAAACTCCCGAATATTCGATTGGTTCAGAAACTTTCAACGAGTCATAAACTGATAAAAACAACCGTTTGAGAAAAATAACACTAGTAACATGAGAAAATCAAATCGAAACTGAACTTTGACCCAAATTTTTCAAAATTAAGCTCTTTATCCATAATCTCAACAACGGCTAGTCAATGAAAAATAATGTGCTTTTGATCCCACGTTTTCACGTGGAATAATGATTTGTTCTCTTAAGGAGAACAAAAAAAACTTCACAGATTCTTGTTGATCTTGTAAAATACAAGAATGTACTGTGATTGATTGATAATATTTATTTTTCAGCACGCTTTCAATGATTCGCAGATGGAAATTTCGGATTTCGAGAAAATATTGAATATTTCGTGAAAAAGCACAGAATCCTAAAATAGTTGAAAACAAAGAAAAAACAATGCAATTTCAATCAATCACATGTTTTTCCAAACAACAACTGCTCTTCTTATTTTCTAGTCCTCTTTTTCAAAAAAAAACCTCGAAAAATAAAGAAATTACGTCAAACTTTCATCGACTACTTGACAGAGAGCAACAGTAAGCAAACAACTGAAAACGGCAGAAAAGTTTCAAATAGGCTCAAGGTGTGTTTGATGATAACAAAGAGAGAAAACAGAAAAAAATCAAAAAACTTTTTTTTATTTGATAACAACACCTCAAACAATCGATTGTTCTCTCAAACAAAATTTTGATCACATGGGTTTCAAAAAAAGACCGTGAAAAAATCAAAAATAGCCTGAAGACAACATAAACAGTTTCAAATATCCAATTTCACTCTTCGAAAATAGTATCATTTTTTATTTATAAATTTCATATCAGGTGAAAAACTAGGAGACCGATGACTAATATGAAAAGAGAAAAAAGGTCTTTTGTATCAAAAGTGCAAAGTTCGGAGCGATCGGAAAAAATGGAATGGAATGGCAGACAGAAAAATTGGACTAATCTTTCTTTTATAAGAAACAAGGAGCGAGAATCAGAGAATTAACTGGATGGATGCAGAATATTTTAAAGTTCAAAAAATATGTGAACTAGGAAATATGGATTGAGTTGAAAAAGAGAGAACTGCTCAGATATCTTAACTTAAGAAATAACATTCAAGTGAAGTCGCGGCAAGAAAATAAAAATACGACAAAAATTGAGAAAAATGTTGAACTCACCTTCATAAATGAGATATGATAATTATCCAATGACATTTTTATATGATTATTTATATCTTGTTGTTCTTCATAAATAAATTATTTTTTTTCAGACACAGTTAAATTGGTAGATTGATACACTCCTCTTCCTTTTTCTTCTTCTAACGGGAATCGAATCGAAACACAAACAAAAAAAAAACAAAAAAGCGAAGCGAAGACGAAGAAGTGAAAACTTTCAAGTCAAATGTCTCTGTTGTTCTCTGAACCTCCTCTCTATTTCTCCCGTGAATGATGAGAGATTGTAGCATACAGAAGAGAATTTGAGAAGCAGATAGTCTCGAGGCACATTGCCAATGGCAAAGAGAAATGAAGAAGAAGAGACGGAGAGAAAAAAGAGAAAAATTACAGCCACCCGCAAGAGAGAAAATGACTCCTCCCACTTTCTCTGACGGGCAAGAACAGCTGGCTGACAGGGTAAGAAGGATGAAGGGAAAAAATAATCAGGTAACAAAAAACCGACTGATTTTTGTATCTTTGTCGATGGGGTGAAAAATAATAACAAGAAAGAAAAAAGAAACAACGGAAGAGGAAGACACCAGAAAAAAGAAGAAAAAAACAACAGAAAACCAAAAGGATAAACCACCAAGTGTTTTGTTTTGTTTTTGTTGCGATGACAGCGAGAAATCATGAACAGCTCTTCTTTTTTTTATTTCAGTTAAACAACAAAATGAAACATTAATCACTTTCGCACATGCATACTAATTTCCTTCTGGAAAAGTAAATGCTTTATCTTGATGAGTGAAAACAAAAGAGAAGAACAAAAACCAAGTTCAATCTCGTTTTTTTTAAATTTGATTATCAACGAAAAAATCATGGAAAGCGCCAAAAAGTCTCGAGATCAAGATACTAAAATACAATTCGTTCATATCAGTTTTTGAAATAAGTGAAAAATCTGGTGAACAAGTATAATAAAAATGATTGATAGATTGATAATTTATAGAAGAAACCAGTGAAAAAATCAAGGGAAGTTTGGATGATGACCATAAAAATTAGGTTTTCACATATATTTCTGGAAATACTTTCGAGAAGAAAATGAAAGCCTGAAAATCGAAGTGATGTGATTTTGAAGCACATATGATTCGGATGTTATTAAGAGACTTATTTGCCAAATAAAATTTTTCGATCGAATAAAAAATGTTTTCCGTGAGTATTATTGCAAAAATATTCCTTGGGTGTTTAAAATTCGGAAGTCAACATAAAATTCATTGATGCGAACTCAAATATCTAATACGAAAAGTTCGAAAGATCTGGATTGTTTTTTGACTGTGCTCGAAATATTTTGGATTCTTATATATTTAGATTTAATTTCAGTATTCCACAAATTCAGTCCCTCCAATAAATCGAATTCTTTCGACAAAAGCGAAAAAGAAGACAAAAAAGGGTAAACCATGCAACCAGTTTGTATGACCTTGTCTCGAAACAAAAATTCTCGAAATTCTTTTTTTTCTTCTTCTTTTGTGGTAAAACTTTCAGAGATGGTCACAAATCGAGGAGAAATAAAATGAGAAACACACTAACTAAACTATAACAAAAAATGTGGGAAAAATACAAAAGGGCGAAGAATTCGATGACAAATACATTGTATAATAAATAGTTCAAAATCGAACAAAATTCAAGGAAAAAAATAACATATAAAAACAACATAATAAAAAAGAACAAGGAAGGAAACAAAAATCGAGCAGCATCTTCTTACAAGAATGCATGCATACACTCACCAACACATTAGAAGAAGAAAAAAAGACTAGTCTTCCGGACGGGCGGACATTTTCCGGATGGCACTGTAGAAACTATGAGAGGAAAAGAGTGCGCGAAAGAAAAATGAAGCACTCAACGAGACAAAATGCACACATTTGAAAGGAGGTAACAGAGATATAGAAAATATATAGATTCGTATTATGACAGACAATACAGTGTTTGTATGAGAGTGACATAGATTGGTAGCAGACGAAAAAAGTGATCAGCTAATTTTCGGATGCTTGGAGCTTTCATAGATTAGTTTATTGACAATTCAAATTGAAATGCGAAGAAATTTTAAAATGCATTTCTTGAGGAATGAATCTTTAACGGTCTGAATGGAAATCAGACCATCAGAGACAAGTCTGAACAGGCCCACACATATTCGGAATTCAGCTCGATTCCTTTGGTCTAATTCAAACAACCGCTTTGTTTTGAATACCCTAAATTCAATATTTCAACTGGGGTTCAAATATATCACCATACAAACACGAAACAAAACTGATCAAAATGAGAAAAATCGTGTTATGTTCAATCCAAAGATAATCCCTCTTCATTTTTTATTTTTTCAGTCCGATTTTTTTTTGCAATGCGTCACTCTCGAGATCGTATAACCCCGCATTTCACAGAAAAACTTTCGTGCCCTCCGAAAAGTTTCACGACAAAAAAAACTATATTTGAGCTGCTCTTCAATAAATATTTACTTTGCCATTTTTTGGCGCGCACAGAAAGAAGAGGAAGATCATCGCGCAGAACAAAACTAAAACTAAAAAGTTTTTGTTTTCTTCTTGGAAAGTCAAACCCAAAAGTTCATAACTAAATTTTGTAGAAAAAGGAAAAGAATAACAACAAAAACAAAAATATACGCTTCGACGCGCTTTTGAAGAAACACGCGAAGAACACATTCAGGAAATGACTACGACTAACTAAAAATGGAACTAGCAGTCAAAAATCTATTGAAATGAAAACCAATGTATATATTATATTATACATTGTTACTATGTCATAGTACGAAATTTCAAGTTAAGAAAAAACAACAAGGATAGTTATTCTAACTTCAGTCGAAAAATAAATCATTGTGAGAATTTATTTCAATTCCAGTTAATAACAATGTACAAAAGGGCATGTTTATGTAAAGTTATTACAACATTTCGTCATGCGGAACAATTATAATAATGTATAGTTGCATATACATAAAAATAACCTAATTTTTAATGAACAAAGATTTCTTGATCTATTTATTTTTAAAAGATTTTGTTTCAAATTAATATGAGCAAGAAGTCGAAATTTTGGGGAAAAATGTGAAACATAAACAAATTTAGTCATTATCTTCTTCCGGAATTCATTACGTATTCTCCCTTTTTTTCCTAACATTACATGCCGAAATTTACAATTCAAATTACTCTTTGAAAGAACAAAGAAAATACGAAAAAGTCATTTTTGCAACATTTCACACTAAATATTATTATTCATCGTTACTTTTATAGAAAAGAAAAAAAGAATCAGAAATTTTGCATTTTCTATGATGACTATAAATAATCTAGATATGTTTATATTTCAATTTCTCATTCATTCAAGTTTCAAAAATATCGAAAAATATACTTATTTTTCTGGTTTCGTCTGTCGCGCAGCACAAAAAAGAAAGCTGGCGACATGACAATCATTGTGTGTTCATTTGGATGCCCCAAGGGATTTTCGCACGAATCCATCATTTTTTTTGCTACTTTTCAGATAAACAACAACAACAACAACAGAAAAATAACAAGCAAGAAAAAAGTAAGAACTTACCGAAAATAAAGCATCTGGACGATCAATGTAGTTTGATGAGAAGGCTGTTGGTGGAGAGCCCGATGTTATGCTGAAAAAAATACAAAATAAATTATATAAAATGTATGGAAATGTTTGAAATACCTGTTATTAGTTGAATTTGTGAGTGCTGACGAAAGTCCTGAATCAAAAAGTGTCGTCTGCGAACCGCCAAATTCGAACATTCTGTTGGTTGGCGACCGAAAACAGAGTTTTCAGCAAGCTCCTCGCGTTTTCTCTGAAATATTGGGCGGTGTGAAAATGAAAGAGGTAAATGAATAAATAATGTGGTCCGAACGCCAGCAAAAAAGAAAACAACAAACAGCTCAAAACATGACTTCAGGGTAAATAGGATTTTTTTTTGAGATTATTTGAAAATGCGCAAAAAGGAAGCGTTTCAAAATTGGCGAGTTCAATCTTTTGTTTATTTTCGGTTTCGATGGCAATGCTGATCAAATATTGCGCGCGCTACATGTTCTTGAGTTTGTTGGTGTACAATATTTCACGAAAAAAATCAAATATGCTTGGTAAACAACTGAAATTTAGGGTTCACCGCTAAAAAAAGAGAAACACGCATTTTTTTTCTGAAGAAAAAACGGCAACGCCAGTTTAAAGGGACATGAACCGTTTGTAATGGAAAAACTCAGAATGGCTGAACCATATAAAAAGTTACATACACCATTCGAATCTACGTGAAAAACTGCATCGAAATAAGGTTCGAGTGGTGGATTTAGTGTAACTTTTTTCTCGCGGTATTCGTGACGGGACCCTATTGCCTTTTCGAAAAAATTTCCTTTAAGAGAGAGCGTGCGAAAAAGAGAGACGCTATTGCGCAGAGACATTTTGTGTGCAAACACGCTGACGCACAAATGCACCACACACGTAGGGGTTCGCACCGTAGGTTTTTCAGCAATTTCCTCGATTGAAAATACGTGGAAAAAACAGAGTAAAAATTTCAAAGTGAGAGAGTGTATTTTTAGGAGAGAGTTTTGTTCGTTGCGGGATCACGAAGGGAATGTGTGTTGCGCCTTGACTACAGTAACCACACAAAATTTTTTGAGACCTAAAATTCTGAAAAAAAAGTTATACTAATTATGAATAATAGAGAGAGAGAGAGAGCCGTACACCGAGTGTTTTGGGAAATTTAGAAATTTTGCAAATTAAATATTTTTTTGAAAATTTTCTATTCTTAATTACAGTACTTCTAGCACATTAAAAAATAAACAAAAACAAGAAAGTGAGAGTAGGTAAAAGTATAATAACAATAACAAACAAATGCAAAAAAAATGTCTGCAGCGCGGCGGCATCGAAAGGGAAAATGAACTTGGCTGCCAGCTTCACGTAATAGTAAAACGCGAGAGAGATACGGCTAGACAGTGCGTAGTAAAAAAAGAAGAAAAAAGAGCGAGATAGTAGAGGTGGGTGGAGAATAACCTGAACACCGGGAAAAAATTGAAAGAAGAAGGTGGACTAGTTAATATAATATACGGTGACAAGTTGAAGGAGTGTATGTAATAATGTTGCGCGCGGGAAAAAATGAAATGAAAAAAGGCGGAGAAACAAATGAGGAGACGAGAAGGCTGTAAGTATTTACAGTGTATTTTGTATTGATTTGATTAAGCTGCTGAACTAAGCAGAGATAAAGGAGAGAATTGATGAATGAAGGAGTGTGACATTTTTCGAGATAAAGTTATGTATCAAGGAAAACGGTTTTTCAGGCAATCAACTTTTTTCAAGGTTTGATCAAATGATTTTCAGAAATCAACTCACTTGAAACAGCACATTATAGCTTGAAATAAAAATGTTGAAATGATTGAAAAATCAGAAATGTAGTATAGTCCACGTCAAAAGTTCACGTTCAGTTTTTCAATTTTTTTAAATTATTTTTTTAAATGTCTTATCAAAAAATCTTACAGTAACCCACTGATAATTCGGATTTTCAATTTTAGCCTAAGGGTTAATGTAATTTCGCTTCGATATTTCTTTTATCTATACTCTTGAACCAAAAATTACTGGAACCCCGAAAAGATTAATTTTGAATTTGATTCAAAATTGGAATTTCCAATACAATTGAAATAAAGCAATTTTTATATTAGAACGCAATACATCCAGAATTTTGAAACTTTCCTAACTTCCTTCTATCAAAAAAATCCAAAAACTTTTTATTTTTCAATTCTATTTTCTTCAAATTTTACCTCTCTACTTATTTTCACAACATTGCGTTTATTGTTATTATATTATTACCTATAATGTATTTTCCGTATTTATTGCATAAGAAGAAAATGAAAAAAAGAATAATAATAATAATAACACAAAAAGTAAAAGTAAAAGTCAAGGCGCATTCTCGAAAATAAGTGAAACCAGGGCCATCATTTCATTGATGGCATTTGTGTAAGAAAAACTGGAAGAAAAGGAAAACCTATTGTTTTTTCTTACTTGGTCTTTCATTATTCAAATTATCTGATTCATAAAAAACATTGTCTGAAACTAGTTGGTCAAATGTAATTTAACCGTTTTATATTATTTTAATTGGAAAAAATTTAATTACAGAAACCGCTTGTTATGGGGAAAACATAAGTGTAGATCAACAATATCAGTTGATTACTTTTAGAATAAGTTGAACCAGTTCGAGCAAATCGTGCAAGCCAGTCCAAACTTCTCAATAATGCTTTTTTGTTCAATCGTTTATTTACAGAAAAAAACTTTGCGCGAGAAATCTTAGCGTCTCTTCACCTAACATGCTATTTTCTGCGCTCACCCAGAGAGACACGTTGATGTGTCATTTTTTGCGTGTTCAAAGAGAAAAGATGGTAAAAAGAACTATTGCATATTGTATTTGATAGATAGGCAAAAAAAAAACTAGTGAATGGAGAAAAAAGTGAACCAGAATTTGATGAAAACTATTTGTAAAAAATATTTATGTAGGTCCAAGCTAAGAATGTAATTTCGGGGTGGGTTTCTCAAAATATTTTCCGAAAAAATTTGGTCCATTTTTCTATAGAAAAACATTTTTAAGAGTGGAACATTTTTTGGAAACTGTATTCGAAACAAAAGAATTGCGATGTCGAATAGACAACTTGGGAAAACTAATACAAAGCAATATTATTTTAGGTATACAAAATTCAGTCTTCCCAAGACAATTATTCAATTTTCCATTTTTTTCGAAATTTTTTCTTTTTTTTTTGTCAGAAAAACAAAATTTGGAAAACAAATTTCGTGGGAAAATGAGGAATGAAATATGTAACTTTTTATCCTGTGACAAAAGATTAACCATTTTTTTTTTTCGAAAATATAAAAAATAAACTGCTAACAAATTGGCAGGTCAAATACATCTAGAACAATTTCGCCGTTAATTCCCATGTCAAGTTATGCGTGAACCAGTCATGATCTTCAATTTTCATCAGACACCTATCCAAATATTACGTGACTTTATCTGCGTCTCTCACGTTTTAGCCATCTTTCACATTTGCACTTTTGTGCTCTTCGGAAGCATGCGCGGGTGGTCTTGTTTGCTTACCAATAAATAGAGAAACATACGTTTTTTACTCTTTTAGAAATTTTCAGGGATTTTTAGAATTTTTTATGAATGAATGATAAATAAAAAAGAAACAAAAGTAATAATATAAAACAGTGAATTCAAAAAAATTGCTGAGAGATTCGAAGAAAATAATTTGTTTTTTATTGATCAATCGCTATCCTCATCACTTGTCACTTCTTTTTTCGAAGGCCTTTTACTCTGAAATGAGATTTGAATGAGAAAATATATGGAATTGATTATAATTTAAAAAAAATTTAAAAACGTGTGATAACTCAGAAATAACCAACACTTATAAATTATAAAAAAACTATCATTTTATAATTTCACGAACTAACTTTCAAACTAACCTTTTCATCATCAGAACTGTCTTCGCCTGCACTACTACTATCTTTGCTACTATCACTACTTCCATCTTTCTTACTCTTCTTTTTCGATTTTGTGTCATTTTCAGAATCCGATCCACTTCCTACAATTATTAAATTATTCAAACTATAAATCATAAACTTTTCCAGCTAAACTAACCACTTTCGTTTTCATCTTCTTCTTTTACTCCTTCTTCTTGAACATATTTTTGTGGTGGCTTGAATAGATTTTCGAATCGAGTTTCCATATTTGCGATTTCATTTTCATCAAATTCTCGATAAGTGATTGTCAATTTTGATTTTTTACTCATCCACATTTTTCGCCGACGTTGCATTTTGATATGAGAATCAATCTCATTATACCGAACTTCTCCATCTTTCCAATGAGCAACAAAGTTATCCTGAAATTATTAAAGTAAGAATTTTAACAATCCAAGTATATATTTTTTTACCTTGTCCGTTTTATCAGAACTTGATTCTAATTTCCATGTGAATTCTCGATTCAGATTATATTCATATTTTTCATCTTCATCATATCGTCTTCCAGCTTCAACATCTTCCAAATCTTTTTGAATTGTTTCTAAAGTTGGTGTGAAAAGTGCAGCAAAATGTTCATTATCACATTGCATTCCTCGAATAACTGCTTTTTCAGATGCGATTTTCTTCAATTCTACCGGTAAACTAGTATTAGCAAGTTCTCCGTCAAATTGAACATATGCCAACATATTTCGCCAGTTCTGAAAAAAACATGAAAAAATGAACAATTTTCAGTTTTGTTCTACTCACCTCAAAATCTGGGAAAACGAAACATTCTTCGACCGCATGAACTCCTTTCTTATTATAATGTTTGGTAATCGGTTTTTTGACATCTTCAAATGTTTTATTTATAGCATCAATCTGACTTTGCCTATCTCTGTACATATCATCGACTTGTTGATTCTTTTTCAAATTATAACCTAGTTTTGTTTCTTGTCTGTCTGCGTGCAACCCGAATCGATTATATTCTGTAGAAATATATTCAGTTTTTCTCATCCATGGTACAAGTAACGAATGCTGTGCAGAACGTTTCTGATTTATTTTCGAAACAGTTTCATCTTCTAATAGAATCTGATCTTTTTCATCGAATGGTTGTGGATCTTTATCTTCATCATATTGTACAATATCAATTAAATCCACATTCAAACCCATGTCTTCATCACAAACTACGTTGTGTTTATATTCTTTCTCTAGTGTAGATTCTTTATATTCGTAAAATCTTGAAATTGGAACAAACGGACATGGCATAAACTTTCCATCAAAAGGAATATCGGGCAGAGTATTTGTGAATCGTGGTTTCAACATGAAATCTACTTTCCTCCTGGAAATTCGTAAACTTATTAAATTTAAAAACATAAACGACTTACGGTTCATTTTTCTGATGTTGCCCGTTTCGCGACATTTTACTTTCAGCACGGTTTTTCAGCACGAAAAAAAACCAAAAGAAAAATTCAAAAAGCTACAGAAAAGACGCCTAGCAATAGAGCGAGTTTTGATGTTTGCGTCATGAAATCTCGAAATGTGTCAGTGAAGCATGCGTAATTTTAACAATAGAGCGATTTTGCTTCACCGTAAATTCAATTTCTCGTATTTTTTGTTTGTTTTTTTTCAGCCATTTTTGCCACGTTGAAAAACACGTTTCACTTATTTTTTTCGAAACATTTTCTTATTTGAAATAAAAAATCTCGAGAAATAGACTATTTCCCACGATTAGCAATTTTATGAGTTTCAGACCGGGTACATGACCTCAATTATCAAATTACAAGTGTTCTCCGGAGCAAAAGACGAAGGTCCGTTATGTTATCTGCTCCAAATTGATGGCGATTATATTTTGCTTGATTGTGGTTGGGACGAAAGATTCGATACAAAGTATATAGAAGAACTCAAGCCATTCATACCAAAAATCAGTGCAGTTCTAATATCTCATCCTGATATTCTTCATTTAGGAGCTTTACCCTACCTTGTTGGAAAATGTGGATTACATGCTCCTGTTTATGCAACAGTACCTGTTTTCAAAATGGGTCAAATGTTTATTTATGATTGGATTTATAGTCACAAAGATGTAGAAGATTTTCAACACTTCTCTTTAGAAGATCTTGATTTAGCAGTTGAACGAGTAGAACAAGTTAAATACAATCAAACAGTTGTTCTAAAAGGTGATTCTGGTGTAAATTTCACAGCTCTTCCTGCTGGTCACATGTTGGGTGGCTCAATTTGGAGAATTTGTCGAGTAACTGGAGAAGATATTATATACAGTGTTGACTTTAATCACAAAAAAGAGCGACATTTGAATGGTTGTTCATTCGAAAATTTCAATCGACCACATTTATTGATTACTGGCGCACATCATATTTCATTACCACAAATGAGAAGAAAAGATCGAGATGAATTATTAGTTAATAAAATACTTCGAACTGTTCGTCAAAGAGGAGATTGTATGATTGTAATTGATACAGCTGGAAGAATATTAGAAATTGCACATTTATTAGATCAATTATGGTCAAATACAGATGCTGGTTTATCTACATACAATTTAGTTATGTTATCGCATGTTGCTTCGTCTGTTGTTCAATTTGCAAAATCACAATTAGAATGGATGAATGAAAAACTTTATAGGTCAGTACAATTCGAAATTAATTAGTAACAGTATGGAATTTTTGCAGATATGATTCCACGCGTAGCAATCCATTTAATCTTCGAAATGTTCATTTATGCCATTCCCACGATGATCTCATGAAAATACGATCTCCACGTGTTGTTCTTTGCAGTAATATTGATATGGAATCTGGATTTTCTCGTGAATTATTTCTCGAATGGTGTACAGATTCAAGAAATGGTGTTATTCTCACAGGTCGACCATCTAATTTCACACTCGCTGCTAAATTAGTTAATTTGGCCGAAAACTCGGCGGATGGAAAATTGACAACTGATGAACGATTTTTGAATTTGACTGTGAAAAAAAGACAACCTTTAGATGGTGAAGAATTGATAGAATATCGAAGAAGAAAAGCGGAAAGAGATGCTGAAGAAACACGGCAAAAGTTAGTTTTTTTTTTAAATTTCTCTTTTCAAATCAGTATTTTGCTTTTCAGAATGGAACGTGCTCGTCGTCAAGCTCATATAATGAATGATGAATCAGATGACAGTGATGATGAAGATTCTCTAATTATTACATCAAATCATCAAAAATTGGGACATGATCAAAAAGATGATTTCCATAATTCAGATGTTCATTGTTTCGATATAATGGCAAAATGGGATAATCAACAGAAACAATCATTTTTCAAAACAACAAAAAAATCATTTCCAATTTATCCATATCTTGAAGAAAAAGTTCGATGGGATGAATATGGTGAAATTATCAAATTAGAAGAATATACTGTTGCTCCATTGAAAGATATTGTTGTTAAAAAAGGAAAAGATGATCAGGTTATTGTGAAAAAAGAAAGTGAAGAAGATATGGAACATGAATATAATGAACATGATGAAAGTGTTGAAGTTGAAGAAATGCCAACTAAATGTGTTGAATACAAATATCGAGTAGAGGTTAGTTATTTTTGCGTGAACTACGGCGTGTCTATTGGGTTATCATTTCTTACTCAGAGAAAAGGTGGTCCATGGGCAGCCCCTTGGAGTGCCCCGAGGGCTGGTCCTAAGGGCAACACTGGTGCATTCAAGGGGCGGCCTAGGGGCAATTAAGAAAAACTAGGGTATGACGTATTTAAATTTTAAAAATTTTGACGTGGAAAAAATCATTTCTGTTTTAATTTTTAATTTTCGCCATGGCAAAATTCAAAAAATCTTGCGCCAGGAAATCATTCACAATGGTGATTACCTTCGGAAATCTAGTTTATCTATTTGATCAAAATTAATCGAAATCAAAACATATTTCAAAGAGAAAACTTTTATTTTATAAAAATGAAGCTTCTCAGAATTCTCATTCATAGTTTTCGGAATTTCGGCCCTGCTATACATTCTCGAAATAACAGTCGGAACATCGAATAATAATTTTCTAATGAGCACATTCTCTGACTTCTGCAATTTCGGACTTGGGACTATTACTTAAGTGAACAACCAAATTTGATCATTTTTTTTCTGGATCACGCGAAAAATGTTTTTCCATTTTTTTTTGTTTTTGTTTTTTTTTCAACCAGGTAAAAATCTTGCCACGTTTGACTTGTCAAAAAATACGTGGCGATACGTGGCGGCCTTTTCTCTTGTTTTTCTCGTTCTCGTCCAGTCAGTACTAATTATTCGCTTTCAGGAAATGGTGAGTTAACAAAATGATAATTCAAAAAACGGTTTTGTTTTCAGATTTTGCTTCTACAGTACACATGTTGATCAAATGGTTCGCCTCAAATGAAAAAAAGGGTAAATAATTCATTCCTCTAGCTAATCTAATTTTTTCATTTTTCAGTTATCGCAAGAATTTCGGGATGGACGATGGATTTTCAAAAATTCTTGCTGCCAATAAATATATTTTTTTTTGAATTTTGATTTTCGCAGTATTATACAGATAGCTCACCTCCAAAGTCTCAAAAAATTCGGAACGTTTTTCCACAAAATCTGTGGAATTTGGGCCCTAATTTTGAGAAACTTTGAATTTCGGCTGATTTTCAAAAATACTGAACTTTTTTAAACCAAAATGTTAAGGTTTCATCCAAATCTTTTACTTTCAAAAAAATTTCCAGTTATTTTCTTAATTACAGAAAAATAACAAAAAGTTGAGAATTTCAAAAAAAAAATGGTTCAGAAGTATTTTTTTTGGAAGTTTTTTGAAACTCGGGTCAGAATTGGGTTTTAAACAGTTTTTGTTTGAATTTTGGCTATTCTGGCAATACCAACTTTGAAAAAAAAATCAAAATTTCGAATTTTTTCAAATATTGGAGGTGAAAATAACATAAGATAATGTTCTATCAAACTACACGATACATCACCAATGTTGGTAATCAGGCCTGTACCGGAATTACTGAATTTTCCGGTTTTTCCACGAAAAAGATTTTTCGAGTATTAAAAATCTGGAAATGTTCTGTTTTCCGGGTTTCCCTTTTCCGACACAGGCCTGTTTCTGATGTATGGAGAAAAATTTTCAAATTCCGAAAATCCAGAAAAAAATTTACGTCAAAAAAAATTTTTTTTTCGTGACCTAAAAAAATGATCAAATTTGGTTGTATACGTAAATGCGTGTGGACTTGGGCAGCGTGAGATGACATAATTTTCCAAATTCACAAATATTCCAAATAGAAGTACTCATAGAAAAAATTCCTTGATTTCCTGTTCCTGCTTTTCACCTTGCAATTTTTTGGGACATATAAAATATAATAAATCGGAATTGAGTTCCCCACTATTTTCTTGAATACCGAAATAAGTGAAATGAAAGAAATTTATTATTTTTTGTGATCGAAGACGTAACTAGGTCACAAAACTAGGTCACGTGCTCAAAAAATATCCTTCAAATTATTTTTCCCATTAGAAAATTTGCCCTTCGTGCTGGTCCGAAGGGCAACACCCCGAAAATAGGGGCAAACCAAATTCCTACGGGCAGCCCCGGGGCAAAATTTTCTCTGAGTATTTAATTCTTTAAAAAATATTGTTGTTAATATTTTCGAAACGTGAACTAGTCGTGGCATTGTGCAGTTTTTGGAATTTAATTTCATTTCTCAAATCCTCCAGGTTGTATGCCGTGTCGAATTCATTGAATATGAAGGCATTTCCGATGGAGAATCAACTAAAAAACTATTAGCTGGTCTTCAACCAAGACAAATTATAATTGTTCACGGATCAATTCAAGATACTCGTGAACTTTTTGCATATTTCAAAGATCACGGAGTTGCTCAAGGAAAAATAGATGCACCCGCAATTGGACAACTTGTTGATGCATCTGTCGAATCATTCATTTACCAAGTTGCTTTGAGTGATGCACTTTTGGCTGATATTCAATTCAAAGAAGTTAGTTTTTTTCGGGTTAAAGAATTCTTCAAAGTTTCTTACTTTTTTCTTCTAGAAAAATGTTGATATTTTCAACAAAAAAGAAACGAAAATTTTCATTGCACCAATTTTTTTCTCTGAAAAAAATGTCTGAAAGTTTTCTTACAACACAGTTGTGATTTTCAGATCTCCGAAGAAAATGGTCTTGCTTGGATCGATGCTCGAGTTGTTGAAAAAGAAGCAATCGAAGGATTAACAGCTCTTTCAATCACCGATCAACACCAACATCAACAATCTTCTTCTGATTTAAATAATGAGGAAAATGGCGAAGAACCAATGGATCAAACTGAACAAATTCCAACAAAAGAAAGAATACGTGGCAATTTGATTCTTGATATTTTACCAAATAAGCAGATTCCATGTCATGATGTAAGTTAACTGTTTTTTCTAGTCATCAGGCCTAACTCAATATCTTTACAGGCTGTTTTTGTGAATGATCCAAAGCTTACTGATTTCAAAAATGTTTTGACAGAAAAAGGATATAAGGCTGAATTTTTGAGTGGAACTTTGTTAATAAATGGAGGTATGTTTTTTTCTGTTTTTTAATATCTCAATTCAAGTTTTTTATCTTCAGGAACGTGTTCGATTCGTCGATGTGAAACTGGGTATTTTTTGTTGGAAGGCGCACTTTCAAAAGATTATTATAAACTTCGACATTTGTTTTATGATCAATTTGCTGTTTTATAAATATTTTATATTTTTTTAATTCCTAAAAAAGGCAGAAAATTATTTTATTTTTCAATCAATATTCAGACAAATAAATCGAAAGAAAATGTATGTGAGAAGTTGATAAAAATAACATAGATAAGGGGGATTTGGAAAAAGGGACAAATTATACATAACAAAAAAATATACTTTTTAATTATGTTATATTCTTCGCAGAAAGGGGAAAAGCCGTAAAAAGCCTGAGACTACCAGAGTCTGAAAATGAAAAAAAAATTTGGAGAAGTTGAATTGAAATGCAAAATGGCAAAAAAAGAAGAGGAAGGAAAAGCTGGGGGATTTCTAGTCGGTAGATTACTGTAGATTACGGTATGATTTATTGATCTTTCTTCTCTTCGGTGGCAACTGGGCGACGGAGGAATGGAAGTTTCTCTTCGAGCCTAGAAAAAATATTTGTTGACCATATAAATAAATAAAAAATAGAAGAACTTACAAGTTTTGAACATTTTGAATATGTCCATTCAAAACAGCCAAATGAGCATCAATTGGTTCTTGGTATGTTTCGTAGAGTTTTGGAATTGAGAAGATTCCAGCAACAGTCAAGAAGATCAATGTGAATCCAGAGAACCATGAAGCAATGTATGTCAAAGACCACAAAAGAAGTCCGAATTTAGCCGAATCCAAGATGCTTTCAACAAAAACCAATTTTTTGAGTTTGTTGGCCAAAAGGGTTCCGTGTTCGACGAGAACATCAACTTGAGCATGAACTTTTTCTTGTGGAAGTGCCAAATCTTGAGCCAAAATCTCTCTGAAACAAAATATTTGTGTTCGGGTTTTTTAAAAGTCGGAAGACCGATAAGTTCTATAGTTTGAAAAAGCAACTCACTGGAATGGATTTTCTCCGCCAGTTTTCTTGATTTGAGCCTCAACAGTTTTGAAGACACGGAATCCGAGTGTTGCAGCCAAAAGAGCCAATCCAGTATAAGCAATAACAGACAAAAGTGGATAACGAGCCAAAACGAAAAGAGCCAAAAGTGATAATGAAAGGGCGATTGCCGACTTCTTTGGATCACGCCAGTAAATCAAATCGAGAACTGAAAATAATTATTTATTTGGAGGAAGGGGGTCATTATTTATTTGAACTCTCGCATTATTTTTTGGTCTCCGATAAGAGCTATTCTTATCACTATTTTTTATGATATAAAGACAGAAAGACATTCAGCTGACAGGTCATTTTGGAACCTTCAAAAAAAAAAAACAAGGATAATGACTGTAAGCTATGAAGTGGCAAATTTTGAAACTTTAAAATTCCGATTGAAAGTTGAAACAATTCTCTTGTAAAACTAATCAATTTTGTTAATAAATTTCGACATCCTAATAAAAAATATATTCAGCCATTATAAAAATCCTAATTCAAATCTTCCCTCCAAAAAAGGAACAATACCATCCGAAAATGCATTTTTCAAAATAATAATACCCATAGCAAATATAATAAAATAAGAACAACACAAAGAATTGAGTGTGTTTTTATTATTATGTTGAGTTTTGGAGGAAAAAAACAAGAGAAGAAAAGACACCTGTTAGTATTTTTTGGGTTTGAAATTTTCAAAGTTTCAGAAAGCAAATGTACTATGAATTCAGAAAAAGCTTCTCAAAAAGTAAATCTTACCTCTTCCAACAAAATCAGTGGCTGGAACATAGACAGCCTTTTTAGCATTATTGTTATTGTTATTTCTATATCTATTAGCTTGAGCCATTTTGCCACAAAAATCAGAATAAAATGATCAAATATATAAGCCACCAAGACAAAAACGAACACAAACACGGTTCTTTTCTGTATTCGTGGCCTTTTCTCCGCCTTTTTTGCTCTCCGTCTCTCCTTCTTACAAACTATTTCATCACAAATTGTGTCAGCGTCTCCAAAAAAACAACGATATTTTGTTGAGTTTGCAGTTTTTTGTGACGCGGACGAGACATTGATCATGATTGCGGTGAATTTGGAGAGAATCAGAGATTTATATAAAAGATGCATAGATATATAAATACTATTTACTACTCAGATACTTCCTCCTGTTTAGATTGACCCCATTTATTTTTATTAGATCTTTTTGAGAATCAATTGATTTCCCAAAAAAGATATGTTAAACAACTACTTTTATTAAAACATAATCAGCCATATCTATTTGTTAAAATAGAGACTAAAAAGGTGACAAATTTCGAATCGAACCAAAAAATCGGACCTTTTTAGTCCATTATTATATGAGAAAAATTTTGAAAAATTACCTTTTTTGAAATATAGATTTTTTTGCTTGATGAAGAAGTTCAAAACGGTCTACTATTTTTTTTTAAAATCTGTTTATATTCCTTAAGAGGAGCTGTAAATTTTCCACAAATCTGACAATGCAAATTCAAACTCAAAAAAACTCACCAACTTTTCTACACATATTTTTACAGAATGATCTATTTACCTAGATGTTTCAAAAGAAAAAAAAAGAGTAAATACATGAAAATTTCAAGAGTTTCAATATCTGCGTCTCTCATTTTTCTAATAAACTCACTCTCTTTTCTTTGCGCAATCGCTTGTTTCGAAAATTGGGCGGCTGCGTAAAGTGTCATCGAAACCGACACCAACAAAGACACATTCAATCCAACACGAAATGACGTGTTCACCAAAAAAGCCACCAAGGCATAAATGCCACGTCCGACTGCACCAACTTTACTCATTTTACAAGAAACGATTTGAGAAAATTTGACTTTTTTCTAGAAAACAAAAAAATGATGACTAACAAGTTTTGAAAAGGACGAGTGAACAACTCAGGCAGTAGAAAACTCCGGAGTTTCGCCAAAATGGAACGAGAATGTCGCTAAAAAGGCTCCAAACCCGGTTCCGGATCTTTTCTCGGTACGCATTGGCGATTCTCCGGAACTTTTTTGTCGATTCTCCAGAGTTTTTTCGTTTTTGTCGCCTGCTTTTTTCGAATACATTCTAGTCTTTCACTCTCGAAAATCAATATTTATTTTCAACAAACAGGAAAAATTAGTTATTTTCTGATTGTTTCAATCTCCAAACGAGTAGAATATAAGCATCAAAAGATTCCTTTGGCATTCCAATGAAGATTGGGTGTTGACTTCGGCAATTTTTTGACAAGAACTTCTGTTTCTTCTCATTTTGAGCCGACGAGGAGAGATGCAGCACTGTGTGAAGACTCCATAAGCGCATTTCATGCTGAAAATTGAAAAAGGATAATAGATTTATAAGGATGATTCCCCATGAGTATTATTAATCGTAATTTCTCACTCTGAAACTGTGAACGACTTTTTGAGATAGGATGTGATAATTATAATGGTCATAAACTTGAAATTTGGAAACTTTCAAAGCTCAAAAACTTGAAAAACAAACGTTCATCGATTTTCTTTCTCGTGACTCACCTCATAAATAGAATACATCTCGTGATTCACGATTTTGGAAATATTGCAAGGCGATCCTCCAGAAATTAAAATTGAGCGGGCCTCTGCTTTCGAATTCTCCTAGCGCGAGGGGATCCAATCGAATCTATAAATTAAACTAGTATTCACTTTTGTTAAAAACACTTCACTCACCAGGAGCAAAAATCGCTAATTTTATTCCAAGTCCAGGTTGACTTTTATCCATGACGATTTTGTAGGACGCACATTGCTTCCAGACGATTTCAATTGTCTGAAAATTATCAAATTAGGCAAAGAAACTCTGAAAACTGAGCAATTTTGAAGGAATAGCAAAAACTAGAAAAACTAAAAAAATAAATGAAATGAAAAAAATGACTCGTCATTGTCATCATTCGATGGAGCGCGTTCGATCGACAGCGATTTGCTCCGGAGAATCGCCAAAACCAAACTAGAAAGGCGTGCCAAACTAGAAAAAACAGGCGCTCTCTCGATTTTCTGTACCCACTTTGGCCTATCTCCGGAGTTTTTGCGTTTTCTGGTTCCCCTCCGGAGTTTTCTACTGCCTGAGAAAAAAAAAGATTGCAAAAATAAAATTTCGAAATACTTATATTCCGCGCCTATAATTTAGTAGATCAAAAAAGTTTTTACTTGAGATTCAAAACTATTCTAAAACAAAATGAAAAGAAGAAACATAGTTTAACTTATCTTTCAAAGTATATATCCAATAAACTCTCCCTAAGGAATATATACATTCCCTCAAAAATTTTGCAACATTTTTTCCACCCAAAATTTTTCCGACCTTCAAAAGGAAAATATAAATAACTAACTATATTTATAAAATTGAAAAACCAGAGGGTAGGTAGAAAGTATAATAATTACTTCGTTGGTCACATGCATGTTTACGGCTAGGAAAATGTCAAAAATTGGTTATAGTGCAAAAGTCATGTGAAAAATACATGAATTTCATTTTATCTTATTGATTTTTCTTGTTGAAAAAAAAAACACGAAAAAAATGGTTCGTGACTTGAATTTTAAACTTTTTCGATTGTAATGAGAATTTAATTCAAAAGAGCTTCTTTGAAAGCAAAAATGCTACATTTTTGCAATTAACCTTCTATTCATAATAGAGTTCATGCACCTGCTCTCATTTTCGGATTAATATTTAATTTAGAAATAGTGCTCTCTGGTCATAAACAACCGCAAGGTGTCAATTAGCGGAAATTCGAGGATCGAAAATGTGCAAATGGAAAACAACATATCAAAATAATTAGAAATTTTTCAAAAATCTCGAAGGATTTGCATGAATTATAAATATTTGAATGTAAATATATAAATAACTAAATAAGTAAACAAAATTAAAAAACATACAAGAACCTATAGTCATAATTTCTTTTTTATAAAACAAAAAACCAGAGAATTCCATAGAAATTAATAATAATTTTGGAACAAAAACAAAAATGAATGTTAGACAATGTGAAGAACCACCAACCACCCAAGAATAATAGAAAGAGCAGCAGAAGCCAGTAACAACTCAAAATAAAAGAGCACAGAGAAAAGGGTGGTTGGCTGGCATGTGCCATATATTCATGTGTGTATGGCTCAAATTGGCGCATGTGACCAAGCCACCCTCGTTGTCCACCCCTCACTATTTCTATTCTCTTTTTTCTTTTGGCATCTTTCCAACACAACATAATATAACAACAACCACAACAACAATGCTGCCCTATTTTGGCGATGAGCCAGAGGCAAAACATTGAGAAGAGATAGAGAAAAAGGAAAAAGGGAAGGCCTTTTCGATAAATTACATTTTGTGCTTTTTCTTGTATTACCCACCACCCGAAGCTATATTATTTTGGGCGTGTCAGTTGCGGCACACATTAATTACGTCTTTTTTGGTGGCTCGCTGGGTGGAAAAAGAAAAATCGATGGATGATACCTTCTTAGAGGGGTTTTAGAATAATGAACTAAAATGCATTTTCGGATGGCGATTCTGTGATTGAAAAAAAAACAAAGAAAAACTAACTTGAGGGGTCAATTGTTTTGAAGTCGAACCATGGTTCTCCTGATCCAACATGTTTCAAAATCGAGTGATGTGGAGTAGAAGGATGTGCTGAAAAATATGATAGTTTGAAAAAAAACAACTAACAAATGATGTGAGAATAATGAAAATAAATATTAACCTAGAACAAAAAAAAGGTTCCTGTTTTTCAAGTAGTGGAGCTGTATTTTTCGGCAAGCCAGCTCCACAGCTGGCTTGCCGAAAAATGAAAAAAAAACGAAAAAATATTTTTACCGTACTTTTTTCAAGGCGCAAACAAGTATTCGTACTGGTCTCGAAACATTATGTGTGCGCCTTGAAAACGAGGCGAAATTGTTTTTCAAAATTTTTCTTCTGTTTTCGTTTCTTTCGCCCCGTACCCAAATGGTTCTCGAGAAGATCTTTCCCTATTGATATCACGCCTTGAAAACTGTTTTCAAACATCTTCAGTTATTTTTATTCCAAAAAGTTTTCAGATTTCTAATTTTTTTGTTTTTCTTCGTAGATTATCTCGAAATTAGAATTGTATACCTTTTTGAAAACCCGACTGGTACAAAACATTTTGCTCAAAAGTTTCTCCAACCCTAAACCCATCCATTCCTTTCAACCTGAAAATTTACTTACAATGTACTGGTGCTGGTCCTAAATCGACACTGGCTGGTTGAACTGGTTCATCCGAAATTTCTTTTGGTGGAGTTGGAGGCCTTGGAACGCTTTCGAATTTTCTAAAAAAAACATGTTTTTTTTCAATTTTGTATTTTATGTGACTTACGGTTCCTCTTCAATATCTTCATCTTCTTCTCTCATTGCTGCAGCAATAGCACTTCCAAAATCATGTCCAATTTGAGCGGCAGTTTCAGATTCTGCTTCAGGTAATTCAGGAATTGTTAATGGACCAGTTCTTCCGAATGTATCTTCCTCATCTGGCGGTGTTTGATTACCGAATCGCGGTTCATCAACAACAGCTGGAATATCAGAGTGTGCTCCTCGAAGGAAGTCATCAATTTCATGATGAACATCTTCGACAGTATTTGCAATATCACCCTTTGGTTTTTCATCAAAATGTTGCTGATTATCTTCGGTAAAGTAAGGTGGGTTGGCTGACACAGCTTCAATAATTTCAGGTTCATCTGATGAAGATGTTCCGAAATCGAGAAGATCGTCTGGGATATGCGATTTGACCTCGTCAACAGCAGCTGGAATTTTCTCGTGAACAAAATCGCTGAGACCATCTTTAACATGATGAAGAACATCTTGAATTGTTGCTGGATGTTCTTCTTTTCCTGGATGAGATGTTGGAATCAATTCATCCGCGATTTCATCAATGTTTTCATTTGCTGATTTGGCCAAATCTGCAATAAGACTTTCAGGTAACTAATATCATTTTTTCTCGGTAAAAAGGTTTTGATTCAACTGACCGGAAGCCGTATCAACAGCATCTTGGACCAATTTCCTGGCTTCTTCCGAAATCGGAGACTCCAAAATTTTGGCCGTATTATCGAAGTAGTCTTTTTCGATTACGTTGTCTGACATCTGAAATAATCAATTTTTTCAAAAATAAAACAGAGAGAAATTTTTGCGTGGGGCAACAAAAACACAACATTTGTTGAGTTTGTAGTAAAAATGTCAAGCAAAAAATTGAAGAAATGAAAAAGAAAAAAATAATGAATGAATTGTGGCCAGAGAAACAAAAACCAATGGTGTTCCGATTGAAATAAAATGAAAATGAAATGAGAAAAGTTTTGAAACATATCAATAATAAATTGTGAGTCAAAAGTCAGTGAAACGTTGCCTTGTTAATTTCGAAATCATATTTTCTGTTTCTGAACACCAAAAAAACAAGAAAAATGAAAAGAGAATGAGTCAGTTAGAGAAGAGAAACAAACAAACAAGCAAAAAACAAAAACTACGCAGAGAAAACTTTGATGTTGCGAAATTTGATTTATGAAATTACCTGGTAGATCAAGAATTAGCATGAAAGATAAGCAGAGATAAGCTTGATGAATAAATAACATTTTTTATTGAAAAATGAACATCGTTCTTGATTTTTAATTTTTGATGGAAGTTGTTTTCGAGCTAATAGAACAAAAATAGAAAAAGATGACTTGGAACCATCTAAGTATCGTAAATATCTCAAAAACATTTCAAAAATTCCAAAAAACAAAAAATAAACAAATTTAATTTAATATAATTCAAAATATCAACACACCGCCTAAACTACGACACTCCACATTGACACAAGGCATTTTCATTTTATTTTATTTTATTTTGTCATCTTTTTGTATTTTTCGTGATTTTCATGGTATTTTGAGGTTTTTTTGTGAATTCTTTTGTATTATAATCTTACTTATCCAAACTCCATTCATTATTTCTAGGTGATTCTCCCTGAAGATGGCATAAATTGCCGAAACGTTGGATAAAAATTCATTTTACACCAACTTGTCGTAATTGTTATATTCGCTCAAAAACAAATTCCATCAAAAATTAAAAAAAATGAATTTATCGAAAATCTTTCTTAGATCTGTCCATACCACGCCCAGCTTCGTGCAAATTAACTTTAAAAATTGGCGGTGTGGGTTTTGAATTTTTTTTGGCGAGGTGAAAACAACCTTTTCGACTGAAAAATACGACTTTTTTACCGAAAAACAAGCAAAAATTTGCTGTTTTTCAGGAAAATCTCAAATTGGCGAGGTGAACTTCTGAATTTTTTATTGGCGCCGGGCAAATACCTCACCCTGGGCGTGGTATGGATCTGTCTGTCCGCTTGACCTACTTTTGTGCCCTAGATTTAATTTTAAATAATTCGACGTTAATCATTTTGCTCATTTCTGATTTTTCAAAACGCTTGAATTTCAGCTTCTTTGAAATGTATCGTGAGTTTACTTAAAGAAAGGTGTGAATATTGGAAAGCTCTGAAGGTAATAGACCTAAGATTGTACATAGTGAGATGATTACACCGCGAAATTATTATTTTTTTCCTAACCTAGTCCCGCAAGTTTTTTTTAATTTAAAAATCACTGTAGATCACGCGCGATTTCACTATCTTTTTGTCTCTTCTCTCTCGTAGGGACGCCGATATTTTGGAATAGCGTTTTGAATCAATAAAAAACAACCAAAAGTTTCATTAAATTGAAAGTATTTTTCAGATTGGTCGTGGATGAAAATATTCGAGATGAGTTTTGTTGGAAAACATGAAGCAACACATCAATTTTGAGAGATGAGATGATCGAGGAACGATCGAAATTTCAAAGGTTAGTTCTTTTTTTGGGTTTGATAGATTAGGGAAGTTGTAGTTGGAGGGAGTTTTGTAGAGTTCGAAATTTTTTAAACTGATTTGCATTTGAATCGAGGATGCTTTTGAAAGGAAGTTTTAGAATATTTTAACAACTTTGAGGTCGGGAGAAATAAGGTCAATAGTAGTATGCATGGAATACATGGCATGGAAGTACTATGCATGTACAAAAATTTATCACATGGAAGGTACTTTACATGGAATGATTATTATACATGTGAAAAAATTTTATACATGTAAGAAGAACTTTGATTTTTTCTAATTTCTGGGAAGATTTTCGACCAAGCAGAATTTGATGGGAAGTCTGAAATTTTAGGAATTTCAGATCAGAATCACGTGATTTTTACGTGAAAATCGAAATTTTCAAAAAATGTCTAGCTAGAGATGTTTTCAGACACACTGAAAACGATGGGATGACTGAAATTTTGAGAATTTCAGATTTTCAGCCAGAATCACGTCATTTTCCTGTGAAAATCAAATTTTTCCAAAAATTTCTAGTTTTTTGCTACAAATGTTTTCAGACACGCTGAAAACGATGGGATGACTGAAATTTTGAGAATTTCAGATTTTCAGCCAGAATCACGTGATTTTCACGTGAAAATCAAATTTTTTCTGAAAATGTTCTCGTTTTTTGCTACAAATGTTTTCAGACTTGCTGAAAACGATGGGATGCACTTTAATATTCGAAATGAACTTTTCAAAAACATACAATTCATAAATAATGTAAATAAAAATTATTTTAAATCCAGCGGTTGGTGTAGGCGAATGCGGCGTTCCACTGATCCAATCTGAAAAATCGAAAACATTATAATTCTGTAGTCTTTCGAATTTCATTTTCGATATTTTTGAAAACTAGGACTCTGTTTTGAACAATTTCGACAGTGGTTTTTCCAACTAAATAACCCTGTTATAATGAAATTTAGAAACTAATAATACAAGCAAAGCTTGACCCACTAATAATAGTACACATATTTGTTTCTAGAGAAGTGTTCAATTTCCAGCTGGTAATGAAGAATCGACCATAAATTTTCGATTCTAGGATATCCCGGGAAAATTTCGTATTACTTAAGACCTGATACAATCTTATTGACACAGGCTTTTGTAAGCAGTCTAGAAACCGGCTAAACATCATCCCCATTTCGTCGATCAAATTTCTTTTGAATTGCATTTTCGCAAAAAAAATGGTACATGGTGCAAATTTTTTACAAAGAATCGGGAAGAATGCTTTTCCAAGCACATTTCAAAAGTTGGTATATTCAGAAAGTTGGTGTATTTTTGTACGTAGCGTTCGAATTTACCCACGTGCAGTGTGGAATTCACATTTTGTCATTTCGTGTGGTGAAAATACAAAATTTAACTAAAAAACGAAAGATTCTAGATTTTTCAATCAAAGCTTAGATTAAATCAGTTATATTCTAGATAAAAGTGAGAAATCATAAAACATTTCACTCGGAAAATTCATGAAAACCACATAATTTGTAAAATAACTCACACGTTTATCGAATTCTCCATCATTTTGCCTATTTTGTCGTCTTCGCAGTTGGTGTGCGACTTCTTCCTATCTGTAAAAATACTCATCACAAAAGCAAGCCACAAAAATAAGTTTTTCAATAAAAAATGTGCTTTTTAGGCGTAAAAACTAGAAAAAAAATAAAAAAATTGGCCTAAAATAATTGGCAAACATCCAATTGTTGGTATCCTAGGCCATTGGCCGAGGTTCCTTGAAATTTTTAGGCCAACATTCAATTTTTTTTTTCGTTTTTTTTTCGTTTTTTGTTGTGTTTTTCTCGTTTTGTAGATAAATTGTATGTTTAAAGCTGCGAAATATTTACTGTTCTTCCACGAAAATGAAGAGCGGCGGTGTTTGCACACTTTTCGCAGCTACCGTACTCAGCAGTTGCAGATGTAGCTAAATCATATTTTGAGGGTTTTCGTAGCTGAACCGTAGAAAGAACTTGCATCTCCAGCTAAATCGAAGCAAAAATTTAGCTCAGTGTTTCTGACCGATTTCTCAGCTAAAACACACATACGTTTTAGCTACGGTTTTTTGGCGCGCAAACATGTTTTCTTCGTTTTGTTTTGTTTTTCGACGATTTTCGTGACTTAAAGCCTAGAAAAGTGCTGGTAACATATTATATCGTCTACGGGTCAGTGTTTTATCGATGGAGAACGAGTAAGTTCATCTAAAAGTTACGTTTTACGTTGAATCTTTGCAGAAAAACAGTCAGTTTGTTGCGTTTCTCGAAAAAGTGGAAAGTGATGGTGAAATCTTCAATAAATGAGGTAATTCCAACAAATGTTTCAATATTCCACAGTGTTTCTCAATTTACAGATGCCAATAACAAGAAAAAAGCCGGATGTCATGGATCTCGACCAATTTGGCTTCTAATAGGTTTTTGGGAAGTTAAACCGCCAAATGGAGTCGCAAAATGCACAAACACCACATCGTCATGTTTTGCAAGCCTACCGCCCTATTGGGAAATTTTAGTTGCTACTTTTCTATCCAATATTCGGCCGGTCCAGGATCCAGAAGCTATCAAACAACTGCGAGAAAATTAAGTGTTTCTGGTGAATAACTGACTATAATTTCATATTATTATGTTATTGTATGTTTCGATACGAATAAATGTTTTATATTTGCAAGTTTTCTAACTACGCCAAATACAGAAAGAAACCCGCATAAGCAGTATTTCGCAATAAACAGGAAAACAGTTTTCGTAGCTAAAACATGCGTGTGTGTTTCGTAGCTAAAACAGACTTCGGTGTGTGTTTGTAGCTAAACCGCACACTGTTCGTAAATAAAACGCAAGTGTCAAGGGCTGCGATCGGTTGAGCTATGAATTAGCTACATCTGCAACTGCTGAGTATACAAATTGGAGGGAGTTTAAAAAACAATTTTTTTTCTTTTCTTTTTTTCAATTTTTTCGCGGATTTCGTTTGTTCGTGGTTTATGAGTCAGAACGCCAATTTCATCATGATGTCTTGTGCTCATCTGAAAGCCCGTCTAAAACTGGTCATTTCGCTGTGAATAGATAGTCATGAAAATGAGAAACCGACGAGGCACAGGCGTCGAAAGGGAAAATGCACACAACGTGGCAAACACACATTTTCAAGTTGAGACTTGGTGTTTTTTAGGTCGATCGATTTCAGCTCATTGTCAATCAATTTCAGTCATCTATATATCAATCAAACCAGAATTTTACGGAGAACAATCTCATCTTCATGGATTTCAACAATTCGATTGCTTTCGACCTTATTTTGGACTGAAATTCGAGTTTTTTGGATTTTTGAGGGTTTTGGGAGGGGTTTTCTGATTTTTTCGCAATTTTTCATCGATTCAATGCTGGAAGTTGCTCTACAGTCTAATTTTACGAAATTCGACCATCAAATCTGATTTTCAACTTCGAATCACACAATTTTGGCCTGAAATTTGAGTTTTCTGGTATTTTTGGGGGATTTGGGGGCATTTTCTTCAGATTTTATTGAAATTTCTGATGAATTCAGTGCTGGAAATTCGTCTACAGTATAATTTCACAAAATTCGACCATTCAATCAGATTTTCAACTCTGGAGCACACGATTTCAGCCTGAAATTTGAGTTTTCTGGTATTTTTGGGGGATTTGAGGGATTTTCTTCAGCTTTTTCCGAAATGTTCGATGAATTAGCTGCTGGAAGTTCCTCGACAATCTAATTTCACGAAATTCGACGATCCAATTGAATCTCCAACTATGTATCACACTATTTTTAGTATAAATTCGATTTTTCTGGGTTTTTGAGAGAGGATTTTTTTCGAAATGTCACAAAATTCGACCTTTTTCAAATTTTCATTTTTTATATAAGCTAGTTATTTTGAGATATTTACTTGAGTCATAAAATCATAGAAAGTTGTTCTAGATGGTCGAACCTATCAATAAGTCATTAAATCTGTTTATTTGTGAATTTGCAGAGATTGCCTGCATTAATAATTCAAGAAAAATCCAGAAAACTCAAACATCAGCCCAAAATCGTGTGATCCAGAGTTGAAAATCTGATTGAATGGTCGAATTTCGTGAAAATAGACGATCGCGGAACTTCCAGCACTGAATTCACCAGAAATTCCGAAAAAATCTGAAGAAATTGCCTCAAATCCCCCAAAAATACCAGAAAACTCAAATTTCAGGCCAAAATTGTGTGATTCGAAGTTGAAAATCAGATTTGATGGTCGAATTTCGTAAAATTAGACTGTAGAGCAACTTCCAGCATTGAATCGATGAAAAATTGCGAAAAAATCAGAAAACCCCTCCCAAAACCCTCAAAAATCCAAAAAACTCGAATTTCAGTCCAAAATAAGGTCGAAAGCAATCGAATTGTTGAAATCCATGAAGATGAGATTGTTCTCCGTAAAATTCTGGTTTGATTGATATATAGATGACTGAAATTGATTGACAATGAGCTGAAATCGATCGACCTAAAAAACACCAAGTCTCAACTTGAAAATGTGTGTTTGCCACGTTGTGTGCATTTTCCCTTTCGACGCCTGTGCCTCGTCGGTTTCTCATTTTCATGACTATCTATTCACAGCGAAATGACCAGTTTTAGACGGGCTTTCAGATGAGCACAAGACATCATGATGAAATTGGCGTTCTGACTCATAAACCACGAACAAACGAAATCCGCGAAAAAAATTGAAAAAAAAGAAAAGAAAAAAAAATTGTTTTTTAAACTCCCTCCAATTTGTATACGGTAGCTGCGAAAAGTGTGCAAACACCGCCGCTCTTCATTTTCGTGGAAGAACAGTATGAAAAATGTTTCTCTACTAAGATCAAGAAGGAAACTTCATCAGAACTTCGAAATTCACATGTTCCACATGAATTTAGGCCAAAAATTAATATGTTTCATTTTTTGGTTTGTTCAATTTTTAGATAGTAGAATGCGGTTATTTTGTAGTGCTACTAAATTCCAGCAACATTTTAATGAGTTTCCGGCGAAAATTCCCTATTAGAATTGAAAATCCTTGTAGCGCCTTCACTTGATGCTTGAATTTCTCACATTGTATATAACTTACTACTTTTCTGTCAATTGATTATTTTTTTCAGAAATCACTTTCATTTCGATCTTGGAAATCTGGTTGTAAGAAGAAGGGTTTCGCCATGCCAAAAATGGCTAGATGAAGATGTGAAGAAATTCATAGAACGTCGGACATCAACAATCTTCAAATGTACTGCCCATCGATCTATGTTATTTCCCACACTCAGGTATGTTAACTTGAATAAGGAAGGAGGATTTTAATGGATCTTTATTTTCAGATGATTGTCCTCAACTGCAGATAAAAGAAGGCTCATATGGTCGAAATCCAAATCAACGGAAAACCCGTGACCCAAAAGGTCTTGGTCTCGTGAGCACCTCAAGAAGCAAATTCCAGTTGACACCGACATCTATCAAAATGAAACGGGGTCACGGATTCAAGTCACCAACAGACCAAGAAAATTCAACGTCATACACACAAGGGTCCCCGAAGCTGGTCTGTACCGAAGCATGGAATCTCTCGTGTCGCCTTCACCGTTAGTCGTGCTGGTCAAAAGGAATCATACCACATAGCGTGCTTCGACTGCTGGATCCATGTATGATAAAATTCTTCTGATTTTTAGAATAAATGCGTTTTAATTGCTACTGTCTACTTGCAACAGTGGTATAGTCAGAATAAAATTACATCGGGTTTCAATCAACAAGTTTTGATTTGGATCCAGCATGTGTACTCGATGTCTGAACTGGGACCTTGATGGAACAGTTATGTGAATTTGTCTGTGTGCATATCCGAAATTCATGAAATTTCAATAATTCCGCTGTTTTCAGGGTTTTCAGACCTTTGTCAAAAACTAGAAATTTTTGATAAATGATTTTCACGCGAATCTGAAATTCTCAAAATTTCAGTCATCCCATCGTTTTCAGCGTGTCTGAAAACATTTGTAGCAAAAAACTAGAAATTTTTGGAAAAATTTGATTTTCACAGGAAAATGACGTGATTCTGGCTGAAAATCTGAAATTCTCAAAATTTCAGTCATCCCATCGTTTTCAGTGTGTCTGAAAACATCTCTAGCTAGACATTTTTTGAAAACTTCGATTTTCACGTAAAAATCACGTGATTCTGATCTGAAATTCCTAAAATTTCAGACTTCCCATCAAATTCTGCTTGGTCGAAAATCTTCCCAGAAATTAGAAAAAATCAAAGTTCTTCTTACATGTATAAAATTTTTTCACATGTATAATAATCATTCCATGTAAAGTACCTTCCATGTGATAAATTTTTGTACATGCATAGTACTTCCATGCCATGTATTCCATGCATACTACTATTGACCGAGAAATAATATTTCTTGTTTTTTTTTTGAAACTTTAAGACAAGAAGGGGGATATATTGGGGTTTTTGTGGATATGGGCAAGTATCTTGGTGAAAAATGAAAAAAAAGTTAATTCATCAAAAAGTCGCTTGATGATAATAACAATAAAGCCGAAATTATGTTTTATATTTTTATTTTTTGATCGTTTTTTGAAGTTTGTTTTCGTTATGTGATTTTTTGGAACACGTCACGTTCAAAATAAGAATGAGCACCTTTTTTAATGAAGAGACTTCTAGAGGTCCTTAAAACTTTTGAATAATTGAATAAACAAAACTAAATCCATATGAGGCGACAAAAGGAGGCCCACAAAATCAATACTTGCAAAGCACAAAAAAGGAACTCCCATAACAGCTCACATAATCGATAAATGCACTGGAAGCAGACAACAACTGCGCGAAAAAAAGAAAAGAGATCCGCTTTTTTCCTCCAAAAACAATGACCAAACAAAAATAGACATTTTTATTTGGAGAATGGGCAAAAAATGGGAGAAATTCTTTTTGAAAAAAGAAATGAAATAGACGACGAGAAAAATAAGAGGCAGAGTAAGTAAGTAGGCAAGGGAAAACAGAAAAAAGGGCGAATTGGTGGTGGCTGCTATGGCGGTGTTGCATAATTAGCTGCAAGATAGCTGGTTGGTTGGTTTGCTGGGCGAAAATACATACGAAAAAAGGGAGAAGAGGGAAAAGGAATATTTCGAAACTGCCTCTCGCTTTCCATTTTTATGTATTAGTCGAGTTGAAAGGGCAAAAATTGCGACCGGATGAACAGAAAAAGGAGGAAAGGGATGGAAATTATAACCTTTGAATATATAGAGAAAAATCGATATTCACATCAGGTCAGGGCACCTGCTTGTGAAAAGAAACATAATTTATGACTATCAAACTCTCAAAAAACTTATGAATTATGGAAAGACTCATGAGTGCTCTTCAAAGAAAGTTCTTATAAACATTTTAGAGACTCAACAATATGAATTATACTATTTTTACATAATCTCTATAGGGTTTGTAAAATGAGATGACACCATATGCTCTTTTCCCATGATGGGATTAGGTTACCAAAAATTAAATACTGACATTGAAGCCTAATTTCTAACTCATTGTCAACAATAAAAAATGAGTGTACTTTGAACTGATTAGCAAGAAAAAACGAGGACAAACAAACAGAACACTTTCAAAAAAGAAATATCATCTGACTTGTCACAATCAATTATTTTTTTACAACTGACCTTTTTTACTGGTACCGCCTCGTTTTTCTCAATCATCAAAAATCCGTCAACGTCTTCTTGATCCACCTGAAAACACTCTCAAACACACTGCAAAATCAAGCAGAAACACACACTTTTAAATATGTGAATTGCAGTCAATATTTGGGCATGATAATAATTCGTGTGAATCAGAATCATTGTACAAAAGATTTTATGAATATTTTGTATGCCACATAAAAATTGTGGAAAAAACAACCATCAAAGTGTCTAATGTTTATCACTTTTTTTCGAACTTCAGAATATTTAAAATATTTGTCAACTAACCTTCAAAGAGCCTTCAGTTGGATAATCTAATTTGACAAAACTATCTGAATTGTTTGATGAACTCATAACTGGAGAAGCGTTGAGATATTGCGAAACCTGAAAGAAGATCTACGACTTACGGAAAAAGTCTATGTTTCTATTCAACAATACAAAAAGCATTGAAATGTCAATACATATTTCGAAACATTAACAAAATTTTCTCGACTTTTTCTGTCTTGCATCTTTGTGTTTCGAAATTTTGGCAATTCAAAAATTTTGGTTCGTTCTCAGGTTTTTTCGAACAAAAAAACTTCGGAAAACCTACAGAAGATTGGAATGGAAGAAGGTCTTGTCGAATATTATCGATTGCTGTTTGGAACTTTTGTCGATCACCAAACGAAGATATTGAAGAAAATGAATCACGGCGTGGAAGCGGTTCTTCGACTGCAAAAAGTGAAAGATGATTTTAATTTTGAAAATGGCGAGAGAAACAAGAAAAAAACACGACACAACAAATCAATGAAATCACTCAAAATTAATTAAATAAAACAAAAAAGGTCAGTCCACATCAACCAGCTTACTGGATGTTGTGAAACGTTTAAATGTCGCTTCACTGACATCTCCAATTGAATCCATCTCACTTCGATCATCAAATGAATTTCCAGAAAGGATTTTTGTTTCCTCAACAGGTGATTGTGGAATTGATTCAATGTCCATTATTGGCAATCTTTCATATCCATCTGGAGTTCCAGGAGAAATTGGAGAATGTCCCGTTGACAATGAACCATCTTGATCAGTAATAACTTCCAGAGGTCGGAAACGTTCAGAATCAAACATTGCTTCGAAAGGAGATTCAGATGGTCGTTCGATTTCCATTTCTTGAAGATTTTTTTCAGAAGGAACTATTGTTAGAATTTTCGGAATTTCGTTCGTTGAAACATCTATATCGGCAACACGAGAAGATGCGTCATTTTGTTGTTCATTTTCATCCAAAATATCACAGATCACACATTTTTCTTTTGATGGATTTTCTGATCCGCTTGGAACATATCCATTTGAAAAACTGAATCGCCTTCTTGTTAGAGTTACTGGTGAAATTGAAGATGAATCACATTTTTTTGAATCAACATAGTCTTCTGGAGCTGTGAATATTCCTTCGACAATTTTATTTTCCGAATCCTCGTTCACATTTTCTGAATTCTTTGGTGATTCATTTTCATCAGTTGTGTGAGGTGTTGTGGTTGTTGGAATAACAGCAATATTTTCGAAAGTTTCTTGAACATCTTCATTTTTGATTGGTTCAGAGATTTTGTTAGATTCTTCCAAAGGCAAAAGATCAGTGATACCTTTGATAATTGAATCAGCAATGTCTTCTGGAGCTGTGAATATTCCTTCGACAATTTTATTTTCCGAATCTTCGTTCACATTTTCCGAATTCTTTGGTGATTCATTTTCATCAGTTGTGTGAGGTGTTGTGGTTGTTGGAATAACAGCAATATTTTCGAAAGTTTCTTGAACATCTTCATTTTTGATTGGTTCAGAGATTTTGTTAGATTCTTCCAAAGGCAAAAGATCAGTAATACCTTTGATAATTGAATCAGCAATGTCTTCTGGAGCTGTGAATATTCCTTCGACAATTTTATTTTCCGAATCCTCGTTTACATTTTCTGAATTCTTTGGTGATTCATTTTCATCAGTTGTGTGAGGTGTTGTGGTTGTTGGAATAACAGCAATATTTTCGAAAGTTTCTTGAACATCTTCATTTTTGATTGGTTCAGAGATTTTGTTAGATTCTTCCAAAGGCAAAAGATCAGTAATACCTTTGATAATTGAAGTCAGCAATGTCTTCTGGAGCTGTGAATATTCCTTCGACAATTTTATTTTCCGAATCCTCGTTTACATTTTCTGAATTCTTTGGTGATTCATTTTCATCAGTTGTGTGAGGTGTTGTGGTTGTTGGAATAACATCGATATTTTCGAAAGTTTCTTGAACATCTTCATTTTTGATTGGTTCAGAGATTTTGTTAGATTCTTCCAAAGGCAAAAGATCAGTAATACCTTTGATAATTGAATCAGCAATGTCTTCTGGAGCTGTGAATATTCCTTCGACAATTTTATTTTCCGAATCCTCGTTCACATTTTCTGAATTCTTTGGTGATTCATTTTCATCAGTTGTGTGAGGTGTTGTGGTTGTTGGAATAACATCGATATTTTCGAAAGTTTCTTGAACATTTTCATTTTTGATTGGTTCAGAGATTTTGTTAGATTCTTCCAAAGGCAAAAGATCAGTAATACCTTTGATAATTGAATCAGCAATGTCTTCTGGAGCTGTGAATATTCCTTCGACAATTTTATTTTCCGAATCCTCGTTCACATTTTCTGAATTCTTTGGTGATTCATTTTCATCAGTTGTGTGAGGTGTTGTGGTTGTTGGAATAACATCAATATTTTCGAAAGTTTCTTGAACATCTTCATTTTTGATTGGTTCAGAGATTTTGTTAGATTCTTCCGAAGGCAAAAGATCAGTAATACCTTTGATAATTGAATCAGCAATGTCTTCTGGAGCTGTGAATATTCCTTCGACAATTTTATTTTCCGAATCCTCGTTCACATTTTCTGAATTCTTTGGTGATTCATTTTCATCAGTTGTGTGAGGTGTTGTGGTTGTTGGAATAACATCGATATTTTCGAAAGTTTCTTGAACATCTTCATTTTTGATTGGTTCAGAGATTTTGTTAGATTCTTCCAAAGGCAAAAGATCAGTAATACCTTTGATAATTGAATCAGCAATGTCTTCTGGAGCTGTGAATATTCCTTCGACAATTTTATTTTCCGAATCTTCGTTTACATTTTCTGAATTCTTTGGTGATTCATTTTCATCAGTTGTGTGAGGTGTTGTGGTTGTTGGAATAACAGCAATATTTTCGAAAGTTTCTTGAACATCTTCATTTTTGATTGGTTCAGAGATTTTGTTAGATTCTTCCAAAGGCAAAAGATCAGTGATACCTTTGATAATTGAATCAGCAATGTCTTCTGGAGCTGTGAATATTCCTTCGACAATTTTATTTTCCGAATCCTCGTTTACATTTTCTGAATTCTTTGGTGATTCATTTTCATCAGTTGTGTGAGGTGTTGTGGTTGTTGGAATAACAGCAATATTTTCGAAAGTTTCTTGAACATCTTCATTCTTGATTGGTTCAGAGATTTTGTTAGATTCTTCCGAAGGCAAAAGATCAGTGATACCTTTGATAATTGAATCAGCAATGTCTTCTGGAGCTGTGAATATTCCTTCGACAATTTTATTTTCCGAATCCTCGTTTACATTTTCTGAATTCTTTGGTGATTCATTTTCATCAGTTGTGTGAGGTGTTGTGGTTGTTGGAATAACAGCAATATTTTCGAAAGTTTCTTGAACATCTTCATTCTTGATTGGTTCAGAGATTTTGTTAGATTCTTCCGAAGGCAAAAGATCAGTGATACCTTTGATAATTGAATCAGCAATGTCTTCTGGAGCTGTGAATATTCCTTCGACAATTTTATTTTCCGAATCCTCGTTTACATTTTCTGAATTCTTTGGTGATTCATTTTCATCAGTTGTGTGAGGTGTTGTGGTTGTTGGAATAACAGCAATATTTTCGAAAGTTTCTTGAACATCTTCATTCTTGATTGGTTCAGAAACTTTGTTAGTTTCTTCCAAAGGCAAAAGATCAGTGATACCTTTGATAATTGAATCAGCAATGTCTTCTGGAGCTGTGAATATTCCTTCGACAATTTTATTTTCCGAATCCTCGTTTACATTTTCTGAATTCTTTGGTGATTCATTTTCATCAGTTGTGTGAGGTGTTGTGGTTGTTGGAATAACAGCAATATTTTCGAAAGTTTCTTGAACATCTTCATTTTTGATTGGTTCAGAAACTTTGTTAGATTCTTCCAAAGGCAAAAGATCAGTGATACCTTTGATAATTGAATCAGCAATGTCTTCTGGAGCTGTGAATATTCCTTCGACAATTTTATTTTCCGAATCCTCGTTTACATTTTCTGAATTCTTTGGTGATTCATTTTCATCAGTTGTGTGAGGTGTTGTGGTTGTTGGAATAACAGCAATATTTTCGAAAGTTTCTTGAACATCTTCATTCTTGATTGGTTCAGAGATTTTGTTAGATTCTTCCGAAGGCAAAAGATCAGTGATACCTTTGATAATTGAATCAGCAATGTCTTCTGGAGCTGTGAATATTCCTTCGACAATTTTATTTTCCGAATCCTCGTTTACATTTTCTGAATTCTTTGGTGATTCATTTTCATCAGTTGTGTGAGGTGTTGTGGTTGTTGGAATAACAGCAATATTTTCGAAAGTTTCTTGAACATCTTCATTCTTGATTGGTTCAGAGATTTTGTTAGATTCTTCCGAAGGCAAAAGATCAGTGATACCTTTGATAATTGAATCAGCAATGTCTTCTGGAGCTGTGAATATTCCTTCGACAATTTTATTTTCCGAATCCTCGTTTACATTTTCTGAATTCTTTGGTGATTCATTTTCATCAGTTGTGTGAGGTGTTGTGGTTGTTGGAATAACAGCAATATTTTCGAAAGTTTCTTGAACATCTTCATTCTTGATTGGTTCAGAAATTTTGTTAGATTCTTCCAAAGGCAAAAGATCAGTGATACCTTTGATAATTGAATCAGCAATGTCTTCTGGAGCTGTGAATATTCCTTCGACAATTTTATTTTCCGAATCCTCGTTTACATTTTCTGAATTCTTTGGTGATTCATTTTCATCAGTTGTGTGAGGTGTTGTGGTTGTTGGAATAACAGCAATATTTTCGAAAGTTTCTTGAACATCTTCATTCTTGATTGGTTCAGAGATTTTGTTAGATTCTTCCGAAGGCAAAAGATCAGTAATACCTTTGATAATTGAATCAGCAATGTCTTCTGGAGCTGTGAATATTCCTTCGACAATTTTATTTTCCGAATCCTCGTTTACATTTTCTGAATTCTTTGGTGATTCATTTTCATCAGTTGTGTGAGGTGTTGTGGTTGTTGGAATAACAGCAATATTTTCGAAAGTTTCTTGAACATCTTCATTTTTGATTGGTTCAGAAACTTTGTTAGATTCTTCCAAAGGCAAAAGATCAGTGATACCTTTGATAATTGAATCAGCAATGTCTTCTGGAGCTGTGAATATTCCTTCGACAATTTTATTTTCCGAATCCTCGTTTACATTTTCTGAATTCTTTGGTGATTCATTTTCATCAGTTGTGTGAGGTGTTGTGGTTGTTGGAATAACAGCAATATTTTCGAAAGTTTCTTGAACATCTTCATTCTTTAATGGTTCAGAGATTTTGTTAGATTCTTCCGAAGGCAAAAGATCAGTGATACCTTTGATAATTGAATCAGCAATGTCTTCTGGAGCTGTGAATATTCCTTCGACAATTTTATTTTCCGAATCCTCGTTTACATTTTCTGAATTCTTTGGTGATTCATTTTCATCAGTTGTGTGAGGTGTTGTGGTTGTTGGAATAACAGCAATATTTTCGAAAGTTTCTTGAACATCTTCATTTTTGATTGGTTCAGAGATTTTGTTAGATTCTTCCGAAGGCAAAAGATCAGTGATACCTTTGATAATTGAATCAGCAATGTCTTCTGGAGCTGTGAATATTCCTTCGACAATTTTATTTTCCGAATCCTCGTTTACATTTTCTGAATTCTTTGGTGATTCATTTTCATCAGTTGTGTGAGGTGTTGTGGTTGTTGGAATAACAGCAATATTTTCGAAAGTTTCTTGAACATCTTCATTCTTGATTGGTTCAGAGATTTTGTTAGATTCTTCCAAAGGCAAAAGATCAGTGATACCTTTGATAATTGAATCAGCAATGTCTTCTGGAGCTGTGAATATTCCTTCGACAATTTTATTTTCCGAATCCTCGTTTACATTTTCTGAATTCTTTGGTGATTCATTTTCATCAGTTGTGTGAGGTGTTGTGGTTGTTGGAATAACAGCAATATTTTCGAAAGTTTCTTGAACATCTTCATTTTTGATTGGTTCAGAGATTTTGTTAGATTCTTCCGAAGGCAAAAGATCAGTGATACCTTTGATAATTGAATCAGCAATGTCTTCTGGAGCTGTGAATATTCCTTCGACAATTTTATTTTCCGAATCCTCGTTTACATTTTCTGAATTCTTTGGAGATTCATTTTCATCAGTTGTGTGAGGTGTTGTGGTTGTTGGAATAACAGCAATATTTTCGAAAGTTTCTTGAACATCTTCATTTTTGATTGGTTCAGAGATTTTGTTAGATTCTTCCGAAGGCAAAAGATCAGTGATACCTTTGATAATTGAATCAGCAATGTCTTCTGGAGCTGTGAATATTCCTTCGACAATTTTATTTTCCGAATCCTCGTTTACATTTTCTGAATTCTTTGGTGATTCATTTTCATCAGTTGTGTGAGGTGTTGTGGTTGTTGGAATAACAGCAATATTTTCGAAAGTTTCTTGAACATCTTCATTTTTGATTGGTTCAGAGATTTTGTTAGATTCTTCCGAAGGCAAAAGATCAGTGATACCTTTGATAATTGAATCAGCAATGTCTTCTGGAGCTGTGAATATTCCTTCGACAATTTTATTTTCCGAATCCTCGTTTACATTTTCTGAATTCTTTGGTGATTCATTTTCATCAGTTGTGTGAGGTGTTGTGGTTGTTGGAATAACAGCAATATTTTCGAAAGTTTCTTGAACATCTTCATTTTTGATTGGTTCAGAGATTTTGTTAGATTCTTCCGAAGGCAAAAGATCAGTAATACCTTTGATAATTGAATCAGCAATGTCTTCTGGAGCTGTGAATATTCCTTCGACAATTTTATTTTCCGAATCCTCGTTTACATTTTCTGAATTCTTTGGTGATTCATTTTCATCAGTTGTGTGAGGTGTTGTGGTTGTTGGAATAACAGCAATATTTTCGAAAGTTTCTTGAACATCTTCATTCTTGATTGGTTCAGAGATTTTGTTAGATTCTTCCGAAGGCAAAAGATCAGTAATACCTTTGATAATTGAATCAGCAATGTCTTCTGGAGCTGTGAATATTCCTTCGACAATTTTATTTTCCGAATCCTCGTTCACATTTTCTGAATTCTTTGGTGATTCATTTTCATCAGTTGTGTGAGGTGTTGTGGTTGTTGGAATAACAGCAATATTTTCGAAAGTTTCTTGAACATCTTCATTCTTGATTGGTTCAGAGATTTTGTTAGATTCTTCCGAAGGCAAAAGATCAGTGATACCTTTGATAATTGAATCAGCAATGTCTTCTGGAGCTGTGAATATTCCTTCGACAATTTTATTTTCCGAATCCTCGTTTACATTTTCTGAATTCTTTGGTGATTCATTTTCATCAGTTGTGTGAGGTGTTGTGGTTGTTGGAATAACAGCAATATTTTCGAAAGTTTCTTGAACATCTTCATTCTTGATTGGTTCAGAGATTTTGTTAGATTCTTCCGAAGGCAAAAGATCAGTAATACCTTTGATAATTGAATCAGCAATGTCTTCTGGAGCTGTGAATATTCCTTCGACAATTTTATTTTCCGAATCCTCGTTTACATTTTCTGAATTCTTTGGTGATTCATTTTCATCAGTTGTGTGAGGTGTTGTGGTTGTTGGAATAACAGCAATATTTTCGAAAGTTTCTTGAACATCTTCATTTTTGATTGGTTCAGAAACTTTGTTAGATTCTTCCGAAGGCAAAAGATCAGTAATACCTTTGATAATTGAAGTCAGCAATGTCTTCTGGAGCTGTGAATATTCCTTCGACAATTTTATTTTCCGAATCCTCGTTTACATTTTCTGAATTCTTTGGTGATTCATTTTCATCAGTTGTGTGAGGTGTTGTGGTTGTTGGAATAACAGCAATATTTTCGAAAGTTTCTTGAACATCTTCATTTTTGATTGGTTCAGAGATTTTGTTAGATTCTTCCGAAGGCAAAAGATCAGTAATACCTTTGATAATTGAAGTCAGCAATGTCTTCTGGAGCTGTGAATATTCCTTCGACAATTTTATTTTCCGAATCCTCGTTTACATTTTCTGAATTCTTTGGTGATTCATTTTCATCAGTTGTGTGAGGTGTTGTGGTTGTTGGAATAACAGCAATATTTTCGAAAGTTTCTTGAACATCTTCATTTTTGATTGGTTCAGAGATTTTGTTAGATTCTTCCAAAGGCAAAAGATCAGTAATACCTTTGATAATTGAAGTCAGCAATGTCTTCTGGAGCTGTGAATATTCCTTCGACAATTTTATTTTCCGAATCCTCGTTTACATTTTCTGAATTCTTTGGTGATTCATTTTCATCAGTTGTGTGAGGTGTTGTGGTTGTTGGAATAACAGCAATATTTTCGAAAGTTTCTTGAACATCTTCATTTTTGATTGGTTCAGAGACTTTGTTAGATTCTTCCGAAGGCAAAAGATCAGTAATACCTTTGATAATTGAATCAGCAATGTCTTCTGGAGCTGTGAATATTCCTTCGACAATTTTATTTTCCGAATCCTCGTTTACATTTTCTGAATTCTTTGGTGATTCATTTTCATCAGTTGTGTGAGGTGTTGTGGTTGTTGGAATAACAGCAATATTTTCGAAAGTTTCTTGAACATCTTCATTTTTGATTGGTTCAGAAACTTTGTTAGATTCTTCCGAAGGCAAAAGATCAGTAATACCTTTGATAATTGAATCAGCAATGTCTTCTGGAGCTGTGAATATTCCTTCGACAATTTTATTTTCCGAATCCTCGTTTACATTTTCTGAATTCTTTGGTGATTCATTTTCATCAGTTGTGTGAGGTGTTGTGGTTGTTGGAATAACAGCAATATTTTCGAAAGTTTCTTGAACATCTTCATTTTTGATTGGTTCAGAGATTTTGTTAGATTCTTCCGAAGGCAAAAGATCAGTAATACCTTTGATAATTGAATCAGCAATGTCTTCTGGAGCTGTGAATATTCCTTCGACAATTTTATTTTCCGAATCCTCGTTTACATTTTCTGAATTCTTTGGTGATTCATTTTCATCAGTTGTGTGAGGTGTTGTGGTTGTTGGAATAACAGCAATATTTTCGAAAGTTTCTTGAACATCTTCATTTTTGATTGGTTCAGAAACTTTGTTAGATTCTTCCGAAGGCAAAAGATCAGTAATACCTTTGATAATTGAATCAGCAATGTCTTCTGGAGCTGTGAATATTCCTTCGACAATTTTATTTTCCGAATCCTCGTTTACATTTTCTGAATTCTTTGGTGATTCATTTTCATCAGTTGTGTGAGGTGTTGTGGTTGTTGGAATAACAGCAATATTTTCGAAAGTTTCTTGAACATCTTCATTTTTGATTGGTTCAGAAACTTTGTTAGATTCTTCCGAAGGCAAAAGATCAGTAATACCTTTGATAATTGAATCAGCAATGTCTTCTGGAGCTGTGAATATTCCTTCGACAATTTTATTTTCCGAATCCTCGTTTACATTTTCTGAATTCTTTGGTGATTCATTTTCATCAGTTGTGTGAGGTGTTGTGGTTGTTGGAATAACAGCAATATTTTCGAAAGTTTCTTGAACATCTTCATTTTTGATTGGTTCAGAGATTTTGTTAGATTCTTCCGAAGGCAAAAGATCAGTAATACCTTTGATAATTGAATCAGCAATGTCTTCTGGAGCTGTGAATATTCCTTCGACAATTTTATTTTCCGAATCCTCGTTTACATTTTCTGAATTCTTTGGTGATTCATTTTCATCAGTTGTGTGAGGTGTTGTGGTTGTTGGAATAACAGCAATATTTTCGAAAGTTTCTTGAACATCTTCATTTTTGATTGGTTCAGAGATTTTGTTAGATTCTTCCGAAGGCAAAAAATCAGTGATACCTTTGATAATTGAATCAGCAATGTCTTCTGGAGCTGTGAATATTCCTTCGACAATTTTATTTTCCGAATCCTCGTTCACATTTTCAGAATTCTTTGGTGATTCATTTTCATCAGTTGTGTGAGGTGTTGTGGTTGTTGGAGTAACAGCAATATTTTCGAAAGTTTCTTGAACATCTTCATTTTTGATTGGTTCAGAGATTTTGTTAGATTCTTCCGAAGGCAAAAGATCAGTGATACCTTTGATAATTGAATCAGCAATGTCTTCTGGAGCTGTGAATATTCCTTCGACAATTTTATTTTCCGAATCCTCGTTTACATTTTCTGAATTCTTTGGTGATTCATTTTCATCAGTTGTGTGAGGTGTTGTGGTTGTTGGAATAACAGCAATATTTTCGAAAGTTTCTTGAACATCTTCATTTTTGATTGGTTCAGAGATTTTGTTAGATTCTTCCGAAGGCAAAAGATCAGTAATACCTTTGATAATTGAATCAGCAATGTCTTCTGGAGCTGTGAATATTCCTTCGACAATTTTATTTTCCGAATCCTCGTTTACATTTTCTGAATTCTTTGGTGATTCATTTTCATCAGTTGTGTGAGGTGTTGTGGTTGTTGGAATAACAGCAATATTTTCGAAAGTTTCTTGAACATCTTCATTTTTGATTGGTTCAGAGATTTTGTTAGATTCTTCCGAAGGCAAAAGATCAGTAATACCTTTGATAATTGAATCAGCAATGTCTTCTGGAGCTGTGAATATTCCTTCGACAATTTTATTTTCCGAATCCTCGTTTACATTTTCTGAATTCTTTGGTGATTCATTTTCATCAGTTGTGTGAGGTGTTGTGGTTGTTGGAATAACAGCAATATTTTCGAAAGTTTCTTGAACATCTTCATTTTTGATTGGTTCAGAGATTTTGTTAGATTCTTCCGAAGGCAAAAGATCAGTAATACCTTTGATAATTGAATCAGCAATGTCTTCTGGAGCTGTGAATATTCCTTCGACAATTTTATTTTCCGAATCCTCGTTCACATTTTCTGAATTCTTTGGTGATTCATTTTCATCAGTTGTGTGAGGTGTTGTGGTTGTTGGAATAACAGCAATATTTTCGAAAGTTTCTTGAACATCTTCATTTTTGATTGGTTCAGAAACTTTGTTAGATTCTTCCGAAGGCAAAAGATCAGTAATACCTTTGATAATTGAATCAGCAATGTCTTCTGGAGCTGTGAATATTCCTTCGACAATTTTATTTTCCGAATCCTCGTTCACATTTTCTGAATTCTTTGGTGATTCATTTTCATCAGTTGTGTGAGGTGTTGTGGTTGTTGGAATAACAGCAATATTTTCGAAAGTTTCTTGAACATCTTCATTTTTGATTGGTTCAGAAACTTTGTTAGATTCTTCCGAAGGCAAAAGATCAGTAATACCTTTGATAATTGAATCAGCAATGTCTTCTGGAGCTGTGAATATTCCTTCGACAATTTTATTTTCCGAATCCTCGTTCACATTTTCTGAATTCTTTGGTGATTCATTTTCATCAGTTGTGTGAGGTGTTGTGGTTGTTGGAATAACAGCAATATTTTCGAAAGTTTCTTGAACATCTTCATTTTTGATTGGTTCAGAAACTTTGTTAGATTCTTCCGAAGGCAAAAGATCAGTAATACCTTTGATAATTGAATCAGCAATGTCTTCTGGAGCTGTGAATATTCCTTCGACAATTTTATTTTCCGAATCCTCGTTCACATTTTCTGAATTCTTTGGTGATTCATTTTCATCAGTTGTGTGAGGTGTTGTGGTTGTTGGAATAACAGCAATATTTTCGAAAGTTTCTTGAACATCTTCATTTTTGATTGGTTCAGAGATTTTGTTAGATTCTTCCGAAGGCAAAAGATCAGTAATACCTTTGATAATTGAATCAGCAATGTCTTCTGGAGCTGTGAATATTCCTTCGACAATTTTATTTTCCGAATCCTCGTTCACATTTTCTGAATTCTTTGGTGATTCATTTTCATCAGTTGTGTGAGGTGTTGTGGTTGTTGGAATAACATCGATATTTTCGAAAGTTTCTTGAACATCTTCATTTTTGATTGGTTCAGAGATTTTGTTAGATTCTTCCGAAGGCAAAAGATCAGTAATACCTTTGATAATTGAATCAGCAATGTCTTCTGGAGCTGTGAATATTCCTTCGACAATTTTATTTTCCGAATCCTCGTTCACATTTTCTGAATTCTTTGGTGATTCATTTTCATCAGTTGTGTGAGGTGTTGTGGTTGTTGGAATAACAGCAATATTTTCGAAAGTTTCTTGAACATCTTCATTTTTGATTGGTTCAGAGATTTTGTTAGATTCTTCCGAAGGCAAAAGATCAGTAATACCTTTGATAATTGAATCAGCAATGTCTTCTGGAGCTGTGAATATTCCTTCGACAATTTTATTTTCCGAATCCTCGTTTACATTTTCTGAATTCTTTGGTGATTCATTTTCATCAGTTGTGTGAGGTGTTGTGGTTGTTGGAATAACAGCAATATTTTCGAAAGTTTCTTGAACATCTTCATTTTTGATTGGTTCAGAGATTTTGTTAGATTCTTCCGAAGGCAAAAGATCAGTAATACCTTTGATAATTGAATCAGCAATGTCTTCTGGAGCTGTGAATATTCCTTCGACAATTTTATTTTCCGAATCCTCGTTTACATTTTCTGAATTCTTTGGTGATTCATTTTCATCAGTTGTGTGAGGTGTTGTGGTTGTTGGAATAACAGCAATATTTTCGAAAGTTTCTTGAACATCTTCATTCTTGATTGGTTCAGAGATTTTGTTAGTTTCTTCCGAAGGCAAAAGATCAGTAATACCTTTGATAATTGAATCAGCAATGTCTTCTGGAGCTGTGAATATTCCTTCGACAATTTTATTTTCCGAATCCTCGTTCACATTTTCTGAATTCTTTGGTGATTCATTTTCATCAGTTGTGTGAGGTGTTGTGGTTGTTGGAATAACAGCAATATTTTCGAAAGTTTCTTGAACATCTTCATTTTTGATTGGTTCAGAGATTTTGTTAGATTCTTCCGAAGGCAAAAGATCAGTAATACCTTTGATAATTGAATCAGCAATGTCTTCTGGAGCTGTGAATATTCCTTCGACAATTTTATTTTCCGAATCCTCGTTTACATTTTCTGAATTCTTTGGTGATTCATTTTCATCAGTTGTGTGAGGTGTTGTGGTTGTTGGAATAACAGCAATATTTTCGAAAGTTTCTTGAACATCTTCATTTTTGATTGGTTCAGAGATTTTGTTAGATTCTTCCGAAGGCAAAAGATCAGTAATACCTTTGATAATTGAATCAGCAATGTCTTCTGGAGCTGTGAATATTCCTTCGACAATTTTATTTTCCGAATCCTCGTTTACATTTTCTGAATTCTTTGGTGATTCATTTTCATCAGTTGTGTGAGGTGTTGTGGTTGTTGGAATAACAGCAATATTTTCGAAAGTTTCTTGAACATCTTCATTTTTGATTGGTTCAGAGATTTTGTTAGATTCTTCCGAAGGCAAAAGATCAGTAATACCTTTGATAATTGAATCAGCAATGTCTTCTGGAGCTGTGAATATTCCTTCGACAATTTTATTTTCCGAATCCTCGTTTACATTTTCTGAATTCTTTGGTGATTCATTTTCATCAGTTGTGTGAGGTGTTGTGGTTGTTGGAATAACAGCAATATTTTCGAAAGTTTCTTGAACATCTTCATTTTTGATTGGTTCAGAGATTTTGTTAGATTCTTCCGAAGGCAAAAGATCAGTAATACCTTTGATAATTGAATCAGCAATGTCTTCTGGAGCTGTGAATATTCCTTCGACAATTTTATTTTCCGAATCCTCGTTTACATTTTCTGAATTCTTTGGTGATTCATTTTCATCAGTTGTGTGAGGTGTTGTGGTTGTTGGAATAACAGCAATATTTTCGAAAGTTTCTTGAACATCTTCATTTTTGATTGGTTCAGAGATTTTGTTAGATTCTTCCGAAGGCAAAAGATCAGTAATACCTTTGATAATTGAATCAGCAATGTCTTCTGGAGCTGTGAATATTCCTTCGACAATTTTATTTTCCGAATCCTCGTTTACATTTTCTGAATTCTTTGGTGATTCATTTTCATCAGTTGTGTGAGGTGTTGTGGTTGTTGGAATAACATTGATATTTTCGAAAGTTTCTTGAACATCTTCATTTTTGATTGGTTCAGAGATTTTGTTAGATTCTTCCGAAGGCAAAAGATCAGTAATACCTTTGATAATTGAATCAGCAATGTCTTCTGGAGCTGTGAATATTCCTTCGACAATTTTATTTTCCGAATCCTCGTTTACATTTTCTGAATTCTTTGGTGATTCATTTTCATCAGTTGTGTGAGGTGTTGTGGTTGTTGGAATAACAGCAATATTTTCGAAAGTTTCTTGAACATCTTCATTTTTGATTGGTTCAGAGATTTTGTTAGATTCTTCCGAAGGCAAAAGATCAGTAATACCTTTGATAATTGAATCAGCAATGTCTTCTGGAGCTGTGAATATTCCTTCGACAATTTTATTTTCCGAATCCTCGTTTACATTTTCTGAATTCTTTGGTGATTCATTTTCATCAGTTGTGTGAGGTGTTGTGGTTGTTGGAATAACAGCAATATTTTCGAAAGTTTCTTGAACATCTTCATTCTTGATTGGTTCAGAGATTTTGTTAGATTCTTCCGAAGGCAAAAGATCAGTAATACCTTTGATAATTGAATCAGCAATGTCTTCTGGAGCTGTGAATATTCCTTCGACAATTTTATTTTCCGAATCCTCGTTTACATTTTCTGAATTCTTTGGTGATTCATTTTCATCAGTTGTGTGAGGTGTTGTGGTTGTTGGAATAACAGCAATATTTTCGAAAGTTTCTTGAACATCTTCATTCTTGATTGGTTCAGAGATTTTGTTAGTTTCTTCCGAAGGCAAAAGATCAGTAATACCTTTGATAATTGAATCAGCAATGTCTTCTGGAGCTGTGAATATTCCTTCGACAATTTTATTTTCCGAATCCTCGTTCACATTTTCTGAATTCTTTGGTGATTCATTTTCATCAGTTGTGTGAGGTGTTGTGGTTGTTGGAATAACATCGATATTTTCGAAAGTTTCTTGAACATCTTCATTTTTGATTGGTTCAGAGATTTTGTTAGATTCTTCCGAAGGCAAAAAATCAGTGATACCTTTGATAATTGAATCAGCAATGTCTTCTGGAGCTGTGAATATTCCTTCGACAATTTTATTTTCCGAATCCTCGTTTACATTTTCTGAATTCTTTGGAGATTCATTTTCATCAGTTGTGTGAGGTGTTGTGGTTGTTGGAATAACAGCAATATTTTCGAAAGTTTCTTGAACATCTTCATTTTTGATTGGTTCAGAGATTTTGTTAGATTCTTCCGAAGGCAAAAGATCAGTAATACCTTTGATAATTGAAGTCAGCAATGTCTTCTGGAGCTGTGAATATTCCTTCGACAATTTTATTTTCCGAATCCTCGTTTACATTTTCTGAATTCTTTGGTGATTCATTTTCATCAGTTGTGTGAGGTGTTGTGGTTGTTGGAATAACATCAATATTTTCGAAAGTTTCTTGAACATCTTCATTTTTGATTGGTTCAGAAACTTTGTTAGATTCTTCCGAAGGCAAAAGATCAGTAATACCTTTGATAATTGAATCAGCAATGTCTTCTGGAGCTGTGAATATTCCTTCGACAATTTTATTTTCCGAATCCTCGTTTACATTTTCTGAATTCTTTGGTGATTCATTTTCATCAGTTGTGTGAGGTGTTGTGGTTGTTGGAATAACATCGATATTTTCGAAAGTTTCTTGAACATCTTCATTTTTGATTGGTTCAGAAACTTTGTTAGATTCTTCCGAAGGCAAAAGATCAGTAATACCTTTGATAATTGAATCAGCAATGTCTTCTGGAGCTGTGAATATTCCCTCAACAATTTTATTTTCCGAATCCTCGTTCACATTTTCTGAATTCTTTGGTGATTCATTTTCATCAGTTGTGTGAGGTGTTGTGGTTGTTGGAATAACATCGATATTTTCGAAAGTTTCTTGAACATCTTCATTTTTGATTGGTTCAGAGATTTTGTCAGATTCTTCCGAAGGCAAAAGATCAGTAATACCTTTGATAATTGAATCAGCAATGTCTTCTGGAGCTGTGAATATTCCTTCGACAATTTTATTTTCCGAATCCTCGTTTACATTTTCTGAATTCTTTGGTGATTCATTTTCATCAGTTGTGTGAGGTGTTGTGGTTGTTGGAATAACATCAATATTTTCGAAAGTTTCTTGAACATCTTCATTTTTGATTGGTTCAGAGATTTTGTCAGATTCTTCCGAAGGCAAAAGATCAGTAATACCTTTGATAATTGAATCAGCAATGTCTTCTGGAGCTGTGAATATTCCTTCGACAATTTTATTTTCCGAATCCTCGTTTACATTTTCTGAATTCTTTGGTGATTCATTTTCATCAGTTGTGTGAGGTGTTGTGGTTGTTGGAATAACAGCAATATTTTCGAAAGTTTCTTGAACATCTTCATTTTTGATTGGTTCAGAGATTTTGTTAGATTCTTCCGAAGGCAAAAGATCAGTGATACCTTTGATAATTGAAGTCAGCAATGTCTTCTGGAGCTGTGAATATTCCTTCGACAATTTTATTTTCCGAATCCTCGTTTACATTTTCTGAATTCTTTGGTGATTCATTTTCATCAGTTGTGTGAGGTGTTGTGGTTGTTGGAATAACATCGATATTTTCGAAAGTTTCTTGAACATCTTCATTTTTGATTGGTTCAGAGATTTTGTTAGATTCTTCCGAAGGCAAAAGATCAGTGATACCTTTGATAATTGAATCAGCAATGTCTTCTGGAGCTGTGAATATTCCTTCGACAATTTTATTTTCCGAATCCTCGTTTACATTTTCTGAATTCTTTGGTGATTCATTTTCATCAGTTGTGTGAGGTGTTGTGGTTGTTGGAATAACAAAAATATTTTCGAAAGTTTCTTGAACATCTTCATTCTTGATTGGTTCAGAGATTTTGTTAGATTCTTCCGAAGGCAAAAGATCAGTGATACCTTTGATAATTGAATCAGCAATGTCTTCTGGAGCTGTGAATATTCCTTCAACAATTTTATTTTCCGAATCCTCGTTTACATTTTCTGAATTCTTTGGTGATTCAGTTTCATCAGTTGTGTGAGGTGTTGTGGTTGTTGGAATAACATCGATATTTTCGAAAGTTTCTTGAACATCTTCATTTTTGATTGGTTCAGAAACTTTGTTAGATTCTTCCGAAGGCAAAAGATCAGTAATACCTTTGATAATTGAAGTCAGCAATGTCTTCTGGAGCTGTGAATATTCCTTCGACAATTTTATTTTCCGAATCCTCGTTTACATTTTCTGAATTCTTTGGTGATTCATTTTCATCAGTTGTGTGAGGTGTTGTGGTTGTTGGAATAACAGAAATATTTTCGAAAGTTTCTTGAACATCTTCATTTTTGATTGGTTCAGAGACTTTGTTAGATTCTTCCGAAGGCAAAAGATCAGTAATACCTTTGATAATTGAATCAGCAATGTCTTCTGGAGCTGTGAATATTCCTTCGACAATTTTATTTTCCGAATCCTCGTTTACATTTTCTGAATTCTTTGGTGATTCATTTTCATCAGTTGTGTGAGGTGTTGTGGTTGTTGGAATAACAGAAATATTTTCGAAAGTTTCTTGAACATCTTCATTCTTGATTGGTTCAGAGATTTTGTTAGATTCTTCCGAAGGCAAAAGATCAGTAATACCTTTGATAATTGAATCAGCAATGTCTTCTGGAGCTGTGAATATTCCTTCGACAATTTTATTTTCCGAATCCTCGTTTACATTTTCTGAATTCTTTGGTGATTCATTTTCATCAGTTGTGTGAGGTGTTGTGGTTGTTGGAATAACAGAAATATTTTCGAAAGTTTCTTGAACATCTTCATTTTTGATTGGTTCAGAGATTTTGTTAGATTCTTCCGAAGGCAAAAGATCAGTAATACCTTTGATAATTGAATCAGCAATGTCTTCTGGAGCTGTGAATATTCCTTCGACAATTTTATTTTCCGAATCCTCGTTTACATTTTCTGAATTCTTTGGTGATTCATTTTCATCAGTTGTGTGAGGTGTTGTGGTTGTTGGAATAACATTGATATTTTCGAAAGTTTCTTGAACATCTTCATTTTTGATTGGTTCAGAGATTTTGTTAGATTCTTCCGAAGGCAAAAGATCAGTAATACCTTTGATAATTGAATCAGCAATGTCTTCTGGAGCTGTGAATATTCCTTCGACAATTTTATTTTCCGAATCCTCGTTTACATTTTCTGAATTCTTTGGTGATTCATTTTCATCAGTTGTGTGAGGTGTTGTGGTTGTTGGAATAACAAAAATATTTTCGAAAGTTTCTTGAACATCTTCATTCTTGATTGGTTCAGAGATTTTGTTAGATTCTTCCGAAGGCAAAAGATCAGTAATACCTTTGATAATTGAATCAGCAATGTCTTCTGCAGCTGTGAATATTCCTTCGACAATTTTATTTTCCGAATCCTCGTTTACATTTTCTGAATTCTTTGGTGATTCATTTTCATCAGTTGTGTGAGGTGTTGTGGTTGTTGGAATAACAGCAATATTTTCGAAAGTTTCTTGAACATCTTCATTTTTGATTGGTTCAGAGATTTTGTCAGATTCTTCCGAAGGCAAAAGATCAGTAATACCTTTGATAATTGAATCAGCAATGTCTTCTGGAGCTGTGAATATTCCTTCGACAATTTTATTTTCCGAATCCTCGTTTACATTTTCTGAATTCTTTGGTGATTCAGTTTCATCAGTTGTGTGAGGTGTTGTGGTTGTTGGAATAACATCGATATTTTCGAAAGTTTCTTGAACATCTTCATTTTTGATTGGTTCAGAAACTTTGTTAGATTCTTCCGAAGGCAAAAGATCAGTAATACCTTTGATAATTGAATCAGCAATGTCTTCTGGAGCTGTGAATATTCCCTCAACAATTTTATTTTCCGAATCCTCGTTTACATTTTCTGAATTCTTTGGTGATTCATTTTCATCAGTTGTGTGAGGTGTTGTGGTTGTTGGAATAACATCAATATTTTCGAAAGTTTCTTGAACATCTTCATTTTTGATTGGTTCAGAGATTTTGTTAGATTCTTCCGAAGGCAAAAGATCAGTAATACCTTTGATAATTGAATCAGCAATGTCTTCTGGAGCTGTGAATATTCCTTCAACAATTTTATTTTCCGAATCCTCGTTCACATTTTCTGAATTCTTTGGTGATTCAGTTTCATCAGTTGTGTGAGGTGTTGTGGTTGTTGGAATAACATCGATATTTTCGAAAGTTTCTTGAACATCTTCATTTTTGATTGGTTCAGAAACTTTGTTAGATTCTTCCAAAGGCAAAAGATCAGTAATACCTTTGATAATTGAATCAGCAATGTCTTCTGGAGCTGTGAATATTCCCTCAACAATTTTATTTTCCGAATCCTCGTTCACATTTTCTGAATTCTTTGGTGATTCATTTTCATCAGTTGTGTGAGGTGTTGTGGTTGTTGGAATAACATCGATATTTTCGAAAGTTTCTTGAACATCTTCATTTTTGATTGGTTCAGAAACTTTGTTAGATTCTTCCAAAGGCAAAAGATCAGTAATACCTTTGATAATTGAATCAGCAATGTCTTCTGGAGCTGTGAATATTCCTCAACAATTTTATTTTCCGAATCCTCGTTTACATTTTCTGAATTCTTTGGTGATTCATTTTCATCAGTTGTGTGAGGTGTTGTGGTTGTTGGAATAACATCAATATTTTCGAAAGTTTCTTGAACATCTTCATTTTTGATTGGTTCAGAGATTTTGTTAGATTCTTCCGAAGGCAAAAGATCAGTGATACCTTTGATAATTGAATCAGCAATGTCTTCTGGAGCTGTGAATATTCCTTCGACAATTTTATTTTCCGAATCCTCGTTTACATTTTCTGAATTCTTTGGTGATTCATTTTCATCAGTTGTGTGAGGTGTTGTGGTTGTTGGAATAACAGCAATATTTTCGAAAGTTTCTTGAACATCTTCATTTTTGATTGGTTCAGAGATTTTGTTAGATTCTTCCGAAGGCAAAAGATCAGTAATACCTTTGATAATTGAATCAGCAATGTCTTCTGGAGCTGTGAATATTCCTTCGACAATTTTATTTTCCGAATCCTCGTTTACATTTTCTGAATTCTTTGGTGATTCATTTTCATCAGTTGTGTGAGGTGTTGTGGTTGTTGGAATAACAGCAATATTTTCGAAAGTTTCTTGAACATCTTCATTTTTGATTGGTTCAAAAACTTTGTTAGATTCTTCCGAAGGCAAAAGATCAGTGATACCTTTGATAATGAAGTTAGTTGTGCCGTCTGGAGCTGTGAATATTCCTTCGACAATTTTATTTTCCGAATCCTCGTTTACATTTTCTGAATTCTTTGGTGATTCATTTTCATCAGTTGTGTGAGGTGTTGTGGTTGTTGGAATAACAGCAATATTTTCGAAAGTTTCTTGAACATCTTCATTTTTGATTGGTTCAGAAACTTTGTTAGATTCTTCCAAAGGCAAAAGATCAGTGATACCTTTGATAATTGAATCAGCAATGTCTTCTGGAGCTGTGAATATTCCTTCGACAATTTTATTTTCCGAATCCTCGTTTACATTTTCTGAATTCTTTGGTGATTCATTTTCATCAGTTGTGTGAGGTGTTGTGGTTGTTGGAATAACATCGATATTTTCGAAAGTTTCTTGAACATCTTCATTTTTGATTGGTTCAGAAACTTTGTTAGATTCTTCCGAAGGCAAAAGATCAGTGATACCTTTGATAATTGAATCAGCAATGTCTTCTGGAGCTGTGAATATTCCTTCGACAATTTTATTTTCCGAATCCTCGTTTACATTTTCTGAATTCTTTGGTGATTCATTTTCATCAGTTGTGTGAGGTGTTGTGGTTGTTGGAATAACATCGATATTTTCGAAAGTTTCTTGAACATCTTCATTTTTGATTGGTTCAGAAACTTTGTTAGATTCTTCCGAAGGCAAAAGATCAGTGATACCTTTGATAATTGAAGTCAGCAATGTCTTCTGGAGCTGTGAATATTCCTTCGACAATTTTATTTTCCGAATCCTCGTTTACATTTTCTGAATTCTTTGGTGATTCATTTTCATCAGTTGTGTGAGGTGTTGTGGTTGTTGGAATAACATCGATATTTTCGAAAGTTTCTTGAACATCTTCATTTTTGATTGGTTCAGAAACTTTGTTAGATTCTTCCGAAGGCAAAAGATCAGTGATACCTTTGATAATTGAATCAGCAATGTCTTCTGGAGCTGTGAATATTCCTTCGACAATTTTATTTTCCGAATCCTCGTTTACATTTTCTGAATTCTTTGGTGATTCATTTTCATCAGTTGTGTGAGGTGTTGTGGTTGTTGGAATAACAGAAATATTTTCGAAAGTTTCTTGAACATCTTCATTTTTGATTGGTTCAGAAACTTTGTTAGATTCTTCCGAAGGCAAAAGATCAGTGATACCTTTGATAATTGAATCAGCAATGTCTTCTGGAGCTGTGAATATTCCTTCGACAATTTTATTTTCCGAATCCTCGTTTACATTTTCTGAATTCTTTGGTGATTCAGTTTCATCAGTTGTGTGAGGTGTTGTGGTTGTTGGAATAACATCGATATTTTCGAAAGTTTCTTGAACATCTTCATTTTTGATTGGTTCAGAAACTTTGTTAGATTCTTCCGAAGGCAAAAGATCAGTGATACCTTTGATAATTGAAGTCAGCAATGTCTTCTGGAGCTGTGAATATTCCTTCGACAATTTTATTTTCCGAATCCTCGTTCACATTTTCTGAATTCTTTGGTGATTCATTTTCATCAGTTGTGTGAGGTGTTGTGGTTGTTGGAATAACATCGAAATATTTTCGAAAGTTTCTTGAACATCTTCATTTTTGATTGGTTCAGAAACTTTGTTAGATTCTTCCGAAGGCAAAAGATCAGTGATACCTTTGATAATTGAAGTCAGCAATGTCTTCTGGAGCTGTGAATATTCCTTCGACAATTTTATTTTCCGAATCCTCGTTTACATTTTCTGAATTCTTTGGTGATTCATTTTCATCAGTTGTGTGAGGTGTTGTGGTTGTTGGAATAACATCGATATTTTCGAAAGTTTCTTGAACATCTTCATTTTTGATTGGTTCAGAAACTTTGTTAGATTCTTCCGAAGGCAAAAGATCAGTGATACCTTTGATAATTGAAGTCAGCAATGTCTTCTGGAGCTGTGAATATTCCTTCGACAATTTTATTTTCCGAATCCTCGTTTACATTTTCTGAATTCTTTGGTGATTCATTTTCATCAGTTGTGTGAGGTGTTGTGGTTGTTGGAATAACAGAAATATTTTCGAAAGTTTCTTGAACATCTTCATTTTTGATTGGTTCAAAAACTTTGTTAGATTCTTCCGAAGGCAAAAGATCAGTGATACCTTTGATAATTGAATCAGCAATGTCTTCTGGAGCTGTGAATATTCCTTCAACAATTTTATTTTCCGAATCCTCGTTTACATTTTCTGAATTCTTTGGTGATTCATTTTCATCAGTTGTGTGAGGTGTTGTGGTTGTTGGAATAACATCGATATTTTCGAAAGTTTCTTGAACATCTTCATTTTTGATTGGTTCAGAAACTTTGTTAGATTCTTCCAAAGGCAAAAGATCAGTGATACCTTTGATAATTGAATAAGCAATGTCTTCTGGAGCTGTGAATATTCCTTCGACAATTTTATTTTCCGAATCCTCGTTTACATTTTCTGAATTCTTTGGTGATTCATTTTCATCAGTTGTGTGAGGTGTTGTGGTTGTTGGAATAACATCGATATTTTCGAAAGTTTCTTGAACATCTTCATTTTTGATTGGTTCAAAAACTTTGTTAGATTCTTCCGAAGGCAAAAGATCAGTAATACCTTTGATAATTGAATCAGCAATGTCTTCTGGAGCTGTGAATATTCCTCAACAATTTTATTTTCCGAATCCTCGTTCACATTTTCTGAATTCTTTGGTGATTCAGTTTCATCAGTTGTGTGAGGTGTTGTGGTTGTTGGAATAACATCGATATTTTCGAAAGTTTCTTGAACATCTTCATTTTTGATTGGTTCAGAAACTTTGTTAGATTCTTCCAAAGGCAAAAGATCAGTGATACCTTTGATAATTGAAGTAAGCAATGTCTTCTGGAGCTGTGAATATTCCCTCAACAATTTTATTTTCCGAATCTTCGTTCACATTTTCTGAATTCTTTGGTGATTCATTTTCATCAGTTGTGTGAGGTGTTGTGGTTGTTGGAATAACATCGATATTTTCGAAAGTTTCTTGAACATCTTCATTTTTGATTGGTTCAGAAACTTTGTTAGATTCTTCCGAAGGCAAAAGATCAGTGATACCTTTGATAATTGAATAAGCAATGTCTTCTGGAGCTGTGAATATTCCTTCGACAATTTTATTTTCCGAATCCTCGTTTACATTTTCTGAATTCTTTGGTGATTCATTTTCATCAGTTGTGTGAGGTGTTGTGGTTGTTGGAATAACATCGATATTTTCGAAAGTTTCTTGAACATCTTCATTTTTGATTGGTTCAGAAACTTTGTTAGATTCTTCCGAAGGCAAAAGATCAGTAATACCTTTGATAATTGAATCAGCAATGTCTTCTGGAGCTGTGAATATTCCTTCAACAATTTTATTTTCCGAATCCTCGTTCACATTTTCTGAATTCTTTGGTGATTCATTTTCATCAGTTGTGTGAGGTGTTGTGGTTGTTGGAATAACATCGATATTTTCGAAAGTTTCTTGAACATCTTCATTTTTGATTGGTTCAGAAACTTTGTTAGATTCTTCCGAAGGCAAAAGATCAGTGATACCTTTGATAATTGAATCAGCAATGTCTTCTGGAGCTGTGAATATTCCTTCGACAATTTTATTTTCCGAATCCTCGTTTACATTTTCTGAATTCTTTGGTGATTCATTTTCATCAGTTGTGTGAGGTGTTGTGGTTGTTGGAATAACATCGATATTTTCGAAAGTTTCTTGAACATCTTCATTTTTGATTGGTTCAGAAACTTTGTTAGATTCTTCCGAAGGCAAAAGATCAGTAATACCTTTGATAATTGAATCAGCAATGTCTTCTGGAGCTGTGAATATTCCCTCAACAATTTTATTTTCCGAATCCTCGTTCACATTTTCTGAATTCTTTGGTGATTCAGTTTCATCAGTTGTGTGAGGTGTTGTGGTTGTTGGAATAACATCGATATTTTCGAAAGTTTCTTGAACATCTTCATTTTTGATTGGTTCAGAAACTTTGTTAGATTCTTCCGAAGGCAAAAGATCAGTAATACCTTTGATAATTGAATCAGCAATGTCTTCTGGAGCTGTGAATATTCCCTCAACAATTTTATTTTCCGAATCCTCGTTCACATTTTCTGAATTCTTTGGTGATTCAGTTTCATCAGTTGTGTGAGGTGTTGTGGTTGTTGGAATAACATCGATATTTTCGAAAGTTTCTTGAACATCTTCATTTTTGATTGGTTCAGAAACTTTGTTAGATTCTTCCGAAGGCAAAAGATCAGTAATACCTTTGATAATTGAATCAGCAATGTCTTCTGGAGCTGTGAATATTCCCTCAACAATTTTATTTTCCGAATCCTCGTTCACATTTTCTGAATTCTTTGGTGATTCAGTTTCATCAGTTGTGTGAGGTGTTGTGGTTGTTGGAATAACATCGATATTTTCGAAAGTTTCTTGAACATCTTCATTTTTGATTGGTTCAGAAACTTTGTTAGATTCTTCCAAAGGCAAAAGATCAGTGATACCTTTGATAATTGAATAAGCAATGTCTTCTGGAGCTGTGAATATTCCCTCAACAATTTTATTTTCCGAATCCTCGTTCACATTTTCTGAATTCTTTGGTGATTCAGTTTCATCAGTTGTGTGAGGTGTTGTGGTTGTTGGAATAACATCGATATTTTCGAAAGTTTCTTGGGCATTTTCATTTTTGATTGGTTCAGAAACTTTGTTAGATTCTTCCAAAGGCAAAAGATCAGTAATACCTTTGATAATTGAATCAGCAATGTCTTCTGGAGCTGTGAATATTCCCTCAACAATTTTATTTTCCGAATCCTCGTTCACATTTTCTGAATTCTTTGGTGATTCAGTTTCATCAGTTGTGTGAGGTGTTGTGGTTGTTGGAATAACATCGATATTTTCGAAAGTTTCTTGGGCATCTTCATTTTTGATTGGTTCAGAGATTTTGTTAGATTCTTCCAAAGGCAAAAGATCAGTAATACCTTTGATAATTGAATCAGCAATGTCTTCTGGAGCTGTGAATATTCCTTCAACAATTTTATTTTCCGAATCCTCGTTCACATTTTCTGAATTCTTTGGTGATTCAGTTTCATCAGTTGTGTGAGGTGTTGTGGTTGTTGGAATAACATCGATATTTTCGAAAGTTTCTTGAACATCTTCATTTTTGATTGGTTCAGAAACTTTGTTAGATTCTTCCAAAGGCAAAAGATCAGTGATACCTTTGATAATTGAATAAGCAATGTCTTCTGGAGCTGTGAATATTCCTTCGACAATTTTATTTTCCGAATCCTCGTTTACATTTTCTGAATTCTTTGGTGATTCAGTTTCATCAGTTGTGTGAGGTGTTGTGGTTGTTGGAATAACATCGATATTTTCGAAAGTTTCTTGGACATTTTCATTTTTGATTGGTTCAGAAACTTTGTTAGATTCTTCCGAAGGCAAAAGATCAGTAATACCTTTGATAATTGAATCAGCAATGTCTTCTGGAGCTGTGAATATTCCTTCGACAATTTTATTTTCCGAATCCTCGTTCACATTTTCTGAATTCTTTGGTGATTCAGTTTCATCAGTTGTGTGAGGTGTTGTGGTTGTTGGAATAACATCGATATTTTCGAAAGTTTCTTGAACATCTTCATTTTTGATTGGTTCAGAAACTTTGTTAGATTCTTCCAAAGGCAAAAGATCAGTGATACCTTTGATAATTGAATCAGCAATGTCTTCTGGAGCTGTGAATATTCCTTCAACAATTTTATTTTCCGAATCCTCGTTCACATTTTCTGAATTCTTTGGTGATTCAGTTTCATCAGTTGTGTGAGGTGTTGTGGTTGTTGGAATAACATCGATATTTTCGAAAGTTTCTTGGACATTTTCATTTTTGATTGGTTCAGAGATTTTGTCAGATTCTTCCGAAGGCAAAAGATCAGTAATACCTTTGATAATTGAATCAGCAATGTCTTCTGGAGCTGTGAATATTCCCTCAACAATTTTATTTTCCGAATCCTCGTTCACATTTTCTGAATTCTTTGGTGATTCAGTTTCATCAGTTGTGTGAGGTGTTGTGGTTGTTGGAATAACATCGATATTTTCGAAAGTTTCTTGAACATCTTCATTTTTGATTGGTTCAGAAACTTTGTTAGATTCTTCCGAAGGCAAAAGATCAGTGATACCTTTGATAATTGAATCAGCAATGTCTTCTGGAGCTGTGAATATTCCTTCGACAATTTTATTTTCCGAATCCTCGTTTACATTTTCTGAATTCTTTGGTGATTCAGTTTCATCAGTTGTGTGAGGTGTTGTGGTTGTTGGAATAACATCGATATTTTCGAAAGTTTCTTGAACATCTTCATTTTTGATTGGTTCAGAAACTTTGTTAGATTCTTCCGAAGGCAAAAGATCAGTGATACCTTTGATAATTGAATCAGCAATGTCTTCTGGAGCTGTGAATATTCCTTCAACAATTTTATTTTCCGAATCCTCGTTCACATTTTCTGAATTCTTTGGTGATTCATTTTCATCAGTTGTGTGAGGTGTTGTGGTTGTTGGAATAACAGCAATATTTTCGAAAGTTTCTTGAACATCTTCATTTTTGATTGGTTCAGAGATTTTGTTAGATTCTTCCAAAGGCAAAAGATCAGTGATACCTTTGATAATTGAATCAGCAATGTCTTCTGGAGCTGTGAATATTCCTTCGACAATTTTATTTTCCGAATCTTCGTTCACATTTTCTGAATTCTTTGGTGATTCAGTTTCATCAGTTGTGTGAGGTGTTGTGGTTGTTGGAATAACAGCAATATTTTCGAAAGTTTCTTGAACATCTTCATTTTTGATTGGTTCAGAGATTTTGTTAGATTCTTCCAAAGGCAAAAGATCAGTGATACCTTTGATAATTGAATCAGCAATGTCTTCTGGAGCTGTGAATATTCCTTCGACAATTTTATTTTCCGAATCCTCGTTCACATTTTCTGAATTCTTTGGTGATTCAGTTTCATCAGTTGTGTGAGGTGTTGTGGTTGTTGGAATAACATCGATATTTTCGAAAGTTTCTTGAACATCTTCATTTTTGATTGGTTCAGAAACTTTGTTAGATTCTTCCGAAGGCAAAAGATCAGTGATACCTTTGATAATTGAATCAGCAATGTCTTCTGGAGCTGTGAATATTCCTTCAACAATTTTATTTTCCGAATCCTCGTTCACATTTTCTGAATTCTTTGGTGATTCAGTTTCATCAGTTGTGTGAGGTGTTGTGGTTGTTGGAATAACATCGATATTTTCGAAAGTTTCTTGAACATCTTCATTTTTGATTGGTTCAGAAACTTTGTTAGATTCTTCCGAAGGCAAAAGATCAGTGATACCTTTGATAATTGAATCAGCAATGTCTTCTGGAGCTGTGAATATTCCTTCGACAATTTTATTTTCCGAATCCTCGTTCACATTTTCTGAATTCTTTGGTGATTCAGTTTCATCAGTTGTGTGAGGTGTTGTGGTTGTTGGAATAACAGCAATATTTTCGAAAGTTTCTTGAACATCTTCATTTTTGATTGGTTCAGAGATTTTGTTAGATTCTTCCAAAGGCAAAAGATCAGTAATACCTTTGATAATTGAATCAGCAATGTCTTCTGGAGCTGTGAATATTCCTTCGACAATTTTATTTTCCGAATCTTCGTTCACATTTTCTGAATTCTTTGGTGATTCAGTTTCATCAGTTGTGTGAGGTGTTGTGGTTGTTGGAATAACAGCAATATTTTCGAAAGTTTCTTGAACATCTTCATTTTTGATTGGTTCAGAAACTTTGTTAGATTCTTCCAAAGGCAAAAGATCAGTAATACCTTTGATAATTGAATCAGCAATGTCTTCTGGAGCTGTGAATATTCCTTCGACAATTTTATTTTCCGAATCCTCGTTCACATTTTCTGAATTCTTTGGTGATTCATTTTCATCAGTTGTGTGAGGTGTTGTGGTTGTTGGAATAACATCGATATTTTCGAAAGTTTCTTGGGCATTTTCATTTTTGATTGGTTCAGAGATTTTGTTAGATTCTTCCAAAGGCAAAAGATCAGTAATACCTTTGATAATTGAATCAGCAATGTCTTCTGGAGCTGTGAATATTCCTTCGACAATTTTATTTTCCGAATCCTCGTTCACATTTTCTGAATTCTTTGGTGATTCATTTTCATCAGTTGTGTGAGGTGTTGTGGTTGTTGGAATAACATCGATATTTTCGAAAGTTTCTTGGACATTTTCATTTTTGATTGGTTCAGAGATTTTGTCAGATTCTTCCGAAGGCAAAAGATCAGTAATACCTTTGATAATTGAATCAGCAATGTCTTCTGGAGCTGTGAATATTCCTTCGACAATTTTATTTTCCGAATCCTCGTTCACATTTTCTGAATTCTTTGGTGATTCATTTTCATCAGTTGTGTGAGGTGTTGTGGTTGTTGGAATAACATCGATATTTTCGAAAGTTTCTTGAACATTTTCATTTTTGATTGGTTCAGAGATTTTGTTAGATTCTTCCAAAGGCAAAAGATCAGTAATACCTTTGATAATTGAATCAGCAATGTCTTCTGGAGCTGTGAATATTCCTTCGAATATTTTGAATCTTCGAATTTTCTGAATTCTTTGGTGATTCATTTTCATCAGTTGTGTGAGGTGTTGTGGTTGTTGGAATAACATCGATATTTTCGAAAGTTTCTTGGGCATTTTCATTTTTGATTGGTTCAGAGATTTTGTTAGATTCTTCCAAAGGCAAAAGATCAGTAATACCTTTGATAATTGAATCAGCAATGTCTTCTGGAGCTGTGAATATTCCTTCGACAATTTTATTTTCCGAATCCTCGTTCACATTTTCTGAATTCTTTGGTGATTCAGTTTCATCAGTTGTGTGAGGTGTTGTGGTTGTTGGAATAACATCGATATTTTCGAAAGTTTCTTGGGCATTTTCATTTTTGATTGGTTCAAAAACTTTGTTAGATTCTTCCAAAGGCAAAAGATCAGTAATACCTTTGATAATTGAATCAGCAATGTCTTCTGGAGCTGTGAATATTCCCTCAACAATTTTATTCTCCGAATCCTCGTTCACATTTTCTGAATTCTTTGGTGATTCAGTTTCATCCGTTGTGTGAGGTGTTGTGGTTGTTGGAATAACATCGATATTTTCGAAAGTTTCTTGAACATCTTCATTTTTGATTGGTTCAGAGATTTTGTCAGATTCTTCCAAAGGCAAAAGATCAGTAATACCTTTGATAATTGAATCAGCAATATCTTCTGGAGCTGTGAATATTCCCTCAACAATTCTGTTATCCGAATCCTTGTTTACGTTCTCAGAATCCTTTGAAACTTCAGCTTCATCAATATTTTCTGTTGTTGTTGTTGTTGTTGGTTCCGACGTGTGTTGTTCAGCTTCCGGTTCAATGTTTTTCGAAGTTTCTAATCGATCTGAAATAGGAATTTTAATTATCAAAAAGATCTTCTTTTTCAATTTTTCACTAATATTTCCCATTATTTAAATTAAGATTTCAAATTTAAAAAAGTCAATTTTTTATTTTCGAATTCACAACAGCTGTCGTTTTTCATGTTTGCTCACCTGATATTTCATTATGATCATCTTTATTTTCGATTTTTTCATCCTTGCTTGGTTCTAAAAAATTCGAAATTTCATTCGTGCCGAAAAAAATTGATTTACCTTCTGCATCATGAGTGCTCAGAACGTTGTGTTGTTTGGTTTTTTCTGAAAAGTTGAATTGTTTTATGTGATGAAAAACTGAATTCATTTTTTGAAAAAAAAAATGATAATCGGTTAAATCGATATGGAACTTTTCTAAAATAAACAATTGATGTATAAATTGGTTGGTAAATCAAAAAATCATAATATCTTATTTTGTGTCAGCTTACCTTCTTCATTCATAAAATTTTCACGAGTTGGGGATGGTGTTTTTTCTTTTTCTTCACAAGATTCAAAAATGTTCTCAATCGATGGAGTTTCTGGTGATAAATCACTTGGAGTTTCAATCTTTTTATAATTTTCCATTTCTGGCGAAGTTGGATAACTTATATCATCATTTTTGATTGATTCATCTTCAACAATCTCAACATCTGAGTCAATATTATTCCAATCCATCAATCGATAAACAAGTTCAAACATTGTATGTGTTGGTTTCCGGAAATAGAGATCAACATTTGTAGTCGCATTTTCAGTTGGTTTTTCAATTGAGTTATCTTCATCAATTATATTTTTTCCTTCTTCTGGTTCAGGATAATCAGCAATTGTATATACAAGATTATATTGAAATTGAGTCGGTTTCCGAAATACTAGTTCAACATTTACATCATTTTTTACATCGCCATTTTCTATCACAGTTCCAGTGTCACTATCCGATTCTATAATTTCGAAACCTTCTCCAATATTTGGTAGTTTTATATCAAGTGATACTTTTTCAAATCGATCATCTTGATAATGTGGAATTTCGGTGTCATCTTCCACCAATTCGAAATCGATGTCAAGTGTGATTTCAGCAATATTTTCAGACATCAAACCAAAAATAATCCCGAAAATTTTGAGTTCGTTTTATTTTAGCAATAGATAGAGGCTAAATCTTGTGCTTTTTTTTCTTTTCAAAATGAATTTTGTGGGGTGTTCCAGAAATTTTTGTCGCATGTGATCGAAATGTCTGCGTCTCTTCGACCTTTTCATATTTTCGACAGCTGATAACAATTGTTGTGTTTTTTTTTTCGAGTTAGTGTATAGTGCCTTTTTTCTTTTCTTGCTTGTTTCTTTTTTTCGCAACTGGAAGAAGAAATATGAAGAATTCACAAAAGTGTAATCTGAGAACTTTGTCATTTCTGTAGCTGTAGTAATTTGAAGTTTCAAAGATCGAATTCGTAAAAATGTGTGTTTGTGTGTGTAGTTTGATCACTGAAAAATATCTGGATTGGATATACATGATTTGGTGAATATTAAAAGGTAAAAAATGTTTTGTGATCATGTTTGAATACCGATTAAATAATAAAATGACCAGAAAACTATCAATTCAGAAATCAAAATTGTAATTGACATATCAAGGTGAAATGATTAATGAATTTGAACAAAAAATATTATTGAGAAGAAAAAGTAAGAATAAATCAGGATACATAGATATTTGTGGGATCAGCTCGTTCCTATGTAAACAAAAATTCAATTCAATGATATTTTCAATTTATTGTTAGAAAAAAAAACGAAAATAAAATAAATAAAGAAAATATGATGGCATCGATAAAAGTAGTAAATTACAGCGAAAAAAGAAAGAAAACTCGATATGAAGAAAAAATGAGAAGAACAAAAAATGTACATATACCATGTCCATGTGACAACAAAAATATTGATTTTCAAAAAAAAAATAAAGCGAAAAAAACATGAACAGCAGATCAATTTGACCAAACCAAAAATAAAATGAGGGAAAATTGAATGGTGTTATCAGCTGGACAATAAATATGAATAGTTATGATAACAATATTAAATATACCACGAGGTTTGAATTAAAATTGAAAGTTTTTGGTAATTTTTTTGTCATTATGAAATTTCAATTAAAAATCTTTGAAAAATTCGTCATTTTTTTGTTGGAACTTTTGAATTTACTTTTTCGGCTGATTTTTTCTGAAAAGCTTCATTAAAGTGTATTTAAAAACAAAAGAGAATGAAATGTGTTTAAATTTTCGTAATTTATTTACAATTAGATTCTTTTTTTAAAAGTTATCTTTCAAAAAATTCATTTCAAAATTTGTAAAGATCTCTCTGAATTTTTGAAATGTTTTTGAATTCATCAAATTGCTTCAATACAAAGACTATATTGCTTACTTTCGTTTTTTGATAGTCCATAATCCTATCCAGTATTTATATATTTTTTTATTCTATAAAAAGTTCGCCCAGTTAAATTTTTCTTTCTGATACACAAAAATTTCAAACTAACAAATTGATCAAGATAAAGATTTCAATCTCTTTAGTATGTATTGAATATCTAATTGAAAATCCTTATTAGCTTTCTTTTCTCAAATGTCTGTCAAGATTTTACATTTATTTGTTTTTATAATTTTCATAACTCAACAACTATGTGAAGAAGATCGTGTTTGTCAGTTTGAGAAAATTATTATTTTTCTCTCTCAAAATGTTTTTTTTTCAGTTGTCGAATCACACTTGTTTAACTCATCAAATATCGAAGAGTTGAAAATTTTAGATGAACTTGCAGAAGAGGATCTTCTCATTTCTATCAATACCGAAACAAATAACGAATGTAGAATGGAATCTTGGAATAATATAACAACAGAAACTCTTCCGAACTTCAAAAATTATGAAAAATGGAAAAAAGACTGTGTAAATTGTTTGTCAGATTTGATGAGTGACGGACAAATGCGTTTAATTTCTTCATTTGTTTATTCTGATTTCATTGCAGTTGTTGTGAGTCTTTTAGGAGATAAACATACCGGGTAAGTATTGTAATCCCTTTTTTCTTTGAAAATCGTTTTTTTTTTTAGAAAACTAGTGTATTGCCATTATTATGATTGTAATCATAAAAAAATAAATAGAATTTTCGAATCAGAACTGTTTCCTGCAGCAACAGTAAGATGTGCAAGACAATCTGGGGCTGAATATATATCAATAACTTTAAATATATCTGATATTCCGGTTCATCCTATTCCAATTCAAAGTAGAATTGAAGGTTTGAAACACATTTCTTTTTCTATTTTTTATTTGAACATCCTCTGAATTTTATTTCAGAACCCAAATATGAAATCGGTGTTTGTGGCGGTCAAGTTTATGGAAATCACTCAATTTGGTTAACAATAATTGAATTTATTGAACATCATCGACTTATTGTAAGTTTTTATTTGAATTTTTGAAAATTATAATTTTTAGGGCGCTTCGTTTTTTTATCTCTCGATTTTTTATTCCGATGAAAAAACTATCCGAGTTATAAACGACTATGAACGTCTTGGAATTTTGGACCCTAATTTTATAAATCTTGAATACAAATTTATCAACTTTCAATTTCACATTATTCAAATGGCGGTAAGTTGCAAAGTTATTGATTAGAAAACAGTTCAATTATAGGATTGTTTTTATCGAAGTAGAATGCATTCAAAATGGGTTATTAATATTGATCTCGATGAAATATTTGTAGTGAAAAACTCACAAAGTTTCTCAAGTTTATTGAATTCACTTCCAAAATCAATAATTGGTTTATCTTTTCCTGTTTCTCGAATTCAAGTTGTAAATCAACAAAGTTCTAAACTCGAAAATTTAATGTTTTATGAAAAACATACAATATCAACGCGACCTTTGTGGTTCTCATTAAAAAGCATTTATCAACATAAACATTCACATTCTCTTTTTTATCATTGGGCATGGAGATTTGACAAAGGATTCAGAATTATGACAATGAATAGTACTATTGGATATTTTAGGTATACTTGATTTTTTTTTTGAACTTTGAAGTATCCAAAAAATCCAATTCCAGACATTATCGTAAAAAATTTGATGGAAAAGAATGGGTAAATGGATTCGTACCTTATCGGAATATAAAATTGAATAGAACATTTTCAAATACTCTTAAGAATAAAATAATCGCCAGAATAAACTATCTTTTTAATCAGAGATATATTGCGTGTGAAGAGATTGATCCATATTTTATTAATTATTTTAAATCGAAGGATAAGTGTATTTATAGAAATGGAACTGGAATAAATGTTTAGCATTTATATTTAGATAGACATGTTTGTGTTTCACAATAAAATGTTTTCGTAAGTTTCTGTTTGAGTCAAAGATAAATTATTACAATAGGGTCATATTTTTGAACATCCGCAATTTGTTACTGTAACTGCTTTTTTTTGTATTTCATCTTTATTTAATTAAAAGATCCAAATTCAAAAACCACAAATATTCTACCCGTTTATATAACTTTCTTCAATTTTGTTTACCAATCTTTCGTCGATGTTGTGTTCACACTACTTGGTCGACGACTTGGAGGTAAACCAAATCTGAAATGTGAGTCAATTGAATTTTTTCATTTTTTTTGTGAGTAAATTCATACCCATCTCGATTGATAGCAAGATGACTATTTTTCCTTGTAACAGATTGACAAAGTGGCATCAATGGAACTAACAAGAAACAATTAGATTGTAATTCACGTGGAATATGTCTTTCTCGAGAAGTACAAGTTGGATCAGCTAATGTTCCCCGCCTGCAATAATTTTTGATTTTTTCATTTCTCTTTTTTTTCATTCCGAACACGTCCACACAGATAATCCCTTGTCATGTTCAAAAAGCAGAAAAAGTTTTGGGAAAAAGAAAGAATAAGAAGACGACAAAAATCAGTGTTGCGTGAGCTTCATCATTCAATCAAATGAGGAAGAGTGCCGGTGCCCGAAGGCAAACAACCAGATGATGATAATCCATTTTGGCATCCGACAACCAATTTTTTATTTGGCTCTTTTTTTCTATGTTCTATGGTAAAAGTTTACTAACCTGAAATTATTGACTCCCAAATGTCGTTCCAATGTTCTCCGATAAACAACAGAAACTGAAGGAGATGGTGTGAATCGAGATAATACACCAACATTTGTATGTCTTCTTACATTTGTTAACCACGTCATATCATCTTTTAATGCTCTTCGATGTCTTTTACTCATCCAAAAATATAAGACAGGATTTGAAACAATAGAAGTCATTGCAAGAAAATGAATATTCAACATTTTGAAATACATTTGTCGGGAAATCTGAAAAATCTAACTCAATTTCCTGAAAAAATTATATTAAAAACTCACAAATTTCTGCTGAAGCCAGTTGAAAAACTTCGAATGAGTACCATAATCCTTTGCCAAATTAACAACAGAAATTGGTGTCCAGCAAGTCATGAAGACAATCACCATAAGAATCAACACATACATCACACGACGTTTCCGAACCGCAGTTTGTGCCTGAATTTGTTTTTGTATTAGAAAAAAATACAAAAAAATAGGGGGCACCCGGATTTGAACCGGGGACCTATCGATCTGCAGTCGATTGCTCTGCCACTGAGCTATACCCCCACACGAGAAAGCCGGTTTGCAATTGTTTTGATAAGAAAGACAAACCTGCTGTGCGGCGGTCAACATTGATCCTTCGTCAACAAGCCAATCTGTACGAACTTTTTGTAGTATTTTCCAATAACAAAATGACATAATACAAGAAGGAACAATAAGTTGAATTAGAAAAAGTGATGTTGTGTAAACAAGTTTCGAATATTGATCAGATTGCCAATCAAATTCTCCGCAAAACTGAAAAATAGAAAATCATTGAGTTTGAAAACAAGTTCAAGAAATAAAAACATACGACTTCGCAAAGTGTAACATTCACATGTGCTTTAAGACTTCTCAAATTCTGTGAAGTGGACAATGGATAACTCGCAAGAAAAGCAACACCCCAAGTAATCATCAAAAACATTTTTGCATGTTTTGTGGACCAAGGATCTTTTAATGGGGTTACAATACTTCGATATCGATCGATTGCAATAAAACAAAGAGACCATGATGAAATAAGAACTGAAAAGGCTTGACAAGCTGGAACCATTTTGCACATAAATAATCCAAAAATCCAACGTTTCATGAAAGCAAGAACTGGTGTAATTGGAACCGCAGTAATACAAAGAAGCTGGAAAAAAACATTTTTGAAAGACACAATTGGAATAAAAAAATATTTTTTTCACTAACTAGATCTGAAACAGCCAAATTTATCAAGAAAATATTGGCGACCGATAGTTTTTTGCGAACAAGAATTGAAGCAATCAGTAGACCATTTCCAATAATTCCACCAATAAAAATGAACCCGTAAAATGAAGTATAAGCAATCTGCAAAAAGACATATTTTTTCAGAGATTTGTTTTTTGTTGTTTTTCCAAATTCTCATGTGACCATCAAAAAAAAAGAGCACCTCGTGTTTGACCCTTTGTTTTTTTTCTCCGGGGACTTTCTAAAACTTACAATCGTCTCCCAATAAGTTGTATAATCACCAAATTTGTGAAGTATAACATTAACATCAACACAATGTTCGGTTTGGTTCATTCTGAAAAATGGAATATCTGGAAAAGAACAAATGAAAGACAAATATAAATAAAGATGAAGAAAAAAAGATAGACACGCCCATATTTGTCGAGAATAAGGCAAAACGAAGAGTGGAATGTTAATGGTCATATAAATTTGAAGTGCATATGAACAAAAAAAATAAAATGAGATCAAAAAACACTGAAAATGTCTCTTGGGATCAGTTTTATCAAGTTTCAAACAACATAATGGCAACATTTATCCAGAAACCGACTGTTTAGAATTATTGACAAATTTTCGGATTAGTTTTTTTTCAGAAAAAAAATTCAGGCGTGACATCTAGAAAATATTTGTTGATAAAAAAACTCACATGATAAAATTATTTGGAATATTGTGGCAACAAATTTCTGAAACTACAAAAATGTTCAAAAACAATTATTTAGGGAAAATAGAAACTAAAGAAAAATAACAAAAACAATCTGCAGATGTTTGAAAACATAAAAATTTAATTGACTGAAAACCTAGCAAAAAAATGAGTGAAAAAATGTTCGTTGCTCGAATCGCTCTATAAACTTTACTATCAAGTTTTACCAGGAAGTTTGCCAGAAATTTGTTGTTGTTGTTGTCAAAAAAAGTAGATAACATATACAAAAATATGAAAAACGACTTCCTTTGCAACTCAACTTTTTTAGAGAAAATTTATGATGGCTGCTAGCAAAAAATCACCTGTCTTTTTTTTTTTTGAAAAAAATTCTGAGAAATGAAATGTTTAAAGGTTGAAGAGCGTGAGGAAGAAAAGTACTGAATTAAAATATAGAATTGAAATTCTGGCACTTTCAGATTTTTGTTGACAGATAAGGTCTGAAAAATAGAACGCTCTTTTTTTAAAAAAATCTCTCCAAATATGATCGCCCAAAACTTGATTTTTCATGAAAATGGTTCTGTTTTTTTTTTGGATTAATTGTGAGTCGAACATGTTTTTGAGGGTCGAAATTCACATATAAGTTGTCTGGTACGATTCACACATTCTTCAAAATCTTGCTCGACACTTTAAATTCAACTCTGAAACTCTAGATTTTGAAGAAAAAAGTTATCACATTTTTCAACCCTCCCCCACATTTTTTCTGAAATCTCCAAAAAAATCGACCCGTATAAAAGAAATATAAAAAATGAAAACAAACATTTTTATATCCATAAGTAAAACTCATCTGTCTTTCTTTCTCAAATAAAAAGAAGAAGAAGAAGGAGGAATAAAAATTGAATTTCTTTACTCATCCTCGTATATCTTTCCAATATAAATATAGAAATACAACTTCATCGTTTTGTCGAGTGCTCAAAAAGGTGGATGAAAAAACAGAAGAAGAATAAGAAGGCTCTTCGCTTCTTTTTTCTACGATGAACTACTAAACCAAGACAAAAACAACAAAAACACAAACAACCGAAAAAAAGAAGAAAAAGGGGAACATTTATGTCTTTAAATAGAGTTTGTTTCGAGTTGAAATCGAGAAAAAATTGAATTTAGTTTTATTGAAGATTTTCCAGAATTTTAGAACAACAAAACCTATCTAGATTGAGAGAAACTTGAAATTGAACTAATTTGAAAAAATATTGAAAATGATTTCCTCATTTTGAAAGGAATCATTTATGAAATGAATTTAATTACGTGACCTCATTTTTTTTGTTGATTTTTTGAATTCTTCGAATTATATTCTCATAATTCGAAGTCAAGATGATCTTTTGAACTTCAAAGAAAATCCAAATTTTTCTGAACCTAATTTCCATCCATTTATATGCAAAATTGAAAATTTCAATGACTATTCTGGATCCCTCAAAAAACATTTCAACATAAAAAATAAAAAATAAAAAAAGCTTCAATTTCACCTGTTTGTTATTAGAATAAAAGTTTTTCCAATAATTTCAAACAAACGATTTAATTATAATTATAACGTCTAATCAGATCACAAATTGAAATTGAATGAAAATTTACAATAGAACTTTTATAAATGAAAAAATAACTGATGAATATATTTTACTATAGTCATAATGAAAATGTTTTCAGTTTTTAAGTTTCGTTTTCTGAAAATCATTTCTGCAAAGAAATGTTCCAAGAGTTGCAAAAATGTACTATATTGCAAAAAAGTTGTTTGATAAATGTGCAAAAGTTCAAAAAATAAATTGAAAAATTGCGCGAAATTGCGAAAATTGTGTTGGAAACATTATTAAAACTTTTTATGTATTTAGGTGTGTATTTCGTGTTCCTGATATAAGTTTGCTTTCTTTTCACAAAACAAAATGTCATTACGTTTTCATACACTATTTTTGATTTTGTTAGTTTTCTGAATTTCACTTTTTATTGATATAATTATTTTAAAAGGTTCAATCAGAAATATCTTCGAAAATTATATTTTTGGTATGACTTATTTCAATCGAACAAGCAATAATATTCGAATCCCTAAAGTTTAGTTGTACTTGTTTTTTTCATTAGGCTTTTTTATTATTTCATATTTTTCATCTGAATAATTTTGATGAATGTTCAAAATTCATTTCAGTCTCAAACATCCAATACTATTCAATTCAAAACATCATTTTCGAAATTGGCGCGACAGCTGAATTTTTATTCTCGTTTCTCTGTTCCTCCAAATTTAGCGAGAACTTTTTATCAAATCGAATAATAAAGCTTGTCTGATAAAATACCCTGCAATTACTTGAAATAGAAGGAACTTTTTTTTTCATTCACAATTGATTTTTGTTTTTTTTTCTTGTATTTTTCAATCAATTATCAGTTTATAGTCTGATTTCATTTTTACGACAACAGAAAACAGAAAACAAATGTATCTGGAGTCATAGCAACTGATTTATTGAATATTATAAAGTTTTCAATCTTTATTCATTCTACTAACTTTATAATTAAAGGTTTCCGAAGACTTTGTACTTCCATTTTCATAAATCGAGACAAAACGTAGTATTTTGCTTCATTAATTGTTTTCTTAATTTTCATCATTTATTTGAAAAGTGTATTTAGGATTCTGATAAATTTGAATTTGTTGTTTCTTCGTCAAAAAATTCCGTTAATTCTCATAACATGAAAAAACATAATCATTTATAACGGAGAAGAAAAAATAGAGCAAAAAAACACATAACTATAAATAATTATTTTATTCTCGTTTTTTTCTCCGCGCATTTCTCATTTGAGAAAAAATCGTCACATTAGAATATAATCAGACAAAAGCTCAAAAAGTTTTCAATCACACTTTTTTCTTTGTTTCGTAATATTTTGTTTAACTACATACATATAATTAAATATTATTATGTTTATAGACGTATATATCGATTACCTGTTATTTTTCAGTTTTTCTTTTTTTCTCGTCCGCCTCAGAAAATTTGATTATATACATATTTTCAAGTTTTTTTGCAGTTTTTCTTTTTTTTTGAAAATGGGAGCAATGTGTTCGACGGAAACTTATGCATTGGATAAAGAAGCATTTAAATTACAAGCGGAGAAAAATCGATCGATTGATGCAGACTTGGAGAGAGATCGGAAACAAAAAATATTGAAATTATTGATTTTGGGTTAGATTTTCAAATTTATAAAAAATTCGGACTGATTGATAGATTTTCAAATTTATAAAAAATTCGGACTGATTGAATTTTTAAAGAAAAATATTTTGGAAAATAGGTAAAGTTGAAAATTTTGTGACACAAATACATTAACCAGTAATTTTTTTCAAACTTTTTCATATAGTCCAATCTCAAAAATATATAGAATTGTGAGGTCCAACGGTTTTGTAAGCTGTTTCAACAAAATTCAGAAAATTGGAACCGGTTCAGAGTTGTATTTTGTTTTTTTTTCACCACGATTCAAAAACAATTTTTCCTAAAAATCCATTATTATTATTATTTTAATTTTTGATCTCATTTCTGGAATTTTAGGCCCTGGAGAATCGGGAAAATCAACAACAATCAAGCAGATCAAGTTTGTTTCTATATAATTTGTTTTCAAATTTTTAATTATTCAATTCAGAATCATTCATGATGCTGGTTATTCTCATGAGGAAAAAGTGCTTCGAAAATATGGTATTCTAATGAACATATTAGAAGGTGTTGATGAACTTCACACAATAACAACCAAATTAAACTTACAGTATTCAAACCCACTCTCATTTGTAAGTCTCCAAGGAATTTTGAATTTCTGAGAATTAACAGAACAATAAAATTAATTAATAGAAAAAATATAATCATTTTTTTATAGGATCATCTACAAGAAGTACGACAATTTATTGAAAAATTCAAAAAAGCAAAAACTGATGGAGAACAAAACCTTGCACCTGAAGTGATTGAAGCTATTTTTAAATATAAAAAAGATGAAACAATCAGTAAAATGTTGAAAGAAAAAACAGTTTATAATATTGATGATTCAACTATTTAGTAAGTTCTCAAGAATGTGAAATTTGATTTATAAAAAAGAGATTTTTACAGTTTTCTGGATAATTTTCCTCGAATAATAAGTGATGATTATATTCCAACAGAAGAAGATATTTTAAAAAGTAGAGTTGCGACTTCAGGAGTTGTACAGTATAAAATTGTTCTGAAAAACTTCAACTTCAGGTGTGTATTTATTATTATTTTTGTTTTATAAAAAATAACATTTTTTTCCAGAATTTTCGATGTTGGAGGGCAGCGAGCACAGCGTCGAAAATGGCTTCACGTTTTTGACGATGTTCATGCTGTTCTTTTTATCACTTCACTTTCGGAATACGATCAAGTTTTACGTGAAGATGAATCTGTGGTAATTGGAAAATAATTAAATTTTTTGCATTCCTTTGCACTAATTTTTCAGAATCGAATGAAGGAATCATTGAATTTGTTCGAAAAAATCTGCAATGGAAAATATTTTTATAACACGGCGATGATTCTATTTCTGAATAAAATTGATTTATTCGAAATGAAAATCAAGCATACAAATATTAATGTTGCGCTGACAAGTTATAAAGGTTAGTGTTTTTTTTAAATAAACAATTAAAGAATAATTATTTCTTGTATGGCATTTTTCCTGACTCATACATATTTGTTCAGTAAATTTTTGTCAGAAAACTAATTGACGTCAATGAGTTGACTCACTTATAATTAGATGAGTTCGTGCATTTTTGATGATTAGTTGAACAAAACAAACACACATAAACTTTTATTTATCATTTTTTATTGGATTCGAAAAGAAACTGTGATAACTTTAGGTGCGCAAGAAAAAGAACCTGCTTTGGAGTATATTCGGAAACGTTTCACTACATTAAATAAGAATAAAAAACGAACAATTTATACACATGAAACATGTGCAACTGATACACAACAAATTCAGGTATATTTTATTTTCAATCAGATTTTTGAGAAAAACAATCAAATGTGTTCAGGTTGTTATTGATTCAGTGATTGATGTTGTGATTCAACACACAATGCAAAAAGTTGGAATTCAGTAGAAGGATTTGAAAATTTTAAAAATTATGCTCAACAATTTTTCACTTATTATTTGAAAAAAAAAATAAAATTTTTGAACAAAAGCAAAACTAGTAACAACCGAACAAAAAGTCAAAATAAATGCAATCATCCATAAAATCGTTGTCATTATATGGATTGTTATTGAGAGGTATACTTTCCCCTCCAACAAAATATTACGGTAGCCTCTCCCTCTCTCTCGATGTCTTCATTTCAAAATCTATACATATGTGCACGGTAATTTTTTTTCATATTCAATTTTGAATAGACTAATTAGCTAAAAGAAGAGCTAATGGTGACATATGTTTAGTAGAAGCAAAAAGGCATAGTGTCTCGGCTTTGAAGGATAATCACAAGGCATGTAAACATATACCGTATGTTCGAGGTTTAATTGCGCAACTAATTCCGAAGCAAAAAATAATACTGTGTATCATTTTCGAGACAAAAATATTTAGTTACGTCAAAAAATTGGGGAGGATTACTGTAATACGATAGGTGTTGAGTAACTGAAAACAGTTTTTGGCTGGAAAATGTGAAAATAGCCATATTAGGCCAAGAGCCCAAAAATTTGAATCAGATTTGAGAAAAAACTTTTTCAGTTTTCATTATTTGGAAAACATATTACTTTTCACGAGTTTGGAATTTTATCATTTTTTTTTCTCACTCTAGTTTTCACCTAGAGTATTCTCCCTAAAACCCCATTTTCCAAAAATTTCAATTACGCTGAAAGCTAGCAAATATTCAACTCTGCTAAATATACACATATATATACAAACTATCAAATTGCCCACTTGCTTGCACATCCATCAATATACATATACATTGTAAATATAAAGAATAGATGGTGTCAAAACAATTAAAATCAACACCTATTTACACACCATTCCAAACTACCACCCGCCGTGACTACAAGCCATGACCCGTGTAACAAGAAGATGGAAGACACAATTAATTGGTCACTATTAACACTTCTATTGTTCTTCATTTTTCTCGTGAATCAATCTGGGAAGATATTTCAATTAGTCGAACAAATTCCCGGAAAAAACATTTTGTTTTTACACCTGTCTTATTTTGTGAATAGACATTTTATCAGATCAAATCTCAAGCTGTGGCTCAAAAACAGTTATTGTTTCGAGGTGTCAGATTCTTATCACAGTGACATTTTTCACAGATTTGAAGTGCTATAAATTGTGTTAGAACCAGGTTTTGAAATTTCAAAAAAAAAACGTAAATTTTGATGACGAAGTGGTACAATTTTTTCGGTGATCTACTTCAATTCAGTTATACCAGTTCGTTTCAAAAATATTCTGTGAAGTATTTTTTTAAAAATAAAGTTGAAATATTGAACCACATCCAAACAAAGCACAATGATCACCCCAAATTTAAAAAACAAAACTTTCATTTCTAACCTCTCCCCCCCCTTTTTTTATATTAATTCATTTTCAATCTACAGTAATCAATTAGCGTGTCTGTTTTTCTAAAAAGGTGTCGTTAATGGACTGAATGATAGTATTATTTGTTATCTTCTACCGTAGTATCATTTATTCGAATCGCGTTAAATTAGACGAAGGTCGTTATGTAAGACAGAGTGTAAGACAGATTAGTCGAATTAAGGGTATCTGTTTTTGAGTGTCGTGTGGGAATCTTTCTAAATTAATATATTAGATATTTAGATTATTATAAAACACCTTACACAAAATTTTCTTTTTTTACGGTTATTTTCCCGGGCGGCAAAACAAAAAGAGAGAAAATAACCATGTTTTTAATCCTTTTTCACTTTGTTTTTCCAACACCTACAATTAAAAAGCATAAAACATATGCATCCAGCTGAGAGGAGGAAGCGTTAAGTCAAATTCTCGTCTCAAATTTCAGGGGCGCCCTTTAATTATTCTTGAAATCGGGTTTTTTCCTGGCTAAAGGTCATATTGTAGTCCGAGTTGAACGAGCTCTCTGTTCAATTATTCAATTGGAATTCATCCAGGTATTTTAGCTGACTGCCTGACTATGCTCAGCGCCCATGCTTTTTGCTCACTCAGTTTAATGAGCGTATGTAATTCGACATGATGTCTCTTCTCTTTTGATGTGTGTGTAAATACATCCATCCATATATGAAAGGTATGATGATACTACGGTAAGTATGACGAGAAAAAAAGCAATTTGATCTGAAAGAACTGAACAAAATATTTTTGTTGAGTAATGTTGTCAAATAAGAACAAATCCGAATAAAAATTGCCTTGACAAATTGTGATATTCTGAGAAGTTTCTCAGATAGTTTACATTTTTAAACAATACAATCGGGTTCAAGCACTATTCAATAATAAATTGCGCAATACAAAACAATTTATAATGTAAACTATGTTTTATTTCGTCTTATTTATCAGAATCGGAAACAATAAAATTATGGAATCTTGGGGGAATTTTGGAAGAAAAGAGGAGATTTTGTACATTCAAAAATTGAAATGAAAAAAAAACTGCTGAGTTTCAGGTTGGCAAAAAGAAAAGTTTTAAAAAAAATTAAAGTAAAAATGAAAAAAAAACTGAAGATCTGAAAAGGACCGGATGTGACTATTCTGGTTGGGACAATGGTTCGGATGAAGATGTGGTATGATGAAGAGAGGGTGAACTACTTGGTGTATCTTCTGATTTTGTTGGCGATGAAGTTTGTGAGCAGGGAGAACATTGTGAAGGGCTTACTTCGGATTTTAGATTTAAAATTTCGTCGATGGATAGTTTTGTGTGACTAGGTTTTGGGTCATCTTCTTTGTGACTCGTGTTTAGATTATTATGTTGTTGCTGTTGCTGTTGTTGTTGTTGATTTTGCACCATTTGTTGGAACATTTGAGAAAATTGGAAAAATGCTGGATTAAACATGAGCAATGGATTTGTCGCAAATAATTGATCAAACGGCGGTTTCAAATTTGGTGGAAGATTTGGTCGAAGTGGGAATAACATTGATGGCTTGGAACTCAGATCTTTTGGCTCATCAATTGGACTTGGTGAATCAGTCATTGAATCATCGAAATCATCTTCGGAATCAGATAAATCAGATGATGTTTTCTTCAATTCAACCCCAATAATATTCGACCTGAAAAAATGTTTTTTTTCGTGTTGTTGGTTAACCATTAATAAATACTCTGGTGTCATTTTCGACTTAACTATACATCAAGGTTGAATTTGAAACTAATCTGCCTTCGTAAAATTTTGTTTTTAAATAAAAAAACTCACTTATTTTTTGCAGCTGCTGCTCGATCCCGTTGCCTTCGATTTTTAAACCAATTACCAACTTGCATCGCTGTGAGACCAGTCGCATTTGCCAATTCTTTCTTTTTTGCCGGATTCGGATATGGATCCTTCAAATACCATTCACGCAACAAACTTCGAGTTCGCTCCTGAAAATGTTATTGTTAACATTTATTTGTTTTTCTTTGATATTTAGAGGAATTTGCGAAATTCTGAAATGGACTCACTTTGAAACAGTGTGTTTTTTGTTCACCATCCCAAATTGTTCTTGGCATTGGAAACTTCTTTCGCACACGATATTTGTCGACTGCACATAGTGATCTAAAAAAAATACAAAATGTTATTTTATTCGAATAATTATTCTAACAGAAGGCAAATGGTGTCAAATTGGTGTGTAGCCATTATTATTATTTTTGATGTCAATTAGCAATGATTTACACATACGCTAATATGTATGTGGCGGGTTTGGCTTTTGATGAATTGAGGAGGTTGAGAGGTACTGTAGATATGATTCTATTCAATTTAACCCCTTGGCGCCAAAAAATAAAATTCAAAAATCATTTCGGCGGCGACTCAACAAAAACAAATAGATATTTAGTTGTTATATATAATAATAAATGAATGAATGCGGCTCAATTGTTTACATTCCCTTCCCAGATTACTGTAATCAACTCACTTTCCACGATTCTTTTCCTGTTCTCGATAATGCGCTTCATGCCACATTTCTTGAAGTTTTGGATGTGATTTTTGTGAAAATTTGTTATTTTCTAGAATCGCATAAAGTTCTCGAAAGTTGCCCATATGAAAGCAAACCAATGCACGAGCTCTTAAAACAACTTCATTTGATACAACATCTTGTGCTTGAGCCGGTGGAATTGTCCAAAGAAAACGAGCTAAACGATCGACATCTCCTGATTCTTCAAGTTGTTCACACGTTTTGACAATCTGCAACAATTGGGAGGATTGGATATTAAAATGAAATGAGATTATGTGAAACACAGAGAGAAGGGCTCTTTGTTGGCCTAAATTGGATTTTGTTTATGATGCGATGTGAGAAAGAGATTTTTTCCGAGAAGAAGGAAAGAAATTGAGACGAGCAGGAAATTTGATTTCGCTGCGATTGAACTTTTGAAGTCGATCTTCTTTTTTTTTCATTTTGAAACCAATATCAATAACATATCTATCTATATATCTATAATGCCTTTCATATTATATAAATATGAAAAAACATTACATCGAGAAAAGTTTCATCAAAAAGTGATTCAAATATTGACCAACCCTATCCACCAAAAAATGTATATATTTATACTAATAATACAAATGTATGTAATAAAGCAAAAAATAATGATGATGTTGATGACTGTTATTATTATCATTAAAGCGCTTTTTGTATTTGGTTGATGAGTAATTTGACATTTTAGGGTGTCGCGAACGATTTTGCGCCAACATGAAACAAAAGAAGCGACGATTTTGCCTTTTATGAATCACAAACACACTCGATTCTTTTTTCTTGGCGCAATTCTTCTTTTTTCTTTTCAAATATTTCAGCGCGGTTGCGGTTGGGGTTGCTTTTAATCCTATCAAATACAGTAATTGCGAATGATATGTGATGTGATATTTGTTTTACAAGGCCATGAATGTTTTTCGAACGTTAAATTTCTTATAAAAAGTATTTTATTGAAAAGACAGCAGATGAGAGGGATCTCTTAAAATTTCATATTTCTAAAAATAAGTTTTTTTTACCAAAAATCTTTTTTTTCCACTGATTCAAAAAACTTTCTGTCAATGAAGTCATAAAAAATTTAGAATTGTTTAAAATATCGAAATTTAAAAGGACCCCACAAGAGCCTCTGTCAATTAACTAACCTGATCACTTGTTAAATTCGAAGTTGTTGGTGAAGTTGGTGGTGGAAATAGATTGGGAGCTGGTCCACCAGAACCATTGGCTCCTAATAAATGTGACATATTTCCCAATTGGGACCATACTTTTTGCAATTGTTCAGGTGTGAACATTTTGTTGTTGTTGACTTTTCAAAACATAAACACGACCCAAATCAAACCAAAACAAATCAAAATAGAATAAAAATTGATATAGATAAATTGAAACTCGGAAAAAACGACGAAGACTCAATCAAGTATTATTTTATGTGGTGTGGTGTCTGTTCAATACAATGATATGGGGGCGTGGTCGACGATCAAGACTATTCCTATTTGTTGACTCCGCCTATTTTTGTGGGAAGATGGCTGCGCAGAAATGGAAGAAGACGACAAAAAAATGGAAGAAGAAGAAGAAAGAAGAGGAGATGATGAAAAATGAAGAGTGAGCGAGTCTCTTTTCGGGTTTGTTTTTATACTATTAGCTGATATTTAGATTGATTGAGAAACGAAAGACAGATGAGATGAGAAGAAGCAAAATGAAGACAACAAAACTTCTAATGAGCGCGGTTTTGGTAGCGGAAAATAAATGTAACTTATATTGGAACGGGTTTATTTTTCGAAAATTGAAATATATTTTTTTCAAAATACATCTATTCTCGGGTACAAACGATATATACCTTATACAAAATGTATTTTTCAAACTATTTTCAGCTCTTTGTAAGCATCCACCGTAACCCAAAATGTCTTCGTCTTTAATGAATTACTTAATAGACCGATCTGTCAATACCACTTACACTTCTTCTTTGTTTTTCTCGTTCTTCTATTTTTCATTTTCAATTTCAATGCCATTACAAACTTGTTGTCAAAATAACACTAAAAGTGTTCGCTTTTTTCGATTTGGTGTCAATACTGGAAAATAATGAAGACCTTGACCAATACTTAACGCGCGTTGCGGTGATAGATACAGTAGGATTAAGATATCCCCATATCTAACAGAACTAGAATATTATTTCCAATTATTGATGATCAAAACTTTACGATGATTTTATATTGTTTCGTTAATTTTCTTTTATTATTACAAAATAAACAAGCAATAAAAATAACAAGTGCAACATCTGAACTCTCAATTATCTTCCATCTTCCACTAATCCGATGTGTTTTTCAAGTAGCAATGAATGGCGTAATATTTGGATACCATTTAAAGAGAACGAAAAGCAATCCTTCGAGCACATCTTCTTCCCGAAAAAACACGAATTACGTAATCGCAGATGACTCTTCTCTTGTCTTCTTTACTAATTGCTTCTCTTTCCATTTTAAGGAGTCATGTGTGAGAAGAAGAAAAGAAAACGAAGTAACTCAAACCGTTTTGATTTGTATCGAGTTACTTGACTTGGGAAACAAAGAAGTACTGTAGCAAATGAGCACAGATTGTTTGCTTTTCGAATGATCGGGGGCATGATTGTTTCTTGGGTTCTATGTAGATACAAGATATAAATATATGTGTTCACAAATTATAAATAGTTAAATTCCAAAAAATGTTGATTTTATGTTGGATTTTAAATTAAAAAAAAATAGTGTTCATGATGATCGAACTCCAATCTGAGGAGGTCTCGATCTCAATTTGCATACCTAATCATCATCATCTCAATTTACACCACTTAACTCATACACCAAATATTCAAGGACCATACAAGGTAAACGATACAAAAAATCACCAACTACTACTTTTATTAACATAAGTCAAACAAATAATCGACGAGTCTCTGCTACACTGACATAAATAGTTTTTCTCCAAGTGTGCTCAAAGTATTTGTGCGCTAAATGACAAAATATTAGTGTTATAGATAGATACGGGGGACCCCAATGATTTTGCTTAATCCCAAATACATAAACTTCCGGTGCTCTTTTCTACTTCTCAAGAAAAAGTATAAATGAAAGTATTATAAAGGAGTCCAACTGTGAATACAATGGAAAAATGAATAGTTTTTGGAGTGAAACATTTGTTGGGTGCACTTTTTGGGATCCATGAATAGCGAGAAAAAAGAGGAAGCGTTTAAATTTCAATTTTTTCAGGGAAGAATTGAGGGGAAAATAATATTTCCACAGTAATCGGTAGATTTGTCAACATTGTCAAATCAAGATGTCAATTCTCTATTGTTGTCATGTCAAATTGTTTCACAGCTTGATATAACGTAATTTCTTATGATCAGATAAAACATTGATTGTTTTCTTCAAAAAAAAATGAACTTTTCTTAAAAGTTATAATTTTTGGAATCTTTTTTGAATTCAAATTTTGAATTTCAGTCTATTGAAAACATCACTGTACAAAGAATGATCTTTATTCGAATTCAAACAAAAATAAAGACAAAAACATAAATTGATTTTTGCGGATGTTCGCACACGAATTTCTATTAATGTGTCAACCCGGTCTATTATTTCAACTGTAATTGAATGCTCATCAATTTTATGTTTTCCTTTTTCTTGTTCTACTTTATTTTCTCTTTCAATTCTATGATGATGTATAGAAATGTGCTCCTACACCACTTCGCGGCTCTTAAGACAAATAGAAAAAGAGCGAGACAAGTGTGTACTACTATTGCTACCGTATCTTTTCTCATTGCTTTTGCTCACTCACAAAACTTGAGCCGGTTCACATTGCCTGCTATTGTGATGATAAGATTGATACTGTGCGCGGCGCTCTTCTTTTCCCATTAGCTTCTTCATCTTTTTTCATCTTGTACTCGCCTCAAGTACTCCGCCTTGTTCGTTGACACTTGTTTGTTTGACAAGGTGATAAGGACCTTGTCACGGGGCCAAAAACATTCTTTGAACATATCGGCTTTTGGAAATTATGAAAATTATCATAATTGCCGGAAAATTCTAACTGGATCACGTGACGTCGAACAAACTATTTGAGGTCTTTTTAACTACTCATTAAAAATCATTTTTTTGATAAATATTTTACAAAAAAACAAAGATTTATTTCTGTCCCAAAGTCAGTTATGATTCATATTCCTTTCTCATTCATTCATTCATGAAAGAAAACTTCCTACTTTTTGCCGCCACTGAAAAAATAAAGAAACAATTGACAAAGCAAAAGCGGTCATATTATTGGCGGCAACAAGGGGACCCACCGGAAGTTCTATTATTACACAATAGAATCCAAACCACCGACGACGAATAATAAGCTATATACCTTATAAAAAGGATACTGTAGTTTATTTTTATTGCAAAAAAATAACAAAAATAATAATTTATACAAAAATCCAAACAAGAAGAGTGAAAAGAAGAACAGAGAAAGAAGCAACAGTTTTTGTAGTTGAACTTGTCGTCGTTTGAACACTGCTTGATGTTGTTGTTGAAGTTGTCGATGTGGAAGTTGTATTTATGAAATTATCCGGAACAAACAATCTATCATTATAAGTTAGAAGAAGATCTAAAATAGCGCCATTTGTCCAACCAAATCCATCTTGAACATCATATTCTCCACCTGATCCTGGTTGTGGATAACTTCCAATCACATTATACTGCAAAATACTTATAACATGTTTGTTTGCTACAGTAATCCAATTCTAATTATCCACCAATCTGTCAGTTTCTATTCAATGCTACTTACTATGTACACGCGTGTGAAAAGAGTTGTTACTAAATAAAAACATGCACAAATTAGCATAAATGCTCAGCGCGACTCAAGTGGAATGTGACATTTGGTGTGTCATCAACCAAAATCTGTTCTAGGCAAGAAAAAAGTGGGTATAGAAAAAGCATGTGAGATTACTGTAGATTGGCTCGTGTTTGTAAATTGAGCTGATGTAAAAAATTGAGTCATCCTAGATTTTTATCTAGATTACACCACAAATATTATTATTTCTAAATAGTTATTTAGAATTTTCATGAGTTTCAAAAATAACCGGAGGATATCAGATAATGTTTTTTTGAAAATTTTCTCAAGCTGAACCGAGTCAATTTTTTGCCAAGATTTTTCAAACGTCTTTTTTTTTCTGAAAAATAAGGTCGGACACCTCGGGTCACCGACAAAAACAAAACAAAAACAAATACAATTCAGTCTTCTAATTTCATAAGTATCACTTGACTAAAGCGGTTCTTCTTTTCTCTGCCATTGTTTTTTTGTGTTTTACAGTATTGCGTTTTTCGCGCGCGCGCGTAAGAATTGAGGTCTTGATTGGCACCACTTATCGTTTGACTGACCTTCTTCAATACAATACATACCTTCATTTAATTTACCTTGTTATATCAATTCAGCCGTGTAATCGGTAGGGTGCGCGAGAAAAAAAAAACAATAAATAAGGGACTACTTAACTATCTAAATACTACTGTAAGCGTGTCACCTGTCATATTCATAGATAGATAAGTTAATCCATCCGAATCAGATAACATTATAAATCATCTGCTCTCAATTCTACCACCCAACAATTAGACAAGGTTTACATTAGATGACATTTTATGATAAGAGGGTGCAAAGTGGCGTAATAAATGTGTTATTTAGATATGCGGGACAGCTTAACTCAATCTTCTTTTCTAGACATACATTTTCACACGAAATATCCTCCGACTACAGTAGTCCGAAAAGCAATTTAACATAATCTACATATGTGTGCGTGTGAAGTGAATTTACATAAGATTATTATTACGATGACAGAATGATGGAGCCAGCGAATAAAAAAAGATTTTCTGGGGTTTTCACTTACCTTCTCCCACATATGTCCAGTTTCATAAAACACTTTGAAATTTCCCAAAACCCATTTTGATGCAATTTCGAAACCCTGCAAAAAGATTGATATGTTTTTTGGATCTTGAAGAAATCACAGCGGGGCGTCAAACGTAAAACATCTTGTTTACACATTTGTCGGAATTGTTTGTAATACAAAAGTGTGTTCACAGTCAGGTGTCAAGACGCTGTGAGCAATTTGGGAAAATTAGAAAATGGGAAGTCTTATATTGAGAAGAGATGCATGCGATCAAAAATGGCTGTGAAGTGAGAAGTTGTTGGGGACCAGAAATGGAACTGTGTGATTTATTGAGATATCTAAATTGAACCACATAAAGGAATGAAAAAAAATGTTTTTGAAACAATTATGAAAAAATCCAAATAGTTTTTAATGCTCCAATTTAATCAGAAGAGATAAATTCAAAAATCCTATCCTATTTCTGGTCGGAATTCGTTTGAAAATTTTGCAATAATTTAAATTTGTAACTATTCATTATGCTGCTTTTTGTCCACAATTTGTATGATTAATAATGGAATCTTATCATGTTTTATAGTAATCTTGTTTTAAGAAAATCGAGGTTCTTTTCTAAAAATGTACACTAATTACCAGTTTCCATTAATTTGTCGGTCATACTCTTTTTTCAAAAAAACAAATAAACCATCAATTTGATTGGCACAAATCGATTAATCTCCAAGTGTGTTCACACTATGGTGTCAAAAACATGTCAAATTTCACCCCTACTCTTGTTAATTGTTTTTTTCTACTTCTTCCCGAGTTCTAGAGATTGCACAGGTGTTTGCACCAATTGGTGTCAAACAACATTACATATTATGGTGTGATATTGTATGTTCACACTTTTTCCTTTACCTGATCCTGCATTTCGGGATTTGCCGATTTTCGAAGTCCTTCAATAATCATGTGATTGTTTGGACTCCAACCATTTGGAAAATCCCATTGTTCTTCGGAGTTTTGAATCATTGAAGTTGGAATTCCAGATGGATATGTGAATGCTCCCATTCTCTAGAAACGATGATAAATTAATTCAAAATTTTTGTTAGAAGTTTAAACTTACATCCATATAATCAAAAGTTTTCTGAACAATACCAGTATTCATAGTATTATAGCAATTTGTGAACAATGGAACGGCGGTGGAAGTATAGAAATTAGCATTGTGAGATTTGCTACGAACATTATAATCATAGAATGTTCCATCTGTTTTATTATAGAAAACATTATGAACAGAGTTTCTATAAAAATCAACAATTTTGATCTCGAAAAGATTTTTAAATTTTACCTAAAATCAGCCCGTCTACTTCGGAATGTTTCAGAATTATCCATATCTCCAACTTGTTCATATAAATATTCCAAAATATCCATATTCCAACAAACAAGACCATTCAAATCCACAGGAATAACATTGGTTGTCTCAATTGTTGAAATTGTCAAATGATCAGAAAACCATCTTGTCGAAAAATCCCATCCCGATTCGGCGGCACTTGCAATATCTTGATAGAATTGTTGTTGTCTTGCTGTATCATTTCCAAACTTTGCCGAATTTTCAGTGTCAACTCGATAAGATTCTGGTCGTGGAACATTGCTAGCAGTTTTGTATTGGTATAATTTATATGTTTTGTTATCCATTGTCACATTAATCATTCTATTTTGATCCCAGAAATCAAGTTCTTTCTTAAGAGTTGGCAAAAGTTCAGCGATAAAATCTTTATCATTTGTAGCCTCGTATAATTCATAAACCATTGCTGACAAAAATGGTGGTTGACTTCGTTGAAGATAATAAACACGGCCACCATTTGGTACAAATCCATGACTGAAAATTATTGATTGATTGATTGATTGAGAAACTAGTCAAAAACTAACGTGTTAACCATTGTTGCCAAATTTCGAATCATTGATCTTGTTGTATTATACATTTCTGAAGCAATCAAACCTTTCACAATCCAATAAGCATCCCAATAATAAAATTCTCTGAATCGACCACCAGGAATAATAAAATGATGTGGAACATATAAAAGTGAATATCGTGAATTATGTTGTTCAATTGATGGATCAATCTGATTATTACATTGGAATTTGAAGGTTCATTTAAACTCACTTTTCTACACAACTGTTTCCAAATTCCATTCAACTTATAAGCCCATTCTCTCAATTGTGGATCTTTTATCGTTGCCAATTTTTCTGGTTTTTCTTTCCAATCATCTGGGACACATTGAATCAATTCAGTTCCCGCAGCACTGCAAAAAGTTCTATTGGTTTACTGAAACTTGTTGAAGAAAACCTGAAATATTGATCAATGAAGGTTTGCAAATCTGTCTTGTTGATTTTTTCCGGAGCAGTCGAATTTTGAAATTTCAAATTGAACGCGTTCAAAACATCTTCTGAACAACAAAGTAAAATACAAAAGTATTAAAAGCAGCTAATCAGTTGGAACGGATTTTCTTGAAATTCAGAAAGATAACGAAAGCTCAAGATAAGAACTACGTTACAGTTAAATAAAAAATAAAACCTCATTTTCAATTAATTAGATGTCTTTAAAGATAAAAATCAGTCGAAACTATTTTTTCCGCATTGTTTTTGAACTGACTATTGAGATAACGAGAAAATATCAAACGGAAAACTGTGAAATCAGCTTAAAATACATTTCAAACTGATTATCTGTTCTTAAAACGTGGCATACGTGGATTTTGTTTCATTGGCATGTCAACAAAAGTTTTAGAATCATTGTAAAGTTGATGATAATTGACAGCTTCAAGAATCGGGCCTTCACAATAAATGAACCTGAAAAGATATATTCATTAAAGATATATTCATATATTATACTTTAGAGGAACTTATTGAATGACTCACGAGTTATTTGAATTTGTAGAATCACAAACTGGTACCTGGAAATATAAAATGAATGAGGAAATCAAATCAAATCAAACTATAATCAAATTATTCTCTCACCCGTGCACAAAATGCAGTCGAATAAATTAGAAATAAAACGAATATAGGAATCATACCTGGAAAAAACAAAAAAAAATTGAATTTTTTCCGAAAGAAAAAAGTGTCAGATTTCAGAACATTTGTCAAAATAATATTACATTTTTTCTTTAAACTTTCTTTCGGTTTTTTAATAAAATATAACATAACAGAAAAAAAAATGGAAAGAGAGAGAGAAACAACATTATTTTCAGCACTTTGAAGGAAACAAACGATTTTCGCGTGTTGGAAATGTGCTTTTTGGTTAGTATATAATTATAAATTGAACTAAAACACACTGCGATTCGGCGAAATTCGAGCAGGTGGTTGAAGAAGAAAACTAGGAGCTGATAACATTTTTTTGAATTAATCGTCTTTAAAAATGAAATAAAGCGTGACAAAAATGTGATAACCAAAGAAGCATAAAAATGTTTAGATTTTTGGAAAATGCAAAATGATTTAAATGTTCAAAAATCATGTGAAATTTTATTTGAATACTAGGAAAACATCGATTCCAGGAATTCAAAATTTGGGTTTTTTCTGTTCAAAATTTCATTGATAGAATTGACAAAAAATGAAATAATAAAAGACTTACAGATATGGGATATTTTGAAATATCTCATTTTTAGGAAATGAAATGATATATATATATATTAATGAAAAACGTGAACTATGAAATTTGGGAGCAAATATTTATTATTTTTATTGTTTTTTGATAAGCAGATTTTTCTCATATTATCGCGATTTGAGCACAAAAAGTTACTTGTGCGTTTTTTAAAAATACTGCAGTCTAGGAAAAAAAACAAATTCTCCGGAACATCCAGTATATGGGATGTTTTTACGTTTTTGCTCAATTTCAGACTACGGTGGCCCCATTCAATCTCAAATATTTCAGGATTTTATAAAATGAAGAGAATCCAGGAAAATTATATCTCATTGTTTCTTTTATTTTCATTCATATTATGTTTTATTTTATTTCATGCTAAATTTGATTTCATTTTATCCAAACAATTTTTTATTTCTAGTTTTTCTACAGATTTCATCGACGATAATGTGGAAATTTCAATCAAAATTTTATCAAAAAATGGTCAAAATGAAAATCGATCGATAATTTCGAAAATATTTGAATTTTATCAATGAAGACTTTGTAGAATTCTACCAAATTATTATTTTCAAATTCTAATCAATTTTGTTTTATTGACTTTTTCATCAATTTTTCCTGAAACATTCATTGAAACGAATGAAAAATCAGCAAAGCAATTGAATTTTTCATATATCAAATGATTTTTCAAATTTGGAAGATGATCTAGCTATTTTTCTGATTTTCCACTGTTTCCCTCAATTTTCTAATAAAAATGCTCCGAGTTCAACAAGAACAAGAACATATTTTTCTATTTACATATTTACGTGCATTGCGCAACATTTATGTTTTTTATCAAATGTTTCGCTCATTCTTATCACCTTAATTGTCTTTCCTCTTTGAACTTTCAAATTATTATCAACTACTTATTATTATTCGATCATAATTCGAAAAATGATGAAAAAATTTGTGTTTCTAACACTATTTCTTGTTGTTTCTCTCGTTTTGACTGAAAATGAAGAGCAGAATCCACACCTCAAATATTCTCAAGAGATCAATGAAGGGTAAGTTGAAAGTGAGCAATTATTTTTTGATAATATTGATACATTTCTGATACAGAGCATTCACTGGATATCTCGAGTTTTTGAACAATCAAAAAATCAAACTTTGGACCTATTCAATTCTATCGACAATTATAATTTCGGCTGCTCCATTTCTAGTTTTATTTCTTATTCCAATTCAAGATAATACATCTGAATCAGGTCCACTTTTAAAAGTTTTGCTAGCTTTTGGTTCTGGCGGACTTCTTGGTGACGCATTTCTTCATTTAATTCCACATTCAACCCCGAAATCTCACGGACATTCTCATAATGAAGGAGAACATATTCATGATTTAAGTGTTGGTGGATGGGTTCTGGCTGGTATTATAACATTTTTGATTGTTGAAAAAATGGTTCGAATTCTTCGAGGAGATGAACAGAATCATGGACATTCTCATGGCAACAAAAAAAGAAGAACATAGAGAAATTATAAAAGCAACCGCATATTTGAATTTGGCAGCTGATTTTGCACATAATTTCACTGATGGATTAGCAATCGGTGCATCTTTCATTGCTGGTACAACTGTTGGAATCGGTAAGATATCTCGATCAACAACATATTTTTTGTTATTTTATTTTGATCCAAGCTTTTATTCTCTAGAGAAATATTATGTTTGCAGTAACAATGATCACAGTTCTCATTCATGAAGTTCCACACGAAATAGGTGATTTCGCAATTCTAATTCAATCTGGTTATTCAAAACGAAAAGCAATGATGATTCAATTAGTCACTGCAATTGGAGCACTTTCTGGATGTATTATTTGTCTTTTAGCAGCTGATTCAGATATTTTAACTGATTCCACTTCAAGTTCTTGGGTTTTGCCATTCACAGCTGGAGGATTTATTTATATTGCCACAGTTTCAGTTCTTCCAGAATTATTGGAAAATAGTTCAGCAATTCAAACAATTAAAGAATTGGTTGCAATAGGAACCGGCATCTTTATGATGTATCTAATCTCAGTTTATGAATAACTTCTGGTTGTTTTTTGAGCCAAGTAAAATATTTTGAAAGTATTAGAAAACTATACGATTTGTTTAATCCAATTCATAAATTCTACCGTAATCCTTATTGTTGAAAAATACTGGAATGAATAGAGGCTTAATTCGATATTATTTATTAGTCAGGGGATTACCTTTCTCTGCGTCTCTCTTTTTTGATCATACTTCCATTATCATTATTATTCCATCTCTAATTGAAGGTTTTGCTTCGGAAAAGCGGCTATTTCTTGATATTCACCCACCAATATTATTTCTTTTTTTTCGTATTTTTGTTTTCAAAACAACTATTAGAAAAACATAGTCCAATTTCTAATTTTGCTCATTTTTTTCAAAATTTTCAAGTTATGAAAGTACACCCCCACTCATTTCAGACATCGAATTCAAAAAGACAAATTTAATTATTACTTAAATATTGAGTGCTTGAAAAACTTTTATTTTTGAAAATATGTATAGGACAGGATATTTCATAATCATCTTGCCGAAAAGTTCACGATGATTTTCAAAACATTTTTTGTTGAATTTACCCTCCTCAATGTCAATATTCCAAAAAATCGTTTCTAAATTATTATGTTTATAGATACGTCACAGATTTAATTCAACATTTCAAGAACTCATCTAGCATGTATCTTATTCGTTTTTCTTTTTTTTTCATTTGGTTTTTTCATTATAATTAACATGAGTTTCCTCTTGACTACCTCCACCTACCAACCAACCAACGCTTCAATCGATTCTCAAACAAAAACCATTCTTTTTTTTTCAGATAAAAAATTGTTAAAATAATAATCGAATTGTCATCGAATAGGCCTTTTCAGGCCATTTTTGGCACTTCTCAAATTGCATTTATTATTTTGTTAGTTATTATAATTGATATTGTTGAAGCTGTCGATATTCCAATTACTATTTTGATTGATGAAACAATTAGAAATGCTCAAGCAATTGCTGATTTGGCAAAACAAGAAGTTTTAAATTTTGCACCCAATGTTACTTTCACGTGAGTGCATAGATATATGTTTATATCTCAAACCTCGTTCATAGTTCCATTGAGGGGCCGAAGTGAAATTTTGATTTTTTTAAACGATTTGAAAGTACAGAACAATTCCTATTAGTCAAAACTCTTTGGGGATCTTAAAAATTACTTAAAGAACCACAAATCTAGCTGATCTGTGTTTATCAAAATATTAATTGTTTTTCAGTTACACGCTCGAAACAAGTGCATCTTGTAGTACAAAACCATCTGATAGTAAATATATTAATGAATTTTTCCAAAATTATTATTCCAAAAATTATCGAATAACAATTGGCCCAACATGTTTAGCAAGTAAGACAAACATTAATTTATTTACAATTCCTTATTATTTCTTTTCAGATTTGATTCGTTTTGGTAATATAACTGCAGAATTTCAAAGTCTTGAGATGAATATTCTAACAAGTTATCCTTTTAATCATCCAACCATGATTGATGTAAGATTTTTCTACTTTTTCTGATAAAAATTTATATAAAATTTTAGTTAGTCACGAGATCTCCAAGGAATTTAGCTGAAAACGTAATCGCAATTGCAAAATCATTCGATTGGAATCAGGTTAACTAGAAAAAACAGAATTCAGATGAAAAATATTTTTTGTTAGGTAGCCATAGCTTTTTGTAAAGAATGTTATTCTGATGATATATTGGCATCTGAAACATATATGGATGTAATAACAGAATTATTGGATGATAATTCAGTAACCGTCCGAACAACAATTGATATTGCAAAGTCAGAAAACCGTGATTCAATTTATAATAAAATTTCAATTCTACCAACAGCTGCTAGAGTTGTTCTTTTATTTTTGGGAAATTCTTTGAGTGATCATGTTGAATTTATGGCTGCATTACAATCGCGAAATTATACAAGGAAAGAATATTTACCAGTTATAGTTTTATCAAAATATACTTCAAGTTATCAATATCCATGGGTAACTGATTCATCAAAATTAGACATGTTTGATAAAACTGTTGTGGTTCGTTTAACACTAATTGTAAATGACTCAATTTTTTATTTTTGAAACATTTCTTTAGATTTATAACAATTATTATTCTGGAAAAACAAATAATTTTCTATCAAAGTTAAGTTTTACAAACGACGATGATATGACGGTGTCTTTTCAATTTTACGAATCACTGTGGGTATTGGGAAAATATCTAGCTAATGCTGAAGTTAATTCTACTAAATTCAACTATGTAAATCCAGAAAAATCATTGGCAAAAGAGGTTATCGAAGGTTTGATATTTTTTACCTTTGAGAAAAATGATTTTATTTGAAATATTTAAGGACCATTCGGATCAATTCAGTTTACTGAAGATGGTAAACGATTGAGTGGATACAGTATGCTTTTAGTTACAAAAAATTCAACAACTGGCAATAATATTCAACAATTGGATAATGTTGCAATGCAATCCACATCGTGTTCATCTTCCCCTTGTCTAACATTTTTTGCAAATGGAACTGAATACAATGCAATCAAAGATATTCCACTCTGCGGTTTCAATGGAGAAGTTTGTGATCAATCAACGTAAGTTTTTATTAAAAGAGGAATGTGAAACTAGTTCTAAATGAGAAATGTAATTCCAAATTAGGATTTGGGATACCATTCAAAAATTTGATTTTTAGAAATAGTCACAATAACTATGATATATTTCAGAGTTATTTATTCAATAGTTGCAATAATGGCCATAACAATATGTATAGTTGTATTGTATGTGATGTGTCGTAAACTAATTAGAGGATCAAAAAGAAGAAATATGAGAAATCCTTGGCTGATTCCTGTTGCTGATGTATTATTTATCGATTTAACAAATACCGAAGGAAGTCAACATTTATCGATTCAAAGTTTACAAAGAAAAATGGAAGAAAAACAACAAATTCAGAAATCAATGGTATCGTTGAAAAGTATTGCAACTGTTGATAATATGTATTGTATTGTTGACAAATTAATGATGAAAGAACGTATTAGATTTGAAAAAGGAGAAGCAGCTAAACTAATGAAGGTAGACAAATAATTAGTTGATGTCTAATTAACTATGTATAAAATAATTCATATTTCAGATGAAAACTGCATTACAACATGATAACTTGAATCCTTTTGTTGGATTTTCATTAGATAAAGCAACTTATCTTTATACAATTTGGACACAATGTTTTCGAGGTAATTTAGCTGATATCGTATTAAAATCAAAAGATGAATTTACTGGAATGGATAATAATTTACAAGGAGCATTTGTTCGAGATATTCTAAAGGTTTGAAATAAAGAGTGAGTTGAATTAATCCTTTCAACTTTTAAAGGGTCTTGAATATTTGCATTCAAACCAAGGACTTGGATATCATGGAGCATTAACTTCTTATAACTGTGTTATTGATTCACATTGGATTTTGAAACTCAGCGGATTTGGTGTAAATGATTTTATTGTGAAATGGAGAAAAGCTGGGCTTGTTTATACATCCGATGGGACACCAGTTATTAGTTCAACACAACTTCATTATTATGCACCAGAAATTCGAAGAACATGGAGAGTAAACCCAGACGAATCAACAACACCAGCACCAACTACACCAGCAACGACAGCCAAAAATGAAGAACCTAATGGGGGTTTAACATCTGCCGTGATGAGAGTGAGTAAATTTCAATTTTTCGTCGAATGTTTCAACAAATTTTTCAGCGAGCTGATATGTATTCTTTTGGTGCTGTTCTTTTCGAGATATTATTTAATAAAAAAATCATTGATTTGGAAGATTCAACAAATGATCCTTATCGATTAATAGACGAAGATCATGAAACAATCGTACCTTTATATCCCGAAATTCCAAATGATCAAGATGTTCATCCAGATCTTATTAGTTTATTACATCGTTGTTTCAATGGACAACCAACAGAAAGACCAGATACATCATTGGCAAGGAAAATAACGTCATCAATTCTTAAAATGTCTGGAAGTCTTGTTGATCAAATGATGAAAAATATGGAAAGTTATACAAGTGGGCTTGAAAAAATGGTTGAATCTCGAACAAGGCAATTAGCGGTTGAACAAGAAAGAGCAAATAATCTATTGAGTCAACTTCTACCACAGTAAGTTATTTCAATTGATTTCAAATAATTCAATGTTTTTTATAGAGCAGTAGCAGAAGAATTAAAAGCTGGAAAACGAATATCTGCAGCAGACTATGAGAGTACAACAATTCTTTATTCAGATATTGTTGGTTTTACATCATTATGTTCAGAAAGTGAACCAATGGAAGTTGTTGAATTATTATCTGGAATGTATGAAGGTTTTGACAGAATTATTACTCAACAAAGTGGATATAAAATGGAAACAATTGGAGATGCTTATTGTGTTGCAGCAGGTTTACCAGTTCCAAGTATAACAAAACATGTTCGAGCAGTATCACTAATTGCTTTATTACAAAGAGATGTAAAAATTAGCTGAACAAACTTTTTGAACCATTTATTTTTTCAGTTTCTTCGTCATTTCGAAATTCCACATCGACGAGGTCAATATTTAAAATGTCGATGGGGTTTCAATTCTGGTAAAGTATTTTCTGGAGTTATCGGAATTCGTGCACCACGTTATGCTTGCTTTGGAGCAACAGTTTTAGTTGCAGCTAAAATGGAATCTACTGGAATTCCAGATAATATTCAAATGACACTTCGTAGTCAACAATTACTTGAAGAATATTATCCACGTTTTACAGTAAAACCACGTCCAAATGGTGTAAAAGTTGATGGAGTCGGATATTTTTTAACATATTTTCTGACTGGTTATGAAGAAGGTACAACAGAAGCAGATGGACTTGAAGATGACGAATATTGTGGAGAAGGACCTAATTTGCTCAAAGAATACTTCAAAAACGTTAAAGAAGCAAAACAACTCGAAAAACAAAAAAACGCTAGTTAGAATTTTGTTGAAAATTATGATTAATTATTTTCCAACTTGCCTTAAATTCTTATATATTTTGTTTTAAATTTCCATCCATAAATGATAAATATTTTGAAAAACTCACATTGTTTCCTTGATAGTACATTTATGTGTTAATAACTTAACGAAACAAATCCTAAAAAACAAGCGAATAAATAAAAAATTCTAATATTTTGACTTTGTCGGTTCTTCAAGTGGATTCAATCCAATTGGTTTCAATTCGATTTTTGCTTGTGGTCTTCCGTACATTGGCAAAAATTGTCGAAGTTGTTCGATGTATTTAACTTCTTTTTCTTTTTTATCAGCCGATTTATTGGCAATAATTTCATCGACTTTTGTACGAGTTTCATCTTTTCCATGAACAAAAACTGCCAACTTTTTGCGTTCTGGCGCACCAGCTCGAATTTTTCTAGAAAAAATGCTAGTCACCCCGTGAACCATTAAGCTAAACAATATTTAAAAGTTGACCGCACTCCTAACCTATTGTTTAAAGTTTGTGATCCCAATGCTATAAAATAACGCAAAATTTAAGGACCCCGCCGTTGAAAACTTATCCGATGTTAACCTCCTGCTGAAGCAAAAAATGATTCAACTGTAGTATGTAATCAAAAAATCTGCAAACACCGCGTCTATCGAAATTTCATAAAGTTCGTTCAAAGGAACATAACAAAGAACAATTTATTAGTCTGTTAGCTCTCGAAACGCCGGCCTTTCTAGGCTTCTAAGAGTTCTGATATCTCTACATGTATTTTTGTAACCGCGTGGTCTCGACGCAAATCTTAACTTTCTTCGCAAGACCCCTAGAAATATGAATGAAATAGTTTAATTTAGATCTTGAGACGCTCTAATGGTATTCTATAGCGAAAATTGTGACGCCAATAAAAACAACCATTTTGATAATTTTTTCATTGTTTGTGTCCCGAATAAACTTCAAAAAAAACTTACTTATCAAAAACATCGAGAACATCTTTCTTGGTAATCTTTTTCAAAATAGCCACTTCTTCATCTTTTCTTCCAAAGTCATATTGTCTAGTTTCAATTTCATTCCAGAATCTTCTAAATCTTCCAGATAAAGTTTTTGGTTTTTCCTCAAGTCTAGAAATCATTCCAGAAACTTGTTTAGCAAATTCATCTTCGGGCATTGTTTCGATTTCAGTCTAAAAAACACCAATGTGTATTTTCGACAAAAATAAATAAGAAAAACATACTCTTGCAGATTCCAAAAACGCTTCAATTCTTTCCAATACAAAATCAGCACTTTTCGGACCTTGTACAATAACATTCAATGAAACAGTTCCGCATGATAATCTAGTTCCAACCCAAACAATATATCCAAGTGCTTCATTTGTTCGTAATGTATTAAATGCTGGTTCTTTGATAATATTATCCAATAATCCAATAACAGCATTATCATAATTATTTTGAACACCAACTTGATACATAACTTCAACACACGAAACTTCATGAGTATCTTGTAAATGTCTATAAACATATTCATCTCCATTATTCAATGATAATTCTCTTCTTGGTGTATGTTCATTCCAATAAAGTGGACGACTTCCCGGACTAACATTTTTCAATATTCCAATAATATCATTTGAAAGTGAAAGTGCTTCGGATTCTGTCGAATTTCCATGAACAAATAATTCGACATGAAAAGCATCCAACATTTTTCGAGAAAATGATTGAACCTCTTCCATTGTAACACTTTCACAAACAGCCAATAATTGCTCTTTACTCCAAAATTTGTCGGAAATCAAAAGTTGAGCATAATGTTGACTTAGCGAATAAGGTTGAGAATGAGAAAAGTTGCTGAGAGCACGACGAAGTGATTCAAAAAGTACATCGAAACGAGTTTTATCGATTTGGAAGTTTGACATTCTTGTGACAAGATGTTTAACAAACAAAGCTTGTTTCTCGTTATATCCATGAACCTGAAAATTGGTTCAATTTTTGAAAAAAAGAAGCTGAAAGTGTTAGGAGATAGCTAAACACAACAAAACATAGGAAAGTGAAATGAAAAGTTCAACAAAAAAGTTATTAGGTTACATTCAGGATTAGTTCAAAACGGAAAAAAAGTGACGATATTCAGACCAGGACTGGACGGAAGACCATTAATTTCACACAATCACAGGATCTCCCAACACAAACAAAAAACAAACTCAGGAAAAATCACAAACATGCAATGCAAACGAAGCGTGACGTTCGACTTCTCTTCGGCTTACCCGCAATTGAACCCCGAATGGACCCGAATCAAGTTGACATTTTAAACCCGCCAAATCTGCATTATATGTTTCTTCAGCCAATGTATCCTGAAATTAATTGATTCAAAAATAACTCAGAGAGACAATTAGACTTACACTAAGACACCACAACCAAAGACTTGAAACAAGTGATGTTCGAGGATTTTGAGCAACTATTGGAGTTGTGAGAGCAAGTTTAGTCTCTTGTTTCGGTAATTTATATTCATCATCTTGTTTAAACCAAACACGACTCCATCCATTTTCACTAATAAGACGAGGATGTTCGCTGTAAAATTAACAAATATTCCGATTTCTATATGAAAAATAATCAATACCTTTTTATGGTTTCCCTTGGCTTAAGTTCAAAATTAGTTGCAATATATTCATTTTTCTCCGGAAGTTTGAATACGCTATTATTAGTAGCTCTTGCTTCATTGAATCTAGCCATTGTTTTCTCATTAATATCCTCAATTCTCATTTCCGTTCCATAAACGGGTTCTTTTGTATTTCCTTCCTTTCCTGCAAACTTCAACGAAACCACTCTATACATCATATTTTCCGGTTTGAACAATTTCAGCAAATCGAGAATTTTTTCTGGTTGATATTTATCAATAATATATTTTGATGATAAAATATCCTCAAATGGAATATATTGAAGTTCGGAAGCTACATGAGTTGCCATAGTGATTGGTGTTTCCTTGTCTTTAAAACGGAATTTAATTGATGCAAGTTCTCCTAATTCTTCTTGAATCCATGATTTTGGACCAGCTCTTTCCATCATTCCGATATAATTGAACACTAAATCAACAATTTCTTCAGTATGTTCTAATCCTTCAGTACTCAAATCCATAGAAACATCGAATATTCCAAATCCTCTTGCTTGTGTATGATAACCAGATGATAAGGAGCTAACCCATCCACGACGTTTCAGTTCACTCAACAAACTACCAGGTCCTTCATGACCAAGAAGATGAGCTGAAAAATTTAACACATTTTCAGACTATAAATATTATTTGTAGTGTCCATATTAGTACATTTATTTTTAGTACAAATATATAAATATATATAAACTTACAAATATAATGTTCTGATTGTGATTTATAATCAGCTCTTACATCTGGGAATGGGAATGAGATATTGAGAAGACGTGTATCTTTAATTGGCACAACTTCAATACGTTTTCCAAGTTGTTCGGGTCCATAAGCGGCTTCTTTCCATGCAACTCTTTCAACTTTTTTATCTTCAATTGCATCAAATTCCAAAGTTCCCAAATATCCTTCGAGTTCATCTAATGATTCTTTTCCAATTACACATAATGTCATTCTGAAAATCTTTCATTTCTTTTCCCTTTTTTTCACAATTTTATTAATGCAACCTACATATTTGATGAATACCATTGTTTATGAAAGTTCAATAATGCATCTCTCGGTTCGATTCCTTTTTTTCTCGCATCTTCTAATAATGTTTGTTTATTTCCAGTTCCAAACTTTCCATAATCATGTCCTGGTTTTGAACGAGATCGATCAACTTGCAAAAATCTCCAAGCATCATTTTTCAAATTGTTTGAATGTTCCGAATCGACGGCACAAACTTCTCTTTCGGTTGCACTTGGAGTGAATTGTGGAGCAAGGAAAAATTGAACAAATCTATCAAGTGCTCCTGGGAGTTGATCAGGTTTAACATCGAAATGATAGTTGGTATGATCTGATGCAGTATAAGCATTTGAACTTCCAGCATGTGCAGATAAAAATTTGGAATATTCATTTTCAGATGGATATTTAGCTGTTCCAAGGAATAACATGTGTTCACAAAAATGAGCAAGTCCAGGCAACTCCCAAGGATCCATTAAATGACCAACATTAACATCAAGTGCAGCTGCTGATTTATCTGTTGTTGGATCCGACACCAACAAAACTTTCAAACCATTTGTCAATTCTAATCCACGATACTGAAGAAAAACAATGAATTCAACAAAAAATAGGAAACAAAACAGAAAATTACCTCTCTCGTGTCTTGTCCACCTTTTGTAATCAAATTAAATCGTTTTGCAACGACATTCTTTCCATTTGTTGCCATTTTTGGTAATTGAGCTGACGATGACAAATTGCGTACAAATCGTAGCCTAAAATGAATCGAAATGAAGTGATTTGTGTTGAAAAAGCCACATTGATAAGATACACGTTTTTATTAATTTTTCAAAAAAAAAAGAATTTTATTGCATAATTCATGAATGATGAAAAATCAGGAACCTTTGAGTTTTTTGAAGAATGACTGGATTTCTGTGAAGAGATGAAAACGATCTTTGAAGGCTTATATATGGAATTGGTATTTTAATTCGTGTCAACAATGAGAGCGACATTGCAAGGGCTGAAAAAATGAATGAATGTTTTGATTGTTTGCGGCAAAAAAAATAAAACTCAATTGTCACGCAAGTATGCTCCATTGTACACATAAAAAACTGCGGGTGTTTAAAAATATGTTTTTTTTTCTTTTGCTGTTGGTTTTTTTTCGAACTGAAAGAAATGTCTGGTGACGAAAGAAATTTTCATTCAGAATAGTAATCTGATTATTAGAAAAAATTTCTTTTATTGAAAAAAAATTTCCTTATTGATGTCTGAAAAATTAAGGAAATTCTGCTAATTTTTGTACTCGTTTTGTAGGTTTTGTGATCACAAAAAACTCTGTTTTTTTTCAACTATTGGCTAATTCAATAAAAATCTATCCATCTATAAAAAGTATAATTAAATTAATAGCGGAATTTCCATTTTCTGTCCATCATTTTTGCATTTTTGTTTTCTTTTGTTGATAATTTTTCGAGTCTTCTCCAATTGTTCTTATTTTTGTATAATTCATAATCAATATATTTCTTTGAATTTAACTCAAAATTTATTAACAAAAATTGTCGAATACGCCAATTCATATGAAAATGTATTTTAAAAAACAAAACAATAATTACGAGGGAGATTTAGGAAGCGAGGTACTTGTTTAGAAATGACGGTTGCGACAATATTTTGATTCTTCTTTTAACTGAATTGGTTGAAGACGCTTAGAGGAACCGTTTCCACAGTGAGCATCTTACGCAGAATTCTCAAAGCTTCCTCCGGATTTCTTTGAAAAAAATCATTGACATACTCTACATAGAATCGGTGGCTCATACTGAAAATAATATAACAGTTGGATATATTTCTAGTGGCTAAACTAACGGAAATCGTGGGATGTTTTCTCTTCCCATCAAAGATGGGAATGCAATTGTGAAGGCAACTATTTGTTCAATTAGTTCTGAAGCATCGTCATCGCACACTCGAAGCAAATCATCCGCGAGAATATTGTCATATTTTTCAGATACCTTGAGTTCATCCAAACTCACACATACTGTGTGGAGTTCTTGTTGTCCGATTTTTTGCCCTCCACTAATTTTTTTATAAACTTCCTCTTGTCCCGAATTTTTTTCGAAATTCATCAATAATCCATTTTTTGTGCACAATTTGTTGACTTTTGTGTACAAATCCCCATGTTCCATTGCTTCACACAATCTATTCGGCGATCTTCAAATTTTTATTTGAAAAATGATGTTGAAAGTTTCAAACTCACATTTTTCTGTCTTTTTGAGGATAGCATTCGGAGTTCCAGAAAAGCATGAAAGCCAACAAAACGAGCATCATTTTTTTCTGGAAAAACGACAAGTTTGGTTATTTGTTTCAATTATTTTTATGAAGAAAAAGTTCGACTTAAGTAGAGAAACCAGCTAAAAAATATGGAAGTCCGCTCCGCCTATTTTGAAAGGAAATAGTGAAGGGGTGGAGCTATAGCAACTAAAAGTAGAGGATCAACTATTCTGAAAACAAAACACAGAAAAGTATAGCTATGTCGTCATAAACTCATTTGTCAAATTGAATTGGTAATATTTTAATATCTTTGAAACCAAGTTAACAAAATTACATGCTTTGGAACTTAAAAACTTTTCTGGGAAAATATTTTATGAAGGTTTAGATTATTGTATCAATATTATTCTAGATGGTCAAAACACAGTCAGAAATCATCTGATCTTTGAATTTAAAGAACATTGTTGCAAAACCACTCATTATAAATAATTTCTTTATCGTAGTTGTTTTTTTTTAGAAAATGAAGAAGTTAATTGAATGAGTTAATTAATGAAACTCTGAAAAAATACTTCAAGAAGATTATAGATATTATAGATAGAATCCATTACGAAGTTGCTATATTCGAAAAAAAACTTTTAAAATTTTTTTTTTCGAGTTTTCCGAGCGCATTTTCCGTTAAAAAAATCGAAATATTTCCGGCAGAGGCCCGTTTCAAAAAAGTACAGATGCTTGCTTTTTTTTAGGTGGTCTTTGCCCAGCAAAATTGTAAAAAAAATTAATCAAATAATTGTGCCTTCTTCGAACTTTAACCCAAAAAAAGTTCACAAACAAATGTGAGATAATTCAACAAGTGGATACGTCAAAAACGGATAATCCTTGTTGAAAACTTGTTAAAAATGTTTTTAAAAAACCATCAGGAATTTCGGAAATACTTCGTTTCGAAAAATCAAAGGATTGGGGAAAAAAGTTTTTTTGTAGAAAATTTTTGGGAGTTAGTTTTGAGAAAAAACCGGAAGTTGCAAAAAAGGAAGTTATGTTTCGGACCAGAAAAATTGAGGGCAACATTCAGGATGTATGATTGGTAACCGAAAACCACATTTGGTCTTTGGTTGGAAACATATTAAGCCGGTCGGAAGCAATTTTCTTAAAAATATAAAAAGGTTGGGGACTCGCTGAATAAATTGTGCCTATATTTTCTTAATTTTGACAGTTGAATGAACATTCCAAGACGTGATTATTCCATAAATCCTAATATACCCAACAAGCTTAAAATTATGAAGTTATGACGTGGCAAAATTGTTATTTTTGCCAAAAAATGGACTATTCGAGTACTGTAATTGTCTCCAGAGACCTTTCTAATATCACAGCATTCAAAAGGCTCTCCCTAAAAACTTTCAGCATTTTGAATATTCGCCTCCTGAACTTTTTGTATGGAATGACCGAAACAATTTAGAAAACATATTTTTCATCAGTTTTTTTTTTCTGATTGTGAATTAAAGTTTTTCAAATATATTTATTTGACAAGTTTAATTCCAGCCATAGGATTCTAATTTTCGAATTTCCCAACTTTTTTTTTTGAAATAAAACATTTTATGACAAATTCGATTTGCAGTTGAACAAACATTTTGTCTCGAAAGTTGAAACAAAAGTTATCGAAATGTATTCATAAAAATGCAAAATATTATTCTCGAAACAAACTATTTATTATGTCGTTATCAAAAAATGATATTGTTTGTTTCGCATTCCTGCCCAGTGTTCTCCTCTCAAAAAATTTCGAAATTGTTCTCGAATTTTCTGTGGGCGGCTTATTTACCCATCAGCTTATTTTACACATTTATATGTGCACAGAAGGACTCATTCTTGTATTTTTCTGTACACATTATTGACCCTACTAACTGTTTTGTTTTTTTTTCAGAAAATGGATCGTCGTTTTGCATCTCCACGTTCTCCATGGTTTTCCGCAAACCGACCATTTTTCGATGATTTCGATTTTGATCGCCATTTTACAAGACCGTATTGGGCAGATCAAACTATGTTAACTGGACATCGTGTTGGAGATGCTATTGATGTAAGTGCAACAATGAACGCCCACCTCGGTTCATTTCCCAAAGATACCAACTTATGTTAGTGAAAAAATTTCCCACCTGAGACAGGTCCTAGGTTTTTGAAAAAAAGGTCCATCTGGAATTATTGGGTGGAAAAAATTTGAGAACAAATTCTAACTCATTTCAAAAATATGTTGAATATTCAGTTCTAGTTTTTGATCTCCATTATAATTTTATCAAAAAATTTTTGATTCCAGGTAATCAATAACGATCAAGAATACAATGTTTCTGTCGATGTTTCACAATTTGCTCCAGAAGAACTCAAAGTAAACATCATTGATAATCAATTAATAATCGAAGGAAAACACGAGGAAAAAACCGACAAATATGGGCAAATCGAGCGTCATTTCATCAGAAAATACAATCTTCCTCAAGGAGTTCGTCCAGAACAAATAAAAAGTGAATTGAGCAATGCCGGAGTTTTATCTGTAAAATACGAAAAAACTGTGGAACCTCAACCAAAATCGATTCCAATCACAATTGTACCAAAATAGCTCCCTCCACTTTTTGCGATTTTTCTGAATGATTTAATTTAAGTTTTTCTTGCTGAATTAAATAAAGTTTATATATTTATTGGCATCAATAATCATATTCTCACCACCTCTTCTCTTTATAAATATTTCACGATTTCTGTCAATTGTTTGAAAAGCGGGACGAATAACAATTTTAACTTCCTTTCAACATTCTTTGTGCTTTTTTTCGGATAAAAAAATAAATCAAATTGAAACTTGAAACTAACTGTCAATTGAATTGAACACTTTCAAATGTTTCGTGATTTTATGCTGGTTCAAAATACTTTTTCGTACTCAGAGATTCGCTGGCCAGCTCGCCACTAGATCAGGACCAGGTGGCCGGAAAGTTCAAAACGAGCTGAATTTGATTCGGCCACCAGGTCGCCTTGAGTTTTCCGGCGACGTGGCCTGTGTGTTTGAAATCCTGGAAAGCTAGCAAGACGGTGGTTTGTACTCAAAATAGTGCATTTTTTTACTGTTTTTTTCACTTCCTAAGGTTCCTAGTACTCCGAAAAAACAGAAAATGAGCCAATTTCTTCTAGAATGCTCGGATACACAAGTTTTTTGGACTTTTTTCTCTTAAGCGAGACGATCTGGACGCGAGGTCGGCTCGAGCTGGACAATCTGGGCGAGGTGGTCTGCATGAACTGAACCACCTCGCGACCAGGTCGTCTGGTAAAAAATACGGGCGATGTGGTTGTCCGTGTCAATTTCAGATGGGCAGTCGACCCCACCTAGTGACCAGCTGGCCAGCGAATCTCTGAGTAGTGACCTGTGTAAAAAATAAAATAGAGAAAGTCCAGGACTATCGAAGAAGCTACATAACAATATTCTTGATAATTTTTTTTGCATTATACTTATTTTGCACTAGAAACTGATATATATTTTCGAAATTTCCCACAAGTTTTGAAATAACAAGGAAGTAAATAATTAAATGAAATGAATTTCAGATTGCCACGCTAGCATAAGTTCAGTTCACGTAAAAACAATTAATTTCGAATAATATTTTTTCCTCCCTCCAATCAAAATTTCAAAAAAAAATCCAGGAACTTGAGTTATTTTTCTCATAAAATGCCGTTTCTTACCTTCAATCGTAAATTGTCTTTTCCGGTATTTTTTCTTACTCAAACTCAAGAAAAAATAAAAATATAAGTGCTCTGATCTTTCACAACACATCTGAAATTGAGCAATTTTCGGTTTATTTCTGAAAAAAAGAAGTGAAATTCGAATTTCCGTTTCAATTCTCTTTAATCTCGAGTATGTTTGCTTCTTCAATTTTCTAGTTTATGATATTTTTTTTGATGTTGAACATCTTTTTTATTGAGTTATTCTGGTGGAAAATTGTGACTTTTAGTTTGGGCTTTTCGAATTTCGAAAACACTTTTTCTAACTGAATGTACAAGATATATTTTGTTAGTCATCTGAACTTCTAATACATATTCTATTCACAAAATTGCTCAACTTCCGCGCGAAAAATTGACTTTTTGTCCGAGACAAAGTGATTTTCGAGATTCTTGAAAAGCGGAGAGATTATACAAATATTTTCCACACATTTATGAACATCTCATATTATGTTTCGCATTCTCAAATTCATAAAATCCTAGATAATCTTTATCGAGCAAGTAAGTGCTCTATTTTTTTCAAAAATAAAACACTCGAACTTTCATTCCTTTATTTCTTATGAATGTTGTCACGTTTCCGTTCTATAGTTCTGCAAAAAATGACTCAATCAAATTTTCAAAAACTAGACTTGTAGTTATTTTTGTATTTATTTGTACTTTCTCATTTTCGAGACAAATGTCGAGATATACGCAATTTAGAAACAGAATTTATTATCTGGTTGAGAAATATTTTTTGATGATTTTTTGTTAAGGAAATACAATTTTGACATTATCTGTGGAATCAGAGTTCAAAACATGACCTCTGAATGATGCTACTCAGAGATTCGCTGGCCAGCTCGCCACTAGATCAGGACCAGGTGGCCGGAAAGTTCAAAACGAGCTGAATTTGATTCGGCCACCAGGTCGCCTTGAGTTTTCCGGCGACGTGGCCTGTGTGTTTGAAATCCTGGAAAGCTAGCAAGACGGTGGTTTGTACTCAAAATAGTGCATTTTTTACTGTTTTTTTCACTTCCTAAGGTTCCTAGTACTCCGAAAAAACAGAAAATGAGCCAATTTCTTCTAGAATGCTCGGATACACAAGTTTTTTGGACTTTTTTCTCTTAAGCGAGACGATCTGGATGCGAGGTCGGCTCGAGCTGGACAATCTGGGCGAGGTGGTCTGCATGAACTGAACCACCTCGCGACCAGGTCGTCTGGTAAAAAATACGGGCGATGTGGTTGTCCGTGTCAATTTCAGATGGGCAGTCGACCCCACCTAGTGACCAGCTGGCCAGCGAATCTCTGAGTTAGAGTATTCTGAATGTTTCTAGAACAATTATCTTTTGAGGCGTCTCCCAAATTCCCAAATTAAAGAATAAGTTCATTCTACTTTTTGTGTTAGAATTTTTGAAAATCCACACTTATCTCAAAGATTCTTCCATTGTTCTTTTATTCAGTTTTTAGTTTGTTGTTCAAACCAAACACTTTCGAACTTTTTTTGCACGTGTTCACTCAACAAAAAGTTTGCTTTGTTAGTTATTCCTCCTCACTTTTTTGTTGTTAGTATTGTTGTCATCTTTTTTCTGCGTATACGTGTTGTTATTCTTCGCCACAAGTGCTGAATTAATTAACTTTCCGCTAAACAAAAGATATTCCTTTTGTTTTTGATTTTCATCGAGTTCATATAAAGTGCAACGAATTCAATTCAATTTTTTACTGAATTCAACTTCAAGAAAAACAAACAAACAACATCTTCGTTTTTTGTTTATCTAGTTGCGACCAATGTAATTATTCTGCAAATCACCCAATTTCTCCTTCTCTGAAATTTCAGGAAAACATACACCGCCTTGACTGACAAAATTATTTTCTTTCGTTTGTTTTTTTCCAAGTTCTGTCAAAATTAGGTTTTCTTTCGGTAACGAATCGTGTTTTTGCTTTTATTTCATTTCCAATAAAAAACGCATTCAAATGATTTATTTTTGTTGAATAATTTATTTTTGGTGACACTGAAAAATAAACTTGACAAAGTTCAAATATCCTTTAAAAGGCCTGTGGATATTTACCGACTTTCTGAAAATGAATCCTAATATTTTTATTGGTTGTCTGAGAAATTGGATATTTCTATTTTGTTTTTTTCTATTTCTTTTCAAATTCGATGAATTTCGAAATGATTTTTGCTCATTGTCTTATTTTTTGATTTAGTTGTTGTTTTTATTTTGCTAGATTTTGCCAATAAGAGTCTTTTAAAAATTTCAAATTGCAGACTAAACCAAACTTGATAATTAGTTTAAACTTTGAATTTTTTTCTAGTTCTGCCCTATAATTTTTCAGATTGGGTTTTCCAACTGATTAGATAATATTTGATTGTTTTTATATTTTTTTTCGTATAAATTGATTGATCAATGATAATTAAAATTGACATTACTCAAATAAAGATCAATCTCAAAAAAAAAACAACTAAAAGGCTGGAAAAAATAAATATTTTCAGCGAACACATGTTTTGCTCATCATTAGCCTAACTAATTCTAATTTCATATCATTTTACAGGTCTCAGTGTTTTTCCTTTTTCTTATGCTCATTTTTTTGGTTTCTGTTCTGCTTCTTTAATATTTTTCCAACAAAAGCATGCTTTTTCATTTTTTTTTTCTCTGTGAAGAATAAATAATTACAACATTGCGGAAATTATTGAACTTTCAAAATCGCATGTTCCATTGTTCTTTTTTTTTCCTGTTTTGTGTTATACTGAAAATCTTGGAATCAGACAAATTTTTGAATAGGCTAGCTGACTGGATGAAGGAGGCGAGGGATTAAAAATTAATTATAGATTATTGTTTGAATAAAAAACGTTTGAAATAAAATGATCAAAAATTATACAACATGTTTCCATTGAATAATTTTTTTTGATTCATTTTTTCCCAAATGAATTTTTTGTACGTTTTTGTTGACCTAACATTTTTTGAATAATGGATTGAATTTTGAACATTTTGGATATTAATTTATTTTCTAATATTTCCTGTCTGTTTTGTCTGTTAGAAATGTTCAAAAAACACATCCAAAAATATTTCGACTCGAATGAAAAATATTATTTTTTTATTCTGAATTTTGGAAAATTTCATTTCTTTCTTTAATCATTGTCTGATCTTATGTTCTATTCTTTGAAAAATTCTCTCCGCCTAATCTTAAAATAAGGTTTCTTTCAAACGTTGAAACATCTCAAAATTATTTATGTCATCAGGATGATTTTTTGGTTCTTATCTGAAAGTCAGCTTCTTCTCTCAAGATTTTAATTATTTTTCTCACTCTCTACGTGTCTCTCATGTGTTTCTTGTCGAAAATATGTTATTTGTTTTTTTTCAGCAGAACAGCTAGTTACAGCAAAAAATAATGTATTCGGCAGTCTCCGGAAATAAGTTTTTCTGCGCTAATGTTCACAAGAATTGCTTTCATTTTGTAGCTATTTTTGACATATTTTTTGAGAATTGATAGTTATTGCAGACAAAATATTACTGTATAAGAAGAATCAAAACATAAATCAACCGATTTTCTGATTTTTATATTCTGAAAATGAAGTTCCAGGAACTTCCACTTTTCTATTTCCACCAAAAATCCAGCTGAATTTTATCCAAATTTTTTCCTTGTTCTTTGTCTCTTCAAAATGAAATAGCCAACTACTTATTTCATTCTGTTCTCAACTTCCTTTTTGTTTTTTTTTTCTTCAAATTTAAATTTTTCAGATTTCAATTTCCATCTCATTTGTTTCGCAAAATGGCAACTTTCTTCAAGGTAAGTCACGTTTCAGCTGTTTTTCATTTTCTTCAATTAAAAACGTCACAAATTCAAATTAACTCATTTCTTCTACCCCTCAAAATTGGGATTGGAGAAAAAGAAAAGGAAGTTAAGATGTCTAGATTTGCGAAAAATGTATTTTGGATTAAATTTTTTCTAGAAATGTCATACAATTTTTTTGGAATCGTTGATCAAAAAAGCAAAAACAATTCTCTAATGGGAAATTCATAACCAAAGTCCAACCAGATTCTTAATTCATAATATAATTAGAAACCAATTTACCGTAACCTAATGGTTTTTTAATAAAAAATATGATATCAGATTTTCGTGAGAAAATATCATTATTTTCCAAGTTCAAAATACTTCAAAATTAGAGCAATTTTAGGCTGTTTGTGCCACACAATTTTTATTAGCCCAATTTGAAATGTCTATAACAACTTTGTGATTTGAGCCAGAAATAGAAATCGTTTTTCTCTGTATTTTCATTTCATTTTTCAGTTTGAAGCGTTCTTTTTTTATTCGTTTCTCAAGTACATCAGTGTTATCTATTCATTTTCTCTGCACGCTTCATTGAAAATTGTGAAAACAAGACGAGAATAAATTTAGTTGCCGTCGTTTCAGAGTTCTTCCTTAAAAAATGGGAAAAATATTTTGGTAATTGAATTGGAAACTTCACGAAATTGCAACAACAAAAACTTATTATCACTAGAAATATCAACGAAAATAAAATTTGTTTTCTATAATTTTGAAAATTCTCATAAATGTCACGAGTTAAGAAAAGTTCAAAGAAAAAAATTATTTTTTTTTATTTGAAAAGGTGTTGAAAAAAAACTTCTGAAAAGATAACATTTCAAAACATAAATTACAATAACTTGCAAATTATGAGTTATGTTATTCTGGTCTTTACTTAACTATCTTTTTCCGGGTACAAAAAATATTTTCTTAATGAGAATGTCTTATTCAAAGTACTAACTTTATATTTTTGTTAGAATTTTTTGTATTTTGGTTGATATTCGATCAGTGAGAAGATTTGTTTTTCTATTTTTCTAACACGGCAAAAAATCTTCAAACAAAGAGCTCTTTTTATTTTACCAGACAGGCTACTAAATAAAAAAGGTGGTTGCTTCTGATATTCGAAACCTGATAATTATTTGCATTTTTCTGATAAAACGTCTATAATTATTTATTAGTTTTCAAAACATTTTCAACTTCAATTTCATGTTTGTTGAAAGAGACCGAAATTGATCTCATGTTATTTTCATCTTTTTTTCTCTTTTTTTTTGACAAATTATTTTCCATGTTCCATTTTTCTCTAGAATGTTTGATCTATCCATTTTCGAAGTTTTTGTGAACAGGTGAAAATATTCAGATAACTTCCAGTTTTTACCCTTTTATCGACTAGACTGGAATTGGCTCAATTTGGTATTTTTGAAAGAAGTACGAAGATCCATTTTTGAATTTTACAAAACTTTGTCTAATTTTTCAAATCTATTTCAAAGATTTCGTCAAATTTTAATCTTTGATTTTTTTCGTTTTAAATGCATAAAATGCTTTTCGGTGGCAATTATATGCTCAAAATGACTGGATAATTCATAGTTTACTATAAAAATGTTCGATTTTTTCTCGAAATTCTATACAGATACGTGTTTTTCTTTTGGTTTTCTCTTACAACCAATTTGGTTGGATCTTGATTGAATTTCCTGCTATACTTTACTTATTTAAAAATAAAACAATGTTTCAAAAAATGTATTTTTTGGTTGAGTTGTGTCTGAAGATTTATGCCTCCAGGGCAATTTGAACGACAACTTCCTTTTGGAACGATCAAACTATGAGTTTTGTCTTTAGGTATAAAATGTTTCCTAATTGTTTGAATGAAGCAGAAACTGACTTTCAGTCGTGATTCTTTCTTGTTTCCGGGAAAATTGAACCAATTGTCCATCTTTTATTCATTTCCTTCTCGTTTTCCAAACATCTTTTCATGTAGTGTTCGTACTTGTCTATCTAAAAAGCCTATCAAATTTCTACAAAATTTAAATTCCAAAGTTTTTTCTTCTTCTGTCAGTTTTCACTTCCAGGAAAAGAGAAAAATAGATTTTTCAATTTAAACACATTTTTCATCGTTGCCATTATGTTATTTATAGAATCTCTATTTTTGTGTTTGTTAGGAAGGAATACAAGAGATAGTCGCATTCCCACGATGATTTCGATAATCAAATATTTTGTTTTCCTCCGTTTCACCGAAAATTTATTTTGTTTACTTTTTTTCAAAAAGAAAAAAAGTTTCGAATGAATCAAGTCAAAGATCAAGCTTCCCCTTTAATTATGTTTCATCGGTCATTTTTTATGGCCAATTTTCTTAGATGTCGCGAAAAAGTCACAAAAAAAGCGAATCATTATTTGTTACGTTATTCTAAGTGCACTAAATGTTCAATATTTTATGATAATTATCTTGTCGCAACAAATTCTTCTTTCATCTGATCTCATTTTCTGAGCTTTTGACATTTCAGTTTGAAAGATAATTTTTCGCTATTCAAAAAAACAACGAACACACAAAAAATTGTACTCGAAAATCCAATTAATTAGAAAATGTTTTTGTGCAATTCACATTAGTTATTCCTGTTTTTCAAGAAAACTAGGTTTCAAAAATCACTATCAAACCTTTCTTCTCAGAATAAGCCTTATAAACTTTGCGAACATGAAATAGTCATTTTTTAATAGCTTCCAAGCACGCCAACACTTTTTTCATTCTCTCTAGATGATTTATTAGCTGTTGAATAACAATGAACGAATTATTTTTGCAGCTTTCATTTATTTTTCAAATGATTTCTCAAAAGGTTCATACAACAATTTGGATAAAAAACTTCGTTGAACCCGATAATCTTGAAAGCATAGAAAAATCTGGTGTTTTTCTTTTGTCCATTTCTTTGTTATACATTATTTTTCATCTATTTTCTGTGATATTTCTACGGAAAAAAATCTAATTTTCTTCGGGATCAAACAAAACCAAACAAGTATTATATATAAAACAGAATATTGTTTGGGACTTCTTGCATTTTTCTTTTCTTCTTTTTTCAAAAAAAGTAGTCCTTGTTGACATGTCAAAAACAATGTTCTGATGTTTTATTAGAAGAGTTGTTTTTGCATTTATTTTCACTGTCAAGCCTAATTTATCATAAAGATAGCCTTTTCAATAATTAAAAATTTCAAATTTTTAGAAATTAGAAAATCTTGATTCAAATCAGAATTTGTTGATGTTTCGTTATAAATAGTTAATGATATCACAAAATACTAATTCTTAAATGTTTAAAAAATCATCCAACTTCCGGTATAATAACACATATTTTTTCATCTAATTTGCTTATATTCATTTCCTTCAAAACTTTACATATTATGTTTTCTTATATTTTCCTTTTCTATTGGCATCTACACACTTTCTAAATTTTCTAATTTCCTTAGATTTTTTGTTGTTTTCATTATTTTTCTTACATGTTCCATAGATTGTCTCAAATATTTTTCTTCAATGAAATAAATTCATATCCATCCTAAAATATTATTGCAATCCAGACTCGCTTCACTGCTCTCATTATATTTTTAGATTTCAGAATTGATATCATTCTGTTCATAGTTTTTATAAATTTGTCACTGAAATCTCATTTTGATACCCCACTCAATGACGAAACAAAAATGCCGGCTGAACTATTTGCAACTCCGAAAAAAACACATTTTTTCATACTTCATTTCGACAAATAAAAAGTCCAAAGAATTTTTTTTTAATAAACCGACCCATTGATGAACTTTTCCACGTGGGTGAACATTCTTTCTCGAAAAAATTAGAGAGAAATAAAAGTTTTCCGAGGACCATTATTTATGTTCTTTTAAATGAGTTATTCAAAGTTGAGAACTTGATGGTTTTTCTTTTTTCTTCTGTTTTTGAGCTCATTTCTTTTCTTTGACCTTACATCCTTCATAAATTTTCCGAATAAAAAATTCAAGAAATTTCGAAATTGATTAACTTGGAAAAACTGAAAACAGCTGCATTTTCCTACTTTCCAGACTATAACATTCATTAAAAAATGAAAAAAAAAAAATTCTATGTTTTTCTGCTAAAGTTCTTCTATTTCCATTTTTCTACCACGCGTCTACAAAAATGTACTACAAACTGATACCAATTTTAATTTCCGCCCCCTTGGTTTTCTATGCTCCGCCCTTTTACAGCTGGCACACACAGACAAAATAGTTTTTAAAAAAATATCCAAACCTAATTCCATAAAGGTGAAAAAATGCTCTATCAGTGTGAAAAATTCAGCCAATGAGGGAGCTTTGAAAAATAAAGAAAACATGTTTTTTTTCAAAATTATATTTGCTGTGTCTTCTTATTTCTGCTACTTTTTTTTCAAAATTGTTCTATTTTTCAGACTCCCATGTCCATAGACGATGGACATGATTTTGACGAATGTCAAGAAATCTTCTTCACAAATGCCCAATTCATATTTCGATCCTATTTGTTTCCGTTCACTTATTTATTCGGTCTCATTTCAAACACTATTAATATTTTGGTGTTCACTCAAAAATCAGTGAGTTTTTCTATTTCTCAGATACATTTTTAAGTTGAAAATGAGAATAACTCATTTTATGTATGTTGTATATACTGTATTCCACTCATATCCTATTCAATTTCATTTTTTTCTCATCAAATAATTCCAGATGCGGAACCAACCGGTCAATTGGTTTTTCTTGGCTCTTTCCGTGTCAGATCTCATCACTCTTGTCTCATCATTTTTTGTATTTTCGGTTCCGGTTTATGCAGAAACATCAGGCGACACGGGTTAGTTGTCACATTTTTTTCATTCCTTATTTGTATTATTTTTTTGAGAAGGACAACAAAAGAACCAAACTATGTAGATTATTATTAAAAATTTATGAATTTCATGTCGTGTCTAGAAAGACCAAGAAAATTTGTGTTGAGAAATGTCATCAAAAATGTAATATCTTTTTTTCTATTTTTTAATTAGTGTTGGTACAAAAAATGATCACGAATATGAGTAATGTGAGAACAAAAAAAAGCAAGGGAACATTGTATGTTTTTTGCAGAATTCATCAAACTATCAGTTCATCTAATTGCTTGGTTTTATCCATTGGCTCAAACTGGATTAACAATGTCTGTTTATGTGACAATTCTTGTATCGGTTCATCGTTATTTAGGAGTTTGTCATCCATTTTTGGTAATTTCAAAAATAGTTTTGATATTTACAAATCATGAATTATAGATTCGTCGAATTTCGAACTCAACAGCTGTTAAAAGAATCATAATTGCTGCTGTCGTTTTTGCATTTGTTTTCAACACAAGTCGCTGGTTCGAACTTCACTCTATGGCATGTTATAGTAAATTACATCAAGCGTGAGTGTTTTTTCTATAATTTTGTATCAGAGTACATTTATTTTTTGTTTCAAACAACAAAATAGTTTGCGTTAATCCAAAAGTGTGTTTGTGACACTTTGATTTTGAGTCTCTCGAAAAAATAAATTTCTCACGTTTCAATTTCTCATAATTTATGCCATTTCCTGATTGACTTTGATCAACAGAACACTATTTCGAATAAAGGAACAAAATAAATAAATAGATTTCAAAGATCTATGCAAAAAATGCTTGCTCCAAAAGAGTACATCGATTTAATCGAATACACTTTAGAAGTCTGTGCACTTTTTTTTCCTAGACCGGAAACATCTTGCTATTTCTAAATTACAGGAACTCTTCTGCAATCCAACCCACCAGTCTGATGATCAACAATGTTTATACTTTGATCTACCGTAATGCCGCATATCAAATTGTCATGTTTTTCTTGCCTTTTGCTGTTTTAACCTATGTTAATCTTCGAATTATTGCAACACTTCAACAATCATATAAGTAAGTTTAGAAAGTGGAAAGAAAATGAATCGAAAATTCATAAACAGATTCAGAATGAGACGTGAAATGACAACTCCTCGTGTCAAAAAAGATTCAACTGTTCCAATTGCAACTGAAACTGTTTTGACTAAAATCGAAGGATATTCAACTGTTGTAGCTGTTGATAATAATAATACTGCTGCTGCCCAAAATGGTGAGATAAACAAAATGTGGTGTAATTCTCAATTGTAATATATTTTCAGATCGAAAAGAAAATGGTGTGACTATAATGTTGGTTGCAATCACAACTGAGTTCTTACTTTTTAATTTAATTGCTTTTGCCAACAATATTATTGAATTGTCAAATATTCGCATCTTCTTTCAAGATGTTGAGACTTTATTAGTTGAAGTTTCAACATTTTTGGTAAATGTGAATGGAGCATCAACAATAATTATTTATTTGATATTTGGAAGTAAATACCGAGCTGTTTTTATGCGGGTGAGTTCAATGAGAGATTATTTTGGAAATAATCAACAATTTTGCAGCTGATCCAAAAATATCTTCGAATCAAAACCTGTGAAGACAAAAAACGTCCAATGTATTCTCAAGCACATTTCGAAACTACCCAACTTCTTGAAAATTCTCGTCTTGATTTGAATCGTTCGAAACAAATGAGCGTTTTACGTCGAACGGATATCACATCAATGAGAAGTTCAAGTCGACGAGAATAATTGTCAAAGATCAATTATACTTTTTTGTTCGGGTTGTTTTTATGCGTGTATTTTTGTGGTATTTTTCATATATTATTTAGGTAACAATAAATAAAAAATTATATTATTTTCCCCATGTGGCCTTGTTTGTTATAATATTTTCGATTCGCGAAATATGGCTCAAAATATTTCGGATATTTTTGAAGGGATCAGAATTAAAAAAAAAACTCACAAATTCATATTTCGCAATTCCGAACAATGATTTTTTGCTTTCCTTGAAGATTTCAATCGCTGTTCATATGAATCCCGATTTCCATTAAGAAGCGACCAGTTTTCAGATTTTGAATAAATCTCGCAAACTGAGGCATAACTGAAACATAAATATTAAATAAATTTCGAATTCCCAAAATACTCACGTTGTCGATGAATTTGTCGCAATTTCGAAAATTTTCTGATTTTTCGAAATTCTCAAATTAATTCGATACTCATTGAGTTGCCAATTTAATTTCTTTTCTTCGTCAAGTTTTTCTTTTTCCAAAATGTTTCCTCCAGATTTTTTGCTTAATTGAATGATATCCGGACGATTTCCTATTTTGTCTTCGATTTTTGACTGAAAATGCAATATTCACAATTATGAAGAAATTTTTCAAAAACAAATTTTGTGATGATTTTTTTGAACTCACAAGATCACAATATTCGATGTCAGTCAAACTCAATGGTATTCGATTCATTGCACAATCTTTTATCATTTGAAACATTTTAGGAAATTTCAAAGTCGATTCATAGATTCCAATATATAAATGTGATAACTTTATGAAAATCAATCCAGTTTGAGATGAATCAAAAGCAGCGTCATGATAATTATATTCATCCAATTCACCATTTCGAAGATTGTTTGGAATCAATTGGTGATTTTTCGAATTTTCAAAAAATGTTGAAAGACTTTCGAAACTATTATCATCTAAACCATATTCCATAAGAACTTGTCGCACTTTCTCAGTTTTTGCAAAATATTTTGTGTCGAAGATGTATGGCAGTTTTGAATGGAGAGATTTTTTGAAAACCTCATATGATTCTGAAAACAAAAATATTTACTTTTGTCAATAAAATTAAAAAAAACTCAACCTGGAAGTTTTTCAATAAAATAATGGTGAATGTACATCAAATCAATAAAACAATTATGGCCAACAATCGGAATTTTCGAATTTAGAATCATCTCTATTATAAGTGTAACTCCCAGAATAATATTTTCAAAATCATTTAAATGATTTCTAGTTTTCTCGTCGACCTTTTCAATATTTAAAACATTATTTTGAACTGTGAAGTTGAAATCTGTGTAGATATTCTTCAATTTCGTAGAAATAACGACCATTTCCAATTGACTGAGATTCTGCGGAATTTCGATTTCGAAAGATGATAAAATTTTGGAATTTTCAATAAATTCACACTCAATGATAAAATATTCTGGACAATCGAATGATATCATATTTAGTTGATCTCTGTTACAATACTGGATGCCATTTATAAAAACCTAAACACTAAATTTTTCTCGGAAATAAAAAAGAAAACACAAACATTTTCCAAGTCGAAATTGTTATTTTGCAGAAACTTCAGAGCGTCTTTTTTAATTGTTATATCATTCGAACCACCAAACTGTTGATATAAGGGAATTGAATATGTTTGAGTTTCATACGATCCATCCGAATTCTGTGAATAACACGATAAACCAAGTTGACAAGGTGCATATCGAGTGACAGATTTTCTCAATTTATCATAACGTTGTGATGGGCTATCAAATAATGTCGACTGTGATTGGTCGAGTCCGAGAAATTCGAAATCAAAAGCTGCAAAAAAAACAATAGTTATGAACATAAAATTTAAAAATCTATTGTCAACTCACCAATAAAATCGGAATTAACTATAAAATTCTTGATTGTCGGCAAAACCTCCAGAAAATTTTGTTGCGTTAAATCTATTTGCATTTTGATGATAATTCAATAATTCTGAAAATCGAAAATGTGAACAATTTTCGTGGAATTCAAAAAAATTGGGCGCCGACGTGGATGTCCGCGTGAAATTATTTTATTTCTCATGGTCTAAATTTCTAAAAATGAGCCGATTTATATGTTTTTCTAAACATTTTTCGTCGATACGGTAATATAAAGTCATAAAAATAGGTCTGAAATAGGCGCGTTCTTTGTCCTGGGGACCCTAGATGAAGTTTGAGATATGCATAAATACGTAATTGTATCCCTTTCCTTAGAAAAAGTATAGTAGAAGTCTCTAAAATTTGGTTTTCACACAGGAAACGAGAAAAAGAAATTGCTGTGAGACACCAAAAAAATGTATGCGCCTTTGATTTTCCACCTATAATTAGTTTGAAAGCACATTTCAGTAACAAGTAAAACGTTTTTCTTATGTATCGCGACGAGACGAATCAGAAGGCATAAATATTCAGTTTTTCTAAAAAAAATGCCTCGAGGCTAAAATGCTGAAATTGCGCCGAAACCACCCCCTGGTGTGTAAACACCGCGACGCACAAACGCACAAATAACGCACCGTAGTAAAGTTTTTTTTTTGAAATTTCACTCTCGCGCAAAAATGTTTTCATGCACTTGTCTGCTCTGATCAGAGAATTTTGAATAACTAAACGACTAGTGGGCCCTGTGCAGAAAGTGTTATTAAGCGTATCCCTTTGAATCTGATGAATTTACTTTATTGCAGAACAATTTTAAGAGTTCCCGAGCTAAAATCCCATATAAAACGAATCTACTTCAAATGTCTGTGGTTCCTTAGACATTTGATAACTGCTTAGGTTACAAAAACTCAATCCGGGTCCCCAATATCCCGATTTCCGGGTTCCCCACGTCGTGCCACCACACAAATTCGAGGAGACGCAGACATTCATTTTCGGTTAGAAAGTCGCTGCGAGACCTCAACACATCAAAGGGCGATGCCGACGGGGTCTATAAACCCAGCGACAAATTCAAAGGGCGATGCCGATGAGGTATATAAACGCAGCGACAGACGAAAAACCGGCGCGGCCAAGCGCTATGTTTTGTGTGTGTCTGCTTGTCTGCTGTCTCTGCGAACAGTGCAATATATCGCCCGAGGGGAAGGAAAGGCGAGAGATGTCTCTGCCTGTGTTAAAAGTCTGCGTCTCCCAGAAATTTGATTTTTGTATCGGCTGGCATAGCGTGATCCCAATGAAAAAAAAAGAAAATTGAAATGAGTGTACAACAGAGCGAGTTTGCTGCACTTGGCAAGTCGCCAGTGTGCACGGTTGCGTCATGGTGTTAGCTCACTAGTCTGGAGGTGTTTGCGGTTTTGGGAGAGAATTTATTTCACACCCGTTCAAACAATGAAAAAATTAGAAATTTCGTTTATTCACACTGCGCCACAATTTTCAAAGGACTTTGATAACCAAATAGAAAAAGTAAATATACCATTCGAATCAGCGCATCGAGATCTATGTGAGACTACGCATTTCGAAATTTTTAGGGTCCTGCGAAGAAAGTTAGCAATCGCGACAAGACCCAACGCATAAAATTTATCTTGCTCCTTTAATACTGTAGTGCGAAATATAACGGCGAACAGAGAGAATTAGACAAAAGTGTTTGCACAGTTTTTTGTTTTGTTTTACAGTAGAAAACACTCATTGCGTGGCTTGAACGGGTGTGATTTTTTGCGTTTTTTTAAAGGGAAAAATTGATTTCCTGGACTAAATTCTAGCGCGCAAACTCCTTTTTGCTTTTAAACGAATAAAACTTACAAATGTCCAGTAAAATTTCAACTAATTTCTTGGCGGAGAAAAACCCCGCGAACAGTTCGCCATTTTATTTCCCATATTACTGCGCAACCTTTCTGATATCATTCCAATTATTGTCGTTCAATATTCTCTGTGTTTACCAACACTTTTACAATGACAAAAGAAAACTCGCTCTACCGAACAATGTTTTTTTATGTCACATTCCATTGCGAAATTTTGAATGACGCATCGTTTTCATTATTCTGCTCATATATAAACTCTACCTTTGTCATTTCCTTGAATTAATTTCATAATTTTTTAGATATGTCGATCAGTTGGGGTGCACAATATCCAAAGCTCAAGACAAACTTACGGTTAGCCATAAATCGTCTTCAATTGTTAGGAAAGAAAAAGACGGAAATGGCTATGAAGGCAAGAACTGAAATTGCTGATTATATCAGTGCTAATAAACCAGATCGAGCTCGAATTCGCGTGGAACATATCATCAGAGAAGATTATGTTGTTGAAGCTTTTGAGATCCTCGAAATGTATTGTGATTTACTTTTGGCGCGGTTTGGTCTTATCGAGCAAATGAAGTAAGTTCTTATAGTTTTTCTAGATGTATAAGCAAAACAATGGGTTTAGAACGCTTGATGATGGTATTGCTGAAGCTGTTATTAGCATTCTATGGGCAGCACCTCGTCTAGCTACTGATATATCTGAATTCAAAACAATCAGCGATCAACTGACTGTCAAATACGGAAAACCATTTGCTGAAGCTGCGCGTGCAAATCAACTCGAATTCCCAGCGAAAGTTAATCCAAAACTTGTTGCGAAACTTAGTGCCGCAGCTCCACCAAAACTTCTTGTTGAACGATATTTGATCGAAATTGCGTCGGCTGCTCAAATAGCATTTACTCCAGATCCCGATGTGATGAGAGAAGACGAAGTTCATCAAGCCGAGCAAATATTAATTGATTTTAAAAATGCTGGAGGAGCAGGACTTCCACCACCACCACCGAGCAATGTTAGTTACTTTTACATTGAACAAAATGTTCACATTCATTTTTATTCAGAATCCATATGGAGGCGGGGGTATTCCTCCTCCACCACCAAGCAGTGGAGGTGGCGGAAGTGGATATGGATGGTCATATGACGGAACTCCCATTCAACAACCACATCAAATTGGAGCTGGAGTTCAACAACCTCATCAAGTCGGAGCTGGAGTTGTTCCTTCAGTTGGTGGATATGGAATTCCTCCAAGAGGTAAGTCAAGCATGTAACTATTAATTTTGCATGAAAAGTGTGATTCTAATCACTTTTCATGCTATTAGTGTTTTTATTAGAAAAAAAGTTTAATTCCATGTGTTATAGACGACGAAAATATTTATGATATACCATCAACACCCGGTATGTTAGAGCTTTGTTATGCTAGAATATTTTAGTGGTTAATGCGATTAATCATTTGTGATGTATTTTTCTTTAGTTATTGAATGTGGTTTTGAATCTATCCTTTCAGTTAATTCGCCTATCCTGACCTCCTACAAAACAAACATTGAAAATAGTTTTTTTTTCAGGAAATATTTATGAAGTCCCCGCAAGAGATAATTATGATTATCCACCAGATGCATATGAACCATCAGGACAAGTGTAAGTTATATTCAAAAACATTTCATCGTGTATATTTATGTTTTCCAGAAACAATCCAGGAATAATCAGTTTGCCAAAAATCGGTCCAAATGGTCTCCCAGTGTATTCTGCCAATGCTCCTGTACCAGCAATTCCACCACAAGATAAAGCATATCCGCCATTATCACAAAGGGTCAGTACTTTTTGAAAATTGGAAAATTTATTTGAAGTGCTGGGAAATTTAAAAAGACAAGTGAATTTCTCACTATAGAACTAAAAAAATCGAAGTTAAATGTTCCTCCCTCACATTTTTGTGATGCGTTGTTTTTTTTCAAACATATCCTCTAGCTCTACATAAAAATAATCTGATCTACTCAAACAATCACAAATCTAGTGTTCTTTTTTCTTCCGTGCTTCTTCTTTTGTCTTTCTTTTTCTTCTTCGTTTTTTTCCTTTTCCATGTGGTTTTTCTCGTTGGCTCATCTCCCAATGGATTCATTTTTTCTCGACATTCTGGTGAATGTGTGTTTTGACGATAGGAGTAATGTTTTTTTTTCTGTTCAACTCCTCAACTCTTGTTTCCTCTTATTTTTTATTTTCTATTAGTGATGTGTTGTTGGCTGACAAAGTTGATTGATCAGCTCGTTTGGCAGACTTTGGCTGATTTTTGATGTGGGAAATAGAAATATCAAATTTCGACTGTTTGTTTTTTTTTCACAGAGGGATGGATCATGAGCAATTTTTATTGTTTTCTTTTTTGTTTCAGATAATTTAGTTTCAGCTACCACTTTTTTAAAGATTTTCCAATAGCTTTCTTTTCAACTTGGGAATTCTCATATCTCCTGAAATTTTGAGTCGAACATAAGTCATTTGTTAACATTTTGCACGAGGATTTTGCACAAGGAACTTCTGGGTTTGAACATTCTCTTTTTTGTTTATCCCAATGGTAATGTAACAGGTTTTTTTCTAATTTTGAGTTTCCACTTCCATCCGTTTTTTATTCCAAAACATTAAGTTTTGTAGTCATTTCGTAATTTCGAAGTCTGAACTAATAATTCTTCTAATATTATAAAGGGAAAAACTTCATTTAAAGTTTTATTGGTTGGATTTTTTTCTAGGCACGAAAAGAACTTTTCACAGACTTTTATTCGTATTCCAAGTGTTCAATTAATTTTATTTTCATGCTTTCATTCTTTGAACTTTGAACCACCAACATTTTCTTTTTTTTCCATTTTTTTTTTTTGCTTGATTCTCGTCGTCCAATTTTTTATTCGGAACCAATTGGATTTAGCAATTTTGTCAACCATAAAAACGACATCATCTCAAAATTTCGAATAAAATTGAATGAGATAATATTCGGAAAAACAGTGATTCTCTATTTTTATTCTTCTTTTTTCATATTATTTATGGGTTACTGTAGATATGTTAAGGGCGTGGCTAATTTTGCTGTTTTGCTCAAAGAAAATTGGATCAGTAGCCTTCTTCTTCTATTTTCTTTTTGGTGTTTCCACAGCTTTGTACTTTATTCCATTGAAAAAGGGAAACGAGAAAGAAGATTGACTTTTGTTTTGATGTTTTTTCGCTTTTCCAATTTCCTTCTATGGGAAACTATTTTTCTAAAAAGCTGATTTTGCTTGACTTCTATTTGATTTTCTTTTTTATTTGAATCGTGTTTCATCGTTGAAATATTCATGATTGCTCTCTTGGGAATCGTTTGTCTTTTGCTCACATAATTTTTCTTTAGTTTGAAAATGCTTCTTCTTTCGAGAACCAAGACGTTGACAGCAGCCGAAGGTCGAAAAAAATCGAAAAGTGTTAAAAGATGCGCATCTTGTAAAAGATCGTCAAGTTCTCGACGATCAAAAACACCTGATCCAGGATGTCATGAAAAAGTTGAACAAAAAAATGAAAAACATAAAGGTTCCAAGGTATCAGGATATAATTTTGCAAACACTTCTTAACGAACTTTTTAATGTTTAATTTTTTCCAGAACTCTCTTCTTCAACCATCTGTTCCATCAAACAATCCAACTGCTCCACCACAATCAATTCGAAAACCTGACAATTTGGATGGTAAGTGCATTTTTTTTTCAAGTTTTCAGTCATAAATAACAAATTTGGCCAAGCTTGAATTTCTGATTTATTTATTTCTCAAAAAGCGAATTTTTTGCAGATTTAAACTTCCCTGAACCACCAACTACATTTGTTGGAGGACCAAAAGGACCATCTTCTGGGCCACCACCACCTGGAGGATCAAATGGAGGTGGAGATTTGGATTTTGATGATTTGGCCAAACGATTTGATGCGTTGAAAAAACGAAATAATTGATTGATAATCTGCTTTTTTCTTATTTTATCGCATCACAGAATTTTCTCTTACTTTTTTAATGTATATTTTTGTGTAAAAATTGAAATTTATTTGGCTAAAGTATTTTGATTTGTTCATTGAGTTGAAAGGGTGGCCTAGAAATCCAAATATTTTCATGTTCGTCTTTTTTGTGTGCGCACACAACAACAACAACAACAAAACTCTGTTCAGAATAGACGTCTGTAAAGGCTGGAAATGAAACGATTCGACGCGGTAGAGTTAGGAGAAACTTCGTCTTCTTATTTCGTAAGTTATATTTTACAGAGAAAATTTTTGTAAAATAAATGTAACAGGAAACATCATTCACTGATTCTCGACCATGTCAAAAGGATGTTCGTGGTCATACGGGATGTGTTAACTCGATATCTTTATCGAAAAATCAGCAATATTTATCGAGTGGCGGAGATGATATGCACACCTACATTTGGCGGGTAAATGATATGATGGTTGAAAGAAATCCGAAACCAAGAGCTATTATGAAAACTTTGCACGAATCAAATATTTTTGCGACCGAGATTTCAAATGAGTAAGTTTTATAATGAAATTCGAGGAGACAACCAAATTTTTGTCTCTATTTTCAGCAACAGAACAGTTTATTCTGGTGGTAGAGATGATGTTGTTTATAGACATGATATTGAAACTGGAGAATGTTTGAAAACAGATATTGATGTCACTCAACATATTGATAAAAATGTGCATTGCATCAAACAATGTGTAAGTTTTCTTTGTGGAAAATAATGAAAATTGTTTTGAATTATTTTTCAGAGATCAAATGATAATACAATCTCAATAACAAGAGGTTCGATTGTTGTCACTTGTGATACTCGATGCAATGACAAAGTATTAATTTGTAAAAGTCCACGTGACACATTCCATAATAGCGATTTCAATCCGGATACTTGGTATCTTTTTCTAACATGTTCTCTTGAAGAAGGTCCGCTTATTTACGATTTAAGAAATCTCAAAAAACCGGTAAACGAAGGGGAAAGACGATTCTACGGTGAAAGGTTTTTCTCGCATTTTGAGAAATATCCAAAAAATACATATTCAAAATGGAGTCCATCGGGTAAATCATTTGCATCTCTTCAATCGAGACATTCTCCTATTTATTATGATGTAAGGTTTTTTTGTTATTTTCCAAGTGATAATAAATATGAGATAGTAAATTATAGCTCAATGCTCGAGTCAATCATATCTGTAAAGACGAGGATTATATGAATGTGCACACTATGAAATCAATGGCATTTTTGAATGAAAGAACAATTGTAACTGGAAGTGATGAAGGAACTATTTTTATTTGGAATGTTGATGAAGTCGAAAATTCAGGTATGGATATTTTTCATGAAAAGGTGTGAATGAAAATTTTCAAATTTCACGCTTCACAATTTTTTTGCAAGAACTGTTTCTGTGCCTCTAGGCGAAACTGTTATAAAAATCCTCAAAATTTTATAATTTTGAAGAGAAGAAAACCCATTTTTTCTAATTTTTTCATCATTTATAAATTTTAAAAATGATTAGGTTTGCACGTAGGCATTCATGGTCAAGTGGTACCTGACTTTGCCTTCAAATCTAATTGTAAGCATTTTTGACGAGTTAGATTCCCAGCCAAAACATTTTCCAAATTAAAAAGCTATGTATAATTTTTAAAAATTCCTGAAGAAATGGTAAATAAAGAAAATATGAAAAACAATTTGAATATAATAGAAATAGCATACTTACGGTATTTAAGAGCTTATTTTCACGCTGCACAAAAGTTTTGGGACATTCTCTCTCCATGTGTGTTTGGTATTTTCTAAAGGCATGGTTTGTTATAAAATTATTGTCTTCTTTAACAGATTCCCCGGGTGATTGTGATTATTTCGAAACGAAAACTATAAACAGATCAACAAAAAAACTAGTTGGTCATCGATCTATTCCAAATCAAATAAGATATTGTGAATCAAGCCAAGTCATATTTTCAAGTGGTGTTGAAAATTCGATCAAATTGTGGTCGATGAAAACTTTGCCATATTCTTATGATGAACCATTTATTAGACGAAAACGAGATGATTACATCACTGTTGAAATGGAAATTGAAAGAGAACAAAGAGAAAGAAAAGAAATTGAAGATGCAATTGGAAAAGAAGGAATGGAAGGAAGAGCAACTTGGGATGATGTGTTTGGTGGAAATCCAATGACTTCAGAATCAAGAGACACTTGTGAATTATTTGATGCACATGTATCGGTTTGTTTTTCTTTATTTTGAAATAATCTACTTTTTCTTTTCAGCAAAGACATTTTTTCCTGGATCATAGTGATGATGATGATAGTAGTAAGTTTAAGTTTCCAAAAATGAAAAAATACTATGATTTTTCAGTTGAAATGCACTTGGAAAATATTCGTCGTCGATTAATTGGAGTAAGCGATGATAGCGATGAATCGGATTCTGATGCATCTTCTAATTCTGAACCGGTGAATCGAAGACGAAGAATAATGGCGAATATATTGAATGAACTTCTTGATGAATTTATGGATTTTGATGCGGAAGAAGACGAAGCTGGAGAAGATGATTTTGATGATATTGACGAAGATGATGATGATAATGAATCAATCAATAATGAAGGTGGAGATGAAGATGCCGATTCCGATTCGGATGGCGAAGATGATATTTTCGATGAAGAATCGGATTGAAAAAGTTATGCTTTTTTGTACAACTTTGTTGTATATATGTATGTATCCACTCATTCTTGTTTTTGTTTTGAATTTTAATGATTGTTTTTTTCTGAATATAATGAATCTGTTCTGTCTAAATTTCAGTTTTTTTTCGTGTAGGAAGTTGATGTTTCCTTGACTATATTTTAAAAATCTTTCTTATTTTTCAGTGGATGTTTCAATAATATATTATTTACTGGTATTGCTTGACTTTCGAAGTTCCAAAATGTTTTGAATGATTCGATATATTCATAGGTTAGTATTTTTTATTTGAGATGAAGAAAGAGTGATATAAACGTTTATCGGATTATTCATGTTGAAATAATTGAATTGGAATAATTTTTAAACGATTAAGTGTGTGGCAAGTTCAAGCTTTTTAGATGACTTTGACTTTCAGAATTGAATTCTTTTCCCAATTCCATCCACGCACTTTTTTGTTCATCTGTCAAACTTCCACTTTCTTCCAAATATCCTGTCCAAACACTGAAGAATGCCTAAAAATCCACGGATTAGTTTTATTTATGAAAATTCAAATTCTGAGAAAAACTAACCATCCAAAGAGCTGGATCCATTTTATAAATTCTATGCCGATTTATAGTTTCTCTAACATAGGCTTTGAATACTTCTTCATTGTCGTAAACATTTGCAATCAAATGACAAGCCAATAGAAGACGTTGTCCTTGTTTTTCAAATCGTTCACTTTTTTGAACATCTTCCGCTGTGTATTTTTCAGCTCCTTTGAAATAAACACGAAGATCAGGAAAGTTAGTGAAAAAACTGAAAAGTTTTAAGTTTTCCAAAATTTTAGTATCAAGTATTGACTTACTATTTATAAAATCCTCGTCCGGATTCAATATTTTCTGGAGCAGTTCCAACCATTTTTTCTTCCAAAGTTTTCACACAAATATCACGAATTTCTTTGCGAGTACGAGACATTCTAACTAGAAAAAAAGGGAAGAGAATGAAAATAGAAACGAATTGAGTGGTTTTATAAGTAAGTCGATAATTACTCGACGGCCTTTGGTCAAGTAGAGAAAAACAAGAAAATAGTGGAAATTATTTTCTACTTGAAAGTCAGAATAGAAAATGTCTTAATGAGAACGCAAAAATTGGAAGATCAAACCATCATTTTTCAGAAATTTCAAGGAATCTAAGACCTTGATCTAATGATTTTTCCACAAAAACAACATATGTTATCTCAAAACTCATCGTTGTATTATTATCAAATATATTTGTTGTTTCATTGAACTTTACGTTTGCAACACCAATTCAAACTTTTAGACAAAGTCTTTCGGATCCATCATTTATTTTTTATCTGCATAGCGATTTCCAAAGTACATTCTCATTCTCTGTTGTTTCTGCCAGCAAAAATATTTGAGAAAAAAATGACCCCTCGTGACACAGAGCAAAGAACACTCAAATTGATTGTTCGCTTTGAGAACATAAACGAGAAAAAGAAGTTTGAGAAAAGATATTTATTTATTTGAACACGTGATCAGTCGACCTTGATTGCATCTTTGATTTTACACTTCTTATTCAATTTATCTGCTCAATACGATGTGTTTTTTCTGCAAAATTGAAAGGTTCAATTTTCCATGGTTTTTGTGAAAAAAAAAATTCCCAAAAATTCTAGGAACCTTTTTTCGGAATTTTACGACCTGCTGAAAAGTTGATGAATTTTTTGCAGAAAGTTAATTTTCACTGGAATTTTCCCCCGCATAATTTTTAAGTTTATTTCTGTCGAACAAATCTATTTTTTATATACTCTGAAAATTTTCCACGCAGATCTCAATGTTCCACTTTTTTAGTTTTAGTTCTTATTAATCTCAATTTTTTCATTTCACAGTGATTAGTTTAATAAGTACATTGTTTTACAATTCAAATCAAATCAAAACATAAACACTTTCAATTTCTCCTTTTCTTTTTCTATTATTTTTGGTTATTGTTATTGATACCCTTTTGTGTAATATTTGTGTACTTCGTCCTTTTTATTTTTTTTATTATCAAAAAAAACTTGATGAAAAAAGCACAAAAAATGTTTACCGAAAATTTTTTAGTGTAAATTTTGTGGACTTTAAGGAGTTTTGAACTCTGGAAAATTTGAATTTTTCAAAATTGTACCCCCAACAAGTTATCCGAGGTGTAGAAAATATTTATGTTAATTTATTCGCATTTTCTGACATGAAAACAAAATGACACTGAGATTTTTTTGAATAATATTTTTCGGAGTTCTCATTTCCAAAATCACTGATCATCGAATAAAAAACCGTATCAGAAAAAACCGTATCAAAACCGTATAAACAATGTGGAAATAGTGACAAGTTCTTTGATAGATAAAAAAACGATAAAAAATGAAAATGACCATTTAATTGGGTTTGAACTTTGGCTGAATTTAAAAACAACTTTGTTTTATTTCAGAAAGTGGAAAATTATAATTAACAAAATAATTCGATAAGTTACATTTTATACATCTGAAGTTCACTGTACTGAATAAACGGAGGTTTTATCAACAAAGTATGTAGTATTGAAAAATTGTAAAGATTGAAATTTGAACCTGGGACAATCAAGTTTTGTTGTGGCGGCTCACTGCATTTCAAACAAACAATCTTGATCGTCGTCCGTCAGTTGATCATATCAAAGTAGTTTTTTCTCTGTCTTCTTTATTTCTCTTGTTTTATTTCTTTTCTCTGATAAGAAACCCGAGGACACTAACAAATATCTTGTTGTTTTCTGTTTTTTGTATTAATGGGTTTCTCGCTTACCGTACGTATCTTATCACAAAATTGTGCGTTTTCAGTATTTTACCCTCTCAAAATCATGTTGTTTTTTTCTTATTTCTAGATTATTAAAAAGGTAGACATAATTTTCTCCGAAAAAAACACGTGCTATCTTGACCTCAAGAATTCTTTTCCATTTTTTTTATCAACTAGATGTTTGTAAATTGAACTCGAGTTAAAAGAAAGAAAAATAAAAATTGAAGAAAAGCTTATTCAGAAAATGAATAAATTTTTCACGTTCCACGTGTTTTTTTTTGCCACATAATTCCACGTATCTGTGACACAATCTGGACGTGGTTCAGTTGTTTTAGTCAGTTCAAGAAAATTGAATAATTCCAATTGGTCGCAGTCTACAAAACACCTCCACTTCTAAACAACAAGTAATGCCCATATATTCGTATTCGATAGCTATAGATATCTCGGTTGTCCTTTGTTTTTTGCCACGAAAATCCAGCTAAAACTTTTGAAATTTTCAGCGAAAATGCGGTTCTCCCGCATCTCAACACTTTCCAATGTTCTCAAAGTCAACAATCAACAACATCGATTCGCCAGTTCGGTGATTAAACCGAGAGAATTCAAAAAAGTCATGGTTGCAAATCGTGGAGAAATTGCAATTCGTGTATTTCGTGCATTGACAGAATTGAACAAAACATCAGTTGCTATTTTTGCCGAACAAGTAAGAAGGATTCTAGAACTTCTAACATAAATTCATATATTAATTATTACAGGACAAAAATTCAATGCATCGTTTGAAAGCTGATGAAGCATATTTGGTTGGAAAAGGATTGCCACCAGTTGCAGCTTATTTGACAATTGATCAAATTATCGAAACAGCTCTCAAGCATAATATTGATGCAATTCATCCGGGTTATGGTTTCCTTTCGGAACGTTCTGATTTTGCTGCCGCTTGTGAAAATGCTGGTATCAAATTCATTGGTCCATCACCTGATGTTATGGCAAGAATGGGAGACAAAGTTGCTGCGAGACAAGCTGCGATTGAAGCTGGTGTTCAAGTTGTTCCTGGAACACCTGGACCAATTCATAGTGCACAAGAAGCTGTTGAATTCGCCAAACAATATGGGGCACCAATTATTTTGAAAGCTGCTTTTGGTGGTGGTGGACGTGGAATTCGTAGAGTTGATAAATTAGAAGATGTTGAAGAAGCATTCAAAAGATCATTTTCTGAAGCACAAGCTGCATTTGGTGATGGAAGTTTGTTTGTTGAAAAGTTTGTTGAGAGACCAAGACATATCGAAGTTCAATTACTCGGAGATCATCATGGAAATATTGTACATTTATATGAAAGAGATTGTTCGGTTCAAAGAAGACATCAAAAAGTTGTTGAAATTGCTCCAGCTCCAGCTCTTCCAGAAGGTGTTCGTGAAAAGATTTTGGCTGATGCTTTAAGATTGGCAAGACATGTTGGTTATCAAAATGCTGGAACTGTTGAATTCTTGGTTGATCAAAAAGGAAATTATTATTTCATTGAAGTCAATGCTCGTCTTCAAGTTGAGCATACTGTAACTGAAGAAATTACTGGGTAAGTTTGAAGATAAAGCTTGAATAAATGTGAATATAAAAAAAGAATTATTTTTACAGTGTTGATCTTGTTCAAGCTCAAATCCGTATCGCTGAAGGAAAATCTCTCGATGATCTAAAACTTCATCAAGATACAATTCAGCCACATGGATCTGCAATTCAATGTCGTGTCACAACAGAAGATCCAGCAAAAGGTTTCCAACCAGATTCCGGAAGAATTGAAGTATTCAGAAGTGGAGAAGGTATGGGAATTCGTTTGGATTCGGCTTCTGCATTTGCTGGAAGTGTTATCTCGCCACATTATGATTCTTTGATGGTCAAAGTTATTGCATCGGCAAGAAATCATCCAAATGCAGCTGCGAAAATGATTCGAGCTCTCAAAGAATTCAGAATTCGTGGAGTGAAAACGAATATTCCATTTTTGTTGAATGTTTTGAATCAACCAAAATTCTTGGATGCTTCTGTGGACACTTATTTTATTGATGAACATCCAGAATTATTCCAATTCAAACCAAGTCAAAATCGCGCTCAAAAATTGTTGAATTATTTGGGAGAAGTGAAAGTGAATGGAGCAACAACACCACTTGCAACTGATTTGAAACCAGCAAATATCAAAGCACCAATTCCATATGTACCAGCTGGAGCAAAACCACCACCAGGACTCAGAGATGTTTTTATCAAAGATGGACCAGCTGCATTTGCGAAAAAAGTTCGAGAACATCCGGGATGTATGATCACCGATACTACTTTCAGGTTTGTGTTTTGAAAAAATGATTCAAATTATATGATGCACATAGAAAAAAATAGAACATTTTTCTTTTTCACGCGAAATTGCGGACTCATTGTTCTGACCGCGTGAAGACACACGACTCCGCCCCTTTTTTTGCAATTTGCGGCGCACTCTCAAAATTTCAATGGAAAAAAGAACGAAATTTCTTTGACACGTGGAAAAACGTGAAAACGACATTTTTTTTCGAGTCTGCAAACACCGGACAGCAGCAACAATTGTTCTGTTTTTTTCTATGTGTGATGCGATAAAAAACGTTTTATCAAATTTCTAAAAATAAACATCACTGATCTATTGAAAATGAACTTTTTTTCAAAAAATGATTCCGAAATGTTTATTTTTAGAAGTGTAATGAACTGATAAAACAACGCCCAGAGTTTTCAATTTTAGGATATGCGGAATTAAAAATTTGTCAGTTTACGTTTTTGGAAAAACAAATGAGAATTATTTCAGAGATGCTCATCAATCTCTTCTCGCAACTCGTGTTCGAACATTTGATATGGCTGCAATTTCTCCATACGTCTCGCAATCTTTCTCAAATCTTTTCTCACTTGAAAATTGGGGTGGAGCCACTTTTGATGTTTCAATGAGATTCCTTCACGAATGTCCATGGGAACGTCTTCGTTTACTTCGCGAACTTATTCCAAATATTCCATTCCAATGTCTTTTGAGGGGAGCAAACGCAATGGGTTATAGTAATTATCCGGATAATGTGATTTACAAGTGAGTTGTTTATTTGTTTAAGGATTCTAAGTTATCTTTAAAAAAATTCAGATTCTGTGATCTTGCTGTGAAAAATGGTATGGATGTATTCCGTGTTTTCGATTCTTTGAATTATTTGCCAAACTTGCTTGTTGGAATGGAAGCTGTTGGAAAAGCTGGTGGTGTTGTTGAGGCAGCAATTGCTTATACTGGAGATGTATCAGATAAATCAAGAGATAAATATGATTTGAAATATTATCTCGATTTGGCTGATCAATTAGTCAAAGCTCAAGCTCATATTCTTTCCATCAAAGATATGGCTGGAGTTTTGAAACCAGAAGCTGCAAAATTATTGATTGGAGCATTGAGAGACAAGTTCCCTGATATTCCAATCCATGTTCATACACACGATACATCTGGAGCTGGAGTTGCAGCGATGTTGGAATGTGCTCGAGCTGGAGCTGATGTTGTTGATGCAGCTGTTGATAGTATGTCTGGAATGACGTCACAACCATCAATGGGAGCAATTGTTGCTAGTTTGCAAGGAACACCATTGGATACTGGATTGAGTTTGGATGAAATTTCAAAATATTCGGCATATTGGGAATCTGCTAGACAATTCTATGCTCCATTTGAATGTGCAACAACAATGAAGAGTGGAAATGCTGATGTTTATAAGCATGAAATTCCAGGTGGACAATACACCAACTTGCAATTCCAAGTGAGTTTTTTGAAATATTTTTTCGTAACTTGTTATGTATATTATTTCTAGGCCTTCTCTCTTGGTCTTGGAAATCAATTCGATGATGTCAAACGTATGTATCGCGAAGCAAATCTTGCTCTCGGAGATATTATCAAAGTTACTCCATCATCCAAAATTGTCGGAGATTTGGCTCAATTTATGGTTCAAAATAAATTGACACGCGAAACACTTGTTGATCGCGCTGAAGATTTATCATTCCCAAAAAGTGTTGTTGATTTCATGCAAGGAAATGTTGGACAACCACCATATGGATTCCCAGAACCATTGAGAACCAAAGTTTTGAGAGGAAAACCAAAAACTGATGGAAGACCAGGTGAAAATGCGAAACCAATTGATTTGGATGCGGCAAAGAAGGATCTTGAAGAGAAACATGGTAGAAAATTGACGTGAGTTTTTTTTTTGCGTAATTCTGGTGCAGGCGTATCTCAAAAAATCAATCGAATCAACCAAAAAATGTATTAATTTTTTAGTGAAGAAGATGTTATGTCTTATACAATGTTCCCACAAGTTTTCGACGATTTCGAGAATTTCCGACAACAATACGGACCAGTTGACAAATTGCCAACTCGTGTATTTTTGACTGGATTGGATGTTGCTGAAGAACTTGATGTAAGTTTCTGTAGATTTTTTTTTGTTTCGGAAACAAATTTGAAAAAAAAAATTTCGCTTTTTTGTCTTTATAAAGGCACAGCCCCTAGTTGAAATTCTTCAAAAATCGAATATCTAAAAAAACTGAATTTCATCGAGAAATTTGCTATTATTTTTTTTAAATATTGAGATGCCTTGAAGTAATTGATCGAAATCTTGATTTCACATGGTTTTCCAAACCAGAGAATCATTTTTCCAGGTTGAAATCGAAAGCGGAAAAACTTTGGCAATCCAACTTTTGGCCGAAGGAAAATTGAACAGCCGTGGAGAAAGAGAAGTCTTCTTCGATCTCAATGGACAAATGAGAAGTATCTTTGTTTTGGACAAAGAAGCTTCGAAAGAAATTGTGACTCGACCAAGAGCTCTTCCTGGAGTCAAAGGACATATCGGAGCACCAATGCCAGGAGATATTCTTGAATTGAAAATCAAGGAAGGAGATAAGGTTTGTTGTCTAATAATTGATTTTTGAAGTCATTATTTGGTAATTTTCAGATTGCACAAAAACAAGCATTGTTTGTTTTGTCTGCAATGAAAATGGAGATGGTTATTGATGCACCAATTGCTGGAACTGTCAAGAAAATTCACGTAACTCAAGGAACCAAATGTACTGCAGGTGATCTTGTCGTTGAAATTGAGCCATAAAGATGTATTTTTTCTCATACTTTCCCTAATTAGTTTTAGTTGATTTTTTAGTGAAAATGTGTATAGTGTGTGTGCCTTTTTGTTTTTCATGTCTATATTTATTGCATCGGGTGAGATTCATAAATGCATTTTTATTTTTACAATTTAAAAAAAATAGGTAGATTTTATTGATTATTGATAACACCCGATTTCGTCTGACCAGAATGGATTTACCGCGTAATGAAAAGTTATTGGAAACATTTCTGGACCAGAAATGTATTTTGCATCGGAATGAATGCAAGAAATATCGTCTCGTTGAGGAAGCTGCAAATTTGAAAAAAATTCAAAGTTTTCTGACGAAAAAATCAAACTTACAATACAATCATCTGCATTTGGACACAAAGATTCTAAAGGTTTTCTTTCGACAAAATATGGATGATAAAATGATGAATTATAACATTGAAAAACAACTTGAGAATAATAATCATGATCGACTAATAGACTAACTGCGTCACGAAGTTTTGAATCAGCATATGTCCTAAAATATAGATGTGGTTGAAATAGAAGATAAAAGAGGAGAGAACTCACTGTTCTAGATCGAAATCCAGAGATTTTTGTTCGATTTCAGTTATTATTGGATCATATTTTGTTCCGAACATTTTTGGAATCCCTGTTGATTTATCTTTCGGATTAGGCTGCAAAATATTTGAATTGCATAGAAAATTAGAGGTTACTGTAGTTTTGAGAGTTTTTCCAGATAGAATCTAATTATTTTTCTATCTAGAAAATCATATTCCAGTTATTCGGCAAAATTTTGGTCTTGTTTCTATTTTTTTTTTGGAAAAAAACCGACCTCGACAATTTTTTTGATATGAATCAATTCCGTATTCGGCACTCGATAAATCAAATTTTTAGGAAGTTGCATTGAATGATGAATCCATGTTGAATTCACTTTCAATGGATTAATTATCGATTTTCCATAATCATTTTGTTTCGTAACTTTCATTGTACTGAAAATCTTTGCAAACGTCAAATCAGTGGCTGATTCAATTTTGTTAACAATAACATCTCGTTTCCAATAAAAAATTGTGTGATAATTTGGAAAAGCAGAGAAATGACTTGAGAATTCTTGGTGATAATTATGAGAATATCTCGGGATTAGAATATCATCAATATCAAAAAATGCAATGAAATCAGCAACTTCTTTATATTGAAGTAAACAATCAGTTTGTGCTCCAGCTTGATTTCTCCATTCAACATTTCGATTTGGCTCTTTGTATGGTGTAAATGTTTCATTGAATTTCATTCGAACCCAATAATCAAGAGTCACAGATCCCTGTAAAGTAATAATAATAATAGTTGATAGATGTTATAAATTCAGATACGAGGTTTCAGATTCTCTTTTGTTTTTTTTTCTTGAAAAATTGATTATTATTCTATTCATATCTGAGTTGAAATGGGTTTTCATTGATAATTACAATATATTTGTCTGTTCTGGTCCCATCAATTATGTTTTCTTCCAACTAACCCATTTTTCATAGAGTTGTAAAACATCAAAAAGTTGAGTAACCATACTCGTTATATATAAATGCATATGTCCACCATATCTTCGAATAACATGCAAATTCATCAAAAAAAGTTGCCATTTTTCGACAGCAAATTGTGGAGCAATACACATTATAACAGGAGAATGAGACCATGTTCGAGGTTTACGAAAAGGAATCTGGAGATTATTTATATTATTTCTTTGAGCTGACAAAGAGTAGTTCTCCGTGAACTCACTGCAACCCTTGTTCCACTTGAAACAATCTCAATTTTCTCTGGATCATGTACAGTTGTTGCTTGAACAAGTGTCATAACATAAGCGCACGAAGTTTCTGTGGATTCTCTGAAATTTAAAATGTTAATGATTTATTTTTGAAAAAAAAAACTAACTTTTTGATAGTTGCATTTGATTGTAGAACTTCTCCGTCATAACCTGTACTTTCAATTTTAATTGTGTGTTTTTCAATATTTTCAGTTGTCCATTGATTCATTACAACAACCATTGCCAGAGCATTTTCGCCAAGTCTAGAAAAATATGCTTGCACTTTTGTGAAACCCGCTTCTAGTTTTTTTTGAGAGTTGTTAAAATTTAGAATTTTTATGTTCCAAAAAAATGAAAAATATTCGGAACTTTGGTTTTAAAAACACTTTTGATTGAAAAAAACGGCTTCTTTCTTTTATTAAAACTCACGATTTTGAATTATAATAGTAATATGCAGATGTTATAAATGCATGAGTATGATTATATCTTTCAATCATTTCATCCATAAATTCTTGATTATCCGATTCAACAACATATCCAGGAGATGTTTCATTTTTCATCTTACTAATTAGTTGTAATTTTTGATATTGTGTATAATTAATATAATGATTCTCTTTATCTAACCAATTATTATTATAATCACTAAATCCTTCCATATATTTTTCATTTCTTTTTGGATTTTTTGAGAATACTGTCACAGTCAAAACAAAAATCGCACAAAATAATACACATATTAGAAATGGTAATTGATATTTTGATGAAGAATTGAAATTCTGAAAATGTATTTTTTTTGATTTTTGAACTTGAAAAAGTAATTCACTCACTCTCCAAAAAGTAAGTCTAAGCTTGCGAAAAACTGACGAATTTTGATGAAAAATCATTAAACATTCAAGTAATACAAATCAACAAGAAAAAGCAAGTCAGCAATAGAATTTAGAAACTAATCAGAGTTTTGAATCTTTTTCCGTGGAATAAAAGAAGGAAAAAAACGAGTGGCGAAAAAGGCGGATAATTGAGACAAGCAGACAAAAATGGTAGATACCATCAGAATGCCAAAGATAGAAAAAAAATTGGACAAAAAAGTTTGAAAGGAAATTAATTACGGGAACTTGAGAAACAAAACAATTGTTCTGTTTTTTTCAAGAGATATTTGTTTGAGAAATGTTTTAGTGAAAGTAAATTTATTTCGTGTAATTGTTTTGAAAACTAAAACAAAGGATCTCCAGATAGTAATATCTAGATTCTCTATGACTAATTTTCGTGAAAAACTATGGTAAATATGAAATTGGTAAAAAAATAACCTGTTTTCCAAAAAAAGTACACGCCGTCTTTTAAAAATGAGTTCAACCGCACAAGAATATATTCCAAAAAACATTAAAGGGTTGGTGCTCCGCCAGGGAATCTTGCTTGGTTTAGATAGGAATAAGGTGCTCCTGGAACGTTCCAGTTTTAGAAAAAATTCTAGTATCAATTCAGCCCATGTTTTTCCTCAAAAACACAAGCGAGTTAAAACCTACGAAATAAAGCATGTAAATGCGCTCTAGCGCACAACTTGTTTTTGAATTTTCGTGTGTGTGTTTGCACACAACTTTGAACACAACACTGTGACGCCTTTTTGCAGACGATTTTTTCACCAGGAAAGCACCAACCCTTTAAATTTTGTGGACGCTTTTTCAAATATATGAGAAAAGAATCTAGGGACGCTTTTGGGAAGCTCGCAGTTTCTCTCAACTAGATTAGACAAATCAAGTAATATCCTCCTGAAGCTATATCGCGTTCAAAACTAAACTGGGATCCAACATATCTAAAGCGATGATAAAAAATATTTCAAGTGTATGCGATCTACTCATCATGATTAAAATTGTCTAAAATGAATTGGGTGAAACGAGTCGCCATCGATTTCCATGTGACGCATTTTTTCTGTCTGGAACAGGTCCTTATGAAATTTCTGGCGTTGTTCTTCTTGTTGCGGGATATATCTGTTGAACTATCTTTCCCACTCCGCAACCATATTAAAAATATTGTCGAATGTTTTTAAAAAAGCAAATCCTTACGGCAGCAGAACAAACGTAATGAAATACTTTTATCAAGATCCGAATTTTTCCGGTTTTTTTCCGATTGAATGAAAAATGAAAAATCACAAATTTATATGATCAATGTATGAAAATACCAATGATGTGTGAGTTTCGAGAATTAATTTTCTGCATGAAAAAAAACAATATTTCTGAAAAAAAGTTTCGGAAAGAGACATACTTAAACAGTTTTATTCATTTTTTGAAAGATAACATCCATTCGATGTTTGAACAGATAGAAAAATCGTTCAAAAAAACTATGACGTGCTCAAAAACGTGTTGTCGCCTGAACTTTGAACTTCGGTGAATTTTCAGAAAAAAAAACTCGGAATGAGCTCAACAAAAAATAAGAACTATATATTTATCATATTTCTTAGTTCAAAAGCCCATTTTCTAAAAATTGGAAACATCCGTTTTGGATTTTATTTCTCATTTATTTTCAAAATGAACTTCAAAGTTTCAAGTTTCAAAAAATGAATAGAAGGCAAAAAAGGGAAAAAGTAATAGAATATTCAAAATGAGCATTGTGGTAATTTTAAACTTCACACTTATTTATGCACTTATGTCACGAGTTTAAAAAAAAAACGTTTTTGTGATGTTTTTTGCTGTGACAAGAAAAATATATAGTTTGCTCTGTTTCAATTATCAAATTAGGATTTGGAGTCGGATCTTTTTTTCCAAAATGCTTCTGACATCCAAAATTCGGAAGATCAAACAAGTGGTCCAGTTCAAAACTTTTACCAAAAATTTTCGAAAAACCGCGTCCGATTCGAAAGTTCTCTTAATTCGAGTAGAAATTGGAGTTCAATTTTCCATACACCGCGGACATTTTCTTTTCTTGTTTTTTTTCAAGTTCACAAACTATAATTAGAGGCTAACATAAGTCTTGGTGTTATTTAAATATTCACCATGGTTAATTATATATTATGTATTTGAGAATAGCTTAACTTCCCGGTTTAACCTTTTTGCGTTGGCGTAAGAAAAAAAGCAAAAAGAACAAAAAGTGACGAGAGAGAAAGACGATAAATGTTTATTTGCTCAAATCGTTTCTACCGTTTTTCTTGATTTGTTTGAACATTTGCCCGCCTTCTAATTCTAACATTATTGTCTCATTTTACAGTTTTGTATAAACATATTCAAACATAAATGGATCGACATGAACAAAGGTTAGTCAACATTTTTTTATTTGCGTTTTTTTGGCTTACATAAAAAACTCCATTTTTTCAGTTGCTCTGATCTACCAGATATTCCAAAAGTTCCATTAAAAAAATATCGAAGTCTGGCAAAAAATCAGTGTCCAGCACTTTGCCTTGTTTGTAGAAATCCAGCTGTTGGTTATCATTATGATGTGAGTTTTGAAAAAAAAAATGAAAACCAAAGGTCATTGAAGAGATAATTTTTGAGCACGAGCAAATTTTCTATTTGTTTGTTCAGCAAAATTTTTGATCTACACTTTTAACATGTTGAATTAGCTCCTTTTGAAAAGGATTTGAAATTTGATTAGCTTTGAAATGACATGCGGATTACTGTACTTCAAAAGTTCAAAATTCACTTTTGTTACATTTTTATTATTTGTTTGGTCTCCTTTTTCTCGAATTTTTCTTTTTAAAAAGAAAAGGTCAAACACGAATGCTCAAAACTTCATCCAAACCACAAATATATTTTCATTGGGCGATTTTAGGTGGCTTCTTGTAATGGTTGTAAAACATTCTTTCGCCGAACAATAATACTTGGAAAACAATACTCATGCCCAAAATCAAATGATTGTCTGAATCCATCAATTATTCTTGATCCATCAAAAAGAATTTGTCGAAGATGTCGATTCGATAAATGTGTGGAATCTGGAATGAATCCACTCGCAATTCAAGCAGAAGTTAAAAGTGAGAAAGGAAAAGAAATGCAAGTTGAAATTGCAAAAAATAATCGAGTTGGTCCAAGTTTACAAAACATGGAAGATCGAATCAATGGAATAATCGAGGAATTGATGAGAATCGAAACAAATGTGGAAGCTTTGAATAATTCTGGATTACCTATTGGATTTAGAGATATGCGATCCTTGAGACAAATTATTCTTATTCCACCATGTTTTGATATTCGAGATCATCTTCGAAATCTTATTTATATTCAACCAAGATGTGATCCAATCACTGGAATGTAAGTGACTAAGCAACATCTATTGATTTAAAAAAAATGATATTTCAGACCATTAAAACCAATGTGGTCAACATTTACTCATACTTCTTATTTGGCTTCGATTGAATATTCAAAAAGTTTTGATTTTTATTTTTCAATGGATGATGAAAGTAAAGAAGTTCTCGTAAAACATTCAACACTCATAATTTCGAATATTTTCAACGCGTTTTACACAATGAACACACAAAAATCAGATGAATTATTACATCCAGATGGAAGTTTAGCAGGACCTGCATTGAAAAAGTAAAAAAAAATCTTCGTTAGTTTATATAATCTCCAATTTTTTATTTTCAGTGATAAAGGTGTCCAAATCTTGAATACAATTCAAAGAACTTTGATAGCACTTTTACGAAACAAATTGGATCGAATCGAATATGTTCTACTGAAGGCTATTATAATTTGTAATCCGGCAATTCCTGGATTATCAAAACATAGTCAAATTCTTATCGAAAAATGTCGAATGCAATACACTCAATCGCTTTTTATTTATTGCCGTCTTCAACATGGGAATCTAAATGGACCAGCAAGATTTTCAGCTCTAATTGCAACTACATCAGTGTTTGAGAATCAACAAAAAGACCAGAAAGATTTCTATATTTATATGAAAGCAATGAACTATAGAAGATATCAACCATTTTTAGAAGATCCTCAATCTTGGGTTCACGATGAAAAAGGAACTAAAATATTCGATGAAATTATGGAAGGATAATAGTTTTTTTTTTGTTCAATTTTAGATCTCAATAAAATTATTTTTCAATTCAAAATATTTATGATATCTCTTTCTAACAAAGTTCTTGGAACTTCTTTCCATCAATATTGAGTTTCGATATTTTCTCTCCATTCATATTCAAATTCAATTTCATAGTTTCTTTTCCATTTGGATCCAAAAATTGATAAGTAACATCTAAAGATCCATCACAGCATTGAATTAAATTGATCTTTGCTGGCCATTTTTCAGTTTTTCCATTCACATCAACAGAATAACTATCATGAAGTGTAATTCCTTCTTTTCCTCCAAGTTTAATTGATCGAATTGTTTCACTCAATGTTGTTGTTGTTGTGACAGTCGAACCAGAACAAGGTTTCGAATTCTTTGTCTTCTTTTTATCTTCCGATGTTTCATCATCAAGAGATGGAATATCAAAATCAATTTGTTCGCTAGTTTTTGTCTGAAATATTTGAGAATGAAAATATTAACAGTGGTGCGTGTCTTACTTTCTTGTTATAAAGAAGTCTTGGCTTATTCGATTCCAAAGTTGGAACATCAATTACAGATGGAGGACGTGGCAAAGGAACAAATGCTTCATTTGGTGATTCGATCATTTGAAGCTGTAAATAAAGTTTGTTTGATCTAAAACGAGAAAATTGTATGAAATCTTACATTACTTGGTGTTCTTTTGCTTGAAACCTCAGAATCTCCAAAGCATGTATCCGCAAATGGATCTGTTGGAACCTAAAAACGTTCTAGTATCATCTGGAAAAGCAAATGTCAAATATACTCACTCCACGAATCGCCGCAACTTCTTCATTTTTCTTTTGATCGTGTTTCTTTCTTCTCGTTTTCCAGGATTTGATTGACTTCACGTCCGCGATTCAAAAGATGTTTGATGGCATTTTCGAGATTATTCACTGATTTTTGAGTGCATTCACAACCAATTTGATCCATATTTGACAGCTAATTGACACGATTCCAAACACTTTGACTTTACAATAAAAAAGACAACTGATTGCAAGATATCAATTGATTCCGAAATGAATGTATCTGGGATTTTTTTGACGGGAAGAAAAAGGGAAAAAAATAACGTGAAAAAATGTTTTGTTTTTTTTTCAAAGAAAAAAAAACAAATACAACGCCACGTTGATATACGAGAATAACCCTGCGTTGTTCACCGGGCGTCGTGGCGGGCGCCTGTGAGCCAGCATCATAGGCGGTAGACAATTGGAATCAGAAGTTGGGAAGGAGTTCCGAAGGTGTCACTATATGTGAAATCTCGTGGTTCCGATACGGAAACGCTTTCCCGGGAAGCGGTAGGTCTACGTGACCGTTATGCGAGAGTCCTAGTCATGACTAGTTGAGCCGTATATGCACTAAGGGTCATGTCCTTTGAATCTTCGGTTAACCTTTCCGATCTCAGACCAGTTGTTGTTAAATTTTTTATGTTTTCGAAACATCAAAATTACTATATAAAATTATGGAATTTTCTAATCACAGCAGGAGAAAATTATAAATGCAATAAATAAATAAATTCGAGTTGTATACATAATATCTACAAATTTTGGCACGACCTTTTTGGCATCATCAATATTTGTTCAAAGTACAAACCCATTGTCTTGAATTTGTTTGATAGCATCATAAAGACAGTCAACTGTCAAATCAGGTATGACTCCTGATGATTTCTCAGTATCTGCTCTCCATTTTCCGGTTCGAACTTGAATTCCACGCATACCAGCAGCTTGAGCACCTCCAACATCGGAGATTATATCATCTCCAATCATCACAATCTGAAGACGAAATGTTTTTATCATAGATCTTTATGTTTTATTTACCTCATCAGCTTCTAATCCCAATGCATCAATTCCTTCTTGAAAATATATTTGACTTGGTTTTCCAATATTCAAAACTTCACAATTTGTTGAGAATTTCAGGGCTGCCGCAAATGCTCCAATATCTATGCAAGGACCATCTGTTCGTTGGAAAAATTTTCTGAAATTTCAAAATAAAATTTTGAACTTTGAGGGAAAACAAAAAAGAAACCAACCCATTTCCCATTGTGATAAGAAATGGTTTCTCCATATCAAGAAGTATTCGAAATGCTTTATTGATTCGATCAAATGAAAATCCATCTTCAACTTCACCCATCACAACACAATTTGGTGAAGAAATATCAATTCCATCAAAATATTCCATCACATCTACAAAAAAATTAAGTAACTTTTACTCTTTTTAGATAACCGTACCTTTTCGAACAAATAAATGTGGCCTCAAATTATTTTTCTTCAAATATTGCGCAACAATTGGAGCTGGTGTGATAACATCTTCTTCTCGAATTCTGAAAGTAAATATATCTTAAAGTTTGATAATTTCGAAATTATCATATAAAATGATAACCTACAGTATCCCTAATCGTTCCAATCGTTTCTTAACATTTACATTTGAAGCTCCTTTAGCGTTGCTCAAGAATTTCACTTTTGATTGCTCGTATAGACTGCAAATTTTTTATTCTATTTTTATTTTTATTTCTAAATTAACTTACATTTGAATAGCTTCAGCTGACATTGGAATTGGAACACCGTCAGTTCCGAATCGACTGTTATATAATACACCAGTTATATCTAACAAAAATCCTTTGACAATTTTTCCAGACATTTTTTTTTGTTTCTGAAAAAATACATTTACAATTAGAAAGAAAGTCTTATGAAAAATTCAATAAAAACAGAGAAGACAAGAATATTTTTAATAAAAATATAAGTAGACAAAGCACTTATTTCGTAATATAATAATAAGTATGAAAAATAATTTTTATCATCAAATTTTCAAAATGAAAAATAAGGAAAAAATCGTGGAATTTTCACGTGACATTCATTAATATTTTTATATTTAAAGGCATATTTATGAATTTTCATTTTTTAAAATCAACAACTCACAAAAAAAAACTTTTAAAAAAATTGCAAAGATCTTTTTTTCTCTTTCAACTAAAAAAGAGTTTCAGAACAAAAAGCTCTTTCTTTTCTTTTTAGTCGAAAAGAAGAAATTCGCCAAACTCGGAAAAAACCTGGACACAAAATGAAGGGGGAAGGATAGAGAAGAACAAAAATCGAAACAAAATAAGCCGTTTCCCCCTTTTTTCGCTTCTCTGCGTCTCCAAACATTTTGACCATCTCGCACTCTCCTCATTACACACACTCTCTAAAACATCTCCCCCCTTCAATTCACAATACAACCCCCACAAACACAACAAAATATATTTTATTATTGGCTTTTTTCACTTTCTTTTCTGTTTTGTTTAAGATAGTTACAATATTTTTCAGTTTTTGAATAAACTTTCAACTAAATTAGTGAACTTCTCACAATCAGCTGTGTTTTTCACCTCTCAACGTTCGCATTTCTCTTCCAAAAATCTCAAATATATTTTTCAGCATGCCACGTTGTTCCTTGTGTGGTGTAATTGATGATGAATCAACAATGCTAGGCCTTGACACAGAGGATAATTCAAGTCTCGCATTTATTTGTCGAGATCATCTTAAACCAGAAGTTTTATCGAAGCCAAAAGTTCTTATAAATCCGAATATAAGTATGCTTATTGAACCAATTATTGAAGTATTTGAGGAGCCATCAACCAGTATAAATTCTGAAGAAACTGTGAAAGACTATATTGATAAACATAAAACAAGATTATTTCGAGATTCGCCAAATTATGGGCTTGGAGAGAAGCTCTCAGATTGCTTTATTTGGGAAATTACTGACCCAGCAATGATGAAGAATTGGTCAAATAAACAATTAGTGAATTGTCTTCTTGAATCAAATGTTATGGTTCGACCAAGTTGTCAAAAATGTGGAAATAAAATGAGAGCAAAATTCCGGAAAAATATTGTTCAAAATACATGGCTTTGTAGAATTAAAGGAAAAGATTGTTCAAGTTCGAGTATGAAATCAAATAGTATTTTTACTGCACCGCATATTAATATTGAAGATCAAGTTCGAGCTATTATTTCGTGGATTATTGGAATAAAACATAAAGAAATCAAAGATATTCAATCATCCGAGAGACAATTATCTGATTTGTATAAAAAATTACGCTTCGAATCTTGGAAGTTAGTTTATTAATAACATACTCCTCAATGAAAATAATATTCGAAAATTTCAGAGAATGGAAAAGTTTGAAAATTGGTGGAAAAAAGAAAGCAGTCGAGATCAGATCATACAATTTTCAAGAGCTTGGGTTTCAAAAATTTGGTTTCGAAGAGGAATATTTCGAGACATATTTAGTTGTGTTTTTGGAACGCGTAGAAAATGGAAAAGTTTATGTGGAGTTTATGAATGAAATCAGTGCTGAAAGTGTAAACGACGTTTTGAAAGTACATGTAAGTTTTTTTCTTTGCGGTGTACTGTTTTGAAACTCAATAGTGTGCAAACACCAAACACTCAATTTTACGGAGAAAATTATTTTTTTTGAGAAAATGGTTTTTAGAAATTTCGTAGGCCTAAAGCGTAATAAAACAGCTAATGCTTCACTAATCCTTGCAATTTTCAGATTCTCCCAGACACATCTATAATTTGTGATGAATGGCGTGATCTCAATTCGAAAAAAGAGAAATTATCAAGTACAGGAAATGCTGTTATTCAAAAAGCAGTCGAGTTGTTGAGAAAGAAGAGTATTTCTGATGATGAAGCAGAAGAGGAAGAAGAACAAGATATTTCTCTTTATTCTAGAAAGAAGCGTGCAAAAATTCAAACAAAGATGGACTCTTGCGATGAAGTATTTGAATATTTGACCAAGAATCTTATAGATGTATGGCCAAAAATGTCAAAATTAGAAAGAGATGGAATGTTTGCTGAAAGAATTTGTAAATTCAATGGACGAGAAGATACTTTTAAATATTTTTGGAAATTATTTGTTGATCATCACAATGCCGGTTTATCTGATTTTTGAAATAATGAATACTTTTTCATAAAATGATCTCCGAGAGAAGAAAATTCAGGCAATTCATACTTATTACTAACCAATCAAGTGTTCCAAAAATGAGAGAATATCCTGGAATACAAGTAGAATTCGAATAGAATGCTTGAAAATGAAGAAATGTATTTTTGAAACGGAAAAAAGCGGAAATTATCAATGGAGCGCGATTCGCACATGATATTTATTTTCGGTAAATTTTTTTTTGAGTTGTCAAGGAGATTCTTATTGCACTATTGTTATTTATGCAGGAAAATGTACATATTGTAAATAATTGTATTTCTAGATTAGGATAACACGGGGATCTTCATTCCGAAACAAATACAACAACAATGGTCGAGGATTTAACAGGTGGGATTTTCAATTTGCCTGTAATACTTTGAAATTATTTTTTGAAAAACTAATTAATTATTATTTAAACTCAGACAAGTTGGACGATTAATCGCCTAGTAACTTGAATTAACTGCTAGCTCAGCGATTAATCGCCTGTGTTAATTTAGTTCAGGCGATTAATCGTAAGTTCACTTTACTAGGCGATTAATCGTCCAACTTGTCTGAGAAAGTAAAAAAAATAAGTTCACGTTATAACCAGTTCACGTCAGTTTAGATATCTATTTCTAATCATTTCTTATTTTATATAAAAAAGTATCCAGTTCGAAAAATTGAAAATTCGTGAGTTTTACGCGGGAAGGGGTATAAAATAACTATTCGCATTAATTCGTATCAACCGACACATTTTTTCCAATATAATTCTCTGACTCACCGAAAAAAAATTCCTTAACTGTTCTATTTATTAAATTTATGTAGTTTCAATTTAGATTTTCTAATGATTCATATATATTTTTTTTCTTTTTTCACATCACAGTTTTCTTTGGAAATAGTAAGAATAAATATTTGTTTCTCGTCGCAATCAAAACCATATAGATAGATAATCCTTTCGAAATACTATTTCATATACATTTTCAAATCGTCTGACCATACGAAAAACTAGATAGTATATAAATTGAAGAGACGCAAACAGTTTTGCCGAAACAGGTATTTGAGAAATCTTATGTTCTTCTTTTTCTTTTTGTTTTCATCGATTTTGTTTTGAATATTTTCATGTAATTATTTTATTTATAACAAATGACGTTTGTGCGAAATGTTTGAAATTCTTGTTCATTTTTTATAGTTCTCCAATATTTTTTGAAAACATCAGTTATGCAAATATTTTTCTGGTCACTTTAGAAAACACCTGCTTTTGTTTTTTCATATCTGTAACGTAGATGCTTGAACTCTTATTTTTTATTTATCAAGAAAGCCTATTTTAGGGCGACTGACAAAATAATTAAGAATTTCTATCAAGTTTAGGTTTACCAAAATAATAACGAGCCAAAGCGTCACTCGAAAGTTCTCAATAATCGTGTTTGGGCCTATAAAGCCCTACTCAGCAATTGGTGGAGTATTTACAGTGTAACTTGAAGCAATTTGTAATTACATTGATGTTTTCTTGTAAATACACGGATGAATCTGAAAAAGTGTAATTAAATTGTATATACAATATAATTACACTTTTGCAAAAACGTGCTCAACCCTCAAAAATTGGCAGTTATGTAATTACACCGAACATTGTGTGTAGGTTCACTGTAAAAAAGGGGGAACGAGCGATTGCTTCCAATATAATTACTCCACCGATTTCTGAGTAGAAAAAATTCTCATCCCCAAAAAAATTTCATGGATTTTCAACCTGTCCCGAAAAGGTTCTTTTGGGCCGTTTTTTCCACATTCAAACATTTTTTGTCTATCGTCACCTCCCAACGTGGTCAACCATCCATAAAACTTATGTAGCACCATTTTTTTTGTGCTCAAAAATTTTCTTATCAGACCATTTTTCCATTTTCCCTTTCCGAACAATATATGATCCTTGGTACCTCGTGTTTCCCATATTTTTGATCAAAAATCGAGTTTTTCCCGAAAATTTTCCCGAAAACGTTTGAAAAATCAAATAAATAATTAGATTTCCTCTAATAGAACAAGATTCTTTTGGTTTATTTAACACAACACCAAAACTCAAAGAAAATTTAGTTTTTCCGGAATTGCTGATAAAATTCTTAAATGTCGTCCGATTAGAAAATTGATATACGACCAATCATTTTTTTTTTTGAAAAAAATCTAAGCGGGGATTATAACTTTCAGAAGCGGTTTTTGATTGATAGATAGTTAAATAATATTTTTGGGCTTTTTCTGAATAAATAATTGTAATTCAATATTTATTCGCTCTTTGAATCAAATCATGAAAGTTCAATTGTCTCGAAAACTCAATTACTTTATATTTTCTCTCAATTTCATTCATATTTTCCATCCTCCACTTTTTGGGCCAACACAGAATGGGGTGGACCAAATGGGGTTGAAATGGTAAAAAGGGGTGTAAATTTCCTGAAGTACGAACAAAAAGGAGTTAAGTTTTTCTGAAACAAAATGGGGTTAGAGAAAATGGGGTTGATTTTTTCAACTCATTTTGTACAAAAAGGGGTTTATCATGCTTTCCAGACAAAAAACACATAAAGTTACAACGAGTTTTTCTTACATGAATTTGTTCTTCTCAATAGAAATACTTCAAAAAAAGTACAGACATTGATTTGTGGCAAGTCATATTTCCTTGTGTTCACTAAGCCTAAGTAGAAGAAGTTAAAAACAAAATTCTTTGGTTCTGTGAGTCCAAATATTATGCTTAGGCTTAGTGAAACGACTAAATAACTGTGATTTGAAACCTGAATAATCTAATCTACGATAATATACTCAATTCTGTGTGAGCTCATAATATACCCCTTTTTGTAAATTTTGAGTTGAAAAAATGAACCCCATTATTTTCAACCCCATTTGGTATTATGAAAAATTTAACCCCATTTGGTTGTACTCTGAGAAATTTACACCCCTTTTTACCATTTCAACCCCATTTGGTCCACCCCATTCTGTGTTGGCCCACTTTTTGTTGCTGTTTCGATTTTATTCAGAACAAAATGCAAACATTTTCGAATAAATAAAAAGTGCACAAAAATTATCAATGAAAAATTTCAAATTTCATGTCGCACAAAAATGTTGATAGATAACTATTAAAAGTTGTCAATTTATGTTTTTATTTGTTAGGTTTTTATTGTGAACATTAAAAACCAGCACGTGGTACATTTTTTTGAGAATTTTTGTTTGATTCTGGTTGAAAAATTATTCGTTCTAGAAAGTAGAACCACTTTTTTCTCTATTAGAAAATACGTTTAAAAAGATGATTTGTGACTGTGACCAAAGATAAAAGATAATTTTCATTTCTTTTCATTTCAGAAATGGTGACAAGCAAAGTTGCACCGGCCGAACTTAATAAACCAAAAATTCAACGATTTGAAGTTGATGATTCCGCTTCAGCAAATACAGTTGATTCTTCAGATATTGATATTGAAATTGTGGGAAAAGAGAAAGAAGTTGTGAAGAAATCAGAATTTCAAGGATGTTGGACTGTTGTTGTAGTTTCGATATTATTTATTATTAATTTATTGAATTATATGGATCGGTATACAATTGCAGGTTAGTCAACATTTATTTTTATCTAAATGTTTTATGACACAGAGAAGTGTTATTTTCCCAAAAATAAAACTGTAAATAAAAGGTTTAGAAGGAAATATGTTGGATTTCTAATTTCTGAGAATTTCTGTAATATTAGATCACAAAAGTTTGAACAAAATGCCACATTCCCATACCACATTTAGAAAATTACAGGGAAAAATTTTTTTCCACGAGCCAATTTTCAAGGCAAAATTTTTCAATCATTTCAAATTCGTGGCATTTTCAAAGAATACCCGGCACAAATTGAAAAAAAAAATTCCCGAAAATCTGAAAAAAAAGTCACGTGAACTTCGCGTAATTAGTATTGTCATTTCTTCAAAAAATTTACAATAGAAAACTGCGGATTGTTGCATAGATTTTTCAACAAAAAGTTATCTGTAATTTCTTAAAATAAAAGTTTCAGTTATATTCAATAATTATTAAAAAAAAACGATTTCAGGTGTACTCGATGATGTTCAAAAATACTATCATATTGATGATGCGTGGGCAGGTCTAATTCAAACAACTTTCATGGTTTTCTTCATTATTTTCTCACCAATTTGCGGGTTTTTGGGTGATCGATATAATCGAAAATGGATTTTTGTTGTTGGTATTGCAATTTGGGTTTCTGCTGTATTTGCATCAACATTTATTCCAGCTAATGTAAGATTTTTTTTATTTTTCTCTAATATTTTCGAAAACCAATGATACTTTCAGAAATTCTGGTTATTTTTATTATTCCGTGGAATTGTCGGAATTGGCGAAGCCTCTTATGCAATTATTTCTCCAACAGTCATTGCTGATATGTTCACTGGTGTTCTTCGTTCTCGAATGTTAATGGTTTTCTATTTTGCAATTCCATTTGGTTGTGGACTTGGTTTTGTTGTTGGTTCAGCTGTTGATAGTTGGACTGGACAATGGCAATGGGGAGTTCGTGTAACTGGTATTCTTGGAGTTGTTTGTCTTCTTCTTATCATTCTTTTTGTTCGTGAACCTGAACGTGGAAGTGCTGAAAGAGATCAAGGAGAAATTCATGCATCAGTTGAAGCAACTTCTTATTGGGAAGATCTCAAAGATCTTTTATCCAAGTGAGTAGAACAATTTATTAGATTTAATATAACTACATACTAATTTTAGTGCAACCTATGTTACATCTTCTCTCGGATATACAGCAACTGTTTTTATGGTTGGAACACTTGCTTGGTGGGCACCAATTACAATTCAATATGCAGAAGCATCGAGAACTAATGTAACTGATATTTCGAAGGAAAGAAAAGCACAGTGAGTTCTTGGAATTTTTTTTCAGAATTTTTGAAAGAATTTTTCAGAATCAATCTTGTATTTGGTGCCATAACTTGTATTGGCGGAGTTCTTGGTGTTGCACTTGGAACAATCATTTCAAATGTGAGTTCGACAATTTTTATTTCAAAATATAGAATCTTCAACTTTGCATAATATTCGGAAACAATATAATCTTTTTGATAATTCGGAAAACTGTGTCATTTGACATTTTTGAAATGTTATCTTGATTATTTGCAATTAAAATACATAGTTTTGACCTTTAAAAATGTCAAAAAGGCAACTTTTTCCAAATTTTTTGAAAATTTGGAAAAAATTTTGGCTGTGATCCATGAAGGATATTCTGGCAGAATTGATGTCTTAAATTTTTACATGAATGAAGGAAATTTTTGAAATTGTTGGACTACATAATTTATAAACAACAGAAATTTGAGGTCAACATTTCGAAATATATATTTTCAGGCCTGGTCTCGAGGTGTCGGACCATTTAAATATATTAAAACTCCGCGCGCTGATGCTCTTGTTTGTGCAATTGGAGCTGCTATTTGTATTCCAACTCTTATTTTGGCAATTCAAAATATTGAAGATAACATGGCATTTTCATGGGTTATGTTATTTATTTGTGTAGTTGCATCAAGTTTCAATTGGGCCACAAATGTCGATTTATTATTATCTGTTGTGATTCCACAAAGAAGAAGTTCAGCAAGTTCTTGGCAAATTCTTATAAGTCATTTATGCGGAGATGCTTCTGGACCATATATTTTAGGATTAGTGAGTTTTTAAATTTATTTTTATTTATTCATAATTAAGAATTTCTCTAGATATCCGATGCTCTTCGTAAAGGAGATACAAGTGCTCAAGCTCACTATAAAAGTCTAGTCACATCATTTTGGTTATGTGTTTTGATGTTGGTAATTTCTGTAATTTTATTCGGAATCGCTGCGATGACTGTTGTTCGAGACAAAAGAAAATTCAATGAAATCATGAGTAAGTTCAAATTATTGAATTCATATTTTAAAAAAGTGTAACAGATGCGACGAAACAAAAACCGGCATTAGCTGCAGAAGCTGTAGAAGTTCAAAGAATGTAAAGCAGGTTGATTTTTCACATTTTATATATGACTTTTAACGGGTTACTAATGAATTTTTTATGGAATAATAATTATGTTCAAAAAACAATAATAAGAACTTATGATATATCAAAATAAATAGAAACAATCTAATATGTATAACACTAACAAATCAAATAAGTACAGTAACCCGAAAATAAAAACAAGCTCGAATCAAATCAAATGTAGACAATCACAGTTTTAATTGAAGAATGGTTTCTCAAATTTTGGATCAATGAGAGGAGTTGAAACAGGAGTACAAGTTGGAAGTGAATCATTTGATGAATAATGTGAATCTGTTGTTGAAAGTGGTGGTGATTGAAGTGAGCCACATGGTGCAATTATATCATCTTCACCACATTCAAGAAGTCGAAGTCGTTGAGTCAATTTCTCACCGAATCTCTCACGATATCCTGGTGAAATATCATCCATAAGAGCGTATAAACTGTCATAATATTTTGTGAATAATTCGAAACGAGTGAAATCTCCAACCATACAATCACTTCTCAATGATGTTATACGCCATCCTTTAAGTGTTAATTCAAGGCAATAAGGTTGAGTTTCGATTGTTGTGACATTAACGAAAATAAGATCAGGAGTTCTTGGAAGCATTTCAGAAACACTGATGGATTGAACAGCAAATGAAAGTTCGTGAACAGCAGCTGAAAAAAATACGATTTTAAATTTTCACAAAAAAATTCATGACAGATTCAAAATGTTTTGATATTCTATGATGAAAAAAAACATACCAATAGCTTCGAGTTCAAGAGAAGATTCTCCACCGCGACTTGCTGGATTTGTTCCAGCTGAACGATTGATAGAGGAAACTTTGTGAAGTGACATTGGAACAGATCTGAAAAATATAAATATATTTTAAAAAGTGGGATCATAAATACCCAGAACCACCTCCTCCCCATTTTTCCTTTAAAAATTTGAATAATTTACAAACCCTGTGGGTGATCCAACATTTCCACATCTCAAACACGGAATTGGTTCAGTTCTCAACATTTTTGGTGCAAATTGACTTTCAGCAAAAAGTGAAGCACTTCGATTGCGATATGGCAAAACGCTAGATGTCATAATTAAGGAGATGCGATGAGAAAACAACAAGAATAATAACAATAACAAAAGGCGAAAGAAAAAATAAGTAGAAGATGAAAGTGGGCGGAGCTAAGGTGAGATGAGAAAGGGATTCCTTATAAAGAGACGCAGACATGAAATGACGTCATCTCAGCTGGTTGGATTCGATTGCGAAATATCTAAGTATCTTTGAAGACGAATATATTATGAAAAATATTGTTTATTTGTTTAGGATGATAATAACAGAGATGAGTAGACTACATTTGACAAAATGATAATAAGGACAGATGATTTTTGAGGTTTTTAAAGAGCTCGTCATTCAAAAACATCTTATTTGACCGCTGTGTTGTTTTAACAACATAATTATGAAATATAGAACAATTTTGTGAAATTCATATTCGAAACTATAAATAATTAAGACATTCAAAATTATTATTTTTTCACGCCAAAAAATGAATGATTACACACCTCAATCATCGTGCACTTTCATTTCCAAAAATATTGCAAAATGTTTGTCTAGAATGTTCGGAAACTTTTCAATCTTTTAATCTTTGTTCTATTCCCGCCGCAATCTGCTTTCTTTTTTATGGAAAAACATGTGTGTTTCACATGCAACCAAGTAACCAAAAAAAAAAAACACAAATGAGAAATGTTTTGATAAAAACACAAAATGACCATCCTTTGAGTTATTCATATCCTTTTATATTTGAAAACAAATCGAATTAATTAGAAATGCGACGATGTGGAAAAGAACACACATTTTTTGGAAAAATAAAACATAAAGTGCCACGTGAAAACCTTGATTCATTTCGAGATAAAATGTACAAGCAAAAGTCGTGTAAACTAAGCGAACAGTAAATTTGATTATCAATTATCAGCAAAATTGGTTTTATTTTCGGCGAGCCGGAAAATTTCCTTATTTATTTATTATTTTCCCTGAAATGGGCGGAGTTAATTCAATTGGCTCCCGAAAAAAAAAATAAATGGCACGAAAAATCGAGATAGAAAACAATTTCACTAGATACTAATGAAAAATAAATGAGATGGTGACCTTTTTGAGTGAACTATTTTTTTCTATTGAAAAATAACCAAACTATACTCGTCAGAGTCGTTCGATAAATAATGTTCAAAAACTAATATGATTTTTTGACAAGCTTTTCCATGTGCTTCCGTGGCGCAATAGGCAGCGCGTTCGGCTGTTAACCGAAAGGTTGGTGGTTCGAGCCCACCCGGGAGCGAAATTTTTTGTTCTTCGAGAATATTCTAGAATACAGTAACCCGAAGAGCATGTCACCAAAACCCCACCCCTCTCATATGTTTTTGTCAACGACAAATAATAACAATTCATCGTTCTTCCACCCATTTGTGTTGTTCTTATCACGTGAATAATCTATTTTTGCGACGAGTGATTGACTTCCCACAAATAAATGCAAATAACACAAAAATGATTGACGAAAGACCAAACATGTATAAATTAGTTAATTGGTGATAGAGAGAAAATAGATGATTGGGAAGTCATGTGACAAGTGAAATATTTTGCTGAGAGGAATGTTTGTGTTGTGTTCAAAATAAAATATGTTTGTTAGTTTGATCCAGTTGGATTTTAAGAAAGATCATTCAAAAAATCAAAAACTAAACAGTTCAATTGTAAAAAGAAAAGAAGAAAGAAAAATAATATTAGTGACTAATGTGTTTTTTTTTGAGAAATTCGAGTAAATATATTGTAGTTTCGAAAACGCTCCGCCTATTCATTTTTTCTCATAATTTTCACGTCAGCATTCAGATTTGGAAAACCGCTGCGAACGAAAAAAAAAATGCAAATAAAAATGTGTTCCCAGAAGTAACTATGATTCGAAATTTCAAGTTGAAGTCATGTTTTAGAAAAATGAAATTATTCTAAACATTTTCATTATTTGAAACCCTCCTTTTCCCGTTGAGAGCTGGAAAACTACTTCCTTAAAGGTTTCAAGAAAATTCTGAAAAATCGCAAGCTGCTTAAACTTATTATCTGTTTTGACTGCATAAATCACGAAAACCGTGCAAATGCCAATAAAAAGAAATTAGATAAAAGAGAAATGGCGTTCGGGAAAAACTGAAGTTAATTTATTTTCTGCAGGCTGACGCGGTTCTCAAAACCACTTTACAATGAAGGATTCATTTTGTTTTTGGTTCTTTCTTTCGGGAAAAGGAAAAGAAAACATTTTGCAGATTTCTCTTTGAAAAAAAAATGGAAACAAAGTCCAAAGAAAAAGGAACACGAAAAATGTCTGGAAAACCATGAAAAATAATTATAGCCCCACAAAAAATGAGAGAAATAAAACATGTCAATAAAAGTCTGGATGTGCAAAAATACACGTTCAATTTTTAAAATGAGAAGATGGAGGCAAAAAATATTTGCTCAGCTTTACAAACAAAAAAAAGTAAACTTTTTTGATCATTGAATGATTAGAAGAGAAATGTATTTCTTTCTCAAAACAAAAAAAAACTCGAAGAAATGAAAATCGGAAATTTGCATCATTTTTCTTTCAAAGAAAAAGGAAGAGAAAAATTGTTTTTCCGGCATTTTTTCAGAAAAAAAACTATGAAATTTTGAACTTCTGGAATTTTTTGTGGTGCGAGAATTCTCAATTCGAATCGTTTAGAAATAAGTATGTATATGTACATTGTATCTAGACGATGAAAAAAACAAGGAAGTTGTTAGTTTTTGTGTTATTCTCTAGAAAATACTTTTCCCACAAAGAAAATTGCATGTAAAAAGTTGTTCTAATTAGTTTGACTGACCCTTCGACTCTTTGTGTTGCTGATCGAATTTCTAGAAGACTTCCACCGAAAAGTATTTGATTGTGCGAAAAGCGACGATGATGATTTGAGAAACGAGTTGGGCTGTGTTCCGGTGAATGATGTTCTGAAATGCAAAAAAGAATGCGATTATAAACAATTAAATTAGGTCTGGATTCAGCTGAGCTTCCTATTTGAATAAGGCTTATTTTTAGTGAAGTATTTGAAAAGTAGTAAAATTTTACTCACGACTTTTACATTTTCCATAATTTTTCTTTGCTTTTCGATGTTCAGTTATTTCTTCATATAATTGTGCCGCAGAATTCCATCGAATTGCGCTGAAAACAATTTATTGATATTTTTTATTTCTAATTTCTCCTTACTCCTTTTTCAAATATTCTGGAGCTGCATCGATTGTTTCTTTGATTGTTGAACAGCTACAACGAATAATGCAAGAACAATTAGACATCTGCAATATTTTTAGCTTTATACAATTTTGAAAGTTAAAACTGTAAATACCTTTGAAATGCGTACATGAAATTTTGAAGGCATTTTTTCGAAAACTATGTTTTTCAATTTCAAGAATAGAGTGTTTCTCACAAACTAAGAGTGACAAATGAGAACAGGTGAAAAATGTATTGAATTAAGTATGAAAATGAGATTATGAGGGATTAGGAGATTAGTGTTTTGGGCTCAAAAGATTACTGTATCTTATTCTCAAAAAATGAATGTTTAAACTCGGTTTCTCATGAATATTTTGTTTTTTTTTCATTAAAAAGAAAAAACCACTCAAAAATTTTCAATATTCCCATTTTCTGTCATTTTCACATGAGCAAATAACATATTTTCAAAAAATATTCCAAAAAATTATGACTTCAAAGAACATATTTATTTTCCTTGTTCTTATCAACTTTGTTAATGATTTTTAAAAGTCAAATGTCAACGACACGATTTTTGGCCACTATTTTTTGATTGATAATAATCTATTTTTATTCACGAAAATCAACCAATTTATCAAAAAATTGTCTGTTTGAAAAAAAATAGAAAAATAAAAAAATAAAATTCAATAAGGGAGAAAAAGAGAAGGCCGGATATTCAAAGAAGAAAAATCCAAAAAAAGACTAGGAAAATCAATTTTTGCACATAAAAAAGAAACTCGGTGAGCGAAAAAAAAGGACAATTAGCAAGGGCTTCTTGAGAGGTTTTGATGCGCGAAAAAAATAGAGTTCAAATAACATGTTGTTATGGAGATCTTCTTTTCACAGATAATAAAAATTAAAATCTGCAAACCAAAAAGTATAACTTATAGCTCTCTATATTTTCAAATAAAGAAAAACAAGACAAATGTTTTCACATGGGAATACAATTTTAGAGTTGTTTACGAACTCAGGAGATTTTTCGCAATTTTGCTGACCAGAATGCGCGATTCTGCTTGCTAAAACATGCGGTTCGAACACTAGTTTGCCGCGGAATCGCCTATTATAGCAAGCGAAATTTTTTTTTTCGTAAACGGCAAGAAAACAGCAAGTCGCCGAACAAATTTCGAGAAAAAAAATTAGAGGTTCATTCTTTTTTTATTATGAAAGACAAAGTTTGTCGAGATCAAAATTAATTTAGTTATTGGTGGTACTGTAGCATTATAATGCCATAGCAATAAAAATACCCTTCAATAACTTGTGGAGATGTCCTCGGGACCAATTTATAATTATTTTCTGCCCGACAAAAAATGAGTTTTGCCTATTGACATGCTTTCAAAAGAAATGCTCCGCCCACTATCCATCTCAATAAATATGGATCCAGCAAGAATTTCGCAACTTGCTGGACCAAATTCATGACACAAATTGCAACCTAAAAATGCAGCAAGAATCGCGCGAGTCGCTAAAAATGCAGCAAGGAGATAGCAAGTTGCGAGAGGGCAGCAACTTGCTAAATCGTTGCCCAAAATTTCCTGAGGAACAATAACAACATAATTTGCTAATAGTACAATTCTCGACAAATAGGAAAATAATTGTCAAGATTTCTTATTTTTCCGTGTGAAAAAGTGATTAACTTCGAAGAAATGCTCTAATTGAATAGGTTCACATGAACTTTTTAATTTTCAAGATAAATCAAGAGTAGATTTTTTTTCTGTAAAATTCATTCGCATTTTTTTAAACGTAATCTGTTTCTGTACCTTGAAGCTTATCAGAATATTTTCTTGATTTAATCACAACTACAGTAATTTGGTACTACTAGAAACGTACAATCAAATGAGTAAAATGAGAATAACCTTCTCAAATTTTAAAACAGCATATGTTGTTGACTGGTCATATGATTTGAACTTCTAAGATTAAAGAAAACTGTAAACAATTTGAACGTGACCGGATATTGAAATTTCATAATACATTTTTAAAGAAACCTCACTCAAACTGTATTATTTCGTCAAACGCTTGCGATTATGTTTTTTGAAAAATTTTTTTTTTAAACTGAACTTTTTATTTTTCATTTATAACGTAAATAAAAGATGAACAAAAATTGTCACGAATTTGTTTTTGAAGAAACCGCATTCTGAACCTTCTTTCGGTTCATTAATTTGAATACAATCATTGACTCAATCAATAAACCAGTTGTTCTAAAAAGTCCACCAATTGGACCTTTTCCATCCAAAATTAATATTTTGAGATAATTGAGAAAACCAGGAAGTAATTGGAAAATTATTGAAATGAATCCATCGCTCAAACAAATAATATTGGCCTAAATTTTAAATTTTTCAAAAATTATTTCTTCAATATTACCTTCGTGTTTTTCTTCTTTCCAAAATACTTTATCTGTATGAACTTGATGAAAATTATGAATGTGAAGGTAAGTTTGAGGGAAGAGTAAATCTATAAATTCAGTATATTTTAAATTTTTTTAGTTTTCAAATATTTAAAAGTTACCAGCATATTTATAACCGAATATATTTGATAACACGGAGTTGATGCACAAACAAATGTAGAACATTCTTGATTTAATGGAAATCTTACATTACAATATATAAATAATCTGTAATTTCCACTTAACCCAATTAAAATAGTTGCAAAAACTATTATTTGTGTCTTCAATTTTTCCCGATTATTGTGAAAGAAAACAGGGAACAAAGTGGCAAGAATTCTTTCGAAAGCAATGAAAACATCCAGATATGCTCGACCATCTTGAATTGTAAAAGATATTGCTCCAAAAATAAATGAAAATTCAATATCCATATTAAGAACAACTGTGGCATAATAAAAAATAGCATCGATGCTAGAAAAAAAATCGTAAATATTTCGGAAAAATAGCAAATGATAATCTATTTTACGCCAAGAAGATGATGAATGTTTGTAATGAACAACATTTTTGAAGTTTATTAACATATTCAGAAATGCGAATAAGATACCGAACAAGGAAACTGAAAGAGAGATCACAGACATTTTGAATTGTTCTGAATGTTTGAATCAGTAAATGGTGGAAGGTAATTTACCGAAGAACGTGTGAAAATTCAAAGATTATGTTATTCACAACAATTACTGATATTATATACGAAAGAAGTGAAATCAGTAAATTTTTCAAGAGAATCATTTTTTTGTTCCAGTTTTGTGCTATAAATCGGAAAAAATGAATACAAGCATAGGTTTCGAAATTTTTAGAAAAAATCTGAAAATTTTCAAAAATAATTTTAACAACCATTTAAAAATTTTCAAATCGTTCATTTTTTGAGCAAAAAGTAAAAAATATACAACAACGTAATAAAAGGAAAAAAGGCGGAGGAGGTTTGTGAGCACAATTCAGGATAGATTTCAGAAAACATAAAAAGTGACATTTCTATTTTTTCACGCACGTATTTTCCTGAGAAAAAACAACAAAACAAAAAAAACGTATCAATAAATACTACAAAAATTGGGGTTGAAAATAAAAGAAAAGAGAAAGAGAGCACCGGTGTATACAAGTAGAGTTTCTTTTTTTTAGTCCAAAATAATCAAAGGATCAACTATTATCATCGTATATTCTTTTTTCTGTTATTATGCAATGTCGAAAGTTGAACTGTGAGTGGCAAGATGAGATATGTTTCGATATTCGAAGAAAAGGCACTTTGGGAATAATACAAAAACAGCTAAAGTTATACAATCTCCATCTTTTTGACTTTTTCATTGTCCGAAAGTTCATCGGTTGGTACAAGCTGGAAAATATATAGATTCATATTTATTGATTTGGTCAAGATCTTGCCAACTTTTTATGAGTTCAAAAAATAAATATCGGGGCATTTTTGGGTAAACAGAAAATTGAAGTAGTTAAGACCAACGACACGCAAATATTTACAATTTCAGAATGGTCTTGACACGTGTCAAGTTACAGTATTCAACCCTCTTTTTTATTGGACACTTTTTTTCGAAAAAAAGAGCTTACTTGATGTTTAGAAGCTCGTGGTCGGATATAAATCGCATAAGCTAATGGAATAAGAGCAAATGAGAAAAGTTTCAGCATAGTTGTTGTGCTGAAAACATCATCCCAAGATGTTAAATCACGTAAAATGTATCCAGCTTGAACACATATGAAATTGTATGGCGCAAGACCTGAAATTTATTTTGAACAAAATTCAAATTTTGATGGAAAACAAAGAACTTACCAACTAATGCCGAAACAACAAAAATGGGTAGAGGAATATTGAGAAATGGTGCTACAATATTTAGAAGCCATGAAGGGGAAATTGGAAACATTCGAGCAAATAAAAGGAATGGTAATAATCGATTTGAGTTGTCATCAATCTGAAAATTAATAATGTATATTGAAGTTTTATTCGTATCCGATCTAAAATCAATATAGTTTCGTCAAGCCAAAATTTACCTTTTGCTGTAGATATGTCAATTTTTGTCCAAAATAGTAAAAAACATATTCTCGACCAAACAACTCCGAAAACATGTAACATAATGTTGATCCAACTGAAAACATTTATTTTTTCTAGAAATTTTGGAAAAAAAACTAACGAGTTGTCAAACAGCAACAAAGAATGAAACCGGACCATAAATTGTAAACAACTCCAGCGATGACATTCTAAAAAAGGTGAGATTTTTACACAAAATTACGATACCGTATTTTAATGTTCTTGAAACCAATATATCTCTAAACATATTTACAACAAATATGTGTTTAGCTAGTTTTTTGTCGCTAACATTAATGATAAGATTTCACTTTTTCGAATGATATCTCAACGTCATCGGAAGCTAATTAACATTGACATGCCGTGAAACGACCTACTCACCAAAAGAAATGATCCAGGAATTGCAAAAGTTTGTTTATACAAGTAGGCACATATAAAAAGTGTGGTGATGTAGCCAAAGTGTTCCTCTTTGTAGCTACGGAATTTTTCGGCAAGTACTGTGAAGTTATCGAATTGTTTCGGAATTTCGAATACACCTCCTTCTGAAAACATAGAATAAAATTAAAATATTCTGATTAAAAAACAAACAAACCTTCTTCTGGCCAACCCGGCGCAGAACATATCATATACCATAAAGAAAGTGAAGAAACGGCAAAAATAGCTGGCAAAATGAATAATCGAGTCATAAGAGCATTCGGCTGATATTTATATGTGTTTTATATTCTACTATGTATATCTATAATGAAATACATGATATAACAAAAATTCGAAATCATAAAAAACAGGAATTTTTTGCCTTTATGGGATAAATGGAGGGAAAAAGATAAGAATGGCAATTGAGATATATTCTCTTTTATTATTAAAACATACAAATATTTATGAAAAGAAAAAGGTGTTGCGGTTTAATAGACAGCGAGTGAAAGAGGGAAAAAATATGACAATTGCGGGATTTTCATTGGATGATGAGAACAAAAAAAAAAGAATTGAAGGAAATTGGAAGATCGAAGAAAATAGGTTGACCTTCTAATAAGATCTTACGCAAGCTAGTTATATCATAAAGATGTTTATATCGAATTATCGAAACTAACAGAGTACCCAAAACGATTTCAAACATTTTTTGAATGAGAAAATACCTTTTTTTATCTACTCGGAAAGATTTAAAAATATTTCTAGTATGGAAAAGTTTTTAAAAAATTCCGGAAATATTTCTTATCAAAAAAGATATCAAAGTTCGAAATTGTTTGAAACTCTATGAACAAATAGAAAACGTGACCTCTGAAGTTTTTTTCAGAATTTAATTATCATTCCGAAAATACCCATTGCATCAAGTATTTCAGCGTTATTAACCAAATAATTTTTTGCAAAATTGAAAAATAATAGGCTTAAAATTCGTCAACTCCAATTTTTTGGATGACGATCATTGTAAAATAAATGAACTCTGTGTTACGAAAAAAAGAAGTAAAAAATGCTAAAATTTTGGAAGCATTGTATACAAAAAATATCACAAAACACGAAATCAAAAATGTTATTTTTATTACCCAAAAACTTCACACACGCGAATGTTTTAGATAAAAAAAGCGAAAAAAAAGAAATCACAGAAAATGAAGGCAACCCAGAGCAAAAAAAGAAAACTCCATTTTCAAAAGTAAATATTTATTAATATTTTGGCACCGAAAATAGGCAACAATATATATTTCAGAGAGACACAAAACAAAATATGAAATGAAATGAAGAATTGTGAAAAAACGAGAGAGCGAAACAACTTTTTGAGAGTGAGTCAGTATTTTTGAAAACGGACAGTTTTTGTTTGATAGAAATCATAAAAATATGCATTAGAAATATTATTATCGCTGTTTTTTTGGCATCGAAAATATTTCATCAGAGAAATAAAAATGGATGATCTGGATAATCTAATTTGCAACAATTTATCGAGATATGATTTTTTTTGAAAACGAAAGAAAACTGAAATTTGTCCATTGTTTTAAAGTTTTGAAAAATGAGAATTTTGAAATTGAGACAAAAGGACAGTTTGCACAGATTCGTCAGATTTAATTTCTGACTTGAAAGGAAAACCAATTCAAAAGTAAAAATTTTCGATTCAGAATTTTCAAAATTTCAGAAGCGGAGAAAAACACAACACAGGTTCATAAAAATAGGATAAATCAAAACAGATTTAGTGTACAAAAATGTATAGAAAAGGCAAGTACTGGGAGACGAAAAGAATTGAAGAAAAGAAGAAAAAAAGAGATGAAGCTGTTGATGAAAACTGGATCCGAATGAGAAGAAGGCGACGGCTGCCGTTTTTTGGCTTTTTCGAAGAAGAAGACGAAAATGACAGATTGAACGAAACAAACCAACGCAAGCAGGATATATGTATGTGAATGTGTATGTGTAATATATTATTGTTGTTGTTATTAAAAGTAATAATAGTGCTTTTTCGTTGTTCGGATTGGGTACTGTTCGAACGAAAAATAATGACCCATTGTGTTAAAAGTGTAGGTGAAAAAAACACACATGAAACTGGAATTTTTCTTGGATCAAGAATATATTTCATGGAATTCGTACAGTTTGTTTTTTGAGATAAGCTTTCTCCTATGATTGTGAGATCGAAATGTGTGAATATCAATCTAACAAAATATACTTTTTTGATTCCGTCCAAGCGATTAAATAAAAAACAATATGTCATTCAATAAATGTATTCACAACAAGAAAACAAAAAGAAAAGTGAATTTAAATGTAACATCAAGATTAGAAACATTTACAAAAAGCCAAAAAAGGCGAAACGGATCTTTGTTAAATGAGCCGATTTGGTTTTGACTGTTGGAAGTCGATGAAGAAACCGAATGAGGTCGCAAATTATGTATTCATGACAAAAAGGTGAGCGAGTGAGTGAAAGTTTGCCGATTAATCCAAACGTTTTTTCTTTTCCCTTTTTCCAGATTCAGAAGTTTATTCAATGAATCAAATCTTTGTCCTCGATTAGGTATAATTGAACAATTAATTTTAATTGTCCAAGGGAAAATTGGAAGATTTGATTAGAAAGTTATTACAATGGCAGGTGGATTATCAGGTTTTGGCATGGAAATTTCTGATTTTTCCGGTCTTTCCACACTTCAGAAGCATGCCTAAAATCAAAAACTTCTGATTTTCTTAAAACTTCGGAATCTGGTCAAAAAATTATTGGGAATTTATAAATTCGAAATAATCCTTGGAATTCAATTAATGCTGGTTAATCTAAACTAAAAACAAAACTATCGACTATGTATTTCAAAACTTGAACATTTTATAGTTCATGAATCCATCTTCAAAATCAAACATAGACCACGAAAAGCAGAGACCACAGAAAAAAAGAAAATAATAATGTGGCTGACAGAAAAACACAAAAAAAAGTTTCAGGAAAATGAGAGAGTTGCTATGGGTGAATTCTTTTTTCGTGTTTTGTGAGAAAATTGTGCTAAATTTGTAGTTTATTGCAAAAAAGAAGAGAAAAAGACTACAGTTTAAGTAAATAAAAACTATAAAAATTGAATCAATTTTTTTATTTGATGGGAAATAATTTGTAAAAATAATAGTTTTTTGAAACTGTTTTCTTTATTAAAAAAAAGAAAAGCTGACTGAAAATCAGTAAAAATATTATGAAAAAATATAAACTTCGACTTAAAAAAAGTCAGTCAACGTTTGAGAGGTTGCCAAACATTTGAAAATGAGTTAGTAGTACAGTTCGAAGGGAGCAGCACATCTTTATTGTTTGCTGCCTTTTTGTATGCCGAAGAAAAAGGGCGGAAAATAAAATAAAATGAGAAGAGATGAAATTGTGTTGATTTGTGTTGCTCAAAGAGAGTTAGGTTAAATACAAATTTTGGACTAAAAATTCATCAAATGTAAGAAGTTACCGCGATTTATATCAATTCTGAAGGTCACGCCCTTTTGCAGATGCATAAAATTCAATCATAAATTTTTAATTTGATCATAAATATGATCGTTTTTCTCAAAAAAAAATCAGAAGAACTTTTGAATTTTCACATGAACGCCTACAATATTGAGTGACTAGAAAATGATGTGTGAATCTGAATCTGAAAAAGTATTCCGAGAAAACTAAAATTTCGAGGGAAGAAAAAGAAATACATAAACAGGTGGATTTTTATGAGAACAGTTTTTATCTTTATCGAAAATTCGATTGAGTTTATGCCTTACAACAGATCAGCTTTGTGATCTGAAATACAGAATGAAATCTAATTATAACGTGGCAACCTATGATCTTTTTGACCATGCGTTTAGAAATAGTTTTTTTCTTCATTTAATATTTGCTCATTTTTTGAATCTTCATGAGTCTTTTCTTCTTCCCGAACCCAAATATAACTTTTTGTTCATATCTTCAAGTAGTTTCTATAACTAGTCTCAGTCTAATTTTACCCGTGTCATATATCGATTTTCTATTTGCTCGATTCGAGAAAAAACGCGTATATTTGCCAATGTTTCGCCTCTCGCTTTTAATCAGTTTACACAAGTTAAGTAACAATTCGGCGAGAGGTCGAAAAGAGCAAATTCGAGAGTTTTGTAGTTATTGTAGTAGGGAGTTGTGACAACTGAAGTTCTATCGGAAAAAAGCAACATTTTGGACCTGACATGAGGAAATTTAAAAGAGTACAATAAAATTTTCAAATCAGCGATTAATAATTAATTATGTATAGCTAATTAATTGCAATTGGCATCTCAAGAATTTTGTTGAAAATGAATAAAAAAACCCATTTCTAGAAAAAATTAACATTTTCCACGTGAACTGACAAATTTATGAGTTGTCAGCTCATTTTCGATTTTTTTTTCTTCATTCATTACAACAAATATTGAAATGTGTAAGCTTTCCAATATTTTGCGAGATGAATTCGAAAAATTTGAAAATCAACCAGATTGTTTCATTGTAAGTATTCCATTTTTACAAAAATATCAACGGTCGAGTTGTTCTAAATATTTTGAATTCAAAATTCGCTTATTCCATAAGTCGAGTTGTAAATAATTTTTTTAAAGGAAATTGGGAAAAGGTTTCCGGTAGATCACGATTTCCCATGTGAATAAATTATGAGAAAGGAAACAGATTATCAAAGATTTTTGGGAAACACTAACTTAGGTCTTCAATTTTTTAAACCTTTCGGAGCAGTTTAAAAATAATAATCTGATAAAATGCACTATTTTTTTCAGAATACATGGTCAGCTAATCCACCACTAGGAAGTTTGGCAGAAAAAGCTATAAATACTGGAAAATTTACAGTGTTAGTTTTATTCTCATTCTAATTATAACCTATTTTAAAAGTTCCCTATTTTTCTAGAAATTCGCTGTCTATCGAAGTTCCATCAATATTGTCTTTATTTATTCCATCTCCTTCACAATCTCCACAAATTGGAATATCTGGATATTCATTAGAAGAATTGAAAAATTTGGATCAATTGAAAATGTTAGAAATTATGGGAAAAGTTGATTTGATGATGACTTCGATGGCACAAAGTTGTGAAACTGCAGTTAAAGCACATGTTGGTTAGTTTGAACAAAGAAACAATTTGAAAGAAATATACAACATTTTTGTAGTATCTTCGAAATATGATCAATGCCAATATCTTGTTGCGTATTTGGAAATTTTTCCTGATTTTGTATTTGGTGGTAGAACTCGTTTGCATGTGAATTTCTGTCAAAATCCAGATCCGATGACTATTTTTGAAACATATCGAATTCGATTTGTTCACTCATTTCGCAAAATAATTCCACCACCCTTATTTCATAGGATTTGCAAAATTCTTGATCATGATTCAAATGTGAAATGGGTTATTACATTTCTATCCTCTCAAGATTTTCGTGATATGATTTCAATTGTGAAACAAGTTTTTGATATGGAAGAATTCGAAAGTTTGAAAGGTATTCAACCAGAAGATTGGACATTGAAAAAGCCTGGAATGTTGAATGCACGAAATAGGATTCAGAGAAAATTGGAAGAAGAATCGAAAAAGTTTTGGACTTATGAAAAAATCGGGAACCATTTAAAAGCTTAGCTTAGACTACAAAAATTAATGTATTAGTCAACTTTCTGTTTTTTTTTTCATCTACCATGAACTATTTTTTGTGTTTTTTCCTTGTACTTTGAAAAAACGATTTGAAACTATTTCTTAACTAATATCAGTATTTTATTACCCGAAAAAATAACAATGGCACGCAACAATTAATAAAAACATTTGAATATTCCTAATAGATAAAACTAACTCTAAAATACTTACATGATCTTGAAAAATCCTAATCTCGTTTTGTAGAACTGCATAATCTTTTAACATTTTCATAAGTAACAAAAGTAACAATTGCAGCAGGAAGTTGTCGAATATTTGCAATAATACAACCTTTCCAAAGCCCCGAAATACCTTCATATTTTAGAGTATCTCGTGTTATTTGCCATATTCCACGATTTATTGTATTATGATCTTGCATTCTTGTTCTTAATACTTGATATGGAAAAGTCATAGTAGTTGCAGCTATTTTTGAAACTGCTGAGAAAACTAAATAATCACTATGAGCTAAATATGAATCTTTTGGTTTTTCGAGCATTTGACAACGTTTATCTTTCATCCAATTATATGCTGCAAATTGTATTGAACCATGAGTTGTTCCAATTATTCCGGGAACAAATCCCTGAAAACATTTCATAATGTTTCAATTTTAAAAACTGCATTTGAAACTTACTCTGTATAATCCTTGAAAACCTTCATTTTTCACAGTTTGTTTCATACAATCAATCATTCCATCGAATTTTTTAGTTGTTTGATTTTCATATTGAAGACATAGCCTCGTCTTTGTTAACCATATTGGATTTGTTATACACATCACAGCAGATCCTGATAAAAATCCGCAAATAAGATTATCAATTTCTTCGCTTCCAGTTTTTCCAAGTTTGTTTTTAATAACATAATACCACTGGAAATAAAGACCCCAAGATATCGAAGATCCTAGAATACTTGGAGTTAGTCCTTGATATAATCCTCGAAATCCTTCAATTTTGCATATTCGTCGAACTGCATCCAAATATCCTGTATATTGCGGTCGCAACAAATTTCCTTCATTTGCTGAAAGATTAAAATACTTTAAAATTTAGAGAAAAACGGACAAAACTCACCAGAAAATCGTATTTTGAGCAGATCAAATGGATGACAAACTAAAGTACTTGCTACTCCGCCACAAAATCCACCAATCAAATTGTCATATGCAGAAACATCCGGGAATTTCATCGACAAACAACGGGAAAATGCGAAAAAACAACAAATAAAAAATTCTTCTCGAGAAGTACACACAAATGTTTTTTGTTCGCATCGTGGTGAGACCAATTGGCACATTTTCAAAAATATTTATTTATTTTTCATGTTAACTAGTATACTCTTCGCGAAGTGTAGTTGGAGAGATTCTCAGGGTTCCCAACTGTTATACTTTTGATGTGATCTATTCTCAAAGTCAGAGTTAGAGGGGGGGGGGGTTCCCATTTTGAAGAAAACAATTCCCTGAAGTTACAATAAGCGTGTTCCAAAAATTGCAGCGCTCAAACCCCAAAAAAAAGAAAATAAATAAATAAAAATTCACGAATACTTCTACCGTACCCCTCATCAAAGGCTCACACAAATTTTCTCCCGTGTCTCACAACGCGCGTTGATTTTTCAAAAAACGAAGCGGTGTTTGCACAAAAAGAAACATTTAATGTGACGCCAAATTTTCAGTGATTTCGTTTTTTATAAGGGGAGGACAACATATGTATTTGTTGTTTTTTTATAGGAAAAAGGATAAGGATAAGAAGAAGAAGAATAATCATATTCACCAGGCATTAGAAAAACTACTTAACATAAGTGTACTATAAAATCATTTAAACATCCCTCGCGGTTTCATAAAACATTCCAACATTTAGTGGAATATTTCCATAAGCTGCAGCAGCCGCAACATTAAAACTGTGTGGTGAAATGATTTGAGTGAAATCATTAGATCCAACAGTACTGCTAGAAGATGATTCTGGTGATCCTTTTGATGCCGGTTTGTCACGTTGTCTTCGATTTTTGAACCAATTTGATATTTGAATAATTTTCAAACCAGTGACTCGAGAAATTTCTCGTTTTTGCTCTTGAGTTGGATAAGGATTTTGTTTGTAGAATTGCTTTAAGTACTAAAAAAAAAGGTTTTTATTATAGAATACAAGTAAATCCAACTAACCCGTCGACTATTCTCCTTGAAACTATAAATCGTTTCCTCGCCATCCCAAATCGTTTTCGGCGGTGGAAATTTTCGTCGAAGTCGATATTTCTCCACAGGATTCAACTCTTTTCCTCTTTTCAATTGACTTTCTTTATATCTGGCATTGTGCCAAATATCTTGAAGATCTGTGAAATGAACTGGATTGAATGTGTGAGTGTTGAGAATGTTGAAAAGTGATTCGAATTCATTTGCATGATAAAGAGCATAAATATATGCGACAAGAATTGGTTCAGTTCTCCATGCTTCAGCTTGTCCAATTTGTTGGAAAAATGCGACGAGTCTTTCGCCATCGCGAGCTTGGAATAAAGATGTACAAATTGTTTCGATCTGGAATTAGTGATTACAAAAAGTGTAGCAGGAACTCCGGTTATTTTTTGGGAACCCTGAGAAATATAACCCCAGGAACCTTGAGAATCTCACAAAAATCACCTTTGAAGTTTTAGGAAATGAAAATAATTGTATGCATTTACACGCCACGTCATAAAAACATTATTAAATACATTTTTCTTCGATTTTTTATCTACAGTAACCGGCTCTTCGCACTATTTTCAAATTGACTTCCCAAAAGTTGTGTTCTTACTTTTTTTGGTACAACTTCCGTCTATTAACTTCCCAAGAATCTTACTAAACTTTTTGTTTAAAAAATTTATGGCGACATTTCAGATGTCTAAACTTCGAACTGAATTTGAAGTTAGTTGTGGAGCATCGAGAACCTCTTCATACCGCCAGATTTCAAAGATATTTTTCCTAGATACAGTAACCCTTTCTTACAATAACTTCCCATAAGTCGTCTTTCATCTAACTTCCCAAAAACTAACCTGATCAAGTGAATAAATAGTCATTGGTGGTACTGTAGATGGTGGTGGCAGACAAACTGAAGAAGATCCAAAATATTGTTGAGAGTGATGTTGATTTTGTGCAATTTGTTCAGTTACACCTTCAACTTCTTCTGTGATTCCTTGTTGGTCAGATGTAGCACAACTCGAAATTCGATACAAACTGTGATGATAACACTCAATACAATTGTTGTCGTTGCTCCAAAAATGGGCGTGGCCAACGTTGCTCATTGCTTCTCCGTGTTTTTTTGTTAGTTATTTTTCCAGATATATGGGCGTGGCTACAGTATTCTCACCAGACACCTGCAACATTTCTGTTCCATCAAAAAATATAAGAGACGCAGATGAATTCATGTTTTTTTGGGAGGCCTCTAATTATATATCAAGGGGGAAAATATGCATCTGAATTTGAGAGCTTTTTTGAAATTTGACACAACCTGGATGCGACTAGAATAATTAGATTAGCACATGGACAAATATAACAACGGCTAGATAATGTTGGTTTTTTTTTGAAGAAATGTTTTTTTTGAGAAAAAATTGGCGTGGGATTTTTTCTCTTTAAAAACTTGAAAAACCTCACCAAAAATATGTCACCGACTCGTAGAACGTTTCACTTCAAAATGAGCTCTGGAAATAGTCGAAATAATCTCGAATTACGTTTCTATTCATCCAGGCAACATCCAGGTTCATCCATTTTTTATGAGTTCCACAATTGAATACAAAAAGAAAAAAGAAGAAGGGCAAGGCAGAAAAATTGAAGAAAGAGAGCAAAGTGCTACGGTATTAGTCAGCTGAAAACATTTTTGGAAAAATTAGATTTCCAAGGTTTTGAGCAACAAATACAAAAAAGTTAAAACTAATTCTTCTTTATCTGAATATTTCATTTTTGAAACGTATTTTTTAGATTTTGGTAGTTTACTTTACAGAGAAAGGTAGGCTTACAAAATAGGAATTGACTTGTCCTATTTTTTTTGATATTTCAGGTCGGCTCAGCATCAAATATGTATCGGACTTTGAAAAAACAAAATAGTCTATTTCGTGAGTTATGTCAATTCAGAAACATATTGGGTGATTTTCGGCACTAAATAACTTTTGATAAAATTTTCGGCAGGCTTAAAACCCGAAAAATTAGGTTTCGATTCAAAAACTCCCAAAAATCGCTGTTCTATCAGCTGTCAAATATTGCCTTCCCAAAGGCATACCTTGCTCATGATGGTAAAGTCAGTTCGCTTAAAAACATCAGAATTGGTTTTTTTCAAATTCAGTCTGGATAACTCTTTTTTCAGGATATCAATTTTCAAGAATATAAAAAAATTTCATCATTTTCTGATTTTTTTCCAGATAATTTTTAAGCAATTTCTAGCTTTTCCCAAATTCTGAATTATCATTTGTTACTCAATCAATCAATTGACCGAATAATTACATAAAACAACATTATTTTCATTATTGCCATTCAAATATAACTCGTTAATTGTTGCATGTCGGCTCAACATCAAATAAATCCATCCCAACAAATGAAAGAACAACAATAATAAGTGACACAAATGTGTCAAATTTCGACGATTACTGTAGTTGCGTGGAAGAACGAACCGCAAAGGAGGCAATTTGCGGATTATCGCCACCGGTAAACCTCTGTCTTGTTTTGCTTTCAGGAAAAAAGACTGCATAACACAGGTGTGAGAAATCCAACAGAGAACCAAACCAAACCAAATTGATTGTTGGTTTGGGTTGGGGTGATAATGAGAGTTGACTTAATTGTAGGTTTGGGAAAATTAAGAACACGTGCTGAAAAGTATGAATCTGGTTTAAGTTTACTGTATTGATCTATAAAGTTCGAAACATGATGCAAAAATGTTGATTACCACGACTTTTTGAGACTTCAAAAAATTTCCACTTTTTTATTATTTCAAAATTTATCACAGCAAAAATGTTTTGCAAGAAAATTTAGGTGTTTAAATCCAGTAACAAAATCCATACCATAATATTTTCTAAAAATTGAACATCAAACCGTTTTTTCTAAATCTTCAATCCTACAGTATCTCACCCAAGTTTCCTCTCAAATTTCGTAATTTCCTTCCCAATACCTAACAATCAAGTACACCTTATTAAATGACCTGCTGCTAGCAAGTTTCATCTGCTGCCATTTTTCGACTCTAATTACATTCTCCAAAAAAGGTGCTAAATCTGATAACACACCATTTTTGGACAAAGTGTGGCAGCTGGTAATTGTTTTGTATTTTATTATATGGTATATAGTTATAGTAGAAGTGTACTTGTGCAATTGTTATGGTATTGCACTGTAATTTGAGAAAAATAGATTTTTGAATTTTCGCCTAAAGAATTTTACTTTTGTTAGAAAATATTTTTGATCTACAGAATTAAAAAAAATTTGTATACCCGAAAGCAATAAAATTAGATTCTTGTTTAATTAATTTTGGTCTACACATTCAAATAACTTTTTTTTTCACAAAATTCTCGTTCTGTCACAATTTTTTCCATCACCTCAATATTCTCTGATTTGACACTAATATCCAGCTGGATCAAGATAACATAATTTACCACAAACTTTTTTCAGGATACAATGGCAGCAACAAATTGGTGTCTAAAACAAGGCAGATGGTATTTATAATAACACTTAGCCACAATAAGGAGGCCATCAAGATAAACAAGGATTACTGTATAATTAGAGATGGATTTCGATTGAGCTTTGGGTTTTTGGGAAATCTTATTTTGTTTTGTCAAAAGAGCCGCCAATGGATTATGTGAGGTACTCAAAAGGTTAACAATTTATTTTCCTCTTCTTATTTATTATTATTATAATAATTACGTATTGTTTATAAATTTGAAAAAAAAATCAACAAAAAATAATTGAAGAAATGAGATAAAGCTTTTGGAAGCACCCGTAAAATCAGCAATTCAAACTAGAACCGGTTCATCTTTTGGAGGCGGCCAGATATGTGTACAAAAACGCACTTCGAACCATTGGAAGCATCTGGAAAAGTTTGAAAGTTTATGAATTCAGGAGCAGGTGAATTGGGAAATGGTTGGTATTATTTTTGAGACATGAGTCTGTGATGTTATCAAAGATTAAAGTTTTGGTTTGGGTAATTTTTTCTCAAAAATGACATTTTCGAGAAATTTCAGTTTCTGACAAAGTTTGACCTTTTAATATCAACATTGAAATTGAAAATCATTTTTTCTTCGAACTTTGGCCAGTAAACAAATTTCACACAAAAAACCTTCTTAAAGAATTTTTTGAAATTTCTCAAATGTTCAATAAAAATGTTTTTTTTTCATAATTTTTTGAACGCTCAAAGCTCACTCACTTTTCAAACGAATCCTTTCCAAAATACGCAAAGGTATTTGTCGCCGAATTCGAAACCACTAAAAAATCCGAAGTTCTTGTTAGTGCAGACATAAATGGTCCAAATTCATCAGGAGGAACTCGAAGAGCATAACAATCAATGAATGTTGGCAACGATCGGAATATGAGAAATTTGATGACAATGAAAACAGCCAAAGCTTTTGAAACTTTATCCTTCAAATCATCAGATTCTCGATTTCTTTGCTGACTTTCGAATAATTGTTTTCTCATTTGAACATTTACGTGAATTCGATATTCAGTGAAAAGTGAGAGACCAGCGATTACAACCATTGGTCCAATTGTTTCAGTCAATGATGTGAATGCCGCTTTTGTTTTTTGATACTGAAAAAAAGAAACATTAGGTTATTATTTACTTTTTAGTGATAACGAAGTTATATTCTGATTTATGTTCTACGTTTTTATTAATTTAGACACCTGCGCCAAAAACGGCGCTGTCTCAAAAAACTTCATAAAACTAACCACATCATTCAATTTAAGTGTAGTTGCATATAATTTCATAGACCATTCTGAATGCACAACATCGTAGCAATCAATCAATGTAAATTCCATATAACAGGTACTATGGAAGAGAAAACATCCTATTATAATAAGAACTGGAATTCCAAAAGGTTTCACGGATTTTCGAAAATTTATAGAGTAGTGTGATTTTGTTGACATAATTTGATAATCATAGTTGACTTCTGATGGATAGGAAAGTGAACATTTTGATATATCAGAAGAATTTTGATTGCCAAGTTTGGACACTGATTTGCAACGTCGAGATCGATTATAACTCGACGCAAATTTCAATGGATGTGTGACAACACGAAATCGAATATAAGTTATATAAATAACTAACATTGTTGAGCACATAACCAAACTATTTCTCATTCCATATAAAACCAATATCCAATTTTGTTTATTATACATTAAATTGGCACCTGTGAATAAAATGCTTGTTGCTTCAACACTCAAAAATAACACTTGAGTCATCATCACCAAAAAATCAACAACACAAAGCGAATATAATGCGGCTGCCATATTTTCATTTAATCGAGTTTCACGTAAAAATCTGATTGCGTAACCAGTTCCAATTGTTGAAATAAGAGCGCTAAAACACGTGAGGGGACCCTGCAAAAATTTGAGCTAATTACAAAATTCAATTAAAAACAACTTACATCAACCCAAAGTGCCGTGACTGCTTCTGTTGAATGAAAATACTCACAAATTGTCTCGTTTTCATCCATTTTTTTCGAAAAATCTGAAAAATGAATGGAAAATACGAGGAAAATTAAGACGATAAAAGAAAAAACATCAAAAACCGAAGAGAGAAAAAATAACAATAATAGGGTTGAAATTTGAGTCAAACTTGTAATTAAGAATAATCAGAGATTAACGGCTGACGATTTATTGAAGCAAGAAAAAAGATAGTTTGATCAAGAGCCGAAAATGCAGAAAAAAGTTGGAATATAAATAAATAATTCTGACAATTAGATTTGAAAGAGCAGGTGGAAAGTTTCCAAGATTTTGTTCTTGGAAAAATTTTGCATTTGAACTGGAATTGGCAACCTTTTTGAAATGTCAGAAGTATTCAGCAGTTCTGGGTTCATAGTAGAATGATTGCGTCACATTCATTAAAAACTCATATGCTTCTCGAAAACTAACATAATTAGTGGAATTCAAAAGATAAACCAAAAAGTCAGAATTTTTTGGGGTTTAGAAGCTGAAAAATCAGGAAGTTCGAAAATATTGTAGACAAAAATATTCAAAGTCTAAAGAAGTCTTCATAGGTCAAAAATGTTAAGATCCTCTTAAACAACTACACAGTGATTAGAATATCAGATTGAAATATCGAAAAATAGCGTCCTACAATTCAGACACAACTTCTGAATTTCTAGTGAAAATTCACAATCCTATAAATTTCAAATTTCAAAAAAATATATAGGAAAACGCCCAGTTTAAAATCGATCTTCAAGAATATCCGGAACCTTTTTTCTGCTAAAAAACCAGACACTTTTTCTATTTTTTTTCAAAATTGTTGCCATGTCTCATTTTTCGGTTCAAAAATTTCTATAAGGTCAAATTGAGAGCTTAGTTTTTCTATAAAACGAATCAAAATTTCAAGTTTTTCGAAAAATCTTCAAAATTTCATAAATGTTTTCATCTCACAAGAAAAAAAGCTTAAAGAAAAAAACTGAACCCGATTCCAGATGAATAAGCATCGAAAAACACAAGAAGAATGAGTTTTTCTCATAATTTAATTCATTTTCATTTATTTAATTTCATTTTTTTCTTCTTATTTTCTCCATTGAAAAGAATCACAACATCCACTTATTTTCAAGCATTTTTCACTCAAGATTTCGTTTTTTGCAAAACAGACAAGCAGGCAGGTCTGATTAAAATTCCAGAATAATTTCAGAATAATAATCAAAACAAAAAAATCAGGAAAAAAACACAGATTTTTGAAGAGTCGACAAATTGAATTTGTTTTTCTTCATTTTTTTCAAAAAAAAAAAGAGAAATGTCCGTTCTTCGATCTTCACCGGGACGAAAAAAACATGGAAAAGTGAAAAAATGGAAGAAGGGTGCAATTGACAGGAAAAATACTAAAGATTAAAGCCCTAGAAGTTCTAAAGTTTGTAAGCTAATAATTCCGCGCAGCTCAAAATAAACACTTTTTGTTGTGAGAGTTGAGGGGAAAAGGAATTTATGAATGACCAGGAGAAAATTGAATTTATTTAGGTTTCCGGGCTCAAGGAAAGTCGTTTTTTGAATAAAGAAAGTCTAGTTTTCAGAAAAAAAACATTTACATTTCTAAAACTTTATAACTCTTCAGTATTCTAATTTTCAGGGTGGCTCACTGATCCAAAAAATAAAAGATTCAAAATGAGCCAGAAAAGCCAAACTTTTAACGTTAAAAAAAATTAAAACAACTTGGTTAAATTTTTTTGCTTCTACAAGAAATTCAAAAAAATTCTGAAAAATTGAAACATATGTTTGAATATTTTCAGAACACATGTTTTAAATGATAATTGATCATGCGAAAAAAATCGAAAAAAATATGACGACACAATATTTTCATGATAACAAGTTCCCCTCCTCTGGAATTAGCCTAACTATTACATTTTCAGAGAAAAAAACACGATCTTTTCTTTATTTTTGGAAAGTGCAACGAGCTTTAGGAAAAATGTTCTATGAGGCGGGCCAGGCCACACAAATATTTTTTATTTGAAATTTGATGCTAACAAAAATCTCAAATCTCATCACAGCGGAAGTAGTAAAAAATAGAACAAACTACAAACTGAATGAATTTGATCGTTTTCGGATATTCGAATATCCTTATTTTTCTATGTTTTGATAAAGTTCCAAGAATTATTCATTTTGTTCTTATGGTTTTTTACGCTTTGATGAAATATAATTTTGTTAAGAAAATGTGATCATTTTCTAAGAATTAAGACTTCATTTTTTCTAATTTGCAAGTGCTTTCAACCTAAAAATAATGGTTATATTTATCAAAAAGCACGTGGGTTTTGAGAAAATAAAACATGGAAGGAAAAAATTCAAATTTTAATGGGTCCAGGCTTAAGTCAGAAGCAATTTAAGAACACATCTTATGATACAATTTTCATATTTGAAGTGTTCTGAATAACCAACACGAATAAAAAACCTGCGCCCAAACATTTGAAAAAAAATGTTTTTGAACATGCAGGTCGATTTTCACAGAATTTTCGAAATAAATGCATTTTTAAGAGACGTTTTTTGTAAGAGCGAAAATGTTTGCTACGCATCTCGGACAAAAAATTTTAGGTCTTCAAATGGGCTGAATTTTTTTTATTTGACAGCTACAGTACCCAGGACAAAATTCCACACAAAATGTTGACCTAAAAAAATTTCGGGGGTACTGTATGCGCCTTTGAATGCACACAGTCAAATTTCTTAGATCAATCGGAACTTATGTTAAAGTTAAGCTTTTTTCATGATTAAAAAAGCAAAAATGATTGTTTTTACGAGAGGAAAACGATGGAAGCGTCGAAAAATCATGAAAATGAACGTGGAAAATTTTTTTGAAAAATCAATTTTTTCACTTTCTTTAGGAAAATTTTTCGCCCATCCAGACCGCAACCATTCGATTCCTCGTGCGATTTTACCTATATTTCGATAATAAAATCAAAAAATCACGTCGACCCCGGTAGTCTTTTTTACAACCGAAAACTTCCCATAAGCGCGCGCACATACACACAATTGTGTGTCATTAAACTCACAAGAGCGCATTGAAATTTGTTTTTTGTGTCTTATTTCTTTCTAAATATCGATAGATAACATTTTATACCAAATATATGTCCAAGAACCCTACATTCTATGAGAAATTATTGCTAAAACATAATTATTTCCAACAATTTAGAACAATTTTAGAGAATTTTTTGACTTGTGGTCTAAAAAAAAGTTATGATTATCAATTTTAATTTTTGGTGGTATATAGAGTAGCTTCCATGTGTATACCACGCTAAATTTATAATTCTCCTGTTTTTTGAAGAAGTATACGGTGTTTGGAAATATGTATAAGTCTCAATGAATTACAGAAAAATCTATAACTAAAATGACATGATTTCTATACATTTTTTTTGGAAAAAGTCGAATTTTTCTTGTTTCTCGAAAAAACTATTATTAAAAACATCGAAAAATCGAACAGATATCATCTCGAAAGTTGAAAAACGTTTGTCCAGGGGTCAAATCAACCACACAAACTTGTATTTTTTACAGCGAAGAGAACACTTCACTCATACGTTCAGAATTTATCCAAAAACATTGTTATTGTCACACTGTGATCTTAAATTATGATTTTTTCGTAATTTAGTTTATTTTCTGATGAAAAAAAATTTTCTCGCTCTTTTATGTGTATTTATGTGTGCGCACACATGTGTGTGTATGTGCGCGCGCTTATGGGAAGTTTTCGGTTGTAAAAAAGACTACCGGGGTCGACGTGATTTTTCGATTTTATTATCGAAATATAGGTAAAATCGCACGAGGAATCGAATGGTTGCGGTCTGGATGGGCGAAAAATTTTCCTAAAGGAAGTGAAAAAATCGATTTTTCAAAAAAATTTTCCACGTTCATTTTCATGATTTTTCGACGCTTCCATCGTTTTCCTCTCGTAAAAACAATCATTTTTGCTTTTTTAATCATGAAAAAAGCTTAACTTTAACATAAGTTCCGATTGATCTAAGAAATTTGACTGTGTGCATTCAAAGGCGCATACAGTACCCCCGAAATTTTTTTAGGTCAAAATTTTGTGTGGAATTTTGTCCTGGGTACTGTAGCTGTCAAATAAAAAAAATTCAGCCCATTTGAAAATTTTGACTTTTTTTTGTCCGACAGCTTTTTCACTTTTACAAATAACGTCTCTTAATAACCAATTTATCTTCAGGTATTTTATTTGAATCAGAAAAAAAACATAGAACCAGAAACAAAGCGGAAGGATGTACTTTTCGAAAGTTTTTGCTGGAATTTATGCAAAAAATGGATATTTTTTAATTCGAATTACCAAAATTTGGTCTTCCGGTCTCGCAATAAGCTGTCTCAAAAATGATTTGAAAGCAAAGCAAAATAAGAAATGAAATGAGTGAAACCTAAACTACACTCTTTTTTTGCTACAACAATACACAATCTATTCAAAAATTCAGAGATTTTCTGAACTTTAGAAAATCGAAAATGAAATGTCCCATTTTCACCTTTTCTGCACAACACGACAACATACATATTTTTCAATTACTAAATACTCGTTTTCCTTTTTTTCTGGCTTCGGTTAGCAAAAATTGTGCTAATTAGAAAGAACCACATATTTAGTTAGCTATGTACTTCGAAACCCTTTTTTTTGGAGAAAAAACGAAAAAAAAACAAGGAAAATGAGAGAAAGAGAAAAACGTCTGGATAACTCAAAAATGATCATAGAACATGTAGTATAATTTTACAAAAGAGCTTATTTGTGTAAAAACAAATATTTAATATTTGAGTCATCATAAAATTACTACATCACTTATGTTAATTAAAGTACATACATATAAGATAATGCACAGACATGAATAATTCTTATTAAGAAGATTTTTGAAAAAATATATACGTTGGTCAGAAGAGGGAGTTTGTGAAATATTAATAGAATTGTCATTTTCAGAATACTCTGAATACATATGAAAACAAAAAAAGATCCATCAAAACAGTATTGGAGATTTGGAATTTTTAAAGAATTTTT